AATTTAAATAGTGGTATATATGAAATCCTAATCAGAATCCCAATCAATGATAGTCCCAGAATCTGATCACAATATTCCAGGCTGGAACATGTGATATATTCTAGGCCGGAATATTAAATGAAAACATGACACATATTGAGAATATTCCACGGATCTGCCCAACATTTTCCAGGCTGTCATATACATGGCAGATGGTGAGAAAATTGAGAATATTCCACAGATATTCCTGTCATATTCCAGCCTAGAAAATGGAATGAATACAGCCTGTAATATTCATAATATTCTCAACATATTCCAGGGCGGAATATGCTCCATTGCCCGCAGTGGGAACAGACCGAGCGCGCTGAGGTTCGGCGCCTCCGACTCCTCAAATCGCGTTTGCTCTCGGGCGCCTTCCCCACCATTTGCGCTATCGATATTGCCGGTCCAGACGATGCTGACGACGAACTCGGAGCTACTTCGGACCCTCCGAGCCCCTCGCCAGACCTCGACGACGACGAGCATCTTGAAGACGGCGACCGCATCTTCTACACCTCCTTTCGCCCAATCGAGGAGATTCGCGCTGGGAGCACCGTGTCCCAACGCCTTGCAGAGGCCTTCGCCCGTAACTCGGCCCCCCCGCCTTCGGAAATTCCGGACTGGGCCAAGGAGTTCCAAGACGTCTTTGACAAGGAGTCTTTCGACACGTTACCAGAGCGGAGGGCTTGGGACCACGCTATCGAACTCATTCCCGACGCGAAGCCCGCTAATTGCAAGGTGTATCCGATCTCCCCCCTTGAACAGCGCGAACTTGACGAGTTCATTGAGGAGGGACTTGCTACCGGCCGTATCCGCCCTTCGAAATCTCCGATGGCTTCCCCCGTCTTCTTCGTTAAGAAAAAGGACGGAGGACTTCGGTTTGTCCAGGACTACCGCGCCCTCAACGCAATGACGATTAAGAACCGGTCACCCGTAGGTGTAGAATTTAGCCTAGTGTCTAGGAACAGCTAAGATAGCTGTAGCCTAAAACTCTAGGAAGATGCTTTCCAGCCAAGAAAGACTTTAATCAATCGGTTATTAATGCATCAAATTGATGAATATGATGCTAACAGTACTATATATAGTAATGCTAACTCCTTTTCTTCAGGCCGAAGACCCGGTATATAGTGGGGAAGGCCTGTGTCTAGGATTATCCTAATTGGGACCAAAATGATGTAGCTTGACACAGTGATCAAAACTACTGATGGCCATCAAAAATCGTTCCACATTAATAACATATATCAAGAACCAGAATCCCCATCCAAATTAAGACAATATAGGGCCAGAAAAGAAATAAATAAGGAATAATGTCATAGTAATTACCCTGTTAAAATACAGGGACTAGGAATACCTAGATTTCTAGGCTACCACTATTCTAGCTATTCCTAGGGCTTTTTAGGCTAAATATTACCACTACGGCTCAACCGGTACCCCCTCCCGTTGATTAATGACCTTATCAACAGGCTCAAGGGTGCCCGTTATTTCACTAAACTCGATGTTCGTTGGGGCTTCAATAACGTCCGGATTAAAGAAGGAGACGAGTGGAAGGCGGCCTTTCGGACTAACCGAGGGTTGTTCGAACCTTTGGTGATGTATTTTGGCCTGACGAACTCCCCCGCAACTTTCCAGACGATGATGAATGACATTTTCCAGGATCTCATTCTTTCAGGAGACGTTATGATCTACCTTGACGATATCCTTATCGCACATTCGGACCTCCGTAAGCACCGCGAGATCATCCGCGAAGTCCTTCGGAGACTCCGAATGCACAGGCTGTACCTTTGCAAGGAGAAGTGCGACTTCGAGAAATCGTCGATCGAGTACCTGGGGGTTATCATCTCTCACAACCACGTCGAAATGGATCCCGTTAAGGTCGCCGGAGTCTCCGCGTGGCCTCCGCCCGAAAAACAAGAAGGACGTCCAGCAGTTTCTGGGGTTTGCTAATTTCTACCGCAGGTTCATTCGGGATTTCTCGGCCCTCGCGCAACCTCTCTTTGCGCTCACCAAGAAAGACCAGAAATGGACCTGGGGAGACGCCGAAGCCACCACCTTTCAAGCTATCAAAGACGTGGTCGTCTCAGAGCCCGTCTTAGCGATCCCGGACGACTCTCGGCCTTTCCGACTTGAAGCAGACAGCTCAGATTATGCGACGGGGGTGGTTCTTTCACAACAATCCGCCCCGGACGGGAAGTGGCACCCTGTAGCGTTCTATTCCAAAAGCTTAAATGATGTCCAGCGCAACTACGAGATTCACGACAAGGAGATGCTCGCGATCATCCGCGCACTCGAGGAGTATCGGCATTTCCTCGAGGGCGCCGCGCATCCGGTCGAGATCTGGACTGACCATAAGAATTTGGAGTATTTCCGAAAGGCACAGCACCTTAACCGTCGGCAAGCCCGATGGTCGTTGTACCTTTCTAGGTTTGACTTCACGCTGCACCACGTCCCAGGTCGCCAGATGGGCCGCCCCGATGCTCTCTCCCGCCGGCCTGACCACGGCATCTCCGAAGACAACTCGGACGTCACCCTCTTGCGCCCTGAGCTTTTCCACGTTCGCGCGCTTGAGGCCGTCACTGTCTCTGGGCCGGGGTCCGAACTTGTCCGCGACATCAAAGAGGCGCTATCCGGTGAGCCTGACCTAGAGGAGCCCGTCGCGCTTGCGGCCCGGCAACTCTTGAAGGTCCGAGGTCAAGTTCGGGGCCCCCGCTCATCACGTTCGGACGAGTGGGCCGTCTCGGGCGATCTCTTGTACTTCCGCGGCAAGGTCGTAGTCCCCAAAGACAAGGACCTAAGGAGGCGCATCATCGAGCTCTGCCACGACACGCGGGTCGCCGGACACGCCGGTCGGTTCAAAACCCTAGAGCTGGTTTCGCGCAACTACTGGTGGCCACAGATGTCCCGCCATATCGGACGCTACGTCGCGACCTGCGACTTGTGCTGCCGCACGAAGGCCCTCCGGAGGCTCCCGCACGGAGAGCTACACCCGACCGAAGTCCCCCCCGAACGCTGGCACACCGTCACGGTGGACTTCATCGTCGAGCTCCCCAAAGCTCATGGGTACGACGCGGTCATGGTAGTCGTCGACGCTCTTGGCAAACGCGCCCACTTCACCGAGTGCCATACGACAATAGATGCGGTCGGAGCCGCCCGGCTGTACTATCGGAATGTCTGGAGGCACCACGGAACCCCCGAGAAGTACATTTCGGACCGTGGTTCGCAGTTCATCGCTGACTTCACGCGCGAACTCTGGCGCTTAATTGGCGTCAAACCGGCCACCTCTACGGCTTACCACCCGCAAACCGATGGACAAACCGAACGCATTAACCAAAAGCTCGAGCAGTACATCCGGATCTTCACCAACTACCAACAAGACGACTGGGACGAGCTTATCCCTGCCGCTGAGTTTGCCTATAACAACCATGTTCACTCCTCCACTCAACAGGTACCCTTTATGACAGACACTGGTCGGCTCCCCCGAATGGGTTTCGAGCCAGGCGCCCGCTCAGAGTTGGAGTCGGTAAACGAGTTTCGCGATCGGATAGCCAACGGCGTCTCCGAGGCAAAGGCCGCGCTCGTTAAAGCCAAAGACGAGTATAAACGGTACTACGATCGGAAACGTTCGGACGCTCCGAATATTCAAGTTGGTGATAAGGTTTGGCTGGACGCTTCTGACATTAGAACAACTCGGCCCTCCGAGAAGTTCTCCCACAAGCGCCTCAGACCGTTCAAGGTGCTCGCAGAGGTTAGCAAAGGTGCCTACAAGCTCGACCTCCCCCCGCGCTACTCCAAGCTCCACCCCGTCTTCCCCGTCGTTAAGCTCAAGCCCGCTCAGGACGACCCCTTCAATGGACGACCCGGCTACGACGAACCGCCCCCCGAGCTAGAGGACGGAGTCCCCGAATGGGAAGTCGAGGAAATCTTGGATGCCAGGATAAGGTATAAGCGTCTTAACTATTTCGTCAGGTGGAAAGGCTATGACGCTTCACACGACTCGTGGGTTCGGTTCGACCGTGTCTTTGCGCCAGACAAGATTGCCGACTTCTATCGGAGGTACCCGGGTAAACCACGGCACATCGCCTCAGCGACCTTCGACTCCTTGCCCTTTCGAACTATGCATCGGGACGCCGCTGTAAGGGCAACCCTGGAGACTCCGACGAAAGCCTAGCAGGGGAGGATCCAAAGCGTGAATAGAAGCTACGGAAATACACGGAGGGACCGACCTAGCAGGGGAGGATCCAAAGAGAAGAAACTCTAAGGGTCCGCCTGCTAGGGCGCCAACTATAAGCTACGGGTGTAGTATATGCATTTCACTCCCTTTTATCCACTGGCGAGTGCCCCAGGTCATTATCCAGTGTGGGCAGGACTGTAAGGGCAACCCTGGAGACTCCGACGAAAGCCTAGCAGGGGAGGATCCAAAGTGTGAATAAAAGCTATGGAAATACACGGAGGGACCGACCTAGCAGGGGAGGATCCAAAGAGAAGAAACTCTAAGGGTCCGCCTGCTAGGGCACCAACTATATACTGGTCGTCCGTAACTGCCGACGTAGAGCGCAGAAGGCCTGAGCGGCGTCGCAGGCTCTGTCCCAAGGTGATCGTTGGGAGGGTCTTGACGGATCGGTGATTGTGCGGGCGAAGGAGGCCGTGGACGATGGTCGGGGGTGGGTCGGAGCGTCCGAGGGGGCGCCGGTCGGATGCGCCTCGGATGCGCCTCGGATGCGTTCGGAGGGTCCGAAGGAGGCCGAAGCGGGGGTTCCCCTGACAAAAACCAAAACAAAACACAAAACCAATTCACTCACACTCTCCTCCACAAATTCCCTTTTCCAGGGGAAATAAAAGTCAAGAGTGATTTGGGGGGGGCAGGTTTTCATCTTCACTTAGAGAGCCAAAACTTTGGGTTCAGCAATAAGTAATAGTCATTTGAGTACCAAAAAGCCGCTATCAAGTTTAATCAACGTCTACTTCCCCCTATTCCACACTCGGTATCAGTCTGTTGGGCGCTCATGATGTTCCATCCTCAGTCGTCCACTACTTTTGGTCTTTGGCAACGCGCGCTCAAGCGCTTCACAACATGCTGCAAATTCCAGGAGGGCATGGTCCGAGTCGGCATACCGGTGATGGCGCAGGTAGGTCCGAATGGAAATCGTCCAGTGCAGAGCCACGAGTGTCGGGTGTGAGGCGCATGCAGCATCAAGGGCAGCCAATGTGGTCGCGTTGAGCTGCCACACTATGGGTGTGGCGGGAGCGAAGGATGGACCTTCAAGTTGGGGACCTGCCATGTCCACCTCAAATATTATGCGGATTTCAATAAGATTGGGGGTGGAATGCGGCACGAGAACGTTGGCAAGCAGCTGGGTCAGCATCCAAGACGGCTCTTCCTCTAATTCTTTTCGGTTCTTTATGTATGCATAGGCAGTGCGAAGCGCTGGCCAGGACGAGGGCAGTGCCAGCGCGAGAGCAGCTGCTCCCTCAGGCTCAACGAAAATATCTTCTGTATCAGAGTCAGAAGATTGCGCATATGTAAATCCAAAGGAATGGCTCACGGACGCTGGGGAAATGGATCTCCGGGATGGTTGGTGCAAGCAGGACATACAGCGCAAGCAAAGGGTCGAACAGGTCTTCATCGCCGTCCACTTTGAACGACGCGATACTGGAAAGATATGGCCGAAGTTGGGGCCAGGCGAGGGTTTGAAGCAGAGTGCCGCTGTAGGACACGATGACAGTCTTCCGCGGCGAGCGCACAACTGGCGCGCGGGTGTGTTTTCCGGGGTTGGCCTCTGGAATGAGCTCACTGCCGATACAAAGCCACAGGGTTAAATAGTTCGTGGCATTCAGAGCAAGGATTACAAGGTCCGGGGAAATGTCGTCAAGGTTACACATTCTCAGATGCCGAAGCGGCCGCACACTCCTCTCGACAAGGAGCGTCGACAGTGCTACTGTGATTGCGTCGGGTACAGAGTGCCATGATGGATCTGTGTCGGCCATGATAAGAAGGGTTTCAAGGTTGGTGAACTGCAGGAAGAATTTTGGATTGATGGAAAGTTGGTTAATATCGAGTGGCCAGTCGACTTCGATGTCCAGGCGGCTGACATACTTGACAAGATGTGGAGACTGCTGGAAATGTTCTACGACTGCATCCCAAGAGGCATATTTTCCAGCTTCCAGGCGGAGCATGTGGTGGAGATGTTTTTGGCATGCGTAAACGAACGCAGAGGCAGAGAGACAACAGTTTTTAAGCGAAGACCTGTCGTTGGATAGGTGATCCACAATGTGGTAGATGAGCTCTAGTGGAAGGGGACTCGGAGCCATGGCGGCAGCGGCCTTGGAAATATGTGGGGCGTTGGAAGCAAGAGAGTCGTTGCAATCATCATCATGCCAAATTTGGCAGCATCCAGCTTGTTCTTGACAATGACCTTCACCTTCACTACCGTGTACCGGCTATATTCGCTGCCAGTGCGGCTCGTTTGTCTGCTGAATATAACACGCATGACGCCTCTTCCAGTCCTGGCCGCACCATAAGCACCGTTTCAAAACCTGAAGGCGGTCGGTCTCCTTTGACAATCGACGGGCTTGTATCAGGATTCATGTATGTGGGTCTTCTTGCTGCTGGAGAAACAGACTGACTTTAATGCCCAGAGCTTCCGCTCGCTGGCCTTTCACTGTGCTCAACAAAAAGCACTGACGAGAGTCGTCTCTGTACAGTCCCAGTTGCTGTAGGGGCTTTTTAGAAGATATTTAGGCAACCCCGGCTAAGGAGACAACTCTTGTTGGCGATATGTAGCTTGGAGGGACCAATTTTGTGAAGGAAGGTGCGTGCTCCTGCTGGCTTATTTTGCATATTCACCAACCTTTTTCCCCTTAGCCTGCGCCATTTTTGCAACTACTTAATGAATGGGCTCTTTCCGGTCCACCAAACATTCAAGGCAGCCCCAGCGACTCTCTTCAACGACAAGCGGCTGCATCGTTACAGCATGAAATATCCGCTACATGGATCCCTTCGCAGACACTGCTCGTCTTTTTCGTACCTCCAAGTAAGCTGTGGATGACCACCGAAGGGCCAAATCCACATTGTAATGTTTTGGGAATCGAACTCCCCAATCAGCCAATGGCCATCTCGAAACCAACCCGAAACTCTTGTCAATTCAGCACATACCGTATACTACGACATATCCCCAGTCACCCTCGACTTTTACACTACTAGTATGCAACCCGTCGAGCTTTCAATCTCATCGCTGAAAAGATCAATGCCTTTTTCGCGTCCCTTGCTACATCATTCCGGTTTATTTCTTTACTTACGGTGCCTTATTTTCCATATTCCCCATACTTGCTTTCAGGTGGTTCATGCTTCCATAATTCCCAATTTACGTCGGAGGATACGGTTGCCTCGAAGGAAGCAAGCTCCCCAAAAAAGCTTCCTACTACTACCACCACAAGTTGCAAGGGGAGATAGGCAACTGATAATAGACGCTCGTGACAATTACATCTGGTCAACGCTGAAAACATGTACAACCCCATACTCAAGTACTGCTCTAACCTTGCTGCACTTGCCCTTCCTCCTCCCCAAGCTCTGACTCGCTCTCGGCTTCATCGCTCCCCGACCACGTGCGCTGCGCCAACACAAAAGCCTTCCCGGCAGCGCCGTCATCGTCGCTTTCGACCTGCTGCATCACCCATGATCAGCATATAAAAGAAAACAGATTGTTGTAGTACTCACCGACGAGCCTCTCCGGACAGCGACAGTAGCCCTCGCGCTCTCCCTGGACGACGCCTTCTCCACGGCCGGCGGGACGTACGGTTGCGCCTGCGTTTGCGTTTGCGGCACCGAATAGCTCATGCCGGTAGCCGTGCCCGTCGTTGTGCCCACAGTCGTGACGGCGGCCGCCGGGCCGGCGGCGCGCTGCTGCCGGACGACGGCACGGAAGTTGAGCGTCGCGAGGAGCATGTTCGTGTACCTATCGGGAGCTCATTCGATATCAGGGCAAATACAACGGATCTGCACTGACACGCTTGGAAGGAGCACGGTGCTGCCCACGTAATATGTCGTGGCCTGCCTCTTTGCATTAGCCACACAATCGCAACGAAGTGGGGGCACTTGAAGTTGAATATCATACCGGGAAGGACTCGAGCAACGCTAGCGACACGATCTCCACAACCGCCGACGCGGCGTTAGACTCAACGGTAAAGCGCACTATGCTCGCGACGGCCTGGTGGGTGGAGCGGTTGAAGCTTCCCTCGCGCATGCGGAGGAGGACAAACACAGTGGTGAGCGTGTTGACAAGCGCGGTCGCCATGCCCGTGATTAGCCAGGAGCGCACAATTCGCGTGGTCAGCTGGAGCTTGGTCAGCAACGCCGCGGGCGACCCGTCGACCACGATCCCGAATGCAGCGTACCCGAGCCCGCATTGCGCGAGCGAGAGCTGCATGATATGAGTATTGTATGCCACAAGATTGGGACAGACATACACAGCTTATGAGGATGCAGACCGGCCACATACGGCGGTCGAGCGAGAAGATGCGGTAGCCAAAGTAGTGCTGCACGATGGAGACCGTCACGGGGACGAATGCGAAGGAGTACTGGCGCTGGCTCTGCCCGGCGAGCCGCAGCGCATTGCCGAAGCCGTCTGCGAAGAAGTATTGGGTCTCATAGGCGACGAGCGCAACGCGGGCGAGCATAAGGAGAAGCAGGCTGTACACTGTCCAGCGGTCAAGACAGTTCAGGGCTGAGGGAAGAACAAGTGGCGCACCGAGCAGTTGGACCGCGAATGTGTCTTTCGGGAAACAGATGCGGTAGATGACTGCATACGCGTTGAACGGGCATTGGCAAGGGAAAAAAGGGGGGGAACACGCACGGATCTGGACAAACAGGGCCCCCGTCAGAAGGAAGTCGAGGAGCACGCCGACGAGCTGCGAGGATAACCTGAACTGTAGTTAGCCTCGCCGGCGGAAGAGTCCACACGCACAATTGGCCAAACGAAGGGGGGCTCGGACCAGTGGCGGACATGGTGATGGCGAGAACTGGAAGGGAGGGTAGTGACGCGGATGCGGCGGCAAACGGAGGCTAACTGGGTCTCACTTTAAGTTTCTCCACCTCGATCGCGCCGCGCCGTGGGGCTGCTTATAGTAAATGCAAGCTTGCTTGCACCCGAAGGACGGCGGAAAGTGGTTGCAAAGCACCCAGCGTGCCCGGCCATGATGATAGTTTAGACCAAGCTAGTTTGTGGTCTAACTGACATGATTTTGATTTTGCACTGATCTTAGTCATGTCGCGTCAAAGCCTTAAAGGTCGACCAGTGCACCGGCATACGGAAATCGTACCATCAACACGTCTCAAAAGCCATAGGCTTATCCACGTTTCTCCATAGACTACGACCCAACACAATTTGCAGCTCGCTCGCAATTTGGTCCCACTCATGCCGGCGCAGCCGGGCCGAACCCCAGCGCCGCCCGGCCTCCCGTTGCCGGTACATTACGCCGCTCCCGTCCGTTTCACCACCAACCGCTCTTGACTCTGCTGTACCGACCCCAAGTCAGCGACACCCTGGAGATGTCAGCAGGCGCCAAGTTGCACAGGAAGCGTTCCGCCTCACCGAAGATCCGGAAGTTCGCCGGTCCGCGCCAGCGACACTGTCCCTCGACGAAACCTTCGCGACCGCCGGCAGGTCCATCACGTGCGCCGGCGCCACGCTCTGCTGGGATGCCATGACCGTCATGGCAGTGGCGGAACCCGCGGTCCGCTGTTGCCGGACGACGGCGCGGTAGTTGAGCGTCGCGAGGAGCATATTGGTGTACCTATGATCAAGATTGAATATGCTCAGCCTCGCACCATGATAACAGGACGACTGACACGCTCGGAAGGAGCAGGGTGCTCCCCAGATAGTATGTCGTGTTCTGCCAGCCGTCTTGCGTCAGCCAGACCAGTTGAATCTGAAGAAGCGAGTGAACACACCGGATAGGCCTGCAGCAGCGCGAGCGACACAATCTCCACCACCGCGGATGCGGCATTGGACTCGACAGTAAAACGGACAACGCTCGCGAGGGCTTGCTTGGTGGAGCGGTTGAAGTTGCCGGCGCGCATGCGGAGGAGAACAAACACGGTCGTCACAGTGCTGATAAGTGCGGTAGCCATGCCGAGGATGTACCACATGCGCACGAGGTCCGTGACCAGCGCGAGCTTGCTGAGCAACGAGGCGGGCGACCCGACATACACAATCCCAAACGCTGCACACCCGACGCCGCATTGCGAGAGAGAGAGCTGTTCAATTGACTGAGTATAGTAAATTGACCTTGAAAGGAGAGTAGGACTTACAAAGCTGATGAGTAGACAGACCGGCCATAGACGGCGGTCGAGCGAGAAGATGCGGGAGTCGAAGAAGTGCTGGACGATACAGAGCGTGATGGGGGCAAGCGCATACGAGTACTGGCGGCGGCTCTGTCCCGCGAGGCGCATCCCGTCCCCAAAGCCCTCCGCGAAAAAGTACTGTGTCTCATAGACCAGGAGAAAGAGCCGGCTGAGCATAAGAAGCAGCAGTCCAGACACTTTAGGTGGCACGCGTTTCAGTTAAGGTTTTTAACGAGAGGAATGAGCTGCGCGCACCAAGCAACTTGAACGCAAGCGCGTCTTTCGGGAAACATATGCGGTAGACGACTGCTCATGGTCAGTTTGGAGGTAGGCGAGGATAAAGCAGGCACGCACTCATCTGCAGGAACAATGCGCCCATCAAGAGAAAGTCGATTAACACGCCAATGAGTTGCGAGGAGAGCCTGACTCCGTTTTAGCCTTTCACGAGCAAGGAATCTGCTGGCATATTTAACGCACAAGCGACCAAAATCCGTGGTCCCGCTGCTCGCCATATAGTTGTCAGAGCTGCCGGACATGGTGGCGGCGAGAACTGAGGAGGGGCCTGCGCGGATAGGGTGGCGGAGGTGTCACTTGTCTCCCTTTAACGCCAATATATTGAAGTTTTCCGATAACTTGAACGCTCCTCGGAACTCCCAACTCCTCACGCTCGTCCAAGAAGTATGCGATCCCGAAAGACCGTGATACTAGTAGTAAACTTGAGTTTCGACTGACGAGAGGAGGAAGGCACTCCGGACAAGACAAATCACGCTTCGGCAGCATGTGCCAGTGCCTCGTTGACAAGAGGGTCAAGTACAGGCTACATAGTACGCCGACGAATTCCTGCGTGGCGGTCATTGTCGTCGTTTGAAGAGAAATGTGCCACGTGTCATGTCTCTGACACGATCACATGTGCTGACTAATGGTCGTTTTTCTTTTTCATTGCTGACGACAGGCATAAATTCCCACCGGAGGGGTATCTCCACAAAAGTCCGAACTTTGGTGTGGAATTTAACAGTGATATTCAACAAGATCGGGGACCAGTGCTCGGAACGACGGCACCCTCTCCAAGTATGTCCTTCTCCGTCACTTCTTCAGGCCATGTCTCATTCGCTGCGAGGTTTCGCAACACTTGGCTGAGGGCACCCGTCAAAGCACGCAGGGGCACAATCGGAACGACAGTTTCGCCCTCCCCCCCAAGCATTATATTTGCGAGGTGGAAGTTAATCCGCCCGCCGCTGGACTCTACCCTCTCAGTAAGCACCTCTGCGAGTGCCCTGATCGAATCGGTTGGGTCGCTGCCGCGGCCAAAGCGGACCAGGTCTTCTTTGACCAGTCCCTCCACCGAGATAACGAATATCTCCGGGAACGGCGCCGGGCGGATTTCGCAGACATGGTCGAAGTACGTCACCCAGACCTTGACCTCCGGCTCTTCTATCATCTTCAGCACGTGCCGGCGCGCACAGATGAGCTCGAAATTCGCCAGGTAGTCAGCGTGTATTTGCGCGCGTACGGAATGGCGGACATAACGGTATGTGGGGTTCGAAGCCGTCACCTACACGGGATCAATCAATGCGAAAAAGCGGATAGGATAGAATGCTAGCACCCAAGACCCAAGTCTGGAAGAGTGTGCAATAAGTACGGTGCCCCCCTCGGCGCCAATCGGCGGTCTGGCAATGTCGAGAGCAGTAGTACGCAGTCAGACATTTAGAGCAGCGAACGAATTCCGTTGCCTTCCCAACGCGGAAACACTGTGTAAAAACAGTTAGGGAAGTTGAGTGTCGTTATTTGGTTCACCGACATCAAGACTATCGCATATCTTGATTAATTCTTCCCGAGGCTCCGTCCCAGAGGATAACGACGGCCATGACTCACTGCGCGCTTGCAGGAATCGTAGGAAGTCTTGCCAGGCACGATGAGAGGGCGTTTGGCGGAAGTTCGGAGCCGAAGTGAACCGCTCTATGTTCTCCGAATCTTTCTTGATTGAATGCAAGAGTCGTACGCATACATTGTGGTCGAAGCATTCCCGAGGAATTATTCTCGTCAGAATAGGCACCAAGGCATCGTTCCCGTCCGATTCAGATCCGGCACTACCTGGCACCGGCAGTTTCTTCCGATATGCAGGCAGTAAAAAGATAAGGAAAATAGTCGCCCACAACCCCATGTCCAGTGCAAATAGAAGCCGACGTTTGCTGGCCAGGAGGGCGTGCAAAAGCGCACTCGGCAAGGTTCGACTGAGCGACCCTAGAGGTTCTTTCCCGCCAGTTTGCGCAGTGGCAGTGTGAGATTGACTACGGTCATTACAGTTGATATGATGAGGTGAGGGTCGCCCATCATCATAGCAGAGATGGGGGAGGTTGACGAGATAATTCCTCCAAGGTTGTAGCCAAATATGAATATTCTGCGTAATCATCTTGACGTTTCCATTTCGCAACGTTCGTTGGTCTTCGGTATTCAACTTGATAAATGCCGCAAGCAGCGTCGAAAAGTGCCATAACACACTCGGTGAGCTCTTGAAACGACCCGCCGACGCCTTCAAGTTCGAGCAACTCGTGCAAAACATGTTGATCAGAAATATCTGCTGTGTCCAATATTTCGATCATCCCTTGTAAAGTCCCTTCCTCGAATGATTCCGCCCGGGCCTTGCCACGAAGAGGAAAAAAACGCTTCCATGCTCGGGCGAAGGAGACATAGAAGCCTGGAGTCGATCGAATAACATCACGAGTTGGAGAGGAAACAGTGATAAGAGTGCCTGTGAGCAACAGCATGATCATAGCAGTCCTCTCCGTCTCGCGCTCTGGGCTCGGGAGTGTGGAATAGTAGGGCCAGACGCTCTCGAAGAATTGGAACCATGCCCAAAACCGAGGCCATAGTTCGATTTCAAGTTCTGGGGACGTGCGACCGCTTGCTATCAGAGTGGGAAGAAGCCTCCAGGCCTGATTTCGAGCGTACAACACGTCTTGACTCATCAGCAGCCTCTTGTCTGCTTCAAGGCTCCCAGATTCGATCCTTGTTTCCAGAGCGTCGACAGTGGGGATGAGCGCGGGGTCCAGAAGCACATAGCAGAGGGGAAGGAGTCCCATGCGGTGACCCGGAGGCATATCCGAGCCGATCCAACCGAGTCCCACTTTGAGTGGCCTTTGCATCTCGGAAGCTGTCGCATTCGCTTTGCAAGCAGTTTTCGCGGCGTGCTGTCAGCGCATGTAAGTACTGAAGTAAAAGCACTTTGGGGACTGAATATCACCCGAAGCGGCGGCGGAAGCCCTTCCAATGCACTCAACTTCAATGCCGGATGCACCATAGATGATGATGATTTGGACCAGATTAGTTTGTGGCCCAAATCACAGAGTTATGATTTTGCGCGAATCATATTTTTTTACATGATTGATGTCGGCCACCTAAAATGCTCTTTATGGGAAGTGCTACTGTCCGAAGACAAGGCTATTACTAAGTATAGAATAAACAATTGTAAGAACACGTTGCCCAAGACTCTCGCCCACGTTCGGAATTAACAGTGGTATTCCACAAGATCTGGCACCAACGCGCGGAATGATGGTACTCTCTTCATAATATCCTCCTCTGTCAGATCGCGGGGCCAGGTGTGACTTTTTGCGACATTTCGCAGCACCTCAGTCAGCGCAGCGCTGGATGACCGCAAGGGGACCAAAATCGCGGTATTTTCCCCCTCCGCCCCGAAGGTTATGTTGGCCCAGTGCACACTCAGCCGCCCCGCGCCGCGATGAACACGCTCCAATAACACGCTGACGAGCTCGGCTTGGAAGTTGGGATCTTCCGGGCCGACAAGCTCGATAAGGTTTGCCTCGAAGAGGCCATCCAGCGATGTCACGACGATTCCAGGGGCCGGCGCGTTGGCGTTCCCGCAGGAGAAGTCGAAATAGGTTGCCCATATCTTGACCTTGGGCTGTTGTACCATTCGCAGTACATGACGCGCACATATGAGCTCGAAATTGGCGAGGTAGCATACATTCATCTGGGTCCGAATCACATTTCGCACGCGGTAATGCAGGTGGGGACGGGAGTGCTCGGCTAAGAAGGAGTAATTGGTGAGTCATAGATTGGGGAAAGGTTTAAATTAAAACCCACCAAGGATTAGGCCACGTAACCCGATACACCATATCCTGTGGTTTCCCCTCTTCCAATCCGCTTTCTGACAGTATTTAGAGCAGTAGTAGACCATCTGACATGCCGAGCATCGCCTGAACTCCCTTGCATCCGCGACCAGGCAACACTGCACCACAATGAGGATCGCCTTCCGCTAGTAGAAAATTACAGGTGCGTACCTCAAGATTATCACAAATTTTGAGAATGGTATTATCCTTCCATCCTATGTGTCGCGAAACAGAAGACCAGGCTTCATAGCGGATGCGCAGAAACTCTGTTAAGTCCTTCCAGGCGCTGAAGAAGGGTGTTCGCCGAAAACTCTCCGACGCGGTAAAGCGCGCGAGTTTCGCCGCAGTCTCAGGCCTAGCAATAGATTGGCGGAGCTTTAAGCAGATGGTGCGATCGAAGCATTCGCGGGGAATAATCCTCCTCAAGAGAAACGTAACACAGTTTTCTCCCGTCTGAGTTATGGACAATCGGTCGGTCCAGTCGATTGGCAGAGACCCGATGTGGAAGAGGGTAGGCCAAAACTCGTTCAAGTTGTCGAGCGCGTAAAGCAGTCGTCGTTTGTTGCCTAAAGCAGCATGTAGTAGCAAAAAAGTCTCGGTTAGCGAGACCGTTGCCTTCAAGTTTCTCTGGGTCATAACCGCACGAGCAAGATTGCTGAGCATCGCCATCAACATGGGCATCACCGCGTGCGGCTCACCAACAAGTATGGCGCTAAATGGGGGCTGCATCTCGGCCCTGGAAATGCGTCGCACCAGTCCGCGAGCAAACGAAAGAATCTTGACAATATAGTCGTCCTGACGCTTTGCTGGAGACGTGGAAATTTCGTGCAGGTAGTGGAATTGACGCAGGCCACATGTGAAGTCTAACAGGGCCAGGACGTGTGAACAAAGGTCCTCTGTCGACGCTCCGAAGCCATGTAGGATCTCTTGCCAGACTCGGTCGTCGGACGTGTCAGTATGTGCCAGCATATCCGTGAACCACATCATTATCGTCTCCGGCGCACGGTCTTCTGTAGTATTCGTATCCGGTGAGGCATGGCGATCTGGTATCGCAGGGAAAACGTGCTTCCAGGAAATTGCAAGCGATGTGAAAAAACCCGATGTTGATCGTAGAAGAGAACGAGAAGCAGGATCTCTGCAGAGTGCGCCAGAGATCAAAAGCAGGAACCTGTCGTTTTTGAGCTCTTCGCAGTCCCCATCCGTGAGCGGAAAATAGGAGGGCCAAATGTCCCGGAAGAATTCAGACCAAGGCCAAAATCTGGACCAGATATCCGTCCCAACTTGGAGAATTGTTGACTGAGCAGTTGCAATCGACGCAAGGAGTTCCATAGCCAACATGCGGGCATGAAGGGCATGCGACAAATCCTTGTCTTCGTGTTGTAGATTCTCCTCCAGAGCTTCTACAGTGGGAACGAGCGCGGGGTCCAGTAGAGTGTAACAAAGTGGAAGACCAGCGAGCTGCCGGGTTGGGGTGAGAGTTGCCCAATCGATGATGTGGAACGGCTTCGACATCTCGAGTCCGGTGGCGTTTGGCTTGCACGCATTTTTAGCGGAGTGCTGTTGGATTTAGGAAGTTACTGGGTGGATGGCTAGTATTTACCCGAAGGGGCAGCGGTAACGCATCGAGCGCAGATAATTTCAAGGCAGGATGTAGCTTGGCCATGGTAGAGATGAAGCAACCACTGGCAATCCCCTAATAAGGAGGAATTGGATATGTGAACTTTGCTTGCTGACATGAGAAGAAAATCTACAAGTTAGCGGTTGTTGTTAAGAAGAACCACCATGTTGATTCCCAGTCATATCATCGCAGGCTCACAGCATCTGACTGGCTTGCGGATACTATCGACGACTTAAAGATTGCCCCCTTTCATACCTCCAACACCATGCATTTCCTCGCCAAACCTGCCACGGCAACACGAGAACAGACCCGTATGGACCCCCCCCTTGTTTGAACCAGTTATCTCACCAAGGTCTCCAGAGAACGATGAGATTGAGAAGGAGCTCAAGGCAGAGGCCCGTGCAAAGGGTAAGGAACACAAGATATTGCTGCTGGACGAACACGCCGACGACCGCGAGGCGACGGTGATGATGAACAGCGTGAAAGAGCGGGGAAAGGGGAAGGATCTTGCCGAGCAGCCAGACGCGAGCATCGTCGAGGCCCGAATGCAGGTGTGTTGTCCTGGCCACTTGCTATTACAATTTCTCTCAACTGAAACCTTTTCCAGGTCGGAGCAACGACACACAACTTCGTACATCTTCGACACTGGCACCGCGGCCACGGCGACATGGACAAATGGATGCAGTGCTTCGAAAATGTCACCGCCATCGCCTTCTTCGCCGACTTGTGCGACTACAATGTCATGGAGCTCGATGTGCGCGTTTCATTTGCCCTCATTTCTTCCAACCCACCTCACACCACAGGAAAACCGTCTCTTAACGAGCATCACCCACTTCGACAACCTCTGCTCATCTCGCTGGGTCAGCAACGTCAGCATAATACTCTTCCTCAACATTGAGGGACTGCCTGAACGGCTCTCGGAATCTCCCCCCGACCCGGCCCACTTCCCCGGTTATACTGGCGGAGGCGACTACGACAAATTCTGCGACTACGCCCTCCATCGCTTCATCAGCCTCAACCAGCACCCCGGAACCAGCGTCATCTACGCCCACTACGTCACTTCGACGAACCAGGAAACGACGATCAAGTGTGCGTTGCTGTTTCTACCTATTAAATGCTGCTCTGAATGAGGCTTTCTTCCAGTCATACTGAGCGCAATTGTCGACATCGCGCTGTCCGCGAAGCTGAACGCTGAGGCAGACAAGAAGAAACCAAGCCCGAGACCGCTAACTGGGTGATTTTTAGCTGCCATAGCTCTATCTATTGCATTGTAATATTATACTTTATTTCGCAGAACATCGCGCTAAGTGCGAAGATGGGGCCGCCTGGAGACCGAGGCGGACAAGAGACTAAGATTGAGAAATTTAAAGCAAACTTGATGATGACCTGTCATGAATGATTAGTCCAAGGCTCCAAGCTCGTCGTCGGTCAGAGCAGCCTTGATCGCAATGCTTCCCGAAAAGGTATCCAAAACTAAAAGCCACTTGCTTCGAAATTCCATTAATACCTCAAGCTACTTCTTCCACAAATTTAGCTATCTCGCTGAGCATTATTTCAGGTCCCGAACTGACAAGTCGCAATCTACATCCTTGGTAAACATGTATGGATATGTTATGACTGGGCCAACAGTCCAAGCTCAATCGCCTTGATCTCCAATGCCTACCAAAGTGCATTAGAAACTTGCCCATTATAAAGATACGAAGCTCACCAGTTGCTTCGAATAGAAGCGTGAAACAGCAAAGTTACCAGCAGCGAACCACAACTAAGGCATATTCAGTCTAAACTAAGAGCAGAAGAAGAATAAAAACAAACCCCAGGATGGCCAGACTCGCGATAACATCCCTGCAGTTCGCCTTCTTCGTCCAAACCCCAAAGCTGGCTCGTCTGGTCAATCACAGCGTCCGAAAACAGCGCGCGCATGTTGTCGCGGATGGACTCGTAGGCCGTTCTGTCCAGTTACAGTTATTAGATGGGGATGGTGTAGTAAAAGCAAAGCCATACGCATAGATAACAACGTCGGCCTCCAATGCTGATCCGTCGGTAAACACGAGCGAGTCTTCCGTGAACCGCGCAGCTTCTACGCCCTGCTTGATTTTGACCTTGCCGTCGCGGATGAGGGCGGCACATCCAACATCAAGCCCTAAAAACAGAGTTAGTTTGTCACAGCCAAATAGACAACCAAGCTCACAGAAGCCCCCGAAACGCTCAAACTGCAACGGGAACGGGCCCGACCCGTCTGGTCCCATGTTTAGTTTCATACCCGCCTCCCGCAATCCCCGATGGGTCTCCTTCTCAGACTCCCACATCATGCCCTCCATCGCCGCCAAACGACGCCTCATCAGCGGCAGCGGTGTCGCATTCGACTTGAAGTCCGAAGTATCGATTGGCACGCCCAGAGGCCACACCTGCCACATCTGCATTTGGGCAGTTTTGCTGCTGACAACGCAGGTTGACGATCGCTGGACCATTGTAACGGATTGAGCTTTATTGAAGACGAGGTCCTGACAGATGTCGGCAGCGCTGTTAGCTGCACCAATAACGATGACACGTTTCCCCGAAAATGGCGCTCCGCCATGATAATGGGCGGCATGCAGGGTTATACCCCGAAATAGGGTCGGGCCGCGAACGACAGGATAACGAGGAGCACCAAGGGTGCCTGCGGCAATTACAATGTGTGAGGGACGGATGGTAATGTGGGTTCCAGCGCGATCGATTACAACGGTCCAGCGTTTGGATGTAGGGTCGAATTTTGGTGTGGGAAGAGGTCGAGAGTTGGTCCAGACAACAAGGTCGTTGGTTTCAGGATATTGCTCAAGCCATTGAGCAAGTTTGTCGCGGGGAGTAAATATTGGCCAGTTTCCGTGGAATGGTTGGTAAAGCACTGAGAAGATAGATGGAGGTGAGGTTATGAGAAAACAAAATAACACGCACTGCTAGAATGCGTCTTGACAGAATGCAAGGTCAACGTCGGATACCGTTCCCGCCAGTTATCTCCAACCCGCTCATTCTTCTCGACAACTATGGTCGGAATGTTCATCTGCTTGAAGCGGGAGGCAACATTGAGCCCAGTTTGTCCCGCGCCGACTGAAAATGACGAATGAACAAAAAAAGAAGAAAATGGCAAGTACAAAACGCACTTATGAGAACATGTGGATCCGTTTCAATTTTTTGGCGTCGCTCTCGGATGATATCCGTCCACGAAAGTGTGTGGCCGCCATACACCCCCCCGTTTCCGGGCCAGCCTCTTCATGGCCCCGAATGTCGACCAACTGCATCAACACGGCTACCGCCAGCCACTGCCCGTTTTCCGTCGCCACAAGCTGGACATATCCTTCTCCGGGCCCTACAGCGGTCTCGAAGATAAACCCGGCACCAAGGATGCGCAGTTGCGGGTTATACTCCGGACGCCGGAATTCTCGGTCATCCAGTGCAACTTTGCGCACGCCAGCCTTGAAGAGATTCGGTGCGAGGTATCCAGCGATTTTTTCCCGTCCTTCCAGAGAGCGGTTTCGCCATGTGAAGACGAGAATGTCGCGGAGCCAGCCCTCGGGGAGAAAAACACGCGGTGATGGTGTCGGTGTTGAGCGAAGCCAACGCGTCACTGAATTGGGTTATCCACGACCGGGAAATGGCGGCATGGTCGGCGTGCATGGTCATGAGCGGGATGAAGGCGGGAGCAGCAAAGTGGAGACTGTGGGCTGATATCAAGCAGTGGCAAGATGATGATGGAGAAGCCGACTTCGCGTACCGAAATCTGTTCAAAACGCGATTGGCTACTTGGGAGAGCACCCCCAAGGATTATGCAGGATAGTTGCATGGGGCAAACATGGACCGGTCGAGAAGGGATTTGCGAACTTTTGGACCCTGTCTGGAAGAATCCGAACAAGTAAATGGGTATGTACTATAAGATTTCGTGCTTTTAGTCGTCGCGTGTGCGAAAACTGGACTGGATGTAAAAGACATACTTACTTATGTAGAAGGCAATAGCAAGATGAATTGGTCACGCAATCGTGATAAGGCTCGCGTCCTTCTCAAGATCAAACATTATCTACAGTACACTTGACTATTACTCAGAAGAAGGGGCTCTTCTCTGAGATATACATATTCTCCTCAGGGTCATACAAAGGTGGCTGGACTGGTTCCACCCGTCTGCTCTGGCACAACTTGAGCTGCTGCTGAAGCCACCACTCTGCCGTCTTGTGAATACCCTCCTCGTATGACACAATCGGCGCATAACCCAACACACTTTGCGCTAGGCTGATATCATAGGTCCGCGTAGCGCACAAAAACTGCATGCGCTTGAATGCATTCGTTTTCTTGCCCCGGACGTTGTTGATCATGTCCACGAACCCAGCAGCCATGTAGATGGGTGTCTTGGAGATGTGGGTCGGGATTCCTCGCGGAAGCGACGACACACTGCTCCAAATATCGCGCAAGAAATCCCATAACGGGCGGGGAGATGCATCGGAAATGAAGAATGCTTGGCCGACAGTGGCTTTGTGGTTGGGGTGGACAGGCGAGAGGCGGTCAGCTGCCAATATGGCGGCATGGGCGATGTTATCGACATAGGTGCGGTCAACGAGATTGGTGTTGTCCCCAATTTGAAGGGTTGCTATGCCGGGTTTAGCCTGAAGTTCACGGATAGAGTTAGCAATGTTTCGTCCAGGGCTGGAGGTAAATGAGCACAACGTAACTCAAAAAATGGTGGTGGAAGACATACCCATAAGGAGCAGCAGGACGGATAGTCGCAGTTCGCAACGACTCGACGCCATTAAAGCTCAACACCATTCGTTCTCCCAATAATGCAGGCTCTAGCATATCGTCCCAAATCTTGGCGGGGTATTGAGCATCTGCTTCACGAAGCATTGGTTTGTGACTTCCATCGAAGACGATGTCGGCTTGAGAGATGTAGACCATCTGCGTTACGGTACTGCCGCCTTGGAGAATGGCTGCAAAGACACGACGCATGCCGTCCGTGTTAATCTTGCGGTGAAGGTCACGGAGGGCGTCAGACTGGGCTTTTCTCTGAGCGGGCGTGAAGAAGGGTAGAGGTCCCGCGGGGTAGAGAGCAGCTTGGCTTGTCGGTGTAACAACCATTCCACAGTGGATGATGCAGGTCGCCTCAGACTGCGACTTGTCAGCGAGGACGAGATAAGGAAGCTGGTGCATACTGCTACGAGGGCAGCCTCGAATGTATTATCCGCAGCGGTGAGATCTCCAACAAACGACTGGACGAAGCCACCAAAGCGGTTGTGCTGCTCGGGCGCTAACGGGAGGGCGTCATAGATGGACACCTTGCTCTCTCCACGAGCCAGGAGTTGTTGCACGACGACTTCTCCAAGGGAGCCCGCACCGCCAATGACGAGATAGGATTCTGGCGGGGCCATGAAAGTAAGAGCGAAGACGTGGGCAGTGCGTGGAAAGGTGACATCGCTGGCCTTCAGCGTTCAATCTGACTGTAATTAGATCTATGTGTTGGCGCTAAGAATAGTCTGCAAGGTTGTAGTGCAGAGGCGATTGACCTTGTTTTATGTGAGAGAACGAAAAGAAGTTCTGTTTGACGGATTCTGAGGTCTGGATTTGGGCCGCTCGACTTGCTTGAGTTTGCCACCCTTCTTGCAGCCGACCACCATCTCCCTCAATGCATCATCTGTGTTGCTCCAAGAATTCTTCTCCGTTAACCTGTTTTCGTCGCCCCTTACTTCTGCGACCTTGACCATGCACAAGCGCAGTTCAAGCACACGACATAGAGGATCTCAAGACATTCAATAGATTCAAGAAGTCAGACAAGTTACACCTCCGTTTGCCGCCAGCATGTCATATCCGCGCCGCCCTCCTCGTTTCTCGCCGCCACTATGACCCACTCGCAAACCGTCCACGCCCTAGTGATCCGGTCTACGGTTTTTGGTCAATTGTAACTGCGTTTTCATTATGTATCACGCCTAATGCTAACACGAAATTCAGGTTATCCTCGCAGCTCATCGGCATGCTTTTCGACTGCGTCTTGACGGGCGCACTGTTTATCCAGATGCGTGCGTGTCCTCTCATTCTCGCCTGAGCCTATTATTCAATGAATTTTAGTCGTCTACCATATCTGTTTCCCCAAAGACTCCGTCGCGTTCAAGACTCTTGGTGTGTTTGCCATCTATGCTCGCGAAAATATTCTAAGGTGTTATTATCAGTCTATGGGCTGCTGTTGCTCATGCTTGGTCGGCTTTGTCTGATAGCATACGAGGCCCAGTATTTCTATGCGGACGGCTTCGGCGATGTTGCTCGACTTTCCACCCAGACTCGACACCAATACTCTTATGCCTTGGTTCCCATAACAGTCTGCATTGTCCAGCAGTTCTTCGGATATCGTATCTTGTCCCTCGATCGTCGTTTGTGGCCAGTGTGCTTGCTTATAAGCTTGGTATGTCCCACCCGCCGACAGCTATATGGCCTATGCTCATTCCGGTAGCTCTCGCTTGGACAATGCTGTGTTGCGTATGTAGGACTTGGAATCGTATACGCGGGATCCCCAGCCTCACTTTTGAGCAAACTCGCGTTGGTCTCTAACCTTGTTCGAGCGTGGTACATAACCGGCATGTTGACTGCGCTCCTCAACACTGTAACGACGGTGATGGCGCTCCTCCGCTTGCGCAGTATTAACAGCCTCACAAAGCGAGCTGTGCAAAACGTCGTACGATTTACGATCGAGTCTAATGCAGCTTCGACTGTCGTCGAAATTGTTTCTTTGGCGCTTTTGCAGGCCTACCCAGTGCGTTATTTGAGCATATTATTTGTGTGGTTGACGGTAAAACGGCAGACGACGACATACTATGTCGGCACAAGTGTACTTCTCTCTGGCGTGTCCGTCATTGAAATTATCTGCCCTATTTATGGTTGACTCAAATATTAGCTACACCAACATGCTCCTCGCAACCCTCAATTATCGTGCCATTGTTCGACAACAATCTGCACCTCCGTCCACCGAAGCAACAGCCACCACAGCCCCATCCGTTCCCTCACGCCCTAGCACGCTCGTACAGCCCGCCACGGAGAAGGTTCATCCTCGCGACAGTGTCACTATCCGAAGCGGCTCCTCGGTAGGCTACTTTCCTACCTTTTGCCATTTCGAATTATCGACAAATCCAGGTTCCGACCGATGGTGGATCGACGCGTCAGAGTCAAGACAATTTGAAGCAGCGGCCTCAATCTGTACAGCAGCGTCCACTGAACAGCCTTCCCCCAGCGGAGAACTATCGCCCTGGTGATGTCGAAATACGTGTGGATCAGGAGCGGAGTAGTGTTGTGGATTAGGGTGGATGGAAATCAATGAAGTAAGTAATCTGTGTACGACTACTTCGACCGCAACAGTACATACTGTTCTGTTGAACAAATGCATAGGTAGGCCAGAGGTTCTCCACTATGAATGTATACTTTAGTCATCAAAATATACCATTCCTTATACGAAGCCAACAGCCACATACAATAGGACCTAGGTGATGGACCTACCATTAATTCGGGATGAACAGCGGAGGATGATCATGAGTGGATAGATGCAAGGTCAAGTTAGAACCCGCCTTGCTGAGCAAGCTCGTTAGATGGAGGTGAATACTCGCAGAGAATCGAGATGCATTGAGTCTGCCATGAAGCTGACGAGCACGTGCCACGTGGCCACTTGCCCTTGACGTGCTCTTACTTTTACTGCTTCGGCTTGAAGTTGTGCTTCTTGAACGCGATACCGCTTGCCGCGAAAGATGCTGCTCATTGATTCGGTCCGAGTCGCCGCAGGCCCGCCATCTATGTAGCTGGACTTGACGAGACCTCAGGCTGAACCCTCAAGTGCCAACTCGAAGAGAAACGTAAAGAAACCCTATAGACATAGGCAAAGACGGACGCGGCTTGTGGTATGTAATTCCAAACGGTCATCATAACCTACTTACTGGGCTTGTCCCTAGTACTTATACCATACTTCAACCGCTTCCTTGCCAACTCTCCTCGCCCTCCGGCAATGTTCTCAGATTGATCGAGTCCTTCGGATGGCCTAGTCGGTTTCATTGGCACTTTTTCTGGACCAATCGAACCTTCCGAGTCCCTTTTCAAGTTTAATCACCGTGGAGACTGGAAGGCTCTTCAGCGATTGGATTTGGGAGCATATCATCCCGGAATTCAGACCGCACCAAAAAATGCTGTCGACTTCCCCGCCATCGAAGCTTACAGCCGGGCCCGTTTGGCGAAAGTTCAATGAGCAGTAGAATTTGAGGCCTTCAAAACGGTCCTCTTCTAGCTCTGGATCTGGTGCTCCGCAAATATGTGTCAAGAACCATAAAACCACGAAAAGCTTGAATGCTTATGACAGCGCACCGTTCGCTGGCCTCCGTGGATCTCGCGCCAAATCGGGGTGAGAAACCCTCGTTCAAGAGTGACTATGAATGAAGGATTTAACGTCTCTCTTTACATGTCGGTTATTGCGCTCGTAACATGCGAGGTCCTCCTGACCATCGCGCCTAGATTGACAATGCAATTATCGCCCTCCTCCCATCTGAAATCCTGTCCTCTGCACCGACTGGTTGACATGTATCTGCTTCAGCCAAGGTTTTTTCTGTGGTTATTTGCTGGGAGGGGTTGTTTCTATTCGAGTCTCATATTGTCCCCAAAATCGGCGGTTGAGAGCTCGAAGGAAACGGACTTACTTTATCGTTTGATTTTGGAACAGCGATGGCGGAGACTCGGGGGCAGCGAAAGTCGAGAGGTCAGGGCATCCGACCTTATTCGGAATGCACAGCCTACTGAGATGCCCCAAGCAATGGACCGGTTTGATCACGTTGCTCAACAATGCGAGTGCTTCGACATACAAACTCACGTGCCCTCCTTGTCCTCCGCAACAACCTCTCAGTGCCTCTATTGTGCAATAGCACGATCTCGACACCTCCCGCGGGCCAGAGTGCGCCACGACTACGTCGCCTTGGCAGCAATCGGCTATTGTCCAAGAATCCATCGTGCCACCTTCGTCCAGAACGATCAACAAGAACCTTTGGTCTGTTTGAGTTGTAATTGCCCCTCGATCTTAACCAGCGCTAATGCCATCCTAGAAACATTTGTCGTTTCTTGTGGGGACCGATATAACCACTGCTCAGACCGCCATGAGCCGCGGGTCAAACCTTCAGGCATCTTCTTCGACCTCCAAAACCTACCCCGTGCCAAGCCAATATCTCTATGACTGGCTTGAACGGCTGCGCCATACCGAGCAGGAGAACCCTCACCTCCCAATCGACCAGCCATCGCACGAAGGCGACTCGCAGTCTGCGTTGGCTGGTGTTCCCGATCTCCCCCAACCATTAGACCAATACTCGCGCCTTTCGAGAGGTATTTTGCCCCTCATATCCTCTACCCGCGCCAATATCCATGCCGCAAAGAAGGCAGCACAAGCCGAAGTCGGGGCCTCTCGACATCGGCAGCGAAAACGCCGCTCGCGCCAGGTTCTTGCTGCTCCCAAGCCATTTTACAATGCCACCCCTGATCATGATGCTCGGGCTCGATGCCCAGAGGACTACATTGGCCAGCAAGAAATACCTTTGGTCCTCGGTCGAGAGGTTCCTTGTCTCCTATCGCTTGGGCCCTTCTCCCCGCGAGAGCAAGATGTGATTTTTGACATCGAATCCATCATACGGGCGACGGCGCTATGGCCGGAACAGCAACTGATTGTTGATATAATCCAGCTCCTTCGTTCGTCATATGCATCATCTCCGTCGCCCATGCCGACCAACGCGCCGAAAAGAGTGTACCGCAATAACGACGGCATCTGGCGGGCATTCGAGCCCCTTCGCGTGGCGGGATTACCTCAGATTGAGGCGCATGTCATGCAAAAGCGGGGGTGGCCAAGCAAAGCAGAAGTTGCCGACATTTTCATAACACTGAAGATGATATGACGGGTTAGAGACAAATATTTGTGTACGATTATGGATACGGATACTACCAGTCGGACAGACATAATTCGGGTTATTGAGAACTTGGGAGCGACTTTGCCGGGGCATCGATACAGCGAAACGCTTGTAAGGTATTCGCCATCCATCATGTGTAAACGTCACATGATATTTCCTTTCTAAGGCAATGTAGCTAAATCTTTCCCAATCTTTTATGGATTACTATTTGTACTACAAGGTGGCTAGATACAATTGCATAGTCTTCAAATATCTGAATTTGAGGTGAATTGATACACTTATGGGACAAGAATAGATAACTTTCTAAAAACCTGATATATCGTCACATTATAGTTGTAAGGGCAACCTCGCGAGGCTCGAAATCAGAGTCCTGAGCAGAGGGGGAATCCTTAGTGAAACTACTACAACAGGAAGGGACGCTACAGACTCACCTGAGCAGAGGGGGAATCCTTAGAGAACAAGCCAAGGAGCCCTCTGCTCAGGTGCACTACTATATACTAGTGACCGGAGTAATGATAGAGTGACTGCATAGCGACGAACGACGCATGGGAGAAGTCAGGTGTCGCTAATGGACCCTAGGTGAGTGTCGAGTAGCCCTCGAAGCTCCGGAGAGGCAGGTTTGGGACCATGATGCCAAGGGAAGAGCCCAGGCATCCTTAGAAGGCCCAGGAAGGGCTTCGGGGGGTCCAGACTGCCTCTGGGCGTCTCCACTTGTGACCGTGACCGTGACAACCGGAATCGGAATCGGAATCGATTCCGGGTGTGTGACTGTGACGTGACGGCCGGAAACGGAGAGGGGGGCAGGGAGCGGAGAGGGAAGGAGTCGGTCTAGCCCAAGGGCCGGGGAGTGTCGGAAAGGACCAATGGGAATGGCGGCCAGCCATGACCACTGGAGGGTAGCAACAGGAGGGTCACTCGGAGACGTCCCCGGACGTCTCCAGAGAGGTGGAGGTGTGAGGGCGTGCAGCCTGGGGCGCTGCAGTAGGCACGAGCCTTAACGGCAGTAGGCCTCACCCAAAGGAAGACCCGATGACGGGGGGCCGTGGTGGCGGAGTGGGGGCGGAGCCATGGCGGGGCTCAGCCATCCGAACATAAGCCCGAACGCTGACATAGGTTGGGGACACCCAAGAGGTCCAACAGGTAGAGGTTGCAGGGAGACCTTGATGAGCGACAGCCCAGAGAGGCTATAAGGCCATAGGCTCAAGGTCTCAGAGGAAAGTGGTGTGGCCACATCCGGAGAGGTCTCCGATGGCATTAGTGATCCTTGATGGTGACTCCGGAGAGACTCCCAGAAAGGGGTGGCCATGGGAGTTGGAGGTTGGGGACCACTGGATGCGGGATGTGGTGGGAGAAGTGGAGGAGGAGCGTCAGGGTGCAGGAATACAGAGACTCGGGTGGAGACACGGAGACGCGAGTGGAGACGCGGGAGACGTGAGCGGAGACGCGGCGCTTGATGGGATCAAGTGACGGCATCAGGGTTTCCCCTGACAATAGTAACATCGTAACATCTACCCTACGATAATAGAACTTGGTCAAAATTGTATTAATTCCTTAGAAATTTGGCAGGGGTGAAGGGAATATAATTGAGTCCCAGCTAGGAGCTAGATCTGAGAATTCATAGAGGATTTGTGGCTACAGAAAGAGAATATCTTAGAAAGGAAATATCATGTGACGTTTACACATGATGGATGGCGAATACCTTACGTCAGAAGTCCTTGGACTGATATTCATCGTGTCACTGTCACGTCACACTTGTACTGTTTTCTTTTTCTTGATGACACCAAATCTTCCTTTCGAAATCTGCGAGACCATCATCGATTATCTTTCGTATAGATCGGCCGACCTTTGTAGCTGGGCTCTGACATGCAAAGCCTTCGCCATTCGCGCTCAGTCTCACCTTTTCAAGTCAATATGCATCCCAGCATCCAAATCAACGGAACCACACCCTCTTCTCTGCGCTCTGCGCTCTTCGCCTTATGTCTCTGGCTTTGTCCAGTCTATGAGCATTGAACTGAATCTAAACACCGACACCTTCGCATATCTAGCGCAATGTCGTGCAGGCTGGCCGCGGCTGCAATCACTTGTCCTACATCCTGTTTTCTACCATCCCGAAAATCACGAAAACATCCATGCGGTTCTGTTGCGAGCACCGCTTCTCCATCGTCTCGATATAACCTTGCCTGCGACCGTCGACACCAGCGCAACAGTATACGCAATCCTCTGGTGTTGCTCTGAGAGTCTTCGCGTTTTGGGTCTGCGCACAGTGTTGTTTCCAGAGTCCCATTGCAAGCCACAGACGCACGGACCACCACGGGAGCCATCGACATACCCCAAAATACAGGAGCTCACCATCGCCGATCCGTGGCATATGAACGCCATCATGGTGCTCGCACAGCCCGAGTGCCCGCTCGACTTGGGCAATCTGCATTCGTTGCGCTACTCTTCCCATTGCGTGACAAACCCAAAATTGATATCGTCTTTCAACCGTCTCCTGCAGAAAACTACCAGCCTTCACCATCTCCTGGTCAACAGTTCTGGCGAGTCCCGTCCCGCTCTTTTTCCATTGCATCTGCCAGGCTAACTCACACATTCTCAAGATGAGCTGAAACTCGACACATCTTCCCTCCTTCTATTATCCCACATTGAAACTGAAGATTACTCCGATATCGCTGCCATATTAGCCCAGTTCCCTGCTGCCAACTCCCTCGCAGTAATAACCATCCACACCTCTATCATCGTGGACGACTGGGCGCAGGATAACCTTGGGCACGGTGGGGAGGTGCTCAACACACTTCCGGGATATGCAGCCAGATTGCAAGATGTTGTTGTCGTTGGGGACCGCTTTCCGAAGCTCGAAAAGGTCATACTCAAGATCAAGCCATATGATGCGGACGACAAGCTGCCCATCACGCTCGAGGATATGAAGCACCAGCTAGAGGAGGCGTTTTCGGAACTCCACAAGCGCGGGCTGCTGTTTGTGCAGTTTCCGGAGATCGTCTTGATTCAAGATTCAGATTTGAAAACTTGACTATACTCATGAGTAGGCAGTGATTCTTCATCTTCTCAACACTCGTATACATTTATGCATTCATTGGACCAAATAGATACTCTAGTCCAGTCAAATACGACCTTCAAACTTATTCCATAATGGTAGTACAACCCAGCTCCGGAAAACCGGGTCATAGAGACCCGCGTGCAGTAGAGGATCAAGCCATTGTGGCACAGTGAGCGCGAGCCACGTCCAGAGCCAGAGAAAGCCACCTATCTTCCATCCCCAGGCGGTGTCCCGGATAATTTCGGCCCGGTAGATCCGCCGGCCCGCGCGGATAGCAAAGTCCTCCAGTGTGATGCCGACGGCTTGGAGAAGGAAAAAACGTAGCCCGCCGCCGGCAGGGGGCCAGCGACCAAGGGCACCGTATTCCGGCAGCACGTGCATGGTCCCCGAGAGGAAAAACACGGCGAAGAGCTGTGTATATGCAGACGCTTTGGTCCCGCGTTGCAAACCGAGCAGCCGGTGGGCGAGCCAGCGGGCGTGCGCGGTGAGGAACTGTCGAGGAGAAAGTTTTCATTGGGCGAAACACTACAAAGAAAGAGGCTCACCCAGCGGTTCCTCTGGTGCCACCATTTCCCCCAGAAGTTCCTTATACTGTAGAGTAGCATTGGGGAACTTACCCTGATCGGACTTCCGCGCGAAGGTAATTCGAGTTGTTCGAGGCGCTGGTTTACAGTCTCTGCCCCTGTCATTACCATATATACGTCGCCGATGGCGTTGGGAAGGACTGTGGTAAGCAGGACGAGAGGGACACCGAAGAGAAGGACATTGGCATATCGCTGGACGAGAAAGCTGCCTGCGAGACTGGGGAGTGACGCAATACGAGTGTGTATCTTGTAAAGAGCGGGCGTTTGCGAGAGATTATAGACATTAATGAGCTCAGCGACGAGCAGAGCGGAAAGGGCAGTTAATGTTCGCTGCAGAGCAAAGAGCCATTTCGATGGTGGTTCCGCTTTCCGGGCCGACGCGGCTAAGCGTTTCTCCCCCACCGCGTCCCCGCTAGCCAGCTTCGCCGCCCACTCCATCCTCTGATTCGTGCCCACCGCTTCCAACCTTAACCCCAGCTCGCGTTCGACTGCGGCCCTCGTCCGCCCGGGATCAACCAACACCTGTTCCGCCGCGCCGAACAGCGACATCCACACCCCCGAGCTGAAATGGAACCCAAGCAGTCCGTGTCCAGAGACCTTTTGTGTGGCCAGTGTGATTGCGACCAGCGGAAGAAAACAGGCAATGCGCCAGCGAAGCGCGAGCGGCGATGGAGACAACACAGCGGCCACAGCGCACGCGTACAGCCCTAAGAATGCCAGCGTCAAACAAAAATAGAAGACGGTCCAGGCCAACGCGGGGCCCTGCGCGAACTTGAAAGCCATTGGAGAGACGAGAAAACAAGATCGTTATCACCGGAGAACTGGCAGTTCTATATTTAAGACGGCTGCCTCTAGATGTCGGAGAACTACTGTACGGGATGAAACGAGGTCGAAGCCTCAAAATTCGGCCCGGCGGGTGCAGAGGTCCAAAATAGAATTGTCTGCCAATGGTTAATCTCCATATAGGCAATGGCCCCGTTCGGGTTAGGTGGGACCCTTAATATTTCACTCTGAGTCCCTTCTTGTTAGTCATACGATTGACCAGAGTATGGGCGGGCGATAATGGACGAAGGCAAGAGGAAGGAACAAGGAAGGAATGACATGCAGATCACTGACAGATCAACGCACACCTTTTCTCAATTGAACCCTCATCACATCTGCTACCCCGTTTCGCGCTGCCATGAGCTCACGAAGCGATTCGCAGTTCTCTCTGCCCTCATGACCCCAAACATGGGGCGATTCACAATCCAGACAATGGCCTCTTACGTGGGCCTTTTCCGGCACCGAGTGCAGATGGGGGTTGTTCGTACAGGAAACATATGGAAATGATGGGATGTTGCGGCGAAGTTGTACGCCTTCTTCTTCAATTGTTTGTCTAATTTTAAAGACTAATCATAGTTCCCCGTATGAAACCAGCGCTCTAGCGCTGACGCAGAAAGACCAGCAGGCGGCAAGCCTGGCGGTGAAGCCGTGGCTGCTCGCATTCCTAATCTATGTTGTGGTTGCGATGTTGACCGCATACTTGGAGAAGCCTCTCCTGCGTTTGCCTGTGGTGATGCTGCAGGCGTTGGCAAAGACGAGGAGACAGAGCTTGTTGACGTCGTCGGGCAGAATGGCGACGCCGCAAAGTCCTCCCCGCTGGGAGTTTCTGCACTCCAGACGCCACCCCCGTCTTCCCTGCCCCCCTTTTCTGCCCCCCACAACCGCGATAATAACGATGATTTTCCACTGGACGACCCTGATGGTGGCTCGGGCAGAGAAGTCGACTCTTTCTGGGAATGCTGTCGACTATGCGCATTGCTGTCGCTAGCAATCAGCCACGTTACAAACAAAAACGAAGAGACCCTCTCGTACTTTCGAGCCACCAGATCGTGGAGCAGGGCAATATCATGGTCATTGAAAGTCATCGGCGGCTCGGCGGGCAAGGTGGCAAACAGAAGGTGGCAAACAGAAGCTGGTGGGGTTGGGAGGAGCTTTGTCCAACATGCTTGCACCTTTTATGCCTCTCTGTAGGTTGCTTGGTCGTCAAAGCGAGGGTCAAAGCGCATCGACGACACGTCAAAGCAGTGGCCAATCAGATCTGCTAGTTTTCTGGTATCTATTTTGATCCTCTAAAACTATCCATGGTATATTGGGCCTTGCTCTACCTCACATGTACAAGTATGCGTGTTTGTATACATGTTTTTCTCCGAGTCTGTGCTGAGTACACCGGAAAGCGTGGGAGAGTATCATGATTGCCGAATTCGGCCAACAATGTCAATGTTGTTGTTTCCCGAATCGTCAACAAAGCGCAGACTCTCGCCTCAACGTATATAGCCCAGCGTAAATTTACGAAGTCGCACCGAGCTAACCATACATCTGCTCTACACCACCTTCAATCACCCCATTACAGTCACGAAATTGAGACCCACAACTCAAACTCACATATCGATATGCGAGGAATCCTCCGCCGCCCCAGCGACACCTCCACTAGGACGAAATCCAGCGACAGCTCAACGATTTACCCGTCTTCCTCACTCCGCTCGTCGTTGGACTCGTCCTCCCTCAGTGGAACGCTTGTTGAGTCAGACTCTGAACAGTCATCGATCTCGTCGTTCGGCGTGCGTTTGCCACCACAATGCGACGGAAACACCCCGAGGACCCGGGTCGTGTCATTCGACGACAGCCAGCTCAGCTCAGACACCCATGCATGTCTCCCTCGGCGCGCAAAGCTCGGCCATCAGCTCGGTTTTGTTTCACCCCAGCGCGAGAAGGGCGAGTGGGCCGTATTCAAGGCAAGCAATTCGAGCGATTGATTCACTGCGGTTGGTTCTGATGTTCCCTCGTCTCTAGCGCCCGAATGGCCGGATTTTCAAACTCGACATCCTCAGTCCCCTTGTGCCACCCAACGTGAAAAATAACAGCCATAACAACAACAATACTAGTACTCATCGCCGTGCTCGCTATCGGGCCGGCAATCCAACGCGTCGCGACCGCCACACGGCAAAGTTGAATCAGAAGCCCGAAGCCATCGATGGCTATAACGATGCGCAGCACAACTTGAAGAGCGCGAATTCAGTTGGGGTTCAGGGCTCCGCCAGTGAGCCGAAGGATAGCACATTGCTGCTGTCCGGTCGGCAAGCAGCACACAAGCTACGCAGTAGGGTGCACTATTTCCACCGCAAGTACGTGTTTCCTTACTCAATTTCTCGGGCTTATTCGATATTTATTATCACAGCATCGTCGGCGCGAAACCTAAGCTCCCGGTCACGCCTTCGAGCCCGCGCAAGCTAGTGCGGAAGACGACCGCCTCGCCACCATCGGATGCGCGAATGATCGCCCTACCTCCCCTTGACTTCGAAAGAGTCGGTGGCCCTTTTAGTCGCCTGCCGACCACCACTGGCGGAACCGAAGCCAAACCACGATATTCGGCAAGCTTCAAGTTGAACCTTAAGCGCGGATCAGGACCCTCACCGACGTCTGGCCCATCACCTTCCCAATCCGCCCCATCTCCTCCGCCGGCCTGGTCGCTTTCCCAGCAGAAGGCGCATCTCGGCACTCGACCGAAATCCGCGATGCGAACGTCCACCACCAACACCAGCCATCGCCGTATGCTTGCCCAGCCATATCCCACTCGAAGAACGCCAGTCAAAGTCCGATTTGATTGCGCTACAACAACAAAGGGTGAAGCTATAGGACACAGACGAGCTGCTGCAGTACGGAGGAGTGCGATACAAAGTTGTGCTTGAAAGTTCAGTGCTAGAATAATGTAGTGATGCTTCCGATATCGATAGTATTCAGTGGTACCAGCGTCCCACTCCGCGAATCCGATATTTGAAATGGTCCGTTATTTGAATAGTGGTACTCCGTTATTGTTGTTTCTAGCGAGGCTTCGACCAGCTCACCACTTCTAACGAAGATCAGTCAAGGCCTCGGAAAAGAACTTTAAAAAAAGTGAAACAAGCATACTTACCTCGTCTAGAATTCCCAATGCATTCCTGGCTTGAGTAGAAGCTCGTCATCTTCTTCGTCTTCCTCCATCACAGCCTTCTCCTTCCCTTTGATGCTCGGCTTCTTAAAAGTCACCGGCGAAGTGATTAACCCCGAGCCTCCAGACAAGAAATCCAGCTCGTCCATCGAAATCATGGGCTGAGAAAGGGACACACGCCGTTGGGACCGCGGTTTCCGAATATGAACAGGCGAGGGCGGTGCAGCAACGGCCCAATCTTCTGCACACCATCCATCCAACTCCTCTCCTTCGTCAACCTCTCCCAAACTACTGTCAGCAGTGTTGTCGCGGTCAAGACTGCGAGCGCGAGTTGCAGGTGGTCCGATGACTGTGCCGCTACGAGTGCGACGGGCTGGGGCAATGGGGACTTTGACAAAATCTGATGCACGAATTGTTCCTCTGCGATCACGACCTTTGGGTTTGTTATCGGTAGATGTTGGCTCAGGTGCCGAGTCCAGTGAACGAGTACGGTTGCTCAAGCCACCCTTATTTGATCCTTGTACTTCGTCATAAGTTGTGCGCCGCGGAAAACAGTAAACGGAACCAGAATCATACCTATGGCTAATCCATCGAACATGTGCTTCAGCTCGACAGCAGGTGGTGCATCGTTGAAAGCTTGGCCAAGAGGTTCCTCGCTGAGATTGAGAGAAAACTCGTCCTCCATGTCGAAATCGTGATCCTTGGCGGGAGACTGCGTATATCTCGGTGATTTGTTCCATTCTTGCGAGTTTGGGGGTGAGATCAGACTATCGCTAAGCCAGGGACTACGTTCTCTTGGTATATCTCTCAGCTTCGGTCCGGTAGAAGTTGTCGGGTCCACATCCATGACATCATCGAAAACATCTTCGTCTGTGTCGAAATTAGGGGGTGGTGCGCGATATGTGCGGGCTGGTGTTGATTCGCCTTGTACATCATCGAAGAAATGTTCACAGTCGCCATACATGGAAAGAGACGAGGGAGGACGGTTGAAGTCAACATCAGTTGGGAAAAAGAAAGGGTTCGAGAATGCGTTATGAAGCTCGATGTCCAAGTTGCTCAGCATATAGTCATGATGGAGCCAGTCAGCAGGACGCGGCGGGCTCGGGGCAGACGGACGGCGAAGTCGATTGTGGTTGTGTGTTGGTGAGTTTGCGGTGCTTGCACTTTGCTGTACATTAGGATTATAGTTAGTGTCAGAAAGAGTGCGCTTGAAAGTCTGCTTTTCAGGAGAAGAAATCGTTTTCTGGGGAGACACAGCAGCAGAACCGGGACGACTATTGAAGGGACTATCGAGAAATTTGCTCTTGTTGTTTGTGCGACGTGTTGTTGCATTTTCTTTATGATTGCGGGACGATGTGCGAGAGTGAAGAGTGCGAGGAGGAGGAACGAAAGGCGAGACTTCATCTGGATTGACGGGACGGGACGATTTGAGCTTAAATTTCTGCTCTTCGGTTAAAACAGAAGGATGTGGTGTTTCGAATGCCGAGGAAGTAGGAAGAGTCGGGTTTGGCGATGGTACTGAGAGAGAGAGAACTTGGGAGGAGCGTAGTCGTTTGGAGAGCGGTAACTCTGGATTCGACGAGCGACGTGAGCGCTTGAGCCGACTAGAGAGCTCAGCATGTGTGAGGTAGTGATCTTCGTCATCATTAACCGCGTCTGGGAGAGGAGAAGAAGCTGAAACTGCTGAAATGGCTTTGGCGCGGTTGCGTTTGTGAGCGTAGGTGGTCTGCTTCCGTGTGCTAGGAGCCATCGCCGGCGCAGAGAGTCAGCTAAAGAAGTGGGCTGCTCCGTACACACAGACTGAGCCTAAGGCGGCAAGACGGGTCGCGACAAGCAATTCCGTCGAAGAGAAAACCGACGCCGTGACGTCACCGTGACCGTGACCGTCACCATGATGATGTTTCTGTTCCTCTCAATGTTCAGCCCCGTACCCCACACGCAAGAACAAAGCCTTGAAGCCCTCCGGATCGTTACCCTAAAACACCAAATCCGGTAGACTTACTGTTCCAGGTACGGAGTATAGTGTAGTGTCACTTCGCTCGCTTGGAACAAAAAACAACAGGAAGGTCCCACAAGAACCTCACAAGAGCAGCCAGAATCTCTCAAGCTCTCATGAAAGCATACAATCAAACCTATGTCTTCAAGTTTTCGCGCCTGGTGACACTTACACATGGGCAGCTGATACAGTCTTATGACAAGGACGACTGCGTCAGCATCCCAGTTTTTTCGAAGCATATACGCGGAGCAAAAGTTAGGTTCGAGTGGGATTCGCGACCATGCGCCTACTTAGTACTGGCATCTCGTTTTGCACTCGGTCTTCAGATCGTCCGCGCTGCGCAGCCATTAGTAACAATCAAGCGACAATGGCATGGTGAGTGACATCGAACTATGAAGAAAGGCAAAAACTGCTGACTGAGCCAAGAGTAGTCGACTTCCCCACCGCAATCAAACGCTTTTTTCTTGGAATCCCGTTCTGAACAACACCCACCGGGGATCTTCGTCCGCGTCCGCCGCGTTCGGTGTTAGTACATTCATTGTGTTCATTGTGGACTTAGGTTGCTCAATAATTTCGCTTGAAACACGTCTTTTGGAAGGCTCTATGCCCCGGCGTATGACCCACATCGCTGGTCTCGGTTTGCTTCGGCCTTTGTGAGCGTTCGAAGTTCGGTTTACTGGCCAAAAGATTTTATCTGATAACTCGAAGACGAAACTCGATTTGCCTTGAACTCGAAAGACTGCTTGACCCCGAATCGGGTCAATATTAAAGGTTTAAAGTATGGATTTGCGGAATCTCGGTCCGGAAGTCTAGTGACATGCCTTGGCGATTGTTTCAGTACATGGTGGTCCGGTAGGTTGTCAAAACCCACGACAAACCTGTCCCGCATTGTCCTGCAGGCGTGGATGGAAGTGTAGGTATTTCAGGTCATTGTCAAGCTTGGGTTGACCGTCGCTAACAGGGCGACTTCCGTTCCAACGGCTCTAGGTTGTGAAGGCTTCCATCGATAATGGGAAGTCCATTGTCTTCGTTTCTGTCAAATGCGTGGAGCTCTGAGGCTATTCATGTTATCGACCTTGCGGTGCCCCAGTTACCGGCTTGCCTCTTTGGGGTTCCTGGAGGGGCAGAGCATTGCAAGACGCACGATCCTTGAATCTGGGTTTACGAGACCAACGCGTAGCCTTGCATTGGATCCAGGAAAACATTGTAAAACTTGGCGCAATCCAGAGTAAGGGCTTATTCACACAGAGTTACCGGGTAAAACTGAGACAATCCAGAATAGTGACGATCATAAGGCTATGTGAATGCTTGTGTCCTTGTTACGATTCAAGCTCGCTGTCTGGAGCTGCTCCAAGGCTCTCGCACACATCAATATGCTCAATGTAACGATCATTCGTTTAATCAGGCAATTGCTGAGCGGTACCGGTGGTGGCAATTTCAGTCTCGCCACAGCCTCCTCACTCCAAAATACCTTCAGTGGCCTGATTTTCGCCGCATCTGGCTCATCAACAAGCACCCAATCGGAAGCCGTCCAGCTGGCGTGCATTCGCTCTGTTCCCATCGACGAGTCCCGTCAGAATTCTGTAGGGACGACTGGAATCGTGTTCGGTGGAGACTTCATCACCGCTCTCGGCACCTTTGAAGCACATCGAGCAGGAAGATAGGCCAAGGCTACCTTTATCGCTCGTCTCGATGTCTCGCTTTGACGCACAAATGTTGCCAACAGTACCTTTGTTTTCACTGACAGGCAGTAATACTGACGAGGAAGCTTCTATGTATTTGGCGTCAAGATTATTGCTTAATGCCTGGCGTCCCGCCCTGGCTCCGAGTCGGAAACCAAACTCTGGACCTTTCTTCGGCCGTACCTGGCTTATATCCTTTGACCCAGGGATACTTCTAGCCCCCTGGGTCATCGCACCGAGCATCTTGAATAAACGAGTCGCGGTAATAAATGCCAGTGGTGATATCTCCATGGCTGCGTGAGTCTACGTCCGAAAGTCGACCGAGGCTAACGGCGTCCAGTGGCCCACGTTGACTCGCGCCGAGCGTGTCTTCTTGGGTCCCTTTCTGGAAATACCGGTGGATATGCCTCTACCGTCCCGAATTCTCCACACTCAACCACGTTAGTTTTAATCATGTTCCATGGTCAATCAGCTTCTCCACAATCGACGGCATTGGGCACTGTATGGAGGTATTCGATATCTCGACTCTCGTCTGTTATAGACAGATAGAAGTTATTATCAGGTTTCGTATGCGTTGAATCTACAAGACAACGAGCGGATTAGCTCCTTCAAGTTGGTGATGAGTTACAACACAATATCTGAATGGCTCCATCTCGTAGCGCCACCTTCTGGATCGAGAATCATTTCGCGGCGACCTATCTGGGACAAGGCGCACCGATTGGAAACCGTTTTCTGGGCATGTCTCTGTCGCGAGCCTGGGCAAGTTTCATTTCAAGCTGCGACTAGCGATCCCAAAGCTGCCAATGGTGAGTTCAACATCTAGTTCGGCGGTTAGACCATCTAATCCGGCTTTCAGTCGCAAGTAAAGTCAATTGGCCCAGATATTCCGCCTCGCAGGCGCACCTGGTTTGGCAGCACAAGGGTCGATTACAGAGAAAGACGTGGGTGTGATTTGCCTTTCTGGTAGCGAAAGTCACTCAGACTTTCCGTCAGAAGAGGATGCAGTTTATCATCCACAACGTACTCTTCTGAAAGCTGTGCATCGTAGATGCCGAGTCGATCCAAGTAATCGGGTCACCCTCCCGCCAGCCGTCTTTCGAGTAGGATGCCTTTGACGTGGCCGAGTTGGTGCCCGAACTTCAAGAATCGTCCAAGACTCTCTTGGCGCCCTTCCAATGTCCTCGGACCGTATTCGATTGGATGAACATCGGCTGCGAAGCCTCTTCTCGAGCAATCGACGCCTTGTACAGCTGGATCCTGTCTATCAGCTGGCAGGCGGCCTGGAGGAGACGGAATCGAACTCGAACAGTGGGATTGTTGGCCCTGCTCCCGTTCCGCAGGCCCACAGGCGCTTGATTTTGCCTTTGCTCTGGTTACCACTGGTTATGTCATACCCATCTGGCAGCTGCCAATCAGCATAATGCTCGATGATCCGGCGTCCCTCATCCGCTTCCCTCCGACGGCGATGTTCTCACTCTCCAGCCGTGCAACTCGAGGAAGCCATGCCAGGTCGGGGCAGTGCATGTCATGATTTTTTATCTTCTCGCCATGTTAAGTTCCCCCGAAATTGCCGTTTCTTCGCGCTGAAACTCCCACTGTGTTTGGAGCCCAGCTCCAGAGATTAAGGCAACCAGTCCCTGGATGTATATGCAGGTCGCCGAATGCGGAAGTCGTTGAACATGTTCCTGTCACGTTGGCTTTGTGCGACGCATCAGGTGTCATCACGCCTGCTTGGCCATAACATGACCGAGAAACCAGCGAATCAACTTAAACGCCGAAAGCATATTGTGGGGCAAATCGGATGGCTTCGCGGTCCTCGGTTTATTCAATATTCCACGCTTCTCGGTTCCATCAGGTCGCCATTACCGGTCATGCTCCAACTGCAAGCGAGCGGAAAACGTCGAACAAAAAAGACGTCGTACACCCGCGTGTCTGCAAAGACACAGTGGCCAGCGCGAGAAGAGAGCCATCTTTACGAATCGAACTATATATTTGACTTTCAGCGACGGCCGTGCGTGTAACTATGGTCTCTTGGTGAAAACGTGGATGGATTCCGAGGAATCTGAAGTGTTCTATCTCTCCTGTCGTTCATCCGTTCTACATGGCCCGAGGGCGTCTTCTCGCGAAGTCTCCGCGATGCCAAGACATTGCACCACCAACATCCTACAAAAAGGCGCCTTCGACAGGCTATGCTATGATCTAATGCCGTTCTCCTCTCTCTCTACCAAATCCAACTCTACCAACGGAACTGAAGACGGCGCTGGCGGCGACCACCGTAAAAAGTATGTCGAGCTTGGTTCTAAGCGCCTCTTCAACGAGCTCAATGTTATTCTAGGCGTCGCAACCGCACTACTCAGTCCTGCATTAACTGCCATGCAACCAAGCGTATGGTTCGTCCGAGTCGTCCATGTGCCGGTATTCATAATTAATTCTCCCCGGTAGTGTGACAGGAAACGTCCCTGCACTCGCTGCACCCAGCTGGGCCTGACCGGAAACTGCGTCTACGAGGTAGACGACAGGGAGCGCGAGCGGAATGCACTAGCAGCAGCTGCCGACAACGGGGGGAAAACCGATGCATCGACCCTCCCTGCCCTTGCCAGCGATGTTTCTCATTTGCGATCTCGCATTGCCGAGCTGGAAGGCGTCATCCGCGAGGTATAATCTATCCTCACCGGTAGCCTTTCGAGCTTGACTTCATTTCTAGCTGAAGAACAAGCCACACCCACGATGGATGACTACTTCGCCGCAGCAGATCCAAACTCCTGATACGCCCCCCAAGACACCATCGTCACCGACTAGTCTTACATTGCGCCCAGCTTATCCCCTTCAGAGCGCACGCTTCGAGTCCACGCCGCCGCCAGACGATGTCGACCCCGCGCTCGATTCACTCCTGAAGTTTTTCATGTACGACGGGTTTGACTCCCCTTTCGCGGACCACAACATGCGGAGATGCGGTTGTGCCACCGAGGGCGCCTGTTATAGCGCTCTCATCGAGCTATCGTCACGGCTACGCGACGCCAAAGAAGCGCTGGCCCTTTCTCCCAGCCATATGGGCTCAAGCTGTCGATTACACTCTTGTATCGACGCCATTGACCGTCTCATAAAGTGAGTTATTGTCGTCAAGATCTTTGCTTCACATACTAATGATCCACCTAGTAACTCCCTCCTCCGTGGCAGCCCCCCGAGTCCGCAAATAATGGGCCGGGCAACTCCGACGAACCCATACGCTAATTTCACCACATATGGGAACCAATTCCAACTCGTCCCTGGGAGGACGCCTATGGGAGGGTACGACGCTTATGGGACCTATGAGCAGGACGCGTTCATGTCATGGAACCAAGACCGGATACCGCAGCGTTTCGCGTAGTCGGGCCAGATATAGACGGTTATTCAGTTTATTTGCGTCGGTGCCCTCGATCCTTCAACTCCGCCTCTCACGAGCTGCGACACGGGTTTACCCAGGCGCCGTTTCCCACTGCCGATCTATCATTATCATGATTCGCGGGTCCACAACCTCGGAACGCGATTATCTCATTATTATCAATCTCGGTGTAGACAATTAGATAGTATGAAATACGAATAACGTTGCATACAAGTGGGTTAACAACTTAGCAAAGCTTAGTAAGGATTAGGGTACTGACCAAGTTCAACTTGGAACTACGCAGACACTCCAAGTGATTATGGCGCTCAACTTGGAAAGTCTTAGTAAGAATTAGGAGACTGACCAACATCATGATGGCAAGACTCAATCTCTTGGACGATAGACTTCAACATTTGCATTTCAGCTACAACAGCACCCAGCCCAGGAAAGCAGTAGGACAGCACAAAAGGAAAATAAAAGTCGCAGAACTACGCCACGCTCTGCGAGGCGACACATGCGAAACTCGTCAGCTAGATTGGTGATTAATTAAGATAAAACGAGAGCAGGGCACAAGAATGCACACCTTGTCGTTCCATGGGGTTGTAGTCGCAAGACCGCCAGTATCGTCGCCGGGGAACGTGAATGACCATTGAGCATTGCCCGAGTTGCAGTCGCCGGACCTGTGAAAGGTGTGTGTCAGAGTGGGTAAAAGGCGAGATGAGATGCTGCGCACGCAAAAGCTAAGTAGAGGCAAAGATCAGCGGCGACCAAGGCAACTCGCGGCAAACACTCACCGAAACACGTGGCGCCGGGGTCAGGCCCGAAGCTGGAGATGGTCTTGAGCCACGGGCTTTCGAGGAGGATGCACTCGTTTAGCGGCTGGACGGCATATCTAGCAAGATAATCAGCAATCGGTCCTGAACGAGCGCTGATAACCACGCACCCGCAAACGCCGCCCCATATCGTATCCTGGCAGATAAAGGTGCCTCCAGGCTTCTGCATACGACATCAGGAATGCTGTCGCGACAGACCAAAATACACACGCACCCCAATGGCCGAGGAAACGGCGAGGTTGTTTGTCGTTGCAAGTGCAGCGGGGGCGGACTCGAATCCAGCAGGCGGGGTAAACGACCCTACAGACTTGCCGAACGAGCTCGCAGGGAGTATCGTCTGATTCCACCCCAACGCAATCTTCCAGTCTTCGACAACCGGCGTAACCGCAGCAGACGCGATCCCGGGAAGGCCTAGGGCGGCAACAACGGTGAAGAGAGATCGCGAGAGACGCATGGATGGAGGGGCAAAAAGTGAGAGAAGGAACTGGTCGGGCGTCGAAGCAGCATCGCCAGCAGGAACGCGAGGCTTAAATATACGTGACCAAGGCAGCTGATGACATCCAAACGTCAAATAGGGTAAGCGTAGCCACGGCAACCCTTTCGGCGTTTTCGTTTAGCTCTTGCTCACCGTTTTTTTCTGCGTCGGCTCGGAACATTTCCCTGGTACAACTCAGAAATGGGTGTTCAAGCCAATCGTTGAACCGACACAAAACCAGCACACCTGGGGACTGGCGCCGCAAACTTCAAAGCCGCTCTGAGACCGGCATTGCATTTACACGGTCATGGGACTGTCACTCTGTTGCCGCATCTGCAATCGCATGTGTACGAGGCCGACGAATCAGCTCTCTCCAATCCCGAAGACTCCCAGAACCTGTACCTCGCGAGGAACCTTTGTCAGTGTAAGTGTAACAGTTAACTGCCTTTAGCCTAACTCGTTAACTGCTCAGGCTGATCAAGTACTACTAAAACAACAGGCAGAACTTGAAAAAGCTCTGCTATGGAAGTTAATCTGATCCCAATCTGATCCTCAGAGGCTAATTGCAACAGCGAATCAGCGCATCCGGAGAGTCTTCGGATTGCCATCCTCAAATTAGCACAGCCTCCGACCTGGTGTTTACTGCTAATAGCGATGCAGAGTCGGCATGCGCTCGAGATACTGCCTCCGGAGCAATGGGAAGCAGTCCTGCTGGAGTTCGGGGTAGATGACCTTCTTGGCCTTTCCCGTGTTTGTGCGACATTTAGCGAACTCAGTGTCCACATACTTCAACGACAACGGGATGTGTTTGGGGGAGGGTATGCAAGCCTTTCGCTGCTTCGGATCTTCGCGCTTTATGCGCGCTCTCACCGTCTTCCCATGGAGCGAATCAACCTTGTTCTCAAGCCCAGCGTCCATGTGTTCGAGGTATTAGACGAAATCATCCAACGCGCCTCGCAGCTGCGCCAGATAACCCTGGCATTTACTCTGGATTTACTGTCATTGCACCAGCTCAACACACGAGACAAAGCCGAAACCAGCCACACGTTGACGCGGATGCTCTCCCGTGTCGCCCAACGCGTACATGGCGCCGTCATCGTCACGTATCCGGGCCAAATCTACAGGATTGCCTGTGCCCCGACAGACCTCGCCCAATGGGAGCTCCACCAATTCCATTTCGACCCTCCCAACCTATTCGAGGCGTGGCTTATTCGTAAGCGCTCAAAAGGGCGCCTCTATCCGCAATACGTTCCGATCCGGCGGCAGAACCAGCATCGCTTGCACTGGGTCACTCCTCTCACATCGCTCCAATCGGTCGACCTCCAGCTGCTCGACTCGCCGGAAACCGGGCCGCCACCAGTGAGCCTGCTGCACTTCAACAAGGAGGCGGTGAGGGGGTTTACCAGCTGGCTGCCAAGCGCCACGTCCTACGCGCATGTTCTGCGGCACTCGCATTACCCCTCCCTCGAGACCCTCCGGCTGGAGTCGCACCTTTCTGACCAGACCGCGCTTCGCCGCTTCCTTGAAAACCACCCCCAGTTGCACACCATCGAGTTCCGCCCTAAACGCCCACCCAAGGAAGCACGTGCACTCCAACTTGAAGTCCCGTCACACCCGCTCGTCGACCCGCCACTCGCCCACCCCAGCCTCGTCGCGCTCACGTGCAACAGCAACGGATGCGGTCGCGTGCTCGAGGGTCTTCTGGGCTCCCCCAAGCTAACACAAGTCAGCTTCGCCCTCGAGGCCCGCGCCGCGCCGTCACGCATCCGCGCATTCACACGAGAGCTCCAGGCTCTTGCCGCGCATTCCGCCCCCGGCACTATCGCTCGCATCACTTTTCGCCTCGCGCTCCAGGAGCCTGCCGGCACGGGCATCAAATATCGCATCAGCAAATTCCACCCATTGCGCCAGACAACTCAGGCGACACGGGCATGGGCACAAGCCCCACATGTTCTGGCCCTCGCGGCCCAGACAACCCTTGTCCGCGCGCTATGTCTCTTTGTGTCATCTATCGACACTGCAACCATGCTCTTTCCATGGATAGCCGCTTTCCCTGCACTTCAGAGCGTCGAGTTTGTTCTCAAGCTGAGGTACGACACACAAAACACCAAGGAGGCCTTCTTGACGCAGGCCAGGACGAAAATAGGGAATAGCACGCAAGTATTCTGTACCTAGCTACTTATCTTCAAAGTAACAAAAAATAATTATCAGGAGCCATACAGCAACTACACTGACTATCGTCGTGACGAGTAAGTAACCTATCCGTAACCTGAGAAAAACTACTATATGTACATTTCAACTTGCTTCTGCTTCGGTCTACATTCCTTGTTCCTTATCAAGGGAAGAGCAGACCGAATACGTACACGGTAAAAAAAGAAATAGCGAAATCCATGTCAAGCGAGTGTCTTCTGCCAAGTCTTGACCGACTGTCGGGGTGGTGGTATCGCCCTTGGCAATGGAAGGGATCGGGCGAAATATGCGAGTCAAGGAGGGTGGATGCGAATCGGCGATGGATCCTTGTCGGCTTTCGGGCTTCGGTAGTCAGAATAGTCCCCGACCTTCCGAGCTCCGAAATCGGCGGAGGGAGTCTTTGTGGTGAGTGGAGTGGAGTAAGGTGATGATACAGGGATTGCAAAGGGACGATGCAGTTATGGGAATGAGATGCGAAATGGAAAGATGGAAACGTCTATGAAACCAGGAGAGAGGGAGAAAAAGCAAGTAAGTCATCTATGACGACTTCTTCCCCAAACTCAGACTCCTGATTCCCTCTTCCAACGCCTCTGTCAGCGCCGTAGTCGAGCACTTGTGCGCTTGGGTTGCAGCAGACACAGTTGCTGGTCCTGGTTTGGGTGTTGCGGGTTCAATATCAACAACCCGGACAACCGCTTTGCCCTCCAACACCTTCCGGACTTTCTCCGTGTCCAAGGACGACGACGCGTTCTTAAACGGAGATGCGGAAGGCCCGGATCGTTCTGTGCCAGAGAATGCATCCCAGAAGGCACTTCCCAATCTGCGAACCAGTGTCTGGCTGGCCATCGCTGCATACATCGCAGCCTCTGTGTCTTTTTGCGACGTTGATTCCCGTTCCTTCTCCCGTTGACGCTGGGTGAGCAAAGGCGACTGTTTGCCGGAGAGTGACATCGAGCCGAAGGCAGCAGACAAGGAGTTGGCATTCGAAGGAGAGGACGACGAGCCAGTGAAGTATTTGGCTCCCATCCTGCCCGCAAGCCCGGACAAAGAAGCCTGTCCGAACGGTGGACTCTGAGGTGGTGTATGCGCTTTCCAGCTTCCAGGAGTGCTCGCGTTGGCAAACGGAGATGGATTGTTGATGGGACTGTTGTTGCCACTGCTGAAGGGCGAGTTGTTGGAATTGTGGGTGAGCCCGTTGAGTTCTTTGTTGTACTTGTATTGTGCAGCCATGCGGTTCCACAAATGCATACGGTACCTGGCGACTGGGGTTAGAGCACATTATAAGAAGCAATCAAATTGTACGCACGCATCGAGACTGCGAACGGTGAAAGGATTTGCGTCCCCGAAGGCATCGCCGGTCAAGCCCATATTCGGTGCTCCAGTACCAGTACCAAGTCCAATACCAGAGCGAAGAACTTCTGCGACTTTGCCTGGCCCGGCAGTAGGTGTATTGAGCATTGGATTGAGGTTCTCTTGCTGGTGGACTTGAGCAGGCTATTTCAAGTGGCATCAGATCATCTAACGAGAAAGAAGAGTAACCAAAAAAACTCACCTCTTGGCCAGTGGCCCTGGCAAAAGGACTGTCTGCGAACGGATTGGCGCCGAGGAGTTCGGGAATGCGAGCAGTGTGGACGCTGGTGATGTTGTTTCCACCAAGCGAAACACCACCCCAGAAGCGACGGTTGCTTATGTCGATATCCTTGTCCGTCCTAAATGTGGGCAGTGGACTGCCGCTACTTGTGCTCGGAACCGGAGAAGATGTGGTGGACAAAGGAGCGGGAGGAGGGAGAACAGGCGCCGGACCGCGGTTTTCAAGAAGGGTACGCTTGAGAGTGGCAATCTCTTGACGCAGAGCAACATTCTCGCTTTGGGTGCTACCAAGTTCCGTACGAATGGCTTCGAGGAGCCTGTCCCGCTCGGCGATGTTATCTTCGAGGGTCGTGATGTATTCTGAATAAGGATCGATGTGAGCGGCGATGATTGATCGAAGAAAAAAAATTGGCCACACACCTTTGCGACGTATACGGAAGTTGCGGGCACTGATCTTGTTGCGCAGTTGACGCTTTTCCTTGCTAGTCATCTTAGCGAAAACCTCTGGAGGAGGACGCCAATCAGCGGGGACATCGTCATCATCTTCGTCGTCGTCGTCGCCTTTGTTTGATGCCGCAGGTTTAGGACGGAATGTCGAAGCGGCGGTGGGGAAGATGGATGTCACTGTGCTCGAGTTCTCTTTGTGAGCAGACGAGACGGTTGGCTGTTTCTTTGTGACACCTCCGCCAATGACTGTGCCCTTGCGAGCCTTTCCGTGGCCACCGACTTTGACGGGAGCGATAAGTGGCGGCTCTTCGGGTGATGTGAGGCCTGACTCGAAGTCGGGAAGCATTGCTGATCCAGCGGGGGACCCGACCAACTGCGGATCGATACCACCAAGAAACGAGCTCAGCTCAGCTTCAGTGGTGATGCTGCTCCCCCCACCCCCACCAGAGCTCGAGCCGGTAATAGGCGAGAAAAGGTCGTATGGATGAGCGCCCACAAAAGAGAGTGGGTCCAGTGCCTTGACCTCCTCGTCCAAAAAGCTGTAAAGCGTATTTGGACTGGTGGAGGGGTCATTGATTTCGGGGAAGGAGTTCGCTGGGGGAACCTGTGGTGGTGTTTGGAGATGTGGAGTGCTTTCTCGAGAGCCAGATGACCCAGAGGCTGGTGATGAGACACCGCCAGGATTGGGCATGCTGAACAGGTCCAGATTGAGGAAATCGTTGAACTCCTGCGTATACTCGTTCATGGAAGGTGGTGCGAAGATGGACTGCGCCATGGGCTTGTCGACGAGCAAGTTGATGTTAGTGAGGTGTTGTTGGTAAGAGTCAAGGAATTTTATTGTCGGCAAGTGGCGCTGTCTCTGCTGCTGGGGAGACTTAGATAAGCATCATTCACGTGACTGGCCGCGCGTTCCACACGCCGTCCTCGGCAATCCATGGGTTTCCACAGCATTCTTCTCCTCTTCTAGCTGTATTGCTAGCTAGTTCGAGCCGCCAGCGGCGCGCTATGCACGCATAATCCTCCTGTCCTATTACTCTCTGCTTTGCGACATTCATTTCTCAGTTTTAGAATGGAGTATCGCTGCATCAACTGCTATCAGCCGCATTCTCTTCTATAGCAACCTGCCTGGAGCAGGCGCACAGATTACACAGCGGCTTCTACAATTTGCTACGCTCCTCTTCCTTGACCCTGAACAGATTTCTACTTGGGCTCTTCAGTTTTGACTTGCACAAGCTTGTTAAATCCCCTTGTCATATTGCTGACCCAATTGTTCGGAAGTGGCGAACAGCCAACCCGATAGTGACCGATTCCATCCCGGCATTCACCGTCGACCATTCAATCGACTTTTGAGGTGCGTGCCTGAATCAGTTTCCTGCAATCACCCGATTTGTACCGATAACCTTGAGGATGCTGCATTGCCAACTCGTTGCAACAGCTGTACGTTTACCCCACTGGAATACTGCTTTCGATAATCAGCCAGTTACCGTATCTTTAATCCCGACCCACGACTTGATTGCTGGCATAATCGTGAATCGACCCAAACTTGGCCTCGACCTCGAAACTTTCCGCCCACAATACAGCAGGGCGTTTGCCTGCCCCCCAAAATTGCTGTGACTACCGACTCCTTACGAAAAGTCTGACAAGATGACAATTGCTGTCCCTCGTTTTGTGAATGAGTTGGTCTTTCTGTCGCTTAGCTTAATACTTTTGCAGTGTTCATAGTCAATATTGCTAGGATGCGGGGCACGACCTCTGGCTTTCATTCACACGGATAACCTTTTACTCATAGTCTCATACTGCCGCATAATAGCTCATTCGCACTAGTCCCGGATTGCCCCGCCCGCCGTCCCTTTTCCAGTTCAACTTGCGTTCATCATTTCTCACTTTCAAACAAGGCCATCTCCAGGATACTGCACCAACAACAGCCCGCGCCTGTGGAGTTTCCAAAACGCCTCCTCCAATTGCCGCTTCATATCCCTCAGCGTGACGGGCAGCCGATCGTCCTCGTCATATGGCTTGATTTTGAGTACAACCCTTTCGAGCCTTGGAAAGCGGCTCGGCTTTTCGCCGACGATGACCTCCTGCAACCTGGCGGCATATCGCGGGAGTCGGTTAGAAACTTCTCTGTTGGACCGATGATCGCCCTGTGCCCAGTCGTCGACGAGGATCGAGGTCTGGATAGTGATTGCTGTCAGGCAGTTGCTTTCAGGGAGTCGGGCCAGAATGGCGGCGATATTAGAGTGTTGGTCGGTTTCGATGTGGGAGAGTAGACGGTGCGCGGATAGGTCTAATTTCTCGATAACGTCATCTAAGAATGGGTAGTTCAGCTTGGTAGTACAATAAAAACAGAGAGACAGACGGGCCATACATACCAGAAACATTGATATGCAAATGACGCAGACTGGTAGTTTTCTGCAGTACTCTGTTGAGGGACGATGTCAATTTGGAGCTCGAAAGAGAGCGGGAAGTGTATCGTAATGTGCGCAAATTGCTCAAGTCCAGAGGACACCCAGTCTGGGCGAACATTAGGATGGTGCTCAGGTACCACGAATCAGCAATGACGAGCTCTTGTAATTTGGGATATGTTGCTAGATCTCGTGGTGGGCCTGGTGTCCGTGGCTCACTATAAAAGCCCGTAAGGGAGAGCGTGTGCAAACCCAAAACCTGAAGACTCTCAGAGCAGCAACGGAGGATTGGGTATATGGTTGCATTGCCATCGATAGGCGATGCAAAAAATATATCTAGTTGGTGAAGCGTCGGTGCCCCCAAAAGGATGGCATAGATGTTTTCGTGAACTTCGGGACTGCTAAAGACAGGGTATAACACAAGTGTCCGCAACCGCGGCCAGCCTAAGCTGCATTCCGCGAGAGACGCGAAGACATCGTTGTTCGGACGGAGTCCAATGCTCATGGATTGGACATAACCGGAAACAGAAGGCGAGGAGCGGAAAATTTGGAGAAGAGGGTGTGGATCCGTTGACTGGGATGTGGGTATCGAGATTGTCCTGAAGAGGCGAGATTGAGCGTGGATGGCGAAAGCTCTGCATGCTAAGGCGCAGCGACAAAGCTCCGTGGATCGGGTAGGAAGATAGTCAAGAACGGTCTCGCAGATTTCAAGAGGAAGAATTCCACTGTTAGACGTCATGACATGAGACGAGCAAGGTGTGTCGATCATCACCAATCAAACAGTCGTAAATTCTCGCTAATTCCTACAAAATACAGGTACAACAAACGATTATCGTCTCCGTATACAAGGACTTTCGGTAAATTCACCGACATCCTACCAATGCTCCTTCTTCGATTACAAGATGATCCCAAGTATTACGCCAACTCTGTGTCTCCTCCTCCTCATGTCCAGACCGTTGCGAGGGCCAAGACGTCGCCGAGCTCACATTCGTCGGAAAAGAAGTGCCCGAGCTCGGGCTCGACGCTCTCGAGTGCACAGTGCTATTGCCCTCTGGTTGAAATCGATGTTCCTCCTCAATAAAAATGCGCGCAACCTCCGCCTCGCCTGGCCACTGTCCTTTGGCGAAGATATACGCCTCAATTTGGGGAAATCCGGCAACACGAAGCGGCTCAAATGACCGCCAAATGCGATAGTCGCTGAGGTAGATTCGTTCGGGGGCATCAACTGGCCGGCGAAAGGTAGAGCACGAGCGAAGTAGCCAGAGTATACAGACAATGAGTTCTTGGCCCGGTCATTGCGTCGTCACTCGGATAATCGACTCTATGTCGAAAATCGTATCTTGCTCTTCGGGAGAGAAGGGCACAAGTGATAAAAGACCAGGGACGGGCTGGCCGAGGAGTAAAGGAATATCCTGGTCCCTTTGGCCTTCGTGGCCTTCAGAAGGAACAAAGTAGCCATGATAGCGAGCATCGTCGCGAGATGACTCCGGATTGGCAAGCGTGGGGACATCAGGATGGCGAACACGGTTGCTCTTTCGACGCCACACAGTTCCAATTGCACGGTGCGGGGCAATCTTGCTGTGTGCGGACAAGCCGGGTGGCAACACGAGTATGCCTCCAGGGAGCACCTTCCCGTTCCCGTGGAGTGGCCACAGCGCCGGGTCGGACTGAGGGCCCTTCTCAGCACGATTCGATTGCTTTAGCCATGCATCCGGACGACGGGAGACCTGGTGTAAGTTCGAGGAAAGCAATGCTGTCTGGCGGTGTGGCCCCCAAGTCATGGTCGCAGCAGCCTGATCGGTCCCCACAAAAGAGAGTAATTGTTCTGTGACTGTGGTAAGTGGACTCGACAGACCAACAACAACAACAAACCACGATTGTGTACAGCCTTTTTGTTGGTGACAAGATGGCCTCTTAGCCAAAATCCCTTGACGTAGATTCTACGTTATCCTGGCGGGCGATAGCCGACGGAAGGTGGCGAGAACGTGCTGTTCCGAAATGGAGAGACACGGAGATAATGGTACAAACAGGACAAGGACGACACGTGAGTTGAGGTCGTCCCATTGTGATCAACACAAAAAACAAACAAACATGACCAAATCGGTCCATGTTTTGTTTTTAACATCTCTTGCTCGACGTTCTAGGACGAGCAAAAAACACATCGAAGCGGATGCGGGAGCGGAGACGTTGACAAGTGAGTCCGTCAACCAGACTGGTCATGCCGATTTTGGGTTGACAACTCGAAAACAACACTTCGAGTTGGTAATGGGAGGGTGGAATTCTTCTCCTGTGGGTTCTCAACTTGAGCACAACGTGCCATAAGTTTTGCAACTTCCCACCCGGATCAGCCCTCTGTCTCCCGTCGGCTTCAACCATGTCCGCCAGACCAGACAGCGATAATGATCAAATCCGCATTCGTGGGGGTCCCGTCTATTTGTGCCGACGGCGTTTGATGGACGGCAGCTGTGGAATTCACCGACAACTGGCGCCTTCTACTAGTCGCAAGCAAGTAACCTCCCACACCGAGCCACACGACCCAGCGATCAAGAGATTCTCGCCAAAGCTCGTGCTGCAATATACCAGCTAGTTGGTAAATAAGACAACAGGATTTCGGATGGGAGGAATCTTTGGGCGATAGTAAATTTCATACTGAGTGTCGATCTGCGCATTGACGACCAAAAGCTTATCTCGAGGGAGACCTCAGCAATAATTTCTTGGATTGTCCCGGAAACGCGTTGTGAGTAATGCTGATTTTGAGCCGCACCAAGAAGGAAGGACGACTTGGATAGAGGGAGGGCCGAGCCGGGAGACTGACTGCAAGAAGCATTACTCGTGCTTGAAGATTTCATGCGACCATCCAAATGGCCAGAAACATGCACATCAGGTTCGCGGTTACGCTTGGCGCGGAGCACTAGCGCTAGAGAAGAACCATCTGGGACGCGTGGAATTCTGTCGCTCTTTTACCAAACAAGCCTCGGATTCGAAATGGTGCGAAAGTTTTCCCTCAGCTAATAGTCCATATGAAACAGCCCGTGTCGCTTCCGCCTCCAAAAGATAAATAGGTGAAGTCGCCCGAGTAAAAGATGATTGTGAAGGGAGAGGCTTTTGCTCAGCCGTGGGGGAGGACGAAAAATTTCAGCAGGAGCTGAGGGCAAGTCGCGAGGGAAAAGGGGTGCGTGAAAGTTGGTCCTTTTGCTGAGATAGGAAAATTAGTTATGAGAGCGGGAAGGTGAGGCATTGTACCGTAATATGCGCTCGTCCCTGCTGTTTCTATCACTTGGGTTTCTCTACTCTTGCAACTTCTGGAGTGGAGCGGATGGAGAATCGTTCGTGCGAAGTTCCGAGTCGAGATGGTAGGACAGCATTCTTATAAGCGGGATGAGCCAACAGGAAGCTGGCGGTAGGCGGTAAAGTCGCAGTAAAGGGCAAGTTGTCAAGTGCACGTGCCCAATTTTAATTCTCATGCATCCCTCCCTACGACTTTCAAATCTAAACAACTTACCTCAAACCAGCAAGGCTAGTCTCTCTCTCTCTCGGCCGCCGCCATTTAGTTGACCTGCTTAACTAGACGATTGCGTTTGCAGCAGCCCGAGAACCTAGTCAAAAACATCTCGCGGACCTCTACAATGAACTGTGCTTGGCACCAGAGAATCTTCGAAGGCATTTCGTACCAGTCTACTACTCGCTCATTGACCCGCGTAGCATGAATGCGCTTGCTCAAATGGAAGATCACACTCACGGTCAGCTTGCGGTCAGCTAGCGTTTCGGTCATATATTGATCCTGTGTTGAGCTCTCTGCGCACGCTTTCGTCACTACTTGTCCAGGAAGATATCGACGAAGAAGCTTATTCCGAGATCTGGTCGCGCGCTTGGCCATGGATAGAGTTCTTGGGACAACTGACCGACCCCGTTACTGATGCAGTCAACCACTCTGCATACCTGCGTTTCATCGTTGCCTTTTCTCATCGAGAAGAAACAGTCTCTGTGATCTCCATTACTTCTGGCGTGGGATATTTAATAGGAAGGGCTTGGGCGCATGCTCTTCTCCAAACCAAGACCATAACAGCTTTGTTCGAAGTCTCGCTCGCACTCATCATGGTGGACGATCTGTATAAATTTATCGACGAGCTGGTCGATGGGGTTGGCGGCTCATGGGACTCTCTCGCCTCGATCGTAATGGCTCATTTATACTTTGTCTTGGATCACGGTACCGACTTGAAGCCAGAGATGTCGTATATTAGCTCTGGTATCACGGCGTTCCTCTCGGAAGTCTTGATGAATCTCGATGACTTTCGAGATGTGCTCCTCCGACAGGGGTTTGTATCGGTCGTAATTCACATTACCCAAGCCCGTGCCGTATCCCTTGCAGGAAGAAATGCACTCGGTGACGACGAGTTTGATCCTGTGAAAATGCTGCAAGAACTAGTTGCTTGTTGGATCAGTGCTGACAGGGCCCCGAATTCGGACCAAGCGCAAGCGATTTTCATTGAGGCTATTCAGGCGGGAATATTCCCTACCATCTTTGACTGTGCTGCTCTACCGGACGCCTTGAATATGGAGCTACAATTCAAAGCTATATTTGTCTGTTGTATCCCGCCTCTGACCATGCGGCGTTTGGTTCTCGTCGAATTAGACGCGATATTCCCCGAGCTCCAGCGATTCGACGCCGTTGAATATCTCAGTCCTCAAAGCTTGCAAATGTGGAGGAATTTTCTTGCGATCACCGCGCACAATCTAAACGTGCTTCGCTGGTACAACTCGGTTAGAAACGTGCCGACTCTGGCTGCCTGCGACAATCTTGGTGTATGTCCCAATTTGTTCTTGCCATCTATTTGTAACGACAATTCAGTGTGCGAAGGTTATGGCCCGTTATGAACTATGGTGTTGTGCTGGATGCCGCAACGCTCTATATTGTGGAACGGCTTGTCAAAAAGCAGATTACAAGCGACCACAACTGGGACATAAAGAGTTGTGCTCGTATCTTCAATGTCGGCCTTTTTATACCTCTCCTTTGGACCCCAACTCATCTCCACTCCAGCGTACAAGTCCAAAAATCAATCTGGAAATCTGGATCTCAAGTTCTTGCGCGCGGTCGTTCATTACGACTATCGTACGAATGAACAAGAGATTGGGATGCTACTACTCAAGTTTTTGCACGCCAATCCTTCCACGACGCCCACCGTCCGTTTCTGTTTAGATTACTCGACGGGAAGGTGTAGTTTTTCGATCGAACCACTTGCCATGACCGAACACATTGCACCACAGCGCGTGCAAATCCTACGATACTTTCCTTGGAATGAAGCAATTGACCAAACATCCCCGTCGGCTCTGAAGTATGCGCACTCAGATTTTTGGGATAGGGTTCAATTGCACATGCTGGAGATTCGCTACCCTTCAGACTCACTGGCAGCCAATGTGCCTTCTCCGAGTCGAAGCCCGGGCCCGGGCCTTATCTTCCCATTCCGCGTAGCTTGTCCGGGCCTCGTCATCGGTTTGCGTTCACTCGTCGCATCGTTACCAGTTTATGATCCTTCCAATCGTCATACGATCGATTGCGATAATCACCGAGAAGTGATTCGGGACTTGATTGCGATAGAAGGGCTGAAAACACATTATGGCCACTGATGTCGAGTTTGTTGACGACATAGTAATCCAGTTGCGGAATGCCTTTTTAAGAAGGATTTCTTGCACAACTCGACTACTGGTACTTACTCAACATTTGTACCTTATAAAAAATCCATACAACCTCCTTGTGTTCTTGTATTCGCTGAGACTTCCGGGTGCTACTGACATGATGTTGCTAGACAGTGGCCGATAATTGCACATAGCTATTCTCTGAAAGTCAGAAAAAACGGAGAACACAACTCGACATTCACTCATTTACATCCATCCCAAATGAAAACCAGCAACTTGAAATCGACTAAGTTCATTCAAGTTTGCCGACGGAGTCACCCTTGGTAGGGGCACAAAAGTGCTAATTACATTAGAACAGCCGGCACCAAGCAGAAAAACACCTCACATTTCGTCGTTCTGCGTGCGATCGGTTTGTTTGAGTTCGACAGTCCCAGCCATACCTCGATCAAGTGAACTGATGGTCTTGGTTTTGAGCAAGGACTCACCAGCAGTTCTCTGGGGTGATCCAACCAGCTGTAACTAGTATTCAGAGGAATAATACGATGCTCGCAAGACAGACCGGTACCCTTGAGTTTTTCCTCAAGCAACCAGACCCACAGGTGCGCTTCGAGGAATCGAAGCAAGCACGAGAAGCAATATGAATCCGTCGACTTCCACTTGTCAAACTCTGGGGCAGTGTGGGTCGTGAATGAGAACAAATGAACTATGAAAGGACCAAAAGCATCGGAATTGATAACATTAGCGGTAAAACTCGTCACATCTTCTTGAGCTATGGGATTGCGCTTCAAATTTGACTTGAGCAGTGTTGGTATCGGCACAAACAGGCGGGTCCAGTCTAATCAAGAATCAAAGGATGGGCGATTCAAGTTGAGACCGATATTCACTGGTGGCGTTGAGCATGCGCAAACCGGCCTTATAACCACACCAAGGACCTGTCAAGGACGGTGAATACCAAGCATCAGTCTCAGGAAGAATGGTATCAGCGCACAAGTTGCATCCTTACTAACGATGTTGTCCAGTATATGGGTTGAGGGCACTGCAAATTGTTCATACTCCGGATCTCCCCGTTTCTTCCAGATATTTTCCAGCGGTAGAGAGAAATAGCCCTCGAAAACAGGATTTTCCTGCCAGAAATGGAATAGCTCGAAATCAAACTCGCTCTCCACGGCCTCACACGAGTATGCCTGCCATATGCGCAATATACCAGCAGGGCCTGTCGACAAAAGCGGCTCCCGCATCTGCTCTGCACAATATCTTTCGATGATGTGACCAAGGAACTTCACCACAGAGTAAATTTGGTAAAGGGCTTCCGTGGAATAAACATCGAGAAGAGTTTGTCGTTTATTGCGGATTTTGGCGACAACCTCATCACTTTGTCCCGCGATGTCGTCTGCTTTGAATAGATGACCAGGGAAGACCTTGCAGTATAGGAAGATGCGATAAAGTGCTCGTTGGAAACGAAACGATTCGTCAGGGCTTAGTACACTAATAGGAGAGTTGCGGTCGTCATACCTAGACCATGACTGGCAATAAGCAGAAAGGACGAATGGTATGGTATGGTGTCACTCACATATGACTGTAGAGATCTTCAAGCTTCCGTACGACTTGAGTATTTTTGTGTAGCGCGTTGAGGTTAGACATATTTGTAACGCCATTATGAATGTCTTCGAACGCGATCGACTTCAAATCCGACTCAGCTTCGGGGCGTGTGTGGTCGTAATGTCTGCAGCACACAACTCGCCAAGCCTCTGGTAGATGTTCTCCCAGCATATTAGAGGCAACTGCGCGCATAATTGACTGTGGCATTGGCCCGTGAATGTTGTGCACAGCAGGGGGGTGGCAAGCACCTACATTTCGATGCGCCTGGAATACTGTATAAAAGAGTCTAGATGTCAAAAGCGTCGCTTGGAGTGAAGGAAGCGTATGGAGATGAATCATTATGTGGTACCATATGTCCCCAGTCAACGGAACGCTATTCGCCCTTGTCATAGTAAGGGTTTGAGTTCATTCAAAGCCACGTGACTATGCGACCTCCTCCCAGCCATCATGAGCAATGAAACGTTCTTACATCTCCCAGCCGAAGTGTGGCTTCACATACTCGCGCTTGCGACTGAGGACTGCTCTCCCGTTGCACTAGCCTGTGCAGAGTGGCCCCAATACCAACCTATCGTCGACCCATTTTCGGATATCAGGCATTTTTGGAGGGTAGTACCTCAACAGCCCTCTGCGAGACCGTTGCGCGCTTACACGGGCTTATAGGACGCTCGTTCGTTCTCGCTCGTCAACAAGCATTGGAACACGCTGGGCACCGACCTTTTGTACGGCTGTGTGTCCGTCGAGCAGCATTTCGACATGCTGCACGGGGTCCTGGCTAGGCATGGAGCGGCAAAACTTGTTCGTGCTGTTCGCCTCTCCAGTACCCGCTTTGACCGCAATCGGATAATGCTGGCCCATTGCCCGTCTGTCCAAACCATCGTCCTCCCCGACGTGCCTCCGTATGCAGACCTTCCATGGATTTCCAATTCGCCGGAAACACCACTTGGGATCCATTTTCCTACTCTCAAGTACATATATTGGACCGAAACGCAGGTTTCTAATGGGCTTCTTCGACAATTGGTTGACGCTTCCCCCAATCTCGAAGGGGCTTTATCTAGGCGACACAAGCAGAGCCAATGAGCGCGGATACAGCCAACTCGGACTGCCCTCCCACATGCCCTCACTCAGACGCCTTAGCCTCGGTGTACTGGCCCAGCTCTCGACATCTGGGATCCTCGAGATCAATTTGCGGCGTCTAACATCATTAACCTGTTTCCCCGCCTTCATCAAGTCTCTACCCGACCTCCCGAATTTGCGCAAAGCTCACATCTTTGGGTCCCGGAGCGTCACCGATCTCAATGCGCTCCTCGCCCGTTGCCCTTTTTTGGATGAAATATTCGTCGATGTGTGGAACCAATTCGTCCCCGTGGTCGCCACCGAAACCAAAGTCAAGAGCCTCTCGCTCATCCGCGTTCATTCCGCGGTCTCTGTCGTTCGCGACTGGTCGCATATCACCCAACTGTTCGAAACTCTTACCTCGGCGGACTTTCCAGTTGTGCGTCGGATTGTGCTGCACAATATGTGGCATCGCGCCGTCGCAGATGTTAAGTTTGCGCCGATAATGGAGCGCCTTCAAGAACGAGGATGCAAGCTCGAGTTCCCCGAAGGACATGTTCTCGTTTAAGTAAGTCCCAGATTTCATGATGACGCTGCTGTTTCAACGATGAATGTAGTGCATTTGGGTTTCTATACCGAGTTGCCTCAGTGACTTGCCACCGACAGTCTCACCGGCGACTCGAGTTCGGCATTTCCATGAATTCACAGATCAAAGTGGACTCCAAATATTCCTTTAGGCTCAAACTCCTCGTCGATGTCTGACCAAGCGGACACAAAAGCCTTAACCACAAGTGGCTATGCGCGAGCAATACATTTTGGAGCTACCCCGAAATTCCGTGCTTCCACAATATCCAGTTGACCAAGAATGGTATGGCGCCGGATGACAAGGTTGGCCCCCTGGTGTTCGGGTCAGACAACAGCAACGTCGTTTCCAGGCGCTTCTTCGAGGGACAAAACATTATTCGTCGATCCTTTCCGAATGAGGGCTGAGCTATTCGTTTACCCAAACAACCAAACAAAGCCGTGTATTGTTATTTGAATGTCCTGAATACATGAATGATTTTGAGGTCGTTTTAGCATCACGGAACAACGCGTTGAATGCACCGACAAGGAGGGTTGAGCGATTCGTAAGACGCCTGCTGGGTTGATGATACCCAGCGCTCCTATTTTAGGTCTTCCATCCCGGGAGAATATTAACAAAAACCAGCGGATGAATGAGAATTTGAGATATTGCGTGAATGGAGTATGCTCGAGCATGCAACGAAGACAAGTTGGCCAGCAAAATACATCCAGCACGGTTGAAGAGACGGGAATAGCGATCGGAATTCCCGACAGGTCCTCGCGATAAAGAAGAGCCCAATAATAGTGTTGGAAGTGGCCCGATGACTGGAGATATCGTTGAAATGCGTGATTTGACCCACATAAGGGTCAGATTGAGTGGTCCAAGACGATATCAAGCCCGTTCTTCCAATGAACCAGTGATACGTCTTTCCTTGAAGACACAATTAAAATTCATGTATAAGAACATTTAAGGAGTCTTACCAGAGGTCTAATTCCAGTATTGACGGAGCGGGAGAGCGCCGAACAAATCCGAGGTCTCGTGGTCATGCCGCACGGAAGAGAAGCCGTTGTATGGCCACGAATGCGTTCACTTGCTATCTCCCACCATGACTGCGCCGCAACCTGTCCTGACACCAGAGGATAGAGCCCATTTTCTGGAGCACGGATTTGTCCATCTCCACGACTGCTTTTCGCGAGAGTCTGCAGAGAAGTTTTCGGAGCATCTTTGGCCACGACTGGGGATGCTGGAGAACGACAAGTCGACCTGGCACTCAGAGCGAATTCATATGCCAGGCCACAATTCCGTCAGTGTCAAGGATTTCGCTCCAAAAGCTTGGGGCGCCATGTGCGAGCTGCTTGGGGGAGAAGAGCGCATCTCGGACGAGCGGAAATTGTGGCACGACAGTTTTATAGTGAATCTGGGGGTGGAAGGCCAGAGCGGTCTGCCATATCGCGAACTGGATAACTGGCACGTTGATGGAGACTTTTTCATCCACTTCTTGGACTCCCCCGAGCAGGCGCTGTTGGTCATCCCGATTTGGAGAGATATCGACGTGGGAGGTGGAGGGACAGCAATTTGTACGGAGGGTATTGGGAAGGTTGCACAGGAGTTGGTGAGCCGGCTGTGGATTTGATGCGAAAGTTCATCCCATACAGTTTCGCCACCCAAACGGTGTGACGCCATGGATGGATGTAAGAGGGACGCCAGAACCAGACAAAAATAGTCCGGAGCGTCTTGCATTCTATCGCAACGTTGCCAAACTAGCTCAGGACTCCAGCTTCCACGAAATGACAGGAAAAGTCGGCGACGTGTACCTTTTACACCCTCTCATGGTCCATTCTGCGACCCGAAACTCTACGCGGGTCCCAAGGGTAATAACCAATCCACCTGTGTCGCTTAACGCGCCATTTCGACTTCGTAAAGGTACAGGAGAGTTCAATTTGGTGGAGCAAAAGACCTTGAAGGAGCTGGGTCATCCGGAAGGACTCGATGGATGGGAAATAATTGGAGGAAGAGAGGAGTTTGTGCCGAAGAGGGTGAAGATTCAGCAGGAACTGAAGGCAAAGGAAGAAGAGCGGTTGAAACTAGTCCATGTTCTGGGATGACGAACCCAGTGATGATGTACTATGGACAAATGGCTGTAAGAATACGTTGAATGAAGCAATGTCGACTGTCCAAAATAGTCGTCTTGGGTGTACTTGTAGTTCAAATGCATGACTACTCTGTGGTTTCTGAGTTGTTCAAGTGTGTAGGGTAGGCAAGTACCTGTAGCTACTTAGACGCCGCTGTAACAGCCTGTTTGAAGCGCATTGCAACGAAGCAAATAGCAGATGAGAGTAAATGAGCTCGAGAAAAATTGGCGATCAAGGTCATCAGGGCACGTGCAGTCGACTTCATCTCATGCATCCATCTCTGACGCTTTCGAACTTGAGCAAACTCCCTCAGCGCTACAAGGTTTATCCTATGCCCTGTATCAGACCGTTGCTGGGGGACTGATCAGTCTAGACGCTCGCCAACGCTGCTGTCCGTGACCCTGGCCGAGAGACTCTCACTCAACTCTACAACAAGACGGCGATTGCACCAAAAAGCCTTCGCGAAAATGTCGTCCCAGTGTACTACTCCTACCTCGATCTTCGCGGGATCTCCGCGCTGAATCAACTCGAGAATTTAGAGTCCCATCTCAGTCCTGTCTTGACGGCCATTCGTGCATTGACAAAACTCGTGAATCAGGACTGCGTTCATGAACAGGCATACCTCGACATCTGGGCTCGCGCTTGGCCTTGGATTCAACTACTGGAGCAATTGGCCTATCAGGTAGGCCAGGACGCTGATCACCACTATCGTACTTGCCTAGGTCTTGTTGTTGTTTTTTCTCGCCGCAAGGCCCGAAATGTGCTTTCAACCCCTGGGCTGAGCAACTTCATTGGAAGGACATGGCTCCACGCTGCTCAGGTAAACACTGCAATTGTCTGGTTCGAAGTTTCTCTTGGACTTGTCCTGATCGATGTTCTCTACGAACGCATGGAGGAACTGCTTGATGGAGTAGGGGGCTCTTGGGATGCACTGGCCTCGGTAGTTATGACTCATTTGCGCTTCGCTCTCGCTTCCGATTCTGATGCTGGAACGGTGGCTAAAACAATCGATAATGGGATCACATCGTTTCTGTCGGAGGCCCTGCAGGACCACAGCCAGCTTCGTTCTGCGCTTTTAAAGCAAAAGTTTATCTCTGTTGTAACCCGCGCGGCTCTTGATCGGGCGACACTCGCGATGGAAGGACGACCCATTCTCCCTAATCGTGGACCCTTGGAGATGCTGAGAAAGTTGCTTAGCTGCTTTATTCATGCGGAAGATAGTCATCAAGCTCGAGAAATACTCATTGAGGCGCTTCGTTCAGGTTTCTTTCAGGTCATCCTCGCATGCATTTCGATCCCAGGCTTAGAAATGGAGTTGGTGTTTGAAGGTTTTTTCCAACGCTGCATTCCCGCCCTCACAATTTACCATTCATTCCTCGTTGAGCTTGCACGTGTCTTTCCTGAAGTGGAAAACTTCGACGCTGCCGCCCATCTCACTCCCTCTCATTTGGAGATATGGACTCGCTTCCTGGCCGTAACAAAACATCGGCTTAATGCGCTGCATTGGTACGAGACCAGCCCTTCGGCCACTCTTGGTGCTTGCGACAACGTTCTCGTTAGTATTCACACAGTACCTTGTGCTAATTTATCGCCCAGTGCTCAAAGGTTATCAATCGTCGTGAACTCAAGTGTTGTGGAAAATGCCGAATGGCGCTGTATTGCGGAAGAGCTTGTCAAAAGGCGGATTATAAGAAGCCGGACATCGGGCACCGGAAAGCGTGCTATTTTCTTGGATTCATGCACAACTGTTTGTCCTCTTCACAAAATCGAAGTTTCCTGGACTGATTTGATACAGGGTTCAAATCCCAGTACTCACCAAGAGATCGTTCTTTCCTCCGAGCTCTTGCTTATTACGACTATCTCATCAACGAAGAGGATATTGCCATGAGACTCCTTGAGTGGCTATACATAAACCCATCCACAATACCGCTCATACGGTTCTCCTACCGTTTTTTTTTTTTTTGAATCCTGTTATTTGGCCTCTACAAGTATATGTACGGTAGCCATTATCATGCACATTGAAATTCTAATTTGTCCATCCTTCCCTTCTTTGTTTTCCTGCGGTATCATATCCTTTCTGGTCTGCTGTAATGCCCAAGCAAACCAGACCATCTAGACTGCCACTTGCCTGAGCAGACCAGACATAACCGTACTAGGACGGCCGCACCGGAAAAGTGCTAGAGTGGGTAACCCGATAAGGAAGTCAGTCGCAAAGAAAGGGGATGGGGGGGATAGAGGATTATGACCGGTATTTTGCCGCCCTGCAAAATGCATCAAATAGAAACAGGCCCCCCTTCGAGGCCAGTCGAGAGGCTATCTCTTGATCTGCACATGCCAGCTTGATCGAGACATATGGGACAGCCTCCCGTTCTATGTCTGCCCGGACCATTGGCAGATGGGTCAGCACCTCACCATCACTATAACCTTGGGAAACCAGCTGTGCGGTCAACTTTGAACCACCAGCATCCAGATCGTCCCAAAATGCTGCGGCTGGTACACCATGTAGCACCATCCATGTCCATGGAGCATCAGCGTCCAGGATCATGTCCAGCGACCAATCGTTGAATGCCGTGCGAATCGCATACTCCACATTTCTGCTCACACGACTCTGCTGGACAAGCTGTGCAGCCGTATACGGTGCCCGCGTATAGACTGCCAGGTTCCCCGCTGGTGTCCACGCAACCCCCTGTATCCGTGAGCTCTCATGATTCCCAGGGCCTGTAGCCCCCTCCAGGGCTGCAACCAGCTGGGTCTCAGTAGGTCGCTCCTCTGGCAGGGGGGTGTAGCCAATCCAGCGGATTATCAGTCGCTGTGGAGACCGATGTCCCTTCTTCTTCTTCTTTTTCGATTGCTTGTCTTTCTGCGTCGCCTTTGCTGGTGCTGGGGTGGTTGGTGTGTCTGTTGTTGCTGCTGGCAGGTTATTTTGCGAAGACATAGTTTCGGGGCGGTTCCCCGATGGCGTGGGAACTGCGGGCAAGGTGGCCGGGGCGTGCTGCGTCAGCGAGATTGATGTCACGCTCGCGTAGGTTGGGGCCAGAGTAGGTGTCGGGCGGCTCACCCGCGCTACCAAGGCTTGGATGAGGGCTAATGTCGTGGGAGGGTAATCCGGGGTTGTTTCACCCTCCAGCTGGAGTGCGCCTGTGGTGGCAATCGCTCGCCTGAGCAGAGCCTCCAAGGCGCTGAGCAACGGCAGGTGCTCTGGTGGCCAAACGGCTGCCAAGCCCTCCATTGCTGCAGCTGTCCCAGCAGCAAGTGCTGTGGGGAGTGCTTCTGTGAGGTGGTCATGGTGGCTGTTGTCTGGTTGGGGAGGTCCAATGTCCGCTGGTTGGGCATCAGTCTTCCCCCGCTTGACAACGCGTCGTGTGTGGGGTGAGCGGGTCGTCGCAAGTGGCTCCTCAGAGTCTGAGCTGCCGCTGCTTGAGTCGTTGGGTCGCGGGCGGATGGTGCCAGCGACTAGCGGTGGGCTTGTTGGCCGTGCCGCGGTCTGGTGATGGTGGTGCGGATCAAGAGCCATCTCTCTCCTACCGTGACTATCATATCGTGGAGTGTAACATCTCGATTGAGCCACTTGTTGTGGGTGACCTCATCATACGAGACCGCTCTCAGATCATTCGATACTTTGAAGAGTGGGTTGGCTTCTCGGGAAACACGCTCTGCAGTCATGTGCAGCTCCACGTTGTGGATGTACCATACCCAGAGAGAAAGGGCACGAGCAAGCTCCCATCCAACGCCTGTTTTTCTAAAGTCCTTCCCTTGCGCACTTGTGGACCAGGACTTGTATCGAATTTGCGCTCTCTCGTTGCAACCCTACCATGCTATCACCCGACAAATATGGACAAGATCAACTGGGAAGATTATCGAGGCGTAGTTCGGGATTCCATTGCTATGCAAGGAATAAAAACCTACTGAAGCAGGGTTCGGGCTATCTATGTAGGAGTAGCGAATGGCGTGATAATTGATTTCTGAGCATATTTTTCCTGATCACTCCCAGTACAACTTTAAGTTGGAAAACGACAATGTTGATTCAGAGCAAGTAGACATGGTGAACACTTGTGTGACTAGTCACGGCGTGATCATTTTCCTTACTGCCTCGCCAACGACACTGCGTCAATGTTCATGGACGTTCATGATTGTCCCTCACCAACGACAACAAAATGTCCGTACTTGCGAAAATGAGCACATTATGACGTCTACATCCAACTGCTGAGCCGTCAATCTATCCAACTTTTGCTCACCCATTCATTGATTCAATGACCTGAACGTCTTTCTCACATGGAAGATTATCTTTGACTTTCATATGGCCGAGGAACAACAACGGCAAACTTGAAGCAGGAAGGTTCGCGACCAACTGCTCAACCATTTCTTCCACCCAGCGTTCCTGCGAAGACACACGCATGCATCCGTCACCAGCGCGTCGGTCCCGAAGAATGTTTCTGTTTTCTCCGCACTTACTCCGACTTGAAAGTTATCGCTCGACTCGCTTGACAGCGCCCACCAATAGGACCTGAAGCAGCCATACAAGCTGTCGCTGGCTCTCGGTGTACCTTTGGCGTTCAAAATCTTGACCGTCGTCGAACTTACTACTATTAGCCCTAGTATGTCGGGCAAGTCTGGATCATCCATTTGCCCTGAACTTTGGCCGCCGGCAGGCAACTCGAAGAAGCCCTTAACCAACAGACGGTGGAAGACGTCTGTAAGCCTGGCACCGACACTCAAGCGTAGCACGTTTCTTCATGCAACACAACTCGGAACTTCAACTTCGCAAAGTTCGAACTCTTTGCAGTTCCCCACGTTCATTTCCCCTCGCGCCCGACAAGCGTCTATCACGCTCTGAGCACACCTCCGCTATCTCCGATCGCGACCGTGGTACCATCCACTGGCAGTGACAAACGAACGCTAAACTGCACCGCTCCCGCTCTTTCAGCCTACACCATATCCGGCCAACGAGGCCAATCGATGTCAGCTGGCCGCCTTAAGTTTCGTTGAACGTCGGTCATTACGGAGATCATCCTGCGAGCGGCCTTGACACAATACTTCTTACTTTCGCTGCTGCCAAACTCTGTTTCCCCACAACCCGTGACCCCTCCGCCCCTGCCCCGCATCTTCCTTTGGACCATTCCATCTTCCAGGCATTGTGTGACTGGGGCCCGTCCCCCCTGACACCCCCCTGCCTTCCTCTTTAATCGCATTAGGTGTCGAGGAATGGTTCGGACCGACCAATTGCTTAGAATCTAGAGCGCGAGCCAAATCGACAGTGTCGCAAATTTGTCACTTGGCTTGTGCTTGCATGGAATGGACAAGATCCGAACGCTGCAGCCCTTGGCGCGCCACTGGACTAAGGCTACCTTCCCTAAGTATACTTGCGATCGACTTGCTTCGACTTGCGGGCAGTTGAAATGCCTCCGGGTCGGCGGCGCCTACGCAATCAGCATCGCGTCAGTCAGGTCTCGCTTAGATTATAACGCACATGCCATCTGCAATTGAAAATCACCAAGGCTAATTAGCCAAAAGGCAAAACTGGGACTGAGGCGGCCTTCGGGGAATTCGGCAGGCGACCTAAGTTATCGGGCACGAGTATTTCGTCGCTCTGAGTAGTAGAATTTCACAGCGCGGTGCAGCGAAACATTCATACTGCCCATCTGCATCCGCATCCACCGAAGACATGCCATCGCAACACTGATATATCCATCCAACAACGCGGCAAACCCACATGGCAAAAAAATATAATTTCCATCGCATCTTTCTTCGGGACCTTTCCATTTTTTGCATAGGCTCCTTTGTTTTGACCCTCATACGGCGGCGGTCGCCGACTTTGAACGGCCGGAAGCGGTGGGATGTTGGCAACACGCGCGGCGATCCTCTCGGAACCGCCACCACCACAAAAACTAAGTTAGTACTCCCGTGCCTTAACCACATGGACCCGCTCCACTTTCACAAGCTCTACGACCCGCAACAGAAACATCAGGCTTACGACCTTTCTTCGGCCCCGACGAAAAAAACAGATTTAGCGCAGAAACACTAAGATAACGATAGAAATACACACTACGAACAGCTCAAACAAGAAATAGTAGCTACGAAAAGATTTTGCTTTATAGATTGTACAACGAACTTAGGTCGTATGATAAGCCCCGGTAAAGAGGTAACAACAGAGAAGAACATAACCAGCAAGGTATTCAGAACGAATGGCGATACAGGGTTGTGGGACGTGGCAGCGAGACGGGCATAAGAGCAGTATAATACATTTTTGGGACGAAGGCTTCTGCATTTTGAGCAACAGCGTGTCGAGAACGTAGAGCGAGGGGGTAACCACAAGAGGGGGTATTTGGTCATTTCATGGAGGAATTCGTCGTCTTCAGACATCCATACTGTCGCTCAGGTCGCTGTCTTCGCCATCGTCGTCTGGCGCGAGCTTCTTGGTCTTTCTGGGCGAAACTTTGTTCTTCACCAGGCCGACAGCGCCCCTGGTTGCTTTCCTTCCCCGCTCTCTTTGTAGTTGTTGCTTGTCCTCCATCGACAGGTCGTCTTCAATGTCCATGCCTATCATTGAATCAAGCGTGTGAAGCTCGCCCTCTCCCTTCAATAGTCCGTCCACATCTACATCGTCGTCCTCGGGCATACTGGCAAGGCCCCAGACTCCCAGGCCGAGCCCCAGCCCAGAGCCATTTAGCAACTCGTTGGTGTCGCTCAGAGAAGGTGGTGGAGAAGCTTCGCTGCCAGAGGCACTCGATCCACGGAAGCCAAGACCCTTGAGTTGCTCTTCGAGTTCACGGTTCCGGGCACCTTGAGCAGTGACTAGCTGTTGCAGGTATCGAATGTACTCAACGCTCTTGCGTAAGATCATGCCCTTGTTGGCTTTGACGACTGTGGCGTCTAAAATAACGCATCAACACTGATCGTTACCAAAAAAAGAAAATCTCACTAGCAGATGTGGGACTGCCACCGTCCTTGACACCGTCTTTAGAATCTTCCTTCTCATCCGCATCCTTTCCACCTTTGCCTGAAGCCGTGGTCCCTTCTTATCTCTTAGCTCCCGTTGCCCAATCCACATAATCGAAATGAGCAGCTCACCTTCAAGCATACATTCGGGAATCAGCGTCGCCAATTCGCTGATCTTCTCGTTGATATTGTCCCGCCGTCTTCGCTCAACTGCGTTATGACTTTCCCTACGACGACGCCGCTTTTCATTGGCAAGCAATGCGGCTTTGTCCGAGACAGCTGTAGATAGTTGTCAGCAAAAGCAATCAGCGCAAGGAAAAAAAAATCACTTTGCTTCGCCGTCGGCTCAGGTGCGCCGTTTGTTTGCGGTGTCGTAGATGGTAAGCTCGCAGGCATACCTCCGTGGATTTGACCGCCATTTCCCAGGCTACCGGCCAAGCCGCCGTTCAGGGCCATTCCGCCGAATTTGGTCTCGACAGGACTACCGTAGTTGTTAGGGTTGCTGGCAGGGTACGTGGAGTGGTGTTGGTGGAATGGGTGAGGAGAGTTAAGAGTATGGGGAGAGTGGAGGGAGTGGGGTGAGCCAATGTGTTGGTGTGAGTGAATCGAATTGAGGCTTCCCAGCGATGGGAGGGAAGGGAGCGATGTTAGAGAAGGGAGAGATTCAGGTGTTGCGTGTGGATAGTCAGGGCCGAACCAGCCCTGTGTATACCCTCGGTTTCCATTAGAGCCTGATGTTAAGTGAGAAAAAGGGATGTGTGTTGCTCAAGGGGACTCACCAGGAATGACGATAGCTTGAGGGACGGGGCGGGGAGGCGGCGAAGTGCTGCTGATCGATCCATTGCGTCGTGTTCTCGTTGTTCTGGTAGGGCCTCCAGCTGGGGTTGAGGCTAGTAGCAGTCAATTTCGAAGGGAGGAAGCCACAAAACATGCGACTCACCCAAATGGGAGGATGGGGGTCTACTGCGGGAACGACTTCTCGAATGTTGATGGGAATGCGGCGAGGGAGAGCGGAAAGACGACGGCGAAGGGATATACGGCGGGTGTGGGTCATAACGCATGCTGCTGTTAATCGCAGGCAAAGTCGAGTTGAAATTGGCCGTGTATTGTGGTCCATGCCCATCCAAGCCAGGCGAGCCACTCCCGTTGCTCGCATTGCTGCCATTGTTGTTGGGAAGAGAGAAGTGGGACGGGAAAGATGATGATGTTGAGCTCGCGGAGCCGACGTGGTGGTGAGAATGTGAATTGTGGTGATGGTGGGCAGTCGAGGGAGCGCTGATATCGAAAATATTGTGCGTGTGAGGTCGATAGCCGGAATTGTCAGACTCGTATGCAGAGCCGGGGCTTTGAGTGCTACGCTCATTGCTCATGAGACTGGCGAGTTCGTCATTGAGATCCGGGTGGCCGTAGTGAGATGGCATTCCTCCAAACGGTGGTGGGGTATGTCCTGACAATGGGGGAGGCGTGAAGCCTTCTTGCCGGATAATGTGGGGCTGGAAATCGAACGGAGCTGTCGCAGCGGTGGTCATAAGTAGAAGTCAAGAAAGAGCGAGCGAGTGACAGTAGCCGACCAAATCAAAGGGGTCGATTTTGGTTTGCTGTTTGCTCATTACCCCACGCCCTTCGGACCGCGCTACTATCCCCATCGGGAAATCATTCTGCCACGCCTTGGGTCTGGGGTCCCCATCAGAATCGGTCGGTGATCGCCACCCATATCTGTATGCTTGTTTTCCTTCTTGACAATATGCGTCGGAAGCCAATCCGGGCCTCGAAGAACATGGATTTTGTCCTGCCGTTATGAGGCTGATAGCCGGCAAGCTTATTTTTTTCGTTGGCCTCATTGTAACTTGCGAGGGCGGTGGTGAGTTGCTCGTAGTCGACCAGCCTGTATCCCTAGAGGAAGGTTGTCGCATCGGAAACACAGACTACCGACGCCCTGGCAGGCTAAATCCGCTAACAGTTGTTCAACAGTTGCCGACAAGCATCACAGCATGGTCCAGAGAATTCTCCCACTTTCGGCTTTCCACCTGGATATTATGACGCAGCCCAAACTTATCGATCGCCTGTCTGTCTCATGCGACATTTCTGACATTCTGTTCCCGCTTGGAAAAAAAAAGACGGGAAGCGGCGGTCCACGAACGGCCCGTCGCGTAGATAAGACCGTCGACATCTTGGCAGACATGTAACAGCATCCTCCAGCCAACCACGAGAAACCAATCGCATCCACCGCGTCATGAATACAAATTGTCGTTGGCAACGCCGCTGCTGGGTTTGTGGAACTGCAAGTCGACTCTTCCTCCGAAACACGCGCGTCAGAGCTTAAATTTCTGTGACAAAATTCTGTCCCATGCGCCGAACGGCACCATGCACAACAAGACTCGGAACCCACTTGGGGCAAGTCAAAACTATACGTTCGGAGGCTCTCCATTATAGGAGACTGTCAACCTTGCTGGCCGAGCTCTTCGACGTCGAATTCCGGAGCGTGTGTGCCAACTGCAAATATAAGTTATAACACACCGCTAATAGGGTTCCGACAGAGGCCGGTGTCGCTTGGCCTCTTTGAGCCTAAAGACGCCACGATCGAAGTTTTCAGTGACTGGATGCTCGCTGCTGGCTCCGACACACAAATAGCACCAAGAACCTGCAGCTCGACACGGTAACTTGCCTAACTGGTCGAATCCGGAATCATAGCTTCGCTGGCGCTACCATTGAGTCTTTTGAAGGAGATTCAGCAGGATGAACGCACTAGAGGGAGAGCGCCACTCGCCGAAGGATAAGATGCACTCTATGTCCCGCCAAAGTTTCGAGCACAAAGTTCAACAGTCACGTTTTTTCAACTGCTACACACGCCTCGAACACCAAGTAACCATATCGAGACAAGACGGATAAACGCTGGATAAACCTCTCGGGATGTTTTCGGTTGAATTCCTCTGTCCGCACAGTTCACCAGCAGTGGAATCCCGAGTCACAGCCACACAATGTTGCTTTCCGCAAGTAAGTAACCATGATCGCCGCGGATTATTGAGCGCGCGACAGTGTCCAAGGCCTCAAGAGCACTTGTGTAACAGGGTACAGGGCCAAAGACGTTCCGCGGCAGCTTTCATCATCGAGGTTACTCGATACCGAAGAGGACCGAAGAAAATGCGTTCATTGTGCCGTAGCGGCGATCGAGGGTTATTTTTGCCGCCGCGCAAGCACAAGTCGCACGCCGGGGCGTGAAGCGCTAAAGCCCAAGTGCGAAAGTTGTCTGCTTTCGGGAATCGCAAGGCTTCTTCGCTGGGCTTCTCCTTGTTGGCTTGTTGCCCTCTGTGCCTTGAAGTTGAATTCGTGAGTGTCCAAGTGGATCCAATCTCGGCGGTCGACGGAAGCAAGTACCCTCATGGAGCGGCGCAAAGATAGTCGACTGGAGATTGCATTGAGAAGCGATGGTTAGACGCGTCGAGGGGACGGTGCCCAATCACTATACTTACACGCTGTCGTGCCGGTGCCTTTAGGTTAAATCAGTCGCCCAACCTACCAAACACATGCTTTTCGTTCGATTCCTCTCCGCCCCATCCGCGCAAGCGACGAGACTTGCCTGGTATAGACCATGGGCGCCCATGGCCCGAGCATACGAATCTGATCTGGATCAAAAGAAGAGAGGTAAGCTATCCGAGATGCAAGGAAATGTCGGCCGATGATTGAGAGAGCGAGTATAGCAGACTCAGGGTAGGATGCGTTAAGGGCTGAGCAACCATCGGTCGGGTATATTTTAATGAGATTGAAATGAAGTGAACGGCAAGCCCGAAATTGGTTCATTCGACATGCGGGTGTGGAGTTGCAAGGAAGAAAGATGGGTGGCGGCGGCGAGTGCCGCAATTATAAGTGCCGCGGAGAGAGCAAACTAAACCTCAATGTACGAAGCAATTGTTGGTTGAGTTGAGGCTTGAAATGAAGCTAATCGGAATTATCAGAAATTCAGAATACAATCACACAACCCTGGGCGACGCACCAATCTACCCCGCCTCCCGAGTCCCGACCCGGCAACCAACAGTGGATACCAAAAACAGAGACAACGTGCAATCGATGACTGCCTAACACCCTTGAGGGAAATATCGCATCATATCTCCGACCATTTGATAGATCGTCACGAAGAAGTCAACTGCGATTGGATGAATTATACACAATAGCACACTGGGAAGTATCATGTCGGAAAAAGAAGGGAGGAAGGAAACCGCACGAAGGATAGAAGGAACAAAGTTGAAGAAGAAAAAAAAGTAAAACACGCACTGGCATATTGTCTCGGTTTCACATTTTTTGCGTTCCGAATCCGCGTAACCAATATTACCCCACCCCCTCACTACCCCACATGGGACCCCGGACACTGCGGGCCGATGCGCGACAACCATCACCCACCGGCGGCCAGGGTGAACCCTTTTCCCGGACTTACAAGGAAGGAGACGAAGTTGGCGGGTCCAAAGTTGACTCGGAGTTGCTGGTGGATGTTGACGCAAGAGTCTAGACCTTGAAGTCGGGATTGATGGCGCACCAGGAAGGAAAAAATTCTTGGCAATTTTTTTTTTTTGGTTGTTTCGATTTTTGGGGCATTAGGGGAGAGTGGCGCGTGTGAAGTTTGAACAGCCAGGCCTGCAAGGCAGGGTAAAGCCTGGTAAAGCCTCTAAGTGAGGACGGTGCTGGCTTGAGGAAGGAGCTTTTGTATTGGAGGGAGGAGGAGGGAAAAGAGCTGTACCCTCAGTTAGACAGGCTCTTTATACGCCACCGCCTTATCGCAACTGACGGCCTGCTGACGATGGTCCAGATCACACTGGTGCATCAGCTGGGACCTGCTACAGTGAAGACTCCGTCATGCGTGGTCCGCTTTGTGAACACCAGACACAGGTTCCGTGAAACGGCTGATGCTAATGGCTGCGCGTGTACACATTGCCATGGATTTCTCGTTGATTTGTCGCCTACAAAGGGAAACATGCTGGAGCCTGTTGTGAGGTTGTGAATTGGCGTTGTCGTCCGCATGACTCTGTGGCCCAGCGACGTGGAGCTTGGGAGCCAAACTCCGCGGTTGATGCATGCAATAGCTCCAAAAAATTCTCCATCGGGACCGTCTGGTGAAGTACCAGCGAGCCAGTGGTCCCGAAGTTGGACCGGAAGAGTTTACTTCGACTCGTCAGCGCATTCAAGTTCGGACTGCAGTGTTGAACAACTCGGATATCTATAGGAATCGGACAACTGATCATCGCTGTGAGAAAGACTGCGAAATATACCTGTGCGTTGCTCCTCTGCTTAGAAAATTGAGATGAGAATGAGAGAGTAGTTCGAATTTCGGCTCAATAATTGCGCAATTTTTGTGGTTGAGTAGTATACAGGGTGTAACACCGTGTGACACTCGAGCGCTTGAGCTTCCGAGTTAACTTCCACTACCTCCAAAAAATTGCCAACATGCAACATCTTCGTGCCATGCATTCCAAATCAATTTCTGACTCGCAATAAGTAATAGTAAACCCTTGTCAGGCTATTTGTTAACGGATTTATAGCTAGATGTCACGGTCGGCGCTCTGCCTGGAGAGGATATTCCTCAATGCCACGCGCTGTTTTGCCTCCATATGCGGAAGACATGCCTCTGAGGGACGAAGACCCGCTCGAGGATGATTCTGCGCGACATCTCCTTGCGTCATGACCGCAGGGAGGGAAGCATGTCTTTTTTTCGAGACAACCTGCCTGTGACGACGCGCCGTTTTATTGCGGCTTACGGGAAGATTCTCGGTCTTGTGGACAGCAGCGGCAGGTTTTCCACCATCTGCTGCGTCCGATGACTGGTTGGTGCGGTCTTCGAACACCGAACTTGGTCCATCCATACTGCCACCTTCAGGTTGGAGTATGGCAGTCAGATTTTGGACCGATTTTTCCAGCGTCGCCAGAGCGCTGAGCAGATCTGCGGGGCGGGGGTACAACACAATCTCGCCTTCCTGATTGTCGGAAGGACGGAGAATTCGACTGCCTCCAGTCTGGGTGGCAATCGGATTGACATCCTCAGGTGGCCGGGTGACAATGATTGCTGGTGGTGCATCCGCCACACCCCTGTCGCGAGGGTAAAAAACCCTATCGTTGTACTCGGCGCGAACGTCTCGTCTCTCTTCTTCAGTCGCTCGAAATGACATACTCGGTCTGCTACAAGTGGCTTCAACGTTCTATGTGCGGCTTCAGTTGAATCCACGTACCTTTATCTTATGCTGAGATTTTTGTTATTGCGTTTTGCCACCGGCACGGAGTGGATGATAGAAGGAAAAGTTGGGAGTGGTCTTCGTCACACCGCGATTTGCGTGTTCTTATACATACGACGCGAACGAAACGAGGCAGTCAATGCGCCAGTCGTCGCCTGCGCTTTGTGCAGAAATTTGATTATTTACTGTCCTTTGTTATGCTTGATTAGTAAAGACATATGAAGACTATACCCACCCGTGCTGCGTGTCTGCATCATAAAGAACGAACCATAGTAAGGCCTAAGTAGGAATTGCCGACTAGAGTAAGGTCAATGTCCCGATCATTGTCACCTGTTGTGACGTGTCGCGTTCAGCCTGGTTCCAACGACCATGTCAGGCAACCTGCGGTTCGTAGAGCGCAGCGATGACGGGCACATCCGTCGCTTCCAGTATCGCAAAAGCGCCGAAAAGCGCCATACAAGCTCTTATGTTGATGAACGCCTTCCCATCCCCAATACCCATCTGCAAGTCAAAGAACTCCTCTCCAAAGTATTCCTGCCGTCTGGATACCCGAACAGCGTCTCGCCAGGTGCGGGAGGGAACTATTAACGAAACGTCGTAACGCTGCTGTGGCTAGACTATCTCCGGTATGCAATGTTTACGCAGGGGAGAGCTAAAACCGATTGCAAGGCCTAAGCTACCAAATATTCAATGCCCTACAAGCGTTCTGCAGCTCATTAGCTGGACTGCTATCCTCTCGCGCCCTGCTCGAAGGTATGGTGCACTATGATGTTCCTATTTCCCATACTCACTTCCCACGATAGGGTTTGGTGTGGGGAACCCGGACGCATCTGCAACCCATGCCCTGCTTTTGACTGTTTTGCAAGACTTCTTTGGACGTATAACCAGTGAGTAGCTCTCTCTCATCTGCCTCGCCGACTAAAGGGATTGCCAGCAATATGCGCCGCCTACGCTCTGGGCCCTTCCCTCGGCGCGGAAGCAAAAACTTTTCGCTTCCTCGCCGATGTCGCCAACGACGCTGCCATCGTTCTCGACACTCTTTCTCCGCTTCTGCTTTCCCGATTGAAGTTTCCTGGCACACGTGTTCTCGCGCTCTGTCTGAGCGGTTCGCTTCGTGCCATGTGTGGTATCTGTGCCGGCGGCTCGAAAGCCGCATTGGCCATCCACTTTTCCACGCCGGTTAGCGGAAGCGGAGACATCGGGGACCTGAATGCTAAAGACAGCAGCAAGGAGACAGTATTGGCGTTATTCGGGATGCTGGTAATTACAAAAAAAAACTCTAGTTTACACGCAGACTAATATGATCATATTTTCAGGCGGGAAGCTTGATTGTCCCTTATCTCACGAGCTCACGGGAAACATACTTCGTGCTCTTCACCCTCGTCGGCCTCCATCTCCTCCTTAACTACCTTGGTGTCCGCGGAGTTGTTCTTCGCACCCTCAACAAGCAGCGTCTGAGCATAGCATGGAATTATTTCTGCGACCAATTGCACGCTCCATCGCCCGCCCAAGTTTCTTACAGGGAGCGCGTGCTGAGCTGGAAGTTCAATGCGCTGGGGGACGAAGGGGTTACCTGCTCCATCGGCTCGTCGCTAGCATCTATACTCTCCGAAGACGCTAGTGTCCCATCTTCACTACTTCGTTCGATGCAGCACGAGGCTTATGTGCTGTGGTTCGACCCCGTTTGCCTCGCACCTGCCCAGGCGGCGTTTCGGCCCGACGTGCCGCGGTCGATGATCCACATGCACATTTGTCTCCGCGAAGGCTACTCTTCCGCCGACGTGGTCAAGTCGTGGGTGCACGCGACGGAGGTCGAGCGCATGATCAGCATGGACCGCCGGCTCAGTCTGTCGGCGCTGGTGTTGGATGCACACCAGAAAGTGAACGAACACTGGTCGTCGTTTATGGAGGAAATGGCGGAGAAGGGGTGGGAGACGCGGGAGACGACTCTGATGATCGGGATGCCGCGAGCGGTTATAGATCAACTGGAGGTCGAGGAAGAAGACAGGAAACGACGATGAAATCGATGGACTTTTGAAATCAGTGTCCGATTGACTGGAAGACTAAGCAGTTAGTTCTGTGCATAGTCTTATACTGATTGAAGGCAATTTGTCTGTGTATAAGAACGGAAATATATACAGTTTATTCGGAGACCTGGATTTCTTCTTCACAAAAAATCTCAGAAGATAATCAGTACAAGACGTTGCTATTGCGATACATGGAAGAGAGCTACAACAATTGCAAGAGAGGTGTTACATAGTCGAGAAACGAAGTAAATAAAGATAGCAGATAAGAGGATGCATATTAGTAGATGATGTAATCATAAGTCCATGATGAAGGTCCATTCTAAAATCGTTCAATGTGTTGTCGGTCACGACCAGCCCGCGGGGCCACTGGCGCTGTCGTCATATAATACGTCGCAATCGTGCTCGAGGACAGGCGCACATCAGCCGGTACCTCCGGGACATGCCGCACAGGCTGCCGGGGCTCCGGCATCCTCGGCGGGACACCCGTCATCTGCGAGTATATCGACGGCGCCGAATGGTCGCTCAACGACCGGGAGGTCGTGCTCTCCAGTAGATGCTGCCGCTGCTGGTAGTCTTCCCGCCCACGCTTCTCGCGGCGCTGCGGTCGTGGCTGGGGCCGTGGCTGCGTCTTCAGTCCGCCGAGCTCAAGATCCATCGGGCGAGAAATGTCCATCGGAACAACGCGGTGGCTCCGCCGATGTCCAAACAGCTTCTCCCCAAACCGCAGGAGTTTCCAGCGCCAGCCGCCTTGGTGGTCAGGTCGCACGGCTTGGAGTTGGAAAGTGCGCCGTTGGGCAGTTGCCTGTTTTCTTGCGCGCCGTCTCCGACACAGCCACAGAACGACGATGAAGATGAACGCGCAACCAAGGGTCATCAGGAGTATTTCCCACCATTCCAGTCTTCGGCGACCGCCATTGCCAAGAGTCGGAGTGTTTATACCCGTGACGCTGGGGAAGGGTGCCAGCGAGCCGGAAGTGGTCGTGACAAATTCCGATAAACAGGCGCCGAGACCCGGCACGACCTGGTCACAGGAAGCGGCAGCACAAGTCCCTGCTCGCAGAACCTGCTTGTTGCTTGCACAAGCAAGACACTGGCTTGGCCCAGCGCCAGAACAGCTCGAACAGCTCGGGTCACAGGTGACACACCTGCCAGAAGTCGCGTCGAAAAAGGCGTTCTTGCTGCAGGTCGGGAGACAGCGGCCATTGGCGAGGACAGGACGAGAGGGGGGGCATGACGCGCATTGGTTGAATGCACTACCTGAGCAAGTCGCACAGTCTGAATGACACGAAATACATGATCCAGACGCGGAAAAAGTGTTGGATGGGCACGAGGCAACACATTTGCCATCCGAAGCCAGTTGGTTGGAGCCACAGGAGAGGCAGAAGTTTGAAGAGCCACTACATGTTGCGCAAGATGAGTCACAAGCTGGAAGGCAGTGAGTAAAAGGGTCTTTGGGAGAGAGTACATGACATACCGGTACATGTCAAATTATCTTGCGGCGAAAGAAACGTTCCTGCAGGGCATTCGGGGACGCAGGTGCCATTGGACAAGACAAAGCCAGTGATGCAGCCAGTACATTGGAGCTGGTTGACGGTGGAAGCCGAGTTGAAGTTAGGGATCTTGCAAGACGTGCACTTGGACCCACAACTGTCGCATTCAGCCTTATTGTTATTCGCGATCAGCGATGTGCCTTGACAAACTCCGTTCGTGTCAGCGGACACACAGGTGTTGTTGAGGGTAAATGTCCCACTAGCGCACAATACGCAGTCGTTTGAAGTCCCGCCGGTGCAGGTCTTGCAAGATGGCGAACATGGCGAGCAATTTTGTCCATCTGCAAACGAGCCAGGCGGACATGTGGTACCAGCGGAGTTAACCTCCGGAAGAGCATTGCATTTGGTCTTATCGTTGGCGTCTTGTGTGAATCCGTTCTTGCAGGTGGTACACTCCCCCGACCCATCCGCACAGGCTGAACATCCAATCTGGCAGACAGAGCAGTCGCCTTTCGAGTCGAGGAAGAATCCTGTGGCGCATTTGCTACAGGCGGTCCCATTGGCAGCTGTCGTGAAGCCCGTGGTACAAGTGCAACTGCCGTTTGCCCCACAAACACCATTCACGCAGTTGCATGAACTCGCAGTCTGGGAGACTAGACAGCGCCCAGTGCCCGCCGGACCGTCGTCGCATTTAGCACACCCGCTGGGGCATGCCTTGCAATTCGGGCCAAAGAAGCCGGGCGCGCAGGTCTCACAAGATGGGCCGGTGAAACCAGGGGAGCAGGTACACGTGCCGGTGGACGAGCAAATTCCAGCCGACGAGCAAGACGGATTGCATGCGGCCGACTCAATGTCGAACAGCGTCAGGGAACCGATTGGCGGGCCACTTGTGGGGAGTTGGGCTGTGTCGGGTATAGAATCCCAAATGATAACGCGGTTGTTTCCCCCAGCGGGGGAATTGACCGCAATCCAAACGCTGGAAGACAGAGAGAGGGAGCGTGAGGTCAATGGTGTTGACCTGTTGTTAACGGGCGAAGAAGGGATGCTCGAAAACGCCGCTTGTCCACCAAATATGGGCTCAGCATATATTGCGAGTCCAGGTTCTTGTACGACATTCAGTGGTAGTCCCGTCGCCAACGTCGAGTTTTTGAACCCGGGAGAAGAAGTGAGGTTGACAGAGGATGATGTTAAGAGGTTATGGAGAAACTGTGGGTTGGTTGTTGTCGTGTATTGTCCAGGGAGAAGGAGGGCCGATTGTGAGCCAGGGCTTGATAGTGTCACTCCAACTATATAATGAATGATGAGAATAGCTCGAAAGGACAAGCGGACAACGCACTGGATGTGTTCGAGTAGCCCTGTAAACATTGCCCGAGAGCACAGACAATCGTTGATACGTTAGAGGTGGTTTGTAGTAGGGGAAGGAGCATAGCGCTCTGGAGGGTGGTGGTGGTTCGAGGGAGAGTTGTAGGGTGCTCTAACCATTGTGTTCGCTGTGGCCATCGTCTGCAAAAAACAATTGTCAAGTTTGACAGGACAATGGGAATTTGGTTGTCAATCGTTTCCATATTTGGAAGACGGATCAATGATTGTCACGCTTAAGTGACGGTGTGTCACATGATGATCCTTGAGCTTGCAAATTTTTAAACGCTTGACTTTTGCTTCTTCAAAGTTACTTGCAGACGATACTATGATAACCTGCTCGCCCGAACTATACACCATGCCTTCTCCTTGTAATAAAGCGAGATTTTGCTGTTCAACAAGTCCCCGAACAAAGCTCAAGCTGGCGCATTGACTGCCAACTTGGGTATAAAACGCCTGTGGTGTGATCACCGCTTCCAGCCTTTCCTTCTACACATCATCTACGTGCCTGTGGCAAGCCAAAGCACACATAAACTCAGCGACTCTTGGTAAGTCTCCACTTGATGGTCATACGAAAAGCTCGATATTCATTTCATTGAGGACAACACCAGCATCTGCACACCATGTCATCCTTTGCGATCAAGAAAGAACGCGCCGACATTATCGTAACCTCTCATGAGCAATTCCAAGTACCAACTATAATTGTTACCAGACCGCCTGAGGACGTTATTGCCACCCAAGCTAGATCGAACCGGAATCGTCGCCTGTGCGATAACCAGGAAAGCGTGACCATTTTGTACCCCCGCACGGCTGCAGAGTTCTTCGTTGTTGCCAGCTCACATGTTACAGCGCTCGAAAAGCTGGTCGAAGAGGTGACCGCACTGCTCGGAGGCTTTCTTCATCATTCTACTGTAACGTCTCAACCGACTTTACTATTTAAAGATCTTACTAACCGACCCTGTCAAGTGACCGCTGCAGTGGCTCATGAGCCACCGAAGACCAATGGTGGATGCTATACTGCCGCTGACGGGAGCGAGAACCAGAATATTCCGACCAACACAGCAAGTCCCAGTGGTGCAAATGGCAAAAAGGTCGTCGATAAAGGAAGACATGCATACTTTCCTACATCCCAGAGTCCAAAGCCCAACGTGGAGAACCGTAATTGTGCCGGTCTAGTTGCAGGCACATTTTCTCAGCCTCCGCATCCTCGAGGGGGTCTCCGGCCCTCAGAGGTTTGCCTTCCGCGTATGGCGGCAAGACAGCGAACGGCCTTGATAAAGATATTAGCTGGACAGCGCGTTCATGTCTAAAGTGTGTACATTAGTTTGCCATGTTTGCTCCGACGGAAAACTTGGGAGGAGTGTATCAGGAGTCTATATGATTGATTATAATTCTGGACATCACGAGAAAAATCAGTTCTAACTCTGCAACAAAATTCTGAATCCACGGTGCCATTTGAAACGTTGATTGATATTCGTCATTCGACCAGCAGTCTCAGATAGCTTTCAGTACACACAATGCTGTTACACTAATTCTCAAAAAATCATCGTTTGCCACACTACCCCCACAACAATTCATACACCATCCCGACTTCACGCATTCAGCATCCATAGCCCATCCTTCGAAGTTACCCTACCGCTCCTCGACGCGGCCGCCATGAATCCAGCAAGCTGGTCGATCGACTGGTCGTAGTTTGGGGCAAGTCGCAGCATGCTCTGTATCTTGTCAAGTGACATCGGTCCCAGATTCGTGAGCATCCCCTCGATAAACTTGACCAGGCTTAGTCAACAAAAAGATAAGCAATGCAGAGGACACTCACGTTCCAGTACAACCGCATCTGATCAGCATGCTGTTGTTGAGCAGCGGTGAGCGCGGGTTCTTCGACGGCCATTGGAACTACGCAGCTATCAAAAAAATGACAGGGATTTTTCTGCTAAAACGCACCGGAACGAGATGGCGCGGGGCCGGACTCCTCCTCAACTTCGAGTAAACGGAACACATTCTCTTGGTCTTCCTTTAGCACTCCAAGATCGATCCATGTGATCAAAGCCTTGAGGGCTGCAGTCCGATCGACAGACCCGACACCTGCTATGAGCTCTTCCATTGTCCAGACATCTACCGAGTATAAGCATTGAAGGGAGGAAGATGAATGTAATACTTTTCTGAGAGAATAATTCTATAAACGCCGCTTCGAGTGGTGGGACATCGACATCGACCTTGCGGTCTCGAAGCTCCAGCTCAAGATGTACAGTGCCGAGATGTGGGAGCCAACGCAGCTTCTTGTCTGGCTTAGATACCGTGTATTCCTTCGCGTAAGCTTTCTGCAGTCTAGAAAATACGTCAGACCAAAACTTCCTGGGAACGAACAGGAGACGAACTCCTGGAACTGTCCGGGCATAATAATGTCACTGGACTCGAGAGCCGGCCAAAAGTTTCTCGAAATGATTGTAGGATGCACGATAGACTGATCCCGGCTCATCAATGACGAACGGAGAAAGGATAAGGGTATGACTGACGGGTTTCTGTGACTGTATGTGGGTGTCTATCCGCTTGGAGTCGCTCATGTCCTTGAGCATGACCTCGCATACTTGCATTGCCGCTTCCCCGAATCGAATCTTCAGAATTTCGATCGTCCGACGCTGAAATCACTCGTTAACCAAAATGAACGTTCAGTAATCAAGAGATGCACCTCCTTGTCGACCTTGGCCGTATTATCCTCTTCCTTGATTGCAAGTAGCCGTTGCGCAAGCAGCACTTGTAACTCTTTGACAAAGAGGTCTTTGGAGTCGTAGATACTAACAAGGGTGCTGATTACGTCGCTCGGCTTGTTCGTTCGGAACTCTATGAAATAGATGAAATAAATATTGTGAAGCAAGCGTTATTACGAACCTGGGCCAGCATCGACGGGCTCCGGGTCCCAGTTAGGATCATTAAAATTGTCGGCATCTTGCTGCTGCAAAGGTACAGGTTGATCATTTTCGTCCACTAGCGAGTCGCCTCCGTCGTCGTCCCCAACAAGGTTGGCCACAATGCTTCGAATAGTGTCCGGTCGTTCTCTGTGCATTCCGGTCAGCTTCATAGACCGAATTTCGAGAAGAATGAACAAACAACAAACCTTAGATATCGTCGTATAGGATCTGCTACCTTGAACAACAATACACCTGGTGGGTCCACGATCCGCAAACATTTGATAGTGGCCACATATTGCTGGAGAATAATTTTAGTGTCAGCCCCCGGATGTAGCAGCCGTTTGTGATTCCTGTGGTGATTAATCAATGACAAAGAAGAACACGAAATAGCTGCTCACGCTCTGCGCAGAGCTTGAACAAGAGTTGCACGTTGATCGACTCGTTGTAAGCATTCCTTTTTCCAGAGTCAGATGGCGTTTATGATGATGATTGGTCTGACCCTGAGGTCTTTCAAAGCGCCTTCCGAGTCAGGGTAGTCGACAATAATGTCAAATATTTCGGATGTCCTGAGAACCCTTGATGAGGAATATTTGTAGTGAAAAATTGTAACATACCGTAGATCACACAGAGTCTTGTTCATGTGAAAGTCAAATCGCGCACCAACATTCGCTAACATACTCCTGGCGTCATCAGCTACCAGATGTCAGCAATTTCATGGAGGAGGCGTGGATCAACGTACTGCTGCTAGCCCCTTTGGCATACATCGGCAACATCCACGGCACAATGTTGGTGCTCATCCATTTTCTTAGGTCTGGTAGGATTTGACCATCCCACTTTTTCGCGTACGTCTCGTGAATATAGTGCTCGATGCGTTCATATCCGACAGTAGCCACGATACCCTCGTAACGGTCGGCCATCCCAAGTGTTTCAAATGAGGCCCACATTTGGGCGGTATGAGGGCTCGGCTTGACCAACGACGACGCACAAAGGGCTTTAAAGCCACCCAAAAACTCGGCAGGAAGAGCGGAAAAGAGGCGCGTTTGGAACGTTAGAGTATAAGCTGTCCGTATCGTCGGTCCCAATCTGGTCAGCATGAAGTTAGAGGATGGAAAGTCAATAGTCGACAAACTCTTCTATTGGTGCCCAAGTACGATACCATTCTACAAGACGAAAAACGAGTTGCAGGATGGTCTCAGGATCGCGGTCTACCTGAAAATCGGTTTAAAATGTTTCCTGTGAATTTCTCGAAACTTACCTGGTACTGCGCAAGGTATCGTTGAATATCCACCACCACCATATGAAAGTTGTCCGCAACAGCGTCTAAACAGTCATCAGGTGGATCAACGAAAACAAAGAAAACGCCCACCAAGGAATACCTCTAGCATCACAGGCAACCTTCTGCTACGATTGATCAGGTCGAATGCAGTTTTGACCTGCGAGATATCTACGGACTCATCAAGCTCAGGCTCACCGTGTGTTGTTTCTGGGGACGCGCCTTGAATCGAATTGGCAACCCCGATGTTGCGTGGCCGCAGGTATTCCTGGGCGACATTCCATGCCTAGATTTTGTCTAAGAATGAGTCCATGATTTGTTCGACTACTCACCTCCGTGTATGACATGAGACCGGAGATTCCTGGCTCTGTTCGGTTCAGGCGCGTGAATCCTTCATTCCATTTGGCCTGCACTTGTGAACGAAGGGCTGCGGTGGCCATGGTAGTGGGGGAGAGGAGCTGATTATACGGTCCCTTGGGCGTGTGCCAAGTGCTTCAGAGTACGCAAGAGTATGTAAAAGTTTATTGGGAGCGCGTCTGTAGACGGTGAACAGAAGAGGTCAAGGCCAAACCTGGCAGGTCACCTGATCCGCGCTCGGCTACAAGCTCAAAATTTTCCTTCATGTTAGCAGCCAGACTGCGATGGGCCGCTCCCCCCCGATTCGGTTTGTGTGTCTGTTCAATGTGGATAATCTTCTCAGACTCCTATAGCTAGTCTCTTCTTTCGCCACTATGCTGCCCAGGCAGCAGCTGCAGCTCCAGGTAAAACACATTCCCATTTTTCTGGCCCATACTGCGGTGCTCATATTGGTTCACAGCACGGGAGGCTCCCCCTCAAATACACTTCAACACGTTGAAGGGCAAGGTCTCCCAACAAACGCTGGACGCCATCCTCGTAGTGCCATTCAATCTCACAACAATGTCGCCGGTCCAGTCAGAGGTCCTTCCCCTCCTCCCACAAATTGCGGAGCCCTATCAAGAGCGGCAAGACGGAGAACCAGCACCACTGCGTGACCTTATGGTTCGCGCCAAAACTGGCACTGGAAAAACACTCGGTTTTCTTGTCCCCGCCATTGAAGCTCGGGTCAAGGCCCTAGAAGTACTTGGCGGTGTTCGCTATGCTCGGTCGAATGTTGGGGCTCTGATTATTAGTCCGACGCGCGAGCTTGCGACTCAAATTGCGGCAGAGGCCCTCAAATTGACACACCACCACAAGGGTTTCGAGGTCCAACTGTTCACCGGCGGCAACAGCAAACGGATGCAAATGCGCAATTGGATGCGAGGAAGGAAGGACATCGTTGTCGCGACACCTGGGCGGCTTCGTGATCTTTTGGAAACAGAGCCGGAGGTGAAAAATGCGTTTGCGAATACAGCAACTGTGTGTGGTCTTTTGTTACCCGTTTCCCGCCCTCTCATCTCAATTAGTTTATTCTGGATGAAGCCGACACGCTTCTGGACATGGGCTTCCGTGAGGATATCGAGGGCATCAAGGCATTCCTACCCCCAACGCCGCAACGACAAACTTTCCTTTTCTCTGCAACCATCTCCAAGGAAATTCAACAAGTGGCCCGTTCACTGATGGACAAAAAATACGAATACATCGACTGTATCTCCGACGAAACCGCTCCAGTTCATGCCCATGTTGAGCAGTTCCACACTGTCGTTCCCAGCGCTGCAGACCAACTCCCGCATATCATGCGTCTCATCATGCACGACCAACTCGTCCATCCGACCAGCTCAAAGGTCATCGTATTCTTGCCTACCACCAAAATGACTCAACTCTTCTCGACCTTGGTCACTACTCTGGCAGCCAACAATCTCCCTAATCAGCGTGCAACCAGGATTTTTGAACTCCACTCCAAACGCGCCCAGGAAACGCGAACTTCAGTTTCCAACGCTTTCCGCTCGAACAACGGTCCCGCCGTGTTAATTACCTCTGATGTCTCAGCGCGAGGGGTCGATTATCCTGGTGTCACACGCGTCATCCAAGTCGGTATCCCTGCAGGAAGAGAGCACTATATCCATCGTGTCGGGAGGACGGGTCGGGCTGGAAGCAAAGGTCGCGGTGATCTCGTTCTTCTGCCTTGGGAAATCGGTTTTGTCACGTGGCAGCTTACGGATGTGCCCATGAAGCCCCTTGCGCTCAACGAGATGAAGGACACAGTTCGAGAACTCGCTGCTAAGCACGATGCGAATCCGAAAGAATTCTTTGCTGAACATGAAACCCGACCTGGACGCCCGCCCTTCCCACCGACAGTGGTGCCCATGACTGAAGACTTGGACGAAAACGTGAAGCAACTTCTTCCGCGCCTCGATGGCGGCGCTATTCGAGAGACTTTCCTCTCTCTGTTGGGTTACTACATGCCAAAATCTCACGAGCTGCGAGTTGAAAAAACGGTGATCGTGCAAGGCTGCGAAGACTGGACTGTGGAAGCATGTGGACTCGAGACGCCACCGTTTATTTCGGTCGATTTCCTGCAAAAGCTTGGACTCAATGATGGAAGGACACGGCATTTCGGCAAGCGGAGGCAAGAGTCTGCTTGGGACAAGAGTCAGAGAGCCGGGCCTGCATGGATGGGTCGGGGAAATGTCAGGGCAAACAGGGAGAACCGAGACCGCCCTACGATCATGCACCACGAGTCGAAGGTGGTTGACACGTCGGAAGACAGCGAAGCAGCAGAGTACCGCGCAAAGCGATATCAGCACGACTCGAGAGGCAGCTACCGACCGAGAGCTTCACGCCAAGATGAAAACACCCGCACCTATGATCGTACACGGGCATATGATCGTGGAACGAGGCCTGCTGGCTCTGGATTTGACTCTGGAGAGCGCAGGGACGGGTTCAACGGGCGTGAGGGCGGTAATTATGGAAGCCGTGGCAGTTATCGAGGCCATGGTGGCGGGTATGGGCGGCAGTCAAACGAGGGTTATCGTCCACGTCCACGTGACGGAGGCTACCAACGAGATGGTGGTGGTCGTGGCCCGCGTCGTTCTTTTGGCATTGAGTCTGATCGAGAGTAGTAGTGTATTATCATTATATTTGTAGCATCTCAGCTTAGACAGTGAACAACTAATACATAACGCACGCAACTCAAGAATGCGAAAGTCGCGTGTTTTTTTCAGCTGCTGATTTCAGATTTCTGTCAGCACCCCCCACCATGAATCCGACCTTGCCACCAGAGCTTTGGCTACATATCCACGCGCTAGCTACTGAAAAGAGCTCCGCACTGGCTCTCTCGCACTCCGAATGCCAGCGCTTCGCACCCCGACATCAGGACTTCTCAAAGCCTTTCAATCTCATTACCCAATTCTACCAGGTTGGTCTTTTTTTTCTCTTCTTTCTCTGTGTTCAAACGACTATTTCGACAGGATGTGCACGCGTTTACGCGTGTCTGCCGACTTTGGAACGCTCTTGCTACGGCATTGCTCTACGAGAACGTTGTGGTCAACGAGCATTTTCCAGCACTGCATAAAACGCTCGAGGAAAGACCAAATCTGAAGCATGCTGTCCGCGCAGTCCGTCTCTCGCCCTACCGATTGGACGACAACAATGCTATATTACTTGCCTGTCCCAACATCTCTGTTGTCTGTCAAGCAGATGACTCGGAGAAGTCTTACGGACATTACCGTGCCGCTAGCTTCGACCTACAACGGCCCCAAATCCCACAAACACTCCCCAGTCTTCAAATTTTATACTGGGTCGAAACCGACCAATCTACAGGGCTGCTGCAGCCCATTCTCCAGGCCGCGCCGAATCTCAAACGACTCTTCATCTCCGAATCGCCTCAGCCTGCCACAAAACGCGTGGCATCCGACCTTTCCACTGTGGCCACCCGGCTCGAGCAGCTCAGTCTCGGCCAACTAGTTGGCTGGGACATGACGCGTTGGATACTCGCACTCGACTTCTCCCGCTTGACCAGCCTCGAATGCGCACCGGGTTTTATCGAGCACGCCGACTTCCCGGCAACCCTCCCGCGCCTCCAGATGCTCCGCCTCTCGTGTTTCCGCTCCCGCATCCCGTTCGCGCGCATATTCGCGCGTTTTCCCGCATTGCGGGACCTTTCCCTATGGAGTCTGGGATAGTTTTGTCCCATTACCCCGCCCCTCCGCCAAAGCGTCGCATAACTACGACTACGGGGTCTGTAGTGCGCCAAGACAGGACCTCCTCCTCGTCCGTCTCACCTCTGCGATCTCTTTTCGCGTTATAAAAGACTGGAAGCCGATCCATGACCATTTTACGCTCCTTCTCGACCCTGCATTCCCCCCGACTGCACGCGTCGTGCTCTATGGTGCATGGGACTGGATTATGACGGAGGCACGATTTGCACCCATGCGTGCCGCCCTTAGAGAAAAAGGGTGTCTTTTAGAGCACCCGGAAGGCAAGGTCGTTAACTAGGCAGCTAGATAAAGAGGATAATAAGAGGATTCTACACATCTGGGCAGTCAACCCCCTAGTACATTTTACTTTTCCTTGAAAACTGCGTTTAGTGTGCACCAAGGCCCAACGCGTTCGCCATCTTGAAGAAGACATCAATGCTGTTATCTGTTGCCAGTGTTCAGCGCTTTCAACAGCGACAGGACATTATGTTATCACTTACAAACACCACGGAACGTCTCTGCTCCTGGCCCATTCGCAAACACAGAGACATCTGACCAAGGTTTAGCAAATATCTCGCCCCCTCAGAGAAACAACAAACCAGTGAGCGAATGGACACCCGACCCTTCTGAAGGGGGCAGATTGCCAGATAGCGTAAACCCAGCCTGTTGGTCAACCGGGTTAACGACGTAGCCGTCTGTGGAACCCTTGGGCGAAACGGCTGCAACACGGGGACCAGATTGGTTGATAGCATAGGATTCACGACTAGCAAGCATAAGATGAAGGGGCTGGAAAAAGACAAAAGATATTACTGATCGGGGAAGGCGGCTGTACCAGCAGCGAAAGCATATCGCGGCGTCCAGGTGACGGGGAAGTTTGGTCCTTGGGCACCAACAATGAAGCTGCTGTTGTCAGGCGACATTGTATAACCACTCAACCCCGAGTCGCCGTAAACGCCGATGGCCTTGCGCTTTTGGCGATCTGTCGTTTGTGAGGCGAGATACTTGGTGTCTGCGGAGCCAAAAACGTCCTTTATCAAACGTGAGAAAGCCCTCCACAATGAGTTCTTACACTCACAAAACCGTGTCCGTGATCAGCAGTCACAACAACAAGTGTGTTTTTGAGTTCCCCGATTTTCTCGAGATCTTCATATAAATAATTGAGCGACAACATGATTAACAATTTCTAGTCAACTCACGAGCAAGGGAGGCGCGAATAGTGTCGTCCAATTCAAGCAGCTCGCCGAGAGCGCGATCGTAGTCCAGGGCATGCATCATCTAGCTTATTGATAAGGGAATACGACATTAGAAAGATTGAGGAATAGACCTTATCAATACTGGCGGCCTCCGACCTAATTGAACCATCAGGAAAAAAAACGTCAAAATTTTAGAAAACCTGCATCATGAACCAGCCAGTCCCGGATTTCTTGGAGCGTGCTTGCAGGATATCGATGGCCTTGAGTGTCATAGCCTTCAGGCCTGGTTGGTCCAGAGCGTCGCCACCGTCTCCAAGAGGTGAATTCTTCAATCCGACCAAGTTTTTGGGGTAGATGTTCCTGTCGATCCATTTGGGCAAAACCGAGGCTACGTACTACCTAAGTACCATGACTAACACAACGAGAAACACTTACTGCTAAATATACCAAGAGTCTTTTGGTTGTTCTTCGCGCTTTGCAGCTGGGTGTTGTTGTAAACGAGTTGGTATCCCGCCGCGGCGTATGCCTTGTACATATCAGTTCCGTTATAGGAACCAGATCCCGGGAAGAACTGTTCAGCACCACCACTTTTGTGACATAAGTGATATTACTTTCCGGTGAAAAAAATGAAATTACCCAAAAATCACGTCGGGGCCTTCACAGCTGGTTGGCCAATGGAATTCAGGGGTACGGGCTTGCGCGCCATTGAGATATTCATAGACAATCGAAGCGTATTCGCCCCCTGCAAGGTTGTTACGGATGTTCAAGCAGAAACTGTCAATACGAACGAGAACGCGTGTGGGAGCAAAGGCCGGCTGTGATTGTGTGAGATACATGTGTTTTGAAGGAGGACTAAGAAGGGGAACCTGGTGTTGCATCAGAGATATGAGCAGTCGAAACCATTCCAATAGGCCCTTTGCGCTTGCGACGGAAGAGCTCTGCAATAGTCTCAAACTTGGGATCATCGAAAGGGGTTGGCGACTAGGTGTTAAGGATTAAAAGTTTGGAAGACAGAGACCGTTAATGACACAGACGCTGTCAGCGTAAACATTGAGCGCATCGACGGTCGTTTTCTTGCCAGTGTAGAGAGCGGTTGCAGAATTGGCGGAGTCTGTGATGTAGCTGTCGATGGAGTGCGTCATTTGGCTGCACCGAATATTAGTCGGAAGTAGATTGGTGACGCAACTACATACTGGCCAAGTGCTTCCATCTGATCCATTTGCATGAGAGATTGGTATACACCGTTGACGGACTTGTGGGCCAGAACTCGTGCCGCGGTTATCATTGACTGGGTCATACCTAGAGCAAACAGCCAAGGGTGAACGATGTCTTCCAGAGGTCAAACAAAATGTTTGCACCATCTCCGATGAAGAACAGGACATTCTTTGCGGCAGCTGTCTTTGGTGTTTCACGGACGAACCATGTGGCGACTGTGGTTTGGCCATTGTAGTATTTCAACGTCGCCTTGTATGTACCAGGTTTCTTGAGGGACAGTCCACGGAGAGAACGGGCAGCGGCGTTGACGACGGTAGGAGATGAAGCATCGAGGGCAAATTGGTCCTGATAGTACCTTTCCGAAACAAGTCAGCCGATGACCTGAAGACGAGTCTGTGCACGCACGTAAAATTGTAGGTCTGTAGGTCGGACCAAGTGCTTTTGAAGAATTTGGAGGCCTCCTCGCACTTCCCCTTGCCCTCTTGAATGCAAAAGGTGAATTTTTCATCAGGGATGCCTCCGTTGAAGGCTTCTGTGCCATTTACAGGAGCGTGGACCTCCAACCGGACATCGAAGTACTGACCAGGGAGGAAGCTCGCCTGGTCAGGCGGGAAGACGCATCCAAGGGAAGGACACGCTCCAAGACGGGTAAAGGTCAACGCCGACGCCCTCAGCGAGGCGAGCGAGACGACAAGGGAGACAGCGCTGGTAAGAGCCCGCATATCGTCCGTAAAAGCAGGGCCAAATTTGCGTTACAAATTTATAGCCGCGAGATCAGCGTGGACACTGCTAAACGTGCACGCTGGCGGAACGTGCGTTCGTAAATCGTTGGAGGCAGAACAACACTTGGCGATCTTGGCCATAGGACCATCAATCGCTTGCATGCCCGAAACAGAGAAGCAACAGTCGTCGCCAGTCACAATGTGGACTTGTTGAGGAGATAAGAGATAGACCATCTTAGGCCGTGAAGTCGACTGGAGTCAGCGTGAAGCCTTGTCATGAGGGTTCGTGTGATCAAGTGCAGTGGCTGTGTGGCATAGGTCACGGAGGCGGTCACGTTTCAGTAAATGCCACTAAACAATATGGGATATACGCTGACTAGTGCGTCCGTATGTCTCCGGTATGGTGTATCGGCTAACATTGGTGCTTTTCAAATCTTTGCAATTGAACGCACTAGCGCGGGGTTCGACTCCCCGTACCGGAATACGTTTTCCTCCGTCTTCTGCATGAAGAGTCTGTCTTTTTTTCATTTGATTATAGTACCTGATTTGTGTAGGTCGGGGATCTCATGAGTTCCATAACTTGTTGGTTCGTCCGTTGTGTTGTTGTTCTTTCCACACCTCTATTTTGTCTGGCGTTCCTAAATAGTTGCAACACCAGCTACACATCCCAGCAAAGTGGCATCAACCGCTCCACCCTTCTCTTCGTCCAACCACGCATCCAGCTTCTCGAACAGCCGCATCGCGGGCCCCTGGCTCCCTGTGCCTGGCGCATAGAACGGGCCTGTCTCATAAAACGACGCCTTCTTGCCCGGCCACATCGCAGATTCCTGGAGCCCGATAAAGTTGAAGAGGATCTCGCCACTGCTGTCAGGTTGCAGCCGGACAACAAGGTTCAGGGTCCATCGCTCAGAGCCATAAAATGATGCCTCCTTGACATGATGCCGCGCAAGCTCGTTCGGCGGGTTATCGTCCAGGTTCCATTTCAAAACATGAGCATCGAAGGCGACAACTACATAAGATGTTCAGTTGGCTTGTGGAGGAAATACACAGGAGTGAGATGCCATACCCGTCCATATTAGGCCAGGATGTGTTACCACCAACTGGAAACTCCGCGTCCCTGCGACCAGGTCTGTCACGTCGTTTTCCGTCGACAACGTAAAAGTTGTTGACCAGGGTGAGACGTAGTCTGCCTGCGTATCTGCGGGGAGAGCGAGTTTATACGGTGAAAGGAACTGTGAAGCAGTTGAACGCTATATGCCTATAGAGTAAAATCATGACTGACAGCTGAAAACGGATACAAGGGATCCCAGTCTGAGTTGTGATCGTTCATGACAACTGCTTCCGCTTGTACACCAGCAAAGTGCGAAGCAATATCTTGCACTAATTGAGGGAAACCTGGCGCTCCATCTGCGGTCCCAATATGAAGGTGGTGTTCGCTGGTGGTAATCTGCTCATAGTCAACTCTCGGCAACAACGAAATTAGACTCAAAACATACGTTCTCTAAATGAATCACGAAAAGTCGCTTTTGGTGCATACTGTCAAAGACGTTCTTCTGCGCGTAGATCGCAATATCCAGCAGAACTGCCGCTCCTAAGATGCCCACCATTTTACGAAGGCTCTGATAACCAACTCGATGTGCGAACGGGATTGTGAGTGGAAGGGAAATAGCGCCGAGAATAGACACAAGAGTAGCGACGATATGGTCAGCGGGAACGGGGCCCATACGACCAGTCTATCCAAGTCCTCAACGTTGTGCCAGATAAGGAAACCGGACAATAACTTACAAGCGGTACAAACACTTCCAAAGTTGGGACTGTCAAAAGCGTGCCGCACAACAGTGGAGCAAAGGATCCCAGTCCATAGAACCACAGTGAAATTTCTCCAGTCGTGCTCAAGACAAGGTCATTCACAACAAGGGCACCAAAAATCGGCATAGCGACAATGAAGAATATTGCTGCGGATCCCACATTGAAAAGTTGGATGATAAACGCCAGAAGCGACTGCGCGAGGAGAATGGACGCCAGTGCGGATTTTTCGTCAACGGCCGAGCGAGGCAGAAGGAGTTGAGAAGCCAAGCCCCCTGGCGAGAAATGAAACTACATTTGAAGAAATGAAGGGGACGGACCCAATAATGCAGCGGGTGCATATAACCCCAAGACTCCAAATACTTCGGCAGCAAACCAGCTCATCCCCTTTCCTAGTATCTTGGACATAAACAGGGCCACAAGATTGGGCACAATGATTGCACCCAAGAGGCCTGTTGGAACGGCACGAGCGCCAGCCTGCCATTTCTTGTCTCCAAGAATAGGGCGGGTCCAAAGAAAGACGGAGACCAATAAAATGCCGTACATGACTTTGGCAGTCGAGAAACGGTACATGAAGAAATGCTCGAGGACGCTGAGAAAGACGAGATGTATCTTCTGGTTGTGGTGGGCACTACCGCTTAGATTTGGGATGGGAGAGCCATTGGCACTCAAGTGCTTGACTAACGCGAGCGTGTTCTCGCCCATGTGCTGTCACTGCGTAAGAGAAATGAAGAGATGACGACATCAGTGCAAGAAACATACTTGGGCGACTCCGGGCTGAATATTCTCTACAAGATCTTTGCGCATATGGTACAGATAACTGTTGCCGACAATCGCAATCTGAATCTTTCGTGAGGATCAAGACGTAGAAAGCAAAAAAACAGCTTACGTCAAGCCCAGGGACATCTAAATATTCTTCGAACTGACGAAAGTCTGTACTGCGCCGCTGGTTATCAAGCAGATAAGTTAAATTCCAGATCACCTACTCAGACAACAAAACCCCAGAATTAAATATATCATTAGCGAATATCGTCCCAAATGGTCTGGGAAAGAATATTAAGACGACCAAATAAGCGGGTATAAAGCACACCTGGGGACTTGAGAATATGCCTGGACCATCTCTTCGGATGTTGCCTGGAAAAGCAATTCCTTTCCTGTTGTCCCGGCAGCTGGACATGTATTTGGTCATGAAATGCGTATTTATCATTGATTCAAGCTCACCTTCAAGATTGATAACCGCGCGGACTCTAGTTTTTCTAATTAGTCACGAGATGGAGCAAGACTACTACAACTCACGTATGAGCAATTTCGTGTTGCGTCGAGAATAAATGTGAAGCATCTTGCAAAGATTCTTCGGCATGATTGAACACTGGATGCTGAGATATAAGTGGCCCCAGCAAGTCGAAGATGACTTACGGAGAATGACGGCATGTGCGGGAGACCAGTCTGGTGTGTTGACGAGGACGCGCATACATTCCAACATGACCCCAACAGAAATAGCATCGTCAGCCGCTCCTGGACTTGGCAGAGTGCTGTCCAAATGGGCGTTGAGCAGTAAAGCATGGGCCTTGCCCTGAGGCGTGCCGTCCGAGATTCGTATGACGATGTTCGTCAAGTCTTTTGCGAGCGATCAGCTGTCATACAAGGGCAACCGAATAGAGCTCGCGTACTCTGGTAGGTCTTGTACAATCTCTTTCCCATCATGTCGAACCGATGCGTCCCGCTGCCTTGCTGCCTCCATACCTCGCACTCGAGTTTTCGCCCAGACTCACGCGCAAGCTTGTTGCAGTCTTCGCTCATCTCTTTTGCGAGGTCGTACATCCAAGCATCAGCGACAGCATGCTCGCGGGTGCCAACTGTGCGGTAGCCAATGTCCTCCGAAAGATGTTTCGCGGTGCTGAGAATAAGTGCTTCTGATATTTGAGGAAGACCGCTTTTCGCGTCTATTCTGTCGATAGTTGCTTAGAACGACAGAAAGGAGCGCTAAGCGAGCATACAACGCCTCTTGAGGCTCAGGAAGAGCTGCAACAAGTGAATATAATAGAGCACTGGATAGCGAGGGAGCGCACTTCGAATGTTTCGCAGAGAGATTAGTGGGGAAATTATTAGAAACGGAGAGAGTGCGACAAGAGAGCGCCAGAGCCCCCATTTCGGGGACAGCAGGCTCATCAAGGTTAGCGTCAAAGGAGGAACTCAGCGTTACGAGAGGTGACCAACTCTCAACAAACGCGTTCGCGTCAACTCGTCCCAGTCCGCGCAATAAAATCATCCATATCGGCACTAAGTCGAGGGTCGGCGCGAAGGATGATCCAAACCGGACTGATACCAAACGCTCATGCTGACCTGGTCACCGACGCGTCTTACGACTTCTACGGCCTGCAACTCGCGACATGCAGTCTTGACCAACGCATAAAGATATGGCAGCTCGATGAAAGCACGGGGAATTGGGTGATGGAGGATGACTGGAAGGTGTGTCCCGCAGTTGTTTATTGAACAACATAAATCAAAAAATACCAGGCCCACGATGCCGCTATATCGAAACTCAGTTGGGCCCACCCGGAATTCGGGATCATAATCGCGTCGTCGTCATTTGACCGCACGGTGAAAATCTGGGAACGTGTTTCTGGAGAGCCACAAAACGGGAATGGCAACGGAAACTCGTCTTCTCGATGGGTTGAGCGTGCGATGCTCACCGAAGCTCGTGGCACAGTCCGGGCAGTCGAATTCGCTCCGCATCACTTTGGTCTCAAGCTGGTTCGTGTCAGGGATTTTTGTTGGTGTTAGTATTCACATCAACAGGCGACGATATCGACCGACAACCACCTTCGTATCTATGAATGTCTTGAACAACCCTCGCTTACGACGTGGCAGCTAGTTGAAGAGGCTGATGTCTTTAGCCTTCCGCTCACCAACGCGCCATCAGCGTCTCTTCTCACCGTCGCGCTTGCTACGCCCACACAAACGACAAGTACAAGCGCCGATGGACCAGTAGGCCCTCTAGTGGCCCAAGCCCTACAACAAAGCATGTCTATCAATGCTGCCAGTACAAGCAGTCGACCCGGTGCAGGCCATCGAGAAGCAGATGGAGGATGGTGCATTTCGTGGTGCAAAGACCGGTATTGGGGCGAGCTTATTGCGGCAAGCGCGGGGACATCTGGAGTAGTCAAAATCATCCAAATTCTTCCCTCTAACCGACCAACAACAATCCTCACACTCGACTCTTCGCCCTCAACCTCCTCTGCAGATGCTGCTTCGACTGCTTTCCTTGCTCCTCCTACTGCCTCGACGGCATCACTTGGCCAAGTACCCGCGCCAACAGATACCGAGGCAAATCCGACTGCTTCGACCACCGCTGTTTCCTGGGCACCCACTTGTGGTCGATCATACCACCTTATTGCTACCGGCTCTCGTGACGGCCATGTCCGCATCTGGCGCGTAAAACCAGCGGAAGATGAAGACGATATAGATGCAGAAGACGGAAAATGGTCTGCGAGTGTTGTTGCAGACTTTGAGCAACATCGGTCAGCTGTCGGACGCGTTGAGTGGAACATAACAGGGTTGGTGAAACTACGATTCGAATATTTCCCTCTCACCGAGCCCGTTTACAGAACTATCCTTTCTTCAGCGGGTAATGATGGGCGGATCCGCTTGTGGAAAGCGACATCCGGTAGTGTTTGGAGACCGGCGGGCAGTATTGGTGTTGAGGCAGGAGAAGACGGCGAAGGAGATGGGAAGGAACCAGATCTACCTGAGGCTCGACATGGGCGGGATGTAAGTATGGAGGGATAGATCAGAACTGCATTAAGACTGAAAGCATCGAGAACATTGAGATTCTATAGCACTTGACAGAGCATTACGACAAAGCAGGTATTCAAAGCAAAAACAAAGCAAGAATTAGATCGATTTTTGGTCCACCGGTTTCCTTAGAAGACATATGCGACATGAGCGCGATAGGTGACACCGTCGGTGGAAAAAAGGTTGACGAGCCGCATGTTGACGAACGAGCGGACAACAATGGTGTTCGATGGAGCGGGTCCTCTGAGAGAGAAATCATTGGTCTGACAACAAATCAGAGGTGCTGAAAAGAATAAACTGCCAGATACCGTAAAGTAGTTTGAGTACGCCTCCGCAACACTATATGCCAATGAGAAGCGCGTCGCGGGACGATGCACGCAATTGCCCTCAAGTTCCTTCATGACACGCGGATATCCAGGATGCTAAGATTTGTCAGCTATAAAAAATAGGGTGCAGTCAAAAACTGACCTCCATGATCAAGTAAATCTTACCCATCGAGCCGTCGATGAGTCTGATAGGCTCAAGCACTGGAGTATCAGGGTTGTCCAACACATCGCAAAAGTCCATGATTTCGGACAGAGATACTCCCATTTGAATAGGAGTGCTCGCGAGCGGCTTTGGCGTGAACGGTATCCTTGTCAAGCCTTCAAGGGGGGGAAGCTGGGTTGGAAGCTGGGGCCGAAGACCATGTGCATATTGGACATAGCCAGGGCCGATTTGAGCAACCGCTTTTCGAAGGCTTGCCCTCTTGATGTCGCCAACACAAGGGCCGCAAGTTGGATTGCCAGCGGCTGCCATGGATCGCTGGAATTCTTGCGAGGCCAGTGCTTTGCGCATTTCGTTTGGTGGAGGCGAAACTGGTCCAAGAATGCCTTGAGCAGGGTTCAACTGCTGCTAATAGTCAATATTTGTGCACGTTAGAGGAAAGAACAACGAACTGGGGGTTGGCGTGTTTTTTTGACCTTGCTCGGTCCTTCGCCTTGTTTCCGTGGCATAAACTACGCAACGTTAGGACGAAGTGAACTGAATGGTGATATATACGTACATCGGGGGCATGCGGTTGGCCATTTGGATGATGTGGGGTCTGAGCATAGCGACCGCCCATCCTGTTGGGAATGACCGGAAGCTCGACAGGTGGAGGCGTCTGTAACAGTATTGAATACTTTCTGAGCATGCAGACAAAAGAAGATACTAACCCGAGTTGCATTAGGATAAGCTGCATTTGTTGTGTGCACCCAGCGAGGAACCATTGGCTAGACAAAATTAAATTCAGCTTCGATCAACGACTGGAATGCGGAAATTAACCTGGTCTTCCGTGGCCACATCGGTTGACTAATAACGAAGGCTCAGTCCATTGACGGCATTGTCATTTTTGAACATACAGATGCACGAGGACGAGGAGAGTGAATTCTGGCCTAAGCAATCACATGAGATTCTTACAGTGACTCGATCTTTGATTAACCTGTTGAGGACTGCGGTGTCCGCTGAGCGGAGAGTTTGGGGGTGAGCGAGAAGAAGAGTCTCCTTCGCCATCTACTTCCATGGACTGTGATATCAAACACGATCTGTCAGAATGACTGGACCCACACTGAGTCAATGATAACCTACCGAGCCACGTGTCGATGGATACGGGTTGGAGCCAGGTGACATAGGCTGTGAGTAGGTGCGTTGGCGATTGGAGCCTTGAGAAATAAGTGAATCGACTGAGGGAAGGACGTTGGCTGCATTGACAATCTTGCAGAAACGGATCAATATCGCCGATAAGGGAAACAATAGGAAGACGTGTACCATGCGATGGGACGACGGAGTCGGCGAGCGAGGCATAACGAGGCAAAATTCTTTTCTTGTGGAGAGAAAGCAAGGGAAGGAAAGTATCCGCAGAAACGGGGTGTCGGATTTCTCGCTTTATATAGCGGAAGGAAACAATGCAGCTTATGGCAGCAACAGCAAGACCAATGAAGGAAGCCCGTCAAGGTGAGTACCAAGGGACCATTTGGGGTCGGAGTCAACAAAGCGTGGACCCGGGAATCACAGTCGTCGTATGTGGCGGGCTGATGGAGGGTCATGATTCCCGTCGCGTTACGGTAACACCCGCAGGTGTAGGTTCTACAGGTGCCAGGAAGAGGCATTGCAACTTCAAGAAGGGTGTGAAAGGGTTATGGCTGTGAGACGACAAGAAAGGTCACCTGTCGAGGTTAGTCTGCATTCAGTATTCAGTATACTTCTGCCATTGCCCGATGGGGAACCAGTATGTTCTGAGCGGGCTAAGCAACAGCTAGTGTCTATCCAAGCCCTTTGGACAAATAACAGGCTGGGAAAGATCCAGCCCGCTGTCTGTCGTCTAATCTTCACTGTTCAGGGTAACAGGAAGAGCAGGGAAAGGGCTACCATGACCTGCAAAATTGTGAATGAATGGGCAGCTAAACCCTCTGGCACAAACAGGGACCTACAAGCACCCATAGTACGATGACGGAAAACATATAGAAGTGTATGTAACCGTTGTAACGGAATGTATGTTCTCCTGGCAGGCAGCGTGAGTTAGGAAGCCTGACGTTCCAATATTAGCCCAAGAGTAGATTGGCTGACCAAATGCCGACAAATTATTGTTCTCTCCCTCCTGTTATCCCTCAGTTCTTGCCTCAATCATTATCTATGTCCCAAATAGCGAGCGGCCAACGTTCGCATTGGTATGGGATGGGATCGGAAAGGGGGAAAGCTGAAGCTGGGTTGAGGCGTGATGAGTTTGGTGTGAAAATTGCACAGCTGGGACTAGGTACATAGTCGAAGAACCAGAGAACGTGTCGAAATGAGAATTTGAAACATCACGTGGTCTTATTACATAATATACAGCGCATAAAAGTGGGAGGGTGAATGGTCTAAACGCTACAAAATTGTGTGTGATTGCCATGCTCATGAAGGTGGGTGGTACTACAAATGCGGGAATGAGTCTGTCTATATACCAAGCAGAAATATGGCTGTATGTAAATGAGCAAATGATGTAGAGTGAAAATCGTCAACATGGAATGCTTTTTAGCGGACCGATTACTCCCCGACGATGCCGTTGACGTGGCCATTGACGATGGTCTTCTCGGGGATGCTAGAACGCAGAATGGATTCAGAAACCATCGAGCCCTCTGGATGAGGGGGTTTGAAGTTATGGAGTTGGACATTAATTTGTTCCTCTAGGACTCCTTGGTTGCAAGAGGCAGAGACGAAGCCAAGGAATGGGGGAGATGGATTTAGCGGGCGGGTGCAAAACTCAGGGTGTGCTTGTAAACCCACAAAATATGGATGATCTGATTCACGGTTAATGGGTGAGTGAATGCGAAAGGAGGCTAACCAGGCAACTCGAGAATTTGCATACGCTCGCCCTTTTCGTCCTTGCCAGCGAAAACCAATCCGCTGTCTTGTAGACGTTGTACATATGCCGGATTGACTTCATATCGATGACGATGGCGCTCCCATATCTTGCTTGCCCCGCCATATAGTTTACGAACGCGCGACCAGTTTTCGGTGCCCGGTTCAAAGACAGTTGGACGAAGACCAAGTCGCATAGTACCGCCCATATGGGTTTTGGAAATTTCAGGCATGAACATGACCAAGGGTGACTGGGTATCGATGAAGAATTCAGACGACGTAGCATCTGGAACACGCGTCAGTTGATGGAGAAGAGACAAACGAGAGTGACCTGTAATGCCCATGACATGACGAGCCCATTCAATAACTGCTAGTTGGAACCCAAGGCAGATTCCGAGAAACGGTATTTTTTGTTCTCGTGCATATTTGATGGCAAGGAGCATGCCCTCTGTGCCACGGGAGCCAAACCCGCCAGGGACAAGAATTCCTCTGTTATCCAGTGAGTCTGAGCGCAAGTCTAAGTTCCAGGAATTACCCTGCACCGACGACAGCACGCCATGCATCATGGTATTTGGCGGCATTCGTTTCCTGTGTCTCAGGTTCGAGATCTGAGGACTCTACCCACTGTAAAATTGCTTAGCGGATCAAGAGCGCTAGAGCGGAGACATACATGGATAATAAGACGTCTGTGGACTCGGAAGGCGCAGTGTTCCAGGGCTTTGGTTACCGACATATACGAGTCCTTGAGGTCCGTGTACTTTCCGACCAAGGCAATGGAGACCGTGTCAAACAACCGTTCTTGTCTGGAAAACATTATAGGTCATCTCAGAGGAAGGGAGGGAGCGTCAAACCCTGTTGTGAGCTCCTTCCAGCGTTTCTGCAGGGTCTGGCCTTTGAGAAGCATTGTTTCGGGAAGGTTAAGTGCGGCGAGGTTTAGACGCTTTCGGAGATATTCGACGATGCCCTGCGATTGAAGGAGTAGAGGGACATGGTAGACCGAGGACACGTCATGCACTCCGAAGACTTGTTCCGGAGCAACATGGCAAAACATCGAGATTTTCTCTTTCGTAGTGGGAAGTAGAGATTGAGGGCCGAGCAGGCGGCAGGCAATCTTGTCATATTGAGAACCGATATCATCCCCACCAACGAACTCACCAAGTCGGGAAGTAGGCCTAGCCCGCGGAGGGAATGTACAGTTGTTTGCGTTGGCTTAGTTTTTTGTTCGCCGTGCATATCGGGAACCAGGGATACATGAAGGAGAGCAAAGTTGTCGTGTCCAACACGGAATTGGAACTGGCGCATGGCTTCAACAAACGGCGCCGACTCAATGTCCCCAACGGTTCCGCCAAGCTGCCAATTATAAGACTTTCGGGGAATGACGATACAAACAAGCCCTACCTCAACAATACAAACATCAGGCTCCTCCCCTGAGTTGTCGACAGGAATTTTGGCAACGCGCTCGATCCAGTCTTGAATCGCATTTGTTACGTGAGGCACAATCTGCATTGAGGAGCTGAGATGGCGACGACAGAAAGAGAAGCAGCGCACCTGGACTGTTTTGCCTAGGTACTCTCCCTTGCGCTAAAGAAAATTGTTATGCCATGGAAAACACGCGCTTCGAGTTAGCAAACCTCTTTTTCGATGACTTCACGGTAGATCTTGCCCGTGGTGATGTTGTTGTCGCGAGAAAGGGTGACGTTGAGATATCTCTCGTAGTTTCCGAGGTCAAGGTCAACCTCTCCACCATCGTTGAGGACATAAACTTCGCCTGGGAACATAATCAGAATTTCATCAGCAGCTGGCACTCTACTGACCATGCTCTGTCGGACGCATCGTTCCCGCATCGATGTTCATGTACGGGTCGATCTTTATCGCGGTCACCTTGAGTCCTATTGTTTTGAGCAAAAGACCCGTCGACGAAGCTGTGGTGGAGAGTTGAAAATGGTTCGCAGCTGGAAAAATACCGGGACACACCGATAACGCCTTTTCCAATGCCACTGACGACACCGCCAGAGACGACAATGTACTTCATGGCTGAAGGAAGACAAGAGGGAGGAAACGCGTCGAGTCACGACGTGTGATGGGAAATTTTCTGTCCCGATATGGCGATATCTGATCTGAGATGTGTGACACTCAGAAAATATTTATCATAATCGCGTTCAGGCCTCCGAAAAAGCGCGTCTTCGTCTCTACCATTGCTAGTTTGAAAGTGAAAAAAACGCGTACTGTATGAGGTAAACCTAACTTGGCATTATGTACCATCGTCAGTAAAATGTTATTCGCGCTGATCCACAAAGTCTATCATCTTGCCTGGAATAACTATGTTCACTGTAACTGTCGGTACGACTAGCCAAAAGCGCCGCTAGCTAACATTGCTCATCGTTTGCACTTGAAGTTGACCTCCGCTTTGCTCGAATAGCCCTGTCGAGCTCCCCGAGCCTGTGCCTTTCGGCCCCACCTTTCACCCTTGTCCATCAGCCGACCAGTGTTTTCAATCCGAAAGATTCTGGATGGTGTTACGACAAGGACCTGAGTATAGGTTTGTGAGTGTTGTGTCGTGAACGTGAAATACTTTTGCTGGCCTTTGCGATCGATTCCAAGGAGTCAATTTGTATGAATACCGTTGGTATGTGTAGGCCCAGTTGACCACCTATAGCACAATAGTCTCTTTGGGCTTGAATTTCCTCCCTGCTCGTTCCGCAGAACGGAAACAGAACTGGTTCCCGTATAGCTCCAGTTGCGCATGCGGCCCGTCAAGCACTGTCCGGGAGTCCTCCACATCCGGCAATGGCAACGCCGTGTTGGCGTTGAACGAGGCGGGTAGAGTCGAATAGACAGGAACGGCAAATGTGAAGATTGTGTTGCGTTTCGGTATAACTTGGATGGCATTAGAGTGGGGTTCAGCATTGGATATATGACACACTTTTAAGCTTGTCGTCCTTGGTCACGATTTTAAAGGTCCCCTCTGTTTCGTGGATGACTATACCGGACACACCGAGGACCGAAGTGTTCTTGGATTGATGCACTTTGAAGATCAGGTTGACGAATTCAACAACACGGAGAATAGCCCACCTGTCATTATCGAGCCATGAAAGTCTGCTTTAACGAGTCTTGGATGGATAGCAGCAGCAGAGGGAAGGCGGGGCGGACCAGAGCCCGGTTGGGCTAGATTGAGAAGCTCAGACATATATCCTAGCCACAATTGATGCAGTGGTAGAAAGAGCGCGAATCTGTATAACGGATTAGATGTGAGAACGCATGGAAGGAAGGTGACCGCACTTTGCTTGACTGTGGTCAAAACTCCATAGGCCCATCGCACGCGCTGTTCCATGTCGCTTTCCAGATACTCCTAGTCTCCGACGCTCTTTCGCCTCCTTGGCCGCCTGTTTCTTTGCTAGCATTTCCTGATGGCTGTTGTTCTGTTTGGTGTTCTCGAGGAGAAAAACTCGGCCATGGACACGCGTATGATAGATTTCTTGCGGATTGGAGTTCTTCGTGACGACCTGCTGGATGTAGGTCGGTGTAAATGGATCGGCAGCGGTAAATTTGAGCTTTTCGGGGCCTTTGTTGGATGGAAGACCAGCATAGAGGTCAACAGTGGTCATGATGGTTTGTTGCAAAAAGAGGTCACGGTGATTTCAACTCGCTGCCAACCACGATGACATTATGACCGACGAACGCAGACCACGTCTCCAACGCTCGCCTTTCGCAGCACTTCTCCACTCCCACCGCATCTACCTCCTCTTCTCCGCGTTCTCCCTCGCAACAGCTGTTTTTGTTGCTCTCCGACTGGGGTTCTTTTCGACACTATTCGTCTACTTCCCCCTGGTCGTGCTATGCGTCCCAGCACTTACCCTCTTTGATGCGTCCGATGTTCGAAACATTCGCGCTTGGTCTAAACGACGGAGAACACGTTTTGCACTATGCATTGGCTGGTGTGCATTCCTCCTGTTAGCGCCAGCCTACCCGTTGTCCGGACGTTCATCTTACATGAATTCACGGAGCCCTACCCACCTCCCTCGCCTCCCCAAGCTTCCAGATGGCGGCAATCATACTTACTTCATTGCTGCTAACCTCTACGACTACGGACCGCATCTTCCCTACTGGACACGCCAACTCCATCTACTTATTGACCATCTCGGACCCCTCAATGTATTCGTCTCAATTTACGAGTCCAACTCGCACGACCGAACTAAAGCGTTGCTGAAGAAATTTCAAGGCGAGCTTTCCCGGTCATCGGTCCGGAACCGCGTGTTGATGGAGGAGGACGGGCGGAGGCGCCAGGGTTGGCAGAGCAATGGGCATGAAAGGGTCCGATATATGGCGGATATGCGGAACCGTGCAATGGAGCCGCTGGCAGACGGTCTTCGGGGAAAGCAATTTGACAAAGTGGTCTTTTTCAACGACATATACTTCGAATGGAGTCAGTCTCCTCCCACCATCTCGTATCTCTTTCGATTAATACTTCTGCAGCCTCTATCGTACGACTCCTCGCAACGAAGGAAGGGAACTTTGACCTTGCTTGTGCATTAGACTTTGATGGAATTGGGTTATATGACACGTCAGTCTTTGTTATGAGTCTAGTGTCATGTCTCTCATGCGATTCTAGCTGGGTCATTCGTGACTCTTGCGGTCACCGTACGAAAGAAATCTGGCCGTATTTCGCCTCAGATTCCGTTGCGGTTGAGACGCTGCGACGAGAGGACCCCGTTGAGGTTGCAACCTGCTGGAACGGCGTCGCAGCATTCGATGCTCACTGGTTCCGTCACTCAAGTGCGTCTCCACTCGTCTTACTTGCTCCTGTAATTTGTTTCCCTTCTTAACGGCAGTCTAGACGGCACAAGCCACATTCCTGCCGGCCCGCCTTTAGCTTTTCGCGCCGACTCGACATGTACTGAATCTGAGTGTCTACTCATCGGCTTCGATATGCATATCCGAACTAAACCACAACGACCGCGTATCTATGTCAACCCACAGGTGAACGTTGGTATGTCGGATGTCTTGTCCTTCCTCGCGTTGCTCAGTATATGTTCCATAGCTTATACTCCGCAAAACTGGCTGTACTACATCAAGATCAAGCATCTCTCCATAACACGTCCCTGGCGAATACTGTGGGAGGACTGGATAGCACATGGGCTTTTCTGGTGGGTCAGCGATCGGTATTGGCTGACGAACGAGGGGTGTCCGTTTGTGCAAGAAGGGCTTGTCAAAGCAAGCCATTGTCTTCCTTGAGATTCGAAGGATAAGTTCTTGCAGAGGTGTGTTTTCTGACCACGGATGATGCCTTTTGACCAAAAACATTCAGAGTTGCTGTAGGATATGCTTCATACTAGCTAGACATCCAGATCCATGCCAACTCCGGATCTATGGTCATACTGTCTCTACATCGCGTCAAGTCACTTCCTCCGGCCTTGGACTATGAAGAAGCCACATATCTTCCGCTCGGGGTTCCAAAGCAGTATTAATATTATCTGTCAGCAAAGTATGCGAAGCCAGGCTCGGGTGACGCACATATATGGACAGTGCTGTTCAAACAGTTGCAATTGGTTACCTTCTGGACTTCAATGCTTCAGCCGGCAAATTCTAGAACGATCTTGGGGCTAGTTTGATGCTACCTGATAACCCTCAGATCACAGTACACACTCCCCGTAGGCGGCGTCGATGAAGTTCTTTCCGAACATCGGAATTCAGCGCCGACCCCCGGCGAGGGCTGATTCAAGTCAAAACTATTTTTGGAATTCGACCAATGACGCTAAAATTACGCTCTCTTTCTCTCCCCCGAGAAAAAACGTCCAAAAACGACCGATGACAGAAGTACTGGTGGAGCTGAGGAAAGAGTTAGCCATGGCCATGGCTAACAAAAAATAAGCATGACGACGGGGTTGCACGGATCTGCCTCGAGGCTATGTTTGGTTTCCGTCGTTGCTGTAACCGTTATCTTTATTATCATCGCGACGTTGCAGTGCGTTTGGGGTGTGTGTTTCGGGCCTGGCCACGGTGGTCGGGCGAGAAGGAGTTGAAGAAGCATAGAAGTAATGGCCGCGACGACTGGTTCACATCGAGATTTCTACTCTCTACCTGATCAAGTAAAAGGGGAAGATTATAGGGTTTGTACGGGGAGAACATGCGATGAATAGAGGAGTACATAAAAATACATTGCGTGTGGACAGACATGCTGGATGCAGGGAGGAGGAAAGGAGAAGAGAATAGCAAAGCGATTAGCGAGCAGATTTGCCTGCTGGGCGGTGAGGTATTAATAAGACAAGACCGATGTCAAGCTTGGAGCTAGCCAAGACGCGTCGTTGGTCGTGCGTAGGCCACGCGTCGCGAATAGACAGGTGGGGAGGCAATTCCAACACTGGGGTATCTTGCGTGGCCATAGGCACCCGTAGTCGGTCGGGAACTTCCGCCAAAGCTACCACCCTTTGTTAATCTTGACAGACGGGCGAGCACATCTCGGGCAAGCGACACTGAGTCACCCCCATCGTCTTCGTCGAGGGCAACGGCGCGCGCAGGGATCCGTTCGACGATCTGGAGGTCGGCAGGGTGGACGGTTCGGAACTCGAGGAAACGGAAAATATGGATAAATTCGTGTCTGAGAGTGACATGTTAGACCTAATCCAGGGAGTGGGATAGGGGGGACGTACCTGAATATCTTCACGTCGAGGGTAGTCAACGCAGAGGCTGGTGTTGCACTCGATACTGCAGACGACGGTGAGCACAAAGAACAAGTCGCGTGAAAGCATGACGCACTTTGGACTAGTCGGATTGCCCCATTCACGCGCGCAATGGCAAAGCAGCCTTCAAAGTTGTCTTCTTCCAGCGGGGAGGGTAGCATAGGGCCACGAAGGTGGTCGATTGGCGGGGGGCAGACGAGCGCGGCAGTCATTTTTGGATTAGGAAGGGGGGTGAAAGCGAAAGGCCTTCCGGATGACGGTATTTATTGCGTTGGCATATAACCCCGATCTCGATTCTCGATCAGGGCGGACCAAAACTCCACAAAGACCGCGACACGAGTTTTCTTGCGCAAAACAGGCGAGTCCGAGGCCCGGCACGATTCTCATGGGCCGCTTCAGGAGAATTCAGGCGTGGAAGGTGTGAGGAGAGAAGCCACCCTTACTTGCCCATGCATGCCCTAATCTGGCTGAAAAAAAAAACATTCAACAGTCAATTCTACGTCAAAAAACGTGCTTGGAGGTGGCGCACGGCTAAGCTTGGGTGGGACGTAGCGGGTCGTTTGGAAGAGCGTCACCAATGACGGCTGTCATCATGATTGCCAATGTTCATTCACTTGCTTCAACACGACGACCTCGTCTTGAACTCATCGTCGAAATACGCAATCGATTCAGAGAAACCATTCCCATCTAACACCGCCGTGAGCACACGACCAGGAAATCTCCCATCGCCAACTCAGCTCGACTTCGACTTCTTCGGCCGTTATCGGCTGCCCAGCTGTAAACTTCAACTTTCCCAGAATGCGCAGCTCCCGTGTCGGATCTGCAAAGTGCTGTGCTGGTCCTCTTGTCAAAGATAATCAAGCGCCAAGTTGTCGTCTAAGAAAAGTCCTGCCTTTACTAGTGCTGCCCTCAAAGCTGTAGAGACTGCGTAGTGCGGCTCATAGTGCGCCAAGAGCCGCACTACGCACCCTCAAAATTCCGGCCTTCAGATGACTTACTCGGTACCCCACCTGTTATGATAAACCGTCTCCAATTTAGCCCTCGCTTCAGTCGGCGACGGCGACTTGTTTCTATGTTATAGCACCGGGCAGAAGCGCTCAACGGAAGACAGCCGGAAGGTGTATACCCAGCAATCACCGTTACATCCCGAGGCCAGGGTCTTGTGGTCTCTTGGGTAGATCTTTGAGCTCACCAACGCTGACAAATGCACCATTCCAGAGCGGTTCTCGGCTTGCCTTGGTCCGCGAATCGCTGATTCAAAGTCGTGCGCGTTAACTTTCTACAACTCGGAAAACGTAGCATGATTCAGAGCGAAAAGAATCCGACCATCGGTCCGTTCACCGTAATCTAATCTGATGCTATCAACGACTGTTTCCTAATCCCTCTCATTTTCCTTGTTTGCAACATGACCCTTTCTTCGCTTGGGGATTGGTATAAACCCGCGGGGCCAGCCTGGGACAGGCCAAACCGGACTAGTACTGCGTGATCGTTTCCGTGAATCTCTTCTCGGGACCCTTGCAGGCGGTCTATCGTCTATTCCGAGGCTGTGGTTTGTATCCAGCTCATCGTACAGCTCGACGTATCGACGCTTCCGTGTTTTTCGCAGGGGAGAAGGCGACTCTGACCTCCCACCGCGTTGCCATACGGGAGAGTCTGTCGGGCGGAGCGATGGTGGTGATGACGGGTGACGGGGTGCACGCTGGCGACGTGGAGTGGAAGGAGGGCTCGGGAGTAGGACACCAGATGAATCGTCCTGAGCTCGAAGGCAGAATGGAGATTGCAACGGCGGCTCTGGGTCAGACACTATCAACAAAAGGTTAGGTAGGCGATGGAGTAGTAGGAATGGGTACCTTCGGTGATGTACTTATCTACATGCAATGAACACGCTACTGGATTCTTTGCCCTGATCCCTCATTAGGTCGTTCAAGTAGGATAGACTCATATGTACTTACTGTAACATCTGCCGTATTTGACCAACAGCGTCGAGATGGAACGCAAGGAGCGCTTCAAGGGCGGATTTGGAGAGCGTATCCAGAGCCATCGACGTATTAGTTGAAGAGCTCAGGTTTGTTGGTGTGTGCGATTACATCTGTCCCAACCTTGTTTTTATGAACAAGGACGCTTTGACGCCGCTTTGACCAAATCTTCGTCGCTTGGGTCTGATGATTTGTGGCCCAAGCAGCCAGCAGCCAGAGAAGCGGGAGACCGATAGAGAGTAGTATCCGTTAATGCGCACGCATACTTGGCCATGAGTGGACGTGGAGAGTCCGCAGCCTGGCACGTGAGCTGGCCGTGGCCTGCCGGAAACTTGAAGTTGAAATGTGCATCACCAAAATGACATGCACTCTTTCTTTTCTCCCACTACGTCCAGTGGGGACGCAAAACTCGATGTCGACACCCTTCCAGGAAACGACAGACCCTCGCGCGCCCGGCGGGCCCGCATGCCGCTTATCGTTGGCGGTATCGCAATAATAGTGCTCTATCACGTCTTCCACTCCGTATTCGTCCCAGGATGCACTGCAAGGTCCACCCCACTTTCGTTTGGCCACTTGAACACACAGTCAGTATGCCCACAAGAAGACGTTCTGACTCCCACCAAAAATTCCGACATGTGGTCCCGGACGAACGAGCTGTACTCGACGCAATCGTTCCGTTCCCGGGCGGTGCGACGGTTGGGCGAGGCGGTTAAGATTCCTACGGAAACATTTGACGCGATGGCTCCTGTTGGAGAGGATTCTCGTTGGGAGACGCGACAGCCGTTTGTGGACCATCTAGCCATGGAATACCCGTATACGTGCGACCATTTCTTCTGGCGTGAATCCCCCCCCACTGATATTGTGGACAGGCATAAATACTTAGAGCTCCAGAAAGTCAACACGTATGGGCTTATCTATACGTGGAAGGGCACAGATGAGAGTCTCAAGCCGTTATTACTGATGGGCCACTATGGTGCGTCCTTTTTGTGGCTTATCAACAACCCAAATGTGATACTTGGATTCAGATGTTGTTCCCGTCGCTCCTCTCAGTGTCGACCAATGGACCTTCCCTCCGTACTCAGGTCATTTCGATGGTAGGCTGCTTGTTTCTCCGAAGCTGCAAACCTAGTTTTTCTCAGGCGAGAACGTTTGGGGTCGCGGCAGCTCGGATGACAAGAGTGGCGTCATCGGCATCATGACGACTGTCGAAACCTTGCTTGAGCTGGGTTTCAAGCCAACACGCACGATCGTACTTTCATTCGGTTTTGACGAAGAGGCGGGAGGATATCATGTATGCCCCATGGTATCGCTGCTTAGCAGACTTTGACTCCCTCCCAGGGTGCAGGTCATCTCGGACCGGCACTTCTTGAAAGATTTGGGCCAGACTCCATGGCTATGATCGTCGACGAGGGTTGTAAGTTATTCTGCTTACCGGACAGTACGGCAACAACTTACTCTGCTTTAGCTGGCTTCTCCGAAAGCCACGGTGCGATTTTTGCTGCTCCAGGTATTGGGGAAAAGGGCTCCGTGAATGTGCAAGTGGACATTCAAACTCCTGGTGGCCATTCCAGGTATTCGTTTGGCTTTGAAATTGCTTTTAGCTTAACAGACCGATAGTGTTCCTCCAGAACACACCTCCATTGGCATGCTCGCCGCCCTTATCGTGCATCTCGAAAACAACGCACCAGTGCCCAAGCTAACTCCTAATACACCGGCTTTCCTCATGACACAATGCCTTGCTGCCCATGCTCCCAGTATGCCGTATAGTGCTAAGCATGCTATCCTACATGCAGACAAGAGCAAAAAGGCAATGAAGATCGCTGAAAAGTTCCTATTCCAAGATGGGATGATCAAGGCTCTTGTTGGAACTACTCAGGCAGTCGATATTATCCACGGAGGGGTCAAGAGCAACGCGCTGCCCGAGCAGGCGTCGGCAATAGTCAATCATCGCATCGCAACTCAGAGGTATATGCTTCTTAAATTATGCTCGCAAGCTTTTTGACTCGATTACCTAAGCTCCGTCAAAGAAACCATTGACCGCGATGCACAGCTCGTCAAGGCTCTCGCCGCCGAATTTAACCTCTCCGTGACGGCCTATGGCGAGCATCTGACTCCCCTCGGGGCTCCTGCATATGGAACTCTCGAACTGACCGCACCCCAAACCCTCGAGCCTGCACCAATCGCTCCGTCCGATGCGAAACCATTCAAGTTACTTGCAGGGACCATACGGGCCGTCTTCAAAACCGCTCGCGCTGACACGCTCGATAAGGACAAGGAGATATTCGTTATGCCAGGAATCATGTCCGGCAACACCGGTGAGTCTCTGGTCAAATCTTCTCCTGAGCTCATCCATGTTGCTACATATAGACACGCGATTTAACTGGGAACTTTCTGACCACATTTTCCGGTATGGTCACGGTAATATGGTCATCGGGGGCTTGAACGGAATCCATACTGTGAATGAGCGTAAGTACCCCCTTCCCCTTCCATCTTGTGCTCAGTATCGCCGCCCTTGCAGATATCAGCGCTGCTTCCTTCTTGGAGATGATCACGTTCTTCACGACGCTCATACTGAACGTTGATGAGGCGCAACTTTGAACAGACACCAGCGTCAGACTGCGGAACAGGCGTGTGATGACTCGCAAACCTCAAATCGTGGCAACACGTAGATATACCTGTCGATGTACAAATACTTGTAGAGTTGATATATGGCAAGGAGGACCGCAAATGGTTGTAGGCCCCCTCGAGGAAGACTGGGTATTGGTTTGTATGACCAAGCACATTGTGCCTCTTCTTCTCCCATCATCTCGAACTCTTCCCTCATGCATGCCCCGACGGTCGCTTCCCGACCTTCCGCCAGAGCTCTGGTTGCAAATTTACCGTATTGCCACCGAGGAGTTGTCGCCCCTGGCTCGGGCACGCGCTCTGGACGATGAATTCGACCCATTAGATGAACGGCATCTGCAACGATATTTCAAAGTGCGTCCATCCCCCACAATCGAATGCTACCTTCTTAGTCACCTTGTTTGCAGGCAGTCCGCTCGCTGGGCCGCGTCTGCCGCTTCTGGCATAAGTTGGCCCAAGAACTGCTCTTCGAAAACATATGGATAAACCCCAAACGGTGGTCATCGCTGACTGCTGCCCTCGACCAGACCAATAATATCACTCGGACTGCGCTTTTATCGCCAACCAGATTCGATCACAATATCGCTCTCCTCCGACGCGAGGGTTTTTCGGATACGCTCGAAGTTCTCTCACAACCTGAATATCCTCGAACGATGGAATATTACCCTTCAGAGAGGGGCATTCAGCTACCACCCTTGAATTCCCTCAAAAGGATTTTCTGGGTGGAAAGCTCCTGGTCCGCTGACTTGCTCCAGAGCGTGTTGGCTGCGGCTGCTCCAAACATTGAGCACATCACGCTGTCAACATCTGCGACGCTTGGCTCCGACTCGAACATCCTCCGTGTCCCCAACCTCCCCCGACTACGATCGCTCTCCGTCAGCTCCCTGACACCATTTCATACCCTCGCAGTCCTCCACGCTGGTCTCCCAAATCTGCGGCATCTTACAATCGACCCACCGCAGTTAGAACCGGATTTCCCGCCCATCAACTCTCTGACTACCCTGACAATCACAGGCTCAACTTTCGTGCGCTTCGCCACCATTCACGCCCGCTTCCCTGGCCTGCGCGAACTGCAATTTGATGCCCGTGCGACGCTCTTTCCGCCTCAGGAGAAACAATCATTCCTGCGGCTCGCCCTCGTTCGATTGTTTCTTCCCATCCAACCGTCGATCTTCCGGGAGCCTATAATAACGTTGAATTTGTCGTTCCTGCGGAAAAATCCTGCATTTGGGGCAGTCGAGTCTGTGGTGTTGGATGGGAAAGGCTGGGATTACCTTCGAGTACCATCTGCTATGCACCCTCAGCAAGAGCTCGAGATGTTGCAGGAGAAGGGATGTCGAATCAAGTATATCCCCGACTCTTTCTAAAACAGGGAAGGGGGTTAGTTTTGTCTTGATTCTCAAGTATTCCCTGCCAAACACCTACATGCGATCGGCTGGCTTGGGGCAACAACGAGAAATAGTCAGTCAGAGACGGACCGATGATCAAGCTTGAATCGGGGTGTAAATGGTACATTGCTTGTTTTTCTAGTCGATACATTTCTATTTCACATGATATCTGACCTGCAGAGGGGACAACTCGACGAATGACTTGAGCTGAACCACTGTAGAGCCAGTTGGTGATCATCTTGGGAAATACTGATAGTAGACGAACCTTGAACAAACAGCCTGAATGGAACCGGTTCTTGCATGTCTTGCACGGTTTCTTCGGTAGACTAGCGTCCATGACGCTGATGATGCTGGAGAGTGCATTCATCAGCTTAATTTCAGATCTAGGGATCCTGCAACGACATACGAGTAGCAGATAGCGCATTCGACCTGGCCTTCGAAATGCAGTTGGACGTTCTTTTTGAAGAGTCCTATGCCGTCAATAATGCGACCATTCTACAGAAAATAAGCCGCCAAATATGATTAAACAACAAAGCAACACACCTGGGCCCACAACGTCTGCTGGACCGCAAGAATCCACGCGCGCCATCTTGTCTCCTCCACGCCGATCCGCTGCACTTCTTTCACTTCAATCTTCTTCAGGGGCCAGTCGGACGGTATTTTGAGGCGGATTTCCAGTCGGTGCTCGTCCACGAGGTAGCTCGCAGACACCTCGTTGACCGAGCTGGCGATCTTCACGGTAAGCTGGTCGTCGCTGAGCTGAGCGGCCCGCACGCTTTCCAGCTCCGCGCGGATCAGGACAGACGAGAAGTGGTGCGTGGTATATGTCGTGATGTTGGTGGACAGTGTGCGATCTTTGCAGTCCAGCACCCAACTGTGCATCAGGGAGGGGACAATTTGCAAGGAGCGATAATAAAGGTGGGCCGCGAGAACTTGCAGGCTCCACGGGCTTCCAGAATCGTATGCTACATAACATCAAAAAAAGACTCCGAGATAATGAAATGCGTACCAGACACGTAGAACTCGTCCACGGCCCACATATCCAGTTTGAAAGCTTTCGGTATGCCTTGGTCGACACCGAGTATGCTGAACAGCGTTGGAATAAACGACGTTCCGATTATATCAAGAGCACGAAGCTGTTCGATATAGCTTGACCGCACTTTGAGTGACTGGGGCATTGATATTAAGTCTTGAATCAAATCTCTTGCTGGAACATACCGTGTCAACAAACAAGTCCAGAAGCACCATCCAGCCAAGAAGATACCCAAACGTTGTCTATTTGCAAGTGAGAAGGTTGTTCTGAATGGTGAGTCTATCAACACTTACCGATTGGTCAGTAGTCAAGAGATCGTCCCCATGGTCAAAATTGAGCCTTGTCTGCAAGATATCGAGCAGCTCTGACGGCAGGTCTGCCGTGGTTTCTCCCTCTGTGTCGACGGCCGCTTCAATGACCAAGTGCTCCGTTCGTTTCTTCGCGGCGATCGTCAAGAGCTGGTAAGTCAGTTTCTGCACATCTGGTGAGGGGTCGACCAGAAGATGTGTCATCTAGAATTAGTGTCAGCCAAGATCCAGAATGGAGGGTAAAGCACTGGACCTGCGGTAATGTATCGGGTGTGATTAACGATATTGGAAGGTATTGCACAATCGATAACACGAGCTCTCTACAGGTTGACCGCGGAACCGATGGGTTGGCGGAGTCTGTTAAGATTTTAGGAACACAACTTTGTGAGCGAGGACGGAATGACATGCCTAGTTCTCCGGCAGCAAGGTCCCTAACCATTGTGAGGATCGGTGTCCGACGCTCCTCCCATGTCGCACGAAAGGTCTTGTTGGTTTGGGTTAGATCTTCAATGAGAACGATCAATCTCAGTGTGTGTGCCAGGATTACAAGAGTATCGTCATCAGCAAGTGATGCATCCTGCCAACGACAGTAAGTTGCAGACTACAACGAGCAGTATTGTTACCTCAAGGTTGTTCCCAATGACATCAAAGACCAAGTCCCAATGGGTCCCAGGGATGTTTTGCAGAAGCGGCGCCAGATAAAAGAACACCCTGGTCATTGCAGTCTCAACAGCCTCATCCACATCGTCGTCGTCAGAACTGATCCATTGTTGGCACGCTTTGAAAACGTTGATTGCTCGTTGCTGAGGGAGGAACGTGACGTCAGAATCCGCATTCGGCGCACTCGCAGCCAGTTTTCGTAGTGTAAGCAATCCTTGCGTGTTGGCTTTACTTGCTGGGATACTGAGGAGATCGGCGGCAAGTTCGTTCCGGTAGCGCTCTAGTCTTGAAGGCTCTAAAGCCGACGCGCTGATGGCCGAAATGATGGTGATGCATGTTTCTGGCGCTGCAGAAACACTATGAGAGGACGAACTCGACAAGCAAGAGGGTTAAGGGCTGACCTAGTTTCTCGATCTTTCTTGCTAAACCCAGCCAAAGTTCTGCTTCTGCCCGATCTGAATCTTGCAGTAAGTGCCGTAATATCCTTCCCAATAAACGGCAATCCCGACTGGACTCTGACCGTCGGGCACGAGCAATAATATCGGCCAAGAATTCTGCGACTGGGTTTCCGACAGTGATAGGTTTGCCGCTCGTTACCGCACTAATAACATTTGACCGCCAGCCATCATCGCCACCTGAGGTCAGCAGGTAGGTTTCCAGTTGACGAGCCTTTCCGACCAAGACCATTAAATCCATGCTTAAAGTCGACAATGAACTATCAAACAGAACACTGGGTGTATTTGGAACAGCAAGGAGGTCTTCCGCATATAACGCCAGTGCGAGAACATGCGTCCAGCACCAGACATTGTCTTTTGCCGCTCGACGGTCGTCCATCATGGCTTGTATCAGAGCGGTCACAGTCCGCGCGTAGGTAGAAAAACCGCGTTTGTCGTACGATGAAATGGTATGCTCGATTTTCCGAGGATTAGAAACCGGTAAATCAGGATGTAGGACAGCAAGAGTGGGCGATATTGGGTCAGGAGGAAGAGTCTCAAGCAGCTCGTTGAGCTCGTGTTGAGAGGGGAGAATATCTGCTATAATGCTCAGCGGATGACATGGTGGATCTTGTTTTATGGCTGCAAGAACGTCTTCAGGACTAAAAATTCTTAAGCAGCAGCTTGGATTAGTCAAAGGAGTGTTATACCTGACACAAACATCTGGGTTGGAGACGATCATCCGGAGCTGCCTCTTCACCTCCATCACTATGGGACCCGATATACCGTCGTCTTGCCCCTGTAACCAGATATTGGCCGCTGGAGAGACATCCACAGTCGCTTCTGTTTCGTCGAGCGAGTTGGATCCAGGCAGCACATACGCGAAGATATACATCGAGGGAAGCAACATCTGCCTCTGTGATTCCGCCAACAACTCAGGATTGCCACCAAGGACACCCGTAAGGATTGCCAAATCGGATGAGAATGCTGTTAGGGGAATAGGTTCGGTGGGCGCAGCTACCAATGCCGCTTCGACGCGGTTGACGAATGTGGTGACAACACGAGCGAGAACGGTATTGAATGCAGAAGCAGACAGGAAAAGCTCCTTTCGTTGAAGAATAGGACTAAGCAGAGACGTTGGGATGGTGTCATTGTCAACGAAGAACGAGTCCAGCGGGCCGGTGGTGTCGGAATCGGCAGCGTGCAGACCTTGAACAGCTTGTTTGGCCTCTGGGCCGACTAGAACCCGCAATGCATCTTCCACTGCTTCAGGATGTTGCGCGAGGGTGCTCAAAAGAGAGCGGTAAACAGATTGGCGCTTCGGGACGCGATGAGTGAGATATGCAAACAGGAGAGTCGGGGAAGTTAAAAGAAGTTGATAAGCCCGACGGGAAACGAGCTCATCCACAGACTGTGAATGGTGTTGATCAGGTTATCTCACGCAACCAAAAAAAAAAAGACCAACTTGAGTAAAATCTTCGTCTTTGAAAACATCGGCACCAAATATGCTCAAAGCACGAACAAGAAACGCCCCGTCTTCTCTCGCGACCGCCATTTTTAATATTCCCGTCATCAAAGTGCGACCGAATTCGCGAATACGTGTATCTGCGACTCTCCGTCTCTGGGCGGGCGAAGTCGAAGTCGGATCTAAATCCGATGCGTGGCCGGTTGCGTTGCCGACCATGGCCGCGAGGACTCTGCAAACAAGGTCGGCGTTGCGGCCGGCTCGGAGACATCGATCAATCTCTTCCAGTCCTCCAGAAAGTAGATCTAATGGTTGCCTTAGATTGGAAAGACAATTCCGAATAATCACACACCTTCGCCCACTCCTGCTGCACTTCGAAGGGCACCCAACAGCAACGATGCTGCTTGAAGAACATCACACTGAAGCAAAGATTCACTATCTTTGTTGTTCTCTGCCTTCCTATGATCCAGCGCAAGCCATACCCTCCTCAGCTCTCTTTGAAACAACGAAACACCATTATCGCTGCCTTCATGGCCTTTACCCCGTCGGATGACGTAGACCGTGCATTCGAGCAAAGCACCAACAAAAGCAACGCCAGCCAGGGCACGAGCTACCGGCAACGCGGTGGTTAGTGCTGGTGCAGGAGTTGATGCGGAAGGGGTATCTGGATCTGGTATCTGGTCGGGAGGACCACCTAAAGCAGCCCAGAAAGCCGCAAAGAGGGTATGTGGTGGGAATAGGATCTAGTAGTGGTCAATCATGCACACATTTGTAGCTTCTGGAATACCTCATGCGGCAGTGTCGAAAGCACGACAACGATACTTGGGTAGGCTGTGATTGGCGCACCTCCACATGCGTTTGCAAGGAAGGTGGTCAAAAATTCGTCATAAGCAGGTTGTGCAAGTACCCAAGCGGTCGGATGATCTGGATTGCGTTGAACGCAAAGATTGAAAGTGATAATATAACACACCTCTTAAAAAGCCCAATAGACCACCCCACATTGCTCCTTGAACACCTCCATCTGGCTCGACCCAAGCAGAGCGAAGAGCAGCCTGGGAAAGAACATTGACGACTGCAGGCGGTAAAGGTTTTCGCGTAACAAGAGCAGATACAGTGCTCCAAGCCATGCGTCGTAATACTGGCTGGCTATGCCCCAACCCTTCCGTCAGTCCTTCCGAATCCCGGTAGGCGGCATATTCGTCTGCCTCCTCGTCTGCATCTTCGTCGTCATCCGATGAGAAAGGAGGCAGAGGAGCATGGTAAAGTGACGACCAGAGCACATGTGATGCAAGGAATGCGGGAAGGGGACTCTGGGTTGTCTCTTGAAGAGGAATTGGTGTTCGACTCGCTGAGATAAAGGCCAAAACGCACCGAGGAGATGCTTGAGGAGGCCAAATGCTGATATCCTCAACCTTGCGCGGCGGTCCGGCTCACTCTCCTCTGACTCATCTGCTTTGATTCGGGGAGGTTGAATGGGTTGAGGGGCAACTCCAGTTGGCCGTTTGATTGTCGTTGAAGGAGGAGGAGCTGGTGGCAGCGGATTCAGTTCTGTATAGAGAGCATCGGGATGGAGGAGGGTTCGTTCTGCAAACGCATACAAGGAACTTGTTTCCGATGGCTTGATGCGTGAAGCGGACGCGACAGAGGCAACGGAGCGATCAATATCGTGGGCAGCCAGTGCCCATGTGCCTGATACTAGCTCGGGGGCGTCATCGATTAGAGAGGGTCGAAGGAGTTCAAAGCGGAGGAGTATGGCATGAATATTGGTGGTGAGTTGCCTAATTCGTCGTAGCGGATGAACGAGATTCGACGGGAGGTGATGAATCCACACCGGAAGCATGTCAAGAACCGTATATAACGTTGCCTCGTCGTCGTCGCATCGGTCTATCCATCCACTCTGCAATTCCTCCAATGCTCGAGTCTTGGTCACGGCTGCTTTTTTGCCCAAACTTCGTAATACGACCAGAAGCTCGGGAGGAAGCCTATGGGCGAGCCCCGTGGTCTCGAGTGGGTCCCGGACTGCTGATGTCGGTTTGACTGGTGCGATGTACATCTTTACTCGTGGAGGATCAGACCTGTGCCTTTTGTCTTTCTTTTCTCTGGGCGGGGGCGGCTGTTCTGCGAGTCCCGATGACGCCGCCGCCTTTCGAGCATGTTTTTTGCGCGTAGCTGACGATGCCGATGACGATTTAGGAGGCATCACAGTAAGCGAACGGAAAAACGACAGCGTGACCAAGCATTGACCGTGACGCGTGACGTCGAAAAGCATTGACCGTGACGCGTGACGTCGAATCGGTTGATATTTTGTTGACTCGAATAGACTCGAATACCAGCAACTGCCTAAACAAAGCTATTGGTATCTGTTATCAAGGCTCTTTTGCATATGTGCTAGCTTCAAGATCCCACTCGGACAAGCGTCGTCCTGTTCGAGCACCTCACCGTCCAAATCGCGCAGAGCTTCTGGAGCAGTGATGCTGTTTAATCTACCTAAGCCCTGGAGCCGCCACTAACACCTCACTCATGCCTACCATCCAAGACGATAAGCCAGAGCAGCCTGCGCGTATATCTACGCTTCTCCATCGGTGGGGCGTGGAGACACATGGGTAAGCAACTCCGAGTGTATCAGCCAGTTCTTGCAAAAATAATCTTGAATGTTTTTAGAATCTCTCCTGTCCAAGAGGAGGACCGCGTTGACCCGAGAAACTATCAACACTTTATTCTCTGGTCCTCTGCCAACATCAGTTTACCGACGTGAGTGTGCTTTACCCTACATAGTTTTCTTGCCCTTACAGCTTCAAGAATGACAATCGGTGCTGGCGGGCCTGTCGTTTTCGCTCTTTCGCTTCGTAACGCAGCTATCATCATACTGCTGGGTGACGCCTTGTGCGTTGAGACGTCTGTGCAACTCAACACTAACGACCCACACAGAGCCAATATTATCCCTGCATACTTGTAAGCAATGCGGAGCCTCAGGCTTGAAGTGTCTATAATATCCTGTAGTGCGCTATTCGGGCCTAAACTCGGCACTCGCGCAATGGTTCAGGCGTAAATGTTTCTCCATCTGCTAGTTATTATTACTGAATTTTGTCTAGTCGATACTCTTGGGGGTTCAAGTTCTTCTGTTTAAAACGCTCTTTGCCTCACCATACCTTATTTTCAGATACTATGCTGTTGTTATCCCCAGCGTCTTGAACATCATTGGCATGCTCGGCTATGTGGTCTTCAGTCTTATTTCGGGTGGCCAGATGCTGGCAACGGTCTCCGCCCACCTGACGCCTGATACGGGCATTGTCGTCATTGCACTCGTTTCGTTGGCGGCTTCATTTTGTGGCTATAAGACCCTCCATCGGTGTGCATTGCGAGCTGAGTTATCATGATAAGCTAACACAGCACTATACAGATTTGAGAGCGTCGCTTGGATTCCGACCCTGCTTGGAATCGTTGTAATGCTAGGGCTCGGTGGACGACAGCTCACTACCACGTCTTCTCGCATTCTCCCGCCCCCTTCAGTCGCAGCTATACTTTCGTTCACTGGAACAGTCATGGCAGCAAATTGGGCTTGGTGCACAATGACCCCAGACTACGGCGTTTATCACAACGGCGAGGCATCTGGGCTAGTCCTTCACTTCTTCCCATCCTCAATTGATATTCATCATCAGCTGGCTGATCTTCACATATATATACTCTGCTTTGTTTCTATCGAGCGTAATGCTTTGCATCGATACTCACTTCTTCAAGTTGTCACTCACTTATCTTAGGCTTCGTTGCACCTACTTGGCGCAGCGTTTGCATCGGTAGCCATGAGCGGTACTATTCCAAGTTGGTCAACAGGATACGAAAATGGCAATAACTTTGGCGGACTTGTATCTGTCATTCTGGCACCAAGCAAAGGCTTCGGAAAGCTTTTGATGGTGGTCATGTCTCTGGCTCTGGCAGCTCCAACAGCCTTGACGATGTACTCCTTCGGTGAGCAACGTATTACGAAGCCAGTCGTCCCTGAGTCTTTTTTGACTTCTCAGGGATGAGTCTTATGAATGTCAGCGGCCAGTTTGCGCGGGTACCGCGATACATTTTCGCCGTTATTGCGACAGCCATGTAAAAGTCCAGTTCTTACTCGTCTGCCAATAACTCAAATTGTACACGCAGTTGCATTCCCTTGTCCATAGCGGGTGAAAAACGATTCTACGATGTCCTCGTTGCTGTTATAGGTAACCCCGTCAACACATATGTGTCCGTGGCTCATTCATTGGCAGACTTTATTGGTTACTGGGCCGCTTCCTTCTCTGGTGTAATTCTGATGGAGCATATTCTATTCCGAGGCGCCGTCTTCAAGTTCTCTTCAAGTTCTCGGGTTTCGCGCGGCTACGATGTCGCGCTATGGAATGTTCCGCATGCCCTTCCGCCTGGTTTGGCAGCCCTTGTCGCCTTCCTTCTCTCATTTGCGGCGGTCATACCCTGCATGGCTCAATCTTTTTACGTGGGGTCAATCGCCGCATTGTTCGGCAAGAATGGCGGAGACATTGGTTTACTCGTCGGTTTTTTCACTGCATGTTTGTCATATCCCGCGATGCGATGGCTCGAGAAGAGAGCATTCCCTGGACGGTAGAGTATTTGGGGGAGGTACCACTGCAATATATAGAATCTATAGCAAAGCGTTGCCAAACTTATTTTCCAGTTCATCCTTCTCATCCTTCCAGACCGGCCGCGGAATGCGGAATACGTCTCCAATAGTGGCATAGGCAATTTCTCCGAGTCTGCTGACTGGACGGAGTTTGACTGGATCAACCAGTCCCCGGTCGTTGAGAACGGCGTTGCGGATATGGATGTATTTGACCGTTCCAAGGATAAGATCAGCAGCGACGCCTCCCGCCGCATTCTTGATTTCGATATGTTGCAGTAACTGGATGACTACTGCTTAGTAAAACTTGAAAAAGGTTTGAAACTTACTTCGCATTCCATCGTGAAAGCAGATTCTTTGACTCTTGCGGCCGTTACAGATATCTATATGAGCATCAAGACTGCTATGTCTGCAACATGGAGGAAACTGACACTTGGCTCTTTGGTTAAACCAGTAACGGTCCATTCGTTGATTTCGGCCGGGGCGTCAATAGAAGCCGCATTCGCTTGGACGATCCAGGGTTCACTGATGATATTCACAGTGAATCCTTTGGTTTCGCGTATATTGTTTGCGGTGTCTTTGTGTCGTCCCGCTGGTGAACAAGAAACAGAGATGACCGGCGGGTTTGTGCTGACCTACAATCATGAGCAAGCATAAGAACGCCATGAGAAGTAGAAGTACCTGGTTGAACCAGCTTATATTGTGCAACTCAGGCATTGAACCAAGATGAAACTTTCGATTCATGCGTACCTAAACGGTGCGATGTTCTCGCTACCATTGGCTGCGACAGAAGACACAAACGCGATGGGGCGAGGCACAAGACCGGAGACACTCAAGGCATACAACGTCCTACACCGATATTCGAGAAACGAACGGAATGAGAATCAAGACAGACCTCGGATCCTCCTTCGTTGCATCGATCGTCTTCCAGCCCTGTTTCTCGTCCTCGACCCATTTGCGACCATCTTCAGTTGTAGTGATGGGATCTCCAAAAGACCACGATGGATTCGGCGATTGAGTGTACTTGAAACTGGTGGGTTCGAAAGGTGGAAGGTCAGCCATGGCTGCTTGTGCGAACGCTGATATGGCCTCATTACATGACGGCTTCGCGTTAGAAAATGTGCACAAATGAAGAGGTGCTGGATTTGCGCGGTACACCAAAAACTACTGAATTCCGTATAAATCTGTGCCGCAAAAGGTCAATCCTGATCATATGACACATGCTGCCTTTCCGGATCCGGCATCTAGCTTCGCCCTTCTCGTCTACCTTCATCGCTCTCCGGACCTTACGCAGATTTTCCGCGATGGGTGGAGGCGCGCAAACAGTTAGCACCTCCGAAAGACTGGCCACTCTCCGCCAATTTCTTGCCCAAGAACAGGTCCATGCATTCGTCGTACCCAGCGAGGATCAACGTTAGTTGCAAACGAATTCATTCCCAGATTTTTCTCAGTTAGGGTGTACAACAACTCCATATAGACTCAAGCGAATACCTGGCAACTTGTGATGAACGACGAGCTTTCATTTCAGGGTTCAATGGGTCTGCTGGTTCGTCGATTTTCTGCTTGCTTTGCGGGATGGTACCAGCTCATCAGGAGGTAGGATGTGCAATAGTCACACAGAAGGAAGCATTGCTGTTCACCGATGGCCGATATTTCCTGCAGGCTGAGCAACAGCTCGACGAGTATGTGCTCCTCTATTATCAATTGTGTTTTTTTTCAACTCTGTGAATCATGCAGAAACTGGACATTAATGAAACAAGGGCTGCCAGATGTACCGACCTGGCAAGAATTTCTCTCCAAGGTACGTGTTCAGAGTAGGAAATAGTAATGTCCTTTAATTCAATCCAAGAAACTTCCTGCCTCTTCGCGCATTGGCATCGACCCCACCCTTATTTCCGCAAGTATGCTCCTTCTCAACGAAAAGGCTCCAGCCGCTCATGGTCCCAAGCCGATGCTGATGGCCTCAACAAAGCGCTGAAACCAAAGGAATCTGCCCTTGTCTCTCTAAGCAAAAATCCCGTCGACTCCGTCTGGGCTGAAAATCGTCCCGCTCGACCTAAGAGTCGTATCGCATCTCTCGATGTCAAGTTCTCTGGTGAATCCCATCTGTCTAAAATTGCTCGGCTACGAGAAGAGTTAGCGAAACGGGAACCCAAAGCTAGTGCAATGGTAGTCACGATGCTCGATGAGGTCGCATGGCTCTTCAACCTCCGCGGTGCAGATATTGCTTATAATCCCGTGTTCTTTGCGTATGCAGTCGTCACTCTGGACAAGGCTACCCTTTTTGTCAACCCAGAGCAGCTTGATGACAATGCGCGAGCCGCGTTGGGAGGCGAGATCGAAGTGAAGAGTTACGACTCGTTCTTTTCTTCGCTGAAGGGGATTGCTGTGGATGGTTCCGTGGGTCAAATCCACTACCAGATTTTCTTACAACTGACATATGGTTCATAGACGGTACTGCTGGGAGACAAGTCAAGTCTTGCTGTTGCGGAGGCTGTTGGTGAGGTACTATTCTGCGAAAATACTTCGTTGCCAAATATCAATGTCTGACAGGGGAATTACACACTAGCTCTCTCGCCAATCGCGGAGATGAAATCGATAAAAAACCCGACTGAGTTAGAAGGGTTCAGGCAATCCCACATTCGCGATGGCGCTGCTTTGGCGCGATATTTTGCGTGGCTGGAGGAACAGTTAAATGATGGGGTGGTAGTGAACGAAAGTCAAGCAGCGGACAAGTTGGAAGAGTACAGAAGCGAGCTGGAATTGTTTGCTGGGTTGTCATTCCCCACGATTTCTTCAACTGGACCCAATGGCGGTATGTCCCTAAACGCTCAATCATATTCATTTCCTTACTCCTGACAGCGATCATCCATTACTGCCCTGACGCAAACGATTGCGCGGTTGTCAAAAAAGACCAGATCTATCTTTGCGATTCTGGAGGTAAGTGCATGGTATATATATATATATATTGAACCACGACTGATCGGTGAGTAGCGCAATTCTTTGACGGTACCACAGATGTGACTAGAACATGGGCAAGTCTCCAACTCGTTTACGCTTCCCCATTTTGAAGGTCGAATGACAGCATTTTGGCACACCGACAGCAGAGGAGAAGAGGGCTTTCACTCGTGTTCTACAAGGACACATCGCCATTGATGCAGCTGTATTTCCGGTTGGAACAACTGGTATGTCGGCAACGACGCCAGAGCGATGACTAACCACGATGTCAGGATATCTTTTGTAAGTTTCCAGATGTAGAGCTCTCGGGGTCTGTAATGTTTTACGTTCAGGGATCCGTTTGCTCGAAAGTTTTTGTGGCAAGATGGTTTAGGTCAGAATATGCTGTTTGTTCGGCTCGATGCCTGATTGTTATAGACTATCGGTCTGTCTTTTTGCCATAGTGTGGTCGGCATTGACACCTAATTCCTTCAAGTCACGGAACTGGTCATGGCGTTGGCCACTACCTAAATGTTCATGAAGGTGATCATTGACGATGATAATCGAATCGTGCTTTATTGATCTTTTTAGGTCCTCATGGAATGGGTGTTCGGATCGGTATGTATCCTCATCAAAACTCATTTGCGAGGATGAATGAGTTTCATAGCATACAACTCCACTCCGTTAAAGGCTGGCATGACTGTCTCCAACGAGCCAGGTTACTACGCAGATGGTCGCTTTGGTATTCGCATCGAGAATATTGTCCTTGTCCGCAAAGTTGAAACACCCAATAACTTTGGCGACAAAGGCTTCCTAGGATTCGAGCATGTCACGATGTCAGTCCAGCCAATCGCTGACTTCTCCCTTCAAACCTGATTCTTGCTTACAGGTGTCCCATCCAAACCAAGCTGATTGACCAGTCGATTTTCTCAGCAGAGGAGACTCGTTGGATTAACGAATATCATGCGGAGATTCTCAGCAAGGTGGAAGGATTGTTAAAGAACGACGAGAGGGCGCTGAACTGGTTGAGGCGAGAATGTGCACCAATCTAACACATGTTCTTATGTCGCGGTCACCTGCTTGATGGTCAAAATGGGCACGATGTATTCGCGTAAATTACGCCTACCTTCGCTCATTATTAAATGGTGATGATGCCTTGAGAAAAGTTAACGCAGACTCAGGCTCATACCCAACCCTCGTTGCAGAGCAGCCAGATCCGAGAGCGTAATTTTTAGCTATATATGTAATGATTTTAGAGCCAAATCAGAATGATGTGACAAGCGTTATTAATTTTCGGGGTGCTGCAAGAGGGCTGGCGCAGCTAGCCCGGCCCGGCTCCGAGCTGCGTAACCTCCACCTACCACTCTTTTCTTCCTCCGCGTCCAACCCATCTCCGCAGTCTGCGAACGACGTGTCGACTCCAGTCCCGACACCTTCCATACCCCCTCTGCCTCCGCCGCCACCCCGGAAGCCCACCAAGCCGATGCACAAGTGGTCTATTCGCGAAACACGGTCAGGCTAGCTGCGCCAGCCCTCTTGTAGAGCGATCCCAAACTTTTCCGTCACATTTGTCACACTTCGGATTTATCGGTTAATCATATGTATCACATTTGGCCTTTAAATTGCGACTGGGATTGTGAGCTCTACAACGAGGGATGGGTATGAGCCTGACGCAGACTCAAGTTTCGTTCTGTTGAAGACGCCTCGAAAGGCCGTGACCGTGCCTCGGATCAAACTTTAAAATTGCGCCGCAACTCGCTTGTGCTGTGCCCCTGCGTCCACCCTTTCTCCCTCGTTCTCTTTGGTTGTGCCCGCATGTCTATCTTTTTACAGCCTAATCCCACATATTGCTACCAATCAGTCGACGGTGGATGCCAACGTGGGGCAGAACATTGTCCATTGCGACATGATCTTCAACGATGCTCTTGTGGCCGTGTGTTGCTCCTTGATGTGGACATGCAAGCTCACCTGGCTGGGAGAAGGCACCGTGAAGACCTTCGTGAGCTGAGAATGAGACGACAAGAACACCAACGAGTTCCAGAAGCTCTCGTCGTGAGTGGCACTTATTTTTTGTTTCTCACTATGAACATCTTCAGAACGAGGAAGAAGAAGCCACGCCCTGCGACCGCTGTGGGGCGATGCTAGCCCAATATGAGCAGAAACGACATCTCCAAATGCACCTCAGAACGCGCCGAAGGCTGTTTGCGGACGCCAATGCGATGGATTTGGAGGCGGAGGCAGACAAGCACACAATTTCGGTCTCACACCGAGATGGCATCGACTTTGGTGTCGTCGGTCTCGAAGACTCACTCCCTGTTGATATCACCGTACTCAAGGCCGGGATGGACCGCATCGTGCTAGAGACATTGGCCATGAGGAATTTGGCCTCCAAGTGCGTGTTTTTTGACTAAACTCGCATTCCTCTTGTGTATGTTGTTCCAGATTCTCCGCAACCCTTGCTGGCAAAAGTCGATGGGTCACGCACATCCGAGCTCGCACACTCTGCATTCGGTTTGTTCCAGAGATCGAAGGCGAATTCAAGGACGTGTTGGAGCTTGTGTTTCTCAATGTCACCACACGCGAGCGGTTTTTGATCACGCGCAAAGTGACCGCCACGGTTGGTTCCAAAGAGGACCATGAATTGCTCAAGCCGACCTCTGAATACGTGCGGCGGCCACGTCCCACACCGATTCCATTCAAGGGGAAGGTTATTCAGAGTATCCGTCCTCCAACTTGGGGTCCCAACGCGTGGAAGTCCAAGCTGTTGCCATACGAACCACCTGCGGACCTGATCAATGTCGCATTTGGGTCACCTCATGGGAGGGACGTGGCAAGAGGCGTCAAGAGGTTAATGCCCTCCAGTTTTGATGTCAAGACATACGCAAAGTTTTTCCAGACTTTGCTATACATCGAGGATTATCAGATGAGGCAAGTTTTATGCCATGTGGTATTGTCTTAGTTTTGTCTCACCGCGATTAGATTGAACTTGGAGTTATATGCGATGACGGATGTGGAGTTGAAGCCCAATCATCCTCGTTATGAGTGAGCAGGGATTAGCTGAACCGTCTGACGTTCGACTGAGTTGCTTTAGTCTTCAAGTCAAGGGCCTTGAGGAAGGCCGGCCAAGTGTAGTCATTGGAGATTTCATCCGTGTCAAGTAAGAGTCTGTTTCAATTTTTGTCTAGATTGTTACTCAAGACTGAGTCAGGCACACGGGCAGCGAAGACGGTCCATGGTATGAGGGGAGGGTTCATCAAGTCCACCAGAACCACGTCAGCCTGCGGTTCGGAGACGAGTTCAGCACCTACAGGGGAAACAAATTTGATGTTCGCTTCACGCTAAACCGACTGCCACTTCGGCGAATGCATCAAGCGTTGACGAATAAGTCAAACCCGCAGCGCCTTTTATTTCCAGACGCGCGTGCGCCGTCCCTGAACCGGCGGTCTTCAACGGCAGAGATGGACCAAATACTACCCGTAAACCGTCTTGTTGCCGAAGACAAGGAACAGCTAGAGACAGTTGCTGCTATATTGCATCGCCCGAAGGGGGAGTGTTCCCTTCGTGGTTTTTGGGCCGTATGTCAAATGGTTTCATCTACACTTTTCTTGGTGGCTAATGCGAGGAGCAGACCCGGAACAGGCAAGACGGTGACCATTGTGGAGGCGATTAAGCAAATTGTCCTCAAAGACCCGAATGCGCGTGTTCTAGCGTGTGCTCCGAGCAACTCCGCGGCGGATTTAATGGCTCAAAGGCTGGCATCGACGACGGAGAGTCTTTTACGACTTAACTCCCTGACTCGAAAGCATGGTGACCTGCCCAAGGATCTGCAGAAATATTCCTTGATCAACGGAAACCTGACGTTTGTCCTCCCCATCCTGGAGGACCTCGAGAAGTACCGTGTTGTTGTCTCAACGTGTCTCTCCGGAGGCGTGCCCGCCCAGCTAGGAATTAAACGTGGGTATTATTCACATATCTTTGTTGACGAGGCTGGGCAGGCGACCGAGCCAGAGGTCATGCTCCCAATCAAGAGCCTTGCAGATGTGAACACAAATATCGTCCTTGCAGGTGATATTAAACAGCTTGGCCCCATAGTGCAGTCATCATTGGCGGCTAGCTTGGGTCTTTCGAAGAGTTATCTTGTGCGCTTGATGCAGCGCGATATATATAGTCTAGAAGCAGATGCGCCTGTTGGTGGGCGCGGTATCAAGTCATTCCACTTCCTCTGTGTTTTGACTGGTGGGCTGACGATTCTCCAGTATCGTCAAGTTGGTGAATAATTTCCGGTCACACCCGGCTATCTTGAATTTCTCGAATAATCAATTTTATGACGGAGAATTGGTATCATGCGGGAATCCCGCACTCATCAAGAGTCTCGAGAACTCGGATGAATTGCCCCGCAAGAAATTCCCGTTGATTTTCCACGGAATCGCTGGTAAAGACCAGCGAGAAGGGTTCTCCCCTTCGTTTTTCAATATTGACGAAGCTACGATCGTCAAGAAATATGTTGGTTCATTATTGTCCAACAAGAAGCTTCGGCTGAGTAAGTCTACCGCGTCATATTTTGGCACGGGTCAATCATATGTGTCCAGGAGCTGAGGATATCGGGATTATCACTCCCTACCATGCCCAGCGGTGCAAGATAAACTTGTTGCTCTCCAAGGAGCCCAAGTTCAAAGGCATCACTGTCGGGAGCGTTGAAGAGTTCCAGGGCCAAGCATGTTTCTCTGATGCCAACGGAGTCGAAAACTGAGTTTTCATTAGGAACGGAGGGTGATAATTATGTCGACAGTCAGGAGCAACACCAACTATGTCGAATCAGACATTCGAAAGTCGCTTGGCTTCGTGGCGAGCCCGCAACGTTTCAATGGTATGTCTTTTTCAGGTCGATGATGCCTGATTGGTTGACAAGGGCTTCTTAGTCGCCATCACGCGAGCGCAGGCGCTCCTTATCGTCGTGGGGAACCCGGATGTTCTCAGCCTCGACCCTCTCTGGCGAGAGTTTATGAACTATGTGCATTCTGGTGGTGGTTGGCGCGGCAAAACGATTTCATGGGACCCGGAAGTGCCAGTCAGCCAGTCGACGCCTGATGTATACGACCGCGCGATGAAGCGAAAGGCGGAGGGAGATGCAGAAGAAACGATGGCACGCTTAAAGGCCCTCATACTCCGCAGGAACGACGATTCCGACTTGGAGTTGGACCTTTCTGATGACGAGCCAGAATGGGGCACGGGTATCGAACAGCCCATCCGCTGGGACGCAGAATAAGCAAATGGACGAATGGAGTTGGTACAAGCTTAGTGTCATAGACAGAACAAGAGCGTGTAGGCGTGGCACATCCCCCACCATCCTTATGCCAAAAAAGGCAATTACGGCCAGAAGGGAAATGACACGCTGATTGCGCTGAAAATACCAAGAGATACGGCAAGCAAAGTACAAGAAGGCACCTTTAATTGTCAGCTGTCCGAGGTCAGTTATAAAGACGCGCCAGCAACCTTGTTCTCCCCAAGCCAGTCGTCGCTCAACCCGCTCTGCTCTGCTCTTCAGCAGCTCCCACCCTCTTTTGCTCGCGCCTCCCTATCCACCATCCATGCAGCTTAAGCTCGTATATATCTTTGCTGCTGCTCTCCGTGAGTAATCTTAGGTTTTGCCACCATCTTGACTCAAGCAAAAAATGAATTCAGTGACTTCTGTCTGCGCAGCACCCGTTCCTGCTAAAATCGGCCCTCTGGATATTGAAGCTCGGTCTTCAGTGAGTCCCTCCACTGCTTGATCGCGCTTATTCTAACTTGTCAAAAAGGATTCCGAGAGCACTGGCCCAGAAGCTCGCGGTTGTCGCATGTACAGCTGCATATGAGCTGTGGACCCATCTAGCTAGACCCACCACACTACCACTTCCGCTCCCCATGCTATACATGTCCATAATTTTCCATGAACTGTATCGCTAGCTTTATTTCTTACTCGTCTTGTGTTGCGGTGTCAGAAACTCGCTTGTACCACATGCCCGGAATGCAACTTTTTGCTTCGTATTGTACATTTAATTACCAACCAAGTGTACTATTCAGGACTATAACACGTTAGATGTTCTCCTTACATTCTTAGAACAGCAAAGCATCTATAACCAGTCTTCGGAAGATGTCGTTGTGTCCCAAAGAGGGCGGTTCGTCCTCCTTGTCGCGAGCAGAGGCGAATCAGAGTTGTTGAAGGTCGCGATTGGAGACACGGGTAAAGGCTCGTCGGTAAAGGGTATAATGTCTTCTTCAGGTATACGCGGTGCGGAGCCTGTTGCGTGACGCAACAATCGCTCTCGTTCTTCTAGCGCTTGGAGAGCGGATTCAGCAGAATTAATCATTTTGCGAAGGGCCTCTGTACTAATATCAATCACAGCAAAAAAAAGCTCGATAAACTCACGTTCGATGCTCAACGTGAAGAGTGTCTAGCGCAAATCTTCAGTTGGATCTCAACAAGCAATATATGCTTACCTGTCTCGCATCTTCATCCTGCAGAATCTCTCTCTTGATTCGTTCCCCGATCCTCTCCGCTCCCGTTATTTCGTTCAGCAACTGCTGCAAGCCTGGTGGCAGGTCCTCGCCCGAGTCCATACCGGCACTGTTGCCCGAGCCGACGAAATACGACAAGTGCTCGTGGAACGTTTTGGCGTCTGCGAGTATCTTGTGTGGAAGCGCTTCCAGCTGCGTCTGGGTGCGGTCATGGGCGTCGCGGAGCTGGTCTTCCCGAGATCTGTGATGATTCAAAGGCGGTGGTGTCTGACCGGAACCTGGATGCGTCCTTCCCTTCCTCCCCTTTTCCGCAATGACCTTGGCTCGCTCGCGATAACGCTTCACTGCACGATCAAACACGCCTGTGTGCATCACGCTGTGATATTTGGAAGAGAAACCTTCTGCAATAACTTGGAATATTTTCTTGAGATGGCGAACTCATAATCGGAGAAGCAGCGTACCCGAAATCAAGATAGTCATTGTGGCCACACCGAGTAACGCCCATGCAACGAAAACGGACCTGCCCGCTGGAGTTAATGGAGTGTAATCACCGTAGCCGATAGTAGTGAAAGCTATGAAGCCTGTGGGCTGGTCAGAATTAAGGTTAGGGAACGAGACAAAAAAACGCACAGAAATATAACGAGGCTCCCAAACTCCACCGTTCAGTCTTCATAAAGATCAAGCCACCGACCTGGAACGTGTTAACCACATGCAGAGAATATAACAAGCACACACAATCCAAAAGCCCAAAAAGAAGACCCATACAACCACGAGTCTTGCGTAGAACGCCCTAGTTTCCTCCTTTTGCATTCCTGCCCGGAAAGTCTCGTATTGTAAAGTCAACGACTTTTTGGCCGGTCTGATGTTGTTTGGATGGGTCTGTTTGTCCCCGCGAAGATGGCCGGATTCGTCGACAGCAAGGGCAAAAGCACCTATCATGGCAATCATGCGGCCAAAGCGGGCATGCGTAAGTGGCAGAGTTGTATCCGTGGGCAGCACGACTGGGCCCGAAGGTGTCGGATGGTGGACGGGCCGATCGGACGATGAGCGGCTGTCATTTTCCTCCCGCCGCTCGCGGTAGCCTTGAGGCAGGAGATTGTCGAGAGCGATTCCTGCTTCCATGGCCGCGGCCTCAAGCTATCATTCATAGCAGTCAGCGCTGGCTTACGAGCGAGGCGAATGAACAGACTTGTTTCCAAGATAGCCCGTCCAGATTGAGATGCATTCCATGTGGATGGTGTGAATGCAGGAATCCACTGCCTTGACTCCCTCCCGACGGCCATAAGCTGTGGAAAAACTCCTCGATTGCACCGAAGAAACCATCACTTGCGGGCTCCATGGGGTTGTTCCTAACCCACACAGGTTGTTCAGCCTCCCGTAGTCGCCATTCTATCGCTTCCTGCCAGCGATTTGTCACTCTTCTTCGCCAACGGCCGATTCTCCGGCGCCGCAGCACTTCCTGGACTCGTTTACGATATCCCACCTCAAGACCTTCGAGGATTGTCTCCCTGGTAAGCCCGACAGCAAGAGCGATAGTGAGAATTCCAAAGACCGCGTATAAGCATGTGAAGAGGCGGGCACCCGTCGTGAGAGGCCTAATGTCTCCAAACCCTTTGATGGTGAGGATGTGTACAATCATGCGATACGGCAGCTCACCTATGGTCTCAATTACCACCAGGGAGAAGTACATCGCGTCGATGAATGTGAGGTCAAGAAGGATTGAGTGGATCAGAGAGCCGATTGCGATATAACTGAGCAGGAGGATAACAAGAATTGCCAAGGAACGTTGGCGTCGAGTTAGACCACTACCTGTCCATATGTGTGAGACGAACTATTGACGATGTCTAGTTGCGTACCGCTGTTATCGAAATCCGGTGTTCGCATAAGGTCAATGACGAGTGTGAAGTTGGTGAATAGGGATACAACGGTCGAGCAGACTTTGCATTGTCATTGTGAGTGAGTCTGAAGGAAACTTGGAACGAACCAGTCATCCAAAAGGACTGGCCGTAGGTGAATCCATCGTCGAAGCGGTGCTCGACACCAAAAACAGTGACCGCAATAACGTTTATTATGTCTACATTGAGAATTTAGCGTCTCAGCGAGCGGGACTTTTGCAGCGAAGGTACCATGGATCGTTAGGAATACGATGCAGGCAATGGTCATGAGTTTGACCTTCTTCTCGAGGAACCGGACAACAAGGCAGACATTGGCAACTACGGCACAAGCCATGCTAAAGGCCAGCCCAATGTCGAGGATAGCGGGGTTCGCCTGGGTTTCAACAGTTCGGTTGTCCTCTGTTCGGATGTACCAGTGCTGGAGAATCTTGTTGTGGGTGTATTTGACTGAATGAACAAGGTCACCGACCTCTGTAAGCCCCGGTATTTCCAGTAAGATAGAGAAAGGGATGATGATGCCAGAGAGGATTGGCGTGTAGCGATAGTTGGGGACATACGACTCGAGGTCTGCCTGCGTCGTTTTGGGAATTAAGACGTCCTTGAGCTTGAGATACCACTGTGGGGTCTTCTTTTTCTCCTCGGCTGGAAGAGAGAAGGATGACGAATATGTACCCTCGCGTCGTGGACGGTCATCAGGAAGGGGTTCAGCGACAGTGTCCTCTAGGTCGTGAAGCATATCGTGTTCTGCGGCGTCGAGGTCTCGTTCAAGCTCCTCTGGCTCTTCCTCGAAGTCGAACTCTTGCTCTTGTCCGTTCTCGCCATCGGTGGGATCATTAGGTGGCTCCAGTCCCTTCTCTCCAGCTTCAGCGTCAGTGGCAGGTCCGCGGTGGTGAAGAGCAAGAGCGAAGGGCACCAGTCGTAGCATTGTAATGCTTATGGAGGAAACTCCAACGGCGCCGGCATCGGCAGTTGGACGAAGTGGTGCTAAGTGGTGGGAGTGAAAGATTTTAGACTTGCTGTTGTTCAACCAGCCTCCAACCAGTCGCTATTCCGTCGTAAATCTGTGGAATCCTAGTGCAAGCGTTAGTTTGATTGAATATACCTAATTTGGGCTGATTTGATGATATGTGACCGATGTGACATGTGACAGGCAGAGTTGTTCGATTTACGACTCCAAGCGCCTGGCACCAAATGGTGTTGGCCTTGTTTGGCATCAGCATTGATGGTGCCATCAAGCTAGAGAGTCGAGAGGCAGGTATGGTTTCAGGCCTGGCATTTGAAACTCTTCTATTTGCTTTAAATTTACTTGGGCCTCTCTTCAAAGTTTCTACTCTTTGACAATGAAAGATTTCCATTAATTTTTTGGGCCAGTCCGGTGTGGATGCACAACACTGAGTCTAGATGTTGCTGTAGTACATATAACAAGGAATTGCTTTTTATCTTAGTTCATAAATTTAATGTTGGCCAAGTTGCCTGCACTGAGTGTACTCTAAGCTGAGATTGAACCCTCAGCCCTCCAGTGTGTTGCCGACAGTTCCAGCTGTGTATGATGGCACCATCAATGCTGATGCCAAACAAGGCCAACACCATTTGGTGCCAGGCGCTTGGAGTCGTAAATCGAACAACTCTGCCTGTCACATGTCACATCGGTCACATATCATCAAATCAGCCCAAATTAGGTATATTCAATCAAACTAACGCTTGCACTAGGATTCCACAGATTTACGACGGAATAGCGACTGGTTGGAGGCTGTTGTTCAACTAGGTGCCGGCCTTGCCGACTTGGACCTTGCTTTGGGCCTCCCTTGATTTGGTCCTTTCTTTAGCTATTATGCAGCTTTTAATCATAAACAAACTTGTGTCATATTGTTTTTCCATTTGTTTGTTTAGCCCTAGCACTGAGGCTCTCTACTAGTAGCACAAAAAAATAATAGAATGGAGAATTTTTTGACAATTCCTAGTGGCCCAAGTAAATTGCCACAATACCATTGCACTCAAAGTAACAATTGGAAAGTGTCAACTGTCTGCCAATTTTTAATTTTTTTGTGCCTGAAAAGGCTAAAAGTTTTAATTTTAATTTTAGTGATTTTTTTTCAAGGAGTTTTTTTTGCTGTGTAACATGTAACACAGACACTTGATTGAAATACTATAGTTAAGGGAAACATGAAAGTTGAGCAATAAAGAGGAGTGTGTGACAATAAAACATAAGCTGAGTGATGTCACAGATAAGACCCGGCCCTACCACTCTGGCACTATAGTCAAGCCACCGAGGGCCAACAACATACAGCATGTAACAACGGGGAACAGGCATCTCTTGCAGGCCAGGCGCTACTCCTAGCCTCCTATCACTCCTCCCCAATCCCCCTTGTACTGCAAGTTGGGCTTGGCATCAGCTAGTGATTGTCATGGGCCACCTGCAAGAAATCATAGGGTGGCCCATACCCGTCGCCCCGTACCCACAAGCATGGGTGCGGGTATCTGCCTCTTCAGATGCGGGCCTCGGGTAGCCCATAATCCTGTTGGCCCATGGGCACCTAAGGTGGTCAGGTGGTCCTTCGCTGGCGACAAGGAGATCTCTGATGCCTCCTGCATATCAGAGATCTTGCTTGTCACTTGGAAGAGTGCCAAGCTCTGTCCCAGCTCCCGGCCCTGGAGTGTCCGGCAGCTCGGCACTCTAACAGCCGAGACCTGCAAGCCTGAGTGCGGGCCTGGAAATTCTGGGAGGCAAGCCCGTACCCGCACCCAAGGAGGCCCGTCCCCGCAGCCCGCGGTGGGTCACACCACCCGTGACAATCACTAGTGTCAGCCCGACATATTGTTCTCAGTCACGTACTTCCCATATGTATGTTCCTCCCTACTGGGGCGCCTGTTCCCCGTTGTTACGTACTGCGTGTTACAGACCTGCAATGGCCTGACACCAGCACTGGAACAGACGGGCTGGGTCTTATCCATAACAAGACGGCCCTTTTGGTTTGATTCGACCCTGCTTGGTCTGCTTGTGGGCCCGACAATCCATCTGTTCTGTTCCAGACGTGTGCTTCTCAGGAGAAGCCTAGGCAATGGCATGAGTAAACCCCTGGGTATCCAGAGCCTTACTCATACTCATACCTGCACAGCCACCATACCCATACCCATGGGTATGGGTATGAGTAGTCATGGGTATGGGTATGGGTTTTACTCATGGGTATTGTCAATTTTAAACCCAAAAGACTGATATTTTTCCTAGTGTAATGCAACATTTTTGCTTGAGCTTTGTAGATGCCACTGAAGTGATGTTGCTTGGATGTGGACATGCTCTCGCTTGCAAGTACGATTGAGATTGATATAGCATATCTTATCTGATCTACCCATGGGTCATGTACCCATGGGTCGGCGGGTAAGAATTTTCCAATCTATACCCGTACCCCGGGCGGGTAAAACCCGCGTACCCGCGCGGGTAGGGCTTACCCGTGCCATTGCCTAGAGAAGCCTTGTATGGCCTGATCCGAAGCTTGACAAGTGATACCTACCACAGCCTGAGTGGACTATTCATTCTAATATGAAACAACAAGTGGACATGCACATCAATTTGTTAATTTTTTTATCAGTCACACTCATCCACTCATATTTTCCTTAAAGACATCCAAATGAGGCAATTTTCCTCTGTTCTGGTGCTGGAGGTGTCAGCGTCGGGCTCGGGCCGTATCGGGGCGTCGGGGGGTCCGACTTCGGAGAGGTCTGAGGAGCACGAGAGATGGGTATTCGCCCGGAGAATAGACGATATTAGCCTAGCGACTACATCTTGTAAGTACGACTTTTATACGCTACGGTATTAGGGATGGATCGGATGGGCGCTAGGCCCCAGGGCGGATCGGATGGGCGCTGCGCAGGGTCGTAGGGGTGAACGGAAGGGGTTGGAAGAATGAGGGGCGTCCAGGAGGACGGTGTATACGGCCCGTGCGGGCCCGTTCGGGCCCCCGTGCGGCCTTACGGCCCGGACGGCCCGACCCGAACCGTGACATCACCCCCTCCGTTGTGGGCGGCGCCTCGACGCCCTATGGGTCCGCGTCCCCTGGTCTTGCTTTCGGATTTTCCATCGGCCCGTTTACGAGTTCTTCGCGGGGCGCGAACGGGTTGAGAGTATAGAAGTCCTCGAGTGCCTCTTCTGCGCCCTCCAGTTTGTCCCGCAATTCCCACGTCCACTCTTCCCGAGGGTAGCCTTTCCACTGAATTAGGTATCTTAGGCGGTGTCGTCCTTGCTTTCGTACGAGCGAGATGGCCTCGACTTCGTAGTGAGGCTCGCCGTCCCGCATTTCTGCCGGGGGTGGTGGGGCGGCCCGTTGATGATCCGCTACGGGGGGGTTCCAGGGTCGTAATAGCGCCGTGTGGAATACGGGGCTTACGCGCCAAGTTGGGGGTAGCACCAGTTCATAGGATGTTTTACCCACTTTGCGCTTAACTTCGAATGGCCCGAACCTCTTGTCATCCAGTTTTTTTGAGGGTCGATCGCTGGTCAAATTCGTCCCCTGGAGGTAAACTTTATCCCCTTCGGCGTAATTCGGGTCCGGAGAGTGCTTTCGGTCGTAGTATCTCTTCATCGTTTCCTGGGCCTCTTTCATAGCTTCGGCCGCATCGGCCCGGGCTTCCTTCATTCGTTCGGCAAACACCGTAGCGGCCTCGGTCGGGACCTCTTGCGGGGCCTCGGACCCCTTTCTCGGGTGGAATCCCAACGTGAGGAAGAAGGGCGAGAATCCCGTTGAAGAGTTAACCTTGTCATTAAACGCGAACTCTGCTAGGGAAAGCCAGTCTGACCAATCGCTCTGCTGGAAGTTGCAGAATGTTCAAGGTATTGCTCGACCTCCATATTCGCACGCTCTGTTTGCCCGTCCGTCTGTGGGTGATATGCCGATGAAGATCGAATCTTGATTCCCAGCAATTTGCTCAAGTCGCTCATGAAATGCCCGATGAACTGCTGGCCCCGGTCGCTAGTTACCTCCTCTGGGAATCCGTAATCTTTCCAGACGTGATCGCGGTATAGTCGAGCGACTCCTTCCCCGGAGATGTTTCCCGTGCATGGGAGTACGCGTATCCCTTTACCCAGTCGATCTACGATTATGAGAATGGCGTTGTACCCGGAGGATTCGGGTAGTTGAACGATCAGATCGATTGATATGCGCTGCCAAACTCGAGTCGGCACGCTATTCGGGACCAAGGTTCCTACGGGGCGTCTCGGGAATATCTTCGTTCGTTGGCACAACGGGCAGGCTCGTCACGTATGCCTGGCAATCGGCTTGAATGGACGGCCACCAGTAGTTGCGGGTCGTCAGCTCGAGGGTTCGATGCCACCCCGGTGTCCCACGATAGGGATGTCATGGTGTTGCCGTAGCACTCGATGCCGCAGTCCCATAGCCGGGGTACGTATACCAGCCCGTTCCGAGTCTTGAAGCCGTCGTGGCTGTTCCCAGCCTTCCGGTTCTCCGTCTTCCCAGAGCTTGAGGACCTTTTCCTCAGTGGCCGATTCGGCCCGCCGGATCGAGTCCATCAGCCCGTCGCCCTCCGTATGCTCTAGTGTCAGCATAGCGGCGCGTGTTCCTTGAATAGCCCCGCAGGAAGTAGGACGATGTCCTGATTATCTTCCTTTCCGTTGTCGTACCCCGTTTCGTCGGGATAACGCGTCGGCCCGCCCGTTCGTTTTCCCGGTTTATGTAACAAAGAGAAGTGATACTCACTCAGTTCGAGAGACCATCGTGCCTGCCGCCGGTTCAGTTTCTTAGCCGTCATGAAGTATTCCAGATTTTTGTGGTCGGTCCAGATTTGAACGGCTTATCTCCCCCGTTCTGAAGATAATGTCGCCACTCGGTAAGGGCCCACATGATAGCGAGCATTTCTTTGTCATGGATGTCGTAGTTGCGCTCGGTGTCGTTCATAGCTCGGGAGAGAAATGCGATCGGGACCCACTTCCCCTCCTGCTCTTGCGAAAGGACGGCCCCGGTGGCGAAATCGGAAGAGTCCGCTTCGACCCGCCATGCCCCGTGATCCGTAGGGAAGTGTAGTACGGGTTCATCCGTGACCCGGTCTATCAAGGTCTGAAAGGCCTCCTCTTCTTCCGGTCCCCATTTCCATGGGCTGTCTTTTCGGGTCAGCCGGGTCAGTGGCTTGGCGTGACGCGCCAAGTCTTTGATGAATCGTCGGTAGAAGTTGAGGAACCCCAGGAAGCTTTGAACCTCTCGCAGGTTACGAGGCCGGGGCCATTCGCGCACGCCAGCCAGGCCTTTGATCGGGTCCATGCGAAGTTGCCCATTCCCGACGATCACACCAAGGTATTCAACTTCGTTCCGCTCGAAGTCGCACTTGTCCGGTTTCAGGTACAATTGATTGTCCTTCAGGATCTGTAGGACCTCTTTCACCGTTGCGCGATGTTCGGAGAGGTCGCTAGAGTATATGAGGATGTCGTCCAGGTACACGATCACGCGACCCTGGGAAATCAGGTTGGAAAACAATTCGTTCATCATGGATTGGAACGTGGCCGGGGAGTTGGTGAGGCCGAAAAAACATCACAAGTGGTTCGAATAGGCCCCGATTGGTAATGAACGCGGCTTTCTCCTCGTCGCCTTCTTTTATGCGGATGTTGTTGTATCCCCAACGTACGTCGAGCTTGGTGAACCACCGGGCGTTACGTAACTTATGCATGATGTCCGATATGAGGCGGTATCGGGTATCGGTTTTTGATGGTGATCTCGTTCAACTTCCGGTAGTCCTGTACGGGCCGTAATTTCCCGTCCTTCTTCTTGACGAAGAAGAACGGGGATGCGTCTGGGGATTTCGAGGGCCGAATCCGCCCGGTTGCCAAATGTTCCTTGATGAATGCGTCAAGCTCTTTCTGTTCCTCTCCTGATAGGGGAATGCAGCGCCCTTTGACGGGTTCGGCGTCTGGGTGTAGTTCAATGGCATGGTCCCACTTCCTCCGTTCCGGGAGTTTGTCAAGTCCTGTTTTTCAAAACCTCTTTGAATTCCTCGAGGTAGTGCGCGGGTACGCTCTCCTCGGTGGTTCGGGGCTTCTGGCAGCGTGGGCGGCGGCGGCTTGTTTGGTGGCCACGCTCTGCATGGCCCGGATGTGGGCGGGCGCGTTCGGACCTTCGTCGTAAATCCGGGTGACGAAGAGGCGATCCCCTTTGCCCAGGGGTTCGTTGTCCTCTTCGTCCCCATTGTTCCAGCAATCGGGCCCGCTTGCACTCGGGCGGGCATCGGGTGAAGGCGATCGCCCCTTCGCGCCAATCGATCACGGGGTTGTGCTTCTTGAGCCAGTGATGCCCGATGATCACGTCGCTGTTCCCGGTATCCGTGATGGCGAATGTCAGAAGTTCGGAGTGATCCTGAATGGTGACTCGTAAGCGGGTAACGTGGGTGATCGCCCGTCGGGCGTTGATCGTCCCGTCAGCGTTGTACACTGGGACTGGGTGCGGCAGGGCTTCGAGTTCCAGTTGCGAGTCCTCCGCGAACCGTTTGTGCATGAACTCGGAGGTGGCGCCACTGTCGAGGAGGGCGTCAACCGAGTACCCGCGGAGGTCGTTGACCCCTTGAAGGGTGACGGCTACCCGTGTAGCCGTGGTGCCCTCACTTTTCCGAAAGGGGGAGCATCTTGCAGTTGTCGCAAGGCTTCGGCTACGTCGGGGCGTACCCGTTCGTATGAACTCTTCTAGTTCGGGCCCGTTTTGGCTCGGCGGGCCGGATGTATCCATTGTTGTAGTTTCGCACGAGCCTTCTCGGGCTGGTCTCGACTTTGGGCGACAAGCCTCTCGGCGCTGGCCGCGGGCCAACTTTTCCAAGCGGGCCTTGGAGTGTCTCGTGTGGGTTTGTGCGGGTTCTTCTTGCGGGCGGAAACGGTGGTTTCTGGGGTTTGTTCGGGGTTGGTTTCTACGTCTGGTCCCACGTATCTCTGGATTGGCAACACGGAATATCAATTATGCGGGTTGTAACTAGAGACACTTGTGGTATACGTCGGCGAGGGCGTAGGTTTCACTCGCGACGATCGCCAAAATCCGCTTTATCCGCGTTATCCTTGACAAACTCGGAGAAGATAGCCCGGATCTGGTTTGCCGATGCGGCCCGGTTCGGGCACATCCGACTGATGTGCCCTTCCTGGCCGCAGTTGTAGCAGCGAGTGCTGCGGGCCGTAGCGGGGGCCTGGGCCCGGTCGATCTCCATAGGTGCGGGCCCCGTCGAAGGTCCGGCGACCGTGGTTGCCCCGTTTCCTCGGGGTGCGGCCACGGCCGTCGGTGGCGGCGCTGATTGCTGCGTTTGGGCCCACCCCGTTGAACGGGTTGCGGTTGCTGAGCCCGCTCTTGGCGGGGGGGGGGGCCGTCGGGGCGTTTTGGCCCGAGGGTGGTTAACCTTGTGGCTTTCGTCGAAAATGCGGTAACGGCGGAGTGCGCCGTCCTGCTTGATGGCCTCTGCCTTCCAGGCCTCGTAGGTGTCGGGGAGCGTGTCCTTTCGGTAGACCGCGTTCGTAACGCCCCGGAGCATACAGTTCTTGGCAACGCGAATAAGGTTGACGTCGTCGTAGTGCGACTTTGTTGAGAGAGTCGAGGACCGTGAAATAACTAGTTGCGTCCATGTCTTTGGTCTGGACGAAGGTTTCCATCTTCTGCTGCGCGATTTCGGCGTGAGCTTCCCCGGAAGGCCGCGATGAAGGCTTTCTCGAAGCCTTCGTGACGTAGTATAAGCTGCGGCCTGCGGAGCTTCATGGCTTGGGAGACGTTTTCCTTCCACGTGACCGGTTCCCTCCTTTGATGTAGGAGAGTGCGTCGAAATCTTTCGTACCTCGTCGTTATAAACATTCGGGTTGGCTTCAAGGCCAACCAACAATCGGCCAGGAAGGCGTCTACTTCGCTGGCGTCGCCCGTGAACTCCTTAGGGGAGAGACGGTCACTCGTGTGTTTCCCCGTGGGGCGATGAGCCAAGTCCTCTCTGGCTTGGCGGAGCAGATCGTAACTCTGCATGACTCCCTGCTGTACAGCTGCGTATTCCCCGTTTACTCGGGACAGCTCGGCCTCGAGGACCACTTGTCGATTCGTCAGGGCGGTGTTTTCCGCCTTGAGTTGCTCCATCTCCTGACTCGTTCGGAACAGATGGGCGAACAGGAACTCCTGTTGTTCGCTATGGCCCAGGGCCATGAATCGGGCACGTTCGTCCCCCTGGCTTGCGGGGGTGCCCATCGTATCTGTCGTGCTCGGTAGACATTTGTCGCGCTTCTTGCGTTCGTGGGGAGGCTAATATTCTGTCAGCGTCGGGCTCGGGCCGTATCGGGCGTCGGGGGTCCGACCTGGAGAGGTCTGAGGAGCACGAGAGATGGGTATTCGCCCGGAGAATAGACGATATTAGCCTAGCGACTACATCTTGTAAGTACGACTTTTATACGCTACGGTATTAGGGATGGATCGGATGGGCGCTAGGCCCCAGGGCGGATCGGATGGGCGCTGCGCAGGGTCGTAGGGGTGAACGGAAGGGGTTGGAAGAATGAGGGGGCGTCCAGGAGGACGGCGGTATACGGGCCCGTGCGGGCCCGTTCGGGCCCGTGCGGCCTTACGGCCCGGACGGCCCGACCCGAACCGTGACAGGAGGCGCCAAAATTGCCAGGTTCATTAGGCATATCATAGCCTTCAGGCCCTAACAAATTGAATAAAATATGATTTCATTCAGTTTACATGTCACATGTCACACTGCCAATATTATCCAAATTTCTCATATGTTATGTCATTTTATTTATATTCCTGTGCCTAGAATAGTAATTTATGATATTTCTGGGTGGATATAATGCCAAAAACTTCCCAATCGTAAAATAATTTTAATTCTAATTTTTTGTATTGAATATTACACTTAAAATACCATTTGAATTGATTATTATTATTGCAGTAGTTCTATTATATAGAATAAAGGACTTTGTATATTTTTCTAAAAAAAACTTATCAAGGATGAAGTAGAAGAACTATGATATCATCAAATCCATCAGATAACTTCTGTTTCAACCTAATCCAGACCAAGAGGTGGCAGATTTGGTCCGATCCACACACGAGTGATGGGCTGTCAATCAAATGTGACATGAGCCGTGACCCTAGCAGTGGAAAAGGCATCTAGCCTATTGATGTTAGGGAGGAGTGGTGGGCTTGGGGCTACAAGGGTAGATTAAGCATATGTAGTCGTTGAGAGTAATTGAGAGGCATTGCAATACCTTCTATCAAGTGCAAAGCTGTTGGCTGCGGTGAGTAATATGTATTACACATTTGATGATTTTGCCCAAAAAAGGGTGGCAGGTCGACCTGCCACCCTTTTTTGGGAAAGCCATCAGCCATCACTCGTGTGCGGATCTGGGAGATCTGCCACCTCTTGATCCAGACTGAGCCAAGACAACAGATCATCAAAATTAATCTTACCTAATTGGGACAACAGACTGAAAAAGTATAATTAGAATTATTTTCATATGAACTCCTGATATATAAGGCTATGTACAAGTGTATATCTCATAGTTTTCTATAAGTTTTCCAAGATACTGTCATTCACCATCAGAATCATAAGGATGACAAAAGTCCGGTGACAAATCAGTGGCAGTGAAGAGATTCCCCAAGGAAACTACGGAGGTTTGGGGGTTTTTGGTTCGGGTAGAGTTTGGTGTTGTTTGGCTGCAGACCCATCAACACATCATGATGTGGCGAATATAGACCGGGGAGGGACCTTGCAAAGCAAGGTGATTGAGCATTGAAGTTTGGTACCGTAACGTACTCTCTTTGTCAACAACGTCCACTATTCAGCTGAAGAATCGGTGCATGCGACAATGTAGGCATGGGCGAACTTGAAAAGGTGGATTTGATCACCTATTTCTCTTATTGCTTTATTTCTCATGGCGTCGACTGCCCTCGACGCACTCCTCACGCGTCTACGCGATATCAAATCAATATGGATCCAAAACCTCAGGAATAACCCGCGTAATGGGGTTATGAAGGTTCAGCTCCCCGGCCGCAACAAAAGAGAATACCCTGCAACGCTCGCCCTTTACGCGCTGTGCGATCTGGCGGAGGATGCGATGAAGCAGTTACTTTCTGCCGAGGAGCTTGATAAGTTCCTGGGAGCTGCTTCTGCACTCGAATCCGCGGTCATCGATCGCGAGTATGGTAGTGTTACTGGCGATGGGTTGAATTTCATACCCATTTCTTGCAAAAACATCTTTAAAGAGGCAAGTAACCCACGAATGAGTATGTGCTTCTCTTACTCTGAACATTATCTCGACTCTCTTCAGAAGCGGGTGCGTATGACTCTGAGGAACTATTGGGACTCATTGGTGATTTATACGGGCAAATCGCAAATGGGCTTCCGGGTACGCCACACACTCTTTTGTGTCTCTTTGTGTTCTAAAGCTGGGTACAGGACAGATGCCCTTACGACGGCATTCGGACGCCACATGGACTACGACCCCAACTCTCGTCCCAGCAAAACCCACAGCACGCCCCTTGCACGATTCTGTGCCAACCGTCCTGCTATCGCAAGTGCTGCTGCTCCTGAACTCATTGCATTTGCCGAGGCACGCTGCAAAATTCTTTCCGACCGTATACCTCTCCCAATACATATGGGCATCTTGGACGACATTGTGGCTGTCATCGGTGCTAGTGGCTGGAAGCAACACGCTCCAACGATGCTCATCCAGAAATTATCCGTTCTTCCAAAATCTGCTCGTTCCCGTTCATATGACACTTTTGGGGAGGTCTCCCCCGATGTCGGTCTCGCCCATGTGGCTCATGTTTTGCGCGTTGACGGGAGTCGCAAGCTGGTCTGGGTGGGTGATGAGGAACGGGTTAAATCCTTCCAATGGAGCTATGACGACGAGGGGTTTGAGGGCAAAATGCTGCCCGTCCATACCTTGCGGAAGTGGCGAGTTCAAGCATGCGATGCTCTTGCGTGAAGGCGGCGCCCGTATTCTTCGCTCTGGTCGTCGTGGCATGGCAATGTGGGACGTTACGTCGCTCCCCACTCATGGACCGGATGGAACACGAATTGTTGGCAAGAAGATGAAGTCCGTCGAAGATTCATGGCGTGACGATCCAGAAGACATCGAACTTTCTAGCGGAATGAAACCTACTTTGATAATCGAAACAACGGCTCTCGCCAACATCGTGGTTGCTCAGAATCAGCGGATCTCAGCTCCTTGCGGTCCACCAAGTAGAGCATAAGGGGGCCACCACTGTTGCAGCAGTTGATGTTGAAAGCCACAAGTTCGTCATGAGATACTTGGGTCACGCTGCGGATATTGGGTCACGCTGCGGATATCAACTGCATCTCAACAACAAGCGGAATGGAGAACCCTGCCACATTTGTCACTTCTGCCTCCGATGGCGGTGTTCGTTTGTATGATACTCGACAGCCTACTCCTGAGTTTGTTGTCGATCACGGGGACGAGAAAATCCATGCTGTACTCTACGAACATATCGGCGGCCAACCTTGTGTGTGTTTTCATGCATATCACATATTATATTGATTCCCAACAACAGTTATAATATATGGAACATTGAAATCACAGCAAATAAAAGTCTGGGATGTGCGTAACCGTGCCCCGCTTTATGAGCTTGCAATGGGGAACAACTCAGTCTCCGACCTGGCTTGGGACGTACGGGACTGCACACGACTACCGTTGGGCAAAATCGGGAGTCATGGGAAAGAGTGGCTAGACAATAGGGATGCTCAGTTTGGTGCATCTGGCTCTCAGGCCAGTCGCTCGGAGGATGTAGAAATGGAAGACGATGAGGGAGAGTCAGAGGATGGAGAGAATTATTCGGATGATGAAGGGAATTTGGTTGGCCAAATAACGCCTGGCACATGGAAAAATGATTTGGAGTGGCGTTCGACGCTGGAGAGCATCGTATCTGTGCGTTGTCTCATGAGCTGGGCGGACCAAACTGACCTGATCTTTAGTTCGCTACCAATTCAAGTTGAACGCTAACCCTAAGATTCTGCCTAGCTATGGAGATGCTATGCCTGGCCAAGATAGCTCCTGGTGAACATGGCTGCTTCAAATAAAAGACATTCTGTATTTAGTTACTTAATATTTTAGTCATCAAATCTTTCTGTATCATTAACATTGCAATATGGTTCATTTTGGTGAGATGGTACAATTCCGACTTTCCATTGTTGTTAAGTCTTCTGTGGTCCTTGAGTCAAGGTTGTGAGGATTGATCTGGCATATATATCCTCCCAGATAACTCACCCTCTGCTTTAGTACCATGCTTGCCTATCTTTACAGACTTTGGTTCTTGAAGTATTATGCAATAGCATACTGGTGTGAATAATGGACAAGCATTCAAGTGGCAACTGTCACCGGTGTCATTGTCACGGATAAGACCCGGCCCATCCACTCCGGCGCTGGTGTCGGGCCATCGAGGGCCCGTAGCATGCAGCACATGACAACGGGGAACATGCGCCCCAGTAGGAGGAATGCACACATGGGAAGCACATGACCGAGAACGATGTGTCGAGGCGTTGCCAAGCCCAACTCGACACTAGGGACTGGGGAGGAGTGCTAGGAGGTTAGGAGTAGTGCCTGGCCCGCAAGGGATGTACAATCGTCCCCCTCTGCAGCCAGGAACGGGGGCGAGGGAGGAGCAGGAGAGGCCAGGGTGTCCAATCACCCCTTTGCGGGCCCGCGTATATAATGCGCAATAGCGTACCATATACTCTATCACTTAGATTGTCTGAAGAACTACCTTTCTCCATGCAAGGAGGTGCCAACAACTCATCGGGCCCGACACAACCTGATTCAAACTTTCAACCACTGACAGCGACAAGGGACCGAGTCAATGGGTCCTTTTGGTTTTGATCTACCCCGCTTGCTGTACTCGCGGGCCCGACGATCTGTCTGTTCTGTTCCAGGTGCGCGTTCTTAGGAGAAGTCCTTGCACAGCCTGACCTGCAGTCTGACAATTCATATGCATTGGTTTGTTGTCCGCATGTCAACCAAAGCAGCTAGCAGAAATAAATTTTGATACTAGACTACAGGACCTGTACTCTAGATACTTGACTCTGAATTGAGGTTGTGTGAGCTACCCCGCTGATGGTAGATTCCTAGTATAACTTAATCTCATCATCAACTACTACCTAGTTATATTATGTGATTATTTATCAAGTTGGTCCATCAACTAGTCTGGCTTTCTGTGTAACAGAATTTCAAATAAGAAAGTCAAAATTTTGATCTACAATACTTTACTTAAAACACCAAAACACAATGCTATATTAATGAGGAAAACGAACATAGTACTCAAAGCTTCATATGAGCAGTCAAATATGTAAAGGCTATTAAAAAGAGAAGACACACTAGTAGACAAGTTTTTTCATAAGATAACAAACAGTTACTTTCTTTTATTGTACTTGGACGATACTTCTTAGTAGTGGTATTTTAAGCTCTTGAATAATTTCAACAAGATTATCAAGAATATAGCTAGAGCTGTTTATTGAAGTTATCTGCTTGAACTTCATGAAAGCATCACATAGCTGTTCTCTTGCAGTTGGCATATCTAACCAAGAAAACCATTGTGGCCAGCTTGATGAGACAATATGACCTGTGCAGCTATTGGTGATCATGAACTGTAATACTGCCATTCCTACCAAATTATTTGATTGCTGTACAAGCTTTGAAACTGCAGCTGTAAATTGATTTTGTAACTGGATATTAATTTGCCAGTTAAAAGAGAATTGTAATGAATCTTGTGCAATAATACTCAAGGTTTCTATAACTATATACTTGGAGACTGTGTTCCCTATGATATAATTCATAAGCTCAGTGATTAGTGTTATTCGTGTAACAAAAAATATAATAGTATAACTGAGAAATATCCATATTCAATGAAAATTCGGGAATGACTTGACTGATAAAGGTTATTGGCAGTAGCTTCTGTGACCTGATAGATTCTATGAATCCAGAGAGAGAGAAAGCTTTGGCTGCTATCAGAACTAGATTAAAAAACAATGTTGAGTGCAATTTACTTATATCTAACATCTTTATAATAATGTTATAATCAACTTCTTTTTAAGGCAAGCCTTTTTCTCTGGGTTATTATTATCCATATAATTTCTAGAATGTCTTCTATACTAGTATCAGTATAGTAATGATGATTCATCCTGATATTATAATTTGAATTGTAGGAATGATTTGTAATGCTTGTCATTGTCATGCTCAAGGATTGCCATAAGTGACTATCAAGTTTTAACCTTTTCATAAATTTTGAAACTATTTGATGGATTGATACTTTGAACTGCAGTTTTTCTGTATTATGCTGACTAGAATACTGAAGATATTTGATAATTTTATTTGGAACTATCCTTGGCTGTTCAGGTCACCAACAATCTGCTAATATACCGATTAAAGTGTATGCAATATGTAATTTCTGTTCTGATTCAGGTTTCTTATAATCCAGCAGATGTCTAGAAGCAGTAAAAATAATAGTTTCAATCCTTTCTAATTCATTGACTAGTAAGAAAGTACTAAAATCCTTTGGTGTCACCAGTTCCAATGTTTCTCGCCAACAGAATGGTAGTAATCCTGTCTTTGCAATTTCAGAGAGATATTCAAAGAAGAGAGTGTGTGAAAGAATATAAGAGAGGTTTTTTGCTTTAATTTCAAATTTAGTGGCTTGAGCTGCTGACATATCAAGCTGTGCATATTGCTGTATAAGTATCTTCCTATCAGCTAAAGTATAGCATGCCTCAAGGCATTCTAAGATTGGTAACAAGTCTGGTAGATGAGCTTTAGGTCTATTTAGGCCCAATACACAGTTCTCCAGATACTTTTGTAGCCACTGCAGTGCACTCCAGTGTACCATGGCCAGGACAGAAGGTTTATATGATGCTAAGGTAGGCGACATGTGATCTCATCGAGTGATGTGATGGCTCTGATGGCAGTTGATGGCCCACCTACTCTGCCACGAGGAGTGCACTGTTGGATATTGTAAAACCAAGAATTTGAATGGTTCAAGGCCCTGAGCAAACTCTCGGTCTCAGAATTTTTGTATCTGTCCTCTACATCAAGTTATAACTTCCTTTTTTGGCAATTATGTCTGAATTTTTTATTTGACTGTTTGAGCAACTTTGGAAAAATCTTGAAAGACTTTCGCGCCTCCAAAATGCATGACAAGTCACGCCACATGATGATTTGTCATGCACACGTGATCGTGTCGTGGACCCCTCAAGTGGTATGCCACACAGACCAGCAGCCAAAAGAGTACTCAATTTGGGTGTTCATGCTCAGAAGAAGGATAAGGTGCACATTTTATGGTTTTTCATCACTAGAAACTGACTCAAGACATGATACAGGCTACAGTGGCATAAATTGAGTAATTCAAGTGATGAGGAGCCTGAAAACAATGCCTATTCCTTCCCACATGATAACTCAACACTGCTCTCCATTGACCCACATCCCACATCTGACTCCGAGTCAGATGACAACGCTCCACTCGAAATTGAGGAGGAAGACAACGTGCCACACTCCACCAGTTCTGACACCCTCCTTAAATGGTTGCAGCTCTGCGACGACCTGCTACCGGTCAGCCATTGCGTAGTTTCTGCAACAGCCACCATCAACCCTCGTCCAGCCATCCACGTCAGTGCACGTCCACACCGCCGAGTCCAGTACCACACAACCAAGATTGGAAAGAAGCCTTCAAAACGGACTCAGCAGGAGAGAAATAAGGAAGAAAGGGAACGTACCGAGAGAGAAGCCCGAGAGAACAAGGCGCTGGGCTTGCGGAACGGAAACCTTTTCCGCGCATTCGGGAAAGCACAGGCACGAGTTGATGCCAGAAGACGAGACTCAGAGAAGACCATCATTATTGATAATTCAGACTCGGATTTGAGCAGCAATGGTGATGTCGAGATGGTAGATGTCAATGGAGACAACATTGAGGAAGCCGCAGCTTGTGCGGAGACGACCGTGACGCCACCAGCTCCAGAAATACCACCGTTGGGTCCAACTACCGCAAGGTTGTCAACGAAGAGGGCCTGGGTTGAAGAAATCGATGGGGATAATGGAGAGAGTGGGGATGAGAGTGGGGATGAAATCACAACAGAGCCTTTGGAGATGTCAGCAGAAGAACATGCAGAGGAAGGACTCGATGAGGACAAACCTTAGGACCCCGCTGCCGAAACCCTGCTCTCTGCACCCAATATCCCTCCACCTCCAACAAACAACCCACCTCCAATAAGCGGCTTCACGCTGCTTAATTGTGTTGACGCACGGCGGATTCCTGCCCGTATTCCATCCAACAAAGCCGTCGATGCTGGCATCAAGAGTCTCCATGACAAGCTGTGTCCACCTCAGAAGAACGGACAACGTCGCACTCGGGCCAAACTCGATTTGGTGCTGCAGGCCCGCCTCGAGGCAATGCTGCGGTTCTTGCGGCTCTATCGCGTGGTCGGGTTCCGGGGCTGGACGATCCAGTCAGAGGTCATCGCGATGGCAAGTGGGAAGATGGGGAAGAAGACTTGGTTTGCACGCAAGCTGCGAGAATGGTCAATCAGCTTCTGCGAGAACACGGCAAGCTTACCGGAGCACAAAAATATAGCCGATTCAGCTCTTCGCTTCTCTCCGATGAAGACGTGGCTGGCGCTATCCATCTCCACCTGCAAAGCCTTGGTAAATGGGTGTCCGCCAAACAGATCGCGCGTTATGTACGCACGCCCGAGTTCCAAGCCCGTCTCCGCATCAAACGCAATATCTCCGTCCGGACCACGCAGCGTTGGTTAAAGAAGATGGGTTATCAGTGGAAGAAAGAGCCGAAAGGGATGTATTCTGATGGTCATGAGTGGGCAGACGTGGTGGATTATCGCCAGAATGTGTTCTTGCCTCAGTGGCAATTCTACGAAGCCCGCTCGCAGCACTGGAAGGCTGACACAATATTCAAGGAAGCAGACGAGGACTGTCGGAGGCAGCTGTTTATGAGCAACGATATCGACTGCCGACCCTATATTATATGACGTCAAGATGAATCTATCTTCTATGCCAATGACCGACGCACCACGCGTTGGGTCCACGAGTCGGAGACGGCAAAGATCAAGGCAAAAGGAGAGGGAGTGAGCGACATGATCAGAGATTTCGTGTCGCCTGAATATGGCTGGCTTCGATCTAAGCAGCTCAACGCGCGAGGGTGAGTGTATTTCTCTTCTGTGTGTTCCCATATTGACCAACTTTGAAGTGAACTTGAAGATGCACGTGTCCTTCTGAAGCCCGGCAAGAAATGCAAGGGCTATCAGACCACGGAAACAATCCTTGCCCAAGTCACCCGTGCAATGGACATCCTCGACCACGATTATACTGCGGATCGCCACATCTTTGCATATGACAATGCAACCATCCATACCGCGCGTTGGCCGGATGCTCTCAGCGCCGGACCATCCGTGAACTTCAACAAAACAAATGGTGTCTGTGTTCACATGCGGGATGCCACATTCTGCAATGGCACCCCACGGAATCTCTATCAGGCCGACGGCACCACATTCAAAGGCCTTAAGGTTCTTATCCGAGAACGACGTGCCAAGAGTCACAGTCTCCCTGACCCCAACTCCATTAACCCCACAACAAAGAAGAAATATGTTGTATAGTGTGGCGGTAGCAGTGCCTTCAAGTGTCGCATCACCACAGATACAAGATACTGCCTGCGCAAGATGATGTATTCGGAGCCCGACTTCAAGAATCAGAAGTCGATCTTGGAGGAGCACTGCGAGAAACGTGGCTATCGTGTGTGCTTTTTTCCCCCAAATTCCACCTAGCTCAATTTCATTAAGCAATGCTGGGGGCTATGCTAAGCGCATCTACCACATGTATCCCGAATCGACATCAGAGGACGATCTTCGCACCAACTTGCTGCAAGCTGTCAAATCAGTGCCAATTGAATCAATGTGACGCTTCGCGACACGTTCAGCACGCTTTGGTGATGCTTACTTTCATGGAGTCAATGGTGCAGAGGCTGTTTGGGCCAACAAAAGGATACCGCGGGCATCGTAGTTTGCCGCCATTGTACAAGGAGGATCTGCAGGAGGCCAAAACCAAGTGGCCAGCTTGGAAACTTGGTCCTGCACAGGCCTGAGTAGTAGAAAATGTGTATTGGATATAGTTAAAAATCTCAAAATATTCCTCCGGCCTTTTCTCGCCAATTCCATACTGGTTTGAAAAATTCACTTGAAATTTCACGTGTGGCTGTGTAGATCAGTCACATCAGTAATGATCAGTAACGCTTGATGAGATCAAATGTCGCCTACCTTAAAGCATCTCTTTCCAAAGATGAAGTTGAGAGAAGCTTTCCAAACATCTTAACAGAATGTGGAAATCAAAATCCTTGTTTAGAGAAATAGGTGTAGTCTGAATAGTTGCTATAGCCCAAATAGCAGTAAGACATGTTATCTGTCGTCTATCATATATTGTTGATGATATATCAGTCTCTGATTCACAACTATAAAATAGCTTTGTAATATCTGCAGCTATATTTGTCAGGAACAGGGCCGGCCCGGGCCCACGTGATGGTCTCCTGCCAGTCTGACAAGTGTGGGAAAGATGGTTCAACCCCCATAGCTGGGTGGTCGACAACCAGGCAGCGTAGATGGTGCCCACTGCTGCAATAGAGAGCAGGGTAGGGGACAGCTCGGGCGACTCGAGACGCCCCGCTGTCACGTTGTGTGACAGCGGTGTCACAGGATACGAGTAGTCGTCTAGAGTGTCCTACCCCTGCTGAAGGGAATGAGTCCATAGCCAAAGAGTGCTGCCTAGTAGAGTTGGTGCCCAAGGCATAGGGCAAGGCATAGGCTGGGCCAGTTGAACAAGCCGTTCGGGGGGGCGTGACGTAACGCGGTCACGCCCGACGGTTCGGGGGTCGAGGGGAGTCGCCCCCAGCGGGGGCTGCGGGCCCGAGACCCCTGGAGCGCTGAGAAGGGTTGCCAGTCCAAGGGGCGACATATCTCCTTTCCTGGAGAAACAAGTCACTGTGGCTCCTAGACACCGCGTGACGGCGCGGTGTGACGCGTGACATGCGGGCCCGATCGGGCCCGCACCCTCCCATCGCCCGTACCAGGGGAACCCAGAGCTTGAGGCCAGAGAGCAAGAAGAAGTGGCTAGGACAAGGGTGAACATAAGAGACAAGAGCCTGAGCTGTCCAGCCCAACCAAGGGCTCAGGTCAATGAGGCAAGCTAGCCCGGAGTGTTGGAAGTCGTCTAGACGCCCCTTTCCTGGGGTATGGTCGCAGCAACCCCGCTCTAGGGGACCAGGCCAGAGTAGGGTTCAAAGGAAGAGACTTCAATGCTAAACCTAAGGTACAGGAGTAATACTGTAGTCTTTATATACTGTGGGCGCTAGGGGCCGATCGGGCCCGCTGAGGGTCGATCAGAAGGGAGCAGGGGATGTCTCTGGTCGTCCCTGGTCGCTCCGCTAGGAGCCCAGGGACCATTCCTCTGGAAAGGAGCCATGCCAAAGTCGACACTAAGGAGTGTCTGGCAATGCAACAGTAAGGAGCTCCCTCCTGATCCCTGTGGTTGTCTGGGGCTGATCGGGCCCGCTGTCAAGGGCGTCCGGCGGCGCATCATGATCCCTGATGGCGGGTCATGATGGCTTGATGTCTGACTAAAGCGCGATCCGTGATTATGTCCCTTCTCTAGGATATTAGTGTTGTTGCTCAGTGCTTTGAGCTTGTGAATATATGAGGGCTTGTCAAGCCCTAGGGCTCTAAGGGTGGTGAGGGCCCGTTGGGCTGTATAGGGCCCGACGGCCCGACCCGAACCATCACAATATTCAAATCTTTTGAGTCCCTTATTTTCTGTAGATAGCTTGTATATTGTGGTCTCTGTTCAATTGGACCCCACATTGCATTGGAAATAGAAGACACAAAGTCTTCTAACTCTTGAGTATCAGATAGTGTATTTAATATCCACCTAAAGCATGAATATCCAATCTGGCTTGCTGTGCAGAAGGTGTCAGACTGCAGGTCAGGCTGTGCAAGGACTTCTCCTAAGAACGCGCACCTGGAACAGAACAGACAGATCGTCGGGCCCGCGAGTACAGCAAGCGGGGTAGATCAAAACCAAAAGGACCCATTGACTCGGTCCCTTGTCGCTGTCAGTGGTTGAAAGTTTGAATCAGGTTGTGTCGGGCCCGATGAGTTGTTGGCACCTCCTTGCATAGAGAAAGGTAGTTCTTCAGACAATCTAAGTGATAGAGTATATGGTACGCTATTGCGCATTATATACGCGGGCCCGCAAAGGGGTGATTGGACACCCTGGCCTCTCCTGCTCCTCCTCCCCCCCCGTTCCTGGCTGCAGAGGGGGACGATTGTACATCCCTTGCGGGCCAGGCACTACTCCTAACCTCCTAGCACTCCTCCCCAGTCCCCTGGTGTCGAGTTGGGCCCGGCGACGGCTCGACACGTCGTTCTCGGTCATGTGCTTCCCACGTGTGCGTTCCTCCTACTAGGGCGCATGTTCCCCGTCGTCACGTGCTGCGTGCTACGGGCCCGCGATGGCCCGACACCAGCGCTGGAGCGGACGGGCCGGGTCTTATCCATGACAGAAGGTAATACAGCTTCATTAAGCATATTCTCCAGAAGTGATTGTGATATCTTGAAGTTTAATCTTCTTGAAAAGATATGACCAAACATCGAGTATAACAGAGACCAGATTACATTGGTAAGAGGTGTCTGATATGGAGAGTTGAAGTGGAATAAAGGAAGTATTGTCAGCATTCCATAAATGATGACCAGCAAGGCCAGAATAATGGAAATCAAGCTAGCAATAACAATATTGACAGGAACAAGAAAAGCAATAAGACCTGTGAAAAATGATAATACAGAGGCATGAAGCAGCCAGGAAATTACATCAACAAGTGTATGCATCTTGGTCTGGTGAAGACCATTCCAAAGATAGGAGTAGACCCGGGCTTGGATAATTGCTGATAAGTGTCTATTAGTCTTGTGAATAAAATCATGAGCCCATTGCTCTAATAAAGTTGCAATTAATGCACAGGTAAGGCTAAGACCAAGGCTAATAAACCATAAGGTATTGCATAAAATTGCCATGGCTGTTGGTTTGAAGTATGGTGGTAAACTTTGGACTGGTGCTGTTCCATTTGCAAGCTGAGAAGAGATTTGACTAAGTAAGTGAGCAGTCAGCTCATTTGAGTCAGGTGTAAGTGTTTTATAGCTTTCAATAAGAAAAGCAGTCAGACTTGCTGAGAAGAGTCCGGCCTATAAGAGAATTACATAAACAGACAAAAGGCCTGCAGCAAACTTACAAAAATGAGCATTCCTTCCATATCACTTTTCCAACTTTCGACCAATGCCTTATCATACTTTTCAGATTTATCAATGTACACAGACCACAGTTTGGCAGCCGGGGCCTCCTGTGCAGCACGATCTTTCCAGTCTAACAATTAATTAAAGTTATCATTCTTGATTAACGGCTTTCTTGATACGAACTTGAACTATTTGCCTCACGGACTTCACTGTAGGGTTTGGGCAGAGTGGATGTATATATGGCATGGTGGAAAGAGTCCAAGATGTGTTTGATCGATGGAATCGCCTCGCTGATGTTGATATTGGACTAGGATGACCCACAGCTCTCAATAGCTTGGATTCCACAAGGACGTGTTTTCCTTTAACAGGATGATACAGAATACATGAATGAAGGGTCTATAACGAGTGTGTGGTATAACGCCTATATGAGGAAAGGATGCAGTAAATGATACAGTGGGATGCTTGCCATGCTGTTTATGTGGGTGCGAATTACTCTAGGAAGGGATGCAGTCCCAAGAAATCGAATCGTGAAACCCGGAAATTGAAAACGCGAGGGAAGGAACGAGGAGGGGTGACACCGAGAACGAAGTAGATGCAATTATTATAGGCAGACGCCGAGCGAGACGCTCGCCAGTGTCTCGAGCGCCGGGGCGGCAATTGGTAGGGTGAATGTTGTAGAGGGAGGCATGTCATTTGTGGTTGTCTGCATCGAGTTGCTCGTCCCCGTCGGACTCGCATCGTCGATTATTTTCCTTCTCTTCATCGGGGGTCCGAAATGACTGGCCTCCACGTCTGCCGGGTTGTCATAGAAGTGGCTTGCGGGACGCGTGGCGGCCTGAACCAGGTAAACCGGCAATCCACCACCACCACCCAATCCCATTCCCACGCAGGCTTGGGCATGCTTCGTATCAGCAGCATAGTCAGCGGCGTCGGTGGTTAGATGAGCTCGAATGTTGTCGCCCGGCGCTCCCAACATATCTGACTGACATTCAACTGTCTCTGCCAATGTCCGTTTCAACAAGGTACACCTAGAGCGAGCCGAATCTCTCTCTGAGCGTAGGCGGAGAGCACAGTCTTTGGCTGCTCGGGCGAACGAAAGCAGGCCGTGATTGGCCGTCGCATGTTGTTCCGCGCGACGGCGCCACACAGAACAAGCAAGACGGAGAGCGGCGATCTCAGCTTGAGCTTGGGCAAGAGAACTCGACTCGCTCGAAGCTTGAGCTTGTGGTTGCGGTAATGGGGCGGGAGGTAATGGAGACGGAGCAGGTGACGAAGAGTCGAGAAAAAGGGGACGCATTGAAGGTCGAATGTGAGGACGCATGTGGGAGGGCACAAGCGCTGGGTCTATTGTTACTGTAGGCTTCGTCAATGACCAGCGACAAAAGAAAGAACAGCAGCCACGGACTGATGCTATATGGTGTCCGACAGCTTGGACACAGATGCAGTGTTGAGCTCTTGCTAGCCTCTGACTCCACATTCTTGCGTATACACAATCGGCAGAAGACGTGGCCTGGTGGGAGTCAAACCCGGATTTGGATATGTGGGGAACACGTATACTCACCACAAGGCAGCGAGACAGGCTGGGTGAATGGCTCAATGCAAATGCTACACGTCGGCAACGGCATTGCGGTCTTCGACTCCGTTTGAAATAGGCGGCGGGAAGGTATGTGAGGTCGGTCGGGTCAACCTCAGGTTGTTGCCGGGTCAGATTTTATAGCCAGCGTATCATGCTGAATGAGCCCGCCACGAGTCCGCGAGACATGGACGAAAAGTGGTAAGGCGGAAAGACGCAGAGAGACTCCGATTTATAAGGCTCATGCGGTCGGTGCGGATGGGCGGTGAGTGTAAGCAAGTTTCGTCACGACTCTGCACACACCTTACCCGGAGCCAAGCCGGAACACAGCCACATGTCGATCAATTCCGTGACATCCGATTGGGGGCACAGGAAAGAACCACAGCCAGCGGAACGGAGCTCATTGTCGGAGAAAAAATCGGGCCTTACACACTCGTCGAATGGGCTGACATCCCGCCCTGAGAGGTTATGTCTGGATTATGCATACGGCCGCACCATGTTAGCTCTGTCATACATGATGACCAGTGTGGTCCAATTCTATGATTGACATTCAAATCCACGTCAGCCTGATTACATCCGATAGACACACCTCCCCTTGAACCCAACTTGAACAGACTTGAACCCATGCTGCATTATTTTAAAATATTATTTATGTGTCTGCAGATTCCTTACCTTGGCTCATGAATTTGAATCAACCTAGGACAGTCACAATGTGTAGTGCGTCCAGGTAAGCGATTCCCGTTGTAATGTATGTGAGTCAGCGATGCTGACCCGAAGACGACCGACACAGTGCGACACTGGGCGAAAACGTAGAAGATACCATCTGAATCTGTCTTTGAGAGGCGAATGTGACCTCGAGCACCAATATTCAATTTGCAAGTGCGATTTGAATGAGTTCTAACTTGGTTCTTTGAGTGGTGATCTGAAAGTCGTCGATGTGCTGTTCAGTGTTTTCCTTGATCAGTAATTATTGCGTCTCGAGGGTCAAGTGGAAAAAATGCTGCCAGTGTACATCTCTTGGAATGACGTGCTGTCACGTACATTTCACGATGAAGAGTCGTTGTTTGAGATAACAATGATAACTCGGAGTTTTCATGTTCGCCATATCGACTTTAAGCTTGTCGGACGGCGTTCAAGGCGACTTAGATGTTTTTGGGGTCTTATTGACAAAAGGAATCGATTTGGTCAGTCAGTGCTCAATGTGAGCATGCTATGGATGACCAACACTTGTGAATAGTTTGGCACTGAGTGCTGTAGAAGTCGGACACGTGAGATTTGAGCCGAGTCTGAGTCGTTGGACGAACAGTACTAGTTGACGAACAACTTGAAGTTTTGTTGCTGTGACCAAACTGTGACCCAAATTGATCCTGAGTGAATTGATGCCCGTTTCCTTCACTATTAGGCTATGTCGTCCCAATTCGTAGCTTCATCTTACCTCCCACCGACTGTATTTGATGTCAACAGACCTCTGTGCGTGGATGAACGACATTCCGGTCCAATAAAGCTCATCTAAACAAGGGTCCACGCTCCCACCAGAAATTTCAATCCAGATCGCCAACCACAATGCTGAGGATGTGGACGCTTTACGCGCTATGCGACTCGTCTCCAAAGAAATGCGAGACGTCGCGACTAAAGCGTTGTTTTCGGCACTTTACTTCGCCTCCCCGGATGACATTCAACGGTGGCTTCTGGCTACCGAGGACCTGCCATTTCTCGTGAGCGCTGTTCGCAAGCTCAGACTCTCAATTCCCTTGGATGGCCCTCCAGCCTTACCGCGCTTAGAAAATGTGGAAGAGGTGATCTGGTTTCGCAACCAACCGTGGAACACCGACATCGCGACCACCTACATGCAAGATGTATTTCCTGCCGCAACCCGCCTATCCTTTCTTCATGTCCAGTTTGAAGATATATCACATGTCACCTCTATCCTGCGCTCCTCCAATCCACTCAACAGCCTCACCTTCCAGTACTGCACTCTTGCCTCCTATGCTCGACCTACTGCAGGGGATGTTTACCCCAGAGTCGACTGGTCCCAGATGAATGTTGCCAGAATTTGTGGCAATAGCTTCGGCCTTGAAGCCAAAGCCCTGCCATTGGCCACCCAACTCTTCTCAAACTCGCGTCCTCTGTCAACTGCACTGCAACAGCTGAGTATGTTGTTGTGGCGAGATTTTTACAACGTGTCCAGCGAAGATAGCAACGGTCTTCCAATGCAACTGATTCTTCTCCGATATTCAGTACAGTCATTGACACATCTCGCTATCAATCCAAATCTCGGCGAACGATGGGGTTGTATGTCCCGATTAGCTTCCGCGTCTGACTGGTTTTAATCGAGTACAGTGAATGATATGCTCAACAGGACCCTCAAACAATTCCCTCCTTTCGATGCGCTCTTGGACTTGACCATTCATTTCGGGCGGCTGGGCTTCGACTCATCCCATGCGGAGGCGTTTTTTGATGCATTGCCGCTACTCCCACGGCTCTCGACTTTGCGCTTTGTGTTCCGGCTGACCGGGACACCAGACGATTACAAGTGGTTCAAAAATGTGTTCGCCTGGAAGCCTACTGCTTTGACCCAAGCTTCGTTGCAGGAGAGGTGTCCCAATATAGCGAATCTGGTGTGGGTATTCCGCGTGGCGGAGTATGTTTACACCCAATTAGCCGTCACAACAACGCCATGCACGTCAGACTATCGGCTGGGCATTGAACGACTGCTATCTGGTCGCCTGGAAGAGATTGGAGTCTGTGATCTGTTCCCGATGACCATCGAGTGGTTGGATGGGCAGCACAATCCATTGATCATCGAGGACTGAGCGCTGAGCACGCATTGCCGAATCAAACACATTGGAGATTGTTATGTAAATTACCCTGTATGTATGTCGATGACTGGGAGTATTAGGACTCTTGCTCACTTTGGCGTATTGGAAATGCACAGTTTCATGATTCCTGTGTTCTGTTCCCAATGAAAACGTGAAAGTGGCGGGACTCGTCATCAAGCACGTTGTTGATGCGAGATGCACTCTTAATTCTCGTTTCCATTTTGAGTTGTTCACCCTCCTCTCGCCAAGTACCTCTTTGTCTTTTGCAACCTGCTATGCAACGTGATAATATAGTTCATCAAGCACTCGACCAACTCCAGCCTCGGTCTACATAACGTCAATCGCTTGGAAACCACCGCCTGCTACCTCTGCATCTACTATCTCCCGCTCCGATCTAAACCCCGCAGGCCGTGCGCGTGTCTCACACCACCGTTGACTAACTTGACTTGCTACAAACCACCATGTTCTCCCCATCGTCGGGTATGAGCACACCATCAAAACAACAACCCACCCCGCAATCATATTCGCCGTCCAAGGCTGCACCCACGCCGAGCCCAATCCCCCCTCTCTCTTCTACATCGCTGCTCAAAAAGCATATCGCCGCCGGCGCCGTTGATCCCCGACAAGCGGCGATCGAGCAAGCCCAGGCCGAACGGAGCAGTCTCCATACGAAGAACGAGCAGCTGTGGAAGCTGATCGAACGACAAAAAGCGGGGTACAACCAGCTTGTAGAGGAGCTGGAGCGGGCGAGGAAAGAAAGAGATGCTTACAAGGCCAAACTCAAAGCCGTCGCAACGGGGTCAGATTTAGAGAGCAACCATCTCGCTCCATCTCCATCCAAAGTCGCGACCTGATCAAGTGCAGTTGTCACCGATCTCCACTATTCACTGTTATCTGACCTTGTCACTCAGTGCCATTTTGACCAGAATAGAGCTACATACATTCAATCCAAAATAACTTATCTACATCTCTATGGGAAACTCTGCTATCTCTTTCGGCGTCCACTCGAAAACGGGGAATGGATGTGCTTCGGTGTTGAACACATATTTGTCAAGTGGGACAAGTTCTTCATCGGTGAACAGCAAGAATAGATATTTCAATCTGTTGGCAGGTGAGCGCGATTCTGCGAGGACAAAGTCGCGGACATACGTCTCAGCGAAAAACCAGCTTGGCTGGTCGTCGGTCCTGGCTGGCGCGTATGTCTTCTCGTCAAGGTATCGAACGGATGTGTAGCCGAACTTGACGCGAGTGTACTTCTCAATTGACTGGAAGACCTCCCAGCCCCGTTCCCGCCATTTGACGTCTCCGGTTGTCCTCCACATAAGGTAAAACGTCTCGACGGTCTAACAATGTTTTGAGCAATCCCACATAATAAGAGTCGACGAGACACTTTACCTCAGGTCTCAGCAGATAGGCATCTTTCAGGGTCGCATACCCTCTTCTCGACGCATCTGGCTCCCTCTCGACCTTGGCAACGCCGGGCGGTAGACCGTCCTTCCCCTTCTTCTGCCATTCAGCGAGCAAATTCACCCATCTACTGCGCTCGTAACCCGACCACTGTTCCAGGACTATGTGGTCCGGACTCAGTCCCGACTGCATATCATTGTACATCGTCCAACACGTATTGGCCAATCCCTCCGCTGCCCATAGATGGCGCTCTTTATCTTGTGGGCTAAGGCCCAGCGCCGGAGCTCGCGCACCCAGAGCGAAAACGGCAGGGAGGAAGCATGTGAGATGTTCGAAATGGTTGCGTGGCTTGCCGTCAATGAGGTCTGAAGCGTAGAGCATGGGCCGATTGGCGGAAACGTATAGCATATTCTCGATAATGGAATTCGCACTGTGCAAATCTGCTCACAAGTAAGAGAAGTGAAAACCCGGCCTAGCCACTGGAACCTACATAAATCACGCATCTTGGGTTCTCGTTGCCCGGTCATAAGCCATTGCTTGAGAAAATATTCATAAGCCGAGTCGGCGCAACCACCGATCCCAACGGCAGCTGTGGACCTTCAGCTTGGAAAACAGACAGAAGAAACACGGACTGCTATTAGGCAACCCGGTGGCTAGATTCCAGATTGTGCCATATAGACCGCCGGCAACAATGTTATCGGGCTTGTGCAATGCCTTCATCGGCTTGTCTGTCTGCAAATGTTGAACGGACATACGGCGCGACGACACCCATAACGAACCGCGGTATAGAACTTGGCCTTGCCAGTAATGTGAGCGAGGTACTTGCTGGTGACTCTGTGAGCAAGATCCAGAGCGAAGAAAAAATCACACACTATTCCATTTGGTTGCTAAAAGCTTCCGCCATGCAAGTAGCCTTTTGCTTCTTCTGCGGCTCACCACTTTCAGTTTGATTAGTATCTTCCAGTCGTGGAAAGCAGACGAACGTAGTCGTGTCCACACCCCAGTATGGAAATCCACTCGGAGAATCGAATGCGGGCATGAGTTTCTCTCCCAGCCTTTCCGCCAGCGTCAAAAGTCGGGGATCCTCCGACAGGCCATAGGCAGATAATAATCCGCCAAGGTAGCGGATTACGACCTCGAAGAAGTGGGCGTACTCGTCGGGCGGCGTATTGAATGTCTCTGCGGAGATCTGGTCCACGGTCTTGTAGAACAAGTCCTCCAGACCCATAAGCCACATCGTGTCAAGCGAGTCGTACATCGTAACCCCCCAGCCATGGAAACTTCCGACGTCAGACAGGCAGTTAGATATACACACAACGACGCACTTGTTTACTCCCTCTGGCGTCATTGGTTTCAGCTCGTCCTTGGGCAACGCAAACTTGCGATAGCCCTCGTAGCCATGCTTGAAAGCTTTCCGCACTTCATTCGCACGTCCAGCCCACAGATCCCCCTTAGGAACACTGACTTGCGGTGGACGGCGTCCGGTGCTAGGCCGTGAATTGAAGAACGAAAGACGGTATTGTGGGGGAGTGTACGAGGAAGCCGATAGAAACAGTAAACCCGTAGGTAGGAGGAGGAAAAATGGCCAGTAGCGGCGAAGGAGATGCCTCACAGCATCTCCGAGCTTGCTAGGGCGTTCAAAGGCCCCAGGGAGCATGGGAGACGGTGTGTGTTTCGTCCGGCGTGACCATGACAAAATCTGATGCCGAGCCGTTCAAATGAAAAGTTGATCCTAACCTTCATGGATAAATTTCAACAGTCAAATGTTGGGGAGCTGGCCATACATACTCGAATCGTATCGGAACTGAAAGCTCTGCTATTTCCAAGGAGCAAAACATAACACCCATATGCTCGCGCCCGGTCTTGTGAAGGATCGCATATTGCTTCGCTGCAACGTGCGTATTCGACTTTCTAGACGCTTGTTTGACTATCTTCTGACACTCTATCAGGTAGTGATGAGGTGCATAGTAAACAACAAGCAAAAAACAATGTTTCAGCCTGTCAATCGAGGCTAAGGAAGTTATAGTGAATCTTTCTAGCAGACATTCATGGCAAGAAGGCGTATATCCAGCATTATACTCGAGAGATATCCTTCCACGAAAGTAGTCAAGGTACCACATCATTTGGTGCACGTGATCGCGATCCCTTCTCATCCCCAGCCATGTCAACAGACGCAAGCCATCCTTGTAAGTTTAGCCCCCAGCCACCTATTCAGATCAACACCCATCGTTGCGTCAGGGTCGCGATATCCACCGGAAATCAAGCTTCAGATCACCCTTCACAATCGGGGCGACATCCATACGTTATGCGCAATGTGTCTTGTGTCCAAAGAGATGCGGGCAATCGCAATCGAGCAAGTTTTCCGAGTCGTCAGCTTTACGTATGCCAAAGATCTCGAGTTCTGGGTGGACATTCTTCGCCACACACCGACCCTCTCCGCTGTTGTCCGTCGTGTCCGTTTCCTTCCTCACGAGATTGCGTGGTTTGGTGTCCCTCCCCAGGCCCCAGAACGTGACACTGACGAGACTATCGTGGAAGCCATACCGATGATCCCTCCCATGCCGAATGTCGTCGCAATTGATTGGGCACTCTCTGACATCCGCATCCAAAACGCTCGAGCACTCCTGCAGCTCTGTCCTAATGCTACCGAATTGAATTTCTTGACGACGGCAATAGACGGTCTCCCTCTCTTCACGCATTTACTTGCGGAGTTTGGCTCAAGGCTGCTGAGCTTATCGTTAGACAAGGTAATGATGCTGGATATGGATATGAACGATCAGTGGGAAGAGCCGGGATTGGATGACCTACCAAGGGAAACCGTCAACTTCGATCTTTCGGGAGTCCAACGGCTGTCCTTGGTTTCTGCCGAATTAGATGGGACTACGGCGATCGAGTATATCGAACACTTGTTCGAGATGTCTTCTCCCAGAACGCTGAAAGAGTTGCATCTACGGAGCGACCCCGACGCAACTGCGATTCCATGTTCCCTGAATGTTGTCGCATCGCTTTTGACTCAACATGCGCCGTCACTGGTCAACTTGACTATCGATCCTAGCTTCGCAGATACACGTCAGTTAAGATATCCCGCACCTCAATGTCTTTTTCTCACTTGCATAAACAGTTACCGAATTAAAGAACGAACTCCCACTCTTTCCTCTGCTCAAAACACTTACAGTTTGGCTCGAGACGGGTCTCTCCGCAGAGCTTTTCATTAATCGGCTGAATGCGCCGAACTTGTCATGGCTCTTCATACGACTTGACCTATGGCGGGGAGACTGGGAATCAGGCAACGAGACCAACTTGGCTGGCTCGATAGACGCCAGTCTCCCTTGGGGTCGATTGTTCCCAAGCATTCCGTTCACTAGAACCGCTTTACGCGCACGATTTCCTACGCTGGGAGAGCAGAGTATTGTCTTTCAAATCTGCGCTGGCCGTGACGCAGACTTGCACTATTCCTTCCTGGCGAGGGACGACGCGAGGCTCCAGTTCGTCACTGGTTTGATGGCTGCTGGTAGTGGCGATCTAGCGGGTATGCGGGTCGAGTGGTTGGATCCTGAGACTGGTTATGGCGTCATCGAGTACGACCCGATTACTGGTCGGGCTCCTTGGCCAAGGCCACCGGAGCGTAGCGACAGGGGGTCGTTGAGTGGAGAGGAGAGTGGTTGATTGTTTGTGGTCGCTTGGCGTTAATTCGATCAGCTCTCGGGGCTACGTGTTTTCAAAGGTTTTCAAGTTCCAAGAGTCTGAAGAACCTGGATTCTAGTTCTCATTCAGGCGATGATGATCATGATCGATACCGACCCTGCTTGCGGAGTAGAAAGACCAAAGAGTTCGAATCACACGAGAGGCAAGGTACTAATGGGATTAGCGAGACTCGGCTTAAGAAGATCGATCGTTGGTGAAGCCCGTCCACATCATAGGCGGCGGCTGGCGGCGGCGGAAGACAGGAGATCCCCGCTACAGTGACGAGTAGTGGCAAAGGGAGAACGCGATTTGACCGCATTTCATAGACTAGTTGGGCAGGAAGATGGGGCGGATTAAGGGCGTGAATCAAGTGTTTTCAGCCTGAGATTCCGGTGCAATATAGACGTTTAACTTTGTAGTCAAGATTAAACGTGTGATGGTTCCTTTCCATTTGTTTGGCTGCGTCGTTGTGAAGAGCGTCTTGACGATGCCCACAAGCACTGCGGATCGTGGAGACCCAACCGTGAGAGTATCGCTTGTTACCATCCCGTTCCGAGGCCTCTGACATCGAAAGCGTGGCCGATTGGCTATGGTTAGTGGCTCGTTTGCCGGTTGGCTGCAGTTGGTATTGAATTCGGCAGGAATTCCCGCAATCTGGTGGACGACATGTGTGCGATTGCCATGGCCAAAATGCGGTGCGAGAGAATGGAAGCTGGCCGGAGTTTTCGGCGGTGATGCTTTGTTGAAGATATGCTATCTTGTTGAAGTAGTGAAGAGAAAGGACAGAAGATCTGGAATCTGGTGGAAAGATGAAGGAAAGACATCATTACGACCCGACTCGTTGCTCAAGTCGGCATTCTGTAGCATTCTGTTCGACGATGTACCTGAGATATATCCGGCGACAGTGTGATTAGAAGCAGGAACCATCTGAATGTAGCACAGGGAAACATTGGGAGGGTGTAGGTGAAGAGGGCAACGGATGCGGTGCAACCTTGGCGTAAATCAGGCACCGAATGAGCGGAGACAAACCGGACCAGCTGAGCTTAAATAAATTCGGCATTTGGCGTGACTTGTCAAGACCCACCACCATCTATGAGCCCTGCTGCCGATGACCCTCTCGACGTTGCCCTCCGACCCCCGCCAGGCGAGACACCAGAGGAGCGCATCATTCGCGAAGAGAGGGAAGAACATGCTAGAAGAGTCAGCGCAGCAATTGACGCTGAAATCAAGTTAGAACGTCAGGCAAGGCGCAAGAAACGTATAGTGCGCTTATTGCTACTGGGGCAAAGCGAGAGTGGAAAGAGTACCACTCTTCGACGTGTGTTTCCAGCTTGTTTCCAAAATTTATCAGGTCTGAACACTCACCTAGAGTTTCAACGACTTTATACGCCAACCGCCTTTCGAGAAGAGCGAGTTCTATGGCGAGCTATTATCCAGCTCAACATTGTCCGCTCTATCAGTACAATCCTTGACGCACTTGTTCCTCAAGAACAAACTATAATTCCTCCACGCCGAACTTCTGCAGCGCCGTCTGTAGTCATGATGCTTGCCAATACAAGTCCCTCCACGTCCGCCGACATCACAGAGCCTCATAGACCATACGCGGAATACTCCCAGGGTGGTGTTGACTCTGACGTCGACTCCGATTACGAGCAATACGCGTCTTCTTCGCGTTTCGCAGTCAATGTACCAACAACACCAACGCTAGAAGGTCTCAAGATGGCCCTCCTACCTCTGCGACACATAGAGTCGCTTCTTATTGCTCGCTTGGTCCCCGCAAATGAGGAAGAGCCCACACATCTCCCTGGCCAATCTGATGGCCTTGTGGCGGTCTTCAACGGAAGTGGGAGCAAGGAGATTTTCGTACGGCCGGGAAACAGGTGGAAAGGTGTGTTTTCGTATGAATTTCATCATTTTAAGGCTTATCGTGGATAGGATCCCGCAGTAAGTCTCCTGAACGCGACATCGCTACACGAGCGGATGAGCCGCAAGAAGTCCTCTACTCCTGTTGTGGTGCGATGATGACGCTGTGGAACGACAGCGGGGTGAGGGAGGTCTTGAGAAGACGGAAAATACGATTAGAAGAGGGTCCGGGTTTGTGCGTTATACTCTCATTGGTTCGCATAGCAGTCTGATTATAATTGACACAGTTTCCTCAACGACCTTGAGCGGGTCACACACCCAAGCTACCTACCGACCGATGGTAGGCATCCATATCCATTCTCCACGATGCCTCATTCCAAGTCAGACGACGTCCTTCGCGCACGATTAAAGACTGTTGGGGTTTCCGAATACACCTTCGAGATGGAGGTTTCTGCAGGTCGTGAAACGGGCACTGAATGGCGAATCGTTGATGTGGGTGGTAGTCGAAGCCAGGTCTTTTTTTCATTTCAGCCAATCGTTCTTCGGATCACTTACCTAGTTGCTAGCGCGGTATGCCACGTTAGAGTAACGCTCTTCTCGACACTAACCAACTACAAAGCTACCTGGGTACCATTTTTCGACGATGGTTTGCCTCCAAAACATCATTTTCGACAGCTTGAGCTAATGTGCTGTTTCAAGTTGACGCCATCATCTTCCTCGCCCCAATAGCAGGTTTCGATCAGGTCCTTGCAGAGGACAAGACCGTTAATCGACTGGTTTGTCTTATGCCCTGTGGTGATGCACTCTTGTTGACTAGATAAACCGTAGGAAGATTCGGTTCTCCTCTGGAAAGCCGTCTGCTCGAACAAGCTTCTGGCCAATGTCGACCTCGTGCTCTTCCTTAACAAGTGCGATATATTGGAAAAGAAGCTGAAGGCTGGTATCAAGTACGTTGATAATCCACTTATTACACATGCAGCTACCAACCAACATTGAGCAGATTAGCGCGGTATGTCAGGAGCTATGCGGACCGGGAAAACTCCTTCGACGCTGTCAGTCAATGTAAGAGTTCTATCTATAGAACCTTTGACTGCTGAACGCTGAGGAACTGCTGTAGATCTAAAAAGCAAATTCGGCGCCATCCATCGCGAGTACTCCCCCAACCCACGCAAATTCTATGTCTTCTGTACGAGTGTTACGGTACGTGCAAGCTTAAAGCTGGAAAGGCTTCAACTCAAGTTAACCTAGGACTCCACGACGACGGGTGGGATTATTGCGAGTGTCCGCGATATGGTGGTGAGACAGCACCTTAAACAATCGAAATTGTTGTAGGCATAAGCGGGTGCGTTTGGATTGCTGGGTTATGCTGACGCGTTACTCGTGTAGGGCATAGTGACGCGCCCTCCAGTCCTCAAAAGGACCATCTCACTCACGACACGACCCAACTACACAACACTTACGACCCCTTGAACGACTCACATTCATTCCTTTGCTTGTTCGCTTTGCTATCTATCAGATCTTACTTGTTCACCCTTGCCAACTGTTGTTTTTTGCGTGCTGTCCTGTTACCTGTATCCTACCCTTCCTGTCAAAACCTGTATATAAGTAGCATGTGTAGAGTGAATGATCGGAGAAACGAGAGCGTGAAGCAAGTCTCAACATAAAATAAATCTCCACATGCCCGTCACCTTCCACCCCCATCGAACGTTCTGTTGGGAGCCGGTGTCCTGGTAAGTTAACAGTCTCGGCGCGTGGTTGGCCAACATGAGCCAACATGACGTGCTATATATGGCTTCTTCAAGATGTCGTAGTTTCTCGAGCCGCCAAAGCTGCCGAGGGAAGATCTAGGCACGCGATAACACTGGCAACATACAGGGCTACATCTAAACTGTGGCGGACATGACCCGGTGGTACAGAAAACCATGCGATCAACGGAGATTCTCAAGCTCTGATGGTCTCCTCTTCTGGTCTTTCAGCGGGTAAACGAACGAGCCACAGTAGACCAAAAGCCAGCACGGCATTGACAAATGCCACCAAGAATATTGTGCGAGGGTGGCTCGCCACAGTTGCGGAATATATGGAGCCATATATAACAGGTCCAAGAATGCGGCCACTGTGGAGTCGGGTTGAGAAGTTGAGCATTCAGAATCATAGAAGGGGCCTACAAGATGGTCTGCACGACCCCAACGGCCGCAAAAAGCTTCCCGGACTCGGACTCCGCCTTTGCCCTGTTGGACACCCGCCGGGTATATAATTCTAGCACGAGACTGTTGGCAGCTGGCTCCAAGCCCGCCCCCAAAGACCCCAGCGAGATAAATAAAATGAACAACGCGCCAGTTGGCGCGAGCGGGAGTATGGCAAATGTGATGATGAAGACAAAGATGGAGAATCGCATGAGCGAGAGGTCAAAGGCTGTCGCATAGGCGGATGTCGGCTCTGGAGATGGTCGAGACGAAATAGCAGCCGGATCGGTGTATGAACCGCCTTCGAATTCGGGTTCCTCAGGAGGCACAAGCAGCGGTTGCTCTTCAGATGGCATTGTTCTTGCGGCAGTCCGCCCATTTTTAATGGATTTGAGCACAAGAGGGAGGATGACGACCAGGTAGCCTGCTCTGGCGAAGCCGATACTGCTTAGACAATAACCCAGCTACGAAAATGCGAGAAGTAGGCCGAAGACCGTATCTGAACAAATCACGTACATATTCAGCATCCCACTGGAAAGTTCGGAGAGCGTAGAGAAATTGGTTGATCAAGGATGACTGTTCCAGAGTCAGTATATATTTCTGCTCTCAGACGAAGCCGGAACACATACCCCAGCAAACAACATTAGCCCCTCACTGACAACCAATAACAACATGTTCCACTCTGCGGGTTTTCGCTCTCCGCTGCTATGTGTCGTTTCCGGAAGGAGGATTGCCAATGGCCTGAGCACAAACATTGCCGGAGCCGACAAGCGTTGGGCTAAGCTGTAGTGTCCAGTTGAGACGGCTTGAAAACCATTCGTTGCATAGACCTGCTCAGCAGTCCGTTGCATTTGTTCGTGGGTGAGAGACTCTGGCATCAGAAATAATATGATGAGTGTTTGGATGGCCTTGAGTCCTGCCGCGATATAGAACAAGAGAAGAACATCATGGGTTGACCTGAAAATGTGTCAATGACTGCTTCCAGGATAGCTGAGCGAGGCCGTAGACCTTAGAATGAGGCTCCCAAGAAGTGGCCCTAACCCGATGCCTGCGAGAGAGAACCCAAGAATTATGGAGAAAATGCGGGACCTATATGTGCAGTCAGCGACAATAAACTGTGACACGAAACAAGACGGGCTTGCCGCTCCTCTGGTATAGAAATATCTGCAAGATATGAATTCGTTGCAGAACTTTCGCTCGCAGCACCTGATACCACAGTTGAACCAATGCAAGGCTATGAAAATAGTCACTACTCGCCGCCGAGCAAGCCAGTCACTACGGCGTGAAGGACGATGAAACGATATCCACCAGGCAGGAACTCTGAATATTTGGCTACCAAGATGAGGAGTAGAGGGCCAAGTAGGCCGCCAAGAGCGCAGATAGCTAGCATACGGGTACGGCCGAAGTGGTCAGAAAACTGAGGGGCGAAGGTTATCATTGGAGAACAAGGATCACAAGAAAGCTCACGGAACCCCACCAGCTTGCTGTCGCGAAAGTTAACGCTCCAGTGACCGTCAGAACAACTTGAACTACATCAGCTTTGAAAATAGTGACAGTTGGAATGGGATGGACCAATTTCTAGTTTTGCAACGGCGGCTTGCACCACAGGATCCGCTGAGCACGGGATTAATGCCGGCCCGGGCGTCATCATCGAGGACCGCAATGACGAGGTAGTGACGGCGAGCGTCTCAGGACGGTAAACCTCCCGACACACGAGGTCGCTGAAGAGCTCGACCTGGGCACTCGCGGTACCCGCTTGATAAAGTGTGCTGAGAGGAGCGATGACCATTAACCTGTCGTTGGCGATTCATTTTTTAGATAAAGTTGCTCGGGAAGTAGTCAACGTACCACCAACCAGCAGGTCGCTTCCACCAAGGAAGCGCATCACCTGCACGGCAACGACTGGGTGCGCTTTCAGACCGCAACATGAGGGCAGGAAAGTACGACCCTCGAGCAGGAAAGATTGGTTTATATGGATGAAGAAGTGCACCAATTCACTGCGGGATGACGTTCAAGATACTTTCAAAATGCTCTGCGCCGCAGTTGTTCGACAAGTCGCATGCTTCCGCTCTCGGATTGAGAAGCCGAGGTGCATTATTTGCGAGCCTGACGGTGGAATGCCACTGGTTTGCTGCCCATGGAAATGGTCAAGACTTGGTTAAGACTCAAAGTTCGAGTCAAAATGATGGAATCAATGATCTGATTTGCACCTTTCTTCTTCGGTTTTCTCCAACGTTGGCAACAATCCAATCCTTGCTGCTCGAAATGGCCACGCTGGATGTACGATATGGCAGAGGTGCCCTTGATCGTGACTTTTATACGACTCCAGCTCTTCCGCTAGAAGGAGTGAAATAGTTCTTCCTCAGGACTTTATCGTTCGAAGCCTGAGCATACACCACTCTCCAAGCTCAACTATGGACTAGATCGAAGACAGTTCTCACCGACGAGCCTAAGGAACAATCGCAGAGCGGACTGCCGGTCCCTCTCACTGTCATGTGGCCACCGTGAGCTCTGGTTGTCCCACCATCAACCCACTATCCATGTTGCAGTCGAACGCGCCATTTACCCCGCTTTTCATCGATGGAAAACAAGTCTCTGCGTCGGACGGGGGGACCTTTGATGTCGTTCATGTAACTACTCGCAAAGTTGTCGGCACCAGTGCTTCCGCTTCGATTGCGGACTGTACTACCGCGGTTGATGCTGCCGCTGAGGCCTTTAAAACTTGGGGCCAAACCACGCCCTATCATCGTCGAGACATACTGTTGAAGGCGGCGGATTTAGTGTCAACCGATGAATGGCGCAAGAAGATTTTAGAGACACCGATGCAAGAGACTGGCTGTTCTCTTGGGTGGGCAATGGGCGGTTATGTGGCAGCCGTACCGTTGCTACGGACAGTCGCGTCGTATGCAAATGACCTGGTAGGAAAGAGCTTCATGTCGCATTCGGTCCCAGGGATGCAGTGTGTTATGGAGCAACGGCCGATGGGCGTCATGTCAGTTCTTCTTACCTTCCCTTTTGTTTGCTCAATAATTGAATGATAGATTTGGAATCGCCCCATGGAATGCCCCGTTCACATTGACGCTGCGTGCGATTGCCATTCCCCTCCTTTGCGGCAATACTGTGGTCCTCAAGTCATCCGAATTTAGTCCACGCACACAGTCCTTGGCAATAGAGCTCTTCCATGCGGCTGGAATTCCTGCTGGTGTGCTCAATTATATCTCGATGGCGCGTGAAAAATCGCCCGAGCTCACCGCTCAGATAATCGCACATCCAGCCGTGAGGAAGATCAATGTGAGTTATCTATTCTCTACTTCTTTCAAAATAGCTTCTTCTCAAAAAGACCAAAGTTCACCGGTAGTGACCGTGTCGGGAGAATCATCGCCACTGAAGCCGCCAAGCATCTAAAGCCGACTGTTCTCGAACTCGGGGGAAAGGCACCCGCAGTCGTAAGTATTCAGACTACTTGGAGCTCGCCTTTCCAACTGGCTATCGTTAGGTTCTGGACGATGCTCCTTTGGCAGATGCTGCCAATGCCATCGTCTACGGAGCAATGCTCCATTCTGGCCAAATATGCATGTCCACTGAACGAGTCATCGTCCAACGTGCCGCTGCAGAACCGCTTCTCGAGCAAATCAGAACCCTTTGTGATTCCCTCGTCGGAAATGAAGCTAAAATCGGGCCGCTCTTTACCGAAGCCTCAGCCCAAAACGTACTCGAAATGATTAGCGAAGCTCGTGAAGGTGGGGCAGAGGTGTACATGGGGGATGTGGCACGAGATGGTGCGATTCTGCGACCACATATCATTCGCGGAGTTAAGCCTGGTATGAGGCTTTGGGAGCGGGAGAGTTTCGGACCTGGTGACTCGTTTGGCTTTTCTGTTTCTGGTGGGTGGAGCACTGATGGCATGTACCAGTGATTGCATTTGCAGTCGTCGACACGGTCGAGGAGGCCGTTGAGCTCGCGAACGCGACCACATATAGCTTGTCGGCCTCCCTGTGGACTAAAGATATGTATACGGCCCGGAAGGTCGCGCTGTTGATTCGAGCAGGTAGCGATCTCGAGACCTTCTCCTACATCCGACTCGGATTGCTCAAGATTTGTTTAGGATATACCAACGTCAATGGCCCGACATTCCACAGCGAACCACTTATCAGTGTCGCAGGTCTGGGGTAGGTGGTATTCTCTTCCTACCCCAATGCTTCCTCAAGTTTCTCCCAGCGGGTCTTCTGGCTATGGACACTTCGGCATTGACGATTTCACCGACAAAGGCGTGATTGCAGTGCATCCACTTGGAAGGGAGTTCCCGTTTCTGCAGTAGATGGAGACATTAGGACGGGATGAATGAACGTGTTGTACCAAGGCACCTTGGCCCAGGACCTGTACGGATAACCGTTGGCTAACCGCCACATGCAACCGGCCCTCCGATGTAAACCAACCTCTTCTGTGAGCCTTGGGTAAGCCCAGTATCTCCGCTTATCGTGGACCTTCTCGGTACGAGTCTTCCTTTCACATATATGCCGACAACAGTGTTTTCTTGTGCGACTTGGTATGACCTCAGAGCGTAAGCTGTCAGTGCTTGGCCTCGAGCTTCTCGAGTGTCCTCGGTGAATCAGTCGAAATGTGCCCGGGCCAGCAACCATTTTTGGCTCGATAGAAGGCTACTTGGAAGTCGGACCCTGAGTTTTCACGCTCTGTGTGGACATAGGATGTAGTCAAGGGAGGTGAAGCAGATACCACAAATGTCGACAGCCAATGGCGAGCTCGAATCAGTCGACAGATGGGTCGCCGAAGCGGAACAACTTTTTTTTTTGAGTGACGTCGCCAAGACTCCGAGGCGGTGGGTTTTTGCTACTTATACCCTCGCCATCTCGACTTTCTCCTTTCCATGCCCTTGCTCCTGGCGTAGATTAGTCCAGCCCTGCGCGCTCATTGCAACGACCACCCACAATCCTACATCCTGAGATTACGATGTCGAACGCACAACATAGCAGGTCCGCAACGGCCGCAACGGCCGAAACCACCTTCAAGGAGGAGCCCACTCTCTCTTTGGCGGGCACCAGAACCGACCTCGAGTATGGCGAGATGCCATCGACAGCTGGACGGATAAGCCTCTGGCAACACCTAAACACGGATGTCGATCCAGCAGAATGCACTGGCCCTCTCGCAGCTTTCTGCTTCATGACGGGCTTTATGTGCGATTCTTTCGCTGCGATTTCATTCTGCTTTCGCTCAATACCCACAGTGATTGCATTTCCTTCTCGGCGATATTTGTGTGGTGTGGCTTCCAGACGGGTAACTTTGCACAGGTGTGTTTGCGTGTTGGGCCTTTCTTCTCATGGCCGCACCTTATCCTTACTTGTCACTAACGCCTTCTTTCCCAGCTCGCGCTCGCGCTCGCACGTCTCTGGGAGCCGTCGCCAACTGGCTCAGGCCACAACACCGAGTTCCACATTGCTGACCGCCAAGCGCTGACCTCGCTCTTGACGTTCAACATCGGCGCCTTCTTTGGCCGGTTTGGCGACCGTATCGGCTCACACAAGCGCATCTGGCTTGTTGGTGCAACACTCCTCCAGGTTCTCTTCACCGCTGCAGCGGCAATCGCCATCTGGCAAAGCAATCAGGGGAGCGTCGCGGAAATTCGTGGAGACCCAAGCTGGACCGGACCGCTCACATATCTTGGGATCGCATTCATGAGCGCGAGTTTGGGGCTCCAGGGAATCCAAGGGAAGCGGTTAAACACGCAATTCACGACGACGAGTATGTCGTCATTTCCGTCACTCTTTTCGCTCTACTGACGAACATGGTTATAGTCGTGCTCACCACCGTCTGGGTCGAGCTCGTCACCGACCCCCGCCTGTTCAATCTCCGCCAGAAGGTCATCACCCGCGACCACAAGCTGATCGCTGCTGTCGCGCTGTTCACGGGCGCCTTTGTCGCGCGTGCAATTCTGGCTTCTGCTGGTGCGCCAACTGCACTCGGGGTCGGAGCGGGCATCCGTGTGCTTATCGCGCTATCGTGGATCGTCATCCCAGGCAAGAAGCTCGCCAAGGCATAACTTCCCGTGGGTTGCCATCTGGTCACCTCTCTAGACATCGTTTCTTTACGCACTCAGGATAAAGCCATAGAATTAGGGTGTATGTATTAGTGGGATTGAAGAATAATTCGTTTGGACGCTGTTACTTCGGGTCTTTACATATGACACAGTTCTGTCAGATAAGATATGGCCACACTGTCTACATAATAACTCTCTACTTATGGAGATGGAATTTGGCAGAAAGCTTGTCTATGATACTGCGTCTCGCGCCTTTCCTCAGGCCTTGTTCCGCTGGTGTGGGTAGTGCGCCGCCTAAATTGACCTCTCTGTACTTATCATCCAGCCACTCGATTCGGACCAGGTCCTCCACACCCGCAGAGGATTCCGCCAACTGTGCTGTTAACCCCGCCTGCAACTTGCCTCGATATTCTCGTCCCACGCTCGCATCATACAACGCCGAAGACCTGGGGCCATAGAAACTGAAGACCACTTCTCTCAAGTTTGGAAAACATTTGTCGATGGAACCACGTTGAAATACCGCCGGCTGGGCCGAGAAGAGTTCGCTATGGTTTGGTTCGTAGTCTTCATCTTCGCCGGTGAGATCGACGTAAAGGCGGAGAACAGTCACAACAGGCAACGTGTTCAGCGCTTGGAGGAAGGTAACAACTTGGGAATTGCTGGTACCAGGCGGCGCAAGCCATATGTTCAACAATTCGAGCGCACTGAGTGTAGGGAGGCGTTTGATAGCGGTGTCGAATGTTTCATCAGCTATGTACAAACAATGAATTTAGTCGAGCCGAAGCAGGGCGGGAAGCGGAACTCGCCTGGAGAAGTATGAAAGATAGGGTCAATGGAGAGACGCGTCAGAGTTGAGGAAGCAAGGGAGAGGGCAGTCCGCATCGTGGCCACCGAGCAAGGATCACTGAAACGACGACGGTGTCCCAACCCGAGATTTAGCGTTTGAAGCCTTGCTGGTGGGGAGGCCTGTAAGAGCGTGACGAAGACCCCATGCTGGTCGTGGTAGGTACCATTGTGCGCGAATGTGAGCTCCTCTAGCGCAGAGAGATCCACAGACGGCATAAACGGTTCGGTTTCGGTTTCGGTGCCCACTCTGAAGTCTGAGCCGACGATACTGAGACTTTTCAGCGGTCTGCATGCTCGAAGGACAGTGATCAGCTTTGATGGATCCCTGAAAGAGATATTGACGAAGGAGAGTCTGGTCGCATTGGGGAATATCCGTTTGTGATAATCAACAGCAATGTCGGCTCTCCAGAGATTCATTGTGTCCATCCACTCAACCTCGACGACAGAAGGCAAAGTTTTGAGGAGATATGGTTCCCCAGAAGCCGATATTTTGACCTTGTGAACGGCAGCGCCCAGCCCTGGGGTGCGCTGGAGTATTTCCCACCATTTAACAAAGTCCTTGTCCTCCGCAAAATGCAGTACGGAAAACAATGGCTCGACGGCCACAGAACGCATTGCTTTCGAGACAAGGCACATGGCGCGGAGGGTTTCTCTATCGTCTGCATTGTGTTGGGCAATCTGAAGAGCCAGTTCCGAGGGAAGTGTACACCCTTTGCGGTGGTTAAATTATAATGGCCATTACGCTGGACGCACAAACGTCGCGAGACATGACTCCCCAGCGTAACTGAAGTTGTGGGGAAAGTCGGAACGAAATTGATGCAGATCAGGCCAGCTCTTCTCTTCTCCTCCACATCCTTTCCCTTCACGCTTGAGGCGTTGCTTCAGCTGCCATGGCCTCCTTAGCCCGTTTTCGCGCGTCTCGTCGACTGGTATGTCTCTTATATCCCATTCCTCACAGAACGCTCAACCAGAAAATGCAGCCCCAACTAGTTCGCGCCATCCAGACGTCAGCGGATACGACCCAGCTGCAAGAAAAGCCAGCGGACCTGTCCCAGCCGCTCACCCTGCGGCTCAGCGAGGACTCGTTCCACACCTTCAACTGCGACATGCCAGAGCTCGACGTTCAGGTCACCAAAAACCAACTGCTCGACATGTACAAGAAAATGACGACAATGCGGCGCATGGAGATGGCCGCCGACGCGCTCTACAAGGCCAAACTCATCCGTGGGTTCTGTCATCTGGCCATTGGGCAGGTACGTGACGTCTTTCTTCCTTCGCTGCTGGCAGTTGACGCGTCAAAACAGGAAGCCGTGTCTGTTGGGCTCGAAGAGGGTATCACCTCTGAAGACCGTGTCATCACTTCCTACCGATGCCATCCTCTAGCCGTTCTGCGTGGTGGAACGATAAAGGGTGTCATTGCTGAACTGCTTGGCCGTCAGGCTGGTATGTCGCACGGAAAGGGCGGCTCCATGCATATCTTCACTCCTTCCTTCTTCGGCGGTAACGGTATCGTCGGCGCGCAAGTGCCTCTTGGTGCTGGTATTGCTTTCACGCAAAAGTACCTTGGCAGCGACAGCGCCACATTTGCCCTATATGGTGATGGCGCAAGCAACCAGGGTCAGGTCTTTGAAGCCTTCAATATGGTGTGTTTATTACCTAATTCTGTAGTTTTATGCTTCTAACACAAAATACTAGGCCAAGCTGTGGGACCTCCCATGCGTGTTTGTATGTGAAAACAACAAATATGGAATGGGCACGTCTGCCGAGCGTTCCTCATCCAACACCGCCTATTACACTCGTGGCGACAAAATTCCCGGCTTGCAAGTCAACGGAATGGACATCGTCGCCACCCTCCAAGCTGTCCGTTACGCTCGTGACTGGACCGTGAAGGAGAAGAAGGGCCCGCTGCTGCTCGAGTTCGTCACCTACCGCTATGGTGGTCACTCCATGTCTGACCCCGGCACCACCTACCGCACCCGCGAGGAAGTCCAGCGCATGCGTAGCACCCAGGACCCCATCCGCGGCCTGCAACGCTACATTGAGGAGTGGGGCCTGGCCACCGAGCAGGAGCTCAAGGTTTGTAACGATCGCTATTCTTTTTTTTTACGATACTAATCGCCATATCATAGCAATTGGACAAGGAGGCCAAGGCCGCTGTCGACGAGGCTGTTGAGGAGGCGAAGAAATCGCCTGAGCCTCTCGTCGAAGATCTCTGGACGGACATTTACTACAAGGGCACTGAGCCGCCGTTCATGCGTGGAAGGGAGCGTGAGGAGGTTCACCACTATTAAAATACACACCGTTCGCTCTCCTAGATAGACTGATCTTGTTCTGCTTTCACTACTGTAGGTAATTGCAATGCTTTTGTTTTTGAGAATCTATCAGCAAAAAGTACTGTATTCTACTCCGCCTCACGCCAAGGCCGGTCAACGTTTGCATCGTCCTCTCCTTCAGCACCAGACACTGTTAGTTCTTCCATGCGCCGGGTAAATTCATTCATATCGAATAGCGCCTCGCCGCGTGTTTGTTCCGCATACCCGTTGCCTTCCGACTCGCTGACGGGCTCGCTTGGGTCCCATGGAATGTCTGGCCCAGTCCAACCGCCGTTCGTACACGCGTAATTAAGGAACGCCCGCCAGAGCGGGTCAAGCCCGAGAACATTTGGGTCGCCGACAACGATCAGCAGCGATTGCGCACGGGTTATCGCGACTATAGTACGTTTAGAATCTGATCAAGGGCACAAGAAATGGCGCACCATTGAACCGACGTGGGTTTGCCACGAACCCAAGCGTGTGCCGCAGATCGTAGGTCACAAACTCACGACTGCTGCGCACAGTCGAGATGATAATGACCTTTCTTTCTTGGCCCTGGAATTCTTCGACACTGCCGACCTTGACGCCTTCTGCAATGGGCTTGAGGAGTTTGCGGATTTTGACACATTGTGCATGGTACGGCGCGATAACACCAATGTCCCCATCCGCTACAGAAAGTGTTAGGTCTTTTTCCAGAAATCAAAACAAACGAGTAGCTTACTGATGTGGATGCCCGTTCTGACCTGACGATCCATCCCCCGGAGTATTTCAACATATTTCTTGACCTGGGACGCCTCGTCAATGTTGAAAAAACTTGGCGACGACGCTTCTCTGTCGTCCTTGCCAGCCAAGGAATGGAATATTATCGGAAACCCTCTCTTGGGCAGAAGAGATGAATTTAGATAGAGGTCGACAACCTGGCGATCGCCGTGAGGTTGAAGCTCGCCCTTGTAGAACTGTTCATTGGGGAACTTGAGGATGGCGTTGTGCGAACGGAAATTTTTCGTCAGTTTGACAACGCTGTATACGATGGTAAGTATGACACTTGGATCATGATTTACAACATACCATTGACCATAACCCTCTTGTTCGTCGTACAGATCCCGTTGCATCAGTCGCTCAATGTAGCTGATTTCAAGCCCCAGGTTGCGGGCAATGTTTGAACGAATAATTGGTCCCAGTTGTTTTGGGTCCCCAGAGAGAATGATGTTAGTCCGGGTATCCGCCATCGTTTGGATCGCTGGTTGTGGATTAGAAAAAGTACATATGTAGGCCCAGTCATCAATCGGGCTCACCAATCATTGCCTCTGGCTCGGTCGCTTGTCCCGCCTCGTCAACAAAAATGTGGCTGTAATGACCTCTGGGGATACCAATCCCAGAAATGACAGAAGCCGACACACAGGTCGTGACGATGGCTCGGAACCGTTTCATCCGAGCCAGTGGCGGGACAGAGAAATGCCCATCCGCCGTGGTATGCGTGAAATCCCGCAACTTAAGGTCCACCTGTTCCTTATGCCGCGACGGCGCATAGAAACGGAACAATGCATCCGTGCCGAGCGACATGAGCCGTGTCGCAATAAGATCGGCCGCAGAGTTGCTTGGCGCACACGCAATGATCCGAGCGTTTGGATTTGCAGCCAGAACTTGAAGTATGGCCTCAACCATCGTCACGGTTTTACCGGTTCCAGGACTATGTAACTGGTCAAAAAAGAACAAGAGAAAGGAATGTTTCACGTACGGCCCAAATATAATAAATGGGACAGAACCCACAGGCCTCTTGGTAATGGACACCACAGCTTGAAGCTGGGGTGCATTTGCGGCGATCAGAGGATTGAAGACTTTGATATTGGCACTCGCAATTGTGGGGTAAGCCATTGAGAGATGGTGTCCTGCATCCGGGAACAAAACTCTATCTTCGGAAAAGGCAGAATCCAGCGCCAAATGTTGACGCCGGAGCGGGTATCGGTTCAGCTTGAACCGCACAGAATATCGGTCGGTAGAGGACGCATTTTTGAACGACCCGTGAAAGCGGAGTCCGACTTCTTGCTGGCGGACGACATGGACCCCGCCCTCGAACCACCGACCAGGATCAGGAGTGTCTTTCCTCTGAACAAGAATGCGATCACCTGGATTGAAGTTGAGTCACCAACTACAATTATTAGGATATCGGCTTACCGACCAGTACACTTGGTCGCTTTTCGGCAAGACCCGGGACATCAAGACTGGCAACGATGAGCAATGGTCTGGTAGGAGGCTTTTGACGAACTAGTGGTATGATTCGTAACGAGAGAGCTCTGTGTCCGAGATATCATACGTGCTAAGGTCATTCCTAGAACCAGATTAAGTATCAGAGACGGCGACAATTCACCAAGTAACACGTACTCCATGCGGTGTTCCTCCACCCAAAGTAACAGCTTGAAGTGGCGTCCGTAACCGTTGCTGTCAAAGACAACCGGCAAGTACAACTTGTGTATGGTTTCAATTACGTCCTTGACATTTTTTCCCAACAGGATAGAAGCAAGGTTGGCGGGAATAGTAGCCTCAGGCAACAAACCAACATAGGGTATGGCTTTGCGTGACTTGGGGAAGATACCCTCGACAACAGATGTTTCAGGAGCCCGGGCTACTCGCTGGCGCGGTACATAGGGAGCGGTCGGCTTCAGCACGTCATGGTCTGCCTGATTGCCCACATGCCCACGAAGAACGCGAATAATAATGAAGCTTTTTTTAAGCTGCGTGTCCTCCAAGAGAATTTCGAGACGATCTTCTGCACGACTCGCAAATTGCTGACAAAAGGTAACAGAAAAGGCGGTGTTGGCGCTGTTGTATAGCACCGGCCCGTAACGTTTGCAGACGACGGTAAAGCTGGAAATCGTAAGCATCAAGTACGGAGTTAAGGGTGAAATATGTACGGAGATCGAGCTCTGGTATTCTTGTCGCTAGCAAGCGACATGCTGATCAACGATACCTTCGAGCCAGGAGTCGCATTACTGACAGTTCCTTCAACCACAAGCCCTGACTGAGCAGTAGCAAGGGCAATGAGACCGAAGTCAAAACTGCCGGAAATGGAAATTCCGTGTCTGTCCTTCTCCGCTTCATCCAACGCTGCCTGAAAGACCGCGTACTGTTCGCGCCGTCTGTGTTTGGCGGTCGCGCAGTGTGCAACCCAATCATAATTGAGGACATGAATGTCGCAACTCGTGCAATGGCTGTGGTTGGGAACCTCCTGGGCCGCTTCTGGGGTGATATTGGGTGAGATACCCTTTGCGGCGGCAGCCTGAGCGTGATGGAAACTCCTTTTGTGAGCGCTCCAATTATTTGAGCTCATCCCAACCATCGTGCGATCACAGATGGGACAATACAGTGCCTGACCCGTCTTTCCCTGCACAGTTCTCTGGTGTTTTTTTCCTGCAATGTGAGAGTTGTAGGCATTACGCGTGGCGAAGACCCAGCTGCAGGGCTCGCATCGAATAACGTCGTGTCGGTGGCTGCAGGCTTCGTCATTACAACTGCCTGTGCTCAGTAGGGTGGGGCAAATAGCGGGCATGGTCGACGGCAGAAGGAAAGGCGGCGGAACAAACAGGCTGAGGTCGTTATGTATGGGTTAAGGGACAAGGAGAGTCTAATCTTGCATGACACCACTTTTCCACGAAAGGGTCGCTCCGTCGCCTGCAGGCAACAAGCTTTAGACGCCGGCTAGTGTGGCGTTACTAGTTAGCGCCCACAAACAAGGCCGCGGTCATTGTCCCTGTCAAAACGCTCATATAGATGCTGCTGCATCTCTTCATGATCGTTGTGCAAGGTGGAGGAAGGGGAACTCAGAATCACGTGCTCGCTCAGGCTGCTCTTTTTTTCCTGCAACTAAAAATACATCGTACAAGTAACATCCAAGTCATTGAAACTTTTATCCTTCTCGCACAACCTCAGCCACGGCATTCTTGAAGATCTGCGCCCCCTTCTCCAGGTCCTCCGCCGAAATATTCAGCGGCGGTATGAACCGGACAACCTCATACACACTAGTGGTCAAGATTATCATCCCCTTTTCGATGCATTTTTTGGCCACCCGAGCAGCAAGGCCTTTGGGAAGCTGTGGTCGCGGTCCGACAACAGTGTCTGTCGGGGAGGCGAACTCAACTGCCACCATGAGACCACGTCCACGAACGTCCACGATATGTTCCGGATAAGCGGCTTTGAGCCCGTTCAGGGCGTCGAAAAGCTCAACAGACCGCGCGTTGACATTGGCAAGGATGTTTTCCTCGTTCATGACGTCGACAACTGCGGTGGCGGCAGCACAAGCAACCGCATTACCAGCGTAGGTTCCACCCTGTCGAATATCAGTCAGAAGCACCCCTGCACCATGGACCAAAACGTACAAAGGAACCTGGCAAAAGCTTATCGGTGATTTCCCTTCGGCTGATAACGCCACTCAACGGGAAACCATTCGCGAGTCCCTTGGCAATAACAAGAATATCTGGACGAACTCCACTTTCCTCGATAGCGAAGAAGCGGCCGGTTCTTCCAAATCCGCTCTGCACTTCGTCGATGATGAGCAGTATATTGTGTTTGTCGCACACTTCTCGGAGACCCTGAAGGAATGCTGGCGGGGCAGGAACATATCCACCCTCACCAATAACAGGCTCAATGAGAATCGCAGCGGTGTCAGATGGGGCAGTCTGTTGAGACAGAAGAAGATCGAGTTGGTATAGGCATTGCTTGACTAAAACGTCTTCTGGGGTCGACGGCGGCAAGCCAAGTTGGTGCCAAAATGGGAAAGGCAAGGTGAAGACACCAGGCTACAGCAAATTAGCGCGTAAACAATGATTCTATGAATAGTCCAGACCATAAGAGGTGCTACTCCCTGTGAGTAGATCGTCTTGCTCCGAGTGACCGCCATCGAGCCAAAGGTCCGACCGTGGTACGCGCCTTGCATACAAATAATATTTTGTTTCCCTGTAATGATCCTGGCCAACCGTAAACTGGCCTCGATCGCCTCTGTGCCCGAGTTCCAAAAGAAGAACGAGTCAAGCGACGCGTCGGGCATTATCGGAAGCAGCTTTTCGATGAGGCGGAGGTATGGCTCATGGAAAGCAATGCTGCACTGTCGACAGCTGTTTAGAAATGACCAGGGTAACAAAATAAGCACACACTTGGGCGTGGACAATGTTCATGCATTGGTCTGCAGCAGCCTGGCTGATTTTGGGATGGCAGTGCCCTGCATCGCGCGTCAGTTAAGGCGAATATGGCATCGACTGGCTACGGACCCAAGTTGGTGACCCCGATCCCACATGTAAAGTCGAGCATTGTGCGGCCATCATCGTACTCGACATACGATCCCTTGCCCTTGGTCATAATGCCCGGCGTAATCCTTGTGATGCCCTTGGTGACATTTTCGCCATATCGGAGCAGGGAAGACGTGTCGGTTGTCGTGCTCATCCTTTTTCGCAGAAGAAGTGGCGAAGCGGAGAGCCGGGAGGAACTACAAGACCGTGTCAAGTCAGAATGGCGCCAATATATAGCCGTTGTTGGGTGTGAAAACTAACGGACACGAGGCGCCTGCTGCATATGTGCGAGGAACGAGGGAGCAGCATTGTGGAGGTCGAGAACAAGCAGGTGATTCGTGACTCGTTCGTGTCGACAATGACGTCGACTCTAATTATACATGTTTATTACACCCCACCATCCAACGACTACATTGCTTAAAGACTCGTTGCTTGCGGGGATTCATGTCTTCCGACAGGACCAGTGGGTTTGATACTAAAGACATGCAATCAATGGCCATGGCTAGAACGACAAACCACATACTTACGTCGTAAATAGACTCATGTCCGCCATAGTGGTAGAGAACACATACCACGCTACTCGGCCGACTTCGAACGGTCCATACTATGGCGCAAACAACTCAATATTTCCAGCAGAATGCAAACATCGATACTGACTTTATAAGCTGGAACTTCGTGACCTGCGCTGTAAATTCGCGCATATGAGCTGCAGACAGCGATTAAAAAACTTGTAGTGGAGACTTAGGACGTCGTACAGCTTTCCAGCAGTTTTGAAGAGCCCTGCAAGGATGCCGCCGACCGGTGCCCAGTTGCTGAGGGGTGCTGCATTGAATGAGGCGCTGATCGAGGTTTTCAAGGAGGCAAGCTTCGCGCAATCAGTCAGACCGAAACAATCATGGCAACAAGGCTAACCATAGACTCTACTCCAACGAAATTGCAAAGGTAGTCCGCATCACCGTTGTAAATTGTGACGCGAACGCCCGCTTCAATGACGGTTTCCAGATCATGAATTGAGGTGCGGACCCAATCACCTATTACGACTGAGCAACGATTTTGAAGGGGCCCACCAATTGGAAATACCGGTGAGGGCAAACAGGTTATGCACGATGCTATTGGTCGAAACCCATGTCGTCTCAGCCCCGATTTGACTGGCAATACTATTGATGTAGGTCGTGAACGACGGAGGGTAAGAAGTAGCTGCAGCAGGCGATATCACATAGTAGGGCTGCCATTTCAAGGTGAATACGAGGAATACGTTGGGGCTGATCTTACATTCCAGTTTCCCGAAAGCGGGGTCATTATCTGTCCATTACAATAGCTCTGTGCACTCGCGCATACCGAGTCGGTGCCAGAAACAGAATTGCACGCCAAAATCTGTAGCAGCAAGTAAGATAAGTATTGAGCAAACAAAAGAGGAACCAAACACACCCGATCGTGACAACCAATAGAGGCTGATTGCCACGCGAGAGTTGCGTCGATGATTTTGTCTTGAGAGACGAGCGGAACGTGATACGGATTTGCGGAGTTGGCATAGACGATATAGCCTGGATACTGGGTTATCGGATCCTGCAAGATGTGGTGTTAACTATTAGATGCCAGGTAAAACATGGCGCAGCCATACCGTGAGTCCATTCCCGATACCCAGAACCGCAAGATTCAGTCTTGTACCATTCAATTGGCCATTTTGTATGAGCTGATTCATCTGCAAGAAATACGCGGCAAACGCCGGTCCGTAATGTCCACCATATGACTCCGTCCAGATTCCTAGCTTGTTTGGGATGAGAAACTGGAAGCGGGTGTCATTCAGGAATATCTGGATGAACTTCCAAATATCTTGCGCGGCTGCCCGCGTCGAATTGACCTCTATGGTTCCATGAGAAAAGCCTACACCGACCGGTTGGTCAATGTAGAGCATATTGCTCGCTCCATTCCAGGACCATTGATTGGAAGTAACAGTGCTACTGTCGTTGGTGATGCGACAGGGTCCGTTCTCTTGGAACAGTCCGAACATGCTAGAGCTACCAGGCTAACAACTTGTCAGGATGAGCCATGGGAACAGAAGACGACTCACGCCACCATTAAACCAGAGAGATAGCGGGGAAGTGCTTGGATTCGAGCGCGCAGCAAAATACCAGAAGCTGCACCCGATTGAGCACAGGACATATCAAATGCAACTCATACAATATACTCTTGTCGGCAGCGATGTCCGCGTAGCCTGAAGCCTGATATACGCCACGTGTTGTTTCTGAAAATGAAAAATCAAGTCAAGAAGGGAGAAAATATGGACCATGACAGACGAACCGCATATCCCAGAGTTCTCAACCAGATTCCGGAGCTTTCCGGGGGTTGTGACAACACGGGGTTGGACTTTGGCAATGCGCTGAGCTCGCGCTTGTGAGTCAAGCCCGCCAAAAATGTCATTGACAATGGGGATTTTTGCGGAATTCACCAGCAAAACGAAGGAGAGAGAGACTGAGGCAAGGTAAGGGAACAACATCGAATGTTGAGATGACCCTCACTTGCGCCATTTTATTGTAAGTATGCAGGTCGCCCATAAACGCCAAATGTCATGTCAATACTACCACCTATTAGACATGTTCCTGAAGATCTGTAGCTTCCGAGTTGCCCAATTTTATGCGGGGCATTCGGCGCTGATATCCATAGTGGCGCGAAAGGACTCGGATTGCGGGACCACATGAGATACAATGTCAAGTTTCAGCGCTGGTCGAGACCTGGTTAGCCTTGAGGCAGCGACGATCGGGTCGAATTTCTTGCCGACTCAGAACTTCGAATTAAAATCTGGGATCCCAGTCTATTGCGGCAGATGGAGGTCGGCGCGGAGGTGGGACACATCTGCAAGGTAGCTTCCTTCGTTTGGTACATTCGCCGTAGTAGTATGTGTTCGGAGTGGGCTGAACGGTGTTTGGTTTGAGACTTTGAGTTGTTGTGCGTGACATTGTTGACTGTGACGAAAGTCACATCACAGTCCTTCAGTTGGCGGTCCGGACTCCGGAGTTTCCCTGGTTTCCTCTTCCATCTTCGTCATGGCCTGTAAGTCCTCGTTCTCACTCAATAATATGTCGCCCTGAACCTCTAAGGGTCTGATTTACCGGCGGAACTGGCGCTTCAGATCGCGAGTCACAATGTCAACGAAATGCAGACCCTTCGCACAATGTGCTTGGTTTCAAAATCCATGAGGGACGCGGCCATTGAACCTCTCTTCTCTGTCCTGCACTTCTCCCGTAATGTAGATCTCTTGTGCTGGCTAGCGCTCGCACAAAGGGCTCCCTCATTGCTCTCCGCCGTTCGAAAGTTGAAGCTAACAATCGGACTGTCATTGAGCGCGACAAATCTATCGGCCATACCTACTCTGGAGAATGTTTGCGAGCTGGAACTGTCAGGGCTAGGGAGAGTGAGTCTTGTGGCCATCACAAGCTTCATAGCTCTAACGAACTTTGCAGAAAAATGCACCAGAGTTGCAATGGTCGGAGGGCCTTGAAGCCATCGCCAGCTACCTGGAGCAATCGCTCCCTAACCTGCGGCGATTAAGTCTCTCCAACTCTCATTTCTGGCATCTGGCACAACTTTCTCGTGTGATTCGGGCTGCTGCTTCCCTTGAATCTCTTGCCATCTGTGCCTCCAGCGTAATTTCTCTGAATAACTCCAACCAGGATGTGACCAATATCGGACGTGTTCCCGTCAATTTGGCAGGACTCAGAGAACTTGCTCTCATCGGCAACCATCGCGAATTTGACTCCGACGGCCAAAATAGCTTAGGCAGGATGATGCTCTTGTCTCCCCCGACCCAACTCCGTGTGCTCACACTGCTGTCATTTCATGAGTCCGGTTATGATAATCCGTGCTCTATCATGACGATGATTATGCTTATGCGGACCTCTTACGCTTTCCTTACCCACCTTACAATCGACCCTAACCTTAGACACCGTTATGGTATTCTTTTCAACCATAGATAATGGTTTCGTTCTGACACGCTGGATACAGAAAACCCACTTTTAACATCAGCTCTCCCTACTCTTCCACCGTTTGCAGCACTCCTCGAGCTAACAATTCATCTTGGGGCACTTGGAAGCGCAGACAGCTCTGGTCCAGCAGCTTTCTTCTTTGCGGCCCTCAAGCCGATGCCTAAGCTCACGATCGTGCGCTTCGTGCTGCGTGAGCTGGGGACGTGGGACTACACGTCTTTTATGTGGCTGTTCTCCAGTCATCCGTCGCTGCTACACGAAAACTCGCTCCAACGTCGGTTTCCCTCTTTAGAGGCTATCCACTGGGTGTTTTGTGTTGACCCGCGAGGCGACAAGGTCCGATTAATGGTTTCTAAATCGCACAAACTCGACATTGAACGGCGATTACTGCTGCGGCTGGAGAATGTGGGTATGAGCTCTCAGTGGATTTGTCGGGAATGGATCATGTGGCAGGACCGAAATTATCGACCAATGGTCTGGGAAGATTGAGTGTGGATTTGGGACTCGATAAACAGGACATATTTTTAACGTGTTTTGGTCGGTCTACTATGACCTCAAGCCCAAGGCCCACGACAAGGGAACACGAGGAGAGAGCGATGACCACTCAACCCTTCCTTGGGAAAGAGAGAACCTACCGGCGACCAGCTTCACACAACAAGCGACGTCGATTCAGACGAAGGGAAGGGATGGAGCGGTCATGGGCATTGGGGCGAAGGGGACTCGGGCAGGGTCTGGTTAGACCAATCACTCAAAACTCAGGAAGGCGAACAATTAACAAGGCGAAAAGTGGCGGCGAAGCAGTTGTCGGGGAAAGCTGTTGGGATGCGGTGGAAATATCAGCAGCTGTGATAGAGTTAGACGCAGATAGTGGGTGCTGAAGAGTGTGGCAAACTCAGGGTGGTGAATGGGAGCAATGACGGCCCCCACCGTCTGGTCCTCGAGTTGGATGTTGAGGTGTGTGGCGAGCAGCTTTGCGGAACCGCGTCGCACCTGCGGTGGTGATACAAGGGAGTCTTGTAGTGTCGCCAGAGAATTGTCGACTAGAGGCTGAGGGTGTGGGGCGAATGGAGAGGATGATAAGAAAAGCAGACAGGCAAGCGTCTTTTATAGATTTTTGGTTTGTGGGTGCGTGAAACTGCAGTACACAGCCCAATTCAGTCAGTCCACACTACTAGATGGTTCCAAGGAGTCAGAGCCCTCACAGACAACACGTTTTCGTTCCCGCTCACGGCCCGTGATGCGCTGATGAAGCTGTGCAATTCGTTTGGCGGAAACCATGAACGTCGACGATCTCCAAGCAGTTGTTTCGGCAAAACAACAGCACCCAACAGCTTCACAAAATAAGCGACGAGTTTAAAGAGCCTGAGGGAGAAATCCAGCTGAAAGATGCAATAATTCGAGACCAAACTGAATGAAACCATCGAGGCGGGCAAGATGTTGGCTGCTATTGCAGTGGTGGCAGATGTCGACGGTGGAATCAACTGACTACCGTGTTGAATCTACTGACTTCCATTTCCAGGCAAAACCGTCTATCGACACTCTGCAGGCAAACAAAACCTCGAACCCAATGCACCATCTGTTGATCCAAACAGCACCGTCATGCTCGGCTCTGCGGGCAAGTTCATCACCCACATTGCTGCTATCCAATGTGTCGAACGTGGTCTAATTGGCTTGGACGACCCTGCTGCAATCGAGAAACATCTTCCTGAAGTTGCAGTGCTGAAGGTTTATTTGCCAAGCGACGACGAGCCCGGCTTCATTCTTCGCGAGCCAACCAAGAAGATCACTCTCCGCCATCTTCTCACTCACTCGAGCGGAATTTCATATCCCGGGGACGAAAAGCTCGAAAAATGGACCCAGTCAGACAAACCAGCGATCGACGAGAACGCTCACATCATCGTCAAAATCTTCTCGATGCCGCTCTTGCATGAACCTGGAGAGGGCTGGACATATGGGTCGAGCGTGGAATGGGTCGGTCTCCTCATCCTCCGCCTCACCGGTCTGCGGCTCGTGGAGTTTGTCCAAAAGAACATTTTTGACGCGCTGGATATGAAGATGTCGACATACTATCCTGAGAAGCATGCCGAAATTTGGGCAAAGAAACTTCAGATGGTCAATCGCGAGAGTGGCGTGCTGGTTGCCGAACCAGACGATACGGTTCAAGGATTGACGTGTAGTGTTGGCGATTTGCAAACTCTGCTTGTTGACCTCCTTGGTCAATCGAAGCTACTTTCCCAGCCTTATGTCGACGAGATATTCAAACCACAATTCGTTCGAGGCACCCCTACCTATGTCGGGGCTCGGGAGGACATTCGCAAGCTAGGCAAATCTGTCGGAGTCCCAACAACACTCGCCAACCCACCAGTCAACGCTAGTCTCGCGGCTTTGTTCGTGGAGGATGGAGTTGCACCGTTGTCGAATTTCCCTCCAGGGACTCTCACTTGGAGTGGAATGCCTAATGTTATCTGGGCCGTAAATCGGGAGAAAGGAAAGGCTGCTATCTTCGCGACACAATTGTTACCTGTGGAGGATGATGAAATCATTGCAGTTGCGATGAGTTTCATGCGTGGGGCTTGGACTGAGCAGTAGGTATTCGCATGGTACATCGAACTCCTATCAAAAAGGTGATAGTTATGTGTTGCTAGTGTTGGTGGGGTCGAGAAATCCTTCAAGGCAGTGGCACCAAGTATCCTGCGTGGGTGTTTCCGTTTTCAGTTCCAAAACACAGATTCTCGTCTCACTGACACACATCCCAACGGCTTATTTCCTCGATAATAAGCGGTTGTTGTTGTTGTTGTTGTTGTGGGTAACGAGATGAGATGTTGGATGCAGTTGAGACTGTTGAGTTGAACTTGCACAGACAGATCGACTTGAGATTGACTCTCGTGCACGTGGAAGTGTAAAATCCTCGCAAGCTTGAAGTATGCAATCAAGTGCCAGAGTCAAACGCGCGCAGATCCGGATCAGATTTCATCGAGGAAGATAAGGGAGACTGCTGCACTTTTTCTATTGTCGTGGCGGCGAAAGCATATTTCTTTAGGATAGGATTTCTCTTGAATGAAAAAATATTCGGCGAACGCAGAGCAGAGCCGTTGAACGTTACATAAGGCCGTGAGGAAGAGTATGACTAAACATGTAGATCACATCGTTAGACGGGACTCACACGGGCATCTGCTTGACCATGCTTCGGATGACCGGTCCAGCCTTTTATTACCCAGCGCGCTATGATGCTCGCCTTGCCGACCTTCACCCCCGACCATAGGTTACTTTTCTCGAAGTCCTCAGCCCACGGCGCTTAGCAGAGCAAGCAGGCCCATCGGTTCTGCGTCATGCTCTGGCCGTCGTCAATAACCCCTCTTTTCATCTGGGCCACCCTTTTCCCTGTCGCGTTCGTTCATGGCGCTGATGATTCAGGTGCGAACTCGGTCAGGCATATTGCTTTCTCGTTGCTCACTGATTTTATTCCAGTATTTGCCTGGCGCAGCATTCCCCAACTGACGACTTGCCAACCAGCATCGTTGTCCTGGTTTTATCGCGGAGGCAGCGAAGACCTCACGATTTCGATAACCAACCAAGGCGTTCCCCAGTCACCTCCCAGCGCACCAACCCTGCCGCACAACCCTCCTCCAGGAAATGGACCACCCAGAGGCGGACTAGGAATTTTTGGAGGCGGGGGCCCAAGGCCTCAGAAAAGCGATGGACCTGGTCGAGACGATGGTCGGCCGCGACATGGCCATCAACCCGCCCGGAGAGACCTCAACCAGCCGGTCTCCGGTGCGGTCAAAGCTTCAAGCAACTCGTTTGCCTGGTCGTCCGTCAATGTCGCGCAAGGTTATTATGTCCTCGTCGCGAATCTGCCTTCATCAAACACGGTGAAGCAATCCAGGCCATTTTTCGTGGCAAATGGCAAAGATACATCCTGCTTAGTGGTGGCCAACCCCCCTCCTCCGCCTTCTGTACCGCCCTCCGGCCCGACAAGTGGAACGGCTACCACATCCCCGTCTTCGATACCCTCCAAACCCACGTCAGAACCATCCGACTCTGCTGCTGCTGCATCCGCTCCTGTTGCAACAACTCCTGTTCGGGTACCGGGTGGATCAACCACCTTACGTACCGGCTCGGGAGCGCCTCCCAAGGGTGTTTCACCGACAGGTCCCGGTGACTCCTTCGCGCCTCCTTTGTCTACGAACATGACCACCCCAGTCTCTGGTGCCTCACACTCTCGACTCAACCGTGGGGCGATTGCTGGCGGAGTCATTGGTGGGCTCGTTGTTGTTGCGGCGTTGCTCGCATTTTTCCTATATCGTCGCTATTCGAAGAAGTCTGCCCGCGCTCAAGCCTGGGCAGGCCTTACGTCTGGTGAACGCGCCTTCCCCCCTCCCGCGCCGAGTCCAGGGGGTGGTCGTCATGTTCATTCCGAATCTGTCGGTCCAATTCTTCTGCACGACAGCAATGTGTATATGATTGGCAACCTCACATCTTTTGCTGGAGGCGAAAAGGATGCAGTTGCAGACACCACCACGTCGGAGTATGCTTTTTCGCAGGGAAAGCTGTCATCGCCGCAACACGAATCGCCGTTGTCGACAAATGATCTGCATCCTAGCATTGGTGCAGTTCCCAACGACGCAATTATACCTCTTCCAAACCCTCCAATCATTAGTCAGCCTTCTCCAAGGGCCCGCGCCCGTCCGCTGTCGACCCCAGCGCCAAGCTCTCCAGCACTTTTTTCGTTAGAAACATACCCAGCTAGCCCAACCCCCCTCCCAGCACCTCCGGACAAGCGGCGCAGCTCCAGTCGGAGAAGGGCTATCCCGCCGTGTTACAAGGAAGGCGGTCCCAGAATACAACCCTGATGACCCAGCATTAGCTCCTTCGCGTTCTATCACTCCAGCGGTCTCTCGGACGGCTTCAGGGCAGGACTTGTCTCAGCTGTTGGCGACTGCAAACAACAGTGGTGGTGCGGTACACTACCTCGTGCCTGATGCACCCATTTCCCAGCGCTGAACCTAGCCTACTGCTTTGTTATCTTCCTGTTTTCGTAGGCTATCTATGTCCTGTTCGTTAAAACCTGTTACTGCAAGTTTTGGTCTTCTCCTGGATGTTGCGTCAATGATGAGTCATCACCATCAACTTCTTCCACCTTGCCAACTACAACGAAGTTGGAAATTTGTTTTCATGCCTCCCAGCATGACAGATTGGTCAACTTTCGAGATTATTTGCCTCCATCGAGTCCGCGATGAACTTTTGCAACTCTGCGTGGTCGTACACGCTCCTTATCGTCGAGCCTCCTGACCCAATCCCGGTCACTGTTGACACGGCTCATAACTGCCAAACTCAAGGCGGTGAGCGGGAGAAGAACAAGAAGATCTGCTGTATCGACTGGCGTGCATAATGGTTGCAGCAGCATGATCACCTGCAGGCTCTTGGACTGCTACTCTCAACCTTGGGGTGTGGATGTCTGTCGTCGTCCGAATTGCGACGCTCTTTTGCATTTTATTCTATCGGGCCTCCGCTGGACCAGTGGCTCCCATCCCCGGTATGACAATTTTCGAAGATTCCAATCACTGACTGCTCCCAGACCCAGTGTTTTTATGGCTGTCGATACCAGAAATGTGGACATGCAAAAGCGCCCCGATATTCTGGTCATTTGAAAACTCAGAGAGCCTTCCTATGTACATCTCCATAACCAATGCCGGCGTTACACAGGCTCCCAAACCCTCCGCCACGTCCGTCGGCCATGTCGATAGGAGCGCAGACCCAGAGCTGCTAACAATGCAGATTTCCGGTTTACTCGACGCTGCGGAACGCACATTCACTTGGGCGCAGGCCAACGTTACTGAGGGTTGGTACGCACTGATCGCTACCTTTCTCACAACGAGCGCTCTTCAAGTCTCGAGTCCTTTCTTTGTGAACGAGGGCGATATATCCTGCTTATCAACGACAACAAACTTGAAGCCCAAATCTTCTGCGCCAGGCAGCATCATGCTGAGTCCAAGTTCTGCATTTACACCAGCCTCTAGCACAGTCTCATCCTCGCCCACAACTTTTGCCACAAAAACATCCCACGTTGAACTCCCAGAGATGCTTGGTGGGGTGTTCGGAGGCATTTTAATTGGAGGTCTATTCGTTGCGGGACTATTCAAGTCGCTCGGGTTCATTAAGCGGCGACGCACTGCAACTTCGAGTGGCTCGATGGACCGTAACCAGAGCAGATTTAGGCCTGGCATACGGTTTCCCCTCCGCCAGAGGCTTATTACGCCACATACAGAGCTATCAAATCTTGGTCGTCACGAGTTCGAGTCGCAGTCCTCCTCTTTTGGCACTCGTATCGCTCGTAATAGCAGTGATGCCAACCTGGTTGACCTACGGCGTTGGTTCATGCAGCGAAGAGGATCATCGCAGCTGCAAAATCCTTTCGACACACCCGCCGGGAGCGTCCGACAATCATCGTCGTCTATGCCTTCCTACCAAACTATCAGCAGCAATTGTGAATCTGCATCAACTGGCGCCGTTATTGTACCCCCAAGTCCAGCCTATCCTTCCGGGAGCTCGCTTATTTCAAGGACGGATGTGGTTATGGACGGAATGTATAATATGCACGATCCTGCCTTGTTACCACACCGTTCTGACCCCAGTTGAATTTGTTTTCAAATCATATATATCATACGTGTGAGAATAGAGCACCTCTGTTGTAGCCGGAGTTTCGGGATTAGTTTCAGTTTTGGACTTGCTATGTACATGTTGTGACCACTGCATTGTAGCTGACCTCCGCAAAAGCAAGGCAGATCAAACTGATTTCGACCGCGACGACGACCGTAAATGCCTCTTCGTGTAATACCGCAAACATACTGGCACCTTCCTTGCGTAAGGTGGCTTATCTATCCGCTTTCGGCTTGTGGATGACAACGAGTCGGCTTCACTGTTGACTTTGTGCATCCAACCATCTAACCACACTCCCTCTTATTAAACTTGCCAAGACCTGCATGGAAGCCAGTCGCCCACAGGATTGCTGTATGCTACTGAGTAGTATTCCCGAAGAACATCGAAAGACTCGTCAGTTTCGTCATGAATCATATGCATGATCCACGCAGGGTAGCTTGAGTCCTCTCGTGGGGAAGGTATATCGACCGTCCCATCCGCTCTTTCCTTCTCATTTTGACCGCGGATAGATAGCATTCTCCTATGCAATTCCGAATAGCATTTTCCAGACTAACGTCTGGTCAAGCCAACTACCGATGGTCATTTCTTATCCGAGTCCCATGAGTCGAGAACGACGTCCCACTGGCAATCGTGACGCTGGTATTTGCCCATTCACCCCTTTCAGACCAAATTCACCGTCTGTCGGGGGGACAAGGCTATCTCGGTAAAACGAGTCCGGCACTGCCGTTCCTATCGAATCTCGATATTTCTTCAATTCCGCCCGCAACCTCTACTCCGTCAACAAACCCTTACTGAGGTTCACTCTCAAAGGCATCTACCCCTCTCAGACCACCTTCACGTTCTGGGGGATAAAATGGGAGGCACACTTTATGCCTTGAGGTTGATGTCTCGACAACTACAACCCTTCGCATTTGTGCCATGTTCTATCTGGGCCAGCCTGTTGCCTATTTATTCAAAGTCCTCGAGCTCGAGCCTCAAATCGATTTCCTTCTTCCCACGGCCATCAACATTTTACTTCGGCTGCCTCGGCACGGATCACCCGAGACAATGCCCACCCATCGTTGTGTATCCTTGCCGTCGGTTTTCAATGGTTGAAGGTATCGTTAGCGGGGAATCTTTACTGGTGTGCCTGCGATGGGAGATTCAAACATGATGTATTCCAGCGTCCAGGAGTTTATGGAGTCGACGCAAACGATTTCGAATGAGAAACAAGTTGCGCTCATACCATCTCTTCTAATTCAACAAGTTCGATCCAATCAACTCGTTCAAAACACGGGCTCACACGCTCGAGTTTGTGTTGAACCCGATTGGCAGAGTGACGTCCGCTGGCGCGGCGTCGCACCTACTGGAATTTCAACTCGCATTCCCTCCGGGCTCACCTCGCGCTTGTCATATCACTTACCCAGCCCTTTTCTGAAGTTGGGGAAGGTGCTCTCGTGGCCGGGCTGGCCGTTTGGATAACATGATGCAGTTTGTCAATGGGGCTTTGCCTCTCAAATCCGACAGTTTCATGAAAGTCAAACTACCTTCTGTTTGATATATCACTATCGCTGCAGTGCAGCAATCCTATATGCCTCCTTCGGTGACGAGAAGACGGATTACACGCCTGGCTGCAAACTCTTGTCCTCAATCACAACACCTCCGGGCTTCTTGTTTGTGGGGTGACAAGCCTCGCCATGTGCTGCAGTCGATACCCACGCGGGTAGCTTAGTTTGTGGACATACTAAAAAGCTTCTCTCTCGCTGAGGTGGCTTTTGTGACCGACGGTACTACTAGTAGTATTCATCTTTGGCATCAAATGGCGGTCTTTGCGGTACAAACCATTGGAGACTCCGCTTCGATGGCCGAGGCATCAGGTCTCCACCCCCAAAACTTCCCACTTGAGTCACCTTCATTCATCGATGGTTCATATCCGTCCCAAACGAGTGGGTGGTCCCAGCGCTCTCCATCGACCACGGCGGCTGCATCTCACTGTTTCCATGAAGCCTGTCATGAGCGGGAGAATCGATGCATGCTGAATCACTGGCACACCGCCAAAAGTATAAAATTTTATGTTTTCCCGGACCTGCTAGCCGACGCGCACCGTCAACGCACCGTTCATGAAGGACGTGCTGTTGTTGACTGCAACATTATTTCTCCATCAGGCTGTTCTCGCTTGGGGAATGCTCCGGAACTTGAAACTCGGGTCCACCGCTTGATCACTAGCCTGAGCTGTGCCTTGTCGCTCGAGCCCCAAGGCTACTAGTATTTACTGAGCCTGACATTGGCCTGACAAGTCAACGGTCTCGCGGCCTTTCTGGCCTTTCTTTCGCCCTTGGATCTGCCGCGGCAGGGGCGCTGCCGTATTGCCCATTTCTGGCGTGAGGAAACCCAGAAGAAGGATCCATTCAAACGTTGCTAACGGCGGATTTGCGGGGAATGCTATCTCAGCCTAACACATGTGCGATGCTGTTCAAGTTGTGGCGCCACATCTGCAAGCCACTCACCCGTGCAGCCGTCAAGAAAGCTTGCGATTTCTAAGCCTCCTCTCAGGCTGCTTCTGCTTCCTCTGTATTGACAGACATACTCGAGGTCGTCCCACCTGTTTTCGAATCGTCGCTATGTCATAAAAAGCTCGAGTCATCTGATAGAGGGTCTCCGGCACGAGCTGACGGGTGCGAGCAATCCCACTCGATGGAGAAACCAACAAGCTATAGGGAGGAGCACACGGCCCGGTCCATAGTACACCGGCAACGACCAACACCACGAGAAAATAATGGATGCTCGTACCAGAGTGTACAAATGGTCCCGTTTGCTTGACCGAAGCAATGGATGGAAACCGTGCCGCATCGTCTGTGGAGGCTTGATAATAATGTGTGCCATATGAGTTAATTTCGTTCACATCATCGTCTAATCTAACTTCCTCCGGCCATCGTCATAGGCAGGCGGTCACGCCCCTCAATCTGGCTCCAGGCAATCTCCAGGCCCACAGAGGGCCTTCGCGGTGGCTAAAATTGCCCTCGAAAGACTGCGGTGCTGTCAACATGTTTTCTGCCGTAAAAGCATGTATATCGAGCGCCATCTGCGTGGAACAAACGACATGCTCATTGTCTCAATCGTCATCCATGCCGCAACTTGTACTCCAAGTTTGGGTCCCGCCAAATTCGAAAACGCTGTCAACATATCAGCATCATCAGGTTATCAAGTTGGTTAAGAAAACATCTGCAATTAGAGTGGGTGCTTTCAGGTATTATAGCAGCTACAGCTAGTCGTACAGTGTTGGTAAGTATTCTAATGTAGATTTTTTATATACTCTAAGGTTGGACGACTAATGATGGTAATTATGTCCATCCATCTGGATTCCGTTGACGCAGAGGCAACGGTATCAGCCACGGCCGACGCCGGGAGCTCGCGTTGTTGTTCGACCTTGAGAGCCCGACCTTGCGTATTTTGGCGAGCCTTCAAGGTAGCGCATGGTTCAGAAACCCAAATCGAAGGTCGAATGAGATTGGCGACATACCTGCGTAGACCGATCAAAGCGACTGTCGATGCCAAACCCATCGCGAACCCCGTCATTCCATAGAAGGCCCACTCATGCGCCTCAAGGTGACTAGTCAACTGGAAGAGGGAGGACATGTGAGATGCAAGTATTGGCAAGATAGAGGAAACGCACATTCATTCCAAATAGTCCGGTCAGTAATGCGCCTGACCCGATGCCCATTGTCAATATGGAGACCTGTGAGGAGTACGTTAAGACGATCGATAAGTGGACGGGATGGTGGCTGACCTTGAGGTCAAGAGATAAGAGCGCATTGCGATTGGAGTCTAGAATTAGCTCGACAATCTCTTGGGTAGATTGTACGTTGGTCTTGGAAGACATTAGTTTAATTATTATTCTGATATCCAAGAGACACACAGCGATGTTTTCAGCCTCGTTGACTATTTCTTCAACTTGCTTGGAGAATGATTCGAGTAAAACCTCGAGATCTTCATGATCCTCCAGCTCTCGGATGACCTCATTGTGTTTGTCCGTGAGATACATCGCGTTCAGATCGTCGTCTAAAGGTATGACGTCATACGCCATACTGTGCGCCGTCTAATACCAGCTTACCTTGCCCTAAAACTTCTTCGAGCGCTTCCTCCACCTGGAACATGGCGGTAAATCATCGGCGGGCTGGAAAGACAGCGAACGAGCACGCACCAACTTGGCCCTATTTTGAAAGCTAGCAAGGCGCCGCGAATAGTGCAAGAGGCGTTTAAAGCGATCGTGATCAATGTTGTCCTCCAGTTCAGCCAGTAAGCCACCGACAAGATTGCGAATGAACACCATCTCCGCCTCAAGTGCGCTCAATACTGAAAGGAGTATTGACTCCAAAGCCCTGGATCCGTGCTCAGCGACACCGCGTAGCGATACATGAACGAAGGTAGTCACCTGAATTCATAAGGCATTCCCGACCCTTTCAGTTTCAGATTGTGCTGGAACAAACATGAGTATGGTCAAGTGAGGCGGCGGAGTGGCCGACCTCAAGATGATATAGGAACACAGAGTGGAGACGGGAGTCAACCGACCCAAAAGAATCGAATATGATTACACTGTCTGCCTTGACAAGGGCTCGAATGTGTAAAATGTTAATCTACACGGATCTCAGCGAAGAAAAATAATAGCGGTGGCAAGAACGCACAAGAAAAGCTTCCTTGCGGACGAGGACGGTCGGGACGAGGTTAGGTACCCTTGAATCAATCTTGCGGAGGTCCCGAGGCTGCAGAACGCCTGAAAGTTAGTCAGACAGATCAGGCTGGGCAAGACATACATTCAGTTTATGCTCGTTGCACAGGTCCGACTTTTTGAATTGCCCGGAAATCGTCTTGACATTGCCTGGAATGAGATTTGAGGAAACATCCGGTCCGGCCAAGTTATTTATTGCGCACCCTCTGCATCAAGGACAGTGCCTGGAGTGAGTGTCAGAATCGAGGAATGAATGCGAGCTAAGTAAGCGTACAGCGAAGCATGAGGTCTGGTGGATTGCGTCCTTTCATGACTTTTTCTAATATGGCCGCCCGAGTTGCTTCCTCATGGATGTCTGCGGGCATTCCATCATATTCTATCCCCCGAAAAGGTTTGTTTCGCCATGAGATGCAGCGGACGACTTGATGGATAGGTCGATCTCGGAAAAGTCCAGTCGACAGCGTCTTGGTCGGTGCAAATGCGTGAATAGAGTGAAGGCATGCACTCCGAGAAATACAGGTACGAGAGAGCCAGATTCGTTTGGTTACATGAGAGAAAGCGAGCATACGCAACGGGCAAAGTCACCGCGAAGAACAAGCTGGCCGGGTGACATGTGACAGCGACTGGGTTGGAGAAAGCCACCGTCAACGTCTCCAAACAAGACTCTTATGAAACTAACGCAGCGCATAATGGACGCTAGTCTGAAAAAGCAGGCTCTACTTGCAACGTCACTTGACCATCAAAACACCAAGCTTGGAAGCTCCATGTCCTGGAACACGGTGGTTGACTTCACACAAAACGTGCCGCGGCCTTCCAGATCGGACCCTACCCATCTCGAACTTTCATTTATAACCGAAGCATTCTTTCTCCTCCCTCTACCCTCTCCCTTATAACATGTCCTTGGCCTGAATATCTACCTATAATATGACCGAAACCCGACGACTCCTCGACGCGTCTACAGCCCTCTCCCTACTACTCCGTGTTCAATCTGTACCCCACGCGTTCTACGGGAGTGTTCTTACGGCGGTTCTCGCAAATAGCCCTCAAAGTGATGTCGGTCTCTGTCCTGACATTCCCGAATACTTGTTAACTCGTCGTAGGAGATATTCTGCGTCGTCGAAGGCGGACAAAACCAGCCTCATGCGTTCAGAAGAGTGCGAGATGCTTTAGCTGGCAATGCTGACTTTACGATAACCCACTCACCTTGGACGAATCGGTGCGTTCACTGTACCCTCCACCCACAAAACGATGCTGATTTTTCCTAGGTTGCACGTTACCTATCGTCGTTACATTCCTGCAATCGAGGTGAGCCTCTGCCACATGACTTGGTTCCGGCACCCCAACCATTTGTGGAGATTGAGATTCTACCTGCTGGAGAACACGGACCCCGGCATCTCGACCAAACAACCGTGATGAAGATGGAGGGCCTCCCTTTCTTGACCATCTCCGAATTTCTCCGTTCCAAACTCAAGTCTTGGATGATGTGCCTAAGCGCCCCGCTTTTAATGCTCAGCACAGACACTAATGTTGGGCTTGGTCTTTCTATAGTCGCGGAGAGGATCGAGACGCGCAAGATATTGTCTACGTTCTAGGTCGGCACTGGACCCGGGTGGACATCAACCGCATTCCTGAGAACGACATGAATTTTTTCGTCGCGAGACACACATCGGTCGCTCCGGCTTGGGCTGCAGTGAGGCGCAGATATGGTGTTTAATCAGTGTATGTCTATTTCCCGCAAAAAAAAACACGCGGTTCTGCGTCATTCTTCAATCTGATAGCGATTCGCGGTTTTGTCAGGTGGTCGGGTTTGTTCGCCGTCGGCATCGAGCCTTCATGAAGCACGCGAAGGGTGTATTTATTTTTGACAGACAAACAAGCCTCTTGTCTGCTATCGCTCTGCTGTGGCCTCTTTCGAGCATCTATCTGCCGAGCCTACATCTCACACTAGTGTCCTTGAGTCTCCCGTTATCATGCGAGGACTTGAAAGTCAAACCGCTGGTCGGCCCATATATTTCCGTCTCGATAATGCTTCAACATGATTTGCGCGGAATCAAATCGGGACCATATCGATTACATTGCCATGCCATTAGGATCCCATCACAGTCTAAATCTCATTGCTCATACCATCATCCCAGGCAAACAAGGGTCCGAAAAAGCACTGTAACAATCTCGAAGCCGAAGCTAGCCAAGGGGTACCAACTTCTAGTTCCCGTCCGACAGCCACTCATCGCGCAAAATCCCGAACCCCATCTTGTCCACATTGTCGAGTCTTTCGGTCGCCTGTCTTTTTTTGGTACTGAGTTAGCGCGAAAGTCAGGAACCCATAATGAGAACCCGAAGAAGCACGCACTAACGGACAACAGAATTGGCCGAAATATTGACGCCGTACTCTACTTGATCATTCTCCGGACAGAGTGTGGTTTCTGCTGAGTTTATTTGCGGTTGGCTGTATTCCCACTCGATCTCAGGCAATGAGGCATCCGAGTCAGATGCGGTGCTGCTATCTTCTTCGTCGTCAGACCACCAACAATCTCCGTCAGAATCGTCTTCGACCGGCTCTAAGCTACCGTTGTCTCCGCACAAATACGCCAGAAGAACGTCATCGCCATCGAGAATACACGAATCGTCGTCTCGATCAGAGAGGTGTACTGCGGCGCATTGAAGGTGCTGGATTGAGAAAAGTGCTGAGTAACACTGGGCTGATTTCCTATCCGGTGCGACTGACCATAGATAGAGCATAGAAATGTATGAACTCCCGACTACACAACTGGCAAGAAGGAGGGGTTTTGCGGTCAGTGCTATCAATGTTTACTGGGAGGTCGCTGTCGTTGAGCTCAAAAAAGGTTGTCATGATGGACCAGAACACCGATTGTCGTTAAGTCTCATGTGACATTTATACGACTCGCAGGTTCAGACATGTCTCATCCATTGCTGAGACTGCGACAGCTTTCCTTCCGCGATATGCATTAGTAGGTTGACCCCTTTGTTTTGATGCAGGCGGTTTAGAACCCGAGTAAGCCTAGTAATGCACACCGCGGAAGGAAAGCTGTTGCAAATATTCCGTTCATGGCGAATTTAGGGGGACAAACTTGACTTTTCAAGGTTTATGACAGCTTCACGTGATCGCGTCACGACCAGTCGATGTTGTGGGTCTGAGGAAAGGGAAAGCCATATGTGGAGCGGATGTTTGGCATGGACCACGACGATAGTGAGCGATGCTTTTTGTTTCCAACATGCATTACTTGCTGAGATTGTGGGTCAAGTGGTCGGCCCGATGTGTCAGCACTCAAACGGCTGCGCCACCTGCCATTCTCACGCTCCAAGTCCCGATGACATATGCTGGATGACCGTGCCGAATTGCTTCGCAGTCGTCGTTCTCTGAGGCCACCATGAGCTCCTCTTCATCTACTTCTTTGACCTCTCATTTCCCTGATGAGCAGTCGCGTAAAGAACCGGAGCTGGCTACTTGGAGACGACCGGCAGCGTGGTGGTGTGTGGACAATGTTGTGCTTTTTTATTTGCAGTCACTCACAATAGTTGTAGGTTGATGATTTATGCGCCTTTTAGTATGGTTGTACAGACAGCCACAGCCGGAGCATCTCTGGAACTGTATAACAACCTTATTTGCCATCAAATTCGCGCAGAGCCTCAGTCGATAACGCTTCTCCATCCATTTGCTGCGGACGTCCAAATACTTTCTGACCTAGCATTTAATGCATCACTCCCGGGCTCTGGCTCATGCTCGTCAGACCCTTCAGTACAGGCGGAGGTCGCAAAACTTGCAACAGGTGCATATAGACTTTCGGGGCGGTCACAGCTCTCGCTCACATAGCCCAGCCGTTGCAACGATTACTGGGATCCTCACTTTTGTGACAGCTGCTTGGTGGGGTTCTGTGCGTCGATTTATTATTTTCCGGATCTTTCTGGAGAACCCTTGCAGTTTTCTGACCGATATGGACGCACACGCATGATGGGCATATCAGCCATCGGCCACACCTTTGGCTTAGCCAACACCATACTCGTTGCAAAGCAAGTGGAGCGCGTCCCTGGAGGATACTGGTTCATTGCTATCAACGCCGTCATCATGGGCATTATCGGTGGTATGTTGCAACTTCTCTTCTTTCTTACCCAACAAACTGACGGAGCTTTCAAGGCAACGCTAGTGAGCTTGCTGCCATGAATGCATATGTAGCGGACATTTCTACCTCAGAAGAACGGTGCCTATCTCTCACCGGAGCTAAAACTATCGCTACAACGTCAGTTTTTCAACAGGTCGCGCGTTTTTTCTTTTGTCATGGGCTCGATGCTTGTCGGGGTGGGTGTGGGTCCAATTATTGGCAGTCTGATACTGAGGTTTGTCGGAATATATATTTTCTTTTGTTATTTTCTGACCTCAACTCTACTAGGTTATCGCACGACGTCTTCGTTGTGTTCTACTTCGCTGTCGCTTTGCGTCTCATTCACACACTCTTTATATGGATCGTTCTCCCCGAATCGCTCACCCGTCTTCAAATGAGTGAAGCCACCACTCGATATCGAGACTCCTTGCAGTCTGGCTCTGCCCACCCAAGACTGCATTACATATATATTCTATTCGAGCCGCTGGCGATCTTTTGGCCCAAGAAGCATGTTGACCAGTTTTCTGGGAGGAAGAAGAGGCACTGGAACTTGTTCACACTTGCCTTGGCTGACGGTTCGATGCTTTTGGCTTCGGTCTGTGGTTTCAGTAGAGGCGCCGCAGAGTCTACTAACATGACTTGCAGTCATCCGTCATCTCGCAATTTCTCTACGCACTCCGGACATTCCAATGGGATGGGGAATATGTGAGTCCTAAAATTATTATTCAGAACAGTGTAGTATTCAGTCTTTTCCAAGCTGGGTTATTGCCTGAGCAGCATTGGTTTTGCCCGTGCCGCTTTCCTTGCGATCGTTCTTCCCGGTCAGTACAGACTGCTATCGTTTCCTCTTTACTCAAGCTTGAAGCTCAGTCCTTATCAAGCTTGCCAAACGAGAAAACAAACCTGCATCACCACCAGGTCATACGGATCCGTCAGATGAACGACAGCCCCTACTCTCAAGTCCACCATCGTCGCCTGACGAAGCTGGGTCCTCTCCGCCCCATTCAATTTCTCATGCCTCCTATTTCGACCTTTCGCTAGCCCGCTTCTCGATCCTCGTGCACATAATTACTTTTGCTCTCCTGCCCTTCGCGCCGACCAGTATTCTTTTTATCGTCTTCATCTCCCTTGGGTCGTTCGCTGCGGGACTTTCCCCGGCCATAAACAGCGTCGCATTGGAGCTCTACACGCATCAAGCTGGTGTAGACGGTGCGGTCGAGTCGGGAAAACTGTATGGCGCGCTGAGCGTGGTCCAGGCGCTTTTGTGCGTTTTTTTCCCTGTCGACAAATCTATTCAGTCTTCTGACAAAACATTCTAGTGGAAACATATTGGGCCCTCCCATATATGGGCTTATCTACAGCATGACCGTAGCTTCGCATCCGAGAACCGTCTTCTTCGTAGCGTTGGGCAATGCCGCTGTGTCGCTGGTACTCTTGGTCTTTGTTAGACTTCCATCGCGCCACGGCTTGTAATTTTAACCAAGACATCAACTGTAACTACAACTAGCACTACCAAGAAGTAAAGTAATGTAACATACACGAAGATTACTATAGCGTGCCTAGATATCATTCCAACGTCCTCCTAAGCGTCCTCGTCAAAGTTCTGCTTCCTGAATAGATCGTAGACGTCCGAGCTTAGCTTTGGCCCGATAGCCCGTGTGCCCCCCCTCCGCCCCACCGACTCCCTTGAGCATCATCCTGGCTGTTGGTACACAGGATTTGTTCTTACCTTTCCCTTTACCTCTGCCACCACCATCCATTTCCTCCTGGTATCTGGCCGACTCCTCCTCCTTCTCAGCCGCCTTCAACGCCTCCCAAAACTCTCTCGGAGTTCGCCATTCATTCAAGACCGCCGCAGCCTTCTCTGCGCTCATCCCTCTCACGCACAACAGCATACGTGCCCAGGTATCCTGCACAGTCAAGAATCCCGATTTGCTGTTGAGCCATTGGAAGTCCTCGAATGAGGTAATATACGTGCGATCGGGGTGCCTGCGTTTTAGGTAGGCTTGGAGATCACAGTACGAATGGCGCTTGATCATGGCGGTCGGAATCACATACAAGTCCTTGACCTGAAAATAGATTAGTTAAGATGCGAATAACGAGACAGAGCCCACCTGATGGTCCTCTGTGATCTGCCTGGTCAACCCAACCAGATAAGACATCGTCTCATCCATACTCTTCGTCTCCTTGACCAAAAAGCCATCCACCGCTTGAGTTGAGGACAGTGCTGTATTGATTTGTGGACCCCAGACCTCCTTGTTCTGCTCCGCGTTGTACTCCTCCACGAGGTAAAACACACGCGAGATCGCGCTTTGCTGAAGACGAAACTTTTGCTCATGGAACCGTCCGTCTTTGATTGAGCCAATCAGATCGTCGAGCCGTTTTCTCTCCAGCACAACGTCTAACACATAGCGTTGATTCCCGACTTTTGCGACCCACGTGACATCCCCGAGCTGGAGAGCCTCCAAATTGATGGATTGAAGGCCTTTATTCAACAGCTTTTCCCGCAGTGACTGACGACTGCCACCCGCTTGTTCCCGATTATCCAGAATCATTTGCACCGTATATGACCTGGCAGGTAGGACAATGGGTGTGAACTCGGGGAACGTTGTCTGAGGGAGGTATATTGAGGCATGCTCAACTGCAGCAGGAACAGGAATCGCATGCGACAAGCGAGCTCTGTTGGTTGGTGCCGCTGAAATAGGGAGTGAATGTGTCCGTTGTATCTGGGGGATGGGAGGGTCCATAATACCGGTAGCTGCACGTTTAATGGTGCGAGAAGGCTGCTGCGGCTGAGAGAGAGACGGTCCCGATGGCGCCTCACTTGGTGTTTTGACTGCAGCCTTGGAACTACTGGCACTTCCATTTCCCTGAGAATATCGCGAGGGAAGTTGTCGTGAAGGATCGAGGGTATTTTGCGAACGAGATTTTGTCTTGTTCTCCGCTTCCAATAGAGCAGAAAGCGTCCTCGACGCGGCTTGGAGTCCATCAGGGAAACCGTCGAAACCTGGGCATTGCGAGTAAGGTTCAGCCGATGGTTCCGGTATATCCCCAGCCCAATGTTTGCCAAATTTCGAGCGGTTTGACAGTTTCTGGACGAGGGGATGATGAGCCTGCGACGCTGGATACGCGACCCGGAAGAGTAGAAATGGCTCCGCTGGGTTGTCGGAGAGCGAGACACGTGCTTGTGCGCGATTGCGAACGGGTTTGTTTTCGGTGTCTAGAGCAATCAGAGGGAGATTGGTTCGAGCTAACTGACGCACCGATGTACCAGAACTTGAATTCGCCCTGTCGTTCTTCTGAAGCCAACTGAGGCAACACGTCGCTGGCGACGCGTTTAACTGGGCGAGTTGGCGGCGGTAAGTCAACTTCTGTGGCAGACCGCTTCAAAGCTCCGCCGCGTGGTCTGGGGGTAGGTTTCGTGACAGGTTCGCTGTTCTTGCTGTCCAGGGTGTTACCCGCATTATACGTCTTGATTTTCTGAAGAATTGTGGTGCCTATACCATTGACAGACAATAACTTGTCGGCGGTGTCATAAACATTCTCGTCGGCTCTCAGCCCGTTGATGGCTTTGCAGTAGCTGAGATACGTGTTCCGATTCTGGTCTGCAGAAATTTTTTAGCAGAAGTATAGTGTAGGTAGGATATTGGATGAACCATCTCGATGGCTCTCTCGTAACGCCTCTAGAATGTCCAACCACTTGCCATTAGGTCTGTTATGTCTCCTTTGCCTAGGCGGCATCTTGTGAGTTGTTGAAACAATGAAAGGGAAAGGAGGTGCGCCAATGGTCACAATCATGTGATCTGGTGATGGTGGTTATTGTAGTATTAAACTTTAGAAGACATGGCACAGAGGAATGGAAAACGAGCTATTTAGATCCAAGAAGTCTCTACATTGAGAGTTTCTTGCGCTTGGGCTTGATATTCTTTTTCTTCCGCTTCCCGCTACCATCTTCTTCTTCTTCATCTGCACTATCCGGTCCATCGACATCAGCCCACTCTCGCTTGGCTGGTATGGCTTGTACCCGCTCACTCAATGTATTCGATAAGGCAATGCGATCCAGGAGTGAGATTCGCTGGCGTCGCTCTGGTGGTGGTGGTGGTAGTGTGTCTGAAGGAGTGTCCATATATAGTGCACTATCAGGTCCAGGACGACGGATACGGATGGGCGCTTTCGACTGGCGTGGATCATCGTAACCGCCAACACGATCCAAAAGCGGCCCCTCGTTTTGCCCCATTGTTGTTCGATCAGCATCAACTGAGCCACGCCTCCCGTTTCGTTCAAAGTCGGTTGGATACACTCTCCCAGGTGATGGTGGCGCATGTGGCCGCATCGGGTTCATTGGTAGAGGATGTCGAGAAGACTGTGGTGACTTCGATGGCTGCGACGCTGAGCGCTCGTACCGCTCGCTGTGCGACATACGATCTTCTAAATTTGCACGTGAACGACTCTGGTCACCCTCGGGATAGCGAGCTGAATCATCGTCCCTGCGGGATCGGTCTTGCCGGTTGTGTTCCCAGTTCGAAGAACGTTGAGGCGGACCTCGTGTAGAGGTAGGAGGGAAGTTGACGCCTTCTGAGTAGCTTGACCTTCGCCCATCGTCATCGAAGGAAGACTGCAGACAACATAAGTATGATAAATCATGGAGGGAGCAGTCGCACAGGTTCTTCATATGCCTCTTTGGAACGAGTAGATATGGGCTGTTGAAAGGTCAAAACATACCATTTCAAAAGAGGTAAACTCACTGCTTGGTTATATCGATTGGGGATTGAATCGGGCCCACTTCCAGGAAAAGTATCGCGGGAGTATCCTCCCTGAATCAGAATGAGCACGATAGTTGACGAGTACAAAGAAAGAAAAACCCACATGTCCAGAATCCCCTCGACCGCGACCGCGACCCCTTCCTCTACTTCTTCCACGAAGGTTCATGTCCGGAAAGCCAGGCTCGCTATTAAACCCATATCCGGAAGAAGCCCCAAATCTGCCCGCCGATTGCGATTCTTGTTGGGGAGTGTTATCCATTGGCGGACGACTGGAATTTGTGACGCTGGGGCCAGTGGACATAGATGGCGGTGGTACCACTCGCTATGAACTATATGAATACTGGGCTTTCGAAATTTGTAAAACTCACGGCTCGAAGACCTCCTCTACCCATACCTCGAGCACCAAATGGTGGCGGTGATCTCCTCCCGCGATTGGAGCCATAACCTATTGGACCTTCGTTGATCGGAGGCGCGGAAGAGTTCATCGCTCGCGGGCCCCTTGGCGCCTCGTTGGCCGAGGTCGAAGCAGAGTCTCGATCATGATACAGTGTTGACCCATTGCGTAAGGGGGGTTGCGTTGAAGCAGAGCTAGGACCTGGTGGTGGTGGCGGGGGCATATCAACATCAGCATGCATAGACGGAGGACGCTCTCTATCCCGCTCGCGGACTGGATCCCGTTCTCTTTCCCAGTGCAGGCTACGGGTTTCACCATTGACTCCACCACCTCGGGAATAACGAGGCCCTGAGGGTGGCCCTGATTGGCCGAATCTTGGCGCTGAGCCGAACGAATGAGGAGGCACACGAGGAGGACCACTCTCCTGAAAAATCTGATCTTGCGACGGTAGAGGTTGGCGTTTCGGGCCTGATGAAGAATTAAAAATGAAGACCACCAAAACCAAATACTTTACGAAAGCTTGGCTCATCGTGCTTGTCCTGATCGATATCCATTCTGATACCCACTGCTTGGTTTCCTGACTCTCTCTCGCGAGCCTTATTATCCTCTAAGAATTCATCAGGCACGAAGGCGTCGATGTCGTTTTGAGATGGTTTGGTGAATTCAGGCCTGTTATCAGCGTTCATTGGCGGCAGTGTTTGTGTGACCATATTAGGACTAAATCGTGTGGCGCGTTCATGTCCTCTCTGTGACTCTGGTAGTGGTGGCGGTGGGGGTGGACGTGGTGGGCCCCATTTCTCTCGGGGTCCACGGTGTTCCTGATGTCGCTCCCGAGAAGGCGAACGAGAGTTGGATCTGCGTCGTGGATTTCCTAAATACAAGGACGAAAAGGAAGGTAACATGAGCATGCAATTCCTCGGAAAGGTAACGGGAGTCGAAGAGAGAATGGAGATGGGAAAGGGCTGGAAAAGCGCCGATGGAGTGAAAGCGCATCAATAACCAAAGCGCGAGTCTCCAATGGGCACTGGTTGTCACAGGCAAAGTAGACGAGTATTTGTCCAGCAAACGTCTGAATCAGTCTGCGGCAGACAGAAAATCCGGGAGCGGAAACCAGCGGCGAAGTCGAGGCGATGGGGGAGAATATGCTTAACGTACTGGGAGGAGCATCGGTGGTGCGTGTTTGGTCACGTTCGCGATGATGTTTCGGCAAAGGACGACCAATCGTATCGTCTCGTAGTGGAGGCATGTCACGAAGGTTGTTAGTGGTGCTAGGGCCATTACTGTTGCGGAGATCCAAATCTTGAGGCTTTCTAGATGTGGAGCTATCAAACGCCTGTGAAGGGCGGTCCCGCGAGGGCCAGCCATTATCACTTTCTCTTCGGTAGCCAGAATCCCGCTCTCGACCACGGCCATCAGCTCCTGGATACGATCGTCTCCCACCATCATCCAAATAGGACGAATTTTGGGGTGGTACGTGTTCTCGGTCGCCACGGTTGCGCTCGCGTTCAGAAGACCCAGCTGCTATATTGTCAGGATATTCTCGTTCACTTCGACCCCTGTGAGGTCCAACAGGTCCAACACTGTGTATGTGACGGTCAGAATCGTTAGTCACGTATCCCAAGTCTGTCTGGTCGCTATCTTTGGGGCGGTAGTGTCGGTCCTGGTAAGACATGGCAGAGTCTTCGCCAGAAGCAGAGACTTTGTCTCGATGTCGGTCTTGTGGTCGCTCTTTTTCAGGTCCGCGTTCTCTTCCTTCTCTTTCGCGCTCGCGAGTTGAATATTTGGATGGCTCGTCACGAGCTTGATGCTAAAAGAAAAGAAAGGGATATGGTAAAGATGGAGATGCTGCAGGGAGGAGGGTGGAGAGACCAACCCCGCGTATGGGCCTTTCGCGATCGTCGACAGCATGTAGGTGGCGGTCACGGTCTTTGCTACGGTCTTCTCCGCGGGGACGATCCCACGTGCCTTTTGGTTGAGGAGCCGCTGCTCTCGATGCAACTTGAGAGATGGGTGAAGGTGGGCTTGCGTGTCTATTGGGCAGCTTGATTTCGCGGTCACTTGAGGAAGGCTCGCGCTCCCTGTATGCGGAGCTGGGCTTGTTTGAGGGCGAGGTACCGGGCCCATTCGTGGCCTGTTTCGTTTTCTGTGTTTGTCTTTCAGCAGCTGAAAGGGGAGTAATGTTGCAACATACATTATCTTGGGAGTCCTTAAGACTACTGGCCATCAAAGTCGCCGACGTGGTGCTTGAGTAGCTGAAAGCGAGTGTTGCAGAAATAGGTTTGGGGGGGAGAGCGTGTGTGATGGGCTGTGTGAGCGGAGTCTTGTTAGGCTTGCGGTCTCTATGACTCCGCTGTCTCTCCCCTCTTCCACGATGCGGCGAAGGAGACCTCTGAGGCTTTTCAGCCAAAGGTTCTGGAGAAGGGGGTTTGGAGACGGGCGGTGGGTCTGGTTGGGAGTCACCAGCTGGCTCTGACTGGATTTCTTCTTCTTCGTGAATGGAGCCCAGTGAGACCGCATCATCATCATCCTCAGCGCCAATAGGGCCAGTGTGGCCATCGTCTTCGTCCCAATCCAGAACGTCAGCGTCGTCCATTGTTGTGGTGGACAGTCAAGTAAAAGGAATTAAGCGCCGTGACAAACACCATCACACAGCCACATGAATCGCCGACGGCACCACGACTTACCTGCTCTCTCCATGTCGGCCTATGCTGCAGAGGCCGGTGGCCTTCCCACACCTACCTCGGCCACCTCTTCTGTCTCGCGAATACCCATAATTTTCCGCCGCTTGCACCGTTTCCAGCAAATGGTAATGCTTATATCTTCTCCGATCCACTCATTAACGTTCACCAGGACTTTGAGCTTGCAGCATGGCAATTAACTTATTTATGCATCGCTCCTCGTCGGGTTTACAGAAATGTTTATTTCCACAAACGTGAGCTGCCCCATCTTGTACTAAAACTAAACTCATTCGAGAGAAGAAACCAAAAACACTTGGGCACGCGACGACCCAGCCATTCTTGTCCTCCTTTCCGCGTGCTTAGGCGTGTCTGCTATTGCCTGGTCGCTGGTATACTCGCTAGGCATATTTGAGGCTCTACAACTTGCAATCCTGATGGTTCTACGCGACTTTCTGCTGTCTGGGATAATAATATCGACCATTTTATGGTGAGGCGGTGATGACAGCCCTTCGAGTCTCTCTGGACTAACACGAGTCAAGGCAAATATCGCGAACATTCCTTCTACCACCCGTACCAGTTGCACCTGCTCCGTCACTTCATGGTGCCCGCTATCCATCTCCTGTTCCACGACATGAGACTGTCGAGTGGGGGTGTGTTTAACAGACATTCGACTTCTTCTTCAAATCGCTGACAACGCTTAGATACACATTCGATGTTCACACAAACGCGTTCTTCCCTCTTTACCTTACTCTCTACCTTGCGCAGCTGTTTCTTCTCCCAGTGATCCGCAGGGACAACTGGGTTTGTCTTTGGGTTGGAAACACGCTCTATCTAGCTGGGTATGCTCTATGCTTAACCATAATCTACCAGATTGAATAAAGGCCAGGTTCGCGCAATATATCTACGGCACGTACTTGGGTCTATCTGCACTCCCATTTCTTGCACGCACCACTCTCCTTCTTGCACCTCTCCTCCCACTGGGAGCAGCATATGTGGTCTCGCTTCTAGGGTTCAATGTCGCTCGATGGGTCCTTACTGTGTATTTTGGTGCTTAATCGGTTGTATGTTTATTAGTCCAGACACACAGAATCCAAACCGAGCTCTTGAATCTACTGAACAAACTGTTTAAGACGGTACTGAGAAAGGTCTAGCGACGAATTCAGTTCAGCTCAGCCAGCCCAAGATTTTACCTATGGGAATCGCTTCTTGAAGTGTCCGAGTCTTACATAAGCACCTTACCTTTCTCATTCCACACTCACCGATGGTCTCGCCACCAAAACCCTGGGAGCGCAGCGGAGCCGCTGTGCTTTCAACGTCATCTCCGGCCGCTACCCCTCCCTCAGTGCCGACAGCGACCGCAGCTCACACCGCCTCATCACCTCCTTCACTTCCGGAGAGACCAGCAGCTTTCAACGCCCCAACAAGTTCTCTATCGAGTGCACTCAGTCCTTATGGTGCTTCTCCATATTCACGTTTTGGCACCGGCTATGGAGGTGCATTTGGGTCATACGGGGGTTATGGAGCCGGCGGATATGGTGGCCTGGGTGGATATGGCATGAGCCCTTATTCATCAATGGGTATGGGTATGGGCATGGGCATGTCGCCATATGGGTCTATGGGATATGGAATGGGTGGGCCCATGAATCCTATGGGAATGCAACTCGACGCCAACGGAATGCCTATCCCTTCTCTCACTCAGACACTCGAATCTACCACCCAACACACTTTCACTCTTCTGCATTCCATTGTTCAAACCTTCTCTGGCGTCGCACAGATGCTTGAGAGCACCTTCATGGCCACTCATTCATCTTTCTTCGCTATGGTCGGTGTTATCGACCAGTTTGGTCATCTTCGCAACGCTCTTGGCAGTGTATTGGGCTTATTCGGTCTAATGCGTTGGATGCGTGAGCTCATCACCGGAGCTCCCGTCCCTCGAATGCAATCCGAATTCCGCGAATTCGTCAATGGACGACCTGTACAAGGGCCACAGCCTGCTCCGGGTAATAATGCCCCAAAAGCCAGCAAAAAGCCGCTCATCATCTTCCTCCTCGCTATCTTCGGCATTCCCTACGCCATGACAAAGCTCATCCATATTCTGAACGAGCGCGCCAAGAACAGCCCAACCTCACTACCTGGTCAGCCACTCCCCCCACTTGACCCCGCAAGCCTCACTTTCGCTCGTGCTGTCTATCCATTCACCGCATCTACTGCCTCCGAACTTTCTCTTAAAGAGAATGAGATCGTTGCCATCATGGGCAAATTTGACCCACGGACAGGTGGTGAGGTTGATCCTCGAGTTCAGCTCGAAAACGACGAATGGTGGAAAGGTCGGACACGGGACGGCCGTGAAGGATGGTTTCCGCGGAAGTGGGTACAGATTCTGGAAAAGAAAGCCATCGAAAAGAAGGTTGACTAAATGGTCCACGGCTGCGGCTTCTTGTTGTAGAGGAGGGAGGATAGATTCTTTTAATCTTCGATATATGCACCGTCCTTGTACCTGATCTGATGTTTATTGACTAGAGCTATCTAGTACACACGCTCATTTGCCTAGTGGGACTTCCAAGCCCCACGCATGAAACTCATCGCAACTGCAATGATTTCATCATCCTCCACAGGTAACAATTGTGTCGCGAAGATAGCAGCCTTTCCTTTCTCCCGATTTACGGCCCAGATAACATTGGGCATTCCACTCCAAGTGAGAGTCCCTGGAGGGAAATTCGACAACGGTGCAACTCCATCCTCCACGAACAAAGCCGCGAGACTAGCGTTGACTGGTGGGTTGGCGAGTGTTGTTGGGACTCCGACAGATTTGCCTAGCTTGCGAATGTCCTCCCGAACCCCGACATAGGTAGGGGTGCCTCGAACGAATTGTGGTTTGAATATCTCGTCGACATAAGGCTGGGAAAGTAGCTTCGATTGACCAAGGAGGTCAACAAGCAGAGTTTGCAAATCGCCAACACTACACGTCAATCCTTGAACCGTATCGTCTGGTTCGGCAACCAGCACGCCACTCTCGCGATTGACCATCTGAAGTTTCTTTGCCCAAATTTCGGCATGCTTCTCAGGATAGTATGTCGACATCTTCATATCCAGCGCGTCAAAAATGTTCTTTTGGACAAACTCCACGAGCCGCAGACCGGTGAGGCGGAGGATGAGCAGACCGACCCATTCCACGCTCGACCCATATGTCCAGCCCTCTCCAGGTTCATGCAAGAGCGGCATCGAGAAGATTTTGACGATGATGTGAGCGTTCTCGTCGATCGCTGGTTTGTCTGACTGGGTCCATTTTTCGAGCTTTTCGTCCCCAGGATATGAAATTCCGCTCGAGTGAGTGAGTAGATGGCGGAGAGTGATCTTCTTGGTTGGCTCGCGAAGAATGAAGCCGGGCTCGTCGTCGCTTGGCAAATAAACCTTCAGCGCTGCAACTTCAGGAAGATGTTTCTCGATTGCAGCAGGGTCGTCCAAGCCAATTAGACTACGTTCGACACATTGGATAGCAGCAATGTGGGTGATGAACTTGCCCGCAGAGCCGAGCATGACGGTGCTGTTTGGATCAACAGATGGTGCATTGGGTTCGAGGTTTTGTTTGCCTGCAGAGTGTCGATAGACGGTTTTGCCTGGAAATGGAAGTCAGTAGATTCAACACGGTAGTCAGTTGATTCCACCGTCGACATCTGCCACCACTGCAATAGCAGCCAACATCTTGCCCGCCTCGATGGTTTCATTCAGTTTGGTCTCGAATTCTTGCATCTTTCAGCTGGATTCTGGGATTTCTCCCTCAGGCTCTTTATACTCGTCGCTTATTTTGTGAAGCTGTTGGGTGCTGTTGTTTTGCCGGAACAACTGCTTGGATATCGTCGACGTTCATGGTTTCCGCCAAACGAATTGCACAGCTTCATCAGCGCATCACGGGCCGTGAGCGGACCTGTTATTTTGGTCGTCACACTCACCCCCTCTCAGACCAAATTCACAGTCTGACTGCGGGAGACAAGAGCGGACCTGATTTTGAACGAAAACGTGTTGTCTGTGAGGGCTCTGACTCCTTGGAACCATCTAGTAGTGTGGACTGACTGAATTGGGCTGTGTACTGCAGTTTCACGCACCCACAAACCAAAAACCTATAAAAGACGCTTGTCTGTCTGCTTTTCTTATCATCCTCTCCATTCGCCCCACATCCTCAGCCTCTAGTCGACGATTCTCTGGCGACACTAAAAGACTCCCTTGCATCACCACCGCAGGTGCGACGCGGTTCCGCAAAGCTGCTCGTCACACACCCCAACATCCAACTCGAGGACCAGACGTTGGGGCCGTCATTGCTCCCATTCACCACCCTGAGTTTGCCACACTCTTCAGCACCCACTATCTGCGTCTAGCTCTACCACAGCTGCTGATATTTCCACCGCATCCCAACAGCTTTCCCCGACAACTGCTTCGCCGCCACTTTTCGCCTTGTTAATTGTTCGCTTTCCTGAGTTTTGAGTGATTGGTCTAACCAGACCCTGCCCGAGTCCCCTGCTTTCCCTGACCGCTCTATCCCTTCCCTTCGTCTGAATCGACTTTGTTTGCTGTGTGAAGCTGGTCGCCGGTAGGTCCTCTCATTCCCAAGGAAGGGTTGAGCGTCACCGCTCTCTCCTCGTGTTCCCTTGTCGTGGGCCTTGGGCTTACGTCTGCTCGCAGAGAAGACGGACCAAAACACGTTAAACTTGTGTCTTCACTCATCAGTCTCAATACTGTTTATTATGGATTCTTCTTGCCGGTTCCTCGTGTAGTAGAGCTATCCCAAATAAGAACGAATTTGACGATCAGCTATTATATACATGCAAATTTACTCAGATGAAACGAAACGAAACGAAACGAAACGCGTCGTAGCTTGTTTTTCGACTCTATTGCCTAGTCATTGTCCTCGCGCCCTGCGCCAGTTTCCGACCCCGATAAGCTCTCTGCAGCCGATGCGGGCCGTTTAGAGCCACCCCGTTCCCAAGATGTTGTCGAAGCACTTCGTGTAACACCAGTTCCTACGATCCCCTCGAAGCTAAAGCCCGGGCTTGGACCTGACGCAGTAGTTGAAGGTGGCGGCACTGCAGAAAGATAATCAAGCCAGCTCGCTGTGTAATCGCCTTGATGTGGTGGGTACGGTAAATCATTGAAGTTCGATGGTTGTGTGTATGGAGGGGGAATATGTGGAGGTGCATACAACATTGAATGGATGAATGCATCAAGATTCCAGGATGACGCACCCGATGTGCTGCCAGTGGAAGGCTGCCCAGATGGCGGCGGAGGTGGTGGGTGAGAATGAATTGGCCACTCAACACCATACTGAGAGCCATAGCTGGCTCGTTGAGCTGCTGCACTTCGTAAAAGATGCTCAAACATTGATGGGTCATATTGACCTCTCGGTGGCGGCGGTCCGGAGAAATGACCCGGACCGGGAAGCTCCAGGATTGGTGGATTGTGGTACCCACCGACGCCAGGCAGAGGTCCCCCGCCATATCCACCGCCATAACGAGACAACGGTGGAGGAGGAACGGGTGGGTAATTATACATTGTCGCCATAGAACTTGGAGGTGGTAGAGTTAAGCCTATACCTCCGATACCTGGAGGTGGCGAGAGCGATGATGCCCGTCGTTCACGTCTGGGCCGCCGAGGTGGAGGTAATTCGTCTTCTGATGTATCTTCTCGTTTCGGTGGCGGTGATCTCGCAAGTCGTGGCCTTTTTGCAGGAGGGGCCGACGCAGTTGATTTGCTACTGCCATTTCTTGTTGGCCGGGCAGGGTGTTGATCAGACGAGGCCAAGATGCTACTCTTAACCTTGCTGGCGGTCGAAGCAAGTTTACGAATTGAGATAGGTGGACTTGGGATGGCCATACTCCCGCTCCCTCTATATTCCATCTAAAAAGATTTTAGTTGTGAAGGACAAGTAACCGTCTTCTCACATCATCTTTGCTAGGCTTTGCTTTCTTTTTTGGTGGAGGTGGAGGAGGCTCTTCTTCATCTGCCTCCTCTTCATCTTCTCCTATAGCATCTTCTGTCTTGTCCGCGACACCTGAGAAATCAGAGGGACCTTTGGTGTCTGATTCTCCATCATGCTGAAACGTGTTATGTATAGCTGGCATGATAAGTGAAAGCATACTTACTTCGGTGTGGCGTGCTATCATGTCGCGAATATCGCCTGAACAATATTGATAGAGCTTTTGCTCTTGTCCCGGTCGCTCTTCTGCAGAACTGTTAGCTCCCGTCTCCCTCGTACATAACACTGACCGAGGATGATAACAGCGACCTCGACCGAGCAAAGAACACCCAGCTCGTAAGCCTTCTTCATGAGACCCAATTTTCGCTATTAGACGGCGCAATGTTAGCCTAATGTGCAATGCCAGACAGACGGGAAGTTGTCGCCAAAAAAAGAGCAGGCCATAACAACGAGGTCTCGTCCTCGCAAGGGAGGCTCGAGAGCAGACAGAGTGGTCGTACGGGCCTTGGAAGGTCTCGAGAATCGAAATCCTTCGCAGAAATCCGTATCCAACTTGGTTCCTCGAGGGGACTTTATTTTTGGGACAAAAAAACGCTTGGCGTTGGTCCCGGCAAGATTTCCAGTCCGTTGGCCGTGGATTGCAGATAGGCGTGAGATAAACGCACCTTAACAAAGGTTACTGAACGATTTCGTTCATGCTGAAGACCAGATTCAGCATATGGCGACTAAGAGAAAGGCGTCACGTCATGGGGGTCTGTGTGACCAGCCACCGGCGCAACGCCCATGAAACGCACCGTTATAGGCTGTATTTCAATCTTTCTGCGACCCATGACGGTAGTGGACGGTGGAGGGGGACCACTTGCTGGATGGTGCTGAGAGGTGATGTACGGTTATGGGCTCCTTTCGGGTTTTTTGTTCATCCGCAGCATCACGCGTTCCATCAGATTTCATGTCTCAGAATCTCCGATCACGCCGAGCAATGCCGGCCATCTTCAATCCGAGCGGCTTGTTGATGCAATATTTTGGGCAGCGTTTATTTTCGCCATTTTGGATTATAGCGCTTCGAATTGACTCCCAAACAGGTTGGAGAACTCGGAGTGTTCGCCATCCGGCACCCAGGTCATAATAAGCTTCAGACTCTTTATCTGCCAATCTGTGTGCGAAGAGGTATGAAGTTGAAACCAAGTTGCGCGTACCACGTATGGTATAATTTTACAACAAAAACTTGTTACAAGGCTTTCGCCCCTGGCTATTTGGGGAACACTAGGTTCCCGACTTCCGTAAAACTCTCAGTCTGCTTTTGATGCCCCTGACCCACATACTTCTACTTAAGCAGTCCATCTGGATATCATTCAGTTCAAACAGAATCTTGAGGAAGAGCAGCTCTAAGCTAGCTTTCTACCCTCTACTTATGTCAATGATCAGCTATGTAGTACAGAAAGCTAATTTAATATTAATAATACTCCCATCAACAAACACAATTCCTTCTGAATCTCTAGTGGGTCATTGTGTGGAATCGAATTATGGGATATCGGGTCGGAAGTCCGCAAATATATTCCATGGCAATATGGCATGTCAGCGAGCAAAGACGAAAAAGCGGAGCCCGTAACTTCCGTTCACCTTCTCCAGACGCGTGACGTCATCCACGGTTCCAAATCAGGAAAATAATCAAAACCATCACATGATTTTCAGAGACAAACCAATCCCAACTTGCGAGATTGCGCTGAGCCATGGACAGGCCGAGGACTCAAACCATGCTACCACATACGGACGGTGAAATGAGTGCTTCGTGAACTATGTACTAATGGCCGGAGCTAAAGAGGCTAGTTTCCTGACTCGACCACTCACTGCCATGTCGATTCATGGCCTCGCGCCAAATGTTGCAAACACTGGTCCCTCTCACTTCAATATCTTGGACGTAATCCGCCCAAACATCCTCGCCCTTCATCCTTATCGCTGTGCCCATGAGGACTACCAGACAGGCATTCTCCTCGACGCCAACGAAAACGCGTTCGGCCACTCAATACAAGGCACCGTGGGCTTGTACTCAGACGCGCCGTTCAACGACGATCTCCACCACTATCCCGACCCCACGCAATACAAACTCAAATCCCGCATTGCTGTTTTGCGCGGACTGCCTGAGAATGCTGTCGACCACATATTCTTGGGGGGTAGGCTCCGACGAGGTCATTGACTTGCTCATACGAGTTTGCGTCGCCCCTGGGCGGGACAAAGTTATCACTACACCACCGACATATGGAATGTATGGTGTTTGCGCGCAAATAAACGACGTAGGAGTTGTAGAATGCCCGCTTGAGCTGTCTGGGGCAAATGGAGAAGGTGGGGAACATGGGAGATTCAGTTTACAACTAACTGCTGTGCGTTTCTCCTGCGTTTATGGCATTTGACCTCACATTTCCAAGATCAAAGCTGCTATCGAGGCGGACCCTGCAATCAAACTCATACTCATATGCTCTCCCGGCAATCCAACTAGCACTTTGATACCGCGCAGCGTTATTCGGGAGCTCTTGGACTATCCAAAATTCAAGGGTATTGTGGTCGTCGATGAGGCATACATTGACTTTGCCTCTCCTGACGCGTCTGCCATGTCGCTTATCCAAGAATACGGTAACATCTGTGTAATGCAGACGATCAGTAAAAGCTTTGGTCTCGCTGGCGTTCGGTAAGTACTTATTTCTCGTTCATACGAGGGCTTCGAATATTCTAGCCTTGGCATTGCAATTGCTCAACCGCCTCTGATCCAAGTCCTCGCAAATGCAAAGGCACCCTATAATATTTCCACTCCGACCTCCTACATCGCCCTCTCTGCGCTTTCCCAGCCATCCATCGTCGCGATGCGGGCTAGTTTAGCGAAAATCAACGTAAATCGGGCGTCACTACTCAAAGCCCTTTCGTCCGTGCCCGGGGTTGGCTCGGCGATAGGCGGCAGTGACGCCAATTTCATTCTGGTCCCCATTTTGGACCAAGAGGGCCAAAGGCCGGACAATGAGCGGGCCCAGCGAATGTACCGTCTGCTGGCCGAAGAGAACGGGGTCGTGGTTCGTTTCAGGGGTAACGAGCCGGGTTGCTTAGGCTGTGTGAGGATCACAGTGGGAACAGAGGAAGAGAATGCGGTGGTGGTTGCCAAGATGAGAAAGGTTCTAAGTGAGATATGACAAAGTATGAACAACTAGATGGATAATAAGATGGCAAGCATTGCAATACCCATAGGCCAATCGGCCACTCGTATACTGAAAGCGGCCCCAGTGGCAGTAGGAGTACTGGTTGCGCCTGTTGCCGCTGATAAGCTCGAGGCATTTGCACTGGGTGTCGTGACACTATCGGGGAGGTAAGTAGATAATCAATGCTCAATAGTCAAGACGAACACGAAGTTGTCGAGCCAGAAAACGAAGAAATCATCATTGTTGCTCAATGTTGTGTTTCGCTGTGGAGAAAGACCTTTAATCGAGACACGAATCTCGTGTTCAGCTGCAGGGTCAAGTCCAGTTTTTGAGAACAAAGTGTCGCACGATAGAGCCCCCGCCCGGTCGCACACCATCAACATCTGTCGACTGACCATCTGCAAACGATGAGCAATGTTGTCTAGCCGCGCGTTTGGCTAGTCGTACCGACAGTCACAGTGTAGATGTTACTTATCTCATTCAGGAGGGAGTTGAGGTATATCGCAGAGCCTATAAAAACTGTGAGTTTCGCACTAGAGTATGTAGTTAACGCAGACCTTTGAACTTCATGGAAACAGTGGCGTCTTTTTGCTGGACAATGTGTGCCCCTGCTGAACAGTTCTTGGGCCCATTATTGAAGCACCCTGCTTGGCCGGGGAGAAAGTTTCCTTGGTCGTCGCGCAGGCAGGGTAAGGTGTGGCTTCCGTTGCTGTATTGATTGGACGGGTCCGTGTCGAAGATGGTTGTGTTGGTGTCAGCAATAACGTTGCCAAAGAGGGGGCAAAGGACGGCAAACAGAAAGAGAACGTAGCGCATCTTGACTCAGTCTGAGTCGAATGAAAGGAGCGTGAAGACAACTTAGACAAGTGACGACCATACATTTGGCGTGAATTGAAAGACGCGACTGTTGTCGGTGACCTATGGCAGTCCAATTGCACATTTATTTTTTACCGCGCGCACTTGATGTTCCGCGCTCTTTTAGGCCGGATTTAGTGGTTTTCCCGGTAAATCACAGATCCCAAAAGATGGCGCGGGAAAAGTGTCCGCGCGCGCTCTTTTTGGAAACGCGCGCACTCTTTTGCCCAAATGCGCGCTACCTTAAAGTTTGCACAATCCTTTATGGGAGCAGATATGTATGTATTAGCATAGATACTCATACTCTCAATGCCCCCCCTGGTTGAGCAGCTCAGCTTGAAGCTGACCATAGATCTGGATAGACACTGTATGGTTGCCATTGTCCATGAATATGTACTAGCCAAAGCTTGCAAGCCTGTCATAACTAGTACTAATTCCTGATGATTCAGAACTGAGCATCACTTGCTATATATAAGGGCATCTGCACAGTGAAATAGCCCAGACCATTGACAGCAGGGACAACGACAGGAGCAGGGCCTGGGGGATTAGGTGAAACAACGCTGGCAGGTGGGATGATGATCTTGTTTGCAGCCATTGGCCAGTTGAAGATTTCATTGTGTAGATGCCCTTAAATATATAGTGAGGGTCTAGGTTGCTGCTGGTATTCCTGGCTATGGGTGGCCTCAAGCTGAGCTATGGAACAGAAAGAATTCCACAAATTTGAAGGTAGCGCATTTTCTTTCATTTGGGCAAAAGAGTGCGCGCGTTTCCAAAAAGAGCGCGCGCGGACACTTTTACCGCGCCATCTTTTGGTATCCGTGATTTACCGGGAAAAGCACTAAATCCGGCCCAAAAGAGCGCGCAACATCAAGAGCGCGCGGTAAAAATTAAATGTGCACTTGGACTGCCATAGTGACCATCATGACTGCCGCACTTTCTCTTTGATGCTGCCTCCCGAACTTTTCGACGCAATAATCGAGCAGGCACGGGACGACATCGCAACGCTCAACTCGTGCTCTCTCGTCTGCAGATCGTGGTTGGCAATCAGCCGGCATCTAACCTTTGGCCAAATCGTCTTTGGGTTGCGGCCAGAAACCGTCCAAGGATTTCTCGAACTCATAGCTAGTCCTTATGCCACTATTTTGCCCTACATACACGCGGTTGAACTACTCGGGAACGACTCTTCTCGTGGATATCAACTCGAGTGGCTCGACCGTATCATCACCGTCTTGGCGAACATCCCGTTCCTTACCGCCCTCGTTTTGGAGAATATCAGCTGGAATGAACTCGTTTCTGCTACTAGAGACACTCTAATCGACGCGTTCCAGCAGATTACGCGTCTGGATCTTCGTGCTTCCGACTTTGGCTCAGTAGCACATCTCTTCCGTCTCGTCGCCTCCAAACCGCGACTTCGAAGCTTAGGCTGTGACAATCTCGGCTGGACAGACCCGGACCCAACAGAAACGGTGATAGCCCCCAGAATGCTCAACCATTTGCGTTTGAGTGGCTGCTACGAACGCGACATCCTCGACTGGCTCCTAGCACAAACATCTATTCCCCCCATTTCGGATCTGGAACTCGGAGCAGTGCGACCCGAGGACACCGCTTCTATCGGAAACTTTCTTCGCCGGCTTGGACCACGTCTCCGTACCCTTCAACTCGAATTTTGGTCCCTGGACCCAGGAGGAGATGCCGGTGCGATCATGTGTTTGCATGTTCAAGGTTTCTCGCGCTTAATTCATAGTCAGAGGACTTTTGTGCCCACGTAGACCTTTCCTATAACTCGAGCCTGCACACGATTGTTCTCGACAAGTTTATCCACTATTCGACATATCGTTTCAGTAGTGCTGTTGGCTGGATCCCGCAACTTGTTTCTCGCGCTGGCGGCTTAAAACATATCATGCTCAGCATCTCGATCAGACGCATCGACGAACTGACCCCTGAAGACGACCCGATAGACTGGCCTGCGCTCGACGCCGTGTTCTGCACCCTCCATCGACTCTATTTTCGTGTCTGGAGCTCCATCGAACTTGACCAAGTTACCCCGGTGCTCACACACCAATTGCCCAAGTGTGCTATGCGTGAAGGGTTGCTTCAATTTCGTTCAGGATTTCCCAAGGGTGAAGAGTAGTCGATGTGTGGATCGCAATACACACTTAATTTTGGGTTATTGCCCTGTAGACTTCATCGCGCCGTTTTGCTGGGGTTCAGGCCCCAGGGTCACAAGTTTCAACAGGAAATCGGTCATGAAATGGTTCACTGGGGACATCAGCCGATCAGGCCCCTCGAATAGTTGGTACATTCAACCGGCGAAACACAGACATTGGTGTGCCGTCAAACCCGGAAAACACCTCGAGGCGCAGTGCAGCAGTGGTTGGAGCTCGCGTCAATGTTGGTACTAATTCTCGATGAGCATGAAGCAGATTTCAAAGAAATCCATTTGAGATTAGATGTTATCCAGTTGGATGATCATTTACGCCTCAACCGTATCCTCATCCAATAGTTCTGCGTGCCGCTCTGAACGAAGCTCGATTTTACATTTGAATGGGCGAGGGTGACTGGGTTGCAAGAATGTTAGGATGCATATTTAGATGTCGATGATGGGTGATATACCAAATGAATCCATCATATTCCACGATAGGCTCGAGGACTTTGCCTTCAGGATCGCGGGCCTTCGTAATCCGAAACATGGCGAGAATCGTTGCTATTGCAATAAACACGCTATTTTCTGCGACATGCAGTCCTGGGCAAATGCTGCAACAAAAGGTCAAATGACATTGAACTGAATGAGCCATATTCTTACCGACGACCAAAGCCAAATGCTGTAACTACAGTCGCACTTGGTTTGGAATCCGCACCAAGATATCGTCGAGGTTCAAATACGTGTGGATCAGGAAATATGCCCTCATCGTGGAGAATGGCCCTGGCAGAAGAATAAATGGGCTGTCTCGAGAGACATTAGTATTCTAACCAGACGTTGGCCCAGACAACAGAGCCCTAAGGAAGACTTCAGCAAAAGAAGAAAAGTGAGAGACGCCACGGGCCTTCCTAATACTATATCCTCGATATTCGTCGTCGTGAGTAACGACATGAGGAAGTCCTAAGGGAACGGAAGGGTTCCATCGCCAAACTTCTTTGACAAGTGCAGAAATGTAAGGAAGTCGATCCCTATCTGCAAGGGTGGGCAGTCGTGTTGGCAGAGCAGAAGACTTATTGGAGCAGAAAACGATGTCCAATTCAGCTTGAGCTTGGTCTTGCACGTGGGGGTTAAGGGCCATAGCGAGAATGAAGGAGCAAAGCGCAGAGGGAGTCTTAATAGAGTCAGTCGCTCACACAAGAACACAGAGTTTGACGAATCACTGTCTCTGCCCCGCCTGAATACAAGGATGCCCCGAATGCCTGAATAAGTTGTTCTTCGTCACATGTTTCTTTGCCGCTCTTCTCTTCAAGATAACTTGACACAAATGATGGATTTGAACTTCCGGACACCTAAAAACTGTTAGTTAGAGGAGTATATAGATTGGAAGAACTTACTATGGCGTCTTTGACAAAGTTATACGGTACGTCGTAAAGAAGATTTAAATCGTCACGCATTTGTCTAGCAGCGATGTGAAATGAGGCTCCTGGAAACCATGCTGGAAGATATTTTACTGATGCGGCGAAATGAGCGAATAGAAGGGAGGTAACAAAGGGATTCTTACAAGCAGGGAGAATATCCACCCACCATCTACCTGGCTCAGATGCGACAGAAAAACCTCTCATAGCGTTTTCAGCTATCTTGACGAGACCAAGAGGGTCGCCCATATTCGAAGGATAACCATACGTGAGACTAAGAATCGATGAGGAGGTACAACTGAACCAAGTCAACCGTGAAGTCAGTAATCAGAGGTTGGGAATACTTTCGAGCATGGGCATCGAAATTATCAGGATCTTCGATCAGCTTTCGAAGCAACCTAATGAGCTTTGGAGTGCTATCTGAGCAAGAAGAGGTTAGCAAGCCTTTTATTTTCTTGTTCTTGTATTTGGGTCAGCGTCTTGTCCACACAAGCGCGCGGACCCGCAAATTGGTGAAACAGGCGGCGGAATTCGCGAAACCGAGGGTTGCTCGTTTGAGTGTAGCCAAGTCCACGAGCCCATCCAACTCTGCAATCCCATCACCATTTGAACACATTAAGGGTGTTTGGCGTACAATTCTCCCGCCATTGGTGCTGTTGGTCGGTCAGAGTAGATGTTTCCTGTTCAAGTTGTGTGGTCACTCGACGAAACTTTCAAGGAACAACGTTGGCGCACCACGGGTTTCTAGCAGATCTGTGGCGGCCTTGTACGATGACAGAATGATCACAGGATGTCCGAGTATTGAGATTTGGATGATGTCGCCATATCGTTTCGCCCACTCGGCCCATTGCAGCCACTGACGGTCTTTCGGGATTTGATGCTTGTTTCCGATGATTGGTAGACCGCGAGGTCCAGGAGGAGCAGTTCTGTTACGCTTTCGCTTGCTGTACACGATGAAAGACGCTATCAGAGTCAGCAGAGTTGTGAGTATGAGGCGAGGCATGGGAGGAAGGCGCAGAAGACGTTTGAATAAGTGTCGAAGCGGAAGACTGATGGGTGACCGCAATTGCAGCTTGCTGCGGTACCAACTCGCATCGGTAGACCCGTACAAAGTCATGGATTCGTGGAAGTGTGCGGAAACCAAGCAGTTTGAATATTAATCTTCTTCGAGTCGGAGTCTCGTTTGTGACGGACTACGTGACTCTTCTCAGCTCTCTTCTCTCAGCAACCACATTGAAGGTCGGTGTTTTGTCCTACAAACCTCTGAATCAGTGCCTCGACCTTGACCTTTCTCTCTATGATGACTGTTTATTCAGTTCTGCTTCCGAACGAGAGAAATTAACCTCTTGTGGACACACTTTTACCAAACAAATTCTGACTTCTTTCCGCATCCTCAACTATATTCTTGATTTGTCTGGCTGATCAGCATTCTTTTTCAGACCTAAACTTTGATTCACAATTTGCACCGATCCTTGTGAGTGTCCTATCTCTCATCCTCGATACGACAAAACCAAGTTCATCCGTTCGTTGAATGCTTCCACTCGTGTTGGTCGGTCGTATTCCCTTCTCGTTCGCGAGGAGTGTCCTCTCCCATCCGTTCTGGCTGGGAGTTTGGCGGCGTCCACTGACCCGCATGGTGGGGGAAAAAGAAAACAACGGTTTCTCTGATCCCTCTTCTCTCTCTTACTTTTTCGTCAACCTTTTTGCTAATTTTTTCTCCAGGATGCGCCCCCCGTCGCTTTTTGTTATCTACATGAATAGCCTACCTAGTCCTCTTCAAATACTTATCCAATATACCTCCCTAACCTTATCCATCCCATCGATGTTATTTCGTCGCTATCTGCTCAGTGGGACTAGGTCTTTTTCAACAGCGGCAAATACCTTCCTGAGCAGCATCAAGTGGGAATATCTGGTTGAGGACTCGACAGCTTGCGTTTTGGGAGGGACCGCTGATGTCACGTGGAATAATGCAGTTGTCCTTCACATCCTTCAGAAGTTCAGAACCTTTTGTGGTATGTTGTGTTTATGACCCATTGCCGTTAGCCCTTCTCTGACACTCTTAGTGGATTCAAGCAGCTTTTAAATCCCACTCCTTCTCAGCCTCCTCAGCCACTTTACAACTCCCTTATGTCGCGTCCGCCACAAGAACCTACCTCATCGGCATCGGCACCCAAGCACAACAGCTCCTTTTGAACTGCCCTGTCATGTCGCATGACTGTATCGAAGCAAAACACGCGTTTATCGCGCTTTCCATCATCAAAATCGCCCAAGCGCTTCCGTTTCTGGACAAAGTAAGGCCAAAGCATTTGTTGCCAGCACCGCCGACGCGTCAAGCCACTCGCCAGAACTCTCACGACATCAAAAAACTTCCATTAATGGCGATTTTGCGACGACCAATCCAAAGATGAGTGGCGAGCAAAAAGTTTCCATGTTGGGTAGAGTTGGAAAAGCAATCCATCGCGAGTGGATTGGTTGGGTGGTATAAAAGGGCGGGGGGATTGGGCTGGAATGACACGCTTCGACAGCCCCCGTTGAAGTCCCGCTCCCGCCTTCCCGACTACATTCGACGACGAACACAATGCCTCGTGCGGCACAAACATCCACTTCCGTTGCGAAGGGCAATAAGCCTTATGTAATTCTTGTTTCATTTTGGCTCTTATTGTCTTTTACTGATCATCGTTTATTGTTTAGCAGCCAGCCAGCGAACGCAAAGTCGTCGGCAGACTTCCTCCATATCCGCCCCGGGCTTTGCGCTGTTTGCATCCCGGGTGCCTCTGGAGCTTCGACAAGAAGACAGACCTCACCCGCCATATCATCTTGCATCGGTCCAAAGAGGAACGTGAAGCTAGGTACTTATTGTTGTCTCCCTTTTTGTTTTCAACCCGATTTTGATCATTGTCTACAGCAAGATCCCTTGCCCGTATGCATCAGAGGGATGCCCGTTCAAGACCCTCCAACGGACCAATCTGAAGACACATCTGAACACACAGTATGTGGTCATGTTCCTTCCCCTCGAAACATTCTGACTGTACCATAGTACCGGCGCAAAGCCGTTCAGATGCTCATTCTGCCCTTACGCCGCTGGAGACCGCTCGTGTGTCTATAAACACGAAGCGAAATACCACAAGTCCAGCAACGAGACGCAGAAGTCGAGGAAGGCATACAAACCACGTTCCAGACATTCTCCCAGTTTGTCGTCGTCGGACTCCGGCCTGGACTACGCTTTCCAGTCCATCTCGCTCTCGCCTTCCAGCAGCTGCACCTCGGAATCCGAGTCCTCGTCACCGTCATCGTGCGGCTCTCCCATCAGCCTGACCGATGCGTCCATGCCCGCGTTTGACTCGACGTGGAATTGGGATCCGAGTTTTGAGGCGGCTTTATTGCAACTGGAGCCCTGGGAGTGTCCCCCTCCAATGGACACCAGCTACAGCTGGGTCCCCCCCCAGCATTTACCCCGCCAACGAAACTCAGTTCGGTCTCCCAATGACGGCGACTAGTTATCTCGCAACCCAACAAACGCAACCTGCGTTTTCGACGCTCATGCAATCGAACGATCTCTTCTTCGACTCAACATTCTACCCAGTCGCGGAATCCGAGACGTTGTTGCCGAATACCCCGATATTCACGGGCGAGTGGCAGGATGTCAGCCTTGTTTCAGGCTGCTGAACCATCTTCCCTCCACCTTCACCTTCAGTGTATATTCTTATTTTTATTTATTGGCTTTTGGTCGGACTTGTATTCTTTTTCTCAGGATTGCATCGTGTTTGTACTCGTACCTATAGCATTGCATATCATCTGCGCTCCTCTGCTTTCCTTTTAACTACCGCCAGTGCATCGTTTCGACAATGAGACATGGAACATTGAATCCTTTCCCGACCAGAAAGGTATGCACATCATCAGCGAATTTCACCACTGCATCGCGCTTTGGCCCATGACGACACGAATTTACGCCGACACCATAGTCTACATAGGTCGTTTTTATCTCGTATGAAAGACCGGTACCGAATCGTGAGAGCTGCATTGAGGTGAGCAATTCGGGGACGAGCTCGTAGTTGGATCGCAGCTCCCAGACTTCCGAGGAAAGAGTCCGCGTCCCCTTTTCGTCGCTATTCCAAAACCGAGAAAACGGGTCGTGGGCGTTGTTGGGAAACAGCCTCGTCGAGTTTCGCGGCTCGCCAGAGTCAAGGTCAAACTTTTGCTCCATCTGGATGGGTTGCGTCACGGAATTGGTGCGGTAGACGACATATGCGCCCTCAAGGAAAGCGAAAGGACATTCTTGCTGAATAGTGCAAGTCATGGTGCAAGTCACACCGCTCAACACCGTTACAGTGACATTGTGCAATCAGTTCAAGGGGTCTAAGTAAATCGTCTGCATTCGTTAACCCACAACGAATAAATGAAGCATGCCACATCTCCGGGCCACTCGAGTCCACAACACGCACAGTCCACAGCAGCATTCCGGAGCTCAAAATCAGGATCCAGACAAGTCCCTCTTCGTTCGCAAATACCTTCACGCCATCCAAAGCGAGGGTAGGCGGGCAATTATCCAGAAGTCTGCTGCCTGCAACAAGTTTCTAGGTCCTTTCGAATTCGCTCACTTGAAAGGATATCAGTAAGGGGTGAAACTATTGATTACAGTAGATATCCTCCCACTGGCAAAAGTCAATTCATCAACGCACCTGGCGGTATAAAAAGCGCGTCGCTGAACTATTCCAATAGCACCTTGTCTGACCGAAGGATTCAACGCGCCTTGAAGTGTAGGAGCCCATGCATGCATATAATACTTGACGAACTCGAATAGGTTCAGAGTTAGAGGTTCAGGAAATCGGCGCTCAGTATAAACCAGAGTTTGAAATTCAGACGTAGTGAGCGGATTTACAGCAGGGCTTTGTTTTGATCTAGAATGCAAGACATTTCCGAGAGCTGTAAATAGACGCAAAGCAGCGGAAACCTGCTGTTTGAGAGAGGAAAGCAAGTCTAGTGATGCCATCAACACTCAATTTTCTTTCGACAATGATGCTATTGACATGCGCTTTGCGCGCTCCTAGCAATGCCCCGAAGCGAAGACCACGCATTCTCAGAGCGCGCAGAAGAAGCGGGGGCCGCGAAACTCTGGTCTGTCTATGTGGATGAAGCGGAGCGCTACGACAAATCCCTTGTCGCGAGCTGGAAGAGTGATATGGAGGGAATGCTCATATTCGTGCGTCTTTCTTCGTGTTATTGTTCCCTCAGTATTGAAAACCTGTCAGGCTGGTCTATTCTCCGCTAGTTTGACCGCATTCCTGATTGAAAGCTACAAAACTTTGGTTCCAGATTCCGGTGAAGCGACTGTTCAACTTTTGCAGCAGATTCTGGTGGTGTCTTCCAGTAATTCGACATTCACGCCCCCGATTTCCCAGCCATTCAGGCCTTCTGCATCGTCTCTTGTCTGCAACACGTTGTGGTTCATCAGTCTGGGATTAAGTCTTACCTGTGCTCTGGTTGCGACATTACTCGAACAATGGGCCCGCGACTTCCTACATCGGGCTAATATACGGTCCTCACCCGTTGTTCGCGCGCGTATCTACTCATACCTCTACTATGGTCTTCGACAGTCCGAGACTTTCTTTTCCTAGTCTCTTCAGCTTACCGTTGACCAGATACAAAATGCATGCGGTCGTCGACACCATCCCCTCTCTCCTACATGCTTCACTCTTGTTCTTTTTTGGCGGACTGGTTGCATTTTTGCTGCCGGTGAACAAGATCATCGCAGGACTTGTGGGAGGCATTTTGGGCTTCGTTCTGGGCATCTATGCATTCCTAACCGTCTTCCCGCTGTTTCGACTTAACTCCCCATATCGAACTTCCCTCTCAAATACGATCTGGGGAATATGTCAGTCTTGTGTCCGGTGGTGGCGCCGACATCGACATCCGGGTAATTACAGCAATGAGGCCCCAACGACCATTGTTGACAATATAATCAAAAATGCTGTCAAGCCCTCGGGACATCGCAAAGAGTGGGATACCGCTGCTCTCATTTGGACCATGCGATCACTGTCGGATGACACCGAGCTGCAAACATTCGTCGAAGCCATTCCTGATGCGATGTGGGGTCCGAAACAACAGCATCGCCGAAATGTGGAGCTCATGACGACTTTGCGTGACTCCGAGCAGGTTAACCTTCTGTTCAGGATTGCCGAGCTGTGGCGCAGTTGCGATAATGGCCTGTTGTCTGTCGATGCTGTGGAGCGACGCGACACTGCTTGTCTCAAGGCATTTTGGGCCCTCTGCAGCAGTCCTACGCCACCACCAGTCTCGAAGCATGTGTTCCCCAGTGTTCTAGTGCATGTTCCTTCATACCGCAACCACCAACTTCCCCAATCGAGAAGTTTGTGGTCCTCGCCATTTTTTGTCTCCATGAACGCAATGGCCAACTGGAGCGGCCTTCTATGGCTGCGGATATATTTGGCTTGGTGCTCTAGCCAACAAACCGGAATCATTTCCCTTGACTCTATGATACTTCGACGCTATCTCTTTCGGTTCTTTCTGCATCCAGGGGAGATCGATGAACGTTATACGAAGCTTGCACGCTCAACAAACAACCGCGAACTGTTTGACACGACTTCCAATGACCTTTGTGACGCAATCTCCCTTCGCATCTATTTGGGTTACCTGCAGCACACTATTCAACTTCCCTCGCTGCCTTACCGCCGGCAAGAAACTTTAGATACCATATATCCCCGCCATATACCCCGAGACTCGGACGCTATCATCACCGACAATGACCTCGAGGAACTCGAGATTGCCATCAATAATAATTCTCCCCAATTCGTGCCGAACAGTAGTCGCCAACTTTCAACAGTCATGATAGAGCTTTGTCGTATGTGGCGGCCACAGGAGACGCGCCGAATCTCGGCTGGTATCATCAACTACATCAAGCATCATGGCAGTGCTCCAGACACATTACTCCCTCTTCATACCCTCAAGGATAGCGAAGTTTGGAAACTTTTCAGCCGTTCGGGCTTCTACCAGCACTTATGGCGCTGCTTTCCTGCTGCCATCACTCTGGGACAGTACGAACTGTCACCAGAAGCTCTCGATGATGTGCTAATGGTTCTCTGGATTAGCCTTAAAACCATAACAGATAATAGCGGTATCCTTAGAATGCCTTCTCCGGACGCCGTTATACAAGCCCTGATGTCATGCACAGCACCGATGGCTGTCGTGGTCTTGCTTGTGGTTAGAATCTCACTCTTCCAGGCAGAGGTCCATAAAAGACTTGTTTTACGACCCCGGTCCAGGGTTATTGCGACATCACCTCAAATGCCTGACTCGGCCAGAAGCGAACCTGAAGCAGCCGTCATCATAATTGCTGATTTCCTCGAGAAATTCACCGTCTCGAATGAGGATGACGCTCTCCGTGCTGTAGCGGCCCTCCAAAGTATTCTCGATTCGAAATATAAGGATTGGAATATCGACTGGGCCGTGCACGATAGTCACCAAACTCGTTTTGTGGGTGGATTGGTACGGTTGGTAGAAACTCAAGGGCCAGCCGGACGTTTTGTGGCGCAAAGAGTGCTCGAGGGGAAGGTATTCGACCCGCCGGACGGCTCCGGCCTAGATCGCTTCCGCTGGATAACTGAAGCTGTTGCGCAAGCAGATTTTCGTCTTGTGCAGTCAAGATTAGCGGAGGCAGGGCCTGCTGGAGATGAAAGTAGACTGGTCAAAGAAGGTGCTTCCGGCTAGACGTAACTTGTTTGTATATACTAGGATAAGATACTGAGGATAAGACTGTTGGTGATGGCATCAGAGTATTTGTGCCTTTAACTTCCGTGCTCTCACCAGACACAGTTCAAACGATACCAATGCGACTTCTATTCACACACCGTATCTCTTGCCTTTGCCATGCCTGCGGACAACAGCATCGAAGATGTCAAGTTTGGCGGGTACTCTTTCCCATCTCGTGCTGAAGAAGCAGGAGCTGCAAAACTCTGGTCGATTTATGCTGAAGAGGCAGAGCGCTACGATAAATCGCTTGTCGCTGGTTGGAAGAGCGATATGGAGGGCATGTTGATATTTGTGCGTCTTTTCCAGTCTATTGTTAATTCTAACTCAGGCTCACCTCTTCAGGCTGGTCTGTTCTCAGCCAGTCTGACCGCGTTCCTTGTCGAGAGCTACAGAAATCTTGTCCCGGATCCCGGTGATACAACAGTCCAACTCCTCCAGCAGATACTCGCAGTTTCCTCTCCAAACTCAACAGTTACTCCCATTATTCACGAACCGTTCGTGCCGCCCATCTCGTCTCTCATCTGCAACGCATTATGGTTTATCAGTCTGGGATTGAGCCTCTCCTGTGCTCTCGTTGCCACGTTGCTTGAACAATGGGCCCGCGATTTCTTGCATCGCGCCAACACACAGTCCTCTCCGGTTGTTCGCGCACGAATCTATTCCTGTCTGTACTATGGCTTAAGACGGTTGGGTTTGCCCTATCCATTCAAGTCACCAATCTAATTATCTTCAGATTCAAAATGCACGCAGTTGTCGAGATTATACCGTCGCTCCTTCATGCCGCGTTGCTCTTCTTTTTCTGCGGCTTGATCGTGTTTCTCCTCCCCGTGAACAAAATTATCGCGGTCATTGTTGCTGGCATTCTATCACTTGTCATCACCTTCTATCTATTCCTGACTATTCTGCCTCTGATCCACTTTGATTCGCCATATCGAACTCCACGTTCAAATGCGCTATGGGGCGTATACCGATACTGTTTCCAGTGGTGGCGTCAACCATCCAAGTCTAACCACATTCATGATGCTCCAACAACAATCGTTGACAAGATGATCGAACAGGCTATTACCCCGTCAGACCATCGGCACAAACGCGATGTTTCCGCCCTTCTTTGGACTGTCGAGTCCTTGTCGGACAATGAGGAACTGCAGAAATTTGTCGAGGCCATTCCAGATGCGATGTGGGGCCTATACGGACAACATCGCCGAAATGTTGCTGTGATGACTGCCTTGCGTGACTCGGAGAAGGTGAACTTGTCATTCCGGATTTCCGAGCTCTGGCGAAGCTGCAGCGATGGCCTTTTGTCTAAAGAGGCGAGTGAAAGACGCGGTACGGCAAGTCTGAAGGCGTTCTGGGCACTTTTCACCATACCAACTCCACCTTCTCCACTCTCGACTACTCCCCATATGCTTCCACCAATTTTGCAGCATATTCCATGGATGGCACAATTTCCACCTTCGCCAGTTTATGTCTCGATGAGAGCAATGGCAGGCTGGAGTGGGCTTACATGGTTGCGGATGTACTTGGACCAATGCTTCGAGTCAAAGGCCACGGCCCCCTTTCCTGATCGTATTCTTGCTCCAGTTCGAGGGTACATCACCTTATTCTCTTTATTTTCGGTAGAGATAACTCGGCATGCGCAGACCCTGGAAATTTCGACAAACAGCCGCCAGCAATTTTCTACCGCTTCTAGAGAACTTTGCGACTCTATCTCTCATTATATCTTCTTCGACTATCTTAAAACCACTGCGGCTTCCGAGACGCTACCATTTCGCTGGAAAGAGAGTCTGGACATCATTTACCCTGAGGACTTCACTCTCGACTCAGCTATGACCCACAACAACCTCCAAGAACTAGAGTCAGTGATGGATACCGTTTCTCTTGGCCTTGCAAGCTCCAACGTTGCTCTGCTTCCAGTAGCAATGAGAGAACTTTTCGACCTATGGCGGCCACAAGATGCGAGACGAATCCCGGTTGGTATCATCAAATACCTCAAGCATTATGGTAGTAACTCGGACACGTTGCTCCCTCTCGATGCGATGAATAATGTCGAGGTCCGGATACTTTTCAACCTCACCAACCTTTACGGCTACCTATGGTGCTGTTTTCCTGCCACAATCACCTCCTCCGAATCCTCCACTGAAGAACTGTCCTCTTTAGAAGTGTCGCTTCTAGATGACGTGCTCGCGGTGCTCTGGATCACCACCAGCATTCTCATAGAAGGTCCAGATATCGATCGACCTGAAGCCCCTTCACGCGAAGAGTTTAACTCGGTTATCCAAGTGCTGACTACATGCACGTCGCCGATGGCTTCAGCGGTCTTGCTCTCAGTCAAAATTGCATTGCTTCGGTCCGAGATGGATAAAACAATTCTTCTCCGACTAGACGCGAGGAGGCTATCTGGAATACCCGAGAACGCGGGGAGTGCTCAAGACGGCGTTGGAAAGCTCGAAGCCGCCGTCATCGTTATCGCCGATTTTCTTGAGCAATGTACGATAGCGAGCGCAGTTGATGTGCTCCGTGCTGTTGGGGCTCTCGGTAATATCCTTGATATCGGGGCTCGCTATTTTGACTCCACTGTTAATACACGTAGAAAATGAGCAATCAAGGGATAATACACGTAGAAAATGAGCAATCAAGGAGATCACCAGGACCTTCAACTTAACTAATCAAATCCTAATTTTGTGCGGTTTGTGTTCGGGGTTCGAGCCGCAGGAAACGGCTAACAGATTCAGATGTTCTTATTGATATCAGTTGTAATTGGATGTTGTAAAAGCTTGTATTGAGGTTTTCACTGTGATGAACAGAACAATAGCAGTTGTTGGGTGAGGAGTTGATATTTGAGAGGAGCAATATGGCTCTACTCTCCTAGCACTTGCACTTTGCACTTGAACTTGAACTTGCACTTTGCACTTAAACCTGAACTTGCACTTTGCACTTTGCACTTGCACTTGCACTTGCACTTGCACTTAAAGAAATCCAACTGATGTGACGGTGGTGGTGTCACAATCAGGGGACACCGATTGTATTGGTTTGAAACTTTCCCCTCTAAACCTAACTGATGTGACACTGGTAGCCGTCACAATCAGGAGGTCCGCCAGAGGTTTCCTTGTTATTCTATCTAATTTACAGGGCTCCTTATATACTGCTCTGGAAATAATTATGTAATGTGTGACACTGTGACCTGATCCGCTGATCCGCCTCTAGAATGTTCTAGTCCTGACTTCTGGAATGTTCTAATATAGGTCCTGGTTCAGAGTTGCCAAATATAGACATGTTACCACCTATTCGGTTCAGTTTCTAGACCAGGTCTATGTCTAGAATAGGTCTAGAACTGTGTAGACCGCTCGGCTGGTCCCTTCTGGAATAGATCTAAAGTCTAGAACAATTCTACTGGAAGTTCTATATATATGGCATGATTATTGTGCTTCAAAATGAATTTATAGAGCCCTCCTGGCATTATTCACCAGTTGTCATATTGACGGCTCATCATCTCCCCTTTTTATAAATATTGACCGTCCTCGGTCATCTGAAGCAATAATATTTTGACTACATTTTTCATCACTTCCAGCTACATTTTTCACTGGGTTTGTTTTATGCCATGCAAGAACATTTGAGTTCCAGTCCCCTACAGTGATGATTGACTATCTGTGTTCCTTCTTCTCTCCAGATCTATAATTCTTCACAACCATATGTTCTTTAATAGAGTCTGAATTCCTTGGACTTATATATATTTTCTGTGTATACCAAGCTTGTAGAACTTTCCTGGATTTTTCTGAATTTTATCCACAGTTTTCTTGAATTTTATCGTCCTTTTCTGACTTAAGTCCGACTTATCAGCCATGCTTGATCACGTTCCCCGCTGCCATTGTTGGCTTATTACCCTTTTATTTCTATTGTTCTCGCTTATCTGAGCCTTATCTTCCTTATCTAAGCTCAATTGTTGCTGAATCGTCATTATCTCGTTGGGGCTAAGCCAGAGATCGTCGTTATCGGCTTGCCTCGTCTGCCATACAGCAGTCTATCTAATCTCGTCGGCGATCTCGGTTTAATCCGACCGGATCGTCGGTCACCGGGCGGACTCGGTCCGTTTGCGATCAACGTTCTCACACTTGCTTCTTTATTCTCGACCACCACCACACTGTTCTTCGAGGACCTCTCCCCTGCCCTGCGACTCGACGAGCCTCGTGTGCTAGTTCTGGGCTCTTCTGGCGACGACCTCGCGCCTCTCTTGGCGCGTCGGGCAGCGCTTCTCGCTGGCCCACTCCACTCGGCACTTGGGTGACGCGTCATTGTTCGACGCGTCATCGCTTGAAGCGCGCGTGACTACTCGTGTATTTTGTCGTCCTGACGGTGCTTCATCGTCCAAGCTTCCTATCTATTGAATGGGTGCACTTTGAAGGGTGGGATGGGAGGAGCTGGAGGCGGGGAACGGGGACGGCGGTTCCTCGCTGTTTGGTGTAGCTTGTGGCGGGGATTCAGGTGAGTTTCGTTGTCCCTGTCCCTGTACCACTAGCACGAGCCTCGTGTCGCTCGTTCGGCTGTCTGTTACCGGTGGCCCCACTCATTGGTTGTGGTGCGTCTCGCTTCCGGCGCTCCTCGTGGCTGGATGGCCTCGTCATCGCCGGCCGTGACGCGCAAGATTTCTTGCGATTTCCGCCGTTCTGGGCAGCTCTCTTCAATTGACTAGCCACTCGCGATCCGGCTGGTTCTCGGTTGGTTCGCTGCGAGGCTTGTGGGGTTGAGGGCGGGATGGACCGTGGTCGCAGGTCGATCCCAATATGCTGGCCGTTGACGGTTGTGCACAAACTACCGTTTGCACTCGGGGCGTCCCACGGACGACAGGTCATAGCTACGCTGTGTACATCAACATTTTCAATATATTGGTGCTACAGTGGCTGCCATCGCGGACGTTCGTTGTCCAGTTTGTCTCTGGACTAGTCCGGGCGGTCGCTCCAATTCCGACCTGTCTTCCCACGAGTTCTTCTCCGAAGCTCGGGGCCTTGTTCTAGACCCTTCTGTCTGACTCATGTCGCGAGTCCCGTGCTTGTTAGTCAGCACATTCGCTTGCCCTATATAAGGGCCAACTTTCCTCTACGTTCAGTGCCGTTCCCATCAACCCCTTGGGACCATATATATACCTTTTCTTTTCAGACACGGACAACTTGTTACATTGTCTACTGTCTTGCCAGGACTTTAGATGCAATTGACTCTGAAGTCACAACTAGACGATCATACTCATTTCATCCAAGCAATTGGGTTGCTTGATTGATGTTTGAGTTCAAGTAGGGATCATGCATCTTTGTTGTTTAAAGTGTACAAAACTGTGATGTGGTCACTTTATATTGCCCGGAGTTCTGAAATCTAATGCATCTAACTCAACTAGTTTGTTAAACAAATTGTGTGGTGCCAGTGGCTAAGACATTTTTCACCTATCTCCTTGCTTCCATTCAAAACTTTGTAGTGAGACATAAGTATGTCATAGGAAAAGAGAAGCATATGTCCATAGTAAGTTACAATTGCATAGGGTCAAGAAGACACTAAAAGTGGGAAACATACATAAATCATCTTAAATCAGTGAAGAATAAATGAAATAAATTAAATATTCAAGAAGGGTCAAGATAGGCATATTTCAGTGAGCAGTCCAGTAATGTTGGACTCTCCAAGCCAGTGGTTCATTTCCAGATGGTAAGTACTGACCATCACCAAGCTGAAGCTTTCCTCTGTGATCCAATCTAATCCAGGAATTATGGATATGTTGAATCTTCTGAGGGCATTCTCTAGTAAAGTGACCTATGTGCTCACAATAATAACATCTTTGTGTAAACTTTTGGGCCTGAAGTTTTCTCATATTTGCTTTGGGTTGAACCAAAGCTGGGACTAGGGTAGGTGGAAAACCTAATTGAGTAGATTCAGCTGAAAGATGAAATGCTTTCATCTTCAAGTCAGCTTTATCTGAATCAATTAGGATGGTTTCAGATGTTTCAGGTGCTTGACTTTCTGAATCATTTGAAACTGGTACTGATGCAACTTTAGCAAAAGCAGTTTCTTGAGCAACTTCAGCTTCTGCTGCAGATGTGGAGATGCTGTTCTCTCCAGAGTTAACTTGTGTGTCCATAGATCTGGTACACATGTTTGATAGCTCACTGAGGTTTAACTGAGCTAGGTGGAGGGGGCTTCTAAGTATACACTTAGAAGCAGGTGAAAACAACAAGTTTGTCAACAATTTTAACTGATTCGATTTAGATATCTGAATGAACCCCTCGCGGTGGGCTCCAGATAATACACGTAGAAAATGAGCAATCAAGGAGATCACCAGGACCTTCAACTTAACTAATCAAATCCTAATTTTGTGCGGTTTGTGTTCGGGGTTCGAGCCGCAGGAAACGGCTAACAGATTCAGATGTTCTTATTGATATCAGTTGTAATTGGATGTTGTAAAAGCTTGTATTGAGGTTTTCACTGTGATGAACAGAACAATAGCAGTTGTTGGGTGAGGAGTTGATATTTGAGAGGAGCAATATGGCTCTACTCTCCTAGCACTTGCACTTTGCACTTGAACTTGAACTTGCACTTTGCACTTAAACCTGAACTTGCACTTTGCACTTTGCACTTGCACTTGCACTTGCACTTGCACTTAAAGAAATCCAACTGATGTGACGGTGGTGGTGTCACAATCAGGGGACACCGATTGTATTGGTTTGAAACTTTCCCCTCTAAACCTAACTGATGTGACACTGGTAGCCGTCACAATCAGGAGGTCCGCCAGAGGTTTCCTTGTTATTCTATCTAATTTACAGGGCTCCTTATATACTGCTCTGGAAATAATTATGTAATGTGTGACACTGTGACCTGATCCGCTGATCCGCCTCTAGAATGTTCTAGTCCTGACTTCTGGAATGTTCTAATATAGGTCCTGGTTCAGAGTTGCCAAATATAGACATGTTACCACCTATTCGGTTCAGTTTCTAGACCAGGTCTATGTCTAGAATAGGTCTAGAACTGTGTAGACCGCTCGGCTGGTCCCTTCTGGAATAGATCTAAAGTCTAGAACAATTCTACTGGAAGTTCTATATATATGGCATGATTATTGTGCTTCAAAATGAATTTATAGAGCCCTCCTGGCATTATTCACCAGTTGTCATATTGACGGCTCATCACTGTGGATCCAACTCACCAAATGCGTTTGACTCACGCACTGTTACGGTTGACGGAAACATCTGAGGCGGAAACGGGGCATATCGTGGTGCGAAGGGTGCTCGGTGGTAGGATTTTCGACCCGCTCAGCGACTCAGACTTGGAGCGGTTCTATTGGATGGGGTCTGCTGCCCAAGCGGATCTTCATATGGTGCAATCGCTACTGGAGGCTGTCGAAGAGCATAGCCAGTGAAGATTGGCGGCAAAATGCGTCCGAGGAGGGTTTGGAGCAACAGGAGGTGGAAATGGATTATGTATGATAGTTTTCTCTTTCCGCTTCGTCCGACAGGAAAACAATTTTGAGTTTGCGTAGCCGCGCAAACACTACCTAATGTACTGTTAATATATTAACCGCCTTTCCATTGCTTGCATTAATGTACCTAGTAGTCTGAGCTAGATGTGTTTGGTTTGGTATTTTTCATTTGTTGGACATAGCTTTAGTCTGGTCAATATCGAGTGCATTATCAACAATGATACAGATTGTTAATAAAGTTGTGTCGGAAAGGATGCGTTTATCGTGCTGGTCGAAATATTGAAAGAATTGGCATCAGATGTGACTGCAACGAAAGTAGTTTGCAGTGAACGCCCATGTCCAAACATGGACATGCAAGTAGACCTACTGTCGGACGAAGGCCTCGCCACTTTACTTCCTAGCCTCTTGATGACCAACCCACATCGACACTATAACCGTCTTGCTACACGCGTCGCCGCCGCTAGCCCCGACAACCCACTTACCTCAGCCATCACCACTATCCTTACCGCACCTGCAGAAGACGTCGCCGCCGCAAAAATCCAAGGCGCACTCTTTGGGTGGGCCGCTCTGCTCCCTTGCCTGCCCAAACTCCGACTCGCAGACTTCCGGCCTGCGCTCCGACGCCTCGCTGACCGTCCAAGCGCACTTGAGCGGCAGCATGGCCTGCCCATTGATGCACGTGAACTCATCGAGTACATTGACCGGCGGGAGCCGTGGGTGCCTGTGTCGAAGAGCGACTACCTCGGCCTGCGGAGCCTCGACGCGGTCACGTGCGCAGCGGAAATGGCGCCGTTCGTGAAGGGCCTGCTGGAGTGGCTGCAGGATCCAAACTGGCCCATAGCTGAGGGGTGTGCGATGCACCTCGCCCGATTTCCGGAGCTATGTGCCGATCCGATACGGCGCGTGCTGGAAAGGGGCGACGATGCCGGGTGGGAGAGCCAGTTGTTGTGGTTTGTCAGCGACAATTTGGCGGTTCGGGACTGTGAACGGATGCGGGCGGAGTTGGAGCGTATTGTACAGCGGCCCACACTCGCAGAGGAGGAGGAGGAGCTTGGGGAGGTGGTGTTGGGTATCTTGGAAAGGATGGATTACGCCAGAGACTGAACTTGAGGTAAGTTTTTTTACAAAATAAGAATATGCTTCTCATAACTCATAGCTTCAGCTTCATCATCCTCGCAGAGCCAGCCCTAAGCCCAGGGCGAGCCCGAGGGATCTTCAAGGCCACGACTCGGATTATTGTTCTGCGCTTCCGGCCCGAAACACCGGCCCAGTCAATAATTAGCCAAGCCCGGGCCCGTCGTGAGCCTTACATCCCAACGATCTCCTCCGTCTCTGCTTTCCTGGGCGCGTTCGTGTCTTGCTTGCATGCACAGCGAATCTCGGTCATTTTCTCCCGAAAACACTGAAACATCCGAACTCAGGTGGCGGGGCTTGCTCATTATCTTGGTGTCAGTACTCTCCGTTCTCGCGCCACGGCTGCCTAGCCAAGCGTAGAGAGTGATCGCTAAAGGCAGCTTTTGGAACGATGCAAGAAAGATTGACTCTGGAGTCTGGACTGATTTGGCTACTCTGCTCTGTACTCTGTACGCTCTAATAGAACATAGTTGTTACAGTTACGCGTGTAGAACACGAAAGTGACGAAACAATATAACTGAGCGCAATAGTGATGCAGTCGTGGTACTGTACCCATGACATCAGCTTCTGAGACTTGCATCTTACTTTCACACAACACAGCTCCCCATGCTAGTGTGACTTCTCTTCATCGACTGCAACCCTTGCTTTCATCATGTCTAGAGACAGCTACGTTGAGGATTTCAAGCTCGGCAGACACTCTTTTCCAGATCGTGCTGAAGAAGCGGGAGCAGCCAAACTCTGGTCTGTCTACGTGGACGAGGCGGAGCGATACGACAAATCGCTTGTCGCGAGCTGGAAGAGTGATATGGAGGGGATGTTAATATTTGTGCGTTTTTTTTTGTGTGGTTGCAGTTCTACATGTTGAACTTTGTAAGGCTGGTCTATTCTCGGCGAGTTTGACCGCATTCCTTATCGAGAGCTACAAAACTCTGGTCCAAGACCCCGGCGAAGCGACCGTTCATTTGCTACAGCAGATGGTCGTGCTGTCTTCGTCCGGCAATAACACGACGTTTACGCCTGTCATCTCCCAGCCATTCAAACCAAGCACACTGTCTCTCGTCTGCAATGCGTTGTGGTTCATCAGCTTGGGATTAAGCCTTTCCTGTGCTCTTGTTGCAACATTACTCGAACAGTGGGCCCGCGACTTTCTGCACCGTGCTAACATACGATCCGCCCCGGTTGAACGTGCCCGAATTTACTCGTATCTGTACTATGGTCTTCGAAGGTACTCAAGCTCGTTTTCACCGATTGCAATCTCTTCCACTGAGTATCTGCTAGGTACAAGATGCATGCAGTTGTCGAGACTATTCCTTCTCTGCTGCATGCTTCACTAGTGTTCTTCTTTAGCGGGCTGATAGCCTTTTTACTCCCAGTCAACAAGCTCATTGCTGGTCTTGTGGGTGGTATTCTTGGCCTCGTCCTGGCAGTCTATGCATTTCTAACCATCTTTCCTTTGCTGCGATTCGACTCCCCGTATCGAACTCCACTCTCAAACACACTCTGGGGGATGTGGCATTATTGCATTCGCTGGCGGCGACCACACGGATACTCCGGCAACGTCACCAACAATGTTGCAACTACAATGGTTGACAATATCATCAGGAATGCTGTACAGACCTCGGAATCTCGACAAGAGCGGGACACATCTGCTCTCATTTGGACTATAAGATCTATTTCAGATGACACTGAGCTGCAAACCTTTGTTGAAGCCATTCCTGATGCAGTATGGGGTCCAAAGCAACGGCGAAGAAATGTCAAGCTAATGACCACTTTACGTGACTCTGAACAGGTACAGCTACCATTTAGGATTTCTGAACTTTGGCGCAGTTGTGCAGATGGCTTGTTATCCCCTGATGCTATTGAGCGACGTGGGACTGCTTGTCTCAAAGCACTTTGGGCACTTTGCACTATACCTACCTCACCACCAATCACTGGTCATGCACTCCCTGGACTTTTTGTACACATTCCCTTGTATCATGATCACAAGCTTTCTGAATCACTAGACATCTGGTCTTCCTCATTGTTAATCTCTTTGAAGGCAATAGCTAGCTGGAGTGGCCTTGGATGGTTGCAGATGTATCTAGCCCAGTGCTATAATAAGCAAACTGGAAGTATTTCATTAGATGTCAGGCCTGTTCGACAATATATTTTCCAATTCTTCCCTCTCACAACTAAGATCAACAAACTTGTCCGTGAGCTGGAACGCTCAACAAATAGCTCAGAACAGTTCAACATAGCTTCTAGAGACCTTTGCAATGCTGTCTCCCACCGTCTCTTTTTTGATTATCTGCGGACCACACTAGTATCTAGTTCACTCCCTTATTGCTGGCAAGAGACTCTGGACATTATCCATCCCCATGATTTGTCAAAGGATCCAAATACTAGTATTACTAAGGATGATCTCCAAGAAGTTGAGTTTGTTATGGATGCAGTATCTCAAAGACTTGCAACCAACAATGGTGGCCCTCAGATATCAGTAATTATGAGAGAAATCTGCCGTTTGTGGCGGCCACAAGAAGCAAGAGCAATCCCACTTGGCATCATCAAATACATCAGGCTTCATGGTAGTCATTTGGTTACATCAATTCCTCTTAAAGACTTGGAGATTGAAACTGTCAGAGCACTGTTCAATCATACAAAAATCTTTAGCTACCTATGGCAGTGTTTCCCTATCACTCTCACTTCCTTATCTACTAGGGAGCAGCATGGAGACTTGAGCTCTCTCAATAATGTGCTTACTGTGCTTTGGATTACTGCCAATGAAAGCCTGATCAGACCAGAAACACCTTCTAGAGAAGAGTTCTATGCAGTTATCCAAGCTCTAGAAACATGCATATCACCAATAACTCCAGTAGTCTTATTAGCAGTTAAAACTGCACTCTTCCAGTTTGAGATCAACGGACCACTCTCCTTCTCTTGGATGCCAATGGCTCAAACCTCTGACTACATACTGTCTGATGGGAAACTTGAGACTGCTGTCATGATCATTGCTGATTTTCTCAAACAATATACTATAGCTGATACAGCTGAGACCCACTATGCTCTTGAGGCTCTGCATCATATTCTCCATCTGAGATATTTCTTGCTCAGTGTTAACTTGGCTGTGCATCGCAGACACCAAATCCATTTTGCTTATAGTTTGCGGCAATTAGCAGAAACATCCACAGCCTCAACAGGACATGTAGTGGTGCGAGCAGTGCTTGAGGGCCCTATATTTGATCCACCTGATGACTCTAGTTTGCCTCGTTTCCACTGGATTAATGATCCTGCTGCCATAGCAGATTTTAATAAAGCACAATTACTATTGGATAGGTCTTAAATTATTGAGAAGCATAAGACAAATAAAGATATGAGCATTAGCACTTGTTGCAATAGATATCACTACTTATTGTCATCACAAAGAAAAAGTAGAAGAGATACAGATGCTAGTGAATACTATTTTACTTGATTTAAATACTCATTTTTTTAAAGGTATGGCATGATATATAAAAATCTGAATTTTTATGATTTTCTTATTTGGATGTTGTTGGTGCCAAAGGTACTGGAAAAATCATAAAATTACTATTTTTAGAGATGAAATTCAAGAAATCTGTGTGACATAGAAAGAAAAAAGTGTGACAGATAACATTTAAGATAAGTAAAATACTACAACAACACTACTTGTACATAGCCAGATATTAGTTATAATTATATATTAAATTTTACCTACATAAAAATAAAGAAAGTTGATATCTATAATAGATTGATATTAGTATTGACAGCTAAGATAAAATTAGAAATAATGATTAAAATAATACATCCTATTTTTTTTTTATTTCAGAGAGTTCTTAGTTAAATATCTAGTATATCAGATAAGTTCTATTGCAGGAATCTAATGATGGTCTACAGTTCTAGTCTACGCTGCAGCATGTCCTCCATCGCCTGCGCATCTGCAGAAAACTTTCCAAGGCCCTCGGGGACCTTGACAGCGGCAATCTCCTCCTGCGCGATGTCTCGGGCATATGCCTGCGCGCCGCCCGGACCAAAATACTGGGCCTCCTCCTCCGCGGGCTCGTCGGTTAGGGGAGGAAGCGCACGCCGGGGCTCGCGCTGCTGTGTCGCGAGAAGGGGCGCGATGAGGCTGGGCGGGATGGTGACGGCGTCCGGGCCGGCGGCGGGCCCACACGCGCAAAGCTCGATGACCTCCTCCGGCGCACGGAACCCGGCGGCGAGGATCTCCGTCTTGACACCCCGGGCCGCGAACGACGCGCGGATGCTCTGGACAAGCTGGATGCCGGGGTGCTTCGCGAGCGGCGCCGGGGCGAGCGGGCCGGGGTTCCGCGCGTCGTAAAAGTCTTTTACGCGGCCGATGAAGGGGGAGATGACGCGCACGCCGGCCTCGGCGCACGCGGCGGCCTGCACGCGCCCGAAGACGAGGGTCATGTTGGTGTGTATCGCCTCGTCCTGCGCGCGCTCGAGGTGCCGGGCCGCGCGGATGCCGGCGTGCGTCGCGGGGATCTTGATGAGCACGCGGTGCCGGGGGACGCCGAGCGCGGCGAGCTGCGCCACGAGCGCGTGCGCCGCGGCGATCAGCGCGGGTGTGTCGTGGGCGAGACGCGGGTCGGCGGAGACGGAGACGCGGCCCGGGACGATCCGCGCGATCTCCGCGCTCACAAGCGCGACCTGCACCAGTTCAGCTTCGCTACCTAGTCAGAGGGGCACGCACGAGCCGGTCCATCGCGAGCCGGGCGTCCCCGCCGCCGCGCGCACGTGCATACGCCACGGCGTCGTCGACGAGGTGGGCGTACTCGGCCTTGCACACCGCGGCGTACACCAGCGACGGGTTCGATGTCGCGTCCGTCAAGTACCCCGCGCACCCATACCCCCGCAGCTCTACATTACCCCCGGTTAACTTTTACATAATACCCGGAGGAGGAAAAGTCACGCACGCTCGTACTCGGCGGTGTCCGACGCGACCTGGACGCCAAACGCGCGCAGGGCGTGCAGCGCACTCGGGGCAGCCATAAGTTAAGAGGTGGAAAGTAAGGATGGAGGGATCGCCCTTTTTGAGATAACATCCAGGATGTCGCCATCTGTGCGATTCAAATCAAGCCCTCTCTAATCGATATGATCCCGCGAGCGTCGAACGTGTGCTACTCGCAGCCCACTGGCAAGATGCAGGGCACAAAACACACACTCGGCCTCGATCTAATGCCGGAGGTCTGTCACCGGTCTAACGGCCTCACCCGCAGATCGACAAAATTAGAGTGTGCTTAGTTAGACCGGGATCTTCCGCCACGCGCATTAAACGACGACATAACAGATGTAGATAACGCGATAAGTCGCGTACTTGCCGCGCGATACGATAGATCAGCACGGGCTTTCAGAATGTAGACTCCGGCGCCGGCGATCCGGCCCGGTCCGGCTGGAGTTTTTCTCTTCTCCCTCTGGGTATGCATGATATTGGGGGACTCGTTGACGGCCCGTCCCATGGGTAGTAATCCAACACGGTCCCCGTTTCGTTTGACCGGCGGCCGCAACCTCCGCCCTTTGATTTTGCCTCAAGTCCGCATCTTCGATTTCCCCAACGATCCGCCCCGTCTCTGCGACTGCGCCACCTCAGCTTCCCGGGAGAGTCCGTCATGGTTCGAGTCGCCAATGGAGACGCATCACCCTGCTGTTCTGTGCTAGGAGATCTCTTTTTTTTGGGGGGGGACATGTTGTTGCTCTTCGGAACGGTCGATCCGGAGGGCGGGATTCTTAACATGGACTCTGGCAAGTTGCGATGCAGATGTCGGCGCAGTTGGCCGCGCGTGCCCAAGAATCCAACGGGTACCGCTCCAGTTTCAGTTGGTGGCGGCGCGGGCACTGATGTTGGTATGTTGCGGTCCCTGATGATGGTGCAAATGAAGCGGATGCCGCAGCAGCCAACACTCGCAGCGCAGAACCCGCTTGTGTGGGATGTGAGAGCGGGGCACAAACCAAACTGCCCACAAACTCGACCGTCGACTGTCACGTGACGCCCCGAAAAACATACAAATTACAATCCACTAGAGAGAGCCGGGCGAGTTCGTATCTGGCGTTGTACTTGGCGGGGGCCGCATTGTCATGGGGTAGAGATTCTGTCTTGGTTTGTCGGGAGTCCAGCGGTCGAGGGAGGGCTGGGGGACTCGGAGGTGATATCTCGAAAAATGGGCGGAGTCGTCTTCTGACTGTCGAGTGCCGGGGTCAAACCTAATGACGATCTGGATGGATTGGACCAAGGACGAAGCTTTCCCCCCAGTCGAGGAACGGAATACCAAGCGTAGTCTGCGGCTCGGACAGAGACAAGACAGTAGTTTTCTGGTAACAAGTTCGAGTTTCGCCCAGAGTCGGGCGACATTGCGCCATCATAAGGCTTTGGGCCTCCAGCGCAGTTCGCGGCGGACTCCGCAGTCGTTGTTCCAGTCCTGGTCCAGCGAAGAGCTCCGCCTTGAGCGCCATTCCTGGGCCATCGATTCCTTCCGGTTGACGACCCTGCTCGCGTATTCAGCTCGCTGTCCGACGAGTTTCACTAGAACCGTGATTCTGTGAGCCAGAAGGTACAGTACGAAGACGATATTCCTCAGGCTGCGCGGAGGGAGCAGGAAGAAGGTTTCGTAAGCATCTTTTCGGGTTTGTGTGAATGTGGAGCCCTGCGTCGGGCGAGCAGTCGCTGGCGGTTTGGACATGGGAAGACAGAGGCATATGGAAGCCAAGAGAACGGTCGAGACCGCTGCCTTGCAAGAGCTGCGAGGCGTCACGGTAATGCAAAGACACGACCGAGAATACACGACCAGCTTGGTGTGCGAGCTGTTTGGGCGTGGACCGAGTTTGGGATGCAACAACGATAGTTTTCGCGCCGAGGACGTGTTGTCGGGACGAGCGGGAAGGGTTTTGGGAGGCGGTATTCAAGTTTGTGGCCACCTGTCAATCCCAGATATCCTCACATATTAGAAGGCTCAACCCATCTGGTCGAGCCTTCTAACATGAAGAGAAGAGCGTCTGGGCCTATGCTGTGATATTTGCTCAGATAATTCTCCAATAATTCTGAGACTTGGAGTATTTTTTTGTGTATACAAGAGGTGTGGTGACGAATCAACATAATCTGATGTGATCAATGCTGTTTCCATATATGGTAACTTTTCCTGAAGGATACAACTCAATATATAAGCTCAGGTATGAATAATTATAAATAATTTTGATGTGGTAAGACTCGGAAAACAAGATATGACACTGGTATGTGATGTCACAAAGAAGCTATTATCCAAATAAATCTCTAATGTTATGAATCATAATGAATAATCAAGTCACTAGAGACTTAGGTTAGACTCACCGTCTGGGGTCACACTGTCTGGGGCCACACTGTCTGGGGTCACACTGTTGCATGCATGTCACGATGTGTAACAAATTTCCCAAAAAGGAAATTTTCGCCATTGGACTGTACAATCATTAGAGAATGTCACACATCGTCACAAAATCAAAGTTGTGTGAATGTTATTAGTATAGCTATATCATCTTCTGATGGTTCATCACCTACATTGATGCTGTAATATCTCCACCAATCCTATCTTAAGTCAGATGATTTTTGTACTGGTAGGTAGGTAATAACCTAATGTTGATATGGTTTGTTGTGATCATAGTCTTATATCTTTAGATTATGATATTATACCACTCTTCTCTAGTTTCTATATTTCAAATTTGATCAGAGCTAATGATCACTTGATATCTCACTGGAAACTTTGTGGATAAGCATGATTCAAGTTGCAACCTGGTCTAATATATGTCGCCATTGACATGACTGCTCCCTATAGCTTTAAGTATCAGGTCTACCTTTATATATATAACATATATCCTATACCACAAATTTCCCAATAACTCAGTCAGAACTAAGGGGTCTCGAGTGGAATCAGGGTAGGAAGCATACAGAGGGGCCTTATAAAATTAGATTTCTCATACTACATATATGCATGGAAGATCCTGTTATTCTCTATTATAATGATAAATAGGACTGCACATCATATTGGCAATACAGCTATAATCTGGTGGTTGATTATGGATCAAATATGTCAAACTTGGCAAATGAGGTGTATACGCCTACCAGCATACTTGGATTGATTTCTGTATATTCTTGGAGGATGAATTGGGGTGAACATTCCAAGACATGTGCATGCAGTACTGGTTTACATGAATAGTGAGGTCTATAGACTGAGTGTGGGACCTTGAGGTGGGTGTATGAGGATATTTGGATGTCTACTACAACCCTGAACCATAATCAGTCATGGTTCTGCCATGTGTCACTAAAGGTAGCTGAAGAGAGGGTAGGTACCCATAGAGCAAAAGAGAGTGCCTTCGCTATTACAACTGGTCAGAAAATAATTTCATAATTTCAAGTATGATCCGAGACTTGAATGTAGGATGGTATAGACTTTCAAATAAGCCTGTCTAGCACTTGAATCAACCTCATAGCTATGCTGGATCTCTCACAGTACCATTATCAGTGTTATCTATCCCAATAATGATGAGCTCACCATAGCATGACCTGTGCAAGTCTGGGGAATCTAGGTATATACATTGGTAGGGGCATTGTTCACCTCCTAGAAACTGATGCCCTCACTCCTCTAGCATATCTCTATCCTGGGTTATATAGCACCTAAGGTCTTTAGGGATTGACTAGCTCTAACACTTGCTCTATAGTAGGAAATGAGTGGAGGTGTGCTAGACTATGCCATGATATCATCTCAACTTAGATCATGAGATTCCATGCATGTAGTCCCAGGATATCAGCAAAATACTGCTCAATTTAGTATTCAGGCATGCTTGACAGTGAATAGATGAAGGCAATGGTGACAAAAAATATCACTGATAGGTCTCAGGGATAGTAGGATGGTATACCTTTCAAATGAACTCCCTTCCAACTTTATCTACTAAGGATAGGTGGAGATCTGTGCTCATCTCTCAAAGGTGATGGAGATCAGAGGCCACTGATGAGTGAATGCATTGCATCCTGAGTGCCCTATTCACTAGGAGATAAGAGGATACATACCAGAGCCTCATGTTAGAGCAGCCGAAGTCACAACTTAGGCACTTTACATTTTTAAGTACTAGATATTCTCTTTTTTATGACTGAATGGTCAATATGATAATTATATTAGATGATAATAATCAAAATATGTTATCAATTAATAGGACCTTTGAGACCCTTCCTTCTAGTACATCATTCATGCTGGTAGCTCAAGCAGCTATGGAGATAGAGGCTCATAAGTTAGATATAAGCTAGTGATGGGTCAGTGCTAACACATTTATTGAGCTGTCACTGTAGGTCACTTAATGAAAGTTGTTTGTATATTCAAAATACACAACTTTGATTTTGTGACGATGTGTGACATTCTCTGATAATTGTACAGTCAAACAGGCGGAAATTTCCCTTTTGGGAGATATGTCACACCTGTGACCTTATATAATATTGTGTAACAGCATGTCTGGAGCTGGGACCAATGTTTGATCATCAATATGTATAGTATCACATCAATGAGTATAACAAACCCTTTGATGTCACATATCAGTGTCACATCTTGTTTTCCGAGTCTTACCACATCAAAATTGTTTAAAATTATTCATATCTGATCTTAGATATTGACTTGTATCCGTTGGGAAAAGTTACCATATATGGAAACAGCATCGATGACATCAGATTATGTTGATTCATCACCACACCTGTTGTATACATAAAAAAATATTCTAATTATAAGTCTCAGAATTATTGGGGAATTATCTGAGCAAATATCATAGCATAGGCCCAGACACTCTTCTCTTCATGTTAGAAGGCTCGACCAGATGGGTTGAGCCTTCTAATATGTGAGGATATCTGGGATTAACAGGTGTTTGTGGCATAGGTCATATCGAGTATTTATCGACCAAGCACAAAAGCCGGTGCTTGTGTTGAGCCTCGAACCAAGTCAGAGCGCTCAAGAACTTGAAAGGTGGAAAGATCGACCACCATAAACCCGCTCCGCAAATTAGTAGACACGTTCGGCGCTTGTTTCAGCGGCGGTTCATGGCAGTGGGAGACGGACTTGCGTCGCGAAGGAGTTGGATGAGCCACGCGGACGGTTGACCTGCGGAAAACAACACTCTCGTCTCAAGGGCAGACAACTCGTTGAATTTCTTGTAGAACTTGAAGGCGAAGAACGGATGATGACGTCAGCATTCAACGGGACTTCATCCTCAACATCGAAGTTAAGTACTCGTCTATAACTTTTTAATTCTCTCGAGGTCTCAGTAGGAGTTGAAAAACTGGTGATGAACTCAGCACCTTATTCTCAACAGCTCCCCACAGCTTGCAAGATGGCCATGCGGCTTCTGTTCACACACTACGACGCTTGCCTCTCCCATGCCCGCAGATAACATCCCTGAATACTCCAGCACCGAAGACCGCGCTGAAGAAGCAGGAGCAGCGAAACTCTGGTCTGTGTATGTCGATGAAGCAGAGCGCTACGACAAGTCGCTCGTTGCAAGCTGGAAGAGCGATATGGAGGGCATGTTGATATTTGTGCGTCCTTTTCCCATACATGCGCGCCGTGGGCTTAAACATCACCAGGCCGGGTTATTCTCCGCGAGTCTGACTGCGTTCCTCATAGAGAGCTACAAGACGCTGATGCAAGATCCTGGCGACGCGACAGTGCAGCTTCTACAGCAGATACTAGCGGTGTCCTCCGGCAATTCTACACTGACACCCCTCACTCCCGAGCGATTCAAACCGACGACGTCGTCCCTCGTGTGCAATGCGTTGTGGTTCATTAGTTTGGGATTGAGTCTTTCATGTGCTCTTGTTGCAACGTTGCTGGAACAATGGGCTCGCGATTTTTTGCATCGTGCAAACATGCGGTCGTCGCCTGTTATCCGGGCCAGAATTTATTCGTATCTGTACTATGGCTTGAGACGGTTCGTCTCAGGCCTCTTGTCGAACAAGGCTTACTCTTTTTTGCTAGGTTCAAAATGCACACGGTGGTGGAAGTTATACCATCCCTACTCCATGCTGCGCTACTCTTCTTCTTCTGCGGCTTGGCTGTCTTTCTTGTCCCCGTGAACAAAATCATCGCAGCCCTGGTCGCCGGCATCTTGTTCCTCGTTGTCTCCTTCTATGTGTTGCTTACGATTCTGCCTTTGATCCACTTCGATTCTCCATACCGGACGCCACTTTCAAACGCAATGTGGGGAACTCACCAGTTTTGTCTCCGGTTGTGGCACCGACTATCCAAGTCTGCATCAATCCACGGTGTCCCCACAACAATCATCGATAACATGATTGAACACGCTATCACGCCCTCAAATGATCGGCACAAACGTGATTCTTCCGCCCTTCTCTGGACTGTCGATGCTTTATCGGACAACGACGAGCTGCAGACATTTGTTGAGGCCATTCCAGAAGCAATATGGGGGCCATCCAAGCAGCACCGCCAGAACGTTTTGGCAATGACCGCCTTGCGTGACTCGACAGAGGTGAACTTGATCTTCAAGATTGTTCAGCTCCGGTGTAGCTGCAATGATGGCTTGTTGTCCAATGATGCAGCTAAACGACGCAAAAACTGTGTGTATAAAGGCCCTATGGGCACTGTATACTATACCCACTCTATCGCCTCAGTTCTTGACTGCACCAGATCTGCTTGCTCAAGTTCTAAACCCTGTTCCGCAGACTGTCAATATGTCTCACACTTCACATGGATCACTTGACATCTCCCTGCGGGCAGTGGCAACTTGGAGTGGCCTTGTGTGGCTGCGGAAGTACCTCTTGGATTTGAGCACAGGGCCTGCGGCCAGTCGAAATTTTAGGCCAGTCTACAACTATGTGGGACAACTCCATTTGTCTCCAGTACTTATGAACGAACTTTATCGGAGCCTTGATGATCCGACAAACACCCAACAGCAATTTGTTGCTGCTTCCCAGGAACTCTGTGATGTGGTTACCCGTCATATTCATCTTGACTATGTCAAGAGCACGGCAGTGACAAAGTTAGCCCCATATCAGTGGTCAATCACACAGCAGATTATTCGGCCTAAAGAGTGGTACTTACAATGGGCGCCCCCAAACCCAAATGATCCCCGATGTTGGCTTCGTATAAAGGATCCTAGTATATCTGATGATAAAATCCTCAGAGAAGTTGAGGCTGCTATTAATAATGTTGGTCTCTTGTCTGCTCCTGGTCATATGTTCCACCGAGCCATGGCTGAGCTCTGTTCCATTTGGCGACCACAACAAGCAAGATGCATCCCCACAGGCCTCATCAACTATATGAAGCACTATGGCACTACCCCAGATACACTGCTTCCACTCACCTCTAAGGCCTTAGTCTCTGCTTCCAAGGACAACAAAGAAGTCTGGTTCTTTCACAATGGCATGTCATTCATTAACCGCTATCTCTGGCGCTGTTTCCCAGCAACTATCACATCTGATGAATGGACCGGGTTCACCCTTGAAGACAAGCTTGTGGCATTCTGGGTGGCTGCTGAAGCAACATTTAATCCAAGCAGAATACTGTTAGCCAAGGAGTTTAACGCAGTTGTCCAGGCTCTGGAGGCATGTCCAGCACCAGGTGCTGCAGAGGTCCTGCTTGCAGTTAAATGCATTGGCTTGTGTGTCCAAGGAAGCAGGTGGTATGGTGGGGGGCTATGGAATAATTGAGCCTGCATTGATCCTAGCCAGCCAGCCTGGCCATTGGCTTGAGGCTGTTGTTATCCTGATTGCTGATTTCCTTGAAGAATGCAGCATACCAACTGTGATTAAAGCACAACGGTTTATTGTAGCACTGCACCATGTCCTCAACCTCAATGTTCAACATCATGGTCCAGATACGAAATTGGCTGTGGACGGGGCCCAGCAAGCTCGCTTTGTTCGTGGGTTGCTGCGAGTGGTGCAGAGCTTTGAGCCAGCGATAGGACACATGGTTGTGCGGAAGGTGCTTGAGGGTGCTGTGTTTAACCCACCGGATGGCATGGAGGCGGTACCACTGGATCACAGAAGCTGCCGCCCAGGCTGATATGCAGCATGTCCAGTTGTTATTGGCGGAGGCCAGCTCTGTTGACTCTTCTAAAGATAAGGCTACCAATGAAGCTGTCTAACAGATAGCCTTCCAACTTATCTCTTCCACACCAAGTAAATATCTACCAGTTGAAAATACCCCAAAAGATTGTCTGTATGTGTGAGGCTGAGGTGCCTTTGGAGTGTCAAGATTCCAGTGGTTGAGTCCTTCCATTAAATTTTCCTCAAAAGTGTATGTATAGTGCCGACAGCCAAAATCACAACCAATTTGTGACAGCTGACTAAGCTGCTCAAAGCAAAATCCTCCGCTTTTTTAGTAGAGCTTATGTCATTGGTTGCATAGTGATTATATAAGCATGCTGATTCCAAAAGTAACAACTTTTCATTCTTTGAGTATTTTTTTTATAAAGTGTCTAACAGGATTCTTCCTATAGCCCAACTGAATGTTTCTGTTAGAGGGTTTGACTCCCCACTCATTTCTTCCCACAGAGGGAGCCCATCAGATCTATGTCCCAAACTGATGGTGACTAGGCCAGCTGCACCATACATATACTAAGCCATTGACACAAAAGGTTCTATTCTGGCTCTCAGCCCCCCTATTATTACAAGCAGCAGGGGCTGACTAATCCATGACTAATACTGTCCTATTTAGGTCAACTGTCCGTGTTACATGTTACATTGACTAAAAAAGTCCTTGCCAAAAATCGCAATAAATCAAAAGAAAATTTTTTGATCCCAAACTTTGAAAAAAAATGCTGGACACTTGATCGAAATGGGACAGTATCTCCACGGGGCATTTCTGTGCACATTACAACACCTATAGGAAAAGGTGCCCTATATCAGAATTGGGGGGGCAAGCTCCCCTATGAGATAATGCAGAGGTCGCACAATGGATTGGATTGTGCCGGTACGTCTGACTCATCCAAACGGTCAAGACTTCAATCTGACGTCTGACGTGTGTCCGACAGACGTGGATCATCATCCCAGGCACCGCATCCAGATATCGTCGGTCCTCCGCCTTTTCCTTCGACGACGACGACGATGCAGATACGGCGAGCGACAGCTGGGGACCGCGCGCTGCACTACGGGGGCGTGACAGTCACGCTGCTGAAGGACCTGGGGAACGCGAGCAACCAGCCGTACGTGCAGGCGGTGGCGGCGGTGGCTGCGCTGGTGATCGAGACGGCGCAGCGGGTGCGGAGCAACAAGGACGCGTGCCGCCGGATGACGGAGCGCGCGCACGAGCTGGTGGGCGCGGTGATCAATATCGTCGCGGATGCGCAGGGGGCGCTGTCGGCGGAGATGGCGAGGAGCGTGGAGCAGTTTACGGAGTGCGTTGCCTGTTTTGCTTGTGGGCGGAAGACTGACGGGAGTAAAGCACGCTGTATAAGCTGCTCAAGTTTTTGAGGTCGCAGGTGCGCGGCTCGCTGGTGCGGCGGATGCTCAGGGCGACGGAGGACGCGGAGCTCATCGCAGAGTGCACCGCCGGGCTCAAACACGCCCTCGACGTCTTCAGCGTGCAGAGCGGCATCATCGCCGCAAAGACAATGGCCGCAATCCAGGTGTGTGTCCTTCTTCTACATAACATCTACTAACACCCGAGAAGAAAGAGGGCCGCACTAGACACGAGGAGATCGTGTCCATCCTCAAGGAAAAGAAAGCCTCCCGGAAGAGCAAGCGATCAGTGCCCGCTGACGCCCCCCTCCCGCCCGGCGCGCTCCTCCCCGCGTCCCCCAAGATATTCCACGGGCGCGCCGCCGAGCTCGCCCAGCTCGTCGACACCCTCGTCGACCCCAAGGCCCCGCCCCCCATCACCATCCCCGCCCCGGCGCCCCGCTCGCCGTGGGGCACGTGGAGCCCGTCCACGCCGGGGTCCCCGGGGTCCTACCGCGCGCTCACCGCCTCGACGCTCGCCCGCCCGTCCACCCCGCCTCCAACACCTGCAACTCCTGCGACACCCCCGGCGCCGCCCGGCCCGGCGCGCGTCGCGATCTGCGGGCCGCCGGGGATCGGGAAGACCGCGCTCGCGCTCGCGGCGGCGCACGACGCGCGCGTGGCGGCCATGTTCGGCGCGCGCCGCTTCTTCGTCGAGTGCGACGGCGCGGCGGACGCACAGGCGCTCGTGGCGTGTGTCGGGCAGGCGCTGGGGCTGGAGGAGGCGCGGCGGAGAAGGAAGTATATCCTAAAGTTTTTGGGCGGGGAGGGGGCTGGGAAGACTGGGATGGCGAGGAGCGGGACGACGGATTCGGGCGTGTCGGCCGACAGCGACGCGACGCTCGCGGACCCGGACCCGGACCCGGCGCCGGAGCCGGAGCGCGGGCCGGTGCTGCTGATCCTGGACGGCCTCGAGGGCGCGTGGAAGCCGCCCGCGGGGCGCGGCGCGGTGGAGGACCTGCTGGGGCTGCTCGTGGACGTGCCGCGGGTGACGCTGCTGGTCACGCTGCGCGGCCACGAGCGCCCGCGGCACCTCAAGTGGACGCGCCCCTTCCTGGCGCCGCTGAAGCCGCTCCCGCCCGCGGCCGCGCGCGCGGCGTTCCTCGACGTGTCGGACGTGCCCGAAGACGACGCGGACCTGCCGCGCGTGCTCGCGCAGGTCGCGCAGGGGAACGCGAGGCGGGTCGCGGTGCTGGCGGGGCTCGCGAGCTTCGAGGGGTGCGCGGCGCTGATGCGAAGGTGGGAGGCGGAGGGCGAGGGGATGCTGCTTGATAGAGTGCAGCCCACTGTGCTCGGCGGCGTGGTGTATGACGAGCCGGAGTCGTTTGGCGACGAGGAGGCGCTGTGGGCCGTGCTCGACCCGACGTCACGGGATGTGCCGTACGCCGTGCTCGGCCCGGATTCCGGGTCGGACGCGGACTCCGGCGCGTCGACGCCGGCGCTGTCCCGCTCGTCGTCATCGTCATCAACCTCGAACTCGTCGCTCGACTCGGCGTTCGCGTCCTCCGCGTCCACCGCCCCCGGGAGCATATTCTCCGCGATGTTCACCCCGTCGCGCTCGTCCTCGAAGGAGTCCGGGGGACGGTACCCGTCGATCGACTCGGTGCTCCGCCGGCTGCCGTCCCCGCCCTCCACCCCGCCGCGGCCGTGGCGGAAGGAGAGCGAGGCGACGCCCGCGGCGCTTGCCCGGCTCGGCGCGCCCGCGCTCGCCCCGCCGACGCCGGCCCCCGCGAGCATGATCAGGCTGGCGGGGCTCGTGCCGCCCACCCGGCCGGTGGTGTGAGCCGCGAATAACTTGAACTCCCAATACAAACAAAAAAATTGAAGTCCTTATGCATAAAATCGGGTCAGTCTATTTATTTTATTGTGCACTGTACGTTTTTACCATCATATGCCTATGCGACCACCTACCTACCTACCTACGTATCTCCAGCTATGTCGTCCGCGCGGCGCCGAAAAATCTATGCGACTTGATTTTTTTTATGAAGAAGCTAGGTATTTAAGTATTGGCAATTTTTGACTGGGATTCGGTAGTGCGTATGGCGCGCTTCATTTATCAAGTGTGTCGCTCGTGGCAGCTCTTACAGCTTTTTCCGAAAACCTTGAGACTAACAAGTTTTTTTCTTGTGAAATGTCTTGCTCGGAGATATTTTTGATGGCTGATAGCGCGCACCTTATTTGGGTTGTTGACTGCGGCTAATGGCCAAGGCAAGCCAATGACCGAGTGTTTCTATTCCCCTTCTGCCACAGGGAGCAGTGGTTTATACTGCACAAATGTTGTTTCATACACTGCTGCATGACGACGCAAACTGTGCTGACTGAAGCCAACGCATTGGCAGTAGGACTGCCAGTGGCCTGACGGCACCGTCCATAGCCGCGGTCGAAAGGCCAAAAAAGGTGTGTCTTATCATTTCATCAAAGGTAAATCCGAATAAAACCGGCGCGAAAGAAAAACAACAAGTCTCAAGGTTTTCGGAAACAGCTCTTAATTGCCTTCGATGGTATCGGAGTTGGCGCCGGCGAGTGAGGATGAGGTGGCGCAGAGCGATTCGGACTCGGTAGGGGAAGATGACTAGTGTCGTGCTGGTGGCTAGGTCTTGGTTTCCGACTCTGTACTTACTTCATCTTTAATGAGCGGTCTATTTCTCTCCGTGTTTTACTAGGTTTCTTGGGCTTGGGTTCTGATGATACTCTCAGACTGTTGACTTACCGTGACTTGATGGGCCGACGCACTCGTAGGAGGGAGGGTGCAGTTCCCCCCCCCACTCAGTGGATGAGCTGCCCGGCACTCAGTTTTGAGGCCGTATGGGCTTTATTATTATTATTATTATTATTACACAGCTTGGCAAAGGACCAAAGTGCTGGACAGGTGAGCCAGTTGAGGTTACAGCAGTCATTGGCTCTGGTGTATATGCTGCCAGTGGACGCCTTTTTGATAACCTAATTGTGAGGGCCGGCCGCCACTAATAACGACTGCACATGCTGCATATCGGCCTGGGCGATAGCTTCGGTGATCCAGTGGAACCGCTCCATGCCCTTCGGCGGGTCAAACACAGCGCCCTCGAGCACCTTCCGCACGACCATGTGTCCCGCTGCCGGCTCAAAGCTCTGTGCGACCCGCAGCAACCCGCGAGCGAACCGAGCCTGTTGGACCTCATCCACGGCTTGAGGAAACTCCCAATCATGATATCCGAGTTGAGAATTGATGTTGAGGACACTGCGTAGCGCCACAACCAAACGCTCCGCCTCGACGGTGTCCGCTATACTGCATCCCTCGAGGAAATCGGCGATCATGGAGACGACAGCTCCGAGCTTCTGGCGACGATTGGACCAGAACATTGCGTAATCATTTATTTGGATCGACAAGCGGACGCTTTTGACGACGAGTAAGACCACCAGGCGTACCTGGGGATATGATGAATCAGTAGACACTTGCCAGTGAAATGCCACTATGCATCAAGAACACTCACCTTAGAGTGGGCTTGATGCATCAACCAGTTCTCTAGCGACTGCCCATCAATAATGATTGAAGAGTTGCTTACTCCGCAGCCCCCGCTGTCATTTACATCAGCAGGCTGACCTGACTCGGCGATCAAATGATCAGCGGAGTGATCCTTTGCTTGCAGGCCGCCCCCGGGCCCGGGGGCCCTGTTGCTGGCCCACTGCTCTCTTGCACTGCTTTCACTTGGGCTAGAGGTATGTGTCAATTGACATTGCTATCTGGCTGTGCTGTTCCCTCCAGCCTCTTGCCTTGTATGTCACATCAGCCAGGCCTGCTAGGGCTGCAGGCCTTTGTGCATGCTGCCATTGCCCTACTCTTTGCCTCTGCTCTTTCCAAGCAGCCACACAGACTATAGATATGCACCTGCTGCATGTGGATTTGTCTCCCAGTCACCATAATCAGCATTAATGAAGCATTTGATCTAGGCCATCAAATGGGAAATTTATCCACTGGCTGGCCTACAGAATGAAATGGGACAAAATGAAAACATAGAGAGTCTTGTATTTTGATTACAAACTGTCCAATGTCCTTATATTGATTGTTGGTTCAGTTTGACTGATCAGACCACCATTAGATTTGGATATTTTGGCTGTTATTCTCCTCTCCAGGTGCAGATCAGGCTGGGAATAGACAGAGTAGCTTCAGGCAAGTGTGAAACTTATATTAAAGTTGCAAAATACTGGAGAATTCATTGAGATACACATTTTGTGAATGACAAAACATGACAATGCCAGTGTGTACTATGGACAGTATATACTCATTGACACCAACCCATATTTATCATATTGTGTAGAACATAAATGGCTTGTTGGTGAAGAATAAAGTGTTTATTAACCCACTATAGACCCTGTGTACAAAACAAGAGCTCACAAAGCCTAGGTATGGGCAGGACACACATTCTGATCGGGGCTTGATAGGCGGCACAGAGATTGTGCATAGGTCGCCCGCCTCTGCTCAGCTCCGCGCGAGATTTGGTGGGTCCGAGGATGAGCATCCTCCCCCCACCCAGACCAATTTCCAAGCCGAGAGCTCGAGGAATGCGCACGCCGGCGGCGCGCCGGTCAGGGCAATCGCAGTGGTCAAATCCGAGCCTATAGTGCTGCATGGCATCCAATAATTGGTTATCGGACACCATGCAGCACTGGATGGTGCCCTAGGATGGCAGATCCACCGTTCTAGGCCCGGGAGCGACGCAGCAGGCTGCCAGCAGCGCCGCAGCTGGCCGCTGATCCCAAACGGTCTGCCCCCAAATAGGCGCGCCGCGCGCAAGCACGCAGATGCTGGCGCTCGGCAACACGTCGCGGAAGTCGTCGAAAGTCACGAGTGCGAGCGGCCGCGCGTCGCAGGCCCCACTGCGACCGCCCCGCCCCGCCCCGCCCATGAGTTGTCTGCCGCCGCCAATAGGGTGCTGTGAGTAACTGTGGTTTCGAAACGGTTTTGAAACCGGTTTCGAAACACGTGTTAGTTTTGAATGCCGTGGCCGGCCGACCCGGTTTCGAAACCGACACGTGATTCTCCGGCAAGCCCGGGCCCGGCTGTCAGGGCTTGATGCCTCCCAATATCACCTGCACTTACTGGCGGAAGGCCGGGCAGATGGGTGTTCACGGCAGTGGGGCTCCACTGCTGCTCCAGTTGGGCTTGGCGCATAGTGTGCCTCGGGATTGTGATACCCGGCGCTGTCCCGAGCCGCCGACTGTCAGCGGACCCCCCCGGCCGGCCGGTTTCGAAACTGTTTCGAAACGGGGGGTGTTTCGAAACCGGTTTCGAAACCGGTGTGAGTAATGTTTTTTGCATTACTCACAGCACCCTAGCCGCCAAGGAGCCTCCCGGCCCCACCAGTCCACCCAAGGATGCCGTAGGATGCGTAGAGCATGACCGCATGCATGGAAGCTGCCGAGCATGTTGATATCGGGCACAGCCTGAGGCATGCATGCCTGATTTCGGGGGCGGAATGGGAGCCCGGCGGCCCCGGCCCTGGAGCCGGAGCCGCCGTGCACGCGGCCCCTGCCCGAGCTTCGTCGCGCACAACGTGCAGTCACTCGTGTTTGCACTCCAGAGAAGGCGCTGGCGCGGTGGTGCAGCGCTTTATGCGGCCGTGCGGCGACGCCGCGAAGGCGTACCCCGCCAAGATCGCGGTCGAGCCAAAAGCAGCAGAAGGGCGGCAACTAGGCTGAGACGTTAGCAAAGGAAAGGGAGTGGGAGCACTTACACAACGGAGGAGTGTGGGGCCGCGAGGGCGTGCACGTGTGGCGTAGCTGCTCGAGCGGAGGTGTGGTCGGGGACCGGCTCCGGAGCTTCTCGGGGTGTGTCTGACATGGTGAGAAGGCCGATGATGATATGATCACATACCTCGGCTGGGCGCAAGCTAAGCGAGAGAGCAAGTTGATGAATAAATGGCTTCTCTAACCAGTGCTCTTGATGCATAGTGGTATGTCAGTCCCAAGTGATGATGATGCATCGTAACCCCAGGTTGGGTACAGACCACCGCGGCGCTCGGTGCCGGGCACACCGTCAGAGCCTGGACAACCGCATCGAACTCGTTGGTTGATGGTGTCGTGATGGGTTCTCCAAATGGAGTGGTTGTTGTTGTTGCCTCGGCGACCACCCAGAACGCCGCAAGCGTGTCCTCGAGGGCGGCGGATTCATCAAACGTAACATTAATGGTCGCTGGGAAACAGCGCCAGAAATACTGGGAGACCGCAGTGCGGCGAAGAAGCAAGTATACTGGGCCGTACCCCAATGCAGAGCCATTGTGCGGAAGCAGTGTGTCTGGCTCAATGCCATGGTGCTTGATATAGCTGATGAGGCCAGCGGGGATGCGTCTCGCTTGTTGTGGTCGCCAAAGATAACAGAGCTCAATTATCGCGTCGTGAGACAGAGGACCAGGAGAAGACTGGAGACAAACAAAATCCATCGCAGCCTCGACTTCCTCGAGGAGCTTGTCGTCGGTTACGTCAGGAATCGCTGCCAGTGTTTGTGCAGTAGGCTGCAATATAATATTATTCAAGTTCCGTGTCGACTGCAGCTCTGCAGGCCGGATAATCCTTAGCGTGTCTACCCAGCGATATGAGGGCGACTCCGCCACCGCGATGGTCTGGATGTAGTTGAGTAGAATATGATAAGAAATTGAATTGTAAAGTTCTTGAGAAGCGGCAACAAGTTGTTGGGTATTCGTCAAAACTTGGAGGTTTTCGGCATGTCAGGTTATCTCTGCCTTCGAAGACAGATGGAATCGGCTCAAATAGTGTAAAACCGGCGTAAAGTCACGACTAGAGCCAGCCCATACACTGGGATCCAAGTACTGGTCAAGGTACTGTCGCAACCACGCGAGGCCGCTCCAACCTGCCACTGCCCACATGGAGACGTAAATCGACGAATCCGAACTTGAAGTGGTAAACCGACCAGTGCGCCATGGAAAGTGCAGCAAGATGGGAGGAAGTGTATATGGATTCGAGAACTTGAACTGAGTGGGAATGGTATACAGAGCCCAGAATGCCCTCAGGCACACGGCTCCGCGTCGCTCAGCCGCTTCATTGGACAGCAAGCCATCATCACAGCTACGCCAGAGCTCACCAATCCTGAATACTAAGTTGACCTCTACCGAGTCACGTAAGGCAGTCATTGCCGCGACATTTCGATGGTGTTGCTTATATGGCCCCCACATAGCATCCGGAATGGCCTCGACAAATTTCTGCAGTTCATTGTGGTCTGATAAAGAGTCAACAGTCCAGAAAAGGGCAGAAACATCGCGTTTGTGCCGATCGTCTGATGGAGTAATAGCTTCTTCAATCATGTTGTCGACAAGTGTTGTTTGAGCAATGTGGATTGACACCGGGTTGGATGCCCGGTGCAACAACTGGGAACAAAACTGGTACATTCTCCAGACTGCATTTGAAAGTGGTGTCCGATATGGAGAATCGGAGCAGATCAACGGCATAATGGTGAGCAACACATAGAAGGAGACAACGAGGAGTAGAATGCCAGCAACAAGGGCTGCAATGATTTTGTTCACAGGGACAAGAAAGACAACCAAGCCACAAAAGAAGAATAGCAGCGCAGCATGGAGTAGCGACGGTATAATTTCCACCACCGCGTGCATTTTGAACCTGGAAAAAGAGTGAGAATTGGTAGATGACAGTGCCTAGACGAACCGTCTCAAGCCATAGTACAGATACGAGTAAATTCTCGCCCGCTGTCCAGGTGATGATCGCATGTTGGCACGATGCAGAAAATCGCGAGCCCACTGCTCCAGCAACGTGGCAATGAGCGCACAAGAAAGACTCAATCCCAGACTGATGAACCACAACGCGTTGCAGACAAGAGACGAGGTGGTCGGTTTGAATGGCTCGGAAGTGTGGGGTGCAAGCGTAGAATTGCTGGAGGACACTGCTAGTATCTGCTGTAAAAGTTGAACAGTCGCATCCCCGGGATCTTGGACTAGCGTCTTGTAACTCTCTATGAGGAACGCGGTTAGACTCGCAGAGAATAGCCCGGCCTGGTAATGTTCTAACCCACGGCGCGCATCTCATAGAAAAAGGACGCACGAATATTAACATGCCGTCCATATCACTCTTCCAACTCGCGACAAGCGATTTGTCGTAGCGCTCTGCTTCATCGACATACACAGACCAGAGCTTCGCTGCTCCTGCCTCTTCGGCGCGGTCTTCGGCGCTGTCGTCTGGATCTCCTGGCATAACAGAGGCAAGAGTCGTCTTGTGTGACCAGAAGCCGCATTGCCACGTTCCAGGCGATGAAGAGCTGTTGAAGATGCAGTCCCATTACATAACTGCTGATGTCATCCGAGTCATTGACATCCGTTCTTCATCGAGAAATTCCAAGAGTTGTATGCCCTTTAGACGAGCGTTGTTTTCCGCAGGTCAACCGTCCGCGTGGCTCATCCAACTCTCCCTCTGCCATGAACCGCCGCTGAAACAAGCGCCGAACGTGTCTATTTGCGGAGCGGGTTTATGGCGGGCAAAGCTGCACTACTGTGTCTTTCGTCTTTCCATCTTTCTTGTCAATGGGTGGTCTAACTTGGGGTCAGCAGCGCCGGCATCTCAGGCTCAAATTGGTAAAGGGGATCTATGAACCGACGCGCTGCTCAGTCGCGGCCGCGCGCAAAGGGATGCGAGTGTGTCCTTGTCCTTGTCGCTTTCACAGACTCAATGTCGAGGCGGTCGTCAACTGCCAACGAGAAAAAGGGTCCTATTTTGTGAGTCACCTGCCTAAAGCTCTTCCTTCGCACAAATCGACCGTCTTCTCGCTCGTTTCCGGCCATACTACTATCGGCCACCAGGAATATCGTCTTCACAATCAACATCTTGTTCAAGTTCCAGCACAAGCGCCGTGTCCGAAATCCGAACGCCAGTGACCGTCCGCGAGTCAGGCGCCACATGCCCGCTCAGAACCTCCTCCCCCGCTCGTTCCGACAACATGTCCTCCGCGCGAAATTATCGTTGTTGCAAAAACTCGGCGGTCCAGGGCGAATTCGCACACCAAGCTGGGTCGTGATGGCGTTTCGCAAACTCCTGCAAGCTCGTTTCCGCGGCATCTCGACTGTCGTGGCTTGTCGATATGCCTCTGTCTCCTCAAGTCCAAATATTATTCACCGTCTCTAGCTCCACCTTCGCAAACCTGATTTCACCGCTGCAACTTCGACCAGTACTTATCGTCTTAGCAGTCAACGTCTAGAACGAAATAAACCACCGTTTACTATTTAGTGTTGAGTGAGGTTGAGAAAGGAAGTCGAATATAATCACCCAAGTGTGGTAGTTAAGTAGGTTATGCTCCGAAAGAAAGAACATCGCGTCGGCCTGTGTGCGGACGAACAACAAGCGGCGCGCGTCACATGACATCTCGCGGATTTCGTTCTGCCCACAAGGAGTCAAGCAAGATTCTCATAGCCATGGAATAGTGGATACATGGGGTGGGGATACAAATGCATAGGTGTGTGTAGTCTCCCGCAGTCAGACTGTGAATTTGGTCTGTGAGGGGGTGAGTGTGACGACCAAAATAAGGTGTGTGGAGGTGTGTGGTCGTCGTCATCTTCTCTCTTAATTCATCTCACAGCAGCTCGCCCGTTGTAGGGTCCACCACCAGCGTCTTCCCCTTCCCCCTCTCACTCCCCTCCGCCGTTTTCCTCACCGTCTCCGGGCTCACGAACGCCGAGCGTAGCCCGATCCCCAGGCCCTGCCCCGGCTGCAGCTCCTCCTCCTCTGGCTGGACGAGGAGCGTGCCCGTGCGCGTGAGGCGCATCCCCCTTGCCACGTGCATGTCACGCGCCCACTCCGCCGTCCTTAGCTCCCGCTCCGTCGGCTGCGCGTGCACGTGCGCGGACGGGTGCGCGGGCACGTGCTTGCGCGGCGTCGCGAAGACCTCGGGCGGGTAGTGTAGCGTGCCCGCGGGCGTCGTCAGCGCGCGCTGGTTCGTCGCGGGCGGCACGTACGGCACGCCGAACGCACGTGCGATGATCGCGGCGGGGCGCTCGTCGTCGGGGTCGGGGTCGTCGGGCTCCTCGGTCACGGCTGAGAGGCGGTGCTGCTGGTGGCGGTCTGGCTGGGATGCGGACACGGACACGAAGGAAGAGGAGGGCGTCAGCGTGGACAGGCTCGAGCCGAATGGGGACGGATCCCGCGCGAGGGGTGTTGTGGGATTGGCAGTTTGCGCGTTGGCAGCGGCGGCGGCGGCGGCGGCGGCAGCGGCAGCAGCAGCAGCAGCAGCTTCAGCGAGGTGTCTCTGTCGTCGCGTCTGCATTGTCATATCGTATGTGTCGGTGGTGGTGTTGGTGTGGCACAAAGGTGGGTTTGTCTCCTCAACAGACAACAAGGCCGTATTTATACTCCCGCGCTTAGGAGGAGGGGATGGGGTGGCGATCAAATGCCTCCGCGGGCCCTTTTATCCCAAGCCCACCGAGTCACACTGTGTGTGGGGGCACCACGACACGACACAGCACAAAGCGCGGCACATGTGATCGCGTTTCGTGACTTGCCTCATGCGGCGCACAATGGACAATGGGACAGTGGCAGCACCCGCGTTTGACGCGCCGCTTCCATTCTTCATCAACGACAACGAGCAACGGGCGGGCACACGCCAATTGTCTTCTTTTGTATAGTACAGTCACCGTCGTGGACCCCAGTCTCTCTTCCGACCCGGACTCACTGCCTTCGTGATTCAAAATATTCAGCTTTGTAGCGAACTCATAGTTTTAAAATTATTATTTTTGCTGTCCAAAAACTTGGAATTTTTCGGCCCAAAAAAAACCCTTGCTGGGGTGAAAGCATTTTCAGGACTAAACTATTTGATGCTTTTTGATAAGTCTCTGGGCCAAGAAAAGCTTTACATACTCCCAGTAATAGAGATTACTTATCAGCACTTGGTCTTGCAAAATATTTTTCAAACAAAAGCCCTGGCATCCTCAAAAATTATTTCTAAAATTCAGAGACCAGTTCAAAAATCTCTGAGGGCCATCTTTTTATGCAGCTGCTGATAATAGTCAGTTTGCGATGAGCCACCGGAGGCCACCTGGTGGCTGAAATCATGTGCGAACCCGGGTGGCTCTGGTGGCTCCACATAACAAGTGTCATTTCAAGATGTTTATGGCTGAAATGAAGCTGACATCACAGCACTCCACTCGAGCCACCAGGAGCAACCTATATTTGGGGCAGAAAGGGAAAACCTGTGAATTTCACAGAAAATTGACCGGATGACGTCCAATGGAGCCACTATGCGTCACACACGATGTTAGCTACCAGGTGGTCTCTGGTGGCTCATCACAAACTGTCTAATCTCTAATGTTTGGCACATTTTTAAATTATAACTGTGGTCAGTGCTTGTAGGACCATTGTAGCTAGCCTAAGTCTGTGGAACACCCTCAATGTATATGTACCTCTACTCTTTCTCCACAGACTGACTTTCCAGGGAAGAATTAACTTGGACTGAAAAATCAAATTTGACTAGTAGTAAACAAGCGAGTATATAGACTCAGATGTACTCTGACTAGGTTTAACATTCTGATATCAACTGATGGATCTATATTTTGTAATAGATGGAATGAAAGAGAAATGAAATGTCAAAGCTGATTGTATGTAGCCTACAGGGTCTTGCATAATGGAATGCAGTTTAATTTTTTATTTCTTGCAATTTTTGATTGAGTTGTGGCATGAGTGTGATTCCTATGTGCCATTAACTGGCACCCTTATGCCTGATTCAAGCCCAAAACAAGTGGTAGCTGTCACAGAAATCTAAAATTACAACCATACTTCATTATTCAAGAGTCTGTAATCCTTAGTAGAGTTGATAGGCTGAGGGCCAGCTGATATTAATAATGACTGTATGAACTGCATATCAGCCTGGGCGGCAGCTTCTGTGATCCAGTGGAACCGCTCTATGCCATCTGGCGGGTCAAACACAGTACTATCAAGCACCATCCGCACAATGTATTCTACTCCTAGTTCAAAGCCCTTTGTCACCCGCACTAACCCACGAGTAAAACGAGTTTGCTGGGCTTCGTCCACTGGGGCCAATTTCATACCTAAAACACCAAGTTTGAGGACTATGCGCAGTGCAGCCACAGCACGTTGCCCTTCAACCATGTCTGCTATACTGCATTCCTCAAGGAAATTGGTAATCACAGGTATAACCACACCAACTTGGACGGAACAAAATCTACTAGACCAGGGCAATATTGTGTGATCATGCCACAAGCGGATGCCTTTAACCACGAGCAGGACTACTGTAGTGTTTGGTGCTGGGCACATTGCCAGTGCCTGGATAACTGTGTCAAAGCTATCAGCTAATGGTGCTAAGTTTACTCCACACTCAATAGTTGCATTGGCGACCACCCACAGTGCTACAAGCACATCATCCAGAAGAGGTGACTGGACAGCAGCATTGGCAGACATGATAGTCACTGAAAAGCAGTGCCAGAGGTATTTGCAGAGTGCAGTCTGTTTAAGGAGTGGGTATATTTGGCTATTCCAGAAGGCAGAGCCAGTGGGTGGAACTAGTGTGTCTGGCTCAATGCCGTGGTACTTGATGTAGCTGATAAGGCCAGCAGGGATACATCTTGCTTGTTGTGGTTGCCAAAGAAAACAGAGCCGGACCATTGCTTCATGAAACAGAGGACCAGGAGCAGACAAGTTACAGGCGCGATTGATTTCAGCCTCAACTCTCCAAAGGATGCTCAAGTTGTCATAGGTTATATCATGATTTGTTGAAGGCTGCAGGGTTGGCTGATTTTGCAGTTCAGGCCAGATCATCTGCAGTGTCTCCGACCAGCGATATGGGGGAGACTCTGCAACTGCAAGTGTCTTGAGATATTCAAGTAAAATGGTATATAAAATTGAATCACAGAGTTTCTGGAAAGCAGTGGCAAATTGTCGTTGGGTGTTTGTTGAAACTTGGAGGTTCTGGGCAAGCTGCCGTATATCTGGGGAAAACGGATAGTATTCTTCCACATAAACTTTGACTAGTGCAAGATTTCGATGAGCACCAACCCACATACTGGAATCTAAGTGCTGGTCAAGGTACTTCCGCAGCCACATAAGGCCACTCCACCTTACCACTGCCTGTGAGGAGACATAATAAATTGACCCATTATAAGCAGCAGACCATTGATTATACCACGGGAGATGCAGTAGGATTGAAGGAAGCAGATCTGGTGTAGTCAAGAACTGAGATGGTGGAGTGGGTATGGTACACAGGGCCCAGAATGCCTTTAAACATGCGGCTCTGCGTCGCTCAGCCGCATCATTGGACAGCAAGCCATCATCACAGCTACGCCAGAGCTGACCAATCCTGAAGGCCACGTTCACCTCTGCTGAGTCGCGCAAGGCAGTCATTGCTGTAACATTTTGGCAGTGTGGCTCTGATGGCCCCCACATTGCATCCGGAATGGCCTCAACAAATGTCTGGAGCTCATCATTGTCTGATAAAGAGTCCACAGTCCAGAGAAGGGCGGAAACATCGCGTTTGTGCCGATCATCTGACAATGTAATAGCTTGTTCAATCATGTTGTCGACGAGTGTTGTTTCAGCAATGTGGATTGACACAGGGTTGGATGCCTGGTGCAACAACTGGGAACAAAACTGGTACATTCTCCAGACTGCATTTGAAAATGGCGTCCGATATGGAGAATCGGAGTGGATCAACGGCAGAATTGTGAGCAACACATAGAAGGAGACAACGAGGAACAAGATGCCGGCGACCAGGGCTGCGATGATTTTGTTCACGGGGACGAGAAAAGACAACCAAGCCGCAGAAGAAGAAGAGCAGCGCAGCATGAAGCAGGGATGGTATAATTTCCACCACTGCGTGCATTTTGAACCTGGCAAAAGAGTGAGAATTGGCGGGAAAAAAAGTGCTCTGACAAACCGTCTCAAGCCATAGTACAGGTACGAATAGATTCTCGCCCGTTGTCCGGGCGATGACCGCATGTTGGCACGGTGTAAAAAATCGCGAGCCCATTGCTCCAGCAACGTTGCAACAAGAGCACAAGAAAGACTCAATCCCAAACTGATGAACCACAAGGCATTGCAGACAAGAGACGAGGTGGTCGGTTTGAATGGTTCGGAAGTGTGGGGTGCAAGTGTAGAGTTGCTGGAGGACACCGCTAGTACCTGCTGTAAAAGTTGAACAGTCGCATCGCCAGGATCTTGGACCAGCGTCTTGTAACTCTCAATGAGGAACGCAGTCAGACTCGCAGAGAATAGCCCGGCCTGGTAGCATTATAACCTGCGGCGCATATGTCATGGGAAGAGAACGCACGAATATTAACATGCCCTCCATATCACTCTTCCAGCTTGCGACGAGTGATTTGTCGTAGCGCTCTGCTTCATCAGCATACACAGACCAGAGTTTTGCTGCTCCTGCCTCTTCGGCGCGGTCTCGGGCGCTGGGGTTTTCAGTGCTGTAATCTCCTGGCATGGCAGAGGCCAGAGTATTAGGGTGTGAATAGAAGCCGCATGTAGCTGTTGAGGCTGATGTCATCATCTCCAACTTTTCCACCTTTCTTGAGCCCTCTGACTTAGCTCGAAGCGCCTGTGTTTGTGGTTCGTCGATAATAATACCCCATATGACCTCTGTCTTTCGAAATTTGAACACTTTTATCCACAAGCTTGTAAACCGCCTCTCAAAACCTCCTTCCCGCTCGTTCCTACAACGCGCCCTCCTCACGCAACTCTCGTTGCCTTCAAAACTCGGTTCACGCCCAAACAAAGGGCACCTTCGCAGACCAAGCTGGTCCTGTATGGTTTTACATTGCGCTTCGCAACTCTTGCAAACTCTTTCGAGGCAGCGTCTCAACTCTCGTAGCCTGTCTATGGTTGCACGAACTTGAAAACCACCTCTCAAGAGCCCCTTCCCGCTCATTTCTAGCCATATGCTTTCCACCTTTGCATCCAAAACTTGATTCCAGAAGACACGGAGGCGCCAATCTACATACCTAGCTGGTCGTATAGCTGTCGATCACCTCCCGCATAAAGTCGAGTGCTGGGCGCCACCTTTGGAAATCGACCGTAACAACTTGAAGGCTGGGTCAAACTGTGCTGAAAGACACAGGCGAACCAGTTTCGTCGTTAATCGCGCACGGGCCCGGGGCCGTGGACTATCATCCCCGTAGCGCACACAGACTTCTAGCGCAGGAGCTTCGTCGGGTCCGAATGGTTAGAGAAACGAGCAGGGATACAAATGCATACCAGGCTTACTACATAGTAGTACCCGCGCCCTCATTAACAATGCCTGGGCTAGCACCTGCACAATACGGTATCTCACGAGCAATTTGAACAACATGCACAAATCCCGGCACAGACCAGCCTGGCATGTTTACCAGCATTCCGACATTCCACAGGAGTTGAATCTGCGTCGCCGGTGCTACTAGTGATACCTACCTTTCGTACCATCATTACAACCACTACCGGACTCGAGCGATACTTGTGCCATCCTATCGGCACCCCACACCCGCGCCAACATCTGCGTTGCGTTAGAGTCTATGTCAAGAATCCCGCCCTCCGCGTCGACCGTTCTCATCAGCAATGAAGCAACATCGATGTCCAGCACTTCCATTGCCGGCCCGGCCTCAATGAAACGTCATTGGAAAGCCTCAGTACTATGGGGAATGAGTTAAACCACCTCCTTATAGGCTGATCTTACAGTTTGATTGTAGTACAAATGCTATCTCTTACTTAGCATAGCTAATAAAGTAACCTCAGACCTAATCCTCAGTCGCACCAGGCTCCACTAATAATGAGTGGACATGACGCATATCGGCTTGGGCAGCAGCTTCCATCACCCAGTGAAATCGATCTACACCGTCCGATGGGTCAAACACAGTGCCCTCAAGCACCTTCCGCACGACCATGTGTCCTGCTGCTGGCTCAGAGCTCTGCGCCACCCGCAGCAATCCGCGGGCAAAACGAGTCTGCTGGGCCTCGTCCACGACCAAATTTAAAACTCGAGCGTCAAGATTGAGGACAATGCGCAGCGCGGCGATAGCACGTTGCGCTTCAACGATGTCGGCTATGTTGCATTCTTCAAGGAAATCGGCGATCACGGCAACGACAACTCCGAGGTTTCGGCGACGATCGGACCAGGACATTGTGTAATCATTTATTTGGATCCACAAGCGGACACTTTTAACAGCGAGCAGGACCGCCGTGGCGCTCGGCGCCGGGCACACCATCAGAGCCTGGACAACCGCATCGAACTCGTCGGTCGATGTTGCCGTGATGGATCTTCCAAATTCAGTGATTGCGTCGACGACCACCCAGAACGCCGCAAGTGTGTCCTCAAGGAATTCATCAGACGTGATGGTCGCTGGGAAACAGCGCCAGATATAGCGGGAGACTGCAGTCTGCTTGAGGAGCGAGCATATTTGGCTGTTCCAGAAGGCGGAGCCAGTGTGCGGAACCAGTGTGTCTGGCTCAATGCCATGGTGCTTGATGTAGCTGATGAGGCCAGCGGGGATACATCTCGCTTGTCGTGGTCGCCAAAGAAAACAGAGCTCAACCATCGCGTCGCGAGACAGAGGACCAGGAGAAGACCAGATACAAACAAAATCCATCGCAGCCTCGACTTCCTCGAGGAGCTTCAAGTTGTCGTCGGTTATGTCAGGAATCGCTGCAGTGGATTGCAATATAAGATTATTCCGTGTCGACTGCAGCTCTTCAGGCCAGATAATCCGTAGCGTGTCTACCCAACGATATGGGGGCGACTCCGCCACCGCGATCGTCCTGACATAGTCGAGTAGAATATGATAAGAAATTGAATTGTAAAGTTTCTGAGAAGCGGCGACAAGTTGTTGTTGGGTATTCGTCAAGACTTGGAGGCTTTGGGCATGTCGGTTTATCTCTGCCGAAGACAGATGGAATTGGCGCATATAGTGTAGAACCGGCGTAAAGTCACGACTGACGCCAGCCTGAGCCCATATACTGGGATCCAAGTACTGGTCAAGATACTGTCGCAACCACGCGAGGCCGCTCCAACCTGCCACTGCCCATATGGAGACGTAAATCGACGAATTCGAAGCGGTAAACCGAGCAGTGCGCCATGGAAAGTGCAGCAAGATGAGAGGAAGTATATGGGGATACGAGAAGTTGAACTGAGTGGGAATGGTATACAGTGCCCAGAATGCCCTCAGGCACGCGGCTCCGCGTCGCTCAGCCGCCTCATCTGACAACAGGCCATCATCGCAGCTACGCCAGAGCTCACTGATCCTGAATGCTAAGTTGACCTCTTCCGAGTCGCGTAAGGCGGTCATTGCCGCAACATTTCGATGATGTTGCTTGTATGGCCCCCACATGGCATCCGGAATGGCCTCGACAAATGTCTGCAGTTCATTGTTGTCTGATAAAGAGTCGACAGTCCATAGAAGGGCGGAAGAATCGCGTTTTTGGCGATTGTCCGACGGCATGATAGCTTGTTCAATCACATTGTCGATGATTGTTATGGGAATAGGGTGAATTGTCCTAAGCTTGGGTGGTTGGTGCCACAACCGGGAACAAAACTGGTACGTTCCCCAGACTGCATTTGAAAGTGGCGTCCGATATGGAGAGTCGAAGTGGATCAAAGGTAGAATGGTTAGGAACACATAGAAGAAGACGACAAGGAATAGGATACCAGCGACAAGGGCTGCGATGATTTTATTCACAGGAACAAGAAAGACAACCAAGCCGCAAAAGAAAAAGAGCAGCGCAGCATGAAGCAGGGACGGTATAATTTCCACCACTGCGTGCATTTTGAACCTGGCAAAAGAGTGAGAACTGGCGGAAAAAAGTGCTCCGACAAACCGTCTCAAGCCATAGTACAGGTACGAATAGATTCTCGCCCGTTGTCCGGGCGATGACCGCATGTTGGCACGGTGTAAAAAATCGCGAGCCCATTGCTCCAGCAACGTTGCAACTAGAGCACAAGAAAGACTCAATCCCAAACTGATGAACCACAACGCGTTACAGACGAGAGACGAGGTGGTCGGTTTGAATGGCTCGGGGGTGAGAGGAGTAAGCGTGGAATTGCTTGAAGAAACCACTAGTATCTGTTGCAGAAGCTCCACTGTCGCATCGCCAGGATCTTGGACCAAAGTCTTGTAACTTTCGATCAGGAAGGCGGTCAGACTAGCAGAGAACAGACCAGCCTTAGAATGTTCGGCCATGGTTAGGATATTAGAGGGGGAAGGACGCACGAATATTAACATTCCCTCCATATCACTCTTCCAGCTCGCGACGAGGGATTTGTCGTAGCGCTCAGCTTCATCGACATACACAGACCAGAGCTTTGCTGCTCCCGCTTCTTCGGCGGGGTTGGAGAAAGAGTGCTCTGTCGCTTCGGACATGGGGAGAAAGGCGCCAATCGCATGTCAGCCGCATCGATATCATGGAACTTGAAGGAATCTGGCTCTGAAGTGATTGTCATTGTCACACAGCATCGGGCCTCATGACTTTACAGCAACTCGTCCTTCAAATGCAGATAACAGAGCTCTCGTCAAACGGTCAAAGACTAAACTGTCCAATCAGCTAGACTTGAAGTATTTCACATTCGAACCCAAATCCCAGTTGCCGCCAGCACAAGCTACCACGTATTGACAAAGCCGGCTCGCGACGAGATAATAGCAACGACCTTTGCTCCCAACTCATCTCCTGCCCCCCCTCTAGCTGCAACAAGATCCATGTTGATGTTCCCGTCTTTCACGCCGAATAATGCCTCGATATTCGACGAACCTAGGGCCAGCGTCTCTGCTCTATCAAGCACACCATTCGACTCCAGTCCAGCCTACACATCCAATGGTATAAGCAGACAGGCAGATAATAGACAATAACAAACCCAAGCAACATCGAAGCGCGTATTCCGGACCGTGGCCGGCGTTGAGGCGATAACGCCTACCGTCACATTGTTTTTTACGAGCTTAGCAATGGCGCTGTCTGGTGTACGCGGTGGACCAGGGAGAATGCGCTTTTCCTCCCAAGAGCCCGGGAACGGTCTTTGCTGGATGAGAACCCCGACGCCTGCAGCACCGAGTTCTTCTGCGAGGAGATGGGCCTCGGTACCGCCAGAAATGACGAGACGGAGAGTGTGTCCAGACGACGCATCCACCTCGGATTTCAGTGTTAGTAAGCTGGCAATAATGTCTGCACTCTCAGCGTGCACGACGAGTGGAATGGTGCCCTAAGAGAAATTAAATGAAGGATTTGGGGCCAATATGGGAAAATACCGTGATAATATCCGAAGATTTGCTCCCTACGACACCCTTCCCTTCGCCTAAAAGAAGTCGTCGCAGAGCAGCGATCTGGGTGCTGACGCTGATCTTCGAATTCAAAGTGACCTCAACATGCAGGGCCGCCACTTCTTGGACGACGGCTCCGTCTGCAAGTTTATGTGGTGCTACCGTGCTGAAAATGGTGCTCAAGCCAGAGAGGAAACCACGAGAGGAGGGGGCAACGATAGCTGATGTAACGCCATTTCTGTAAGCCAAGTAGGCATCGCGCGAGGCGAAGAGCAGTCCGTCAACAGCCTTGATGACTGTTCCGTCAATAAGTGTGGGGATATTCGAGGAGAGCGGATCGAGGGCTGCCCCATCGCTGGTAGAGGGTTCGCCCGTGATATGCGAAAGGCCGAGTGGGCTACCAAACGAGACCAGGGCTGGACTAAATTCCTGTAAGAAAGAGGTACATTTTTCAGAAGAAAAAACTTGCGAGATAGACCCTCCTTCAAGATCAATTTGCCTTTCATCAGATTTGCGAAGCGTTTCAGAGCACTGTCCACTGCAAACAACACGACCGTTCTCGACCACGACCACGCCATTCCGCCTTTGAGTCGTGGCAGAATAGACTTCGGTCACAATTTTCGTTTTGGGGTCCTTGAGGAACAGACTGCTAACATTGGTGAAAACCACGATGTCTTTTAAGGACTCGACGGGCTCCAGCGGCGGGAGGCCCTCGTGCTTAAGCGTTTCTTTGGTCTCTTTGTCCCAATTGGGTGTGCTGGGGACACGCTGTGCCGAGCTGGGTTTGGTCGAGACAGAGGGTTTGTTGATTTGAGCGATACCATCAATGAAGACTTGTTTCGGTGCGGCACCCAAAGCGAGTGGATGGCTGTCCCAAATGACCACATCTGTAAGAGGAGTCAAGGAAAGTAGTTTTTGCATTGATCACAGCACTTGCCAGCGTCGAAACCCTCAATCAACCGCCCGATTCTGTGGTCTTGTCCCAATATCCTAGCAGGCGTGCCTTGAAGCTGTCACGACCGGTGTTATAAGGTAAAAGCGAGCACCTACTAGTCACCGAAGCAAGAGCCAGGTTAGCAGGTAAACCAAAATGATGTGCTTGTTGTGCTGTTACATACGTCAGCGACCAATTAGATATCTATAGGGCAGAATGTACCTTCAAAGACCAAATGACGCGAATTGAGGACAGGATGGTCGCTCTGGAATATAGCGTCAACTTTACAGTACAATAACACGGTAATACCTTTAAAACGACATCAATTCCGTTGTCAGCCAGAATACGTGCAGCATATTCAGATCCGCGATACGCCTCACGCTTGAAACGCGCTGAGGTCGCAAAGATGGCAATAGCAGGGGTGTTTCCTGAGCAGCTTTTAACGTTCACGAAAGTCGAAGATCAACAGAACAACCGTATGCCTGCTTGAGGAGATCGGGAACAAGGTATGCCTCGTCTCATAATGCGATTAGCTTTATGATATAGCGTGGAAGAAGACATACGAGCGTGATGGAAGGCTGCAATGGGGAATTTGAACTCATTGGTGAGCTTTCAAAGATGAGGAACAAGGAAAACTGATGATCTGAAGAAACATACTCGGACTTGATTTGACAAATCAACAGCCTGGCGCACGTCAGAACGGTTTGGATCTTAGAGGCACGATGCAAACCTCATAGCAATGGTTGTGGACCTTGACCCGCCCTCGAAGTACATCCACCAATGCTTCCCATTGCAGATTCTCCGGGAAGTTACCCAACCCTTTCCATTCACCTGACAATGCCTTCTCGCAGTAGGAGTCTTGCTCGACCTTGATCAGTCGTGCTGTTTCGTATGCGCTGCGGAAGGCCCAAGTTGTGTCCATACGTGTCCCAGAATAAACTCTACCTGTTCATGGAAGTAAGAATAGCAATAATATGAACAAGACGAGACAAGCACTTGGATTTTCGCCTGTTTTCCAAATGGCCACAGGTTAGGTCAACGACAAGTAGTGAACCGGGATCGTACCGCAAGCATGTCTGGTCGTTATTGTTGGTTAGTTTCTCAAATGAACATGTTGGAACGTACTTCATTTGCCGCCACCGAGGACGCTGGAACGGATCGACAACAGACCCATTGAGAGTAAATGGCGGTTCGAGGAGCTTTGAGCTCGAAGACCGCTCTGAGGTCGAGCGGAGTTTGATCACGAATGCTTGTCCACCTGCGAACGATGCAGTGAGAAATTTGCATGTTCCACAATGCCACAAGCTAGCACTCACCGATAGCGTCTGCCGAACCAGGCAATACGTTGGCCGTGGTGACTCCTCCGGAAATCGACAAGTCATACGCGTCGTCATGGGTATTTAGTCCGCTCAAACTCTGTAGCCAGGGCAAAACTGTAACTAGATGAGAACTATCGCCACCGTACAGGAAACAGGCTCACCGAGGCCTTTGAGAGAGTTAGTATCGGATGCTCCGTTCAATGCCGGCGAACTATCGACTCCAATATGGGAGTGGAGGTCGACAATGCTGCCAAAAAAAAAGTCAACGTCAAGTGTCTAGTAGCAGCCCGAGTATCACTCACCCAGGAGAAACCCACGCTCCGTCGGCATCAACGACGACCGTGTCCGCCTTCAAGCTGCCAACATCCACTGAACCCACTTTCTGGATGATACCCTTATCAAGCAGAATATCCCCAGAGACAACCTCCTTCCCGTTGTCCGAGCCCGTCCAAATCGTCGCGTTCTTGATCAACGTCGCCCACGTTCCCGCTTCAAACCTGTCTGACACTTGTCGCGAATAGAAGTCATCTGGAGGCCCGGGTGTCAATTGGAGAGCCCTGCATTGCGCAATGATGGTCTGGGCATTGATGGGAACGTTCTCAGAGCGCTTCGAGGACCATTGGAGGTAGTATGTGAGTGGGTAAAGCAGGACTGCTGCTTGAATGATGAGAGCCAGCTGGAAAACTCTGACGCGTCTTCGGGACTTTGGCCTCGGTATAGGCTCATGCTGCGTTGGCAGCGCCTTCTCCATGGGGGATGGTGGTTGGAGGTTGAGAGTTGTGGGTGGATTCACGCCATTTTCGTGCTATCTTTCACCGTTCATGCTGCCGCTGCCGCGGCCATCACTTTTATATCTCACACCTTATCCTCCACTTGCAGGACAGAAACAGGATTCGTTAATAAGTACACTGGTTGAAAACTAAACATTAAGCGAGCTAGCAAAGTGAGAGGAGAAGAAAACAACTGCGTTGTTCAGGTCTTACTACCATTGACGCTACTCCCCGCCAACCTGCCCGCAAGACCGTCAACCTCTTCGGCTGCAGCTCCTTCCTCTGCAATGCTTCCGGGTGGGGCTTGATTATCCCAAACACCTTGAATGAGGCTCATTGTGCTCTCCAAACTACGCCGACGAGTGCTCGGACTAGTCATCGTTGTCCCCAAACTGGCTTGTCGACCGTGACCACGACGGAAAGCACCCGGTGATGTCGGCGAGCTCGGACTTTGTGCAGCTCCTGGTAAGCCAGATGCTGCAGACGTATTGAGCGACAGTGGTCCACTTTTTCCATTCTGATTGAGTGCAGCTTCGATGTTGGCTGCAGTAATCGGAGAAGTCATCTCCTGATCATGCTCGGCTGGTGTTGAAGGCACAGAAGACGATCCAGATGATAATAGAGCCTTGCCCTCTTCCGACGAGGCATCAAAGAGATCTGGCGGTAGCCGCTCGTTCTCAATATCCGATTTGCGACTAGAAATTAGATATGTGAAAAAGCTGATTATTTGAAGGCGACGTACGCATCTTCGAAGCCGCTAATGGCCTCTTTGATACCTTCGGGTCCAGCCGCCAGCGTGCCATAGGGCAACTTGTTTGAGCCAGAGACACTCTTGAGTTCTGAAACTTTCTCCGATTCCTCTCTGCTCTTATCAGCCATCGTTTGTACAGCTTGCACGATCTATCATACCGCAATAGCGCAAACACGCGTGCCATCCGTCCCACAGCCATAATTTTGTTTTTGATGACCTGTCGGCGTTCCACCGACTCTTCTGAAGTCGCGGATGTCGGTGAAGTCATCGTCACATCTTCGTCTTCCTCCTCTAGTTCCTCTTTGGTGCATGTGTTAAGAACAGCCACAAGCATGTCAGTGACTAGATAGGGATGAGCGCTATAAACGATACGAAAAAGATGGACAAACTCTTCTCTCCGACGAAAGGTAAACTCCAAGTAAAGACATCCATGAAATTGGGGAGCCAATATGGATGAGGGGTGCAATTAAACTGCCGGATATTCATCACGTTGCTCTCGTATTTGAGGACAGCCGCTTTGTTGTTGTACACATCAAGGTAATTGGGAGCAGAAAAGATGGTCATGACCGATGGGAATCCAGTTGTTTTTGTTTTTCGATACATTCGATAGCTGAATGGGTCTACGATTAGTATAAAAAAACAGGGTGACCAAAACGCCACGAACCCAGCATCTTGCGCCTCATGCGCCCTGATAATTGAGAGAAGGTTATTTCGCTCCAGGAATTGGCAAGCGGCTTGATATCTGGGTGGTGTGATCAGGACAAGACAAGGTAAGGCAAATGAATCACAGACGTGAAGAAGTAAGAACAGCCACGAACGTGGTTATGTAAAAAGCTGTCTGTTGTCTTCTCCGTTCCGAAATCCTCAACAGGATCGGCCCACAGAATATCGCACATAAGACCCTGCGTCGGAGGTTCACGGAAACGATCGATCTGGCAAGGGTATCAAAATGGGGGGTTGAAATGGGACAAGACGTTTAGCGCACAGCTCGTATGTCATCGATGGTGTTGAGTTCGGGGGAAAGACCACCATGGATACACAGGAACTGCTTATTCATGATGGCAGCGAGAGGGAGAGTGCAGAAAGAATCCATGCATGCGTCATAAACACGCTCGGAGTACTTGTGCTTGCCTGCTCTTCTGTCAGAAAGGGAATTCAAGGCAAAAAAATGCCAAAACACACACATTCGAGTTTGAAGGTGAAATAATCCGTTAGATGCCGACACTCATGGTTTCCCCTCAACAAGAAGAGAGTGTCCGGGTACCAGATTTTGAGCGACCAAAGGTACAAAACGCACTGCAATTGTTCATCAGTGGGACGGCACACGACAAGGGCCGATCTCACCTCGATGCTGAAGTAACCCCGGTCAACATAGTCCCCAAGGAAAAGATATCGTGTATCTGCAGGACTCCCCCCGACTTCGAACAGTTTCATAAGGTCATACTGCCAAGTGCATTATTAGGTCAGAATTTTCGCCAAATAATCCACGCACATATTGCCCATGAATGTCGCCACAAACTGCGAGAGATCGTATGAGTTATCGATACTGGTCTTGGTCTAAGGCGTACCTGTTATAGGTGCATCGACATTGAGGACGTTAGGTTCCTGTCGAAGAATCTCCGTTCCCTTCGAAAGGATGTAGAGAGCCTGTTCTTCGCTGAGTCTCCCTTCCCGATAAAGATGGTTCTTCAAAAAGGCGATGTCCTAAAAGAAAGAGTCCATTGGCTTGTTTCTCATACCACGCCGCGAGTAACTGACCGGTTTTGAAGGGTCTGTTTGCGAGAAGAACTGGGAGGGGGTTGGAATACCAGCAGATGGAGCTTGAACCTGGAAAAAAGAGAGGGGTCAGCCTTGGACAAATGGGCAAGTGCTGTGGAGGCGAAGGTGGCGGGTCGGAGCGCTTCAAGAGAACTCATCGACCACACTCATAGTATCAAGAGGGGCTTCCAGTGGCGAGAAGCAAGAAATCTGGACTAACGTCTTTAATAACGCGCTCCTGCGTTGAGATGACTGTTCCATCCTCGAGAACGTGCTGGGTGAAGTCTTGTTCGACGATTGTAGGGCGGTTCTGTATTTGCTCGATAGCGTGGGCTATTTGGGTCGCATGGTTGACTGCCATGTTGGCACGAGCGCAATGGCTCGGAGGGGGCAGTGGTGGAAGAGAAGAAGGGCAGGTGTCGACCCAGTTTGGTCATCGGCGTAAGCTGTCATCGTGATATCACCGTTCCGCAAATCCGAGCATTCTCAATAATAGTTGCACAACTCTAGTTGTAGGGACGTTGTATCTATCCAGTTATGGCCGTTGGTGTCAAGTCGTACATACCGACTAGAAAAATGTCTCATTGTCTCCCGTTTGGCGCGTGCCCACGATCTCTCCACCCTTCTCTGCAATGAGGCTATAAGCTTGACCTTGGTGGGAGGGAGACCATAGAAATCTCCAGCGTAAGTATACTTATTAGTCAAACGATGTGGAATCTTGTTCTCGAGTTGCCCAAGTGCCAAGGGATGGTCAAGCCGGTAAGTGAGCCCCTTGATAACGGTGGAAAGTATAATAAGGAACACAGATTACAAGTCTTTCAACTCAACTCTTCTTCTTCTTCTTCTTCAGAATGCGTATTTATGGGGGTACCGACGATGTGATGACTTTGCGAATGGTCTATGCCAAGCACACACATTCCCTATCCCTATCCCGATGCATTATTGGCGCTTCGAATTCGGAATGCGGACTGTATTATAGATGTTGTCAACTTCCAGTCTGAGATCTGAGGCTCCGACTCTGAGACAGTTTGTGGTGGCTTGATATTGACATGGTCTTCAGTAGAGAAAGCAGATTATGACCTCGCTAGGTGAAATCAATGTGCAAAGCGTATAAGAGCCTCACTTTCGACACCCGAGCCGTTGGTACATGTTGAGGCACGTCCTCGGAAGTCACACATGTCACATACATGTGAGCGTGAACCTGCATTGACTCCCGTTTCTCTAAGCCCATCTGCCTTCGTTTCAGGACGCATAGTGGCATTGCCACAAGATGTAAGCATTGCCTAAGCATTGCCTATGATTGCCTCATAAGACTACACCACCAGACTCCAGTAGATACACAAATGTACAAGAAGTACCGGAAGTCGGAGTCCCGACTTTCCAATGAGGACGATTCAAAGAAGTATGAGGACCCTCGTGAACCTTGGGCTGTGGTTGACTTCCCAGTGGTATCCTATGGACAGAAGAAACCATCGAAGACCGCCAATACATGTGGAAATCGCCTTGTTGTTATGCCGCCATAGCCCGTATCAACAGGCTTTCCACGTTGGCGCTCGGGTTGCACGCGTTCACAATCTCTCTGATCAGCATGAACCTGGATTTATAAATACTCTGTCGAGGACCTTGGTAGTCGTCGCTTCGTTCCGCCATGATTTCCCGTTCACTCCTGGTTGCATCTCTGGTCACTCAAGCGCTCGGAATTGCGCCATACACCATCCAGCTTCAATCGCGTGTAGCTCCCAAAGACGCGACATTGCGCCGGAGGGCTCTCAATCCGGTGACCGTCCCTTTGGCGGACTTCTTCCTTGGCACCGACCTTCAATGGTTCGGCAATATCTCCGTTGGCACTCCTCCGCAAGATGTCAGCGTCGTATTCGACACGGGCAGCAGCACCCTCGAGTTTGCCTCCACCATGTGTGGTAGCGCTTGCGACAACCAAGTCAAGTTCGACTACCAGAAATCATCGACGTTCGTTGACAAGAAGACAACATCTTCAATTACTTTTGCCACTGGCGTTGGTGTCGACCCTGTTATCGGGTCCAACTACAAGTGCGTTTTATGCTCTTCCCTTTCAATATTCTTAAGCTTGCTGTAGACTAACGCTCCGCGCCGCAACGGATACTGTCACCGTCGGCAACCTCTCAGCCAAGAACGTTGCCCTCTTCCTCATTACCAACCAAACCCCCAAGTTCTCCATTAACCCGTACGCTAGCTATTCTTGCTCTCACACCCCGCCACTGACTCTTTTGTTCCACACAGATTCAGCGGTATCCAGGGCATGGGTGCACGAGCACAGGGAATTTTCGCTGCCCTCATTAGCCAGGGTCTTCCCTGTAAGTAATACTTACCCACGCACACTGTTACTGACCCTTTCAAAGCGATTTTCAGCTTATATGTCACTCCACAAGCTGTCGGCAATGCAGAATTGACCATCGGTGGTATCGACAGCACCAAATTCAACGGCTCATTAACCTACGCCCCAAACAACGACCGTGGATCCGATACTTGGTCCCTTCTCTCGCCCCAAATCTTCGTCAACGGCAAATCGACCTCGACACTAAAGCGCTCACGCGACGTTATCTTCGACTCGGGAACGTCTAACATTCTCTTTGACACAACCACCACCGAGGCCATATACTCCCTGATCTCACCGCAAATCAAGCCCCACACCTCCGAGAAGGGCACCTACGGCATCGCCTGCGACCTTATCCCGACACTACCGGCTGTCATCGATCTTGGTTTCAAGGATGTGAATGGGAAGGCATTCAACCTGACCATCCCCAGTAGCGAGCTCAGCGTTGGTCCATTTGCCGACGCACCCCAGACATGCCAGACTCTGATCAATGCTTTCGATGGCCTTGATCTTGTCGGAGGAAGCGTATTGAAGCACTACTACAGCGTCTGGGATGTCGGTGCGCAGAGAATGGGTTTTGCGGCAACTGGCATCTGAGAAACACTCTTTGTATATTTTATTCACACTTGGCATTAGAATCCACAAATTTGCATATTATTGACAAGACTAGTTAAGAGACCATCAAGTGTACATCTCAAGAAAAACGCGAGTAGACTAGCTCTATCTGCGCGTTATGCAAAGCAAAAATGTCAGGGCAAATACAAACAAACAGTTCCATCCAAGTGGTGTAGTGTCGTTAGCCAAGTGCACATCAAGAAAATGGGAGAGAAAAAGAAGACTTAGACCATGGACTGGCGTCACAGTCCTTTTTACAAGAAAACGATGCTGGGGTTGCTGGATATGTCGAGATAGTGAATAAGTTAATGCTGGAGACTGGTGCCGGCGCAACATGTGTCGGATGGTCGTTGTCCTTTGTTGGCGGACATCGAATGCGGGCTCTCATCGGATGGGTATCTCATGCTCATCAGCACCGAGGGCTGGAACACCACAATTTATTCTCAATACTAACACTCCATCCTCCATCGTCGCATCGATGTCTTCGGGCTGCGCGGGAGGGAGGCAAAAGACGTCGGCATTCATCACATCGGAAACGGGAAGGGTTGAGAGGTAAGGGTTGATGAATGGAACACATACCCGTGTGTCTTCTGGAACGGGAAATGCTCTTGAAAATTTCCCATATTTGCGTTCACGAAGCGCGGCGGTATTGGCACGATGTATAGGCGGTGGAAAGCACGCTCGCGAGCTACCGTGGACGGTGACTTGTCGAAGTCGATTGAAGAGCGTTGTCCCAATGGTGATGCGTATGTCCTGTCGTTTGATCCCAGGTACTTCCAGCATTGCAGTAAGAATCTGAGTGTTCGAGTCGTAGTGGGTATCCGTTCGGATTAGATAACGACGCTCTTCAGTTGTGGGTTGAAAAAGTGCCGGAGAAGTGGGCGTGCTATGCAAAGCGAGATCGCTGTAGCTGGTTGAGAGTACAACGGATGCTTAAGCAGAGGACGAACCTCGGTGGCGATGCATCAGTCGGATATCGTTGCCTTCCAGGCGCCGATTGGGTTGGAAACTGAGTTTCATTTTCCTTCGAATCACTCAGAGGACGCTGATAAGGATGATAGCCATGTCGCGCCCGCGAAGCAGGTCGTGCTGTTGCTCGAGTGATGGGGGTGTTCAGCATAACTGGTTGTATCTCGACTGGTGGTGGTCGAGTGCTGGTGGAAAATAGTCGAACGGGAGTCATGTCATGGGTCCCTCGTGCTTGCACTTGTGTCGGTACAAGGTGCTGAGGCTCCGCTGGTAAGCCGACAAGGTGAAGTTGTGTGGGGGTGACGACTTGTGAGTCGAAGTCAGTTGCCGGCGGACGTTGGTGTTGATCCCACGACAAGCTTTCGCCTGTTGTTGCCGGAGTAGGTGGTGCGGAATGGTGGGCATAATCATCAGTATATTGGCCGAGGTAAGATGACGAAGACATGGTTAGAAGCAAGTCGCGAGACAGGATCAGAGTCATTTTATACGTGTGACGGGAATCAGTCACAACAATGTGCGCCATCAAACACGAGGCGCATCGGCGCGCCATGATGCCGCGCAGAAAAGCAAGTACTTTCAAATTGTCTGAGTTTTAGTATACAGCAGATTATAATGATACAGTAGGAACGAAAATGTGCAAGAAAGCCCATTGGGATTATTCAGGAAGTTCCATGTCCCCCATGGTCGGTGAATCTGGCGCCTCAGTCGTTGCAGGCAGTGTGCGTTCGATATGACTCCTTGGCACAAGCTGACCTGTCTCGGCCACCCTTCCACCACGCTCCATACTTCCTCTTCGACTGTGACTCGATCCACGCAAACTGCCAGACTCAACAACTCGTGCACCCCGTCGCATAGAATTGCGCCGGCTTTGCGGCTCAACGGGAGACAATGACGGGTCGCGGTCTCGAAGGGGCAGATACGAGACAGTGGGAGATCCAAAAGAAGACGATAGCGAAGGCGGAGGAACTGATGGATAAGAAAGGCCACGCGAAGGAGTTGCGAACGTAATCGTGTTAGGATTGAACGATGCTGGTGGTGAGGTCATGTTGCTGTTAACGCTCACATAGCTCGTGCTGGTTGGATGCGGGGATGTCACTGGAGAGAAGGGAAATGGGGAGTCTGATGAGGAGGAAGGCGAATGGGAAAGTGGCGTGTTTGCTTCGGAGACGTTGTTGTTGTTTGTTCTAGCACGCACTATAGGACGCGGGATGGGCACCCCATTTGTTGGAGGGGCAGGAGGACGTGATCCATTTAGCCTACCCGAGGGAAAATGTAGCACGGAATTGGTCGGAGATGAAGTACTTGACGAGAAAGCCGACTGAGGCCTTTGATGAAGATGTGTTGGCTGTGAATACGGATCTGCTGAGGCTAGGCCAATAAGATGGTCTAAAGGTAGTCCCAGCTGATTTGAATGAGTTAGGACTAGTCAAGGAGATAGGAAAGGACGCACGCGATTACGATGCTCTACCAACTCTTCACGATAAACCTCGTTCAATCTCGAAATCCGGACAAAGTCCCTCTCAGTATCGGCCAACCTCGAACGCAAGGCTTCGTTTTCTCGTTGCAAGGTTTGGAGCATGATTTCGAGTGATGGGTCAGCCGATACAGCGGCGGTTTGAGGTGATGTGCCAGCCGACTGAAGCTGAGCAAGTCGCAATGCCGCCAACTCTCTGGAAAGTCTGTTGACATGCGATTCAGACTCGGCCTCTAAGACGTTTTCAAGCTCAATTTTCTCTTCTTTGAGCTGCGCAAATCAGAACTCGAATTCCAGTCCACAAACGACAAGTACCTGCTCTAGTTTTTTGGAGAGCACATTGATGATACGTTCCTCCTCCGCCTCGTAGGCATTGATGAGATCCTCTTGCTTCGTCGCTGAACTGACTGAAAGCCGTCGGATCGGTGGAGAGAGCGACATGCAGCCGCCTGGCTAGCGGATGAAAGCAAAAGTCAAGAGGCAGCTCAATGAAAGCTTGATGACTCGCATCACGGATTTGCCCACATGGCAATTTTAGAAGGACGGAACGGTTCAGGGCCGCAGATAAACATTTAATTTTATCGCACACCTATCTTAGAACGGAGCCTTTGACAATGTCAACGGTCTTGGTAATAGCATGCTCGCAAGTAAAAAAGAGTCCCCTGATCTTGCCTTCCTCCACGAATCCCACCACCAGCCCACTCATCACCAGGCCAACGCCACACCGTCAAGCTCTTCCAGGCGTTCCCGTGAGGCCGCTTCGACCTCTCAACTCTACCGTCAATATCAAGCAGTCCATTTTCCAACTGTGAGGGACTGGATATTGTCATCGAACGTATCGAACCCGTTGGCTCAATTGTGCCAGGTAAAAGTAGAGACGTTGAGAGGTCCCGTATAATGCCCGGTTCCACCAGTACTGTCAAATTCCGCGTCCTTGCATCGATTTGTTGGATCTTTAGCGGCTTTGAGATGAACAAATTTGGTAAGAGTTCAAGTTGATATCTTACAATCAAGTCTTTCTCGACGACAATGCCCAGAGCCGCGAATTTACGCTTGTATGCAAGAACGTCTCCTTCACGAATAACCGAGTTTTTGATCAAGTCGACTAGTTTGATATCTGCTGCCTCGCTACTCATAATCATTAGACTGGCGAAAAAGCAGCCATAGAACCTACCCGGCAATGGTGCGAGTATCACCATTAGGTATGGGTTTCGCATCTTCAGTCGGTGCCCCATTGTCCCGCTCCCAAACCTCATCTTTCCATGGTGCGGCGAGCGATCCATCCTTTGTCCCTTCAATATATTTCTTCATTTTCTCCGCATGAGAATCCGACAGCCAGTTAGAAAACAAATGATCCTGAAACGTGTGTGCAGCAGCTAAGAAGTGTGAATCGGTAAACACAGCGAGGTCCAGTTGCTCTGGGTCAACGGTTGAGTTCCCGTTGGTAAAAGTGTTTGATGACGCGGCAGGATGGTCAGATTCAAGCACTGAGGGACAAGAACGGAAAGCAGTAGCGGGAAGTAGAGCAGCAAGGCGCATCTTCGCGTCAGGAGACAGCATGTCCCACACATTAGCGTTAATGACATCCTTGGCTTGTCATTCACAAGCATTTCAAAGAGCTGCAACGCACGGAGATGTCCATCTTGGTCAATTGGCTTTTTGAGTTTTGCAACAGGTACACGAGCCGTTCCACAGAATCTACGCCACTTGCATCGTCTTTTGCTTTTCGTTTGGCTGGAACATGTTCTACAATGGGGATAGTTTCCTGCTGGATAGGTTTTGGCTTCCGTGTCGAACGGCGTGGCCCTGAGGAGGTGGACGCGTCTGCCATGATGATGACGCCGAAGAACTCGGAAGAAGTGGTAAAACGGCCACGTGAGTGGGTCCGGTTTATGATGGCCGTCGAGAGATGCTGGCGCGGCAACAACTTTCTCGGAGGCTACAAGCCTGTGTCAAGATAGTACAACTAAATATTTATTGTACAAATAAATAGTACAGTAGCAAGGCAAAGGCCGCGCCAGCGTTAAATTCAACACTGGGGTAAAGCGGCTGCAAACAGAAATTCAGGATGGATCAGAGAGGACGAGTAAGCCACGTACTGGGGCAAGGCAGGCCGACGAGAGTGTCAGATACGAAACATGGAACTCCATTGATTTCTGTCTTGTCCCATACACTGGAAAGGCTTAAGCATGACTCACAGGGACGGAGCAATTCGACACGCACATGATTCCGTCAACACTGGACCCAAGGTCAAAGCATTTGAAGGTAGGTTTCTGAAGACAGTGAGCACATGCATATCTGGTCGACGCAGCCAAGTCTCGCACCTTGTTCTTCGCAAATTGGCCAATGATATCCGCAGAGAGACTGGGAGACCTTCGACACCTGGAGCCGTCCCCAGTTATAGTACAAGCGGTAGGCTTTGCGGCCAAAGACGATGCAGCTAGTGCAAAAGTGACCAGGAAAGAAGAGAACTTCATGACTCGAAAAGCAAAAAGCAAAGAAGGCGGTCGAGAAAAGACAGAAATGCAACCGGGTGTAAAGATGTTTAGCGCGTCTGGTAAACGCGCTCGCTTTATGAACTTGACTGCAGATCGTTATCAGGAAGGCCAAGGTTTGAATGTCTTTGGAACGTCTGAACCGTGTGCATCAATACTTTCTCTGCATTTGTTGCCTACGATCTTCGTGATAAGTGAGGACCAAGATTAATGAGCACTTGGATTTGCGGTCCGCAACCAGCGCCGGGATATATAAGCTGGAGTGTGTGCAATTGAAAGGATGCTACTGTCGATTCCAGGGACAAACGCTCTACGGCAGGACTGGCAAGACCGACTTTCAAAGTTTCAAGCTGATTCAAGTTTGAAGAATAGCGACGCGGACAGGGACTGTGCCAGTATGGCAGACGTCAGCACCAGCGACAAAGCTGCACAAGGTCTCGCTGATAAGTCTCGATGGGAAGTCGGAGATGGCAAAAGCGAAACGCTGAGGAACGATCAGGTGTCACAATCTCGATCCCATCACGACAGCGCTGACTGGAAGCAAAACACATGAACTCGGCCAGGATCGATCTGGCGATCTTTTGTGTCAGGAAAGACCTGTAAGACAAACGTGATAACCACTACACCACGAGTCCGGCATTCCGGAGATATCTGGTGGCTTCATGGTAATCTCCGACAATTGATAAGATTTGGGTCACGATCGTGACATGCGCACGTGCCCGTGGGTAACGACATGATCTCCAACCACCACCATCTTTATAACCTGTCAAGAATTCTGTTGGTTTCGTCGACAATGCAACTCCATGCCAGTACAAGGAGCACTTGCAAATTTTCCACTGCTCAACTTCGTGATGCCCTACTAGTACCGTCGCAGCGGTGTCGCCACTCAAGAGCATAATGAAGTCTACAGACATAGTATTCCTCCGGCTACTCATTTGTCATGGATCACCAACTTAAACCTGATTATCAGAACAAAACCATCAAGCAGTGACTCGGGTGTTTAAAAACCGCAAACATCCATTTTCTTAAAATACCAACTTGAAAGAGATTGCTGAACGAAGTCACTTGAAACAGATACTACATGTCACGGGTATCCTGAACATTTGCATGTATGTGTTTCTCTGACAGATGTACTTCATGAGTATTCAAAGGTTCTTATCGACAACGCCGCTGCAACTGGAGGCGCATTCGCAATTACCGAAGATGGATTCGACCTCCAAATGGCGACCGACTACTAGTACTTTGGGCCATTTTTGTTCACCAACCTGCTCGTCCCCAAAATTCTGGAGAGCCGCAGTGTGTCGTGGACTCCGCGTGTTGTCATTCTGTCCGGCAATGCTCATGCAATGGGGCCTGGAGTCAATTTCGGTGCTCTACGCCGCCCAGTCGGCGACAATCCTAGCAGCACGCAACAAGTGTTTGCAAGATACAAAGAAGCAAAAAGCGCCTGTCTTATGACTGCGATGGAGCTTGCTCGGCGCGGAGACGGCAAGCTGCGCTCCTATGCGCTTCATCCGGGCGGTTCGTCGCTGCCAGTGCTAGCTCGGACTGTCGTTCTCATGCTAACGACCGCGAGTTCAGTGGTGGAAACGAACCTTGTCACCAAAGAGGCGGTAATCCCAGCTCTCAAGGCCATTGGCGCGCTTCTGGAGGATGGCAAGCGGCCTAACTTGACTCATCCGAAGCTCAAATGGAAAACGATCCCTCAAGGAGCTGCTACGTGAGTGGTTCGTTCATTCCATTTAGCTCAGGAGGGTTTATCACCGACCAGAACTATTGTCGCTGCATTTGATCCTCGTTTGGATGGTAACTTTCTCAAAGTTCATGTTAGACAACGTTGAAATGCTTGCAGACAAATCAGGCTGTTATCTAGAGGACTGTAATGGGTCGAATCATACCCGTGCGTTGCACTGCTGTGCTTCAGGAGAGAATAATAACACAATCTGACGTGTATCTCTAAGAACGCGCGCAGAAGTTGTGGGACATGACGGAAGGGATTTTCGGGGAGAAATTCACTATCTACTAGTATCTAGTATACTGCACAAGATTCAATCCATGTCGACATCCTTAACTCGTCGTCGTTGATGCACGTCTATCTTCTGAGCATCTTTCTCTCCCCGTTTCGTAGGCCTCCCACGCACGATCATCTTTGATCTTGAGCGGAATGCGCTGTCTACCGCCACTGAGTTTTATACCACTCTGCTTGAGGTATTCGTCTGCGATCGCTTTGCTTGTCTCTCGGAACTTGACGAGTTGCATAACGGAATTCCATGGAGAGTCGGAGCCGCCTTCCTCTTCCTTAGGCAAGACAACAACTGCAGAAGCTTGGGCGGCCACCACCAAAGTACTCTGAGGTTTCGTTGGCGTTGATTCCGAAGTCGATGGTGCTCGATTCCGAGCCCTCTCCTCGGCCTTGGCAAGCTCCTTGTCAAGATCTAGGTCGTTTTTGTCGGTCGCATTAAAGGTTTTATGAGAAGCGGTTTGATACTGGGCTGGAGAGGGTTCGGTGTCCTCATCACCCACATTTTTCTTTCTCAAAACATCCTCATCCGGGACTTCTTCAACTTTGACTTTCCGATCGGGTGTGTCCCTGTCGGTTGTGACTTGAGGATCTTTTAAGCGGTCCAGTCGCATGCGTTCCTCCTCTGCTTCTTCCCATTCACGCGCTTTCAGACGTTCTGCTTCCCTTCTCGCTGCCCGCTGTTTGTCACGATCCTTCTCTGCTAGTGCCATCTTATAAAGGGCTGGATAGAATTGTTAACTTAAGGAGGACGAAATCCCTCCTTATTACGCACCGTCTGCGGTTCCGTTGCAATAACAGCTTATAGGGCAGCCTTAATATTGACTGATTATGTTCCGAAATAAAAGAAAGCGACTTACTTTCTCTTATGTATACCCTTTCCAACTTTGGGTTTGAGGCTCCACGCAGAAACGAGATTGTAGGACTAGATAGTCTAAATTAATCGCTTGCTCTAAGACCAAGTCGTCACGGTTGTCATTACCATCTCAAAAGCGTGTGCCGCCGTAACTGTTTGTTCTGCGAGTCCTAATTTGGATTCAGAATAAGTTGTCACAGAGGAATGTCCCCCATACCATAGAAAGTAAATTCCAACCTTGGCCGCAGAGTGTCGCGAAAGTCGGTGATATAGCTCTGACAATCGAAGAACTCGTCCATCGCATCTGAGAGTGTAAGAGCCCAGGTGGTTTGATCAACAGGTTTATTTGGTGAAACCGTGCTTCGGATAGAAACAACAGATTGTCCCGCCCTGAGATGAGTTTCGGTTTCCATCTTGGCTTGTTAACCTGGGTACACACCGTTTCAGTTTATCAGCATCTGATTCGTGGGCCATTATGTCCGCTTGTGTTACACTGTCTCGGACGTTGGAAACGACACTCGGTATCAGGCGAGACTCTACTTGTGTCGTCCGAGCATCTCATTCACCAGTCTAAGGGCCCGGTCGGCCTCTGCTTTACCAGTTCCAGAATGCACTGCCAGAGCGAATGCTTTGCGAATCTTGCTTATGACGGATTCTTCAAGATTTTGCACTCGCCTTTGCGCGTCAGCTTTATTTGAAGGCGTGTCCGTGGCGCGAATAGTAATTTCCGCCTTCGTTGTTGGCGATTTCTTTGCGGCCTACTCCCTTTGACATTTGTTACAAACAAAGCATGGATGAAAGAAAGCGAGCCTTTTTCGTCGGAGACCAGTCACTATCACAGGAGTCCGATTCCGATTCGCTGCTACTTTCATCATCAGAGCCGTATCTCGTACGCTTGCCCATTTTTCTGCGTTAGGCAGAAGAGCGAAAGCACAAGGCGTGATGTCACGTCGCGATTTTCCTCAAGTTGACGTGGTCGCGCAACTCGACGCGATGGCGGCAGGCGTCTCACTTGTTGCCTTCATAGCGACTTTGGTTGCGGTCATAGTCCCATGGACTTACTTCAACATATATAAATCACCAGCACGATCGCTAACTTCGACGCGGTCTTTTCTCAACATCTTCCTTCTCCTGCACGTCCTCGCTGTGCTCTACCAAATCATCGTCCTCCCACCCGACAACCTATTTAGGCGTCTGAAAATACCGCTATCAACTCCACCAGATGCCATCCGAAGCCTTCTCATCCAAAAAGTCGGACACAGGCGAACTCCCAACTCCCCTTGACACGCTGCTGAGGCATCTGAATTCATACGATATCAAGACATTCTATGTTCGGTACGAGGCTACGGCTACCCTTTCATCTTTAACTAATTCTAGCCCCGAGGTTTGGCCATACGGTCGTTTCAACATGCGACTATTGCCACTCGTTCAATGACTTCGCCGTCTTTGCTCTACCCAGCGCGCTGCTTTCATACATCTGGACAGCCGCTATAGTTGGGGTTTGTCGCGCTCTATCTCAACTGCATCTTCTGACAATTTGTAGCTTGTCACAATCAACGACTCTGGCCATGAACGATACCGCACCCTAGCTGTCGCAGCCATCGCGGGTTCCTTCTTTGCGGAGGCCTACTACATTGCAACAACGCCAATAGAGGTCCCAAAAGGCGACAAAGAGGTGTTCTGGGTACGTGGCCGGTTGTGATTTAGTTGTTACTTGTGCTTACCTCCATGTTCAGTGGCACGACTCCCTGCTCTTGCTGCGCCAACTCTTGTTTTTGGTGGTACCCATCCTCATACATCTACTTCCCGAAAGACCACTCTCCCCGCTGAGCAACCCAACAATTGGTGCAACAAGACTCGCTGAGCAGACATTGCTGCGAATGCAACTTCTTCGGTTAACCCGCGGTGCCATCATGCGGATACCTGTCCTTCGAACTCGTGCCACAGAATGGTGGGACGGTGACGCCCGCGATGGGAAATGGGTGCGAGAGGACAAGGCAGTCCAAGATTTAGCACGACAACTTGGCTCTGGTTTTGACGATGAGGGTGGAAGCGATGTTGAAGATGTCAAAGCTGCGCCACTACGAACAAACGCCCGCAACGCAGTTACCACTCTTAGAACGGCTTTCCATCCAAGTGACTTTTGGAAACTCCCGCCATCTTCCTAGTACCATTCTCTGTGTAGCTTAACATATAATTTGTATCTCGCATTGCAAGCACTAGAAGATCATAAGAATAAAGTGGGGCATCTACTACTGTACAAGACCCTCGAATAAAATAAACGCGAAGAACAAAAGCTAAGGTTCAACCACTAATAATCATATCCTTCAACTTTGAAGGTCTTTCCGTACTGCAAGTAGCTATCCATTATTTTGAGGATGGGTTCAGGAAGACCCATACTGAGAAGGGTGTATGATATCTTGGCATGGCCATGAACGGTCCCAAGCTTAAAGAAACAACGCGCAATTTGTGTCGGGTACTTGAAGCGATCAGGAAAAAGGCAAACTAGTCACAGAAATACTCACCGTCATTTCAGTATATTCAGCGTATTGATAGGCAGCAACGCGAATGGCCGTCTGAATACACCTCTGAATGTCGCCCTCTTCAGCATACATCTCCATCAGTTTGCTCCATGGCTTCATGGAGTATCGGGACGTGTCGAGACAACGTTGGTAAGCCTCTTTCGCCTCTTCCTTGTGATGTAGGCGCAACCCAAGATCACCTAGGATCTCCCACTCGAGGCCTGTCTTCCGATATGCCACGTGTTGTGTCTTGAAATGGGCAACCTCGGCGCGGAAAATGGTCCATACCCGCAGATCCTGCAGGATGCATCAGCCATAAACGCTAGTTCAGAGGAACTGAGAAAAACAACACGAACCTCGTAGAGAACCATGAATAAGTTATCCAGCCATCGTTCACATAACCGTTTATTACTGAACGAGAACGGCTCCTGAGCAGCATCAACCTGAGGCTCCTTCTTGTCCTCCTCATCACCTGCCGCAGCTTGAGTCGGCCGCTCTAGCGAGTCTGCTGCATGGGCGAGCGTCTCACTCTCGGTTTCCCCTAGTCCGTCTTGGCCATTCTGTTCCTCCTCTGTTTCTTCGTCTTTTTCTTTTTCTTTCTCTTGCTCCTTTTCCTTCTCCACATCGTTCTCTGTCGAGATAGTGATTGTTGGGATCCCATTTTCGGCAACGTTTACGGTCCCGTTCACCGGTATCTCTGGCGCGTGCGGACTAGTTGGCGTCGTCACATTTGATACAGCAGGGCTGACCATACCCCTTGTAGAGGCATCGTCATGTTCGTGGTCGTTGCCGTTCTCCGCCAACGTAGAACCTTCGATAGAATCGGGCTCGGATTGTGACCTCATATGGTTCACAATCTCTGTTTGCGCCTTTTGCATTCGATATTCCTCTTCCATCACGAAAACAGCACTCCGTGTCTTAAGCAACTCATCCCAACCGATCTGCGAAACGAGTCGTGTGAGGAGCGAGTAAGCACGTGCCCAGGTTCCTCGTAAACCCGGCGCTGGTAGGCGTTGAAGGGCAGGATCTGCTTCGTCGTCGTCGGTCTTGGCCCGATCAGGTAAAATCTCTCCAATAGAGCGATGGAAAGGCAAGTGAATTCGTGCTGGAGTAAGCGGACGATGGGCGTCACGACCATTGAAGGTGAACATGGGGCAAGAGTTGAGGGTCAACAGCGCTGAGTCGTACATTCCTAGTTCGATATAGACCTCGGTTAGTTTCTCCCAGGTGACAAACTCGCTGGGAGCAGCGTTTACGGCTTGTCGGGCGAGTTTAAGTGCCCAATCTGAGCGACCTTTTTCTCGCAGGAATTCGCATTGCGCGTGTAGAAGGGTGTATGACGCAGGGCCAGGTGCGCCACGAAGGGCAGTCGACATGATATTGAGCGCCTTAACTTCCTCATCTAACCCCACATTAGCCGCCTAGTAGGAACGAGTATAGGAACAAGACATACTCATTCCCAAATAGGCCTGTGCCAGAAGCGATGCTACCTCTGGCTCACGCACAGAAAGCTTCTCAAACAAATTTGCTACTTGCTGCCACCGACCAGATGTTCCAAAGTACTTGAGAAGGCCAGCGGTCAAGTGATTTGTCGTGACGGATGCAACTTGGATTTCTGGATCTGATCCAACTTGCCAGCCTGAGATCGTTGAGCAGAGTAGTAAAAAATCAAGAAGGGTTACCTTTCAGGAATAATGCTTCTGCCGCAGACAAGAAGCGTAATTCTCCCTCCAGAGTAGTGATAGGATCGAGTTTTCGGTAGGCGTCAAGAGAGTGCGCGGGGTCATCCGAGTAGAGAATGGCACGAAGCAATGCAGAGACATAAGTTTCCTGCCACATTTCCGGCGTTGCTTCATGCCTAAAGAAGTATCAGTCGCTAATTGAATACTAATGGAAGCCAGACGTGCCTCTCGCCACGCAAATCCACAACATAAGCATTGACTCCTCCCGGAATCTTGACGTCTACCCGAAAGTCGACGCGCGAAAAGGCGTTGAAACAGCAATAACATCCGTTGCGGACCTTCCAAACAGGAGTCTTGGAAAACCACGCGCCAGAATCCTCGATCGCGTATGTGAGCGAGTTGATGTAGGCTGCAAGAGACGCTGACGAGGAAGCGTCAACGCCCGAGACATAGTGGTACGATCCAATATCTCGCTGGCCAGCTTTTCCTGTGCTTTTAACGACGTGGCAAAGGTCTGGTGGGCCTAATTCTCTGAATGTTGCTATCGAGGTCGTCAGCGGAGAAGTATTTCCAACAACTACTGCAACGCACAGAGACTCTCCGTCCGAGCAGTTAGAGCCTCGCCGAGGTCTACTTCAAACAGCTCTGGGATGTCCTTGAAGACCGCAGAGGCTTCCGTCATGGGCGGCTTCCTTCAAAATTTCGTGGCGACTGTAAACTCGGGAGTGAGTAGGAAATATAGTACGGTGAGAATTGACCACGCACTTTTGGTTGCTAGTCTTCGAATCACGAAATCTGCAACAGACGCCAGATGTTGAGCAGGAGAAAACACGACAAGATACTGTTGACACGCGTTCCTAACCCACAACCTGTCTGGTGCCAAGACGATGCAGACGAGGGCTGCGAGGTCATTGGAAGTCGCTCTTAATGCAACCAAGGGCGAATAGGACAGTAAAGAAGGATGGGAGAGAAAAGGAATGGATAACAGCGTCAACTTACTTGGTGGTCCGATACAACTCCCAGTACCCAAATCTTCTGTGGCGATCGGAAAATATGCGAGCGACACAATTTTGAATTTGAAAGCAACGCAAAAGGCTGGTTCAAGGATGAGAAACCAGAACAAGAAGTTAAGAGCACCGCTTTTGGGCGGAAGAGTAGGGAATATAAATTAATAGTCCGTCTCGCGTAATTACAAGGTATAAACAGCTGCGTAGGACTTTCGCTGCCTGCTACACCGGCCTGGGTGATATCCTGATATCTCCTGGTGGTTTTGGGGAACTGCCAGGTCTAGGGCTTCTATTGGGTGTCCTCAGCGAAGTCATCTCATTAGCATCCTCCCCATCCGAGTCCTCTTCTTCTTCACGCACCAGCGACAAATCATGTTGCTGTTGACTTGACAATGCTTCAGCCTCATATGGACTGAATAGCATACCCGGTTGGTTGCGATAGAGCGAGCTTCGGCGAACATGTCGAGGACTTGGAAGAGCCATTCCAACACCCATTCCAATGCTATCTCGCCTAACTCCGTGCCAGCCATCAAGGGAAAGTCGTCCTTCCAGTGTCAGTCCACCACGTCCCTCTTCCACTGCTTCCGCAGCACCCTCCAGCATTGAAAGATTGAGGATATGTACGCCAACAAAGGTGACGACGAAACCGCAGACTAGAGAGATTGTGTTGGTCGCATCGCTAGTGTTAAAACCTTCGAACAGAATCAAGGATGCGACTATCGTACAGCTGCAAAAGCCGACGTAGTACATTGGGTTGACGCTATTTTTCATGGTAAGCTCAGATACGAGTCGGGAAGAATGCTCACATGTTGACTGAAAACGTATCCAGGGCCTTGTTATAGTAGTTAAGCTGGATGACAATGCATGCAGCAGAGATTGCGCCAAACAAATACGTGCTTGGGTACACAAACTGATTCTTGCCCGCGAATGTAAGCTTGACCGCAACGCCAAAGCCCTTCACAAACATCACTGACACGCTTCCAACAAGTGACGCGATAGAAATGAAAACCACGGGGTTCTTGCGGCCAAGTTTCGGAGCAACTCCATATGCAAGGACGACAGAGCCAACGCAGACGACGAAACAGTATAGCAGAAACCCTGGCTTGAGAGCGTAGTTGAGAAAGTCGGTTATCGTGTCAATAGGCTGGTCGTCCGGCGCATGGAGCACGATTATGACGGAGCCAAGTAGACATAGAGCGCAGCCAACTCGACCGAGATGGCCAAGTCTTTCATTTAGAAGAAAGGAGGCTAGGATTGCGCTGGTGAATGTTCAGGAAGACAAGATACAACAAACTGGGCCGACGTACCCAATAAGAACACTCAATGCTCCAAGCGGGGTGACAAGTACGGGCGGAGCGAAAGAATAAGCCGCGAAGTTAGCGACTGCAGGACGAGTTAGAGCCAACAATCAGAGGTACGACCAACTAGTCTACCTTCACCAAGAATCACTGAAATGCGTTCAATGAACAAGAATCGCAATAGGTTTATTCACGCACAAGTCGACATCCCAGCCCACCATGTTGGATTCCGCAGGTATGCGAGATTTTCGGAAGCAGAAGAATTGTTCCCATTAGCAGCAGCAGTGAGGCCCTAAGTGGCTATTCAGATGATGTTCATACTGTCCAACCAGCACACGCACCTTTTTCGTTATTACGATGCTCGTCCCGATGGCCGCTGAGCTGGAGACCGCCAAAGCGAGGCCAATGTATTTGTCGTCGACCATCCAAAAGTGGAGAAGGTCAGGTTAAGGCGTAAAAATGCGTAAGAAAGGACCGTGAAAGTGAAGGACAAGATTCAAGTCGCTGCACAGCCACGGACGATCGTTCGAGCAGAAAAAGGAATAAAATGGTTCCGCGAATGCTAGTCTATTTCTAAAGACATACATTGTACAACAAATTGGATATGCAATTAAATCTAGTCTATATGTGCCTACACAGCACTTTTGGTATCTAAAAGAGCCACGGTCCCACAGCAACTGCGAAGGTCGTCAGCAATATCAAGTCCCATTACTCTAAGAAAACGTACTGCTTTTAGGGGCAGGAAGCGCTTCTGGAGGCTGCAAACAGCTTTGGTGGATGAGGTTTAGCGCCTTGACCGCGTCCTTTCCGTCGATAACACAAGAAATATTGATCTCGCTGGCACCTTGGCTAATCATTTCGATGTTGACCTTGCCTTGGGCTAGTGTGGTGAACATCCGTCCAGCAATACCAATCATATTGCGCATATGTTTCCCTACTAAGGAGAGAATTGCCATATCATGATGCACTGAGACCTAGGCAAACATGAAACGGCGGAGAAAACGAATGAGAGGGCCTACGGTGCCAATCTTGCGCAGCTCCTTCAATAGCTTCTCCAAGACTTTCTTTGCCAACCCGTCCTCGATCGCCATACTCACGTGGACTTCACTTGTGCTGATGAGGTCCACAACAACCCCAAATCGATCCAGCGTCTCAAAAATACCGGCAAGGAAGCCATGCGAGACGCTTTTGCGATTCGAGTTGATATTGAGGACAACGATGTGCTCTTTGATTGTCACGGCCGTGGGATGCCTGGGATGATGGTTTTCGGTGGCTCGAGCTCTTAGAAGAGCGAGAGCGACGGGAGAAGCTGGTTCAGGAACGCTGCCAACATCGTCTTCAATTTGGCCAGCATCGTCTTCCTCTGGGTCTGGGTGGATGACAGTTCCTCCCCCTCGTGGATTCTCGACATTCTTGATTCTAATGGGTATCTTGCGCCGAATAGCCTGCTCCATAGTAAATGGATGTACCACTTCGCTGCCATAGTAGGTCAGCTCAGCTGCCTCTGCCGGTGAAATGATGCTGATAAGTCGCGAGGTTGGTACTTTGCGAGGATCAGCAGTAAAGATTCCATCAACCTCCTTCCAAATCTGCAGTTCAGATGCTTCGAGGCCAACTGCAAGTAAAGCAGAAAGTAAGTCGGTATATCCACGACCAATCTGGCGTAATAGGGAGCCTGGTACGGGTCCAAAGAAGCCTGGATCATCATCAATTCGCAGAAAGATATCACTGAACACGGAGTACCTGTAACGACGGGAACTCTGGGGCCGCATTGCTTGATACGCTCGCCAACGGCCTCGGAAAGGCGGTCATAGAACTCTTGATCTAAGGAGTCATCGTCACTCGACTCGTCTTCCGCTACAGGCACAATATCTTCCAGAGACACATACTCTGCGTCAATGCCTTGGTCGCGAAGTACAGCCGTCATGAATTTGCATGCTAGTCGCTCTCCTAGCCCGACAATGGTGTCTTTCGATCGCGGGGAAATCTCGTCGATCACCTGCAACGGCCCGTAAGTTAAGTTCGCCGGATAAAATGTGGCAAGACGCGCCTGGGACGCATACAAGAAACTCCGCAGCCATTCACAGTCGCGCTCGATCTCTGCTTCGAGTTCTTGTAGAATGGATTGGTCACCAACACAGGCACGAGCAGCATTGAAATGCTCCTGACGTATCAAATCCACAGTTGCATGAAAAGCAGGAAGAGTTTCTAGTTGAGGTATTATAGGTGTCATCCCAGACCAAGGATAGCCCTCAGTACTACTGCGAGGGCTGCTCGATGGCGTTTGAGAACCATCAGAAAGGCGTCCGAATATGCCATTGGATACTGGAGTGGTATAACCGGACTGTGTTTTCGGTCTTCGTTGGAGGGCTTCTGATGCCGCTTTCAGTAATAAGTTGGTCGTTCCCAATGCTTTTGTCGATCCTGAACGCGCCGAGCATACTATAGCGACCTTGTTGGAGTCGATATAGCTTCTGCCGTGTCATTGTGCATTAAGCTTTAGAAACGGAGCATTCGAATGACACGTACGAGACAATGTCCCTCGCAATACCCACTGCAAACTTTCCAACGCTCGTTCCACCAAATTTTTGCACGAGCCATGGCGACGAAGGGTCGATGCTGTTTTGATGCAGATTCGGGGGAGTGCGTGGAGGAGAAGAGGACAATGATGACGAAGGAGATGACGATCCAGATGAAATGGACATGGTGGAAAGGCTGGAAGTAGGCGTCTAACTCCAATGCATGAATTCCAACTCCAAAAATGGAATGAGTCACATCACATCGATCCACGTTTGGCCACGGCCAACACTTCGGCCGGTCATGCATTCGGCCGACACTATGTAGCTTTCGCAAAAGTTGAGCGCAAGCTAAGTGCAGACTACTAGACCACGATCTTGGTGCGAGGATTCGACTCTAACACTGTATTGTAACGCATGCATCCAGAGGCACAAGCCAAATGGCCTCTGAAAGTACTTACACTCGTCGATTATGTCATCTCATCTTCCTTTTCTTGACTCGAAATGCCCCATAAACGAGCCAAACGCTCACTACGCGACGCTCACCGTACCGGACAGTTCGTAGCTCCTTTTTCTATCTATGCTGAAGCATGGCTCAAGTTTTTTCTTTTCACCTAGAGGCATTGACAACGCTCCTGCCAAAGACCACACTGATTCTCTATCATCTGAACCACTACCTAAATCATTCGTGAGGGCTATCAATGCGGTCCATATACGGGCGGAGTATCGCGCTAAGCGTAAACTGCGGGAGGAAGATGGGCCCGGCGATGGAAATGAGCACAAGGGAAAACGCAGTAAAACGGAAGCCAACCCATCGGAAGCTACCAAGATTCGCCCAGGAGAGACCCTAGCACACTTCAATAAGTACGCGATTTCCGCTCCCAGCGTTTATCGGAGATAACTGACACCATACAGACGTATAGAGGGAGATATGCGACCAGTTGTGCGAAACGCGATGCAAGCCTCCCGAGCTCTACAACGGGCACAAAAGAAAACAGAGCTCGCTGCCAAACATGATAAAAAAGCAAATGGCCAAAGTCGTGGCATGGACTCGGACAATGACAACGACACTCCCATTAATCACCAAGCCAAACCTGCCGACATCTCTAGAAAGCCGAAAGACTTTCAACTGACTTCAACTGCTGCACCAAGACGGTTGAATGACATTGCTCAGGCACCACCAGACTTGTCTGCTCTGGTCAAAAAGGCACAAAAGAAGCCAGGGGGAGCGAAGGTCGGTGTTGGGAAAGAAAAGGCAAAGGAAGTTGTATCACCAGCCCAGCAACTACTGCTTGCGCAAGCAAGGGAAGAGGCGATCCGGAAATATAGGGAGTTGAAGGCGAAACGGCTGATAGCGTCACAGACGACTGATTAAGCATAGACTGGGTCAGTCCTTCATTATGCTATGGCGGCTAGTCATCCATATAACACAACTTACAGCAATGCACACATCCACTCGAGTGTAACGCTCCTCTTGAAGGCACCCCGAAAGTAGACCCTTCATACCCAAAGATTCTACGATGACGGCCAAGATCACACGCTGGTCAACACGTACAAACCCATCAAACGCGTCTACGTCAACCAGGCGAGCAGTTTTGTAACCAGTAGCTCGTCATATTGGCCATTACACCATCAGGATATAAGGGCTCAGAATGTTATATACTGTACAATCATTGGACGCGACGGAAAGAGATTACCGCCTGATCACGTAACGAAACGCATGACGCGTGTTTCCAGACCCGTCAACGATGTGAACTGTGCGCTTTTTCTGCCCAAACCATGTCTGCGGACGGCCATGACCCAGAATCTCTCCGACCAGACGACCGCTGGCACTTCTCCCTGCACCCAGATGTGAAAAAACACTCGACTCATAGTGCTGTTCCCTTTGGCTCGTTTATGCATCCAACGCATGCCACCCTTGCTCTCTCCTCCGAAAAAGACCTAGCTTGGACGTCTAGAGACCACCGCAAAAGTCGCCACATTGCCACTAGTCCGCGAACTGGTCGAGAGAGACATGCACACGGGACGCTACACAAGATCGCCAACATGCGACATGCAGAATACAGCAACATCAGCTGGTGGGTTGCAATGGTCAGTTTCCACTAATAAAAAAAGAGGGAGCTAACTCGTCCAAAAAAGTTGTTTACCGTGGGGAGCATCGTCTGGGTTATCAACGGCTTTTTTGCTTTTCTCCCCTTCGTTAACTCCAGCGTCCCCGAGAACATGGACGCAGTTGGGTGGACCGCCTGGCTTGGTGCCACTATATTCGAGTTTGGCGCGCTGGCCGCTGTGTTAGAGGCTTGGAACCGCAAAGATACAGCCAACTTTGGGTGGAACTTCAACAAACTGCTCAATGGCGATTCAGAAAAGCCATCTTCACCCAAACACCAGTGGATATGGTTCTCCACATCCGCAAAGTACTTCCACGAGCTGGGCTTCTTGGCTGCATTCGTTCAGTACTGGGCAGCGACTATCTTCTGGATCAGTGGGTGAGTAGGTCATCGCTTAGAGTCCTCGTGATATAGATTCAACAGATTCACTGCTATTCCGACCATTCAAAACGCCATAATGTCGCATACAGGGGTCTTGGACGGCGTGTTTTGGACCCCACAGGTCGTCGGTGGAACTGGGTTCATGATCGCCTCGTAAGATTCCAAGTTTGATTGCATTCATCTACTGACCATACTACATAGGATCATGATCATGATAGAGACACAACGAAAATGGTACATCCCTGCCCCACTTTCCCTCGGCTGGCATGTTGGATGTAGGTCTCTCAACTTCAGTTTGCTTGTCTTTATGAAGTCATTCATAGTTTGGAATCTGGTGGGGGCAGTTGGCTTCACGTTATGCGGTGGGTTTGGCTATGCATTGAATGAGAGTAATGGTATCGCGTACCAGAGTTCGTGCTCGACGTTTTGGGGAGGGTGGGCGTTCTTGATTGGAAGTGTCATCCAATGGTACGAGTGCGTTAACCCAATAAAAGATGCTGCCCTATAAAATACGTGCATTCCTCAATTGAGCAGGTCAACGACGATGGGCTGGAATCCTGATCCTCCCACTGGAGGTAGTACTCCGCCACTCGCTAGCTTGGGGGTATTTGCAGCATTGACGAATATAGTTTGCTGACCGTTTCCGCCGATCTTCTCTTCGTCTTCCGCAATCCGACGGCTAGCTGGGTTTTGGGCGGACGGCGTTGCCTCACTCCATTCGTGCACATAACATCCACGCGACTCGTGAATATGGCCAAAGACGTGTAATCTGGGCCGTAAGCTGATAATCCGAGAGGTCAGAGCCGGGCAACCTGCGAATGCATTGTGTGTGGTCTGGTCAAGGATGCCGTGAGGGGGTCCGTGGGTCATTCTGCTACATGGTTAGTACTTGGCCTTCAGTTCGAAATGAACTTACAAAATATCAGTTTCAGGGAAAGCTGAAACCATCGATGTCGCGTCTGCAGAATCGTATCCAAATGCGCGGACGCGTGCACCAAAGTTGGGACTTCGCTATAACAGGAGCACGATGACATCTCGCGACAAATACACTTCTTTGAGCTGCTTACCGGAGTGCCGTAGACCGTCCATTCCCGTCCTCCAGCTGTGAATGAATACTTTTCGTCACGCAGATAAATCACATTTGCAGCTTTGGCACGTGAACCGGTGAGCAACTCGAATATCGGATCCGGGTGTTCCCAGATTGCTGGTTTCCCTGGATGACCAGTGTGTTCCCAGTTCTTATCGTACCATTCGCGGTCGAGAGCAAAGTCGCGGTTGCCGGCTATTATACTGCTAATCGTTTCAGTTGATTGTCGCGTCGAGAATGGAGTGACGCGAACATTTTGATTGGATGTGGGAGTGCATAGAGCCAGTCCATAGTGCGATGCAAGTCGCGGAGAGTTCCTCGCCGGGTGAGGTCGCCTGAGTGAAGTAAAACATCACCATCAGGGACCGGGAAAACTTGGGAGTGGGTGTCTGAGATGAGCACGAAGCGGGTATAGCTTCCAGCCGGTTTTGGTGAAGGCTGGTGGTCTGGATAGTCGAGCTGAACAATACTTGTTGGTGATGTGATGCGCTTGCGACGTGGAAGCATCTTGGTGGTCATCGACAACGAGATCAAAGGCTCAGTCCAACACCGCCGCAGAATCGACGTCGTTTTACGCTCGAGAAGTAGGTCAGTTCTTTGCCTGTGATGGACGAACGTGCCAAAATGAATGCGATCAAACAAAGCTTTTATACCTTAGACCCCAACCTCCACTACTACCTCTTTTTCTCTGTCCCCCCGTCATGTCTTCTCCAGCCCCAGACGCGGCTACACCTCATGAGGTTGATGAGGATGCTCCAGGTCCTCCCATTTCCGTTCCCGACAGTGGCGAAGGCGAAGGCGGGAAGCTCAAGATGATCGTCCAGCTGGTCAAGAAGTCGCTCGGTGTCAAAGACATTGCTGCCATGTATGTCTTTTCTTTCCAGTCTGGACTCTTAACTCATGTACCAGGCGGCTCTCATTACCCGCATCACTGCTTGAACCAGTTCCAAATCTTGAATACTGGCACTATCTCGACAGACCAGACATGTTCGTAGCGTGCGTGGTCCAACGCTCTCTTGTGCTCTGGAGCTCACGACTACTTGGTAGTGTCAACGACTCCGATGACCCCTTTGAGCGAATACTCGCTATCCTCCGTTTCACCTTCACCAAGGATCTCAAATTTGTTGTGTGTCGCAGTCTTGAAGCAAACATGCGTATATGATGACCTGCCTCTAGCACGGCAAAGTCTGCAAACCTTACAATTCAGTCCTTGGCGAGCATTTCCGTGCCCATTGGGACGTCATCCCTGCCAAGTCCCCGCTTGAAGGCTCTGCCACCCCTTCGCCGACGCTTTTGGCTGATACTGCTAGTGTCAAGAGCGCCCGCAGTTCCCGTAGTGGTATCAGTGCATTTTCCAAGACAGGAAAATCACCATCGACTGCTGCCACCTCTTTGGATGTTCCCAATGCCGAGATCTCCCAACTCAACCTAGCGCCATCGCAAGACACTGTTCGCGTTATCTACATTACTGAACAAGTTTCCCATCATCCTCCCGTATCCGCATATTACGCCTCTTGTCCAGACCGCTTCGTCGAACTCTACGGCATTGACCAAATTTCTGCCAGAGTTTCTGGGACCACTCTCCGTGTCTCGCCTGGCCATTACAATAAGGGTCTTCACATCAACATTACGGGCGGTCCCGGCGCAGGTGAACAATATAACATCAACCATCCTATTGCCTCGGTCAACGGCTTGCTACGAGGCAGTTTCTATGTCACTGTCGCTGATTCGACAATCATTTCGTGTGTTGGTGGCAACCAACGGTTCCGCGCTATCATTGAATACAAAGAAGAGTCATGGCTTGGACGGGCGCACTTCCTGCTTGAAGGTGTCATCCATACTGTGGTGGAAGGCGATACGCAACATAACGAGTGGACCAAAGTAAAGCACGTGCCGTTACCCCGCGTTGTTGCTGTCTTCGATGGGTCATGGCGAGGGCGTATTCGCTGGCGGCGCGTTGGTGTTGGGTCCTATCCGGACACGACTCCCTCTTCGTATTCTTCTCCCTCCCCATCACATGTCTCCCTTGCCGTTCCCGTTATCCCGTCCGCAGCTTCATCACGCATGGATGTCTCTGCGGCCAAGGAGGAGGAATGGGCGGAATTAATTGACTTGTCTCAAGTGCACGTGATCCCAAAGACGGTCCGCCCATTGGAGAAACAACTGCCGCACGAGAGTCGCAAGCTTTGGGAAAGTGTTACCAGTCGGCTGCTTAAGAAGGAGTTTTCTGATGCGACGAAGGAGAAGGTTGCTATTGAGCAAAAGCAACGGGATGAGGCTGCTGAACGCAAGAGGAAAGGTCAAAGGTAAGGCTACATCATAATCTTTCCTTTCGTTCTCTAACAGCTTGTCTATCAGCTTCATTCCGCGTTACTTCGATCCGGACATGGACAAGGGCTATTCGACGCTGACGGATGCCGGCCGATTGGCTGTTGAGGAGGAGATCAATGAGCCCACACATTATCACGACAATCTGGAAGACGCTGTCAAAGATACTCCGTAGGAAGAAGAGCCTGAGAAGTATTTTGTCTCTTGAACGGACTCGAGCATTTTCAAACGCCCTCTGGGTCATTTTATTGTCTTTTAGACAGCACAGACTACTATTACCATGCAACGAATCCATGTTTACGAGTAGATAATGAGACTGATGATGATGCCTTGGAATCTTTACTTCTGACCACATCTCACAATGATGATTGTGGAGAACAGCCCCCTCTTGCTCTCATGGCGGGATGCAAACAAACCAGAACTCTCGCGCTCCCTCAACGGCCCACAATATCTTCGTCCACCACCCAAGTGCAGCTCGACTACGATCCCGCGGCGCTCCTCGCGAAACCGTCAGCAGATTGGACGCGTTTTGTGCTGCTGTCTGACACGCATACGCACGCCTGCGACGTGCCCGGCGATGAGAACGACGTGTTGATTCACACGGGAGACCTTACAAACCGTGGCCGGCTTCCGGAGTTGCAAGCAACAGTGGACTGGTTGCGCTCTTTGCCCCACAAGGTTAAGATGTGCGGGCTTTCCTCCCACTATAAGGCTGTGTCTATAATTATTCGAATAGCGTCATCGCGGGCAACCACGACCTCATACTGCATCAAGACTTCTACGAAGATAACTGGGCGAGGAAGGGTTTCTTGGAGCCAGAGGTGTGTTTGGCCAACTTCGTCTGTGCCAGGCTCACACAATTGCCCAGTCCGTTGCAGAGGCGCGGAAACTACTCAAAGGGTCTGCGGCCGTTGCCGCGGGGATCGTCTATCTCGAAGATGAACAGTACACGTTCCGCGCTCGGGAAGGCGGGAGGGAATGGAGCGTGTATGGCTCACCAGTTCAGCTTCTTTCTGGCTATCAGGGCTGCTGACAAGAATCAACAGTGGTCCCCCAATTTCTACAACTGGGCGTTTGGCTATGACCGTGGTGAGGAGGCAGAAGGTGTTTTTTTAGTCCCCTAATCAGGCATCCACTCATCTCTATAGCGCTGGTGGGCAAGTTTCCGCGGACGGACATACTGCAAGTTTCTTCTTGGATCTCGGAACTATAATTCATAAATACACACACACAGGTTAACCCATGGTCCTCCGCGCAATGTTCTCGACCTCACCAACAACAATATTCTTGCCGGTTGCGCCGCTCTCGCGTCAAGGGTACAACAACTCAAGCCACTGCTCCATGTCTTCGGGCATATCCACGAAGCTCGCGGGGCATATGTGCATTCATGGAATGAACAGCTCGCAGCACAGAATGCCATACAACTGGGAGTTTCAAAAGAACACCAAGAGCGGGTCGACTTCACTGAACACCTTGATTCCGAATACCCTGCCAACGACGACTTTGACGAAAGGCCGGATGCAACTGGCCCAGCGGAAACGATATTCGTCAACGCGGCGAATTACCCTTCAGGTCCAGTGGCAAGGCTGGCTGCGAAGTCTGGAGCAAGGGTGAACATGGGAGGCAAGGGTTTCCAGCCGATTATTGTAGATCTTGTGGATAAAGCGAACTAGTGACGTTCAGAGCGGGAAGAAAGAGGGGAGAGGATAATTGTTCGTCCAAACCGAGCTAGAGCTCAATTGCAAACTGCTCCACGTCGCGAAATTTGGCCATTTGTCGTTGTACAATGCGGAGATTTTCCTGAGCTGCCGGTTCAGTTATCCAATGGAAGCGTTCCAAGCCTTCTGGTGCGTCAAACACGGGACTTTCAAACACTCTGCGCACGACCAGATGCCATTGCTGGGTCGGCAAATGAGATATTTTCATCAGTCCGTGGGCAAAACGCGTCTGGTGGAGGTCATGGACTATCAGGTCGTCATTGCGATCATATGGTTTGAGGAACGTGAGGCTACGCAGTGCGTTGATGACACGGAGCACATCGGTAACAGCGATTACCGTGCGTTGTTCAAAAAGGTAAGAAAGTATGATGACGACGTCTTCGAGCTTCCCACCGAGATCAGTGGAATGAAGGTGATTAAGTTCGAATAACCTTTTCCTAACCAGAGCGAAAGGAATTGCTGTGTTTGTTTGACCCCACAGCAATACCGCTTTGACAACTAGCATGACTGCTAGAGCCAATGGCGACGCGCATATTGCGAGTGCTTCGATGACCGCATTAGATTCATCTTCGCTAGGTGGTGGGAGTCGAGCCGTGCCAGTGCTTTCCATTGTCAAATCTATACTCATCCAGAGAACAGCTAGCATGTCATGGAGTGCCGTTTCTGAGTGGTGGGAGTTTGCGCTGGCAGCTGACGACTCGATGGAATACAAGGCAATAGTCGACGGAAAACAACGCCAAAGGTGACGATAGAGTCCCGCGAAAAGCAGTGAAACTTGAGAGTTCCTTGAGGCGTCTTTGCCAAGATATTTGAGATACGCAATGATGCCCATGGGGATCTCTCTCGCCTTTTGTGGCCGCCAAAGACCGCAAAGAACTCTCATCACTGTTTGCGCCGCCGCCTGTTCCCATAGACGAGGAACTCTCCGTACTTTAGAGAAAACAGTATCAATCGTAGACTCGAGTTCTCGGAGCGCATTTTCACTTATAGTAGACCGCAAGTCATTGAGATAGATGGTGTCCAGAGTCTCTTGCCAGCGGTAAGGCAGCAAGCCACAAGTGGTGGCAGTTTGCAAATAGTCGAAGAATAAGCGATGAGAAACAGACGTGCAAAGTTCTCGAGAGACCATATCAAATTGTTTTGAGTTGGTTATCGAAAGTTTGAGCGTTAACATGGCTGCTCTGATCTCTGATGATGAAAAGAGAAATGATCGAAAAAGGTAGCGCCGAACTGGGTCAGAATAAGCGCTTCCAGCCCAACGACTGGCGTGTTGCTGGAGGTACATCTGCAGCCATCCGATGCCGCTCCAGTTCGCCATGGTTTTCATGGAGATGTAAAATGGCGAGGAAATGACATTTGAATACGGGGAATGAGGAGAATCGGGGTACAGGGGAATATGTTCCAGAATTGGAGGAAGTATGAATGGAGTAGTTGGGTGTGGAGCAGAGATATTGCAAAGGGCCCAGAATGCCTTGAGACAGGCAGCATCGCGTTTTTCAATGGCATCGGATGTTAACAAACCATCATTACGGCTCCGCCAGAGTTCTGCGATCCTGTAGGGCAGATTTACCTCCTCGGAAGCACACAACCTCGTCATCAGCGCAACGTTTCCGTGGTGTTGCTCAGATGAACCCCACATTGCATCAGGAATGGTTTCAATGAAGTTCTGCGGCTCAGTGTCATCAGACAACGAGCTCACAGTCCAAATAAGCGCCGAGACATCGCGCTCACGGCGTCCGACAGAGGGGGAGATGGCACGGACAATCATATTGTCGACAAGAGTCGCAGGACTGGTTGCAGGACTGGCAGAACGCGTCGGTTGATAAAACAAAAGTGCACAGAATCGCGAGAGACCCCAGATGGCATTGGAGAATGGAGTGCGATATGGAGAGTCGAATTGTATCAACGGTAAAATGGTCATGAAAGTGTAGAAGCCGAGAACCAGGCCCAGGATACCTGCGACAAGCGCAGCAATGATCTTGTTGACGGGAAGGAGAAAGACGACCAGGCCGCAAAAGGAAGAAAAGGAGGGCAGCATGAAGCAAAGAAGGTATAATCTCGACGACTGCATGCATTTTGTACCTGAAGACAGTGAGAAATAGTTCGTGGAGAGCAATACTAGTAGGCGAACCGTCTTAAGCCGTAATATAGATACGAATAGACGCGAGCGCGGACAACTGGAGAAGATCGCATGTTCGCTCGGTGTAGGAAGTCTCGGGCCCATTGCTCAAGTAAAGTTGCAACGAGGGCACAAGCAAGACTTAATCCAAGACTGATGAACCACAACGCGTTACAGACAAGAGACGATGTTGCTGGTGTAAACGGTTGTGGAATAAAAGGCGCTGAAGTCGAGTTATTGGAGGACACTATGAGGATTTGTTGCAAAAGTTCAACGGTCGCATCGCCGGGATCTTGCACCAAAGTCTTATAGCTTTCGATGAGAAAGGCAGTCAGACTGGCCGAGAATAGACCAGCCTTACGAGCTTCAACGTCAAACGTTACTGAAACAAAAGGAATCCGCACAAAAATGAGCATTGCCTCCATATCACTCTTCCAGCTTGCAACAAGCGATCTGTCGTAACGATCCGCTTCATCAACATAGACAGACCATAGCTTTGCGGCTCCTGCCTCTTCAGCACGGCGGACGGAAGAGTCCTCTGCAAGTTCGCTGGACATGGGTATGAGCGTATACTGTAGAGCTAGCGCGTGTCAACAGCCTGACCATCGTGGAAGAAGACTGCAAGTCGTGTTTCGTTCCGAGTGACGTCTTGTGACCCGACGTGCTGATAACATCACTTGGGAGAAAGGCCAACGCGGTGCGCGGCGGATACGAGTACTCAATTGCACAATACTATGAGTAAAGGGTGCGTACGAGCCCAACCCACACACCCAATCCTAGCTCGGCACAACAAAACAAAAGCAACTTGAAATGTCTGACGATGCGTCAGACTTGGACAGTCTCGACCGGCGACCACAACCCAAACACGTCCAAACTCAATCTTTGGCTCCACTACGGTCACCGCGACCAAATCATGATTCAGATTCGATATTTGAGGTTGTATCCTCAGGCTTGAACATTTTGTGGAGGAATGGTCGTCACGAATGTTTGCAGATGTCTACTAGGGTTAGGGTTGAGTGTATTGAAAGACTACAAATATGATCTAATGGAATTTGAAGACGAGGGGTTTCAAATTTGTTACATTTTAGCTACGGCATTACAATTTTAGAGCGTGACAAGAGAGCTGAAATTTGCGCTGGGAGGGGTGTGATGGACGATTACTAAAGTACTCGTAATTTTGTTTCCATCGACAACAATCTGACTCTTGACTGCTTTCAGAGGCCGCAGCGATATGTATTTTGAGTGTAAACTATGCTCAAAAGCGCCCAACGCGGAGACTTTTACGCCTTCTTCCAGATGGGCAATGGACAGACTGGTGCGAGTTCATGATCACAAACAGGGCACCGCCTGTGCTATTCGTGACCGCACAATATCGAGATCTGTCTGGGCCGCCGGTTCAGTTATCCAGTGAAAGCGGGCTAAACCATCTGGTGGCTCGAACACAGCGCCGTCCAGTACCTTACGCACGACTGGGTATCCCAACGTTGAACCTTGTGGGCTTTCTGTTAGTTGCCGTAGACTGCGAGCGAAACGAGTTTGGTGAGTCATGTCTACGACCAAGTCGTCGTTGACGGACGACTCGGAGAGATAGAATTCCATCATGGGTTGCAAGGCTGCAACAGCGCGGGCCGTGTCGGTTACATCTGTGAAGACATATCTTTCGAGGAATTCCGAGATGACGAGGACGATAGCTTCGAGTTTCGTGGGGCTGCATGCATCGCTGACGGACTGCGCTGTGTTAGATGGGGGAGGAAAGATCCGTTGGTCCACCAGTATGGTTTTGACCACGAATAAAACTGCTGGAGCCATGGGTGAGGCGCATGTTGTCAATACCTCGACAACAGCTTGAATCTCCTCTTTGGAAGCAGGTGGTGGTTCGTTCGCCGGGCTTTCCACGATTGTTTGCGCACATATCCAGATCACAATTAGCACATCATGGAGCGATGGTGGAGGCAATGTTTGAGTGGTTGGTGATTCAATCGCAACGATGGTAGTGGGAAAGCAACGCCACATATATGCATGCAGTCCGGTGTCAAGAAGCCTCCAAGCTTCGTAATTTTTCGAGGCATCGAGAGGAGTGGATGTGTCCCCATCGCTGCCATGATGCTTGAGATATTCAACAATGCTATTGGGTATCAGTCTCCTTTCTTGGGGCTGCCAAAGACTACAAAGCTCTCTCATGACGAGCAGTTGAGGGACCCCACTAGTATGATCAACGTGCAAAGGCGCAGTATCAAGCACTGCTTCTACCTCTACAAGGCAGTTTCGTGGTATGAGGCCCGAAGGATAGATGATGTTACGAGTCTCTTGCCATCGATAGGGAAGCGAGGTACAAGTTGCCGTCCTTTGCAAGTACTCAAAAAAGAGGAATTGAGAGATGGAGTCGCAGAGTTCTTTGGAAGCCATGTCAAACTGCTGGCGACTGCTCACGGACAATTCAAGTTTCGCTAGATTTTGATTGATCTGTGCTGCGTGCGGAAAGAACCGAGAGATGTAACGTCGAACTGGTTGAAATTTGGAAACAGTCGACGTCCTAGTATAGCATCGCGGTAAATACATCCGCAACCATTCAAGCCCGTTCCAACTGGCCATTGCTTTCATGGAGATGAAGAATGGTGAAGACAATATGCTTGGTGACCGCGGAAGTCTGAGGTAGCGAAACAATGGAACATGCACCAGGACACTAGGAAGTGCATCAGGAGTGACTAGGGGTGATGGTGGTACACTGCAAAGTGCCCAAAGCGCCTTGAGGCAAGCATGTTCACGTCGTTCAATTGCATCAGTAGATAGAACCCCATTATTGCTACTGCGCCACAGTTCGGCAATCCTGAAGGGCAGATTTACTTGCTCCGAGTCGCGCAAAGTAGTCATCAATGTGACGTTTCTACGATGTTGTTGCTTTGGACCCCAGATCGCATCAGGTATGGCTTCAACAAAGGTTTGCAGCTCAGTGTCGTCGGACATAGATCTCGTTGTCCATATAAGAGCAGAAGTGTCGCGCTCTTGTCGAGATTCTGATGGTTCGACCGCATTCTCGATTATGTTGTCGACAATGGTGCTTGGGACATCATCAGAATGCTTATTGGGATATTTATGACGCTGCCAAAGCCGAGCGCAGGACTGGGACATGCCCCAGATGGTATTTGAGAGCGGCGTTCGATATGGAGAGTTGAACCGAAGCAGAGGGAAAATGGTCAGGAATGCATAGACGCTCATGACCAGACCCAATATGGCTCCCACAAGTCCCGCCATGATCTTGTTGACTGGAAGTAGGAAGGCAATGAGGCCGCCGAAGAAGAAAATAAGTGAGGCATGCAGGAGCAAGGGTATGATTTCGACAACCGCATGCATTTTGTACCTAATCAATGAGTCAGCAAAAGAGAGCTGGTAGCGAAAATCACCATACCGTCGAAGACCATAGTAAAGATACGAGTAAATTCGCGCACGAACGACAGGAGAAGAACGAATGTTGGCTCGGTGTAGAAAATCCCGAGCCCATTGCTCAAGCAACGTCGCGACAAGAGCGCAAGAGAGACTCAAGCCCAAACTAGTGAACCACAATGCATTGCAGACAAGAGACGACACGGCTGGTGTGAAGGGTTCCTGAATAATGGGTGTTGACGTGGAGTTGTTGGATGACACTACGAGGATTTGCTGCAAAAGTTGGACAGTCGCATCGCCAGGATCTTGAACGAGGGTTTTGTAGCTTTCAATGAGGAACGCAGTTAAACTGGCAGAGAATAGACCAGCCTTCCCAGGTTCAATCTCAGAGTAAACATCCACAAAGAAAGACGTACGAATATCAGCATTCCCTCCATGTCACTTTTCCAGCTTGCGACAAGCGATTTGTCGTACCGCTCTGCTTCATCAACGTAGACAGACCAGAGCTTCGCCGCTGCCGCTTCCTCAGCACGGTCGTCAAATGAGCCATGATGATTGGTGTAAACGGGCGGCATAGGGAACGCGAGCGGACAAGTTGCATGTCAACAGCATCGTGGAATCCGCAAAAGAGGCTCTGCCGATGCGAAATCATAGTAGAGCCAAATACGAAGTGCAGGACAGCCCCTTGAATCTTTCACCCATGGCCAATTCTACTCAAATTAACTCAATCGTTGCAAAAACACAGAACTAATGAGCGCGTAGACATAGTAGACATGGGTCAGTGCTGAATCTGCCAGCGTGACTTATCCTCTAGCTGTCTCTTCCAGAGCCAGCTCATAATCGGACAGCCGCTGTACTCATGCTACCCATACATTTGCCAACAAACCACTCGTGCGATAGCAAGCAACACCTCAGTGAACATCAAGAAATGCGCTCTTGTAGATTCACGTTGGATATCCGTTCTCTTGCTAGAGTCTCGCTCTGGGGTCGCGCTAATATTGACTGCGCGAGACGGAGATCTGCTTGGGCCGCAGGTTCAGTTATCCAATGGAAGCGATCCAATTCAGTGCTTTCTGGTGGGTCGAAGATAGGGCCGTCGAGCAATCTTTGGACAACCATACGTCCGGATAACACCTGAGAGGTCTCCGCTAGCCGTCGCAGTTCATGCGCAAAACGGGTTTGATGGGTGTGGTGTACGGCCAAGTTGGCGTTCAAGTGGCGAGATTTGAGTTCGAGGATGTTTCGCAGGGCTTCCACTGCACGGAGCGCGTCAATTGCGTCAGCTATTGCATATTTCTCGAGGAATTCGACGATAATAATGACGGCTGCTTCAAGTTTGCCTGTGCCATCATCATCTGTGGTCCCTGCATCGTCAGGCGTCTGAGAGGAACTCCGGATAGCGATTCGGGAATGGATTATTTTGTTTATATCGGTTCGGAAAAGTGCAGTTTTGACTGCTAACAAGACAACTGGAGCCATGGGGGACGTACAATCGGTCAACGCTTGGACAACGGCGTCCTGCGGAGGCTCACGCAATCTACCTGAACTTTCTATTATCGCATTGATGCCAATCCAAAGAGCCATCAGTACATCATCAAGAAGTGGCCTTGCTAGCGACGACGTGGACTGGGAAAGAGCAATGGTTGCAGGGAAGCAGCGCCAGAGGCGGTGATGGAGTCCTGTATGATCGAAGAGCCTCCGGACTTCGCCGCCCTTGAGGGCACGGAGAGGGTGTGGCGTGTCTGGAGCACTACCATGGCGCTTGAGGTAACTGATAATACCGCTAGGGATCGGTCTTGTTTCCTGTGGTCGCCACAGACGGCAAAGCTCTCTCATTACTGCCGAAACCTGGGGACCGTTGGTGGGAGCCCAAGTCGAAAGAGTATCTATCACGAGCTCGACTTCTTGAAGATCATTGTCGGTGATGTTGGTATCTGGGTCTCTGGATAAACGACGAGGATATGTAATGCCTAGCGTCTCTTGCCAGCGGTAAGGCAACGATTTGGAAGTCGCGGTGGTCCGCAGGTAGTCGAAAAAGATGCGAAGGGAGATCGATTCACCAAGTTCTCTGGAAGCCGCGTCGAACTGTCCGCGGCTACTTGTTGAGCGTTCAAGCTCTTCAAAATGTTTGTCAATTTTCGTTGCAAGCGGGAAGAATCGGAAGATATATTGTCGAATTGGCCTAGAGTCGAAGGAAATAGTTCCCGTTCGGTGATTGTAGCACTGGGCCAGATATATCTGCAGCCATTCAAGGCCGCTCCAGCTGGCCATTGCCTTCATAGAAATGAAATATGGCGAAGACCAGATGCTCGACGACTGGGAAAGTTTGTGGTTGCGATACAAAGGGGCATGCACCAGTACTCCGGGAAGTGTGTTGGTATTGGTTGGCAGTGGGGTGGGTATGCTGCAAAGCGCCCAAAAGGCCTTGAGACAAGCAGTCTCGCGTCGCTCAATGGCATCGGACAACAACAGGCCATCAGCACAACTGCGCCAGAGGTCGGCAATCCTGGACGGCAGGTTCACCTGCGCCGAGTCGCGCAAAGTAGTCATCAACTTGACATTTTTACGATGGTATTGCTTGGGACCCCACATTGCGTCAGGGATGGCTTCAACGAAGGTTTGCAGCTCCGTGTCGTCCGACATGGATCTCATGGTCCATATAAGAGCAGAAGTATCGCGCTCTTGTCGAGATTCTGATGGCTCGACCGCATTCTCGATTATGTTGTCGACAATGGTGCTTGGAACATTATGGGTGTAATTATTGGGATACCTGTGCTGCCGCCAAAATCGAGTGCAAGACTGGGACAATCCCCAAATGGTATTCGAGAGCGGCGTTCGATATGGAGAGTTGAAGCGAAACAAGGGGAAAATGGTCAGGAATACATAGACGCTCAGAACCAGAACCAGTATGGCGCCCACAAGTCCTGCTATGATTTTATTGACCGGAAGTAGGAAGGCAATCAGGCCGCCGAAGAAGAAAAGGAGGGAGGCATGCAGGAGCGAGGGTATGGTTTCGACCACAGCATGCATTTTGTACCTAACCAATGAAGTCAGCAGAAAAGAGTTGGTAGCAAAAATCACCATACCGTCGAAGACCATAGTACAAGTAGGAGTAGATACGCGCACGAACAATGGGAGAGGATCTGATATTGGCCCGGTGCAAAAAGTCGCGAGCCCATTGTTCGAGGAGTGTTGCAACAAGAGCACAAGAAAGGCTCAGTCCTAGGCTGATAAACCAGAGCGCGTTGCAGACCAGCGATGATAAGCTTGGCTTGAATGTTTCGAATTGAACAACAGGAGATGTGGAATTACTGCCTGAAGAGACTATCAAGATTTGTTCTAACAGGTGAACTGCAGCGTCGCCGGGGTCCTGATTCAGAGTTTTATAGCTCTCGATGAGGAACGCAGTCAAACTAGCTGAGAATAGACCGGCCTTAAGTAACACTTGATTAGGACGTGGAATCCACGAGCCAATAAACGCACGAATATCAGCATTCCCTCCATGTCGCTCTTCCAGCTCGCAACTAACGATTTGTCGTAGCGTTCCGCTTCATCAACATAAACGGACCACAGTTTTGCCGCTCCCGCTTCCTCGGCACGGTCATAGAATGAGTCTTCTCCAGAGTTGTTGACGGTGGGCATATCGAGCGGAAGCACGCGTCAACAGCATCGTTGGTTGTTGGGAAGCGCAAACACGCCGTTGATGGCATCAGCTAATGTCCAACTCTCCGTTCAACAAGCACCTCGAAACTAATTTTTGTCCCTCAGATGCGGATATTTCTCTCATCAAAGAGCTGCTGGTTGAGCCGAGCGCTAAACTCGAGTCCATAACATCCCAGATCGCGGCACTGAACACAAAAGTGGAGAGTCTGCAGAACCAGCGAAAAGCGCCAGCCACCTTTGTCGCCGCACATAGAGCCCTCGCTTCTCCCATTCGTCGTATGCCAGATGGGGTCCTGGCACAGATATTTACTGCCTGTCTTCCCACAGACCGAAACTGTGTAATGAGTGCATCCGAACCACCACTTCTTTTCGGCCGGGTATGCAGTCGTTGGCGCGATCTGGCCTTGCGAACTCCAACGCTCTGGTGTCGTGTGCATGTGCACTGCCACGATCCACTCCTTTTGAGCTGGCCACCACACTCAATGGACGAAGATGTCTCGAACAAGCTAGAACTTCACAAGCTGGCATTTGTGGCCTGGATAGCGCGTTCAGGCGACTGTCCACTGTCCATATCGATACACAGAGCGACACCATCGTTACTTGACATACTGCTCTCCTTCGTCTCTCGTTGGGAGCACATCCAAATCGCTGCAACCCACCCTGTTCTTGCCGCGCTGGGTTCTGTTACCCGCAAGCAAGTCCCACAACTCAAATCGCTCGCGATTCAGGCCATGCAGGTGATGACATTCCACTCGCAGCCCGAGAACGACGAGCCACCATGGACATCATGTGACATCCTTAGGGCTCCCCATTTACGCCATTTTGCAGCATCCACATCCGCTTATCGGCACCTCTCAATACCGCCCTTGTGGTCCGATTTGCGATCGCTCGATATCTCCAACAGATCAAGGATTGTCCATCCTCGGAACAACGCGGAAGGACTACTGGTCGCTGAAGTACTTGCGCTCCTTCGGCAAAACCCTCGGCTACAGTACGGAAAATTTCAGCTCGGCCGGCTTTCATTCATTGGCACTTTGGAGCCAACTGTCTTTAGGCACGACTCTCTCGAGACTCTCATACTCATCGGCGGTTACGAGTTGTCATCATTTACCACTCTTTCTCGATATGCCTCTTTTCCTCAGCTCCGCCACCTTCGTTGTTCCTTTCGTATGAACAGTCGCGAAACAGCAGATGCACGGAATTTTCTTGCTACTTCAACGCTTCTCGAAAGCATCGACATCAACTGCGACTTTTTTACGCGAGAGTCACTTGAGGAATTCCTGCGGGATGTGCCCTTGTCGTTTACCACGCTCAATCTCCGACCCGCCTGCTATCAGCACGACTCGCGGGTACCAAGCGCCGTTGTCGACGATGCCCTCCTGCGGGCTTTGTCTGATCCTCACCAGCCGCTCGCGCCTACGCTCCAAAATCTTGAACTGAGCTACTCTGCCGAAGTATCTGACGAAGCACTACTGGATTTCGTCCGCACCAAGATGGGTCACGGGGGGGCATTGAAGCCCCTCCGCCATCTTTCGGTCCTGTTCAGACGGCGACTCGAGCAGGACATTCTACCGGACCTGCAGGTGTTCTCACGAGAGCAGGGGTTAGATGTCGAGCTCCGATACCAGCAACCTGTCCGTCAAAGTTTCTCGCCGTGGAAAGGATTGGAGAGAGGGAAAGAAGAACAACTGTACATTATTCCCTCCGAGCCAGAGGGCGATGCGTAAGCCTTGGATGTTTTAACTCAGTTTAGTGCCACCTGAAGATGAGGAGCGCGAATAGCGCCAGAGAGATGTTACGGTCTAAGTAAAGAGTACAAATGTAAATGTAATGCTATTCCAAAGATAAAAGAGAATCCAAAGTCCGACCAAAAGCCAATAAATAGAAATAAGAATATACACTGAAGGTGAAGGTGGAGGGAAGATGGTTCAGCAGCCCGAAACAAAGCTGACATCCTGCCACTCGCCCGTGAATATCGGGGTATCCGGCAACAACGTCTCGGATTCCGCGACTGGGTAGAATGTTGAGTCGAAGAATAGATCGTTCGATTGCATGAGCGTCGCAAACGCAGGTTGCGTTTGTTGGGTTGCGGGATAACTAGTCGCCGGCATTGGGAGACCGAACTGAGTTTCGTTGGCGGGGTAAATGCTGGGCGGGACCCAGTTGTAGCTGGTGTCCATTGGAGGGGGACACTCCCAGGGCTCCAGTTGCAATAAAGCCGCCTCGAAACTCGGATCCCAATTCCACGTCGAGTCAAACGCGGGCATGGACGCATCGGTCAAGCTGATGGGAGAGCCGCATGATGACGGTGACGAGGACTCGGATTCCGAGGTGCAGCTGCTGGAAGGCGAGAGCGAGATGGAATGGAAAGCGTAGTCCAGGCTGGAGTCTGACGACGACAAACTGGGAGAACGTCTGGAGCGTGGTTTGTATGCCTTCCTCGACTTCTGCGTCTCGTTGCTGGACTTGTGGTATTTCGCTTCGTGTTTATAGACACACGAGCGGTCTCCAGCGGCGTAAGGGCAGAATGAGCATTTGAACGGCTTTGCGCCGGTACTATGGTACAGTCAGAATGTTTGAATCGAGAAGAAACGATAACCACATACTGTGTGTTCAGATGCGTCTTCAGGTTGGAACTTTGTAAGGTCTTGAACGTGCAGCCCGCTGATGCATATGGGCAGGAAATCTTCCTGTGGACAATAATCAAAATGTGGGTAAACAAAAGGGGAGACAACAATAAGTACCTAGCTTCACGTTCCTCTTTGGATCGATGTAAAATGATATGGCGGGTGAGGTCTGTCTTCTTGTCGAAGCTCCAGGGGCATCCGGGATGTGAACAGCGCAAAGTCCGGGGCGGATTTGGAGGAAGTCTCCCGATGACTTTGCGTTCGCTGGCTGCCTGCTAAACAATAAACAGCGATCAGTCAAAGACAATAAGAGGTAAAATAAGACAAGACTCACATAAGGCTTATTTCCCTTCGCAACAGAAGTGGATGTTTGTGCCGCACGAGGCATTGTGTTCGTCGTCGAATCGAGTCGGGGAGGCGGGAGCGGGGAGCGGGACTTCAACGGGGGTTGTCGAAGCGTGTCATTCTAGCCCAATCCCCCCGCCCTTTTATACCGCCCAACCAATCCACTCGCGATGGATTGCTTTTCCAACTCTACCCAACATGGAAACTTTTTGCTCGCCACTCATCTTTGGATTGGTCGTTGTAAAATCGCCATTAATGGAAGTTTTTTGATGTCGTGAGAGTTCTGGCGAGTGGCTTGACGCGTCGGCGGTGCTGGCAACAAACGCTTTGGCCTTACTTTGTCCAGAAACGGATGCGCTTGGGCGATTTTGATGATGGAAAGCGCGACAAACGCGTGTTTTGCTTCGATACAGTCATGCGACATGACAGGGCAGTTCAAAAGGAGCTGTTGTGCTTGGGTGCCGATGCCGATGAGGTGGGTTCTTGCTGTGGACGCGACATGAGGGAGTTGGAAAGTGGCTGAGGAGGAGGAGTGGGATTGCAGAGCTACTTGAATCCACTAAGAGTGTCAGAGAAGGGCTAACGATGGGTGGTAAACACAACATACCACAAAAGGTTCTGAAGGATGTACATGTGGAGGACAACTATGCATGATTCCACGTGACATCAGCGGTCCCTCCCAAAACGCAAGATGTCGGGTCCTCGAGTAGATATTCCCACTTGACGCTGCTCAGGAAGGTATTTGCCGCTGCTGAAGAAGAAGACCTAGTCCCACTGAGCAGATAACGACAAAATAACATTGATGAGATGAGGGGGGTATATTGGAGAAGTATTCGAAGAGGACTAGGTAGGCTATTCATGTAGATAAAGAAAAGCGACGGGGGTCCCATCCTGGAGAAAAAATTAGCAAGAAGGTTAACAAAAAAAGCAAGAGAGAGAAGAGGGATCAGAGAAGCCGTTGTTTTCTTTTTCCCCCCACCATGTGGGTCAGTGGACACCGCCAAACTCCCAGCCAGAACGGATGGGAGAGGACACTTCTCGCAAACGAGAAGGGCATACCACCGACCAACACGAATGAAGGCTTTCAACGAATGGATGAACTTGGTTTCGTCGTATCGTATCAAGATATGTGGAAATAGACTCACCCGTACTGCGGTAAGGTTCAAGCTGAGCGGTCGAGCCCTATAGGAAAGACGCAAGTCAGCAAGAGGCGTGGAGAAGATATATGCAGAAGAAGTAAGGTCAGAAAAAGTTTTTTGGTAAAAGTGTATCCACAAGAGGTTGATTGCTCTCATTCGGAAGCAGAACTGAATAATTCAGTCATCATATAGGTGGGCCCAGAGGCCAGTAAAGCGATGGACAAGATGGAGAGGAAACGCACGCATATGGCTGGGTCGTGAAGGAAGAGAAGGAAGAATGTCACAGCTGTGATGCTCAGTTTTTTTCATGTTCTTGCCCTCCACGAAGTGGTGAGTTGGTCTCCTCTTGCTGACGATGATGATTCTTCTCCATCCTCGAGTCGGTGACGATCTACTCGATGAACCATACTCGCAACATGCATCACCAACTGAGCCTTTTTTCATTCTCTGCATTCTCAGTTGTCTTTCCCGTTGACTGACTTTGCTTTTGCAGGTTTTCCTCGTCCTCATTCTGTTGTCGTACTGCGTGAGTAGCTCCTTTCATGTCCTTCTCCCCATACCGAAGATGCTTCCAACACAATAAACAAGCATATGTCCGAAGCTCGATGAAGGACAACTTGTATCTCGTCTGAGACTTGCCTCAGTTTTATCACTTAGGAAATATGTTACTGACTAGTACTTCCAGTTAACGGTCGTGTAGCCCGAGCAATAAAATCAATTTGCCTTCTTCCTCGTAGTTGTGCGTGTCTTTCCTTGATTCCTTGTCCCACGATGCATCGTTACTATTGCACAAAAGAATCGCTCCGAATCTTCATGACGGATAGCATATTCTCTATCTGAGACTTTCTTTTCATTGTCACGTTTCTTTGAGCTCTCGACTAACGTTTTCTGTCAGGTTATTCGCTTGTATCTAGTCATATTTCTATCTAGTCCATGAATGCATTACTGTTTACACCTCCCAGTCTACGCAACTGCACCATACCTTTGCTCCTCCTGCTCGTTTTCTGATACCTCATCATCTGTCTCGCGATCGTCGAATTTTCCCTTCACAGTCAACCACCACGAAGCAATGGCCACGCGAAGGACAGCAGCAAACAGTAGGGCTCCCACCGCCTCAACATAAAGCAACGCTACTCGCGCAAGAACAGCACCAGCAAACAAGACGAAAAGCGCCATGATACGATTGTCGCGATTGACCATGCGCTTCATCGGGCTTTTGAGAAACTTCGGGTCTGAAACAAACTCGATCCAAAGTGCGGTTAACACAACTGGCAGACGGGGTCAAGCTTTCAATCCAACGAAGCAAAGAGAAAAGTTGGAACCTGTTGTGCTGAAATTTGAGGTTATTCGCTTTCCGATAACGCCCTGGATGCCCAGACTCGCAGCCATCAGCCCCATTGCGATGCTTGACAGAGCACTGTTCCATGCCGGGACTCCGCGACCGGTCGATATGCTTTCTTCTCCACTAGCATAAATGCAAGCCGCGGCAATGAGCGTCAAAATCGCCTGGATAAGAGTTCCACCAGAAAGCCAGGCTCGGGTATGGGGCCCAATACGGTCGCCAATCCGCCCACCAGCGAATGCGCCAACATTGAAGGAGAGTAAGGAGGTCAAGGCAAGAATGTCGGCGGGATGCAAGCCGCGCTCGTTAGGGGTGGAGAGAATGCGACCAACAGCAAGGGCAAGCTTTTTTTTTTAGTTTAGTAGACCATCGAGACAAGAGACGGAACGCAAACGGACCTGTGCAAAATTGCCAGTCTGGAAACCACACCAGACAAATGCCGCAGTGAAAGAAATGGCGTCGCTGGGGAGATTAGCTATGGACCCAACGATTGTCTGGAAAGGAGACAAACATGAACCCGGTCATGAAGCAAAATGCAGCCAGCGGACCTGTCGCATGCGCTGGGTCGATATCCGCATGTAGGTATTTTCGCCATGCTTTGTAGCGACGAGCAATATTCTTTTTGCTGTTGCCTGGTTTACCCAAAAGTGGCGTATTTGCCGCGCTGCCGTTTTGAGGGGGCTGCATTGCTGACGACGACGAAGGGGTCTGGGGGAGCCTTGGGAAGGGGACTGGTGGTATGGCGGAATAAATAGCAAAAATCCGAGACAACCGATCTACAGTTTGCCACACAGAACGGCCCCAAGCAGGTCGTCAGTGTTGATTCTCTGCGTCTAACGCCTTTCTATCGCCGCGGTCAACTGTGCGATGACCTTGAAACTGTCGGGTAAGGGCCTGATTCTTCTTCACTGACACGTTATACGACCACGAAGGTGGGAGTTAGAGGACAAGAGAACCAATTTCGAATTCGCGCCAAGCCATATTGAAGACCATTCGAGAGCCAGAGCATGGTCAATCGATGAACAGGGAAAAAAGAATAGCAGTCGGACAACAAATGTTGGTCACACCTGGTCAGGAAGGAATGCATGATGATGAAGTGATTTTTTTGGTGTCGAAGTCATACAGCATACTGGCTTGCATACGTCGTCTACTGCTCAGCAGCACGCTTCCTCCGCAGATCTCTCTCCTCAGAAATCGTCAACTTGGTGCCCTTGCCCTTCGGCAGTGATATCCAGGGCTTCGATCCCTCACCGATGACGAAAATGTTGGTGATACTAGCAAACAGGGTCAGCACCTAGACTTTGGCCTTGTAAAAAAGCACGAACCGGGTCGCAAAGGTACGGTCAAGTGAGTCCTTGACGTGAACAATGTCGAAGCCCCCCATGTGCTTCTCTCGGTGTACGATCACACCAGCACGGCCCATGTTACGGCCGCCGGTGATGATGCAAAGGTTGCCAGTATCGAATTTGACGTAGTCGACGAGCTTGGCCTGCTCGAGGTCATACTTGACCGTGTCATTGACGTGGATGAGCGGGTCAGGGTAACGGATAGTGCGTCCATCATGGGTGACAATGTGGGGGACACCACCAGCTCCAACAGCAACTTTGCGGACCTTGAGCAGCTTGTAGCTCGCCTCCTCAGCAGTGATGCGATGAACAGTGAAGCGACCCTTGACATCGTACAACAGACGGAAGTGTTCGCCCGATTTCTCGAGAGAAACAACATCTGAGGCCGTTTGTTCAGAAATATGGTTAAGATGTAACAGATAACACACCCATGAAACCGGCAGGGTATGTCGGGTCGCTGCGGACTTTGTTGTCGACTTTTATGAGCCGCTCCTTCACAATCGACAACACCTCCTTGCCAGTGAGGGCATATTTGAGGCGGTTACGGAGGAGGACCGTGAGTGGGAGGGACTCGCGCAACTTGTGTGGGCCGGGAGATGGGCGGGGAGCCTATAGAGTCATTCAGGTTCCAAAAAATATAAAGCAAGATTGAACAACGCACATAGGTCCCGCTCAGCTTGTCCAGCATCCACGAAGACGGCGCAGCAAGGCGCTTGAGATGTTTTTTGGGTCCGCGAGCCTGCGAGTCGTTGTCAATACCTCCATCTAACAAGGTAGCCCCCCAATCCAGCCAACGGTTTGAGCATAGCACAGGAAACCGCTGGAGGAGATGGAGGAGGATGGGAGTAGCGCACCATGATTGAGTACGAGCTCTAGTGTCTTGAGGGAGCGTCGTCGTCGTCCTCGCGAGGGTCGTTGAGCGAAAAACTAAGATGTGGCTGTGCGACAGCTCGTGATGCCATCTAACCCGTCAAGACTAAACAAGCATCATCAACTTCACTCCCAACTTCAACACCAATAATCAACCAATAATATGAACCTAGGCCGAGAGCGAATACTTGAAGGAAGCTTCCAACTGATTCCAACCGTTCATTCTACCTCAGTCTTCAAATTTGGCCAACACCCATGTAATTGAGGAAGAATTCGAACACCTTTCACCCTGAACTTTCTTCAAGCTGCTCCCCATCCTGATATTCTGCCAATCCGCCTCGAACAACATCTAGATCGTCCTGGGCTGTAAGCTCTGTTATCCAATGGAAGCGTTCTAGGCCTGCCGGTGGATCAAATACGGGACTATCAAGCACTCTGCGCGCCACCAGTTGCGAGTGCTCGGCTGAGACTCGAGAGGTTCCCATTAATTCACGCAATCCACGTGTGAAACGGGTCTGGTGAACCGACTGTACTGCTAGGTCGTCCGAATCATTGGGATAGTAAGGTTGAAGATGCGCTATCTTGTGCAGAGATTTGACTGCCCGGAGCGTGTGACTTATGTCCACTGTTGTGCATCGTTCGAGGAACTCCGAGAGAATAACGACAACGTCTTCAAGTTTTCCAGCAGTATCACTGGATTGGGCCTGGGGGTCGTTTACTCTACGACGCCACATGCGAGCAATCATTGTGTTGATCTGATCCCAAAGAGATACTGCTCTGACTACGAGCATGACTGCTGGAGCCATTGGTGACGTGCATGTTTCTAGTGCGTCGATGAGAGCATCAAGTATCGCTTTGTCAGGCAGTTGTAACCGATCCACGCCGACACTTTCAGTTGTGAGATCAACAATTGTCCATATAATAATCAGCGTATCATGGAGAGCTACTTGTGCTTCCGTATATACCTTCAAGGGTTCTACTGCACAAACTTGAAGCCAAATAATGGTGGCAGGAAAGCAACGCCAGAGGTAGTGATGAAGTCCTGTTTCATAGAAAAGCCTCCCAGCTCCGAAAACTAGCACATCTGCGTCGGGAGAATGTGGTTCCTCACTCAGACGCTTGACGTATGCGATAACGCCGAGAGGGATCTGCCTCTCCTGTTGTGGTCGCCAAAGCTTGCAAAGCTCACTCATTGCTGCCTGGATAGCTGGCCCATTCCAAAGCTTAGGCTCAGGCTGACGGCGAGGTCGAAATTTCAAGTCGAAGAGAGTTGTATCAATAAGCGACTCAAGTTGTTCGAGGGTATCCGAGTCATTCGATATGTGTGATCGCAAACCCACAGGGTACACGATGTTCAGGGTCTCCCACCAGCGATAGGGCAGAGACTCACTGAAGACAGCCATTTTTAGGTAGCGAAAGAAGAGTCGATGGGCAAGTGAGCTCAGCAATTGTCCTAAAGCCGTCTCAAACTGTTGTGCACTGTTTACTGAACTCTGCAGCGTTTCTATAGCTTGGCTGATCTCTGTGGGTGAAAGTCGCAGGAATCGAGAGAGATAGCGGTAAACGGGTGCATAATAAGACAGCATGGTTCCATTCCCACATTTAGCATGAGTGAGGTATGTTTCCAGCCATTTGAGGCCACTCCAGCTCGCCATCGTTCGGATGGAAACATACAATGAAGAATCACCGGGCATATATGTGGGGTAGATGGCCCATAGATCCAGAGGATCAAAGTCTGACGGAATAGCTTCCAGAACCGAGGGGAATTTGATTGGAGCAGGAATACTGCAAAGGGCCCAGAACGCCTTGAGACAGGCAACACCACGGGTTTCAGCTACATCCGAAGACAAGAAGCCATCCTCGCGGCTCCGCCAGAGCTCTGTAATTCGGAGCGATAGGTTTGCCTCCGTAGAGTCGCGCAACCGCGTCATCAACGCGACGTTGTTGGAGTGTTGCTTCTCTGGGCCCCATATTGCATCGGGAATGCCTTCAACAAAAGCTTGCAGCTCATTGTCATCTGACAATGAGCCCACAGTCCAGAGGAGTGCTGCTACATCCCGCTCATGGCGATCGGCCGATGGAGTAACAGCGTGCTTAATCATATTGTCGACAAGAGTTGTCTGGGCTCTACTTTGAGGGTGCCTGAGTAGGCGCCAAAACCACAGGTGGCAGAATCCGAGAAAGCCCCAGATTGAATTTGAGAAAGGAGTGCGATATGGAGAGTCAGATTGCAACATTGGTAAAATAGTCAAGAAAGTGTAGAAGCTGAGAACAATGACCAAGATACCTGCCACAAGCGCGGCAATAATCTTGTTCACAGGGAGGAGAAAGACGACCAAGCCACAGAAAAAAAATAAGAGTGCAGCGTGGAGAAGAGAGGGTATGATCTCAACTACCGCGTGCATTTTAAACCTGAGAACAGTTGAGAATGCCTTTTTGTCGGAAATGTGGAGCGAACCGTCTGAAACCATAGTATAGGTAGGAGTATATTCTCGCGCGAACTACGGGAGAAGATCGCATGTTGGCTCGGTGTAGGAAATCACGGGCCCACTGCTCGAGCAATGTCGCAACAAGAGCACACGCTAAGCTGAGTCCAAGGCTGATGAACCACAATGCATTGCAGACAAGAGAAGATGTGGTTGGTTTGAATGCTTCACGACTGGTTGGTGTAAACGTTGAGTTATTGGACGACACCGCAAGAATTTGCTCTAAAAGTTGGACGGTCGCATCGCCAGGATCTTGAACAAGTGTTTTGTAGCTTTCAATGAGGAACGCCGTTAAACTAGCGGAAAATAGACCAGCCTTGTAAGTCTCAACATCAGAGTGTGGACACCAAGGACATAAAACGCACAAATATCAGCATTCCCTCCATATCACTCTTCCAGCTCGCGACAAGCGATTTGTCGTACCGCTCTGCTTCATCAACATAGACAGACCAGAGTTTTGTAGCTCCCACTTCTTCCGCGCGATCAGAAAAAGAGACACCTCCAGAGTTTTTGACAGCAGACATGGTGAGCAGGAACACCAATGTTGTTTGTAAGCTGAACATTGATAGCATCAGTTAAGCGACTTTTGTTCGGTGTAGATTTCTCCGAGTTCAGAGCATACTCAAGATATACTTTTCCGATGTAGCTTAGGTGCGCGCATAAAACAAACCATCACGTTCGCTTCACTCACACCGAAGACCGTTGCTGTCGCCAATACTACGACTGAAGCAGTCGAGAGATCGATTCTTTCTCGAGGATAGATTACACAATACATACTTCGTTACTTCTCAAAACTTGTAAACTGTGCTTGAGTCAGAAGTGATTCATAGCGAGACAACTAAGACATACCACACGCGCCAACACTCGGCTTCGTAGCAAACAAGACCTCACTCAACGCCTCACCTTCAAGTCCCTTATAAGGCGGATAAGCGGCCGCGACTTTCTTGATGAAAGCTTCAACTTGATCTTCAGGAACCAGGGAGACTGTGCAACCACCCCACCCAGCGCCTGAAAATGACATTAGTCTCAAGAGAGGAACGCCGAAGGAAGAACCAACCAGTCAGTCGACTCCCATAAGCCCCTGCGTCCCGTGCAATCTGCGTTAGCTGATCGAGCTCATCGCACGAACACTCGAAGTCCTGGGCACAGCTAGTTTGCGACTCATTCATCAACCGACCGAGCTCCTTCAGTATCGTCAGATTGTTCTCTTCCGTGCTTCTGGCTGCAGTATCAAGACAAAGCTTGCGGAACTGTAAGACGCGAAGGGCTTCTGAAAAGACATGCTTTGCGCGTTTGTAAAGCTTGAAATGTGTGGCGTCGACTGCTATCCTGTCAATAAAGACGCTCGAGCAAACAGACGACGCACCCTTCACCCACGAAAGATAGATTTCATGGAAATCTTCTGCACTCAGCCCAGAAAGCTCGATCATCTCCTCCATAGTAGCACCGAACTTGGGATGTGTTGTGCCCTGTGGCTTCAGCGACTCCACCGCTTGGTCTAGTTTGCCTAGCACGTCGATCAGTGCCCCTTCATCCATCCCTTTGCCACCTTTCCCAACATCCGTCTCCGAAAGGTAGCGGCCCACAACTTCTCGCAGTGTGATCTTCTCTTTGGGGCCAACATCGACCTGGAGAGTCCTTGCAAGAACGCGAGCTCCGACCAAAGTTTCTACAACACGAAGGTTGTAACCTCTCTCCGCGGTTAGAGCTTTGTCGGATACTTTCAGCGAGTGAGCGCAAACAAGCACAGCACCGCCTAGAAGCACAAATAAATGCAGGTAAAATCTCGCAGCCTCGACTTACTAGGCAAGGGTGTTGGTGAAGCGGTGAGGGATGGATAGAATGTGATGTACAGGACTGATGACGGTACTGACATGACGGAGGCTGCTTGGTCCATTCTGTAGTCCGTAAGAGTCAATTGATTTTATGGAGGAACAGCAAAACTAACCCGCCACTGTTAACTCCGACACGCTTTTCGTTCTCCATAGCAAGTTTGACTAGATCTCCCTTGGTGATCGTTTCCGAGCCAGGTTTAAGCTGGAATCGGGTTACTGGTGAGAATATCGGGTTGGGATGTTAGACATACTTTGCCATTGATAGCAAGGAAGGTAAGGGTGCTAGAAACAACCATCGCAGCGCTGGAGGACAGTCCAGAACCAGCAGGTACGGTACCAGTGACCAGCATGTCAACTGGCATTGGATGCTCAGCCGAACCAGTGAAGTGCTCATTCAGTACGCCCTGAAATAATGGTCAAATAGCGAATAGCGTAGGAAACAAGCTGATTCACATAATATCCCGCTTTGACATAGTTCTCCCATCTGAGTTCCTTCGGTATGTCTAGATGCCAGCCTTCGACGTGAACGTCTTCTGTCGCTACTTTTGGCTGTGGAGCAAAGACTTGTCGTGTGTATTTCGGCTGCAAGTTCTCTGCGACCACACTGCCAGGTGCATGGTGGGTCTCTTCTTTGGGCGAATTCGGGGTGATTTCGCGAGGGGCACACGCGATGAGGATATCGCGTTCGATAGCAGCAGGGAGGACGCCGAATAGGGCGTAATCGATGTGTTCGCCTAAGCAATGTTCACACAAGGGCAGCTGTTAAGGCCGTTGCTTACCGATGAGACTTGATGAGTTGTTTAGACATATAAGTATGAATAGCGGGAGTTGGCGCACTTTACTCGTCCCGGAGCTCTGACGATATAGGTCGGTTTCTTGCCAAACCGCTTCTCGAATTCGTCTGCAAGGTTGCTCCATCGTTCGGCGTGGTTGAGGGAAGTTCCTAAGCTTCCATAGAGCTCCTTAAGGTTGGTGAATACGGGGATTGCCTCTTGGGCTGCCATGGAGGGTGACGAAAAGAGGAGATTAGCTTGATTAGATGAAGGATTCGTTTCATGTGCAAAAGCCCTCACCTGACCCGGTCCAATTCTGTGATCACAACTTGAGCCTTGGCTTAAAAGACAGTCACGAAGCCGTCGAAAGCAGGCTACTTCAACCAGGCATTCGTTTGCACCGGGCGAATGAGAATATTGGGAGGAACAAGCAAGTGTCACGTGCTACAATTGTGACTCGCCGGCCCGGGATGCTCACTTGAAGGTCTCTTATAACACTACCAATTTTCGGAGAGATGACGGCGCTACTACTAGTTAGATAGTAGGCACCAGACATAGATCCAAGTACAAGTGATACAGTGGAAGTTATCCAACCTCAATGCTTTCCAATCAATTCCCAGACAAAAAGTTGGACGCTGGTTCCAGTATAGTCATCACGGGAAGGCTGTCGCTGCGACAAAGGGCAGAATGACAATCCGTTCAGGGTCCCACTGCAGACCACATTCCAATCTTTGACCCGGCGCAAGAACGAAGAACTCACCACACCAGTGGTATAGTATATGTCCTCCTCTATCATCTTCTTCACCTGATCGATAGTCTCCGCCTCGATGATGAACGTTGAACCGATCTAATGAACTATTGGTTTGTGGTCCCACGGGTTGCGGCGCTGACCATCGTCTTGTTTTCGGAGGCAAGTGACTCTGGCGTCAAAAGAGCACCAGCGACACCTAATGCGTGTGCAGATATGCATTTAGAGACTAGAGCCGCCAGCTAATGGCTTCCACGCACGTATGCGGCCGTCATCAATAGCTTTCCTTGCAACTTCAAGATGTTTGGTGCGGACAGCAAGACGTCGCGAGAAGGCATCGGGGTCAGTCTTGTCTGGAGCGTGAACAAAGAATTTGTGACGTGTTGGTGCAGCAGATGAGGACATTGCTCGTCGTAGTAGTTGCTGAGAAAGACCTCGCATGATCGAAAATTTTGATCCGTCGCTGTTCTAGAGTTGCGGTTGACCATCATGCAGCCAATATCAATCGCGTACGCCCAATTTCTGAGCGACAAAGAGGTACTGAGAGGACTGCTTCTAGGATGATATCCGACTTCTTCCACCCGAACGTCGGTGGGGTCGAGAACCACATCTACATGCTTGGCGCAAACTTGCTCAAGCGCGGTCACAAGGTACTGACTGCTCTTCTTGCATTTGCGGCTCGTTGCTGACAAGCTAGGTAATCGTTGTCACCCACAGCCACCAAGACCGCGTCGGGGTGCGCTGGCTTGTTCCAGGCCTCAAGGTCTACTACATTCCATTCTTGCCTATCGCTTCTTCTGCAACCCTCCCCGAATTCCTGACTTTCCTTCCATATCTGAGAACCATTTTAATTCGAGAGCACATCCATCTTATTCATGCCCATGCGTCGCTATCTTCACTTGGCCATGAAGCCATTTTACACTCGCATCTGTTGGGCGTCCGAACCGTGTTTACAGACCACAGTCTGTTTGGCTTCGACGACGCTGCAAGCATTCTCACCAACAAACTGCTGGCGTGTACCCTAAAAAAGTGTGGACGCCGTGATTTGTGTCTCTCATACTGGGTAATCTTCGCTCTGTTCATCGTCGCCCACTTGACAAAATGATCTAGCCGCGAAAACACAGTCCTACGCGGAGAACTATACGAGAAGGATGCCAAAAACCCAGAACGAATAATTCCTCGCGACAACGTGTATGTCATCCCAAATGCTCTTGTGCCCGACCAATTTTTACCCGATTTGACACCAAAACCGAGCGACACCAGTTTGTCTTGTCTATTCTCTTATCTCGAGCTCACTTTATCTAGTCACAATCGTATTCCTCTCACGTTTAGTATATCGAAAAGGAATTGATCTACTGGTGGCCACTGTTCCCAGAATCTGCGAAGCATTCCCCAACGTCCAATTCATTATTGGAGGCAGTGGGCCGAAGTTGATCGACCTCCTGCAGATGCGAGAAAAATACCAACTGCAAGAACGAGTGGAATTACTAGGCTCGGTGCCCCCGACAGAAGTTCGCGCCGTGAGTTCGCGCCAATAGCACATTTCTCACCTCGAACGATGACAGGTCTTGACCCGTGGCACAATATTTATGAATACCTCGCTAACAGAGTCGTTTGGTATTGCCATTCTGGAAGCTGCGTGTGCGGGGCTCTATGTTGTCTCCACACGAGTGGGCGGGGTACCTGAAATCCTTCCCGAGGACATGATACAACTTGCAAACCCAAACGAAGATGGTCGGTGGCTTGAGCTCACAATAATATTCCATACCTTACGCTTCCTAGACGTATTCAGGGCGGTTGAAGAGGCTATTAGAATCATTAGCGAGGGTAAACACGACCCATTACACGCTCATGAGCGAGTCAAGGAATTTTACGCCTGGGAAGATGTCGGCGTGCGGACGGAGGCGGTTTACGAAGCGGTTGTCCAGTCGCCCCAGATCGACTTGCCCACCAGGATGAGCAGAACGATGGAACTCGGCTTGTTTGCGGGTCCAATTTATACCATCATTCTCATCGTGGAATGCCTCTTCTTTCTATTTCTAGAGTGGTGGATGCCCAGAGAGGATATGGATTTCGTGCAGTCAGGTTGGGACCAGCAGCGATTTGCGGAGGTGCATTTCAATTCTATTAGCCCACCTCTATGTGCTGACCTCCCCGTAGCTTGTCAGTACTCACATAGAGAGAGAAGCATCCCAAGCCGACACTCAGCCGTCATAAGTAAAACAGATGGGGAAGAGGAACCGGAACCAGACCGCTCTGACGACGAAGACGGCGCAGGCGACGACGATCACGGGTAGATAGGACTGCAACAGAGAGGTGACCCCCACAAACAGGCTCAGCACACTCAGAAAACACCCCGTTATGGCTTTAACCCATGTATCTATGTCTATCACTGACGACACCCAACCGATACAGCTAGCAGGCGCTGGCACTCGGAACCACCGGCATTACCATCATAGACCCTCAAAGCAGGACGGCTCTGCCATGATGTCCGACACCCTCTATGGCTGCTCTTACGAGCACCGCGTCTTTGTATTATACTTGCCCGCGGAATAGAAATGTGTTTTTTTTACATAAAAAAAAACAGGTGTTTCGACAATGGTCGTTGCGACCCATAGCCTCACAGAGGCAGCTAACCGTGTAGATAGAATGTTCGTCCTCGGCTTGTCTTCCTCCGCATATCGGTAGCCCCAGTCGTGTAATTTTTGCAATCACAGAGATGTGTCAGCGCTGCTGATTACCACTGCACGTTTTCTTCTCCGATGACGACCAGGCAAACGGATTGCCTGGCGTGTCGCATAACAGGCACTGCAACCTTCACCGGCCTCGGCGCGTATGCCCTCTGGATGTCGCGCGAGGCAGCACCGGGCGGGCGCGGGTCGAAAAGAATAATCGCGGTCTTGGGTGCTGGTGTGTTTACCTTGCGGCTCTTCCGTGCCCATCTTACTGTGACTTCAGCGATGCTTGTGGGCGGCTACTTGCGGTGGAACCAGTCTGGAAGCGGAGAAGCGCTACCAGCGGAGCGCATACCTGTCTCGAGCAAATCTTGAAAACTATAGTCAAATTCAAAAGTGGCGATATCTGTGTGTGCCTTTGTGATGTCAAGCACTGTGGACAATTGCTCTCAATTTCTCAAACATTCTCTATAATCCACGAGTGTAGGATTGTTCAACAACATATTTGCTCTCCACCTCTGTGACAGAATGCCTGCAGCTATGAGCTTTCAAACTGATTTTATTCAAGGAACTATCTTTTCCAAGCCCCGTGAACGTGATTTGCGGAAGATTCCGTTGACGTCGCCCTTACCGTTTCTTTTGTGTTCCTGGATACTGTGTCAAGAATTGTGGACCGGTCAATTGCAACTAGACCCCGAGGTTTGTACCTTGACTTGTGGATCACGCGCTGCTCTGGCGAACGTCGTGGCTTACCCCGCAACCGGCGCGAAGGACCTCCGGGCATTCGTCGTGTCCCAACGCACAGTATAAAATGGGTTCTTCAAATCGAGGCACAACCATCCAGCCATCTCGCAGTCACAGCTGTGAGCTCAGTATCCGTCCTCGTAGCCTCGAGCTAATGTCATTTAGAACCCTCAATGAGCACCGTTCTTCCTCCCGATCTCGTCAAAATCCAGGAGGACTACAAACCCTTCATCGTCTTCTTCACAGATCTTGCTGAGGGTCTTAACAAAGGCCACTTCGCCGATCTGACTCTTCCCGTCCGCAAGGTGCTCATGGTCACGAGCGGAAAAAGCAACGGACACTGGTTCCTTGGACTTGTCCAGGAAGAGGCTGGCGGGGCCGTCACCAAGTGCACTTACATCAACTGTAAGGCCTCGAAGCTGCCCGCGCCGACTCCGACCAACGTAAGCCAGACATGGGTTGGGCCCCTGACCTTCAACGACACGTGGTACAAATACGAGCTGCCGGTTGTTGCGGGCCACACGGCCCGCGACTTCCTCAACGTCCTTCTTGCCCCGACCGCAAGCGAAGCCGACGGTGTTGGCGAGCGTCTTGCGATGCTCTACTACGAGTACGATGCCCGTGCGAACAAGGCCCTCGCTGGATGCCGCCACTGGACCGAGAGCGCGGCACGTGCCTTCCAGCGCGCCGGATTGATGGCCGACTCGGCGGCCAACCTGCAGGCAAAAATAACCGAAGGAGGCAAGATTGAGATAGCAAACTTGGAGAACCCGCATGGCAGATTTTATAATCCTGCGCCAGTCAAGGATGACCAGGGCCCTCCCTATAATGTCTAATATTAGTAATTCATATTTTTTTTTTGTGAATGAATCTTTTTCTTTTTTGTTATCGAAGATTTTGCGATAAACTAGATACATATAGGCATATACACATGGTGTTCTACTTGGTTCTTGTCATAGCAAGGTGGACAGCGACATATGAACGAAAATGTAATTGTAGATAATAGAAAAGATATATTGATAGTAGATTTCACCTCCAAGCCGGTCGACGTCCAGCGCCAGTATCCTTTCCCCCCAAATTTCCGACACTCCTCACCCGCTTCACCTCCGCCTTGCCTTTGGTGCTGTCCAGCGCTTCAAAGTTCTTCACCAGATCCTTGACACTCCCTCCGCTAGCGGTTCTAGGTCGTGGTCCAAACCGCTCAACAGGTTCTGCGGGCGGCGGCGATACGTGCTTGAGTTCCTTCATCCTCTGTGGTGGGGCTCTTCGGGGTATCATCGTCTTGGGCGGAGGTGCAGGAGCGGGCTGGAGTGTGACCAGTTCTTTCGGCGCCGTGGTCTTGGGTAACGGGGGACGCGCCGGAGTGGTCACGGGACCGCGTGGTTTCTGCAAGACCTCCAGCGGAGGAAGTGGGAGCCCGGGTCGGTTGTGCATAAGGCCAGTACGAGGTGGAGCAGGAGGCGCAGTCTTGGCCATGGTTGGAAGATACGAGAATATGAAGCCTTTGACGCGTTTTCCGATGGTAGTTGGGGCCACGGGTGCATCCTCCAACCGATTCCGCTCTGCACGAAGCGGAGTGGCGGGGACCATCTCTGCATCTCCATCGGAGACAAAGCTTTCACCTTCCTCGAAACTAGACTGTTCGCTTTCCTCCACTCGGTCTTCTTCCTCTGGACCTTCTTCATGCACAGCCACTGATGAAGACGGTCCAGCAACATTCCTCGCCTCTTCTAGCAAATGCGAGTATCGCGGCGCTAATAGAGAGCCGGGTACTCTTCTCTTCTTTGCAACCTCAGGTGTAGGTGGCAAGTTGCTGAATAAACCACCTTGTACCGCCGCTGGCAATCGTGGTTGTCGCGATGGTGGCATAGCTCGTTTCCCGAGAGGAGTGAAGTCAGGTACTTGCATGGTCGGGTGGCGCTTCGAAAGGGGAGTTTCGTCCAGTATACTCGCCTTCGCACGAGGTGTAGGCGGTGCAACATGACCAGCCCGTTGTTTATTCTGCAAGGCGCGAACCCGGTCGGTGAGAGTGCCTCTGTGAATATATCAGATCAACAGAACATGGTAAGTTAGTAATATGACTTACTCGTCCCATGCATCCCCCCAGCTCTTCAATACCTCCTTCCCGCCCATCCGATCCTCGAATCGTCTCACTACAGCCACGAGATCCACCGCGTCAGCGGATGCCATCATAACCGCAGGACCGTCAGTGGTTTCCACTTGAGGCCGCTTGACAGGTGTGCTGAACGAAGATTTCGAAGATACCGGAGGAGGGGCCACCGAAAGATTTAACACCATACCAAGACGCTCCGCAACTGCAATGCGCTCATCAGTGAAGCATGCGTCAAGAGCTTTCCAGTCTGCTTTCGTCCATTCACGATCGTGTTGATTTGCATCCTCATCGTCCGAGTCTGGCAAGGGAACTTCCTGAGCCAGCGAGCTTCTTCGACCAGAACGCGGCAGTTGTTTGGCGTTTGATGTAGACCTGCTTGAGCCCAAGAACGAGACAGAATCACCGATCGACTTCCTGGTCCTTACTGGCGAGATTCCAAGACTGACAACCTCCTGTTCTGCTTCTGCAAGTAATTCGGCCGTTGTGACGGGTGCAGGGCTTCCTGGGAAGTACACGCGCTCGCCAACGACTCTGGCTGATTGTCGCCTGGCCCGCTTTTGCTTCTCCTCTGCTTCTCGGGCTGCACTTGCTCTCGCTCTCAGCTCGTTAAGATCCTGAACTTTGCGTTTCACAGGTGACGAAGCGACTTTGCTTTTGCTGACTCCCGCAAATGAATGCCGTCGGTGCTTGTCTTTGTCCCGCAGACGCGTGAAACAATCATAATCGTGCTGTCGCCAGCTCATCAGTTGAGAGGAAACGAGAAATACGAAAAGGGACGTACCTGCTTCAGGATCGCAGCCGCTCGAGCAGCTGCACGAGGATCGGAACTGGTTATCTTGACAAGCCCAAGGAGATCTGGATCTGAATCGTCTTCAGAATCACCTCCTTCCTCGACCTCAACATCTCCTGATTCAGCGCCACTCAATATATTGTAGATTTCTTTGCCAGCATTAACATAGCCAGAAACTTCGGATGGTCGACGTGTTCCGCGACCGGTGAATACACTTGGTCCCGGACTAAGGCTTGATGTTGACTCTGCACTAGAATCGGGATCGACTGGTATATACTGATGGATGACAGAGTTATTCGCCGAATGTAAGTGTGGCGAAATAATGGGAGCTTGTGAACGTGGGGGGACGATTGGAGCTTGTGGAATAGGAGGGGCTTGGGGGATGGGAGAGTCAGGCGAGTGAATGGACTCGAACTGGAAATGCAGCGGTATTTGGGAAACTATGGTTTGTGGCAATAGTTCCGGGTCACGTTGATCGTCTTCATCTTCAGGTTCGACGCTCATTCGCTCAACTTTCTCTTCCTCCATATCTTGTTCTTGCTCTTGAGCAGCACGTGCTGCGTCCTCTTCCCTCAGCGCTCGCAAGAAACTCACGCCCTCTTCCATTTCTTCATCTTCATCTTCATCAAATGAAGGCTCCTGTTCTTGGCTGTTGCTCAAATCGCCCAACATCCTTCCACGCCTGAAACTACCATCCATTCGGAAGCTCCCCTCTCCGTCGGCACCTCTCCCAGGATATGGGCTCCCCCAAATACCCCAGGCATCCGAGCGAGCTTTGGTTTCGGGAGTTGGAGGATCAAGTTTGGTGCGGCGAAGGAGAGTGGTATATGACTCGTTGACTGCAGGTGGAGTTGATGGTGGAGATGCGCGACGGGCTGCAGGCGGAGTGGTTGGTGGTGGAACCGGGGCGGGAGACGCTGAAATGGGGCGGGAGCGGGCACGTGGTGGGGTGGTCTGCGAACGAACTGGAAGGAAATCCGCCAGAGATAATGAGGTCCGTGGGCCCGGAGAGGCGGAATACCGAATTTGTTGGGGTTGTGTGGATAGTATAGAGGGCAGAGGAAGATTTCCCTCATCTTCTTGCTCTCGTCTGACATCTTCTTCTTCGTCCGAATCTGAATCCCAGCCCGATGGAGCGGGTCCAGCGACTGGCAACTGTACATCGAAGAGCTCGGGTTGATCTAATTCCATATCCATTGAGTCGCTTGTTGGAAGGTCTATCGAATGGTAATATAAGCAATCCAGCAGAGAACAAGTACGCCAACGCACGAGTTATGTCAACGGTCGGAGTCCTAGTCCAATCGAACACAGACAAGTCGGACGATGGTTCCACATTGCGACTCGATCTGACTGGGGACGAAGAAGGTAGAAGAAGGAGAGGGTCGTCTGTGGGGCTAGGAGGTTCCATAGCTCGCGAGAGATTTATTGGTGGCATCTCCTTCTTGATGCTGGTCTGGACAACCACCCGCAATGGAGTAGTTAATCGAGGCTGGGGAGTAGTAGTACGTTGTCGGGGGCGGGATTTCTGGGTTTGGACGGGTGTTTGTCGGATAACTTCCTGGGGAGGTTTGAAGACATCGGTCGGCGGTTCGTATGGGGTGACGCTGCGCCGACTGCTATTGGAAACAGGGAGCCAGTCCGCATTGGGATTCTTGGAGCGCAAGAAGGCAGCGCGAGTAGGAGACTCTGCCTCGGATAGGATAGATGTTTGGCGGCGATGGGCCTTTCGTGGCTTGGGATTGGGAGTAGTTTCCTTCGTGGGCGTGGCTTCAGCTCCGTTGCGCTTGCGCTTCGGTTGGACAGAGCTATTGCTCTGTGGGGCATGAATGAGCGATGTAGCAACCAAGGAATTCCTGCCACCCACCCTGGGGACCCCGAATACATTCCGCTGTAGCTCTTCTTCAGGTGGTGGGCTGATGAGGGTTCTTGAAGGGTCCATAAGTTGTAGTTTGTGCTCAAAAGTCGGCGGAGCGTCGTTTTCGCTCATCGTGGAGGACAAGGCTCAACCAACATGTGATCGCTCATTTTGGCGCTGACATGTGACGCGCTGGTCACGCTCGCGTCTTGTTTGTTTATTCCGTCTACGAGCTCGCGTTCCTCGATTCATGGCGTCGAAGCGCGATGCCACCAATCCTCTGCTCGCCTCTACAACCACGAAGTCCACGAAAAAGAAGGATCAGGCTAACAACACCCTCAAGCGGAAAAGTATGTCGCCGTAACCCATCCTTAAATCGCGTCTCATTCATGTCATTTCTTTGTTCGATAGACGCGGAGGAGCAGCCCAGTGGCCTTCTCATTGTTCGCGCCAGCCGCGACCAACCGCAAACACCTGTGGCTGGCCCCAGTAATACTAGCCAACCGTCCAAGAAGTTCAAGGCAACAACTGAATCTTCTGGGACGCGTCCAGACACCGGCGAGCAATCCAACAACTTCTCGCTACGGGATACTTCGACGGCTGAAAAGCGACCGGAGAAGGACAAAGGCAAGGGGAAAGCAAAGTCAAAGCCCCCAAGCTCCAAATCCAAATCTCAGTCGATGGTTCTGGACACGGAGGAACCACTCATGGATGGTACCCCCCAGGCGGAGAGAAACAAGGCGATGCGGGCTCCAGCGATGGCAGCTATTGCACGAAGCAGGAATGGAGACCTCTCGAGAGCAAAGACACCAGAAACCCATCTCGACCACGATAATCCCACACCCCCAAGCCACAAGCGACAAAACTCACGGGGAAAACGAATAAGCAACTCATTTAAGGCAGGCTCTGCAGGTGAGACTCCGTCTCGTCATTGCTTTTTTGCCTTGTACTGAAGCGGACAGTTTTGCCACACCCTGAAGTCGATTCCCGCAGCTTTTATAAGCATATCGACCATTCATTACCTCCCGCCGAACAACTTCGCCAACTTGTCACTTGGAGTGCCGCCCGCGCAGCTACCCTTGTCTGCAATCCTACTCCATCGTCACCATCATCTTCCAAAGCTCCTCCTACTGTCCCCCCGACTGACGTCGACGCAATTTCCACAATCTCTCAGAACATCCTCCACAAACTACTGGAGCGCCGCATTGACCTTTCACTATATCGACCCGAGGATGATGGGGCAGTCCCACAGGGGACCAACGCTCAGAATCAAAGGAATCTCCAGTTCCAAGTCGATTTCAACCGAGACATCACACAGTGCGCTTCTTGTGTATCGTCTATTATTTTTAGCTAAGATGTATGTCACTACAGGATGTCTCGTGAACACGACAGTTGGGTCAAGCAAACAGACATTTATACCGACTTTTCCGACTCCTCGCGACGGCTGCTGGAAGAGCGCTATCGACCACAAAACTGGGACCCGCATTTGGACCCTGGCGAATCAGATCCTCCTGAAGCTGGCCCCAGCTCAACGGTGGACAAGTCATGGCAGGAGGGACTTGATGACCGGGGTCGTGCTGCTCTTGCTTTGTGCGACCTTCCCCCCTTGGATGCTGCGCTCTCCAACTCTCCGCCCTCATCACGAAGCCGTCGCCACACAACCCTTAATGGCGTAAGGCCCCTCCCGTCCCGCTTGACTGGCCTCGAGTTCAAGCTTAATATGCTCCATACTCGCCTCCATGCCGCTCGGACAGCAGCACGTGCCACCCAGCGGATGCTAGATGCTCGATTTGGTGTGCTAGGACGGGAGCTCGATGTCCGGAGTGGGCTTCCAGAGACCAACTCAAGCCAACGCGGAGGAGATATGCGGCATTTATTCCGTGCATTAACCCGTGTAGACCCAGATCGAAGGCGGCCACCAGTCGAGGGTGGGCCACCGACTACCCCTCGAAAAGCGAGAACGCCAGGCAGAGAACGGACACCCGGTAGGGAAAGGACGCCAGGCAGACCGTGATTATATAACCCACACTTGCTTTCCATCGCTATCGTTACATTTCTATCTGCTTCGTCTTATATTTGGTTGTATGTAGTTGTAGGATCTGTACGAACTCAGCAGACCCGAGTGCTCTAACAGCACTACTCATTCGTTGGACGTATAGGTTGGGGCAAGGGTTGCTTCACAAAAGTGCCTGATGCATTCCACAATGCTTCATGTTTTGTCCCGTCGCCCTAAACAGTCATTAGAGTGACGCAAATAATCACAAGATGAACGCACAATCATCCAGTTGGGGAAACCAGGGTCGAAAGGGACCGCGTTCTCCAGGATTTGGATTTGCTCCGCCGAAAGAGAAATGTCTAGGGCCTCAAGATTGCTGAGCAAATGTTCTATCTTCCGTCCTCCAATGATAGGGAAACAGTACGGCGTCTTTTGTAGGACATAGGCGATGGCAACAGCTTGGATGCTTTTGGCGCCAAGCTCCCCTGCGACTTTCTCGAGCGCTTCAGAGATGATTTTGTTTTCGGGCTTCTGGTTGACCGCATGGTACATGAAACGGTCCTTTTCGCCTGCCGCATTTCGTTCTTCCTCCTGAGCGGCAGTACGGAATTTGCCTGCGGCAAGTACATTCCACGGTGCAATAGCCATACCTAAACAGACGGTCAATACATATATAGCCGAGCCTTGATAAGATGATACTGACCGTGGGCCCTGGCCATAGGAATAATTTCTCGTTCAAATGAGCGCTCAAGCAGATTCCAGCAACCTTGATAGATAACGAAGGGCGTCTTGCCGTGGTCGCGGGCGTACTGATTTGCTTGCGCGACTACCCAAGCAGGCGTGTCTGACACCCCAAGATACAGAACCTTGCCTTGAACGACGAGATTATGGAGACCATTCATAACTTCTTCAATGCTGGTCTCCCAGTCCCACCAATGCACGTAAAAAATGTCGATGAATGAAGTACCCAGTTTCTTCAGGCTCGCATTCAGACTTGTGGTCATGGACTTGACACTATTTCCAATGAAGCTTGCGTGATTGGTGAACCCCGGTTGTCGCGCCTTGTAGTCCAGGCTATACTGCTAGGTGTTTAGGGCTGCCTTGCATGAACGAAGAAGGACGAGCCTTGGTTGCAAGAACCAATTGGTCGCGGTTATTGCGCTTCTCCATCCATTCGCCTATGAATATCTCTGAGGTTTCATTCTGACTGCAAAACGACTGTCATCGTCGGCCAGTTTGGCAGTAAAGGAACGTACTACGCGTTGGCGGTGTCGATGAAGTTGCCTCCATTGTCGAAATAAGCGTCCAAAAGCGCCATGCACGACTCCTTGGTGGCTCCAGGAAACCATTTGTCACCGATGCTCATTGCGCCAAGTTGGATGGGCGAGACCCGCACTGATGCGGCTGGACACAGCGCCCGATAGTGGGCAAGTTTCGATGGGGGTCCTGGTGTTGGTTCCATATTCTGGTTGGGGTGTTAAAGCCATCTCGAAGCGCTTTTTATGGTGGTGGTTCTGATGAAGGTGGCCCACCAGGGCGGCGGCGTGACCCCATCACGTCATCGAGTTCTTGTCATGCTCATGGGTATTACAACATCTTGAGAGTACAAAATTGAGGGTTATATTAATGTAAGGGAATCAAGTAGATGCGGCACGTTTTTTGAGCACAAGGGGCTCGACAAATGGTGTCTGAATCGTCGCCCGCCAAAGTTGTCGCCATGAGATAGGGTTTCCCTTCGCAAAATAATGAGATGCGCGGCAGGAATACGAGGCTTGGGACGCACATTGTCTCGTTGCATTACGCAGAAAGTACCATGCGAGCCATGGTATTCGAACGGATCAAGCTCGACCCAGCCCCGAAAGGCCTCTTTGCGTGCATCTTGTCCCCCGATGCGGACACGGAGTGTCGTTCCGTTGGGTGGGGCATTTTTTATTTGGACACCCAAAGATACGAGGCCTTCACAAATGGCTGGTAGAAGAGACTCTGGCGGAACACCCGCATAAAATCGAGTTAGATGGGGGGTATAACGAACACCAGATTGGGTTTGGGACTGGACGCTGCATCAGTCTATTGCATCAACAAGGTCGTAGACTGACGAAAAGCATCAAGGTTTGAGTGAATTGCGTTTGGTGTGGTGCCGACAGCATTTCGACGTCTTCATCGTCTGGAGGGTTGCTTTTATGAGTCGTTAGCAGCAAATTCTTTGGTTGATGGTTCGAGCTACCTTGGACTGAGAACAGGGGCGGCAAGATCCAAGTCGCCGGCCGTTCGCAGCGACTCGGTGAGAGCTTCCGCCAGTGTCGCAGGGCTCTTTTTCGCGAGTTGGCTGGGCCTACACCAAGGTTAGGTTAATTAGTAAAGCCAAAGAATGCTTGGGACATACCTCGTACACCATGGGTGCCGAAACGCATCATCTATTGTGAATCTGTCTTTGGGTTCGACAGTGAGAAGGCCCTGAATGAGTGCTTTGGACTAATTAGGTTGGAACAACGACTGGAAACGCGGCAGACATAGGGCATTCGGGCTGAATCGAGACCATGGCTCTTCTTGGAACACTTCACCATCGAGGTATCGGACGAATTCAGGACTCCGTATGGAGGGTTCGTCCCAAGGGGTGTCTGTTGGCACGATGAGCAGTGGGCCCTGGCTGACAAACACGACGAACTTCCGGCAAGCAAAGTGTATAATATGACGCCAACACCCCACACATCGACTGGTTGAGCGGCATATGCTTCTGCTCCGTTCAACTGACAAAGCTTGGTTAGATTCGGAAGTGGCCGTGAGGATTATAACATACCTCTGGTGCCACATACGGCAAGCTCCCGCAACGATCCGTCAGTTGCCGTATCCTTCCTGTCTCTTTTAACATATAGACCGCAGCCAGTCCGAAATCAGATATCTTGAGCGTGCCCGTAACGTCGAGGAGAATATTTTCAGGCTTCAAGTCCCGATGCACGACGCCCAATTTGTGTATATGGTCCTGAAGAGAAGGAATACTAAGTGAGGAAAATATAGCAAAAAAAAACCAACAACGCCAGATATAAGCTGATTGAAATAGAGATGCGCGACCTCGTCTCCAACTCCCACGTCAGGGGCTACAGAATGACTAAGACTTTTTATTTGGGTGGATGAGTGGCACGCACCGATCTTATCGAACAAGTCCCCCCCAGCAGCGAGTTCGATCAGGAAATAGAATCCTGGTATGTATTTTGCGGACAATTTAAGCTCGACGACACACGCATCGATAAAAGCGAGACAGTTGACGTGCTTGACAGTGTTGTGAATCCGCATCTCTTTTTCAAGCGTCCGTCGTTCTTTGTCTGTGGTATGGGGCGTGATGGGGACGAATTTGCATGCTGCGACGAGGTGTTGCTCGAGGTTGACGGCGCGAAATACGCTGTGAAAGACGCGTCGATTCGTGGTTCGGGATGGTGAAACGCGTGAATGACTCACCGTGCAAAGCCTCCCCCGCCGATTTGCTGGACCAAATCATAGCCTAAGAGAAGTATGTTTAGATTGGGTAGTGGCACAGGATCGTTTTCGATACCTACGACCTTTGGATACTTCGGGCTTGTCATGAGCGCGAGAAAGTGGACAAGAAGGTGTGGGGATCACATGAGCGCATCAGTCACAGCAACTTGGTGGCCAAAACATGAAAGGAAAACGAAACCTGGATCGTCTGGACGCAATTAGACATGAAAAATACATTTTTAGACAATCTAGGCATCAACCATGTCTGCGTCTACGATGTCATCCTCCTCCTCCTCTTGCTCAACAGTTTCTGCCTGCACAACAACAGCATCTTTTGCCAAGGTTTGTTTCGCTGGCGTGGTGATGTCCTTGTTGAACACACGCATGCTCAAAGCACTGCAGAGAACGAGTGAGACGCGGAAAAAAACGTCTCAAGCCTTACCTTTTGGCTTTTTTGTCGATCATTAAGGTGAGTGAGGCATTGGACTTCCAAATGGGAAGGTAAAGGTCATGCGATAAACTAATGAGAGTCAGCAATTTGTAGCCAAGATAAGCGAATACGAACGTTGCATCCTCGCCATTTCCTTGAGGGAACCTCACAATATGCCCCCCTGACCCTAACAAACGTCCAGTCAGTGACATGTTCTCGGAAGATGAGATTAATACAAACTTGCGGCAATGGAGGCTGACTTGAATGGCTCATGGAATGTCTCGCACAAAGGATAGTGGCCAGCAACTAACGCCCTTAGGACATCAAAATCGCCGTCGATGATACCGGCACGATCGACATATGGGAGGACCAGCGGTACGGCTTCACCCAATACACGGAATTGAGCCTCGAGCCCGCGTCCAGCTTCTTGCTTGACGAAAATTTTGGTGCCCGCGAAGGTAAGCCGGATCCGCACGTAGTCATTGTTAGTCACAACAGATTTCACGAGGTCGTTGGCAATATAGAGTGCTCTTGCAGCTTCTCCCTCGGGATTCCGGACCAAGATATTTGAGGATGGGAAGTCCGAGTTAATGCAGAGGCGTTCGCTGGAAAGAAATGATCAGTAGCGCGAAAGTAAAAACGTTGACGCTTTACAGGCAGGTTGCGACCGTTGGATCGCCAGGTTTCAGGAAAGTGTATGGGTTTTCTTTGAAAGAGCCTGCATCGCCTTGTTTCTTGGACTTCTCCATCACGACCTTGGTCTCCGCCAAATTTGCCTCTTTTTTGACGTCCTCCTCGATTTTTATATCATCAACTAACTCCTCTGTCTTGATAGAATTTTCTTCAGTTGCGGTACCTACAGCGAAATCGTCCATTGGCTCCTCCTTTATGGCTTCATCCAGTCGAGGCTTTTTGTTTTCAGGACTTTCGGCCACTTCATCAGGCGCCTCGCGTTTCTTTTCACTGTACAGTATGGATTAGTGATCGCTAAACTACGATTCACTAACCTGGGTGCAGTAGCCACCTGTTTCCGCTCCAAAATGGCAACGAAAAACCCGCCAGTGTCTTGTAAATGAGGGTATATCCGGAGACTGCACCTCGAACTTCAGTCAGAGGCTCTCATGTTGATTGAACACGGACCATCGAGGAAGATTATATTGTTCTACATCATCTGGTGGGAAATGGCTGCGTGTCAATTTCGCCTTGAACGCGTGAGTTTCCTGGGTTAATTCCAAGAACTTCTCGTGAGTTTCGTAGATGTTAAGCGATTTGTCGGTCGTTCGCCATGATGTTACTCCAGGAGAGCGCTTGAGATCGGGGAAGCGTGCAGAAACATCGACAAGATGGAACTCTTTCAAGTTGTCAAAAGGAGGTCAACAATGGGGTTGAGAACTACCTGGATTGGACTGTAAGGCCGCTACTATAACGGCTTCATTCTCAACTGGATTGAGAGAGCAAGTAGAGTATACAATGCGACCTTCTGGAGCGAGCATTTTCATTGCTCGTTGAAGTATGCGAATCTGTAGGCTGAGCCTAATTAGCACCGCTTGAACATGAGGGTTCGAGGTACCTGTGAAGCCCATTACCGTCCATAGGCTGCCATGTCTTCCAAATTCCAACATTTTTGCGAAGTGTGCCGTCTCCGCTACATGGTACATCACATAAAATGCGGTCGAACAACAGGGGTTCAAGCTTATTTGGATGTCTTCGTGATGGAACCTTCATGTGTGGGTATATGGATGCATCGAGGTTTGTGACCATGAGAGCCGGACTGGGCAAGCGGGCGGATTGGTGAATAAGCAGATGGGTGCGCTTGTGGTCATTATCATTTGCGATGAGCATTCCAGAGGGGATTGAGGTTGATGTAAGCGTGTCTTGGGAGTGTAGGGCCTCGAGGAGTTGGGCAGTCTGTCTGGAGGTCTTAGCCATGGCGGGAGAACTAAGAACAAGCTTGACTTTGGACCCTGGGGCGGCACACATATCGATAACCTGAGTTGTGTTGAGGATCAAGAGGAGATCATGTCCAATGTATAACCTTGTGATGCGGCTCCACATCCAAGAAGAGTGGGGGCAGCATACTGACAGCTTCTTGTCGCGAAACATTTCCCTAATCATTTGCGTAAGGTAAGGAAACAACCCCAAGGCAACATACCACTTCCGTTTCAAAAACTAAGAACGAGTGAAACCCTTTGAACTCTGGCGATTTCCGAAGCACCTTCTTGGGAACGTTGAACTGCCAAGCTAGACCATCAGGATACCTTCATCGAGTCAGTAACGGTACAGGTAATCTGTCGCCACATATCGTACCAAGGGATCTGTACCGGTGGTGAGACAGCCTGGTCCTCGAAGACTACATTTTTTAGATTAGGGACATGTAAGTCTCTAATTGATGCATTGAGGGATTGTGCTGTTCTGGATAGACAACCTGTTAGTGTTGTTTTCTGATAGTATACGAAGACACTTACAATCTACTTCCTGCAACGCGGAATGTTGTCGGGAGAGGCGTTCTGAGTTTATCCATGAATTCCTCCCATTCTTCTCCCTCTGATATGATGTTTTGCGCCTTGTAGTATGCCACAAAACGGTCGTTGGTCATGTCTTCCTTGTTCACGATCGGCTCGCTCCGGAAAGTGTCATCGCGTTTCTTTCCACCGCGCCTACCGCCCCGTTTCTGATGGTTGTTTTACAAGGACAAGGACAGAGATGTAGAGCCAGCCATACATTATTGCGACCCATCGCTTGAGTTTCGAAAAGGTAAGGTAACGCGTGACCGTGACGACGCGTACGCTCACTTCATCCTTTGCCCACCGACCACGACTATGCCTGTCGCTGTACCCAAGGTCCCAACCGCGCCTGGCGGTATCAAATCGTACTACCAGGCAAAGATTGAAGCGGCGGAGATCACGATAAACGAGAAGACTCAGAATCTCAGGCGGCTCGAAGCGCAAAGGAATGCTTTGAATGCACGCGGTGAGTAACAAACAATACGACTCAAGGAATAACAAGCTGACTTCCGCTCAGTACGGCTACTCAGGGAGGAACTCCAACTTTTACATGAACCTGGCAGCTATGTTGGTGAAGTGGTCAAGGTTATGGGCAAGACCAAAGTTCTCGTCAAAGTGCAGCCCGAGGGCAAATATAGTGCGTACCGTTTACCTAAATGCGGCGTGTTGTCTCTTACAAGTACGTTGTAGTCGTTGATATCGACTCCGAAATCGACGTCAACTCATTAACACCTACCCTCCGTATTGCCTTGCGCTCAGACTCGTATCAAATTCACAAAATCCTGCCTAACAAGGTAGATCCTCTAGTTTCCTTGATGATGGTGGAGAAAGTGCCGGATAGCACATACGAGATGGTTGGCGGACTCGACAAACAAATCAAAGAGATCAAGGAGGTTATTGAGCTGCCCGTGAAGCACCCAGAACTATTCGAGGCGCTCGGTATCGCGCAACCGAAAGGAGTCCTACTCTATGGACCACCTGGAACGGGAAAGACTCTTCTTGCGCGTGCGGTTGCCCATCATACCGACTGCAAATTCATTCGTGTCAGTGGCAGCGAGCTGGTGCAAAAATACATCGGTGAGGGAAGTCGCATGGTGCGCGAGCTGTTCGTTATGGCCCGTGAACATGCACCGAGTATCATCTTCATGGACGAAATCGACTCGATTGGAAGCTCGCGCGGGGAGAGTGGAAGCGGTGGTGGAGACTCGGAAGTACAACGGACAATGTTGGAGTTGTTAAATCAACTTGACGGGTTCGAGCCGACAAAGAACATCAAGGTCATCATGGCCACAAATCGAATAGGTCAGTTTCGAAGATGTTATTCTGCCGCTTGAAAGTTTGACACTATTCTAGATATTCTCGACTCTGCTCTCCTGCGGCCTGGTCGGATAGATCGTAAAATTGAATTCCCACCGCCAGGTCCTGAAGCCCGTGTTGCTATTCTGCGCATCCATTCGCGGAAGGTATGCATATTTGGCTGACCCTCTCTTCCGGACTCATTTCGGGTAGATGTCTCTGCAACGTGGAATCAATTTGAGAGCTCTGGCAGAGAAAATGGGGCAATGTTCTGGTGCTGAAGTCCGTGGTATTTGCACTGAAGCAGGTCAGTTTTTTTTTACAAATAGTCTGAAATCAGAGTCTCAAGCCATGACAGGAATGTACGCTTTGCGAGAAAGACGACAACATGTTACGCAGGAGGACTTTGAGTTTGCGGTAGCCAAGGTCCTGAAGAAGAACCAGGACGGCAACACTTCTGTAAACAAACTGTTCTCGTAGATACCAGAACCGTTTGTTTGTGTGCATGGAAGATGCGACAACAACCCATCAATTCGCGGATTACGTATGCTGATTCCACCCTGAGATGCCTGGGAAATCGCACCAAACGAACGGAAGAGTTCTGAAACGGCCACCTCACACGTCGTATTCACCGTCGTCGGTGGAAAACCTCTCTCGTCCCTGTTGGTGCGACTGCGGCAACCCTTCACAATTCTTCCTCTCCTCCTTTTAACTACCCTCTCTTCTCTAACCTTCAGAAATGTCCGTCGTAGACTCTGATGTCGAGATGGTGGAACCTCCAAACGACCGACCACCCAGTTTGTCGCCAGCCCCCTCTTCGCACGTGAGCCGTGTAGCTTCCTCTCCCTCCCGCAGCGTCCTCGACGACCTTGACATTTACGGAAGCCCCTCCAAGAGCGTTATTGGTGATGCTGACGAGGACTCGGTCAGCAACGACGCTGACAACGGCGAGGATATTCCAACAACAACAAATGACGACGAAACTGCTGAACAAGAGGAGGAACACGAAGGCTCTCCAGCTCCAGAAGAGCCCGAAAGCGACCCTTCTGACACAGAAAACTCCTCCGACGCGTCTGAAGACGACGTTGACAAGGATTTAGTCCGTGCAGCTTCAATTGTCCAGCCAGACAATGTCAAAACAGAAGCAGAACAAGAACCCGCCGTGAACAATAATACTATCCAAATTCCTATGCTCGTCGACCTCCCGCCAGCTCCCACGGTCGATGCCGTACCACTCCCGACATCACCACTTTCTGCCCCTCCAACTTCACCCGCCAAACCAATCCACAAGAAGCCTAAATCGCACCATGTTCCTCCTGTGCCACCGCCGCCAGTCGCCCCACCACCCATGCAAACTATACGGCTGGAAATTCAGCTGGGTGGACCCGACAACTACGAAATTGATGTTCGCAAGAAGGCTCACAGCGAAGGCATCGAATGGGACGCGCTCATGGTGGAGAAAAAGTATGCCGATGACAGCAGTGAAGGGGAGAGCGAGCAAGAGGATAAGAAGGACGTGGACGGGGATGTGAACATGGAAGATGTACGATTCCTCTCCTTGCTTAATTCTCGTGCTAACTTTTTCCACAGAAAGCGAAGCCAAAAAAGAAGAAGAAGAAAAAGTCCAAGGCGGCTACGGAATATTACGATGTGAATGACCCCTTCATCGACGACTCCGAGCTGGCGATCGACGAGCGGACATATATTGCGCAGACGAAACAGACCGGCTTCTACGTGAGCAGCGGAGAAGTCGCCCTTGTACGAGACAAGGCTCCCAAGAAAGCTCCAGCCACAACTGCCAAAGGGAAGAAGAAGCCGGCAGCAGCACTGTCGCTCAATTTCCCAGTGGCTTCGTCGTCTAAACCAGTGTCTGGAGTGAAGAAAGCATCTGCCAAATCCGCTCCGTCATCCTCAGCGGCGCCGCTCTTGAAGGGACTGGGAACCAAGGAATCTCCTATTCCACTTGAGGATGAAGACGACCGCGCACCGAACGGGGCCAATCCAGCCAAAGGTAAATGGAAGGCCTCCGCTTCAGCGAACGGCGAAGAAGATGAGACCGAAGTCGGCAAGAAGCGTAAACGTGCGGCTAACGGGACAACAGACGGACCAAAGAAGCGTAAACCCGTGGATATAGTGAGGCTAGTTGTATGGATCAACAATTGTCTGATACTGTTACAGGAGAACTTCCACCCAGAACTACAGGCCAGCATCGCTAAGCTCAAGGTCGCTATAGCTGCTGAGTCTTGGGAGACCAAATCCAAGTTTCCACCAAACCTCAAACCGATGTTGAATGATCTCGCGCTTCAGGCCATTCAACTGGACGAGTATAATGAGCAATTCTTCAATCTTATGCCGACTATATTTCCCTACAATCGGTTTACTATGACCAAGCTTATCAAACGGACGGTGTTCAAAGACCACTCAGACCTCCTGCACGCAAAGCAGGAGGAGCTGTTAGCCGACCTCGCGCGACTTGCGACTGAAGGGTTCTCGAAGGCGCAAGAAGAGTGGGAGAAGAATGTAGCTTCCTATGGTTCGTGCCCGTGGTCGTTAATTTGTCATCTGATAATAATCGTTCGCAGAAGAAAAGCAGAAGGAGAAAGCTGCTCAAGTCAAAGCTGACTCAGAAAACCCGGAAGGTGGCTCCCCCCACACGACCGAAGACCAGGATGCGGCGAAGGAAGATAATCCAGGGACGGGAAAACCTGGCACAGCGCAAGGCCCGCCACCGAAACGATACCGCATGACCGACGAGATGAAGTCAATAGTGTGGCAGCTTGTCCAGCTCAGCAACGAGCTTTGTCGAATAGAGAACGAGAAAAAGTGCGTTGCTCATTATTTCATGGGCTGGTTAACCTGATGTGCGGATAGTGGACTGGAAGGGTCTGTTCTCCAAGTCAGCGAACAGGGCCTTCGGAAAACTCTTTATCAACGCGTAAGTTGGCCACCAAAGCTTATCGTTCCCTTTTAAGCAACCTCCCTCTTAGATCGTTAGCTCATTTCCTTCGGGTTGGATGGCATCAGGCCAAATCTCTCGCGATGGTCAGCGTTCATCTCCATTAGATCTTGCATCTCACCCATTACCCTATCTAGTGAGTGCCATGAAAAAGAAGATGGAGAAAGAGGTGGAGGAATAACAAGCAATTATTCGTCTCTCAGTGGACTTCCTATATTATTCCTAAAGCCTTATATCAGTAACATAGCATCAACTTGTTTCTAGTACTTCTTGTTTTGGGTGTAGTAGTATACTGCGTGTTCCATTGGGTTCAAGTGAACACTGACTGAGTTTTGTTCGAAAAAACAAGATACAGAGTAAATTATTTACAACCAGAAAGTATACAAATTACCCGCAGGTCAATTATGTAATAGTTGATGGGACCAGTGCATGCGTTTATAACAAGGACTCCAGAACAGCGGACAACCAAGGATTGGCCTCAATTTTGGGCTGAAACTTGGTGATGTGGCGTTTTAGTTGTTCCAGCTGTGCCTCTGGGGAGTCATCCCCCATAAGAATATCATCCCCATCAGTGTCTGAGCTGTCTGCCGACCAGGCGGTGAACAAGTCCTCTAGTATTTGGATCCCTTCCTCCGTAACATCTTGCGAGAAGCCAGTATCGTGGTGCTTTTCTGTCAAAGGTCATGTCGACAGACAAAAGTGTGTGTTTGATAAAGCCAAACCTCCTCCGAAGTCTTCCAGTTGATCAGCTTTTTGACGAGCGAGCTATAAAACAGCACTATAAGCAATCGCTTGACGGCGCAGCGATAAAGCTTAGGCACCTTGATTACATTCTCTGGGAAGTTTGCCAGCTTTGCGACGTGAATTCCAAAGCTTTGGTCGGAGATGCCTGATATTTGTCAAACCAAGCAGAGAAAGATTTCGGCGTCACTGACCAGGTTCGACTTTGTAAAGCAGAATGATGTTTTGTTCGCCGGCTTCGATATCGTCGACATGAGCCACAACATGGAGATTCTTCACATGCGGGATTTGTTGGTCGAGCGCAGTCAACTCGTGAAAATGTGTGGCAAAAAGACAGAATGCGTGGATTTCGGATGCGATGTGTCTGGATGTTCGTCGAGGTTAACTCTAACTTCCGCATCTGACCACGCACTCAGATATAGCCCAGGCTAGGCCAAAACCGTCGTATGTCGAAGTTCCTACAATTCTTTCAATTTTCTGAAGGCCAGAGTGACGATTTGAAGAGACCTCGTCCAAGTTCATCAATAATGATCAAAGAATCCTTAGTTGCAGACTGCAAACATTCAACCGCGGTCCAGCCTTACGAGCAAGTACTAACCCTGAGAATTGATGCTGTTTCTAGCATCTCGGCCATGAATGTAGAAACACCTTTGAGCTGACTGTCGCCTGCGCCAACGCGACATAAGACGGAGTCAAAGATAGGTATTCGTGCCTCAGAGCAAGGCACGAAGCAGCCTGTTTGTGCCATAAGCGCAATAACTCCAATCTCAGGTGTAGTCAATTCCTTGACCGCTATTGCGATAAAATTGCAACCCACCTGTCTGATATATGTGGATTTCCCGCCCATGTTTGGGCCCGCTGTCGAGAATGAGAGCCATGTCTGATATAGGTTTAGGAATTTACTGATGATCTGGAATTCGCTTTTATCTGCGGCACACTCAGTCAAATGACAGTCTCAGCGGCAAGAACGTACTCTTGACCATTTCAACGTCATTTGGGATGAAGTTGATGTCGTCTTGCGCTTCCAGACAAGGATGACGAGCATCTCTAAGTACAAGATCACCGGTACCTCGAGGAGTAACCTTCGGTTTCACGTAGGCATCCGTCGCGTTGACTGCGACATGAGCAAAGCTCAGAATTACGTCCAAATGAGCTATGACATTGTCGAGCGTTTCGAGCACGGTCGTATAAGTCTCTGTTATGTTCGTAAGCTGTTAACCGGTTGGTGGCAGTAGAATCAGCGCACTTGCGATATCCACGATCTCCTCGACTAGTTTCCGCTGCTCTCTCTCATACTTTTCCGTATAATCGCGATAATCAGCCGCAAACTGCTTCAACTTCTTCGTTGTAAAAAAGCAGCCGCTTTTAGTTGACCCTAGGCTGATGTAGTCGGAACCTTTGCTATCTTCAATTTTTTTCCATTCCTGTGTATATGTTGTGGTGCGGCGAAGCCGGGACAAAGATAAACTCACGGGTTTCGTCACCCGGAAACAATACCCGTATGTCGGGTTGTGTTCGAGGTGCAACTTTTTGTCCATGTCAAGATCTAATTCGCGGGCTTCCTTTTTGTGCACCCCATCCAACCCATCACGTGCTTCTCTTACTGAATCGGCAAGCTCCAACAAACTCGGTTTGTATTCTGGTTTGATGATATAGTTGTGCTGATCAGTGGCTTCCAAATCCACGGTGTGTTCCACCATTTCGGCATATTTGGAGAGATTCGCGCTATAATTCTGGCCAAGGGTTTGTCAACAAGCAGAGTATACTTCATGTCATACCCGCAAGTGGGTTAAGTAGATTTCTTCGATCAGTCCAGTATTTTGTTCTTCATCTACTCTCGTGTTCTCGAGGGTCTCGATGAGAGTAGGAAGCTGCAAGATCCTCAGTTGGCACATGACACACATGAGAACCACACGAACAAGAACGACCACCTGGTACACCCGAACCACATCCTCGAGAGTAGCGATACCCTTCTGTAGTCGCTTACTTAAACGGCGCAAGTCCGGAAAGACTTTCATGTTCTCATCCTATTCGCGGCACTCAACACACATGATTGAGACAGAAGGGGCACGGACGAACCTGCAATGCTCGCCTTGTGTTGGTATCTTCCACGAATATTTCCACCAAGTTCTGTCTTTTTTCTGCGATCAATCGCCCTGAGTATCAAACCATAATCAAGAGACATTACGCACGGATCTCGTGCAAGTTTGTAAGAGGCTGCTTAAGCCAAGTGCCCAGAAGCCGTGTGCCTTGAGCCGTTTTGCACTTGTTTAACAATCCTAGAAGCGTCGTGTTTCGTGTGGCTCTCTTAATTAATTGTAAGCAAATTGGGTCTACCAAGCGACGAGACACGCACCGTGACACCTGGCGCCTCAACGAGATTGAGAGCACGAAGAGCACTCGCGTCGAGTTTCATATATTGATCAAGGTCGTGAGTGCGAAGAGTGCAACGACCATGGTTAGAAGGGTCACTCAGAAGGCCCAAATAAGTGATTAGAGCAGCCAAAGAAGCTGGCGCATTAGGGAGTGCCAGTTGGGCTATATGAAAATTTCGGATTTCGAACATGTTGTGGGAGGCGAACGTACGTATGACCATAGCCACGTCCGCTGAAGTGGAAGCGCCCAGTGCCTCTAAGGCTTTTACGGAGAGAAGTTTGGGCAGATCATCAGCAATATTTTTAGGATTGAATTCGCTGGGCTTTTTCTCTGTCACGACGACACCACATCTGTCGAGGACAGCCTTGAGCTTGTTGAGTTCGAGGTCACGGTCGGTTGTTCCAGTTTTGGTCCCAGTAGGAATGATTGCTTCTTTTATGGAAAGTTGTATGATGAGGGACTAGAAAAAGCAATGAGCTCAAACTTTCGGCATTGAGATTAACTTGAACCTCAAGATTTGAAAACAAATCGTTGTCTACGAAATCTGCGACGCCGAGTTCACGAAGGGTCGGGTCCGCGAAAGCGACTCCGAGGGCTGTCGTTTTCGATGCTGCAGACGTAGCCAACTTGATTGCCATTACAACTGGTGGCGTGAGTAGATCAGAGCCAGCTCCGAACAGGAGTTCCTCGACGGCCTGCAAATTTCCTGGTGACGCCTTCCATATGTTGAGCAAGAAACAGTAGGTGACAAGGTAAGCGCACCTCTTTGTCCAAACGAAACTTAACAAGTTTCTTTTGGCCAGACTCGGGCGTCCATATCTCTACTCTGAGCTGTTTACTCGTGAGAGCTTCTCGCAATGTTGTGAGAGCAACAGTCGCTTTTAGAGAAACGCAGGGTAGTCCAACACCTTTCCCACCCCGCCCCAGATACTTGATTACGGATTGAGTGCGAAATACATTTGTGGCGACATATAGTGCATCGTCGCCGTAGCACTGGTAATAGTCGTCGACCGGACGGTGAAAGAGACGGAGTGTGCCCGTCTCTGGGGACTTTTTAGGCAAACGGTCGAAAAAGGGGATAAACCCAATATCAGTCTCCTGCTCGGTCGAGTCCTGCTCTGGGTCCCGTTCTTTTGCGTATTGTGGCATGGAGGCTGCTTTCAATGAAAGAAACGCGTTGAGCGCGTTCGTCACAAAGTCACAGGACCCGTCACTTGTCACAAGGGTCACAGGACACCTCTCCTCGACAAAATGGCGATGCTGCATCCAGACGATGAAGCTTTCGCGAAAGCTAATATTCTGACGGATGAAACGATTGGAAACCTATTCAAATCCAAGCTTGGACTTCAACCGGTGCACATCAGCTGTCCAGAGAAACAAGGATCGTTTCACAAAGTGTACTTTGTGTCGTTGCCTCACTTGGAAGGACATCCGTGGTCTGGCAGAAGCTTGGTTTTACGGGTTTCCAGGTAGTTGAAAAGCCGATAATGGTACTGACTAAGCCGGGTTAGAAAAACAATCGTTAAGCTCAAAACCGAAAATGAGATCGCTTTTCTGCAATTACTGCAAAACTCAAAAATCCCTGTGCCGCAAGTGGTGTTCTTCTCCTCGGATCTCAATAACTCTCTTGGATACGAGTACGATTGTGTGGAAAGTCAGTCCTACGCTGAGCTCGGTTGTGGATAGGACTGATGTCCCGCTAGGAATCCAACATCCCTGCCTCTCAGAGGTCTGGTCAACTTTTTCTTCACGACAACTAGATAAGATTCTTGATCAACTGGTTGAAATATTTCTTGAACTTTCTGCTGTCGACGTTCCTCGCGTATACGGGAGCCTTGCGCTGAACAGTCAGCCAGCGCCCGTCTTGGAGGAGACAATGTGGCAAATGTGAGCAACCCGTCATACCACACTCTTTTTTCTCACTCTTAGCCAACAAGACCGGATATAGAACGATATTTCTATGCCCCGCCCTATAATCTACAACTTGAAACCTTCCTGTCCCTCAATCCAGGCGGGTTTTACACGTCCTGGCCCGAGTATATATCCGCCTTCCTGAAAACTTACCACCATATCATCTCAATACATCCCTCTGTCCAGTTCCTCTCGACCATTCTCGACCCTCTTCAGGCTTTAATCAACATTCTTGACTCAGCTGAGGCATCATGGGTGCAAAGCCTTCGCGATTCTCCTAGGCTCCGCCCACGTATCGCTCACCGAGACTTGCACTTTGACAACATCTTAGTCGACGCAGATGGAACGATCAAAGCCGTAATCGACTGGGAATTCGCCGGTATTGGAGCGGCATTTTCTTCGCGCTCATCTATCATCGACAACTGCACAGGGTTTCTGAGGCACCATGGCTTTTATCCAGATAACCCCATAGCAAAACTTATTGTCGACACATGGCCGACAGAGTTCCAAACACGTTTAGAAAGGCGGGCGCCCGAAGTTGCAGCCATATGGGCACAAACGATAGACCGTGATACAGTCTTGGGGGTCGAGGGTAACGCACTCAGTGATGTTCGTGAATATCTTCGTGCCTGTTTGGAGGTTGCGATTCGTGGTCACGAACGGACAGAGAAGGCCAAGACAGATTGGAAAGAAGTCGTAGTCAAGAATTTACAAGTTTTGGGATTTTGAACTGATCATGAAAGCGAGAATCCTAACCAGCCTAACCTCGAACGAGTTTAGGCCCGAGCTTTGAGTTGAGCGGCGTGTTGCTGCAACAATGCATAGACGGGATCTGTTGGATAAATCGCATAACCATCATCGGGCGACGCGCTGTTGGTGAGCTGTGAGCCAGCTTGCCTGCCTTGCTTGTTAGTGGAGTTTACCCGGATAAGACGGATACTGACCAAAGCAAGTCTCCTGTGAGCCCAGAGCTGAGAATCGTTGAGTACCAAGAAGCATAAGTAGCATTGCGTGTTGAGCTGGACGTGACGCCAAATTCTTCGATGATGACGGGTTTGTTGGTGGAGTTCATGACCGTTGCGTGGTCAATAATCCATTGCTGGCCCCATGGCCCATAATTGGATTCGCCCCATGGAATGGGGTAAAGCTGTAATATGTCCTCAGTCAAAGAGCTTCGCTATGTTTCCCAACGTACGTGAAAGGTACCGAAATCAAGCGTGCTAATCTTCATGTTGGCGGCAAAATCAACTCCCATTGTTCCACTGTCACGGTTCATTCAACCATGTTTTTTGCACTATTTCTGGACCCACCGATAGTTCCAGTCAGAGTTGTTGGGTTGATTGAAGAATCCTTCGTCCCCAAGAGCAACGAGATGGTTTGAATCAATCGACTTGATGTATGCAGATATGTTAGAGGCCCAAGTAGTGATCGTCGTGGGTGTGCAGCTGGAAGAAGCTTGTCTAGAGTAGCTGTTGTAGCGAAATGATGAATGGCAGTTGGGGTCACTTACGTGTTGCTGCCTCCACACCTTGGTTCGTTGGCTGTTGTTGAATGAATACGACCCTTCCTGGAAAAAAATTGGACGTGCTCACCAAGCTCCCAAGCCTGTGGTGGTTCATTTAGTTGTGAAGAGGCTGAACATAAAACCTCATACCATAATTGTGGGCTCGTTGACATAGCGAGAGACGATAGCTTGCACATAGGTCTTGAAAGAAGACTGCGGAAGCTCAGGCAGCGCAAGGAGAGTAACTAATATACGAACAATGACCGCAGAGTTCGTGTAGAATGCATCGTGTGGTTGACCAGAACCGAGAATTTGGGCAGTATATGTATCCATCCCACCGAAATCAGACCTCGAACAAAGTTCAGAGCTTTCTTGAACTGGATCTGAATTCTCGACTCACCAATTGTTCGTGCTGTAGATTTGACTCAGCAACGAGAAAGTTAATCACAACAGCGAACTCACAGAGCAATGATGAGTCTTATTCCGTGAGCCTTGGCCGAAGCGATGACAGTGTCTGCAAGTCACCCGTCAAAGCAGTATTGAGTGTGTGCAAATAAACAGACCGAGGACTTGGAGACCATTTGCACCAGTATTGACTGTAGCGGTAGCTCCGTTCCAGAGATGGAAATAAACACCATTGGGGGACGTGGCCTCATTGAATCCCCTGTTTTGTCATGAACACAAGCACAAGTCACGGTAGAATAGACAGATTTTACCAAGTTCTACAAAAAGCATTTTCAAGCTTGAAGATTGTGACTAAAAAAATAAAGTGTACCTCACGGTGGTTGCACCACTATTTGCAATATCCGTGAAAGCCTTGTTAATATCGGCCGTGCTGTATCCCAGAAGGCCAGGCCAGTAAGCATTTGAGCTGAACCGTTTAATTTTGTTTTGAGGTAGACCGATGCCACATACCCAACAACGGTAAATTTCGAGCCATTCAAAGTAAAACGCGTCCCAGAGGTCTTGACGAAGCCCGTTTGCGCTGGGGCAGAGGCTGACGAAGTGCGGGAAGTAGTTGTACTTGTTGATCGAGAACTAGAGGGCGGCACCGTTGTGCTGCTGATTACGGTGGTCGTCACTTGATCGGAGGGCAGACACTAATGTGAAAACTAAGTATTGCACCGTCACTGCGACCGTCCCCACCTGAGAGTAGTAAGGGTTTCTTTAAAAAGAGTCACTGAGCACGGATTGAAGAAAACCAGCAAGTGAACACACTGGTATACACAAGCGCTACCTGCTACGCAAGCTGGAGAAAGTACTGAGAGGAATTCTTGACGCAACCAGTGAACAACGCACTGGTAGCACCAGTCCAGTTTTGCCCTCCACATTGCCCCCAGACCTATCATCAGCTTCAACTTAGGTTATGCAACGTTCAATAAGAACACGCACTGGGCTCTGAGCCAACGCTGAAGATATTCCGAGGGCTGATACGAGTAGCGTTGTATGAATCATTGTGCCTAAGGCACGACCGGCCACCAGAGTTGTTCATTTTATAATGGCAAACGGCCGGACAATCTTCGCGAAACCATCGGCCAGCGGATGAGGCTCACAGGACAGGTCACGTAGACGAGGCTTGATTTTTGAAGAAGTTCAGGCTCCTTAGCGACGGAAAAACAACAACAACAGGTCATGCTGGTCTGTTGCAACTTGTCCTAGTACACACAGACCTATGTGCTGAGGTAAGCCCAGTGTCACGTGTGGGATTTTTGACGCGTTCCAGGACTCGGAATTAACCATTTCATCGAATCGTTGCATTGATGTCTTCAGCCGCGTCAACATCTGCCCCAGTGGCTCACAATGCCGTACCGCCTCCAGCTGCATCGGCTGCCGGTCGGTCATCGCGAATCGCTCCCCATTCGCACATAAAAGGGCTTGGACTCACCGCCGACGGAATTGCCAATCCAGATGGTGCTGGTTTTGTCGGGCAAATAAACGCGCGTGAGGTTCGTTGTCTCGTGTATAGCTATCAACCCGCATATAACTAAGACAGGCGTGTGGAGTTATCGTCGACCTGATAAAGTCGCGCAAGTTTTCTGGACGCGCTTTGCTGCTTGTTGGTGCCCCAGGGACAGGCAAGACTGCTCTGGCACTGGCCGTTTCACAGGAACTTGGCTCGAAAGTCCCATTCTGTCCCATTGTAGGGTCCGAGGTGTATAGCACGGAAGTCAAGAAGACGGAGGTGCTTGCAGAAGCCTTTCGACGAGCAATTGGTACGTTCACCACACATTCTTTATGGAATAATGCAATTTTCCATAGGACTTAGGATAAAAGAGACGAAGGAAATTTATGAGGGTGAAGTAACGGAACTGACCCCAACTGAATCCGAAAATCCGCTCAGCGGATATGGAAAGACTGTCTCGCATGTGGTCATTGGTTTAAAAACAGTCAAGGGTACCAAACAGTTGAGAATGGATCCTACTGTGTACGAAGCGATCCTCAAGGAGAAGATTGTGGTTGGCGATGTGATTTATGTCGAGCACCAAACTGGTGCTGTAAAGGCACGTTCTTGCGAATGTCTTTACTCGCTTCCACTGACATCTGGTAGCGTGTCGGACGTTCTGACGCGTACGCATCGGCCTACGATTTGGAGTCTGAAACCTATGTGCCTCTTCCCAAAGGAGACGTGCATAAACGAAAAGAGCTCGTCCAAGATGTGACTTTGGGTGATCTTGACGCTGCCAACGCACGCCCTCAGGGCGGACAAGACATCATGAGTGTCATGGGGAGCTTAGTGAAAAGTGGAAGGACGGAAATTACGGACAAGTTACGAAGGGAGGTCAACAAGGTTGTGCAAGGTTACGTGGACCAGGGTGTTGCTGAGGTCGTTCCTGGAGTCGTGTTCATAGATGAGGTCAGATTTCTTATTCCATTGAACAATTCCCCTTACATTTCATAGGTCCACATGCTTGATATCGAATGCTTCACCTATCTCAACGCGCTATTGGAATCTCCGATGGCACCAACAGTTATTCTGGCAACGAACCGAGGAAACTCGCTCGTAAGAGGCACCTCGGACATCGTTTCTCCCCATGGTATTCCTGTCGACCTACTGGATCGGTATGTGACTCGAAATCTTCAGTTGGCCTCCTTTCTTGAGTTGACCAATTATGTAGGTGTATGATCGTCAAAACAGACACTTACACTAGAGACCAAATTGGCAGGGTAGTACAGCTCCGTGCCAATGTTGAAGGACTTCGGCTCGGTGAAGGTGTACTTGAGCGGTTGGCTGGGGAGGGAGAAAAGGCATCATTGAGGTTTGTCTGGTCTTGTGCTGGTTACTTTCGCTGACTCAAAAGAAAGATATGCGTTACAACTTCTGACTCCTGCTTCGATTCTTGCGCGCCTTGGTGGACGAACGCAGATCGAAGTAGAAGACATTGGGGAGATGAATGAGCTGTTTTTAGACGCAAAAACGTCGGCGGGAATGATTGAGGAAAACGGAGGATTTCTTGGTGGAAGGTAGCAGTCGCGTATATTCAAAAGTGTAAATAGTCATTGAGAGGGAGCGCCAAACAGCCATTGTCGGCTAGGGTATGGGAGCCTATTCAACTATGTCGATGGTAAACAAGTGACACTGACAAACAGTCCTGTCCCATCAGTCATCCACAACGCGTTTCCTTTCTCTCTGTCTCCTGCTCGATTTGTCTTACCTCCTGGCTCACGACGAGGATGCGCGAGAGCAACTTTGCTTTCCCGGCCCAGAACAAGGCGTGTGTATGTATCACATCTCAGCTATATGACCGGCGAGGTGAGCCACAACCAACTACAACGCCCGATAGAAATGACTAACCTGTTGAAGCCTTGGACACCTCGTCCCCGCTGCCGTTGTTCAACTCGCTCACCCATCTTACCTACCTGACCTCAACGTCGCCTCGTATTCGAGAAATCATGACCATGGATGGTGGCCTCGAGAGGCTTGTACGCATTCTTCACGACTTTTGCGTGGCTCCTCCCCCCTCCCCAATCGCCTGCAGCCTTCTATGGCCTTCTTCCGTCGACCTACAGGGCTCCAAGAGGAACTCCTCAACTCAACCCTCCCGCTGGCCAATTCGACAAGCATGCGGCCTATCGCTTCAGCTTGGCCTTCCAATGCGTTGTGAACATCGGAGTTCGCGGTAGTGAGCCTATCAGAAGTAGGGTGGTCCAAGCCGGGACGCTTGATGTTGTCGGTTGTATTCTCGAGGCTTGGTTGGCTGGTCGGGGTTTTGCTGTCGGTCCGAGCACGAGTGCAACTGGACTTCCTAGAGAGACCCGTCAGTCAAAAGCCGCTCGTAGGGCAGCTGCCGCCGCCAGAGGAAGGCCTGACCAAGTGCGTTTTTTACTTCCCACTTTATCTCCTCAGTACTCATATTCTTTCAAGAATCCGGAGACAATACCAGGACCAGAACGGCTTCTTGCTATCGACACCTATATACCAGCAACAGACGATGTAGAGTCTGCCACCACTCCGATCATGAGAGATCGCAGCGCAACTGTTGTGCGTCGTGCCCCCAACCCAGACGAAATATATGCAGCCATTGCTCAACCCCAACCTGCTCCGCCTTCCCCTTCACTTTCCGTGATCAGCTCAACAAGCACGGGGGCAAGAACTAGGAGTCGTGCGAGTTCGGTTGCTTCGCCTATTACGATCAGTCGGGCTTCTCCAGTCAGCAGTGCAGTCAGCAGCAGTCGAGCCAGTCCAAGTCCAAGTACTCGGACCGACACTGATACGGACGGAGACGGTGATGTCGAAATGGTTGCCGCTGGCGTTGCCGGTCTGGGCGTTGCTGCGACAACAACCGCGGCAATCGGTGACTCGAGCACAAGTGCGAGTCCCAGTCCCCCTCCCCTCAACAGGGTGACTCAGCCAGGCGATCAGGCTCCTGCTGCAGCGATGAATATGAACATGAACCTGAATATGATGACCGCTATGATGGGTATGGAGGGAATGACGATGATGGGCCTTACTCGCGACCCTAGGATTGCTGGTGTTGAAGACGGAATGGGCATTCAGGGCATGGGTATCGGCGGAGAGGAGGGCATGGAGGGGGATGCTACCAACCTAATGCTCAATATGGGCATGATGAATCCTGACGTTGGCATGCTCGGTCTCGATGGTATGGCAATGATGGGGATGAACCTCAATATGGGTATGAATATGGGTGGTCCGTTGACCATGATAGGTGGAATGACAATGGCTGATGTCAGCGGCTCTGGGGCAGAGTCAGAGGCCCGTGCTGACACCGACGCGGATGCCGAAGAAAGCGACGCTGGAACCAGCAATATCCATCTCGGGCGACGGAGGGGTGATGACGAAACCCAAACACAGACACCACGTGCTGGGTTAGCCCGCCTCCCTTCTGCATCGCCTGAAGCAGGGCCATCAGGCACTTCCACTTCGACTCTCAATGATGAAGACGAGGAGGAAGGCCAAGTTGTTGCTGCTATTCGTGGCAGTGCCAGCAACTCTGGGACTATGCGTCGAACTGGTACTGTTCGCGCTACCTCAGTTCGCTCTGTATTTGCAGAGGCTTCTTCACCTGCTCGGTCGAGAGATCGTGCTGACACAGCTAGACAGCCAGCAGTTTCTCCTACCTCCAATTCAGGACCGTCACGAACCCATCAGGCCACTGCCGCGGCCAACGCTTCTCGTCCCCAACCTAATCCAGCTACAGCCGGACGCAATCGTCAGACTGTTCCCGCCATTCCTGCTATCCCTCCCCTTCCTGCGCCACGTGCTCGAGAAAGAGAAGATCGCCACCATCACAATCATGCCCATCCAACTGGACCATATCGCGATGAAGATGTTCTGCTTTCACTTCAGCTTCTAGCATATCTAAGCAAATATCCTCACGTCCGTCAGGCGTTCTACAAGAAGCGTAATGGATTCCATCCTGCAAGTCCGTTGGCCGTGATGGCCGCCAAGGCCCAAGCCGACGCGGCTGCCACAGAGGCACCAAAACCGCCGGAGATGGTCGCTTCGAGCTCAAGTAGTAATAAGACACAAACTGTCAAAGGGCGCGCAGGGGCAGCACAAGGCAGTCAACAACTAGCATTTCTACGTGCACTTGGCGTTTCATCTGCAACTGTTGGCGCGAAAGACAAGGAGAAGGGCAAAGGCAAGGTTGCAAATAAACCAGCTGTGCAAACCGCTCCAGTACCGACAGCGACAACGACAGTCCCAAACCCTGCCACGACCCGACCTGGTTACGAGACTAATGTTTTCTCTCTTGTTGAACGATTCACGTTCAGACCATCCTCCAGCGAAACTAGCCTGCCCAACCCACCGCCGAGGCTGCCTCCGGAGATTCAATACTGGGCCGGCGTGATCATGCGAAATGCTTGTCGCAAGGACGATAGTCGTGGTGGAATCCGTCAGTGTGCCAACAGTCAGTTTTTTTCTTTCCCCGTGACTTTCTCTCTCTCTAACTTGGGTGAACAGTGCTTTGTGGGCGTTGGGAGGAATATCCCCGTGAATTTGCCAAATGTCGTCGATGTCGCAAAGCCAAATATTGTGGCAAGGAATGTCAGAGTACGGCCTGGAGCGAAGGCCATCGGTTTTGGTGCAGCGCAAAGGAGGGAGACGATCCTGCACCTGAGACGTCGATCGCCTCCACTTCGAATGTGGTGCCGGTCTCGGTGACTATCCAACCTCCTGCTGCTGCTGCTGGCGGTGTCGATACTCAGGACAGAAGGGATCGCAGAGAGCGGAGAGAACGTGATGGCCGTCTTGTTTCCCCTCCCCCCTCAAGTCCGGAAACAGCCACTGTTAGAGAGTTCCCGATTCCGATCCAAGTCGCTGCTGGAGCTGTCATAGGAGGGGCACCCGTCACTATCAACAATGCTACAGCTGGCCCAAGCCGCGAAACACAAACGCACGCAGCAGGTCGACGTCCGGTGATTCCTGGTCGGCAAACAACACACCCACTTGGACCTATTGGCTCACCCGCACCTACCCGTCGCCAACGGGATGCTCGAGAGGGCGAGAGAGATATGACTAACAGTTTCGCGACTTTTGATACCTATCTTGCGGAAAGGCAGCGTCACGAAACCGCGATGGCGACTGGCCAGGGACAACAGATCTCTATGCTCCACCACCCTCAACCACAGAATCCTGCAAACTCGCATATTAGTGTGTTGACAACGGGTGGCTTTTCTGGCACATCTCGGAGAAGAGCGGCGGAACCAGGTTCTAGCGGGAGTCGGGGAGATGGTTCTGCAGAAGACATGGTGGAGTGAGTGAAATGTTTTCCAAGAAGAAGAAAAGAATTTACTACGTTGCTCACATCCACACTGCTACCCCCATCACACATCACACACGTTCACTTTCGTCTATAAGATGATCGCTTTAGTCGTTGCTACTTCCCAGTCCTGTCCTTTATCACTTTCTCATGTGCATACTAGTACTTATTCAGACAACCCGTTTTCTACGATCCTCTAAGACGTCGCGGATTGTCTCGTGGCCCCGCCCGAAGCTATCACCAACGCAAACTGGACCTCTTCCGCTATTAATAACAAGACCGAGTTGTTTTCTGAAAGTTTGACAGTTCTTTCTTTCAGTTTCAATCGATTTCGGCGCAGGCGCCGTTGCCAGTCGTAAGTAACTATGTACACCAAAAAAAATAAAAAGGAATAAATATTCGTGGCCTATCCCGGGCCAGAACAAAGCAAAGGGCAGAGCAGATGGCGATCACGGTTAGCAAGAACTCAATCATGCAACGATGGTGTATTGCTACAAGCACCAAAGTCAGGCAAGGCGACATTAGCAAAAAGTAAAACGAACCTCAGCAGCGGAGGGCTTGGATGCGTTGCAAGCCTCGTTGTCGAGTCTTCCTTTTCCCGCCGTCGACGAGGCAGCGGCCATTCTTGGAGTTCTTGGGGGAGAGAACGTAAGGCTTGGTGAGGTCGGTGTTGGCCGTGAAGGGGAACAGTTGGCTGTCAGTGGTTTGGCCTTCACCATCGGCACGACCACCACACGAGAACATGATGACTTGGTCACCAGCGGCACGGCGGTCGTCGAAGTTGAGGCATCCGTTCATGAGAGAGGAGACGATGAGGGTACTGTCCTTGTTGTTGTTATGCTTGCCGGAGGTGATGAAGTCCCACTTCTGGCCCTCAGAGCCGTCGCAGTCAGCGATGTCGATGGGGATCAAGTTCTCGCGGAAGTCACCCTTGGTGATGTCGACACCGAGGCATTTTCCAGCAGAGTTCTTAATTTGGACACGGGTCGCAGCGCGCTTGGCAGTATCGTCACGAGCCTGGCTTTGAGCGACAGCAGAGGGCTCGAGGATGCCTAGGGAGAGTCAATAGGAATATTTTTAATATCGAAGAACACGAACCCTTGGCACCAGAGACTTTGATAGGGCCAGTGGTAGTTTGTGTACCCTTGGTGGCTTGCGCCGGAGGGGGAGTGGTAGTCGCAACCTTAGTGTTCTCCGCTGCTTTGGTGGTGGCAGCACCTGCACCTGCACCCGCACCCGCACCCGCACCGACAATGGTGAATTGCTGGTTGGCAGCAGGCTTGGTAGCATCACAAGCAGCGTTATCGAGACGTCCCTTTCCACCGTTGACAAGGCAGCGGCCGTTCCTCGAGTTCTTGGGGGAGAGAACATAGGGCTTGGTGAGATCGGTGTTGGCTGTGAAGGGGAACAGTTGGCTGTCGGTGGTTTGGCCTTCACCATCTGCGCGGCCACCACAAGAGAACATGATGACTTGGTCACCAGCAGCGCGGCGGTCGTCGAAGTTGAGGCATCCGTTCATGAGGGAGGAAACGATGAGGGTGCTGTCCTTGTTGTTGTTGTGCTTGCCAGAGGTGATGAAGTCCCACTTCTGGCCCTCAGAGCCGTCGCAGTCAGCCATGTCGATGGGGATCAGGTTCTCGCGGAAGTCTCCTTTGGTAATGTCGACGCTGAGACACTTCCCGGTAGAGTCTTTAATCTGGACACCGGTGGCAGCGCGCTTGGCGGTATCGTCACGGGCCTGGCTTTGAGCGACAGCAGAAGGCTCAAGAATACCTGTAAACAGAAGTTGAGTAGATGAGATGGGAAAATTCACTGAATACACGGACCTTTGGCACCAGAGACCTTGATGGGGCCAGTGTTGGTCTGGGTAGCCTTGGTAGGCTCGACGTTGGCAGCGCGAGTTGTTGCGGCGGCAGGAGGGGCGACAACCGGAGCGCCGGCAGTACCAGTAACTTGCGTGTTCTTCTTCGTCGCATTAGCACCTTTACCCTTGCCCTTGCCCTTGCGTCCCTTACGTCCTTTTTTGCCCGCTTTTTTGCCTGCTTTTTTGCCTGCTTTCTTGCCTGTTTGCTTGCCTGCTTGTTTGCCAGCGTTGGCATTACCGGTCGCAGCTGCGGCATTTCCAGTCGCCACATTGTTCGCATTACCAGCAGCCTTGCCCCCGAAAGTGAAGAGCTGGATCATGTTTTAAATCAACGGAGCATCACGCAAACCGGAAAATACACATACCTCGAGACCAGAAGCAGATCCAGCACCGTTGCAAGCAGTTTGGTCGACGTTATTTCCCTTAACGGTCAAGCAGACCTTGTTGTTTCCGTTCTGGGGTACGAGGGCCTGGGGACCAGCACCGCCGTTGAAAGCAAAGAGCTGGGAGTTGGTGACCTCTCCTCCTCCGTCGGCACGCCCACCGCAGCTAGTCATATTGCGTCAACGATGTCCGAGATCAGATCTCAAGACTCACCTGAAGAGAAGGACCTGGTTTCCAGCGGCTCTACGGGCGTCGAAGTTGAGGCAGGCGTTGGTGAGGCTGCTGACGACGAGGGCCTGGCCGGCGACGTTATTATGTTTGCCCTTGGTGATGACATCCCAGGTCTGGTTCTTCGATCCATTGCAAGCCACCGCAGTGACAGGGGTAAGATTGGAGCGGAAGTCACCGGAGAAGGGGTTGACGGAGAGGCAGCGACCGTCAGAAGTCGTGATTGTCGTAGCAGTAAAAGCACGGGTCGCGCCATTATCGCGTTGCTGGGCCTCGGCCGTAGCAGCAGCATCGAGGGCAACATCCCGACGGACGGGAGCAGCAAGGGACGCACTAGCGGCGAGTAGCGTGAAAAGAGAGGATGTCAGCATCTTGTCCAAAGATTGAGGGTCGTGCTAGACGGTAGGCGCAAAAAAAAAGATTGTAGGTACTCTGTCTGGCAGAGGAAAGGGCGGCAAACTGCAGCAGAAAGAAAGAAGGGAAGGAGGGGGGGAAGAATAAGAAACTCAACGGTGGACTATTTCCGTTTTTAAGTACAAGTACAGATGCCGTAACATGTTTGATGGGTGGTTGATCTTTCCCGATTTAGACTTTCTTCTCCCCTTTGCCTCCGTCACGTCAACTGCGTCTTCCTTCCAATGTTCACCTACGTGTTTGACTCTCGACATCGTCTATTCTCGTCAACCCCCAGCTCTTCAAGCTTTAGCTGCAACTCAGTCCTCTTCCTCGAACCCGCCAAGAACTTTGATTGTGGTGTCGTGATTCGTGATTGTCCGTCTTGTGAAGGATTGGCCGCCTGACTGATAAGGAAACTCCCTCCCATCCGAGGCCAATGTTCTTGTTTTTCCGCTTCTCATGCTCGTTCATTGGATGTTACTTGAACAAGGGGCGTATGGATTGGACGAGTCATAGTGTACCAGGCATGGATCCCCTATATCCGCGCGTTTTCGTCACCTCCAAAATTCGACGCGTCTCGGCTCGTGCCTTGATGATCGGCGCGTCGGTCACCATGACATAAACAACATTGTAAAGTTGCCCTCCTGTCCTTCCCATTGCCTATGGAACATCATAGATGTCGGTTTCACCACCAACAACGCAACTGCGATCAGTGAAGGAGAAAGAATATCGTTGGATTCGTTTTCCGTTCAATTCACTCCCAGTGACAACCCGGTGAGTGTAGTATAAACCTCGAGGCTCGAGCTTCATTGACGTGACTGCCTGCCAAACTGTAAATGGTTGCGTAGCAACAACGTGGCAACCTCCAAGTGAGCTGAAGCGAAGCCGGTTCCTTCGTACTTAGTAAACACGCAAGAACGGCGGATCTCTCGGCCCCTCACGTTTCTGAAAGCCAACCAATTTAAAAAGCCTCGGCATGCTGTGCTGACCCGGCGTCTCGATTCTCAAGTTGGGAATATTACACAGTATCCTTCAGTACTTCAGTCCTTGGCAGATGGCGGAACTGACCTGAATAACTCAACCTCGCTATATTCCATTTATTTGCATGTGTACGCATCACATCTGGGCGACACCGAAACGACTGTCAATGAGTTGGTGCGGCAAGGCTACGGGACATATGGCGATGGTGATACAACCATCGTCCAATGCGCGCTGTGACGGAAGGGAACGAATTCTTCACGAGGTCAAACAAATGAGTCGAGGCACCAAGACCACCGAGCACACATTCCTTTTACGTCGCGGAGGTTCTCGTTGCTAAGTTTTCCCTCTCGGAACTGGCAATGCATCGGTGTAATCGGTCCTGTCAGCCTCAAGCGCTCATACTTCAAGCTGTCTTCAACTGTGTTCTTACCCGGGCACCAGCGCCGTCGAGCCATGCTTGTACTGTCATCTGAAAGCAAGGGCTGAGATAAGTGCACGCCCAATGCCAAAAGACGCTAAACTTCGCGGCTAAAGAAATTGCGAAGTTCAGCGGGTCAGCTTATGCATGCCTGGACAACGATGTGATCTGAGCGGTTATCCGCAGATTTCTTGGGAGGGAAGTTGAACATTCGTCGTACGCGGGTTCTTCGCATCGTTACAGCAATGCTAGATTGCATTTCCATGCCAATAACACTCCCACCGAGGCGCGACAGATCACGTGGCGGACTCTTCGATGTATTTTTTCCTTCAACCCACTCCGCCACAACACCACTAGCATTTCAAACAGCCCATTAACATTGGCTGGTAACTGACAAGTCTGAGTCGGAATGTCGAAGTGTGAATAAAGAGAAGATACACGTCCTTGACCTCGGTGCAGAATGAGACCGAACCAGGGCCACGGCCAATGCAGATTATGTTGATTCAAGTTTAATGCAATGCGGTATCACCTTGCTTTGCAAGGTCCCTGGCCCGTCTATACTTGCCAATCATGATGATAGTTTGATCAAGCTGATTGCAAACAGCAACAAACTAACCCGAAGGCCAAAAAGCCCAAACCTCCGTAGAAAGCTCGGCGAAACTACGCACAGCCTCTGATGTCGGTCTTGATCGATGATCCGCTCGTAACCGTGATTTTCATGTCCTCTTTTCCTCCTATGCACATAGGTTTACGCCTTCAGATGTGTGTGTGAGACTTTTGCAATTGCCAATATGGTTATCCACCCACTAGTCGATGGATATTCTGCCTTTTCTCATATCATTTGTAGGGTAGAGCACGGGTGCGGGGAAGCCCGGCCGGGTCACCGGGTCCGGGTGCTCCGGGTCCGGGGGCCGGGAAGGCCGCTGAGCATACCCGGTCGGTCCCGGAACCCGAAGCGGGTTTACCCGGCCGGTGTGATTACGAATCTCTGATGATCATTCAAGTCGGCTCTTGCCACCTCACCCTTTCCTCCCCCTGCAACAAGCGGCCTGGGCCCTCCTCTGGCTCAGGTACAACCTCCTCTCCGCAGTACCACCCCTCTGAGCAGTTCAGGAGCGGAAGCCAAGCCACGCGAAAGCCTTAAAGCCTCGCAAATGGCTTTCAAATGAAGAACTCCCCATGTCGTCTTTCGGTGCCCGGGTGAGCCAGGTGGCCTCCAAGGCAGCCAGCTCTATCTCGCGAGCCAGCAAGTCGGTTCGCAAGGCCGCTTCTCGTGTTGCTACCTCTATCTCTGGTGTGTCCCCTCATCTCCTCTCCTGTCAATTATCACTGATTCCATGGCTAGGTGGCTCCGGCAAAAGCAAGTCGTCATCCTCGAGTGGGGAACGGGCGAAATCGGGGGAGGGCACTGCTGACATTGGAAACGAGAACGCTGATGGTCAGTTTCACATTCAAGCGATGTATCTTGTCTCACGACATTGTCCAGCAAAGAAGTGGACCTCTGGGGTCTACCAATTTTTTAAACCAGACGTCAAACTACTTATCGAAACGGATGGCCGTCCCTACCAAGCGTTTACGTGCGGAGCGAAGAAATGTAAAGGGAAAGGTGCGCCGCAATATCTCATTTTTTTTTCGTTAGCTTACGGTAGTTGTCTGCAGGCGATTTCAAAGGCGTGAAGCGCTACCAGACACGGTTGGACGGAAAGCCATCTGGCGACCGGTCCTCTACCTCCGGCCTTAAGAAGCATGCACGCGCTTGCTGGGGCAAGCTTCTGGTCGACGAGCGGCTCTCCGGCACGTCTGCCAGCGGTCCCCGAGACGGGAACATCTTTACATCGTTTGCCAAGGCCTCAACACGCCCTATTCGCGCTTCACATCGTACTCACACCGAGCCAGAGTTCCGGCAAGTAGTCCCATTCCCACCAGCCTGACGAATGCTTATGGTTTGGCTTAGGGCCCACATTGTTCGCTGGCTTGCCGAGGCTGCCCGCCCGCTTCGTACGATTGAAGATCGCGAGCTGAAGGAACTTCTCGGCGCTGGACGACCCGAGCTTACCGTTCCCAGCCGCTTCACGGTTGCTCGCGACCTTCAGGCCGCATATGAGCGATGTGCAACCCGTATTGCCAATCTTCTTGAAGTATGTACTGTCAATTTCGCGCTTTTCCTGTTCTGAACGGTGTCAGAACTACCCCGGGCGCCTCAGCTTCGCGACAGATGCATGGACATCCCCGAATCACCGTGCATTTGTTGCATGGACCGTCCACCTTCAGCATGAAGGACATCCACTAGTTTTTCTCATCGACATTTACGAGGTCCCCGAGTCACATTCAGGCGAAACGTTAGCGCGTGAATTCAACGAAATGCTCCAACGCTTTAATCTCTCGAACAAGGTTTGCACTGCCATCTACCGTTTACAATTCTCTATCTCATGGGTTCCAAGATACTGGCCTGGACCGGAGACAATGCTACCTCCAACGATACACAAAATGACGCGCTGAGCAACAACCTGAACAACGCATTCGAGGCTGTGAACCGTGTGCGTTGCTTCAATCACACACTCAATCTCGCGGTCAAGGCCTTCCTTCGCCCATTTCAACCCCCCGAAAAGAAGAAGAAAGACGCAGGGGGAGATGAAGGGGATTCCGATCTCGAGGACGACGCTATTGCTCCGCTGGAGCTGGATGATGCCGAATCATTGCAAGACCTGGCGGATACGACTGACAGTCCTGCATCCTAGCCTAAAGCTCCAGTATTTCCGAACGCGTAACTGGGACCAGGAGTGGATTGACACTGCGCAAGAGCTCGTCGAAGATGAGTTCACGGCCTACTATTCGGCCGTTGGTGCCGACTCAGATATCGAGATGGTCGATAACACCAGTATGGCCGGTACCAGCAGCGGCGCGGTATATAGATTAACTTCTTCATTGATTGTGTTGCTGACGTTCGCTTAGGCCAGTCGATCATCCAGCATGGCGAACCTTGAAGATCTGTCCGACTTCTTTCTCTCTTACAACGTCGGCATCGCGGAGTCTGAACAGACTGAACTGGAACGCTATCTCGCGGAACCGGTTGACGGCGGCATCAAGGACCCATTGCTGTGGTGGTGGGACCGTCGCATGACATATCCCCGTCTCTCTCGAATGGCCCTCGATTATCTCAGTGTTCCATGTGCGTATATCTCATTTGTGTTTAGTACTGTTTGCTCATTGCTCTTAGCAACTTCAACAGCTGTGGAGAGAGTGTTTTCTCAGGGTCGCCAGCTCCTGGTATTCACTCGCAATCGGCTGAGTGGTGCTTCGATTCGGAAATTTCTCTGTTTTGGCAATTGGAGCCGCAACGACCTGGTGCGTAATGATGATATCATCGACGCGATTGAGATCACCATGGGGCACAAGTCGAAGGGCAAGCGTAAGGCTGACAATGATGGTGATGATGTACCTACTTATAAGAAGTCCCATACCTGATATCATTGTCAGGGGAACCTCCCTTTCGGCCCCTCGGAGACGATTCCGATTCCGGTCCGACTCCGGCTCCGACTCCGGTGATCGCATCACCGCCTCCGTCAGGCGCATCGCCGCCCCCGCCTGGCGATCCCCCTGGGACCTGGCCTGCGACATGGCGCAGGCATACTGCACGGAGCAACGATCAACCTTGGCGCGTCAAGAGCGCAGTATATAGTTCCGCTACCTAGCAGGCGGACCCTTAGAGTTTCTTCTCTTTGGATCCTCCCCTGCTAGGTCAGCCCCACTTGTATTTGCTTACTTCTATTCACTCTTTGGATCCTCCCCTGCTAGGACCTTGATCTCAGGCCTCCGGGGTTGCCCTTACAGCAGAAGAAACTCTCTACGGGATCAACCGGACAAGATTGCTAGGTTCGGGCGCTGACTCAGGCTCGGAATACGAGTCCGTTCCGCCCTCGTCACCCCCCTACCACTTGTCCCCTCCTCCTCTGTCACTCCTGTCATCCCCGCACCTGTCATGCCTTCCGGAGCTACTCCTGACGCTGACACTCGGCTGGATGCACTCGAGGCGAAAAATCGACCGCCTAACTGAGGCCCTTACTCTTCTCACCACCCAGGCTTCCGCTGCCGCTGCCGCCGCTAATACTGCTGGCGGACCCCAAACAACACCACCCCCGGAGACGTCGATTCCGACTCCGACTCCGGTTCAGGGCGATTCCGAGGCCCTCTTTGGCGACATCAACCTCGCCCAAAATTGGTCTTGCGACCAAACCCTCCGTTCACCTTCAACGGCGATCGGAAACGCGGCCGCATTTCTCTATGCGGTCCGCACCTACGCCCGCCTTGCCCCTGAGGCCTTCGTGGTCAATGGAGAGGCGAGAAAAAGGCCGTCCGTTATGCCATGTCGTTTATGGCAGAAGGACCCGCTCAGCAATGGGCGGAGCGCCACGGAAGCAAAGCCCCCGTTTCCGTTTCCGTCCTGGGGCTCGTTCGTTTCCGAGTTCCGACTCCGGTTCGTCGAGGAGAATGAGCAAGATCATGCTCTCTCCAAACTGGAGACTTCCGCCTATCACATGGGCACAAAGGATGTCTACCAGTACACCGACGACTTCGAGGACCTGATGGACCTCGCCGGATTCGAAGACGCGTTGGTCAAGGTGACCAAGTTCCGCCACGGACCCCCTGATCAACAACGGAATCACGTCCTCGAACGACCCCCCGGACCTCCGGGACTACCTTAGCTGGCGCACCCGGGCCTTCCGTCAATACGAGGCCCTGGTCCGGGCCAAGCTGATCAAGTCAGCCGCCCCCAAGACGCCTGGCGGTTTGATTCGGACTCCGTTTCCGGTCAACCGCATCCCGGCTCCGGCCCCTTTCCGCCCGGTGGCTCCGGTCGTGCCACCCGTGGCCCGCGCCCCCGCTCCGGCGCCTCCAGCTCCCGTCCCCATGGAGTTGGATCGCACTAGGGCTCGGGGTGCCCCTCGTCGCGCCTGCTTCAGGTGCGGCGACCCAAACCATCTCGCCCGGGATTGCCCCCTCCCCGCGGACGTCCGCTCAATGGACATCCTCGACGAGGTGATCCAACAACTCGGTGACGAGATGTTAGCGGAGTTGATCGCCCGCTACTCGGACACAGCTGCGCTGCCGGAAACAGTCGCGGAGTCGATGGCCGGAGAGGATTTTGTCCCCCGCGACGAGTGACTGGTGTGCCCTCGTTCGCGTCCGTAAATCGTTTCGCTTGTTTGTATGACGAATCAATTCCTTTGCCCTACAACGAGCCTGAAACGAAAGACATACCCTCCCCTGCCCCCGTTTCGACTCCGTCTCCGACTTCGCCCGCGACTCCGGTCATCGTCCTTCGCCGCCTCACTGCCTGGGAAAAGAAACTGCCCAAGCAGTACACTGTCGCTGCTTCCCCTGGAGTGAACTCCCTCCACCTCCCGTTGGAGCTAGAGTCCACTACCAGCGCGCTTAAGCTCTCGCTCTCTGGCCTGGTTGACTGTGGTGCCACCTCCGACTTTATCGACACGAACTATGTCGCTCGGAATGGCATTCCGGTCCGCACCCTGGCGCAACCGATTCCGGTCTTTAACGTTGATGGCACTCCGAACGACGCCGGCTCCATCAACCAGATCGCGGACTTGGTCTTACGCTACAAAGGCCATTCCGAGCGTGTTCAACTCGCCGTCACTCATCTTGGTAAACAAGACCTCATCCTGGGGTACTCCTGGCTGCGGAAGCATAACCCAGAGATCGATTGGGAAACCAAGGAGGTCAAGATGACGCGGTGCCCTCGCGGCTGCTCCACTTGCCGCGAGGAAGAACGCATTGAACGGACTGAGCTACGGCGACTCCGGCTGCTCCAGAAGCGACTCCGCTCCGGCCCGTTCCCCTCGGTCTGCACCATGGACCTCTCTGGGCCTGACGACGGAGACGATTCCGTCTCCGGTGACGACTCCGCCCTGCCTGATCTGATGCCGGACTCCGACGATGATGAAGACGATGGTCAGCTTTAAGATGGTGACCGCATCTTCTACACCTCGTTCCGCCCCTCGGAGGAGATACGCGCTGGCAGTACTGTCTCACAGCGCCTGGCCGAAGCCTTCGCCAGGAACTCCGCCCCTGCGCCCTCCGAGATCCCGGACTGGGCTAAGGAGTTTCAGGACGTCTTCAACAAGGAGTCCTTCGACACGCTACCGGAGCGGAGAGCCTGGGACCACGCCATTGAACTCGTCCCCGACGCTAAGCCCACCAACTGCAAGGTGTACCCCATCTCGCCCCTCGAGCAACGCGAGCTCGACGCGTTCATCGAGGAAGGGCTTTCGACGGGCCGGATTCGCCTCCCAAGTCTCCGATGGCGTCTCCGGTCTTCTTCGTCAAGAAGAAGGACGGCGGACTCCGCTTCGTCCAGGACTACCGTGCTCTCAATGCGATGACTGTCAAAAACCGGTACCCCCTTCCGCTGATCAACGACCTCATCAACCGGCTCAAAGGCGCTCGTTACTTCACCAAACTCGACGTCCGTTGGGGCTTCAACAACGTCCGGATCAAGGAAGGTGACGAGTGGAAAGCGGCTTTCCGGACTAACCGAGGCCTGTTCGAGCCCTTGGTGATGTATTTCGGCCTGACAAACTCTCCCGCGACGTTCCAAACGATGATGAATGACATTTTCCAGGACCTCATCCTCTCCGGAGACGTCATGATCTACCTTGACGACATCCTGATCGCCCATTCCGACCTCCGGGAACACCGGCAGATCGTTCGGGAGGTCTTGCGGCGACTCCGAGAGCACAAGTTGTACCTCCGAGCGGAGAAGTGCGACTTTGAAAAATCGTCAATCGAGTACCTCGGAGTCATCATCTCCCACAACCACGTCGAAATGGACCCCGTCAAAGTCGCAGGCGTCTCCGCTTGGCCGACTCCGGAAAACAAGAAGGACATTCAGCAGTTCCTTGGGTTCGCTAATTTCTACCGCAGGTTCATTCGGGACTTCTCGACCCTCGCGCCCCCTCTCTTCGTGCTCACCAAGAAGGACCAGCAGTGGACTTGGGGGCGACGCGGAGGCCTGCGCGTTCCAAGCGATCAAGGACGCAGTCACCTCGGAACCGGTCCTGGCGATTCCGGACGACGCACGGCCTTTCCGACTTGAGGCGGACAGCTCTGATTATGCGACGGGGCGGTTCTTTCACAATCCGCCCCGGACGGGAAGTGGCACCCTGTAGCATTCTATTCCAAACGCTTAAATGATGTCCAGCGCAACTCACGAAATCCACGACAAGGAGATGCTCGCGATCATCCGCGCACTCGAGGAGTATAGACACTTCCTCGAGGGCGCCGCGCATCCCGTCGAGATTTGGACTGACCATAAGAATCTGGAGTACTTCAGGAAGACGCAGCACCTCAACCGGAGACAGGCCCGCTGGTCCCTCTACCTCTCCCGGTTCGACTTCACGCTGCACCACAAGCCCGGCCGCGACATGGGCCGACCTGACGCCCTCTCTCGGAGACCAGACCACGGAATCGATTCCGACAACTCCGACGTCGTCCTTCTGCGGCCCGAACTCTTCCATGTCCGCGCTCGGGCGTTTCCGTTTCCGGCCCTGGTTCTGAACTCCTTCGCGACATCCGCGATGCCCTCTCCGGTGAGCCTGACCTGGAGGAGCCCGTCGCACTAGCGGCCCGGCAACTCCTAAAGGTCCAAGGTCAAGCTCGAGGCCCCCGCTCCTCGCGCTCCGACGAGTGGGCTATCTCCGGTGGTCTTCTTCACTTTCGTGGGAAGATTGTCGTACCTAAGGATAAGGACCTCCGGAGACGCATCATCGAGCTCTGCCACGACACTCGAAGTTGCCGGACACGCGGGTCGCTTCAAGACCTTGGAGTTGGTCTCCCGGAACTACTGGTGGCCTCAGATGTCTCGCCATATTGGCCGGTGCGTCGCGACCTGTGACTTGTGCTGTCGCACCAAAGCACTCCGGAGACTGCCCCACGGAGAGCTGCACCCGACGGAAACGCCCCCAGAGCGTTGGCATACCGTCTCCGTCGACTTCATCGTCGAAGCTTCCGGAGGCCCATGGGTACGACGCGATCATGGTCGTCGTCGACACCCTTGGGAAGCGTGCCCACTTCTCGGAGTGTCACACCACGGTCGACGCAGTAGGGGCGGCTCGCCTCTACTACCGGAATGTCTGGCGCCATCACGGGACTCCGGAGAAGTACGTCTCCGACCGCGGCTCGCAGTTCATCGCGGACTTCACCCGAGAACTCTGGCGTCTAATCGGCATCAAGCCTGCCACGTCCACCGCGTACCACCCGCAGACAGACGGTCAAACAGAGCGCGTCAACCAGGAGCTGGAGCAGTACCTGCGGATCTTTACCAACTATCAGCAGGACGACTGGGATGAGCTGATTCCGGCCGGAGTTCGCCTACAACAACCACGTTCACTCCTCCACGCAACAAGTCCCCTTCATGACGGACACGGGACGACTCCCGCGCATGGGCTTCGAACCCGGAGTCCGTTCCGCTATGGAGTCCGTGAACGAGTTCCGCGACCGGATTGCCACTGGTGTTGCCGAAGCCAAGGCCGCTCACTAAGGCCAAAGAGGAGTACAAGCGCTACTACGACCGGAGACGCACTCCGTCTCCGGAGTTTAAGGTTGGCGACCGTGTTTGGCTGGATGCCTCTGACATCAGGACGACTCGCCCCTCGGAGAAGTTCTCCCACCGCCGCCTCGGACCATTCAAGATAGTCGCGGAGATCAGCAAAGGCGCCTACAAGCTCGACCTCCCTCCGCGCTACTCGAAGCTCCACCCGGTCTTCCCCGTCGTCAAACTCGAGCTCGCCCAAGACGACCCCTTCGACGGACGCCCCGGCTACGACCAGCCCCCTCCGGACCTCGAGGACGGAGTCCCGGAGTGGGAAGTAGAGGAAATCCTGGACGCAAGGGTGAGGTATAAACGGCTGAATTACCGTCAGATGGAAAGGCTACGACGCTCGCGCATGACCAGTGGGTCCGCTTCGACCGCCTCTTCGCCCCGGAGAAAATCGCGGAGTTCTATCGTAAGTACCCTGGCAAACCACGGCACATCGCCTCTGCAACCTTCGACTCGATTCCATTCCGGTCTATGCGTCGGGACGCCGCATTCAAAGGGGGGTGATGTCAGGGGAACCTCCCCTTTCGGCCCCTCGGAGACGATTCCGATTCCGGTCCGACTCCGGCTCCGACTCCGGTGATCGCATCACCGCCTCCGTCAGGCGCATCGCCGCCCCCGCCTGGCGATCCCCCTGGGACCTGGCCTGCGACATGGCGCAGGCATACTGCACGGAGCAACGATCAACCTTGGCGCGTCAAGAGCGCAGTATATAGTTCCGCTACCTAGCAGGCGGACCCTTAGAGTTTCTTCTCTTTGGATCCTCCCCTGCTAGGTCAGCCCCACTTGTATTTGCTTACTTCTATTCACTCTTTGGATCCTCCCCTGCTAGGACCTTGATCTCAGGCCTCCGGGGTTGCCCTTACAATCATGTTATTTCATCCTTTCTGTAACTATTCCATAATCTATTTATGTATACATATAATAGCCTTGTTCTGACCCGCGGGACCTCCGGGTTCGGGTCCAGCCCGGGCCCGCTCCGGGACCGGGGCCGCCGGGGTCAGGGACCGGGTTAAGTTGGAAATACCCGGACCCGGATCCCGTGCTCAACCCTAATCATTTGTCCCCCAAAAAAATGCTATTAGGGTATATAATTGTCTGTCTCCGTCTGCTCTCGATTCCCTCAGACGATTCCGTCGAGGAAGGCAACTCGTGTAACGTCCGATGTATGCCTTCTGCCTTCCTGGCCACGAATTGCCCATGACAACGTCAACATCTACTCTACGCTCGGCCATGAGCTTCTTCACCTCCGAGTTTGGATCTTACCCCTTGGGATCATATAAACTAGCCTTTGTCGATGAGATGCCGATGCAGAGATTCGCTAGCTCAACATTATCGCTTCTCGCTGTAGACTTGCTGTATAGCGAGGATGCTATCGAGCAGGCTCTGGAAACTCGACACCCTTTGGCGCACACTTTGGTTTGCCACAAAAAAGCGTAGTCCATGGGCCTGTTATTTTACTTATTATGTAGAAGAATACAAAGGTTGAAAAGAACTCGGCGGGGAACTAAAGCGAGATTTCAAAGCAAGGTCCGTGACGGCTGTGGCCGACACCTAGTAGTGAGAGAGTGGGTCATAATATCTTGAAATAGATTTGATGCGCCATCAATGAACATGACTGCATGACAAACGTGAATGTGTTGGTTTGAGAGTGCATCTTTATAGACGCATTTATGATCTGCTATGTGCTCTACTAGTAAGCTCAAGAGCAAAGGATTGGCTTCAGCTTTGTTGCACATCAAGTGCGCATCGGCGCATCATGATCGCATCAGCGACGCAAATACATGGAATATCTCAAATGTGGACTCGGTAGTAAGTGACTGAGAGAGAGTTTAGGGCACCGACTAATTATGTGTTAAATACCAGTGCAACCAATTATTCCGTTCAACTTGAGCTCAGAAAGCTCAAAATGGGAAGCGGCAATCAATGATGATATCAAATTTACGAGCACCAATATTTTCCCCCGCTGAGCCATGTGATGGCTAAATTAAAGAAGTTCAGTCATTTTATGGGTTATGCTTCCATTATGTAAGGACCACATTACAATGAGCAAGTCAAAAAGAGGAAAGAAGGACAACTTTTGAAGGTTGTATGTAGGATACACACAAACAGGGCGAGTCTAGAGAACGAATGGCTGGTGATACAAATGCAGTGATAGGTACAGAGTCAAGAAAGAAAGAGAGGAGAGCTCAGTACGCATAATGCGGCTGGAGCCCTCTTGAGTAGTCCCCTTCTTGCTCCGGCGATCGCACAGCGAGTTTGGAGCCGACCATGAATGGGTAATCACGGTCGTTCTGATTCGGGGAGTAGTCGCCCTCGTGGAAGGAGGGCACCCGCGTTCCGAGGGCGAAGATGTTGGTCTCTTCTTGCTGGCGCTTGTTGCTGGGACGAGAGCTGCCAGATCGCATCGGGAAGATAGCAGAGGGCAGCCCAGATTGCTCATCTACCGCACCAGTCTCCGCATCGGTACCCCGGCCCCGCACGGCCCGGCGAGTGTTCAGGGTCGCGAGGAATGACACGCCGTAGAGTTTCGACAGCTGGAAGAAGGTTGCAAGGAAGACAAGGTTGCCCGAGTTGAAGTCGAACTAGCACCAGTTCAGTCAAATGATGCAATAATAAGCAGCGATATCACACACCAACAACAAAGTCGTCAGACTGACAGCAGTCGTCAAAACACCTGTGTTGATTGTGTCCACCACGAGACGCTTGACGAGCGAATCAGCAGGTTTGTATCCCGTGCGGAGACGATTGAGGAAGAAACACAGGGCAGCAGCAATTACCACATCTGTTCCCACCCCTAGTCCAATAGAGATGGTGGCGATGGTTCGCAGCTGGAAGACTGCAGGGATTGAGGAAAGACCAAAGGCTTGGATAGTGAAGATCAATGCTACAGCCATCTGGCCAAGCACAAGAAGGACCTTTTGTGTTAAGTTAGGCAACAAGTCTGGAATCGATACCCGGCCAGACGTACTATGAACGCGGTTATGAAGAAATTGCGCTCGCTAAAGCGATATACACGTGTGGCAAAAGCACACTTGACTATGGCGCCGATAACAGTACTGACTGTTTGTTGCAGCTACTGGCAGTTGAGAACTTGAAGAAAGAGAGAGAGAGAGAGTTTTACGCACGATAATAGACCAAGTTGTGGTGCCAACAAACATAGCCAAAGGATTGCCCACACTGGCCAGCGCATAGAAGTACGTGAAGTGGCCGATGAGCGCTTGGTCTCCCATGCACAAAATTCTATTGATGAGATTAGATGGCGTCGTGAGGTTGAGTGAAAAAGTGTCGCGCACACAACTAGCATGACCAGAAATTTATACTAAGGGTACGACTTGAGTATAGGAGCGAGAGACGCGTCTATCTTGACGCACCACTATCGAATCCGAGGCAAACGTGCGATAATATGACCAAGCTTGCGTTAGCAAGCTGGAATAGAAGGGTCAGACCAGAATTAGACGAGTTAGACACTACGCACATCCCATACAGCGCGCAAGATGCAGCGAACCCAATGATAACTGCCCCGAGAGTGTTGTCCAGTGTGAAAGAAGAAGTGGGGGGCGCGTCTGTTCCAACGTTGATGATGGGAGACATGGTTAGAAATGGAGAAGGGGGCCAAATGAAAGAATGTGGGGAAAGGCAAGGTACGACTCTCCAAGTTGCAGATGATAAAAGGACCATATGAACATATCAACGAGATCAGCGACCATAAGCCAAGCATATGCCGATCATGCGGTTACCGAGGAAATGCGCAATCTATGGTCAATCGCCGCATGATACCGGCGACGGTCCGGCGAGAGTCTTCAATATCAGAAACCGGCGCTGTTGAGTCAGGCGCTAGTCGTACAGAGTAAATACAGACAAACAGAGTGTCAAAAAAAAATACACAAACAAGTACAAATCAAGTCCATCAACACCTCAGTTCACCACACCATGACGACTTCGTCTGAGAGACCGAGTACCAACGCGGTTGTCCGCAGAGTTCTTCAGCGACCATATTTGCGCAACAATCTCGCCTATGAAGGTGATTAGCCCGTGGCGTGAGAGAAAAGATGGCACAACAAAAACTCACTGGCATGTTTGGGACTCTCTGCCTCATAGTCATATCGCTTCTTCCCGCTTGACCCACTCCTCCCCAACACCAGCTTGAACAATGCACTGCTCTTGGTCGACTGTTGACAGTCCGCAATACTACGGATGTGATACGAGAGGTGTTTACCACTATCGAAGACAGCCTTCGTTGCCTTGTTGGCTGTTGGTATAATCTGCAACGGTAATCAGTTCCAGAAGCACGGTCATTTCGAAGAAGAAAAGAAGAACATGAATATAGAGTCCATCGAACGCAAGGGTGCGTTCCTGTTTAGCAACAAGCATTGGCATCTTGCGGTAGATGGTATACTGCTTGTAGACGTTGTTGAAGTCGATGGCGGATGTTGAAGAGTATTTCACCACCTCAGGCGTATCAGACATACGCTTGAGGATCAGTGCTGTAGAACAATCAGCAATCGATACCAAACTTGCTCGAAACATGCTGACCATTGGGGTCGGTCGTCTTGCCAGTACCGCGCACGACGTTATCACCGATCAGAGTCCTCCTGATGAGCACTAGTTCTCGTTTTCCGCCCAAACTTGCCACCGTTCGATCCAACGGAATCAATATTCTCGTGTTGTCAGTCGCCAGCAACAGCGCGTAATTCTCCGGATTGTCGAGTTTAGTCTTGCTGCAAACCTTCTCGAGTACTTCTTGCATATACATTCCTGCGGAGCTACGACAACTTTAGTGCGACATAGCACTTAACACGAGACGTACACTGAGATGGTTGTGCCAACATGGATCGCATCAGGTCCGTCCTCGACCTTGATACGAAGGAAAAGTTGAGGGCCGTGCCCAGATGAAGGACCGAATGATGTCGAAAAGGGAACTGAACCGCCCAATGCTGAGCCAAATATACCGCTTCCAGGCAACGCGCTGCTGGCGGCAACGGCAAGAGTGAGCGCTGATGGTTTCTCCACTTTTTTGGCTGCAGTGAGACGCGACGGATGCCTTTGAATATTGCTCTCGATCAGGCGATTTTGTTGGACTGGCACTAGTAAGACCAAGTTCTCTTCCAGGCGTAGACTCACTTTGAGCTGGAGTGGCCTCAAGAATTGCATAAGCATCCGCATTGAATTTGGCAATTTTCCCAATGCGATCCGGTGCTGCAGAACAAGTAAGCAAGAGTGTTCAAAACTCGACCGATAAAGCCTACGGGGGAAGTCATCGTCAACCTCTCCATCATCCTCTGCAATACGCATCGTCCACCCGATTGCAGAGAGCCGGGTCGCTTTCTTATCTTCGTCATTCTCGATTCCCTCGTCTAGCTTGGGCAACCAACCCTCTTCCCAATAAGTCCACAATGCAAACCCAATAACCTCTTCAACTGTCGCATCCTTCCGAACACTGAGATCCATCGCTTGTCCACGGGGTGCTCTTGCTGACGGAAAGTAAACTTGAACACTCGTCTGAGCACCCTCTCCCCTTCCAGATACCGTGGCGTATAGCTCTGCAAACGGATTTGTAATCTCTCCCGAAGAAACCAGCATTGCGGTTAACGCGGAACGAGGAGTATTTCTAGGTAATGGGGCGACTTTCTTGCGTGCGAAGATGATTTCGGGTTTATTGGCGGAGGAGGATGAGCCACTTTGGCCGCCCTGAACACGGGCTGGGTTTCGAGCAGGAATGTCTGGTTTACGAGAACTTGTGCTTGGCGTCAGCATTTCGAAGTGGGGGTTACGATCAGGGGTAGGGCCTTCGGAGACGGGGCTTAACCGTGCACGATTGCGAGGGAGCGCAAGACTGGTACTGGACTGGGATATTGGGACAGATGATGCAGTTGCTGAGAAAACAGAAGTGACTTCGGACACACTGTCTGAGGTCAATCCTGGCGAGCGACTGGCAGCAAAGTCGCTGTCAGCCAATTAGTGAAAAGGATATTAGCACACAGAGAGAAAAATACGCACGGATCGAATTCATCTCCATCGTCCATAGCTGCATTTGACGGACCAAAGTCTGAATCAGTTGACGAGTCGTCTGCGACGACTTCCTCTTCAGATGAAGAAGAAGACGAAAAGTCGAGAACGGGGGGAGCTGCCGTTGCCGCACCTCCTGGTCCACGGCGAGCTGCCATTCGCATCCTTCTCCGCCTTTCCATTTCGGCAGCGCCTTTGAATTTCGGGATGAATTGAACAACTTTCGCAACTGGAGCTTCTTCCGCGACTGTGGGCTGCTGGATCGTGACCTCTGGAGCAGAGCTGGGCACCGAACCAATGAATTTGTTGTCCTTGTGTTCAGACAGAGAACTTGTCGAAGGGGCGGCTGTTGCCTCCAACTCCTTCTCTCGTGGTGTCCGCCCCATAGACATGCGCTTAGACGTAGATGCCCGTTTCCCATTCACCCGCAGCCCCAGTCCTCCCGTCCTGCCCCCCATGATAGTGGTGCTATATTTCAGTCGAGCGCCAGGGAAACCCGAGGGTCGCTCATCGTCACTGAGCTGCGGACTGGACGGCATTGCGAGCTCGGGCCATCGATCAATATCGTTGAGCGACGCGGATATAATATATGAGTTGGTGTTGTAGGTGGGGGCAAGCGTGATTAGTCGAGGTCCATACGGGTCTGAGTCTACTTCTCGCAGGTACGACAGACGCATCGAGTGGATTAAATAGCTGCAACTCGTCAGAGCTTTTTAAGGACGGGAAGAGAGCTAACCTGGTGTCGCTAATGAGCGACATGGTGCTCAGCACACCAGTCGCGTCGACGGTGGCTGCCAAAGAAGGCAAAGGAAGGGTCAGGCGTCACGGTCGCGTGACACGCATCACTTGGACTTGAACAAATTGAACCACTATATGGACGATGGTCGGCCAGTGGTGGCGTATATCGCCTCTCTGGAGTTAATGAAGGTTTCTTTCACCCAGGAAATCCGCGAAAGCGCTGAAATATATATAGGTTTCTTCCCTTCTGCCCTCCAATCCCCAAAGGTCTGCTGTTGTACACACGTTGGCGCGCTCTTTAGGACTCTACGCGCGTGATTTCTCTTCGAAAAGAGCGCTAGTACTGGTTCCTCCTCAAAAAGCTGAACCAGCGGACTTGATCATATACCACACGCGCGAATATCTCGACTTTGTTCTCGATCCAGACAATGCTGAACAAAACAGCCATAATGCTGCAGCGAAAACCGAATACGGTCTCGAAGAGGACTGCCCTATGTTTCCCAGAGTCAGTGACTATGTGCGCCTCGTAGGTGGTGCAGCAATCACGGCAGCCAAGAAACTCCAGCATCCAAGATGTGAACTTGCTATCTGCTGGGACGGGGGGCGTCATCACGCAAAGAAAGAAAGAGCGGAAGGCTTCTGCTATGTTGCTGATTGTGTTCTCGCTCTCATGGCAATGCGCCGAATGGTCCAGCCTGGTCAAAGAAAACCGCGCATCATGTACCTGGACCTTGACCTCCACTTCTCCGACGGCGTATCCCAAGCATTTCATCAGACATCGTCAACCTCTCCGCATATATTGGTGATATCCATCTGCTCTCAAAAAACTTCTTTGTCCACTGACGGCCTTCCAGACCTTCAGCATCCATCATACCGCACCGGGTTTCTATCCTACCTCTCCACTCGCTCACCTACCAACACCAAACAGCGATCCTTTTACCCTTTCTCTACCCTTACAACAAGGCGCCTCCAACCGGACATTCTTTCGTGCATGGCGCTGTGTTGAACTTATTCATACAACCTTCGACCCAGACTTGATTGTCCTCCAATGCGGAGTTGACTCACTTGCTGGCGACCCTTGTGCAATTTTCAACTGGTCCCTGGGACCTATATCTGAGGAGGGGTCTCTTGGCTGGTGCGTATCGAGAGTCGTCAACCATTGGCGTGGCAAGAAACTCCTGCTCGGCGGCGGTGGCTACGACTCCCCCAACGCTGCGAGGGCATGGGCTTACCTAACGTCTATTGCATTAGGGAATCCCCTTCCTCTCGATACAGAAATCCCGAGCGACGATTCCCACGAGTACTTTCCTCAATACGCGCCATCGTTCGTCTTGGATGTACCAGCAGGGACGATGCAGGACCGCAACACTAATGAGTATCTCGAGTCAGTCGAAAGGGCTTTTGAGGCTGCCGCAATCGCTGTTCATACGCGCACGAAATAGAAAACCTGCATTCCATTTGTACTCATATATGCATTCGTTTGCCCAACCTCGGCTTCCTCATTGCGCCGTCAAAGTGATTATGCTAAAGCTAGTCGCCGGAGCGGTATAGTTGAATATTGTGCCAACTGGGATCCGGGAGGCAACTGGAGCGATGAGATCCGGTGCAGCAGGCGTGTTACTCGTTGTTGCAGCTCCGGTAAGCAACTCAAGTGAGCCAACGGAAGAGACACTTTCGAATGGAAGGACAAAGGTGAGATCTTGCGAAGCAGCCGCACTGTTGGAGATCTATCGTGTCGTTCTGAGTAAGTTGATTGTCTGAAACATTGCACTGACCTTGATGATCAACTGGTTTGTCGCAGTCCAGCGAGTAACGCTCCAAATCAAGGTAGCACTGGTGCTGTTATTGGGAAGCGTGCTGGGCAGGTATTCGTCGCCTCTGTTATTAGCGAACAACTGTGGTGTGGCTGTCAATAATGGTGGTGAAGGGGCGGTTCTCACCTTTTGAACATGATAGCTAGTTGATTTGTATACTTTTCCTGCGCTAAGTTAGAAGTCAATAAACGCTTATACGAGTAGAATACGGGCCCTACTCGAAGCCCACGAGATTGGGTGTCCACTGGGAGTTATTTACATGTCCGAGAAGGGGAGCATATGAGGAGGAAAAGACGATGTCCGCATTACCTACGGCGTATCATTGGACGATGAGACAGACAAAAAGGATGACACGCACGTTCGAATCCCATCATGAATGCAGCTTCGCCCACAGAGGCCGCAACAGTAGGCCACAGGAGACGTCCTTGTTCTGGGGTACCGTAGAGATTACTCGAATTTGTTGATGTCGAAGCATATTCTCCCTACAAAAAAGAGCGCGGGGTCACTGACACTTATGAAGGGTTAGTGATGTTAACGCACCTCGAAGAATTTGATTCCGTTTCTCTTACCCTGAAGTTAGCTTTGGAAGGTCAAAGGAGCAGGTGTACTAGCCGGCATAGAGTCGTATAAGAATGAGTTTGTCGCAAACCATTCTAAAATCAGGTTTGAAACGGTTTATCAATTTATCACGTGACCTACTGGGTGTCTGATAAACGTGCGCATCGTAAATCTCCGGCGTTGGTGTCAATGCAGGGCCCGAAGATCGCGATGTTGCCATGAAATCTGAGGAGATCATCAGTCTAAGCAGCGAGTAAACTCCTAGCACTCACGTAGTTGAGGAAAGGTAGCACTCAGGTTTGTAGCAAACCAGTTCCATCGAGATGCGACACTGCCAGTGACCATGTGTTTATATATGATTGACGAAAGTCGGACGCACGTTCCTGGAGCTTGACCAACGAAGTCCTAAGAACATCGTCAACAAGCCAAAGAATCTCGTGAGCGTTTCACTCGGACCTCATTCCCGATTTCCACGAATCTGAGTTTGAATGGTTCTGCATGGCCTAGTGAGGCTCGCAAGGCGGCTTGAAACAGTTGGCAGAGTTTCAGCTGGCTGTTATTTCATGGCTCACCTGCTTCACTTGTGTTTGGATCTCCAATGACAAAATTGATCTGCGACAAGATGAGACAAGATTAGATTAGATTAGATTGTCGACTTGTTCAATTGCTTCCGCGATGAAGGGACCTAGAGCATCGCCAGTGACACTGCTTCCACCCAGTGAATAGCCTTTTAATTGGGTGAGTTGACGAGATAAGCTGGACATCAGAAGGCATACCATCCCAAACCGCCATAAACGGCTCCATGTCCAGGTCTTCACACCAGTGCAGATATTCCAGCAATCCAAGGCCGCTGCCACTCTGTCAGTTTTTTGTGTGATGGATAGTCATTGGCAACAAACTCGGTGTTGATGTAGCTCCAGTCCCCCACCCGACCAGGTCTCTGCGAGAGCGGCCCAACCGTGTTCCTCCACTGCCAACGTGTAGCGGTCGTCTGTCCTTCAAGATTATTTCCTCCAGGGAAGCGGAAGAAGGCGGGCTTGGCGTCTGCGAGAGCCTATTTTTTTTCGTTGAGATGGTTATATGCGCGCTCGACCGAGTCGCCAACCTGGGCAATGTCTGTGCGCATACCGTTCTTGCGTCCTTTGAAAGTTGGGGGGAAGAGCGAAAGGAGCGCAAAATGCACCTCAATCCCAGCTGGCGACGTGTGTGTTGCATTGGAGACGGTGACGGCGAAGCGATTGGCCAGTGAAGGGGGTGTACGATCAGGAGTGAGGACAATGTCCACCTCTGTCCAGCCATCGACAAGAGCGAGCTCGGTGCTATGAGCGGCCAAAGTGCTTCCATCTTCAGCAAGAAGGGAAATCGTAAGCGTTGGCGGGGAATTGAGAGGGGATAAGAACGCTGGCACGCGATAGTTGAGCGAAGCTGTGTACTGCGTGTCCTTGACGAAATTGATACCTGCCAAATGTTAAACAACTTCCGAGGAGTTGCATATATACTAACCCCAGTATCCGGTGTTGGCAAAGCCGACATCTCTCTTCACATTCGGTGGGATTACGAGGACAAGCGAATTAGGCAGAGCGGACGACAATGGGCTTGGGTCGGCTACGACATTGATCGAGGATTCGCCAATGGGAAGCCACGCGTTCAGTGCAGCAGTGGTATCTTTGTTGCAATGCTTGTGTTAGAGAGTGTTACATGTGAATTTGACAAGTTATTCACTTGGGGTAACTTGTTGAAAAGCGCGATTTTGGAGCACTGGAAAGTATCAGCTTCTGTACTCACGATGTGTGCAAACGAACGTTCGGCGTACAGTCCTCCATCCCCGCTCTGGGGGGGTTCAGCCCTTTGAAAAAAATTCGCACCGATTCTCTTACATGCTAATAGGAAAGAATCAGCAGCCCAGAACAGTGCATTCCCGACAGCATACGCACGCTAATGTCTTCAAACATCTGCCCCCACAGCGTGGTCGGGATGGGATGGCTCGCTGTCGCGCTGACACTGACGGTAGTGGCACCAGACACATTTGTCCACCGAAGCGCGAAAAGGATGACCCAAAGAAAGAGGTGAAGACTCATGTTGCGGTTTGACCTTTCTCAACGATGCAAGCATTCACGAAATTTATCCGCAGAGCTGCGGCGGCCCGTTGTCTTCGTCATAAGACCAGCATCGCTCAAGCGAAGCTCTAATATCAGAGTTTTTAGGTCCTGTGATAGTCGATTCTGCCTAGTTTTGCCCGTTTTGTGGCGTCATCCAATAGGTGAAGAAAGGAAGGCAGAGAGAAGAGGCGTCTTGATTACTAAGCATTCCCGACAAACTCTATTTTGCTGAGCGATAGAAGAGACTGGAGCCTTTTGAGCGCAACGCCCAAGCGGAACGGGATTGAGATCAATGGGGATGCGCAATTCAAGGCGCGTGTAGTTGCTACATGTACAGACCCGGCTGTTCTATCTACAGTATTCCGGGAAGTTTAATCGAGCTTAGAGTAGGCTACAATGATGTTTTCTACGTTCGAGAGTAGGGTGGGAGTGATGCGGTCGAGGATGAAGGTGTTAATGGGGTGGGCAAGTTCGACTCAACGAGCTTGTCAACGAGGGTGCGTTTATGCTCAACAGCGGGAGTTGAGGGCTGCGAAGTCAGCGGTGTCGTCGGTGTCGAACGGTTGTGCACCATATGAGCCCGAATCAGGTGACCGGCAGCAAGCGCAGAAAGCAAAGAGAGTTCGCCTGCCATGACGGCCGACGCGACTACTCTGGCGAGGCCTTGAGAGTTTTGTCCGGGTCGCGTAGGATGCGCTCCACGCAAACCAAGCATATCAAGCACCGCCCCTTGCGGGGTCAGAACGGTTCCGCCGCCGACAGTCCCAACCTCAATTGAAGGCATCGAAACAGTCATAAGCAAGTCTTGTCCGTCATTCGTTGGCTCCATCAGAGTCATGCAGTTCGAACTCTCCACATTCTGAGCCGGGTCTTGGCCAGTCGCCAGGAAGATTGCAGTAAGGATGTTGGCCGCATGTGCATTAAACCCGCCGATAGAACCCGCCATTGCACTCCCGACGAGGTTCTTCTTCACGTTCAAGTTGCAGAGCGCATCGACGGTTGTCTTCAGCACGCTCTTCACAACTTTGCCTGGAATGACAGCCTCAGCAACAACACTTTTCCCTCGACCTTCGATCCAGTTGATCGCCGCAGGCTTTTTGTCCGTGCAGTAATTGCCGCTCAGCGCCAGAACAACCATCTCCGGAAACTCCTCCTGCATCACCTCCAGCGCTTTTTCCGTGCCCTTCGAAATCATGTTCATCCCCATCGCATCACCAGTCGCTGTCGCAAACCGCACAAACAACGTACGCCCCGCCATCGCCGTCTTGAGGCTGGTCAGCTTTGCAAAGCGCGAAGTGCTCTCAAAGGCCGACTTGAGCGCCTCATAGCCCTCGGCCGATGCAATCCACGCTTTGGCACGTGCAGCTTCGACAACGGAAAGGAACTCGATGGCTGGGCCACGAGTCATAGCGTCCTGAGTGAGCACAGTCGTGACTCCACCACCAGCATTGAGTGCTTTGCATCCGCGAGAAGTCGATGCAACAAGGGTCCCTTCGGCGGTGGCCATAGGGATGTGGAAGGACACTCCGTCGATGGTAAGTGGACCAGCAATGCCAAGCGGGAGAGGGATATAGCCAACAACGTTTTCGCAACAGGCTCCGAGGACTTTCGAGTAATCGTACTGCTCGAATGGGACCAGGGATGACTCAAGCGACTGCGTAATGGAAGCACGGGCTGAAATGTATAAATACCAAGGTCAACACAGAGAATACAACTCACAAATCAATGCTCGACGAATCCGAACAGCCCGTTCAAGCCCCAGCAAATCTCGGTCCGGGGCGAGCACCTTTTCTAAAGCGTATGCTGCGATCTTACCGTTTTGGGCTAGCAACACAATCTCCTCGTCACTCAACTCGGCCAGACCATTCGACTTGGGCAATGTGTCCATCAGACGCATAAGCTCGGATAGTGAGCGAGGTTCATCGCTCGCCGAGTCATCCGAATCGTCAACAAGAACAGCCTATGATGTCTCAACAGACTATCAAAAAAAATTGAAATGACACACCCTTTGTCGACCGGGGGTTCTTGCTCGAAGCCCACGACCACGAGCACGCAAGCGACGATCAAGGTCTTCCAACGGCAGAGTCGGAATGGCACCAGTACTGGCTGTTGGTGTCTGCCCATGAATAGTGGAGATGGGCACTGGGGAGGGTCGGCGGGGTATAGCTGCGACTTCCCTTGCCCATCCATCTTGACGAGGGGTTTCTTCAGCGGGGGGTTGAGGCTCGACCTTTGCCTCGGAGTCAAACCGAACACTGCTGCCGCCCGTCGCACGAGAAACGCCACGGATAAGGTAGGCATTGAGGAGCACGCTGATGACTAAGACAGCGACGATGCCTTTACTCAGCACCGGATCTCCGACAAGGCTAGTCCATGTCGATAAAACGGCGTCAATTCGCGCGGACAATGGACGAGATGCGGAAGAGCGAAGTATGATCGGTGGTCGCAGACGAACAAGAAGACGAGGTGAAATGGTGCTTGATGGTGATTCAAAGAGAGTGGGCGTTAGATGAGCAAGTACCGCCCAATCCAATGGAGTCGTCTGAGTCGGGATGGAAGAACGAGGAGCTCCTGAAGAAAGTGTGAATGGTGCTGCCAGGTTTAGTATTTGGAGAACAAGGCAAGCAGCAAGCAGGAGCAGCTTGAGCCGAGCGATGGGACTCTCCGGCTCCGTAGCATCGGTCTTGTTGTTTGCCAACGAGGTTCGAAGAGGAGTGGGAGGGTTATTCCATCCAAACAGACGTTGGGGCCACAAGGTAGTCGAGGAAGTAGTTGAAGGTTGTGGGAGTCGTCTGACTTCAATCATGATTGAAAAAACAGCAGCGAGAAAGGTCGACATCATGAGACAGTCGAAGGCGAGTAAGATAGCTGCGAGTGCACAAATCTCGGATAAGCCGGCCACCTTAGAGCTGGCCCCAATAACGAGGACCGCGATTTCTAGAATATAGTCGCGGATGATGGGGTAGTAGGTTGCGCTCATGGCATCTAAGACAACCTCTCCAGCAGGTATGGACGTTGCTCGTAAGGCCCGGGGATGAGTGAAGACTGCTCGAGCAAGACGTATTGGTTTGTCGAACCCAACGGTGCAAACGAAGAAAGGAAGAGCCTCTGTGAGGGCAACCGGGTGCATGGGTATTCGAAGAAATCTCGCCGCAGGTAACGCGAGGATGAGCGCCAAAAGCGACGACGAAAGGATCGCGAATGGGAGCGAAAAGGAAGAGCCAAGTGCCCTCGAGCGAGAAAACAGGACCACAAATGTTGCATGCATCAAGATGTATCCAGCAACCACCAGTATAATGTCTGGTGTTGGTGCTTTCTGACTTGGGGTGAGTAACTTGAGAGAAAAAGGACATAGAAAAAGAAAAAACCTTGGCCAAATCGTAGAACCGAACAATCAAAGCCCTCAACGCGTAGGCGACCCACTTCCCTGACTGCATCTGAGCAATAGCCTCTCCAGGCATCTCGGCCTCGTATGCAATATTCCAACTGTCTGCCGGCAAGTATGATAAATCGAAACCATCGGGGGCTTCAATGGTCTGCGTCCACGACTCCGATTGGACTTGAAGATGCGAAAACCCAGGATGAAGGGCCAAAACATGGTCGGTTGCATTCTTTAACGAAGGGATGGCAAGAGACGCGCCAGTGAATACGATTTGCTGGAGGTCAAGTCGAGGGACAGTGCCGTGGTCTCGTTTCCAGACAGTTTCGCGTACTGCGAGCCATTCGTCGGAGAAAAGGGCATAGGCAGGAAGAACGGGAGCTGGGGGAGCAAGAAAGGCACTATGCTTGACTACACTCAAAACCTGCAAGAATCAGTGAAGGCTCTGCTTAAAGTAAGAGAAACTAACATGAAGATAGGCTAGGGCAGCGACCACGATGATGAAAGCAAGAGTTTCGACGGGAGAATATGCTGCCGAAGAAAGGTTAGGCGGAATAACATGAAAAGAGCTAGACGAACCTGCATGGATTGCTAGCGGCTTGAGCACGGTTCTCATGGTGGTGAACAAATGGGATAGGACTACCGAAGGGCTTCCAGTGGGGTGTGCATAGCCGGAAAACGCGATGGTACGAGGATTAAAATGGAGTTCGTTTATCGGGGTCACACTGATCACATCAATTGTAGCGGCCGCTGATAGCGCAACGACTCTTGTTTGTGCCCAAAACACAATGCCTCCCGCCCGAAGCCCGTCACAAAAGCTAGGCTGCATGTTTCTGGGATTGTTTCAACCGATTCCGCACTTGTACTTCTTATGGGCGCAGAGCCACTACGATGTAAGGCTTCACTTGAGTTTTAGCCGGCATTCATCTTTTTTTTTTCAAAGATGAGATAGTATGAGCTGTCCTCATTTGTCCGACATTTGCTCCAAGTTCCGAATACCTCATGATCAAAGACAAAATCGGCCTCGGAAATGAAAGGTTATTGTTTCTTTGTGCAAAAAGTTCGATCTCTGCTTGAACCTCCTGGATCTGAATCGGAATAAACCCGTGAAACATACAACTCACCATGATTTACCTTGCGCTTCTCCGCCGTTTGCGGGCACTTGCCACGGCCGCAAACCAGTCAACCATCTTCCTGTCACTGATCTGTCCCTGATTCGCAACCGACTACGCTTACGCTTTCCGATTCGGGACCACTGCGGTAATTCTATCCTATCCTATCCTATCCCAGTACTTGTTGTCCTCTTCAAACCGGTACCCTTATCTGGCTACGTCGAGGCATGCTACCTTTCCCTTTTGATAACCGAGAATTTTGAGCTAAGTTAGTCTTGAATTGGTCACGCAAATCAACCTCATTGCGCCCTACGTCCTCGTCAGTTATCTATGACCATACGGTAACTAGATATAGGGTTAGTGTTATCGCATCTGCTCCATGTCTACTCAGTCAAGGACATCAAGTATTGTGTTGTTGAAATATTACATAGGTCCTGGATACTAGTGTTTAGGACGATTGTCGAGAGTCGACTGACTGTAGGATTGAGCTTGGAGAATGTCTTGTCGTGCATCATCATCGATTATCCAATGGAAACGCTCTTGTCCCTGGTAGGGGTCAAAGATACGACTTTGCAACACCATACGAACTAAATCTCGTCCTCTGGGATCCATCAGGCCGTCAGTTAGTTTTCGCATTGCGCGAGCAAAACGTGTCTGGTGGAGATGCGTAGACGGGAGGTCGAGGATAGTCCGTAGCGATGCTACGGGTTCATACATCTGAGTTATGTCTGGGACGCATTGTTCAAGGAACTCAGTAAGAATAGCAACGACGGTTGCGAGTTTTGGACCGGTTGTCAAGCCAGTTCGCGGAGGGGCACCAGATTGGTAATCTGGGTTCGACGAAAGCAGAGCGTTGACGGTGGCAGCATCGATCTCGTTGTTGAACCACGAAGAAGTGACGTCTTGACCAATAACACGACTGCCGGAACCATTGACGAGATACACTTTGCTAATGCATCCATGATAGCATTGTATTCGTCTCCTTCAGGAGGCTCTAACGGCAAGCTAGGCTCCAATGTCGCATGGGCCGTTATCCAAAGGGCCGTTAGTACGTTTTGAAAGTTGTTTGTTTGCGAGCTTTGAGACCCTCCGGAGGTGAATGAGGTTATCGTCATCGAAAAGCAGCGCCACAAGTGGCCGTGTATCTTCGTGTTGTAGAGCAGATTTGCCTCGGAGGAGTGATTCGGGTGAGAGACAAGTCATCACTTGCATTGCCCAGTTGATGTGGAGGTAGGAGGTATTCAATAAGACTACGAGGGATTATTCTTGCATCATACGGCCGCTAAAGCTTCAAAAATTCACTCATTGCTGCCCGCTGAGTCTCTACATACCGCTTCCCGCCTGCCAGTGCGAGGTTTGTCTGAGTCGAGGTTGTCAAGATCTACTAAGATCATTTCGGCTTCAATTTCTGTGAGGTTGTCGTCGGTCAAAAAATCGGCTTTGTAATCGGGGGGATAGATAAGATCCAAAGTCTCTTGTCAGCGGTATGGGAGGGAGTCACTGTTTGCGGCTACCCGAAGGTATACCAGAAATAAGCGGCGGGCCAGGGATGTGCAAATTTCTCTTGAGACTTGGTCGAACTGTTGAGGATTGATTGTCGACTCGGAGCGTTCCAGCCTTTGAAAGTCCGCTTCGTTGAGGCCACGCTCGTGAGTTTGAGACGGATCCATGAGGTATCGACGGACTGGAGCCAAGTAAGGAAAGCGAGGGGCTGCCGTAACCAATTGGCTGGAGCAATACTTTAGGTAGGTCGTTAGCCAAGCAAGACCACTCCAGCTCCTCATGGCCTTCGCTGAATCGTAGAGCGGGGACGCAAAATAAGGATAATCCCATACCATGGGAATAGGGAACAAAAAATGATCCAAGATTAAAGGGACCGTGTAGGGAGCCGTCAACAGGGATCTGGGAGCGGTGGGTATGGTACAGAGTGCCCAAGCCGCTTTAAGACATGCAACCTGACGTCTTTGGCTAGCGCCAACGGATAATGGACCTTCCTGGCAGCTTCGCCACAAATCGGCGATCCGCGAAGTCAAGTTCGCTTCTTCAGAGTCACGTAGGCTGGTCATATATGCGGTATTTCGACGATGCTGACGGTGTTGGCCCCACATCACATCTGGGATGGCTTCTACGAATGTCTGCAGCTCATCGTCATCTGACAAAGAGCTCACCGTCCACAAGAGTGCGGAGACGTCTCGGTTATGACGGTTGTCCGAGGGCATGATCGCGCGGCCAATCATATTGTCGACAAGGGTGTTCAAGTTGCTTTTTTGTCTCCCGCAGTCAGACTGTGAATTTGGTCTGTGAGGGGGTGAGTGTGACGACCAAAATAACGTTGCTTTTATGATCTGGTCCGTTAGATCTACTGAATCAGATCTACAACCCCGTAGTCCCGAGAAAGCTTGAAGCACCGCCCATACCGCACTCGACAATGGAGTTCGGTATGGAGAGTCAAATCGAATTGAGGGCAGAATGGTTAAGAATGCGTAGAAGCCGGCAACCAGGGCCAGAATCCCAGTAACAAGTCCCGCAATTATCTTGTTCACCGGAATCAGAAAGACGACCAAGCCGCAAAAGAAGAACAGGAGAGCGGCGTGTAGAAGAGAAGGTATAATATCTACCACTGCATGCATTTTGAACCTAGTTATAATCAGGGTCAACAAGATTCCGGAATAGAAATGGCCGCAACAAACCGTCGGAGACCATAGTAGAGGTAAGAGTAAATTCGTGCGCGGACGACGGGGGATGATCGTGTGTTGGCTCGATGCAAGAAGTCGCGCGCCCATTGTTCGAGGAGTGTTGCCACCAGAGCACATGACAGACTCAATCCAAGACTCATGAACCAAAGCGCATTGCAAACTAGCGATGATAGGCTTGGTTTGAACGTTTGGACAATGGCAGACGTTGGTGTAGACGTGGAATTGCCGGAAGAGACTGCCAAAATTTGTTCTAAGAGTTGAACTGTAGCGTCTCCGGGGTCTGGAGCAAGAGTTTTGTAGCTCTCGATGAGGAAAGCAGTCAAACTGGCTGAGAATAAACCGGCCTTGGTGACGCTCGATTAAACGAATTCCAGAGTTTCTACACTAGAGTGAACGCACGAAGATCAACATTCCCTCCATGTCGCTCTTCCAGCTCGCAACAAGTGATTTGTCGTATCGCTCGGCCTCATCGACGTAAACAGACCAGAGCTTTGACGCTCCGGCTTCTTCAGCGTGATGTTCTGCCCATTTTGGTCAATAGTTTCCATAGAACGCGTCATTCTGAAAGTTACCAGGTCCAAGCTCTTTGGCGCTGTTGGCCATATGCGAAGCGCTTCACTCGCCACAACAACATTGTTACGGATCAATGAGAAGCGGTACATATGTTGATGTTTGTTTGCACTTCGTTCATCAAAACTGACAAGCTGCCGGCAGCTACAAATAGTCATGCAGCCCAGATCCCAACACACAACACTACCAAATAATCATCTATGCGCAAACAGGTATGATTCCCATTGCTTCATGCAGTGAATCCAGGAGAATGTCGTCTTGATCCCCAGTCACGTCCCATATAGCAAACCCAGCCAGGCCCTGGTCGTTGATAAAATGACCTTTCGCCGCTGTTGTCGCAAGAATAAGGAGTTCATATATTGGACCAAGGTAGGCAGCATACCGAAAGAAGTGGCATCATCATACGATACCATGACTTGGGATGTTTGATTGTAAACGAAAGGCTGGAATCTCTTAGCATCACTCAAATATTACGAAAAGAATTGGAGGGCCATACCGTTTGGCTGCACGGGTCAAAGGTATACTGAATGCCGGATGCTGCTGTCCCCGACTTGTCCAGGAATCCACTCTGAATAAGACCGGCAAACGTGAAGATTCCACTGATTCCCTCATAATTACCGCATGGATCAACGGCAGAAATATCCGAAGGAGAGTCGGAAGTCCCCACAGGTTGTACAGACTTGTCGTAAGACGGGTAAAGAGCCACATTTCCACCGTTCATCGCTGATTGCGGCGCAACCTTGAAGCTGTGGCCATAAGCGGCCAAACCCAAGGCAATCTGTAGCGGGGTGAGACAAAAGTCAGGATTTAAGGGTAGGCTGGCTTACCTGGTGCGCAGGAAAGTTGGCTGTAGTCCAGGCCTTGACTGCTGATACGGCAGAGCCTTGCTGATCGGCGGCTGAGGCGCAACTATCGTTGAGAGGGGCATTAGGACCGACAGACGGCGACCAAGAACCCCAAACATCGTAGTTCATGATGGCTATATGCATATTATTCAGCGACTGCTGTCAAAAGTCCTAAAACACGCACCAATACGGTCAAGAACTTCTGCAAACGACGAAACATCATTCATAGACTGGCCATTAGACCCAACAAATGGGGTTATACCAACAGCAGCAGTTAAAATGAGATTCTTTCCAGCAGTGGTCGCGCGCAGCTCCTGTAAGAAGGCAAGGAAGTTGGCAGAGTCGTCGGGGTTGACAACATTGCAGCCTAAACCTTGTTTGCCTGGGTATTCCCAACTGCGAAAATTTTAGCAAGACCCTGTAGGGCGATAACACGCACTCGAAGTCGACACCATCCAGATTGTACTGGGAGACTAGAGCAAGTGTAGCATTGACGAAAGCAGTTCGATTGTGTTCGCTTGCGACAGCAGACGAGTAGAATCGGGAGCCTGTCCAGCCACCAATAGATAGTAGTGCATCGACTCCCTGAGTAAAGAGCTTGAGAAACTATTCGAACAAATGTAAGAGTGCCCGTACGTTACTGTGAGCCTCCTTGACAAAATCAGGCAAAGTCTGGGCGCTGATAGAATCAAGTTGCAGTAGAGCGGTTGGATCGGGAGTAGTTATCCTAGAGGGAATTCAGGTAAACTGAGAATTTGAGTGTGTAGCACTTCCGCGAAGGCAAACGTCATAGCGGTGTACCTCGACCAGGAAATTGATGCAGGTGGAAAGTCTCCAGCCAACCAGCCAGGATACCAGGCAGAAGCAACTACATCCGAAGCATCACCACCATTCTGGATACCTTTGCTGGTCGAGGAAGAGATCTCTGAAGGCGGTTTGAGGCTACAATATTGAGCGGCGGAGACGAAGAGCGGGGCAAGAAGGAAGATCGAAGTTTGTAGTGGATGCATGGTGCAGGTGTGTGTGTGTGGGGAAAGTCTAATTGTCTCTTCTGCGTCTTTATAGATTTGAGAGTGTGGCCACAAACAACAAGGCTCGGTTATTTTCGGACCCACGAGGCATACGTGAGGAGAAGATTTGAAGGCGTTGAACTGAGGCTGGAAGTATTGATGCAGTTCGTTCGAATGCCTTGATATCGAGATCGCGCAGTGTCTACAATGAAGAGTTGTTGAGAACCTCGGATACTGCCGTTCGTTCTGAGTCGTGTTGTGGCTAAAGGTTATCTTTTGCCTTGTTCCTCGCCGTTGAACTTCTCGTCGCTTAGAGGAACACAGAGTCAATAAGAGCCGAAAAGTTCAAACGAGACTCAATGGTGGACGACGGCGGAGAGAGAGGGATGTTGGTGTCACATCTTATTATACAAGAGACTTCGGTGTCACTTTCCGTGACATCTTGAGTGATCAGCCAATGAGATCGCTTAAATCAAAAGACAATTTTGCTGTTCTTGAATTCCTCGCGCTGCTCCTCACAAGCTCTCAGTCTCCCATCAGGGCCTCGAAAACTTCCCTATTGAGACAATCCACGACTACACAGACCACCAGACTCCTTGACCCGCAGACTTCTGGACAAACATGACGACCACGACAACCACTCCACTGTCAATATACACCGTAAAACGTAGAGCTTTGTGCTGCAACCATGTATTCAATTACTATGGAAGAATAGCAAATCCTTTTCACCTCTGGAGTGTGATACTAGAGTCAAGCATCGACATTTGGGGTGCAGTCATGGAACAGGGCGTCAGTTTCTTACATGTGCATGCTTCCTTCAGTATTCCAGCTATATATTCGCTAAGTTCCACCTAGGCCACCTTCTCCAAGCTCTTATCTGTTGCACTGGAGTCCAAAAGGTATACCACAACAGTGCAACAATGCGAACTTGCTACTATACATGTCAATGCCTTGGCATTCTGCGGTATCTCAGTATCTGTGCCGCTCTGTGCAGCTCCAAAATCTGGCTAATTTGGCACATGTTGTGGAATGAATGCAAGAAGGGTCGGGAGCTTGCCTTCCTGCAGCAAGAAACACCAAGCTGACACCACAGGAGGTTCCGACAACTGCTTCAAAGAAGAACAGGTCTCCCTCTCCCACTCCTGACATCTGTGGTTCTGACGACAAGATATTGTGCAAGTTTGTTGACAACATTATTACTTCCCTTGGTTCCTATGTTGCACAAGCTGCTCATTCAATGGCCTTTCCTGCTGGCACTTCAGGCCAGTGGTGTGTGGCTATTCAATGATCTGTCTTACTAGGATCCGCTGCAACGCGGAGAATGCTCACGCAGAAATCACCAGGTGATTGTTAGGGGCTGCTGACGTGTAGAGAATTACAGGGTCTGACATACTCCAAATGACTACTTTCAGCTACAATGGTCCAAAATCTTCAAGGGGAGCATGAAACGACAGATAGTGGTCAGGCCAATTCACATTTCAAAGTGTGGATTGAGGAGCAGGAAAATGATTGAATTTGAATGGATTTTCTCTCCAAGTTCTGAAAGCAGGGGTGAGTGTTACACTTTGTACTTGTTTGGCCTCAGATTTGATCCTCTTTCCTCGCACGTGTTAGTCTAGGATTGCTCGCTGCGCTCGCAATCACTCAATTGCAAAGCCTTAAGCACAATGATGATGCCTCACAGTTTCAAACACTGCCTTAACAGCTTGGACCTTGAGTTTGACAAATGTGGGGGAAAGCACCATAATCCTGGTGACGACGGCAACAACAACAGTTCTTCATCCGTTGGCCCTTCTTCCCTATCTCCATCCCAGAGCCTTACATAGACCAAGTATTACTTCAATCAAGTATATTGCAAGGTTTTTACAGAAAATATAGTCACGGTTGAATAGAGCAACTAAAATCTTTGCGAACAACTCCCCGTGTTATGCCCCGTAGCGTAGCACGGGTTTCTGCTAGTGCTGTCAGAAACCGTTCCAAAGTTCACCATGAACTCAGCCAGTGCCACCAAAACCCCTTCGCCTTTACGAAGGTTCGCGGCCCATACTACGACGACTTGCGCGTCACAAGCATCTATCTATGGCAAATGTATCCTGGCTTCATATACAGACGTGAGGAAAGACATGTGTCAGGCGGAATTCGAGTCGTTTTCTCAGTGTTTACGACAAGCAGTGCGTACTTTTTTCCTTTCCTTTTTTTGTCTGTCAGACTGAGTGGTTTGGAAGATGGCTCGCAAGTAGATCAACACCGAACCCTTGAAGCAGCGTTCAAGTATCCAACCAGCGCTACTCTAGCTCTTGCGATGCGGTCTCCCTCATGGGAATATGGTAGAAGTGCCGAGGGGTATGGAGGGCATTTCGACTGGCGTAAATTGGCAGAGACGCTGAGTATGGTGGCGCCATTGTTCTAAAATGTTGTGCGAACGCGACTTGCTCAGTACCGTCATCATGACCTTCCCATTTTCCAGTTGGCCACCAACTCTTTCTCATAGTCAGCTAGAAGATCTCACACTCCGAGCTACAACATATGCTCTTTCGCATTCTCTACTCTACCTCCCACCCGCTCAACAGCAGCCTCTTACTCCTGCGGCCGCAATCCATGCACCCATATCCCTTTTCCCATCTCCACTCCCTCGTCGACTCTTTGAGCTTGCACGCCGTTTGCAGTCCACATACAACATTCTGTACGCCAGGATTGCTCTAGATGTCGAGTTTTTAGATCGCGTTATGGGAACTGTTGAAGGCGTCGGCAAGGTCGACAATTTTGTCGGTCAGCTATGGACGGGATGGAAGAAACTTAGAGATGAGGGTTCTGGTCTTATCCAAGTGTGTCTCCTCCTCCTCGCCGGTTCCAGTCAGATCTTGAACATGTTCAGCCATTACAACTCGGTCTTTTTCGATCCGATTATTTAATGCATTCTTCCGAAACAGAACTAAGTTTAAAACAAGTCGAATTTAATACGATCTCTTCGTCCTTTGGACCTCTTTCTCAGCAAACGGCCGCGTTGCATCGCCATCTGTTTGCTTCGACTGGATACTTCAACTCGTACTCGAGCATGAAGGCTGAAGATTTCCCCACCAACGAAACGATAGCTGGTCTGGTTTCGGGTCTGGCCGCGGCGCACTTCGCTTATGGCGTCAAAGAGTACTACTTCATCAGCTGGACTGACGTGTTGCTGACAGCCTTGTAGTGCGAAGATCCTCTTTGTCGTCCAGCCTGGGGAACGAAATGTTTTCGACCAACGTCTGCTTGAATATGAATTGCTTGAGAAGCATTCTATCCAGGTCGTTCGTCAAACCTTCGATCAGCTTGCTCTTAACGCGTCTCTGGATCCAGCCACTTCAAGGTTATTGCTCTCGACCGGGACTGAAATATCGACGGTTTACTTCCGCGCCGGCTACACTCCGACAGATTACCCGACCTCTGCGCAATACGAGACACGTTTTATTCTCGAAAAGTCGCGTGCCATCAAGTGTCCGTCGATAGCGCTACAATTGGCCGGTGGGAAAAAAGTGCAGCAGGTGTTGGCAGAGCCGGGAGTCCTTGAGCGATTCATGGATGACGCTGATGCGAGAAATTTGCTGCGGACCAGCTGGATGGGAATGTGGGCATTGGAGAGCGATATAGAAAGAACACGCATCGAATCTCACAAGCTCGTGCTTAAACCACAACGAGAAGGCGGAGGGAATAACGTTTATAAAGAGGCCATCCCACCATTCCTTGATTCTTTACCTGAACCGGAACGGGCGGCTTGGATTGCAATGGAACTCATCGAGCCGCCGGAAGGTACAGGTGGCTATCTTGTTCGTTCAGGGGTGGATCAGGCGATGAGGACAGAAGTCGTTAGTGAATTAGGAATTTTCGGCTGGGCACTCTATGGCGGTCGTGATGGGAAAATAGAAGAGAAAGAAGCGGGATGGCTTGTGAGGACCAAAGGAAAAGAAAGCAACGAAGGCGGTGTTGCAACTGGATTTTCTGTGCTGGATTCAATATTTTTGGTCAATGAGGACGTAATCTAATCTCCACGTGATATCTGCGTTTCTTGGAACTGACCCTCATTTGAGCTATATGCCACCAAAAATCGTCAGCGCGACTTCCGACAGCGATAGCCAGCTCGACTCTTCCGTCGCCAGTATTGACAGCGTTCAAGGTTGGCCTCCCATAATCAACTTACTTTGCCGTCATTTCAATATACCTGGTATGCCTTCAATTTCCGGATGTTGGCTAGTCGTAAAGGAAGCAGATCTCTCCAGAACCAGTGGCTTGAAGAAAATCCATGCAAACTTCGACACCATCTACCGTCGACTGGAGAATGCATACCACAGGAATGCTGCAGATGAGCGAATCAAGGGTGGAATTGTCGGGATATATGCGAGGATGTGTCTGGACTCAATTCTTCGTGATAAACTCTTTCAGAAAGGTACGTTTGTCTGTTCCTTCTTATCTTGCTTGTTCTCAAGTCTTGTTCTCCTCAGGTTTCATCAACCAACTTCTCCCTCTTGTTGACATTCCGACGTGCCGAAACCTTGCATTGCAATCACTTGAGACGGTCACCCACCACGGGGGTCTGGAGGTCCGCAGGGAACTGGCGAAAACATGCACCGAGCCCCTTCTCCGGGTTATGAAGGACTGCCCTGACGATCAGCGAGCTGTGAGGCTGGCTATTGTGACTATCTCACATTGCCTCAGCTCATCTTTGACCGAAGATGCTATCAAAAGGGACCCACGGTTCGGCCAATCTCTTCCTCTGCTCGAGGCCGCGAACGCCTTTACTGAAGTTTTGCGAAAACCATGGCCAAGCTATAACCTTGTTCTCCACGCGATCAATTATCTTTCGGTCTCGTCAAAGCACTGCAAGCTCCCACCATCGACAATCAATCTCTTGGTCGCTGGTTTGCGGAGCAAAGATTGGGTTTTTCGAGGGACTTGTCTTGGAGGGCTGGTTCGGTTGCATGTCGCAGGTGCAGAAGAAGACCAACGCCTCTCAGATCCCATGGCTTTGATGCGTGCCGTGTCCAAGCCATTACCTCCAAACCTAAACGACATTCTCCTTGCCTATAAATTCGACAAATGCGAAACGTACATTATGTTGAACACGACCAAGGACTTCCAAGCGGCTATGATCAAAGTCGCGGAGACCCATGACTTGTACTGGCTGGGCAAAACACTGGCGGAAATTGTCCTTAGGTTCGCCTACGACTGTTTCACACACGTGACCTTTCCGCTAATTTTATGAAGAACTGAGTTCTCAATTGCCGACGGCTACTATGAGACTGAGGATCCGGCAACCGGTCAGCGAGTAGTCGAAAGTCTTGGTCTGCCTTTCACGCGATGGGGTGATGCGTTACCACACTGTGCAAAAGCCATTCGAGCGAAACGCGACCCAACTGAAGCCGACATGGCCGATATTCTGGACATGAAGCATTTGGTTATGAGACAGCGTGTATCTGACGCAGTCAAACTGGCCAATGTTGCACTCAAACGCAACCCAGACTTTGCATATGCTTATTATATCATCACACTTTCTGCTGATCATGTTTCTGCTCTAAGGGCCGCGAAACAAGGCATGAAATGCACATCTATGACGCCATTCGTGCGGTTCCAGATGGTGCAACGGGCTGTTGAAGTGGCGGGAGACTATGGGATTGGTATCCTGCAGGACCTCGCATCAGAAGGAGATGCCAAGTGGGCTGAAGGAATCGCATTTCTAACAAGTGCGTTGGAAGACTCGAAGGTTTACCTGTCGCAGGCACCCCCAGACAACCGACATCAAAAGAATGTACTTTATTGGAACATTCTATTGCGCATTGCCATTGACGAGCATATCAGTGGCGACCTCCATGAGATCGAGGTCGAATTTAGCGCCATTTTCCGCATCCTTTACTGACATGACTCTTTAGGGTTCCTTGCGTAAACTCAAGAATGCAGATCAATTCAGCAAGTGGATGGGTGTACCACCACCGAAGACGCAACTCCGCAATACGCAGGAAACGGTCGTCCGACTCCTTCCTGCCGCATTAAAGGAATGGGGGGACTTTGTGTCGACGGTTAAAGCGGAGAGAGAAGCTGAAACACCGGACGCAGAAAAGATAGAGCAGGAACTGGCGGCATGGATGGAGAAAACAGATGTCGACGGCGATAAACCACATCACCACTGGCACGCCGGCGCTGACGGAAAATCGCCCTTTTCAGTTCCATTCTCCCAGAAGCAAGCAGACCTATATCGGTGTTCGTGGTGTGGTAACCCGTCAGCGGCTCTTCGCAAGTGTGGAGGCTGCTCCCAGACGAGGTCAGTTCGTCTTTGTGCCTATAATTTGGACCCACAAAATTTCTTTCTTGCAGATATTGCGAAGCGTCATGTCAGAAGCAGCACTGGAAGAAAGAACACAAACAGAAGTGTGGGGGTGCAAAGAAGAACGCGTAAAAATGAGTATTTAGTGATTATCTGGGGGCTTTAGGTCAGTCTTTGAGGACCAGCAATATTGAATCTGTTAAACTTGAGCTTGCAATGTATTTGATGCTATCATGGTCTTGTTTTCAACTTGTTTTCAGCCACCATCCAGATGACACCCCACATCCCAATCCACGGAAATTATCACGGGTAAGGCTGTCCAAATGCCCTCCATCCGACTATACTTAGATGTGAACTCCCAAGGTATTACACAAAGCGACCCTCTGTCCGTGACCCCCGTCTCGAAGTGCTACCACCCTCATTATTCACTGGGAAACGCGTCTTGGACGTCGGCTGTAACGAAGGATGGGTTTCTTGCGAAATCGGTGCGGCGCCGCATACGCTGTTTCTTTTTGTGAATCTGACCCTTCGCTCGAAGCCAGCGCAGTCCCGGGGTGCTTCAAAGGTTGTTGGGGTGGACATCGACGATGAGCTAATTCGCGGTGCGTGGCGAAGAAGAATGACGGCTTGGTCTATGCAGGGCCCGACGCGAGTGGATGAAGGAGAGGAGAGAAACCCCAAACGACGCAAACTTGGCTCAGAGAAAGAAGCTGGCTATTTTCCCGTCTCGTGCATGCATAACCATGGAGCGCTTCCAATCCCGACGACGACTGGTCTCGACGAATTTCCCCGAAATGTGTCTTTCAGAACCGCCGACTGGGTGAATGACACGATTCCAGAAGATGAGAGAGGTTACGACGTAGTTGTCGCGTGCGTCCACTCTCTCAGTCTCTTGATCTCAATTTCATGCTACTTCGAGATTCTCTATCACCAAATGGATACATCTGAATGGTGGCGACGCCGGCCTAGAACGGTTCTTTACTCGTGTCGCCGGAGTGTTACAACCAGGCAGTCGATTCGTCGTTGAACCTCAGCATTGGGAAACATATCGCAAAGCAAAACGAATGCACAATGTCTGTTACCTAGCTATCTAGACGAACTAGCCGAGACTGAACGGGTGCAGCGACTTAAAGAGAATGCACAAGCTCTGAAACTGCGACCAGACGATTTCCCCGAAATGTTGAAGAAGGTTGGGTTCGGAGAACCGGAGCGGTTTGGGAGTGTTGGAGAGGGGGGTATGTGCTCAGCTTGTGTCCTTCCCTGATTGCTGAACCAGATTCCAGGTTTCAATCGGCCGATCGACATATATACGAAACAGTAGTACGGCTACCAGTCCATCCGAATTTCGTCTGAATACGGCTGTACTTTTCTTCCACGACCCATCCCATCCAACCAGGGCCACATTTGTGTTCGTTTTTCTTCAAATGCTGTGATGTCGTGGACCAACTGCATGGTGGTACCGATCTCATCGAAACCCTCCAACAAACACTGTCTGCGAAATGCATCCGTCAAAAACTTGATTGGATTTTGGGACGGTGTCATGCGAATGATTTCTTGCTTCTCGAGGTCAACTTTGAGCTCGATACCGAGCTCAGCGTCAGCCGCCAGTGAGCGACACTCCTCGACGCTCAGTTCTATAGGTAACATGCAGTTTTGGAAGCAGTTGTTCCGAAAGATATCGCCGAAGCTTGGCGCGATGAGACAGCGAATACCAAAGTCCTCTCTGCAAGCCGATTAGATCAGATCAGATTAGATAGCAGAAACCGACAAGCTCCAAGCCGCGTTTTCGCGCGAGCTGCCACACCCAAAGTTCTTGCCCGTGGAAATAAGGAAGACTGCTTTGTTATACGGCGGACGATCAAGAATGAAGTCGAGCGATGCGCCAGTTTTACTGTCATGGCGCAAGTTGAAAAATAGCGCGTCGGCCAGACCTTGCCTGTCGATCCTCTTCAGAAATTGCTTGGGAATGATCATGTCCGTATCCGTGTTTTCGAGGTACATAGGAGCAGCAATCCCTTGGAGTATGCGGAATATCTTGCTTTCCTTCTTCTGAACCTGTTGGGAGATTGCTGGAGCCATCGCAGGAAGTTCGGGAATCGTAGCTGGAGATTTGATGTTATCCTCGAATTCCACGTTGGTCTCTGTAGTCTGACTCTGATATTGTCGCGGATCAGTTAGGGTGCCTCGAAGAGCTGTAGCAGCAGCCATTGCAGGACTCATCAAATGAGTTCTCCCACCCGCTCCTTGACGACCCTCAAAATTGCGGTTAGTCGTGCTCGCACAGCGTTTGCCTGCTTCGAGCTGATCACCATTCATTGCAATACACATAGAGCAGCCTGATTCGCGCCACTGGAATCCCGCTCGGCGAAAAACAGTATGGAGACCCTCGGATTCTGCTTGTAGCCGGATCGAGGTTGAACCAGGGACAACAACGCATTGTACACCAGAAGAAACAACAGTGCTAGGTCCGGCAGAGCGAATGACGTTGGCCGCCGCGCGAAGGTCTTCAATTCGTCCATTTGTGCAAGATCCAATGAAAACGTTGTCCACTTTGATATCTTGCATTGCGGTGCCGGGAATTAGGCCCATATAGTGCAAGGACCGCTCTGCGGCTTGACGACGAGCTTGGTCGGCAAAACAAGCGGGGTCGGGAACAACTCCAGTAATGGGAACAACGTCCTGAGGAGAGGTTCCCCAAGTGACGCAGGGAACAACGTCTATCCCATGGATATTGACCTCCACATCGAATTTGGCGTCAATATCCGATCGGAGCGTTCGCCAGAATTCAACGGCTCGTTCCCAGTAGTCGCCTTGTGGCGCAAGTGGACGGTTCTTGAGATAGGCAAAGGTGATGTCGTCTGGAGCAATCATACCTGCCCTAGCACCAGCTTCGATGCTCATGTTGCAAACACTCATGCGAGCCTCCATGCTAAGCCCTCGGATAACACTCCCAGCATACTCGATGACATACCCATTCCCACCCGAGGCACCGATGACCCCAATGATATGGAGAATAAGGTCCTTTGAGGTAACGCCTACGCCGAGTTCACCATCGACTGAGATTCGCATATTTTTACTTTTCCTTTGCAGTAAGGTCTGGGTGGCCAAGACATGCTCGACCTCGGTGGAACCGATACCAAATGCAAGCGCTCCAAATGCACCATGTGCTGAGATAGCTTAGCGTAAGTAGGGAAGGAAATAAATTTTAGTACTGGAAGTGTGGGAATCGCCACAAACACAAGTAATACCCGGCAGCTGGACAACGGTCAGAGAAGAATGCAGATTCAATCGACGAGGTTTTGTACCGTGAATCCTTGCTCGGGGCCAATCACATGAACAATTCCTATAAACGATACGATGAGCTTGATGACGGCCAACTTGGAGAATCCACACCTTGTCGTTTATCGTGCAAACCAAAAAACGGAAGTGAAAATTCCTTCACGTTGTCTTCTAGGGTCGAACATTGTGCGCGCGACTCTGGATCCGCTATGAGAACTTCTAGGTCATGCTCGCCTCCGTTTCGAGGGCTTGTCCTGGAGTCGGAGTGAAAGACTGCCGGTGCCGAAAGTGAAAGGTAGCTACGGAACATTGTGATCGACGGTAGCTAGTGTGCAGTCCGGTCGTCTGACGCTCCTTCCAGCAGCGCGACTACCTGAAGTCAGGGTCATGGCTAATAATTTTGTTGCATTACTCACAGTCCACTGAACGCCGGTGGGCTAGAGACTTCGTGCAACAAGTGGCTAGTTTATAGCACTGAGCATACTCAGACCTAAAGTGGAGGCGAGCGCACCGGTCGACATAGATAAGGTCAAGGTCATTCTTTTGAGGGGTCCTGTAGAGGCTATCATTCAGCATCGCGTGTTGGGAAAACGTTTGTTTGTACACAATGTGGGCATTCCAAATCTTGTCATAGAGGGTTTGCGGGGCATCCATGTAGAGTTCTGTTCATGAGAATCTCCTTGAAGTACTTACTTATATGAGGTCATCTCGCGAACCCGGGTCTACTCCGACCAAAGCTTCTCGGCTACCATATGTTCTGCTTCGGCCGAGTAGCACCGAAGTTGGCTTTCCGCCAGACTCGAATGGACCGGAGAGGCTAAGCTATCGTCAACGGCGCGGCGTCCTTCCATGCGTTGCCCTCGCACGATACAAGTCATAGGACGCACAGTCATATCCGCCAAGGTATATTCAAGGCCATCGTATGAAGCAACTGGAAGAGAAGGAGGAAGTTGAAAGCAGTAACCGACGTGTGACCCGCGTGGACAACTTCAGGAACGAGGTGTGAAGAATAAATAAAAGCAGTAGTCGTCTGGCTGCCTCGAGTTGACCACCGATATCAGACGAAATTCGCGTGAGAGGTAAAGAGACAATTGAAGTTGTTAGATGGCTCAGTTGTCAGGATGCATGCCGTTCAAATTGAAGATCGCGGTTACAGTGGCGGAAGGGAGCCTTGAACCGCTACATACAAAGAAACTGAGCACGCAGTTTTTCAGGCGAAGGAGGATTCCTTGCGGTTCGAATACGCGGCAGAAGAGCTTAACTTGAGGGTAGTTTAGCTTGAAGAGCACCCCATGGAAGAAAAAGAAGAGAGGCCGCCGATGGCATCACACCCAGAGCGCCATCAACGTACACATCCACATCTTTGCTTCGAACCTTCATACTTAAAGTCAAGGATGGCCCCCATATTTGCCCAACCATGCTTTCCTTCCTTCTTCTATGCCAATGGGCCGCAATAGTCGCCTCTCAGATTATTTCCCCCTCTGTGCAACATGCAAAACGAGCAATACTACCGGTTGGATGGTCGCGAGCTCGAAGATACTCATCTGACGCCATTATACCACTCCGATTCGGTCTCAGCCAGCCCAACACCGACATGAGAACACTTGAGCTACTTCTCCACGGTGTTTCTCATCCAGACTCGCCTGCCTACGGCCAGCACTGGACCCCAGCTCGTGTCGCACGACATTTTGCGCCGACCGATGAAAGTATTGGGGTTGTCACCGCGTGGCTATCTCAGAGCGGTATCAGGTCAAATCGTCTACATATGAGCAAGAGCAAAGGCTGGGTAGCCGTCAATGCGACCGTTTCCGAGACTGAAGTTTTACTCTCGACGGAATACCACGTTTTTGTTCACAGCGAGTCTGGCAAGGAGCATATTGGTATGTGTTATCTACAGATTAGTGTGTGAACCTCAACCTTCGCCAGCTTGTGATCAATACTACCTCCCCGCTCATGTTGCACCTCATATCCAAATCGTCACTCCTTCAGTCGATTTCAACGTCGTTCTTTCCAAGCGCCATAACGGCAATTCGTTCTCTACTGAAGTATCTTTGGGCCAGCCGCGTGCAGGCACTGTCTTCCCTCAATTCACTGATGCTATTGACACGCTAGTCCCCGGTACAGAGCATTGCGACAAGCAAATTACGCCTGGATGTCTTCGTGCGCTTTATAATTTTCATTATTCTCCCATATCTGGCGAGAAGAATTCCTTTGGAGTCGTCGAATACACCCCACAAGCCTATGTCCCGTCGGACCTCGACAAGTTTGCAACCAACTTTTCCGCCTTTTCCGGACCTTCTCTCGTTGGTTCTCGCCCATCGTTGAGTTCTATCGCTGGTGGTTTGTATTTACTATCCGACCCGAGTTTTCTGAGCATTGACCTTTCTTTTGACAAGGTGTCGTCCAGACTGCTTCGCGTAGTTTCGACTTCAACGGAGAGTCCAACCTGGATCTTGAATACGCAATGAATTTGGTCTCGGCAAATCAGCCGGTGACCCTGTATCAGGTCGGTGATCTGCAAATGGGTAGGATGCTTCCTGGTCCGGCAACTCTATTTATTGACGTTTTTTATAGGCGCATCTTTCAACAACCTTCTCGACGCCCTTGATGGCTCTTTCTGCAGTTTTGAGGGCGGAGATGACCAGGAAAATGACGGGATCTACCCAGACCCCCTTCCCGGCGGCTACCAAGGCACATTTTTAATGTCTCCAAACTGTGCCCTGACATTCACTCAGGCCAAGATTGCGGCAGCGTCAAGCCTGCAAACGTCATCTCCACCTCCTATGGATATAATGAAGCGGACCTCTCTCCCGCTTACACTGTCCGACAATGCGCAGAGTACGCTAAGCTCGGTCTCATGGGTGTCACTGTCCTCTACTCGTCTGGTGATAATGGTGCCGCAGGAAATGGTGGTCTTTGCTTGAATCCAGACGGCTCGCAGACGAGTGGAGGTAGAATCTTCAACCCGTCATTTCCGTCAACATGCCCTTTTGTCACTTCCGTCGGTGCCACGCAGATCAATCCTGGTGCTACAGTGGCCGATCCGGAAAGTGCTTGTCAGCAGGTCATCTCCAGTGGCGGTGGCTTTAGTAACTATTTCGCGATTCCCGGTGAGTAAATCTCAACTTTGCATTTGTTCCAACCAAATTCCAACTTGCTGATCTTTTCGTTTCGTTTTGTAGACTACCAGAAGGGAGCAGTGGGAGAATATTTAACGGCCCATTCACCTCCATACTCCAACACGACTTACAACTCCACTGGCACTTCCAGGGCATATCCCGATCTCAGCGCAAATGGCGCCAATTATGTTACCGCGGTCAACGGAGGATTTTTTCTCGTTTATGGCACTTCGGCCTCAGCACCAGTTGTCGGCGCCATGCTCACGATGATTAACGACGCGAGATTAGCAATGGGGAAGCGGCCTGTTGGCTTTATTAACCCAACGATCTACTCCCCGGCTTTCCGTGGTGCTTTCAACGATATCACAACTGGAACCAACCCTGGCTGTGGGACGAAAGGGTTTTCGACAGCTCCTGGCTTCGACCCTGTGACGGGATTGGGGACTCCCCAGTTTGACAAGCTTTTGTTCTTGTGGTCGTTGTTGCCTTGAAAAATCGGATGGTTTGTTTGTAATACAGTAAATGCCTCCATCGGAGAGCTACTGGACCTAGCACCTAATCGATGGTTAAACGGACAAATTATTACTGACGCGGACACATTTCTTGTTCTGTTGTATTTCACACAAACAAACAAAGACTGATTTTGATCCGTCCTCAATGTGTGGCTTTTAGGCTAGGATAAGAGGAAATAGATTCCGCCGCACTTCCTTAGTCACAATTCGGAAGAACCCTCTTCTGGCTCATCGTCATCGTCATCAGAGTCTTGGTCATCATCTCCATCTTCATCGAGATCCTCCATGCTGGCATCGAGGTCTTGTGTCGAGTTTTCTGCAATATCCTCCCCAACGGATGGTGGCCCGTTTGACTGTCCAGATTCAGAGTCAGACTCTTCATCCTCGGCGTCGTTTTTTTCTTCTTGCTGCGTCAATGTACGTCCAATGGGAATCAGAGTGCCAAAGCCTCGGTGTCGAACGTTGGAGTTCTACCTGAAATTATCAAAGCCATGACTGCTTATCAGCTGAAAGACGCGCCATTTCCTCCACCTCATTTTCCTCATCGCTCAAATCATCCATTTCACGTTGCAGATTGCGCATCGCTTTGAGACGTCCATACGACCGTCCCTGATTTTGTGGTGGTATAGGGTAAGGGTGTGGAAGGTCTGGGAGCAGAACCGGAAAGCGTGCATGTCGTGGAAGGACGGTTGGTGAGGCGATAGACATTTGGTTGGATTTGTCAAGCGTATGGTGGCAGTGGCGCGTCAGTCACAGAGTCACGAGGGCAAGGTAACATCAAATATGACGCGTTTGATGCGATGCTAAATTCCCTCGATCAGGCTCGCTTGACAAAATTTCAATTCTTGTTCTTGTCTCCAACGCGACATTCACTAGGCCCCGGCAAACGCCTGTTGAAATTACATTCCGTGGGCACGAGTTGTAAACCGCCAAGACACTAATCAAAACCACTCTTTCCTTTTGCCTTCATGCACGTCGTCATTTTCGGCGCCTCTGGCGCGATGGGCCAAGCTATTGCCCGCCGCTTTCTGGCGGTCTACCCATCCTCTACACTTGTTCTCTACGTCCGCGACGCGAGCAAGCTGCCTCTTGATATTACCCAAGACCGTTCAGTTATCGTCATTGAGGGACAGCTCGACGAGATGGACAATATTTCCAAGGCATTGGAAGGATGTGTGGACGCTGTCATTTCTGCCCTTGGTCCTACGGGTCGTAAAGGCCCGCTTTACCCTTCCAACAAGCCGATTGCAACTGCCTATACCCGCATAATATCAGTAATGAAGCACCGGGGCATCAAGCGACTCATTGCGCTCACAACACCTTCTGTTCGCGACCCTAGCGACCAATTCCACCTTCCCCTTGTCTTTCTGAGGGCAGCTTTCGCGACGCTGGCGAGGAATGTCGTCAAAGATATTATCGCGGTCGGGGAAGCTGTAAAGAACGATGGTGCCGAGCTAGACTGGACCCTCATTCGATTGGCTTTACAGACAAAAAGTCATCCGACGCAAGAGACGGTCACCAGTCTGCCAGTCCATACTGCTCCCCAGGCAGTGCTCATGCATGACAGCTTTGGCTCATGGAAGGGTAGTATCAGCATGAAGAGCCTGACCCCCAGCGAGCCAAAAGAGGAGGTTATTGCTGGGTATATGGGTGATGGGCGGACGAGGGCTTGCTCGTCACGGGGCGGGGCGGCGGCGTTCATTATCGATGAGCTGGAGAGACGGGAATGGGTGAAGAAGGCGCCGATATTGAGTACGCCTTGAATCTTCTGTCCTGCTTTCTAGTGAGGCCTCAGCTTTGATGCTGCAAAATGGCGGCCAAACTGACGTTTCTTTTAGGTTGATTGTGAATTCCTGACGCGGCTGCCATCGATTGTATCGCCAACCAACGCACATCCTTTGGAAATGTAAACACTCTTTTCTGTAAATATTTTGGAATTCGCTTTGTATAAGCCTGTTGCATCGGTTTCGCAAGTCCCTGTTGGGTCCTTCCTCGCTCGCAACAAACGCCAACTATCTTGAATTGCGAACGGCGCGTGAGAACACAATTGAAAAAGAAACTCGGAAGATCATATTATTAGGGCTCGTGTTGCTAAGTTCGAGCTCTCGTCAACGTCAGACCGTGACAACAACGATAAGCGGCTATGAAGGTATGGGGATAGATCAATGGAGAAAATACTACAGAACTGGTGAGCCCCGATTGTTTGCACTCCCTGTTGTGAATGAATTGTCACCAGGCAAGAGACTATGTACGTGTCCCAGTATTTCACAGCGGAGAGTAGCTGAGGTGGCTGTGGCTCGAGAGTCTTCTGGGTACACAGCCACAATCGTCGAATTGATGTTGTCACATGTGACCAGCGACATATTCCTCTCGAACATACGTCTAGTGGTCATCCCAGGGTGGTCTCCATACCACAGCCAAGTTGACTAGAATAGCACTCTTCGTGTGCAAGCCTCCTCTGTGTCCCCGGGACATACGTGTTATATTAGCGCTATCTAAATTCTGGTCTCCGAGTCTGCCAATCGAGCCAGACAAATCATCGCGGAATGTTAGTCGTGGTTTTCTCTGTGACTTCCCGCTCATGAAAGTTGTTCACAGTTGCACAAGACGTTGACCATGTGAGGAGCAACGAGATCGCAACATGACTGGAATCCTTTGAAACTACATACTGCAGCGGTCCCGAATCGGAAAGTGCATTGAGGTGCGGATCTGGCTGATCTACTGACACTCTATCGCTGTTCCGTTCCGATGGCCAACGCGACTTAACACCTTGACACCTGCAAGCTTTCTCAAGAAAGATCTCGGTCCAAACACCACGAGTCGGTTCTTATTACAGTCAAAGTCAAGAGAAACGACTAGTCATGTCTTCGTCTTCCAGAAAATACAGCTCGCCAGATTTATGTACGTTGAAGTTCTAATGCGGTGTTCTGAGGCGAAGATCATGGCCCGAACACCAAAGAACACGGAGGAGCTTGTCGGTGGCTCAAGCTAGTGTGGTCCGTGTCTTGTTTTGCGTACGAAACGCGAGACTGCTCCAACCTCTCGCTTCCGAACTTGGAGCTCCAAGTCAATTCAAACCCAATAGAGAGAGAGATAGACACAACTTAAAATGCTATGTTTTGAACCATTGTTACGTTTGGATTCAAATTTTATCGTTCTGATTGCCATGCAAAGTGGAAACCCGTCAAACGTCTATTTTTTGTTTGATTATCAAGACATCATCAAGTCACGCCACCGTAACCTGTGCCATAAATGGAAAACGCGATTTTCGGTTCTGCTCCTGCCAGGACCTGCCTCCTCGGCCGACAATTCGCAATGGCGTCCTACGGCCATACGACGGTGGTTGGCTCTCTCCCATCCGACTATGCAACCGTATCTCGTTTTGCTGCTGCTCACCCAGGCAACATGGAGTCTGAGGTAGAATCGGAGCCTAGTCACACGAGCATTGCCAGACGCCCATCCCGCCCTACTATGGCTCTGCCAACTATCTCCCAACATTCGGAAACACTGCGAAACCCTACTGAAAACACCCCATTGCTCCGCGCCGAACCCCAAGTTCCGCGAATTCATGAACCCGTTGGCGACGCCAATGATGCAGAAGTATCAACCACATCGCTATACTGGTCAGAGCTTCGTATTTTGACCAAATACTCGTATGTACTGAGACTACCTTTTATCTTTCCTCATTCTTATGCCCTCCGCTTCAGACTCCCTGTCTTCGGCACTCACTTGCTGGAGTATAGTCTTGTCATGGCTCCTGTCCTGTCCATCGGTCACCTGTCCACAACCGCTCTTGCGGGCATTACATTGGTGCTTTGATTTTGTGCTTCTGCTTTCAAAACACAATGTAACCGATAATTAAAAGGGCTCGATGACCGCAAGTGTTTCGGGGTTTTCCATCCTCCAAGGCATGGTCAGCGCTTTAGATACGATGCTTCCTTCAGCCTGGACCTCCTCTCAGCCACAACTAGTCGGGCTTTGGTCTCAGCGGATGGGTTTGTCCTTCTTTTTTTAGCGTAAATCATTATTTCAACTTGGTCGCATCAGCGGTTGTGATGGGAGCGTCCCTCATCGTGCGTAACTGGCTCCCACATGCGTCGGCCTCTCCACAAACGTGCCTACTAGCCTATGTACTTCATCTGGTGGAATGCGGAAGCCATTCTATTAGCCCTCAAACAGGACCCTGAAGTAGCCTACCTTGCAGCCCTCTATCTACGCTGGGTCTCACTCGGATTGCCTGGTGCTTCATTTGAACTTCTCTCCAAGCTAAAACTTACTTGTTCCGAAGCGTACGCGTTGAACTTAATCAGTCGGTATGATCCCGAACCGTAGTGTAACTCGAACTCGTCTCTGACAAGTTATTTCCCAGGCGATATTTTCAATCACAAGGTTCGTCATCCAAAAGTCAACACTGCGCGCTTTTTTTACCTTAGTCAAGGTCTATTTGCGGTACCGACCAGAATAATCTGCATTGTTGCACCGATAAATGCTCTATTGAATTACCTGCTGGGTATGTAGTCAGGAGTTTTGATCCATTCAAGCTCTGAAGCGCGCGCCAGTTTGGGGACCACTGCCCATCAGACTTGGTTTCATTGGAGCACCAATTGCCACTGTTTGTTCGCTCAACTTGGTCTGCGTCATGAATATCACCTATGGAATCTTTATTGCACCGCATACTGCCTGGATGCCTATCTCGCGACGGAGCTTCACTAGTCTCGGTATACTTGTCAACCTTGGCCTTGCTGGTGTTGCCATGACCGCGTCAGAATGGTGGTCCTGGGAGCTGGTTGCGCTTGCGGCGTCCATGTCAGCCCTGTTAGATCGTCTACCACTTTTTCTCTAACTGTGTTGCAGGCTTGGTCCCATCTCACTGGCAGCACAATCAATTCTATTGTCTTCTGCTTCGACGACATATCAGGCACCTTTCGCACTCAGTGTCGCATCTTCCGTGCGGTATGGACACTTGTGTCCGATTTACTCAGGTAGCTCATTCAACCTCTAGAATTGGAAATCTTCTCGGCGAGCTCAACTCGTCTCGCGCAAAGATCGCTGCTCACGTCTCACTACTAATGGCACTGGGTATCGCTTTGATTTTCAGGTAAACTAATCAGTAGCACATTATTTGCATTTCCATTGACAAATGTAGCACGATGTTCATGGTCTTCCGTAACTCGTGGGCATACCTATTCAACGACGATCCAGGTGGGGTTTTCACATGGTCTACCTTCTATAATCTCAACCCAAACAGAGGTTGTTGCTCTTGTGGCTTCCATCCTCCCTCTTGTCGCCTTGTTCCAAGTCTTCGATGGTACATCTGGAGTTGCTGGAGGTATTCTACGAGCCAAGGGCAAACAGGTCAGTCTCAACACTAAGCGTTGCTCTAAATCAATGGCCACTACTAGATGACCGGCGCACTCCTAAATCTCAGGTTCATATTTTCTGCAGCACTCTGATTCTAACTGACCAGTACTAAAGCGCATATTATATTCTGGGAATACCTTTGGGTGCAGCACTTGCATTCAACGCTGGCATGGGGCTGCACGGCCTCTGGATTGGATTGACGTTCTCTTTGGTGTATTGCGCGGTGTTCGGTTCACTGTTGTGTCTGCGGACGGACTGGGACAGAGAAGTTCGCAAAGTGGTGGCACGAATCGAAAACGAAACTCGACATAAACCGAGGGATAACGCGGGGAATGTGTGATGAGTATTTTGGTGAAAAAAAAGGACATCGATGAGGCGATCCAGATGACTTGTTAACAAATTATCATTCCCTTCACAGAAGGTGGTCGACATAATGTATATCTTCCTGACTGTAGCTCTGACTGAATGAATTCACGGACCATCACGCTCTCATGTGACCGTGTTTCTTACGTGAGATTTGGTTTCAACCAAGTTTCCACCACAATTCGGTTGAAGTGAACTACCCACATGGTGGAATGCGGCACCTTATGGACCATCTCTCACATACGTATCATGAAACACCGATGTCGCTCAGAAAATTGTCGGTGGGTTGGTTCCATTCTTACCTGCCAGTGCGGACAGATTTTCTCCTTGGCTGCATGCTAAACTATCGCAGGCTATGCAAATAAACCGGCTCAGCTGGGCCAAACTTGTGAACTTCGGCACTATCGCCGACGCCCTACTGTCCAGCGACCAGCTTCTAGGCTCTACACCAACTGCTGCTGCGAGTGATGAATGCCTTTTCTTGCTCACAATGATCCCTCATCGCCCTCCCTGTGAACCGAAACTAAACAAGCGATACTCATACACTCTGTCCCGATCTCAGTTTCTCTTTGACGTGGAAGGCTTACCCATCGACTCCCAGGAAGCCGCCTTGCTGCTTAAAAAGCGCAGACCGTCTAACGGGCAGTCTGGCGTGATTGTTGACTTGAAAGATAATTCTGTCTTACTTGCGTGCCTGCTATCTATGTCAGTTCATTCTGTCACTGGTGCGAAGAAACTTGATTCTGAAAAATCGCGAGAGTCGTCCTTTTTTGTGAGAGTCTTTACTCGCCGAAGGGGGGCTACTGTTACTGACGTAGGGGTCTTTCTGTATCGGACGTCTCGGTCAGTGCTCACATAGAACAATCTAGGGCACATGCTAAGTATCGTTGGACCTGCCCACTTCACTGATGAGATGGGACTCAGGTTCACCATACGAAATGACTCGTCGCAATCAAACACGCTGCATTCCTGCATTCTTCCTGCTGAATACTCAATCAGAGTGCATGGTCCATAGCGTTGACAATAGTATGGCTAGCAATGGAATTGTGCGATGTGTGGGTCGCAGCTTTCCTAACGTAGCCCTAAACAATGTTGTGTAGTTCGTCGCGAACTTGAAGTGTGGAAGGGGCACTAGATGCAGCTCTTGAAACAGTATGACGCCTCCATTTTCGCGTTTCGATATGGCCTGTGAACGCGTGGGTGACCCAGAAGAGAATAAAGACGCGTCGGGAAACCGCCTTACCCGACAGGCGCGAATGTGACACCGGAGGTCATAGCCTGATCGGGTAACGCCTTCAAATCCGCGTTCTTCGCCAACAATCCTCCATCTTCGCCAGCAAGAGTCCGGGACTCCAACTGCCGGATATTTCAAACGACTATGGCCAGCCCGTCTCACTTCTCAACTACCACAATGATTGGCCTTCCACCATCGTTCTACGACCCCAGCGATCCACAATGGCAACAGAGAGCCCAGCAGCAACATCCTCCTCCTGCCCAGCAGCAATTCGACTTCTCATATCCAGCTCCTGGTACATCCTATGAAGAGTTATTGGCTCAATATTACCCTCAGCATCCCTCTCAATACATGCGTCCAAACCAGATTCCCCCAACTCCAAACACTGCGGCGAAACCACGACAACCAGTCCAACAACGGACTCCCCCTCAGCCCACTGCTACTGCATCGTCTTCTGCACCGAAACGAAAGAGAGTTGCCAAAAAACCAGCTCCAGTTCCTGCCTCTTCTGCCGGATATTCAGATTCGGACTCTGAAGATGGGTTTGGCTCGTATGCAGGTGGGGCTGGCATCAGTGTAGGGATGGGTGGCCTTGGCGTTCGAAGCAAAGGCGCTCGTTTGTGAGTGCTTTCGTTGCGGCGTCCTCGCCCCACCAGTCGTTGCTGACTGATTATTGCCTTCCTTCCTTACCTTCTTGATCCTGCTGTGATTCTGGCGCTCCCTACATTCCGCTTATACTCCATTGGTATCCCTCATCACCTACCAAAACGCAATCGTTCCTCGCGGTGTAACCTGGGGTCCATCAACGTCAATGCACAGACCAGGTGCATGCACTCATTGCAAAAAGCTCAAGATGAAATGCGAGTTCGCTATGGATGGTGATGGCGGTCAGTCGTGGTTTCAGAGAGAGAGAGAGAGACTCACTATTATCCCGCCAGAAATGGACAACACCTGTCGCCGATGTAGAGCAGGTGGTCACGTCTGCATTGTAGAAGGTCGAAAGCCTCGAAGCGCGCCAAAGTGAGTAATGCAACCTTTCGCTCGTTCTTCTTTCGCCTCCCCTCCTCGGACAATGGTTCCGTATGGTGTGTACTGTCTCGCCCTTTTTCGCGAGAGGGCATAGCAACCAACCTCTAGTGTTTGCACTACGTTGTTGAGTTGGAGTGCTTGGGATGGGAGGGGGAGTATCGGATACAATATGCCTTCCAGGCGAGGTCTATAATCCTCCGGTGATTGCACTTCCGGTGGCACATTACTTTGACACCTCGGTGATTGTCTTTCCGGCTCCCTTACTTTCCGCCACGGTGACCGAATCGGACCCCGAACAGAGCGGGAAAGAAACTGACACGTTGTATCCGGGTCACTGTCACCGTTTGCGTGAGGCTGTCTCTTCCAAAACATATGGATGCTTACACGACGTTCTGTCGGTGACCGTGTTGCTTTCTTGGCTACGCCACAGCCTGGTACGGAGTGCCTGGTGACGCCAGGCAATTTCGTCGACATTCTCCACGAGTTGCCGCTAGCGTATAGTTCCTGCATTTCCCTTTTCAGGATTCAGGCATTGTAGGCCAACCGGTCCCAGATTGCTTGCAGTCTATAAGTCTGCATGATGGCCAAGCGAGTTTTACGCCCCCCCCCCCCAATGAACTCACCAGCTTGGTCTTCACCTTCAGACATTTCTTCTTCATCGGACTCTTCTCCTCATTCTTCGCCACCCTCATCTCCTGCTTCGTCGAACTCTAACTTACCCTTTGTGTCCGCATCCAGCAAGCGCGAGTATCTTTTGGCTCAAATTCGACAAAAGGATGCAATCATTGAGTCTCTTCTGAAACAGGTAACAAACTCAGACTCGTCATTTATCTAACGCTGACCCTGCTTTTTTCAAGCTTCACAATCCTTATATTGCGACTCCTCTGTCGATTGCTTCGTATAAGATGGCGACTTCTCCATCCGATACTACCAATCGTAACATCATAGCCTGGCTTGATCGACTACAAGCCAGTGTTCGGTCAGGCCAAGCAATGGAAGCGTCTTCATCGGCTGCGACCTTCGCTGCACTGGCTCGGGACACTGCAGCAACCATTGATGGTGCCATCAGGGTGTCCAAAAACTCGTTTGATGGCTCAGAGGATGATGACCTGAAGCCAAACACTGATGATGACGATGGGACGGAAGAGGGCGATGGAAGCGTCTTGCCAGATGCCAGCGTTCCAATCGGGTTGCTTGCTAACTTGAGCCTGAGTAGCACTAAGGAGAAGAAAAGTCAACGCACACAGGAAAATGGCAATCCCAAGGAAGATGCAGATGATCTGGATGATGATAATGTGGTACGTCGCTTATCTAATGATTCCTGTGGCCAGATGTTTATAAAGTTTAGGGTGTTGCCAATGCGTCATACTTCAAACCTGGTCCTTCTACGGACCTGAACATGAGGGCACAACTCATCGAGCAACATAGCCCGCCTGAAATCCTGATTCATGGTCTTGTCGTGCCGGAGGATGTTGACAAGCTCTTCGATATGTACGTGACACACACCACGTGTCGTCTCAAAGCTCAACTTTCTCTTCTAGTTTCTACACTCGCGTCAACGTAAGCCTACCCTATAGTATCTCCCTTCCCATTTGACATGTTTTGAACAGCCCTTTATCGCTCTGCTCGATCCTGTTCTACACACGCCTGCTTCGACTTTCGCTCGATGTCCATTTTTGTTCACTGTCAGTGAGTTGGCTTCTGTCAGATCAACCTTCGCGTCATTGAACTCATCACAGTCTGCGCCATTTCATCTCGCTATTACCCCGAGAAGTCGGAAATTTATCCTATTGCTATGCATTTCGCAAAACATTCCGCTGCTACTGCGCTCATTGACGGGTGGAAGTCCGTCGAGTTGGTTCAAGCGTACATTCTCATGAGCATCTATGCTGTTCCCGCGCGCAAATGGGAAGAAGACCGGTCTTGGTTATACACAGGGTTGGCTATTCGGTTGGCAACTGACTTGAATTTGCATCAAGTGCCAACGGGAAAGACACACAGAGGAAACGAGAGGCTGGAGAGGGAGCAGTTGAACCGGACGAGGGTTTGGATGATTTGTTTCAATTTGGATCGCTCAACTGCGACGCAATTCGGGAAACCAGCAACCATCAAAGATGATTAGTGGGTTTTCGCACTAGTGTTTAGTGCTAGTGATTGACTGCAGCCAGCATCATGCGCCACGGAAGCGACGATTGGTACAAGAAATCGCCATATAATAGCTCGGCAAGTATTTTCTCATTGTGCTTTTCGCGGCTTACCAGGGAACAGTATGACATCCACATGTGTTGCTATACGGCGCTATTGCGCCTAGTTGCTAGCTTTCACGATGATATCTTTTCCGACCCAGCATCGCCAACAGGTTTGAACAAAGTATGGCTTTTTTTTGTCTCGACCATATCCAAGCTTATTCACATCCAGCGCGTGGATTTCCGCTCTGTGACATTGACTCATGATGCCCATCTGACGCGGTTCACTGACGAGTGGGCGCAACGTCTTGCGCAAGACTCGGATGCTACCGGTCAGACTGCGTCACCAGTGTCTTGATGTTTATTGACCAACGACAGATCGTAAATGCATCCTGCGATGCAAGCTCTTCCCCTTGTAAGTCTAGCTTACCATTCCTTTGCTAAGCCGACCAACAACATCACCAGCTTAGTAGCCTACTCGCGACTCGTTATGTTTTCCTTCGGGTTCCAACAGGCCTACCAGCGTGGACTGAAACCCTCAGATCACATTTTCTTCACCAAGGTGCATATAAGCCATGTCCTGTGGTTGTTGCGATCTGAGTCTTGATATAGTGCCTCGAGTCTGCCAAGAGTGTCGTTCGTGGGATGGTGGAGGGCTTGACCCCTACTGGGTTCATGCGGTACGCTCCGGATGGCCATTTTATATTTGCTGCGTTTGCGTCGGCTTTTTTGATGAAGGTTGGTTTCCCTCATTGATTTATGTGGGTCATTGACCTGGTATACTTAGTTGCTGCGGCCCGAGTTCTCGCAATTGATGGCCAAGGAAGAAGAGAACGAGGTTTTCGACCTCATTGGACGCCTCATCCAAACATTGAGTTCACCCGAGATTGCTATCGACGACCGCCATACTCCCAAGCTCTATGCGCGCTTCCTCGCAGGACTGTTGTCCAAGCACCGGCGAGATGGGGGCGCTACGGTTGGGCGTTTACACCCCAACGCACCTCCGACGCAACAGTCATCCGCGTCGACCCCAACAGCTTCATCAAGTATGAGCGACTACAGACCACTCTCCACCAACTCCACATTTTCAACGTCGCCGATGGCTAGTGTGGGCTCATATGGACAACAACACCAATACACTGAGTATCAGACTCCAGCTTATCGACATGAGTCAACCTATTCTCCACAGCGTTATCATGTTCAGGCACCTTTCAGCCCTGAAGTCGACTTGGAGTTTGGGATGGGGGCGGCTGATGATGACCAGATGCTTGCTGCTATGCAGGCATTGAAGAATCCTGCGTGGTGGGATAATATGATGATGCCAGGCTTTTCGTGGCCCGAATCGTCCGGTCATGGCTCCCCATCGTCCATCTCAAATACTTCCAATGGCTCGCCATCACCATACCCCACACCAGGTCACTTTGCCCAGCCACAATTTGTTTGAAGCACTTGAGTGCAAATGTATTCAAGGAATCTTAGCCGTGTGTAGTTTAGTTGTTGCTTTGCCGCTGTGATTTGTGTACCTGATCTGATGTATTATTGGACTCGACCGCACTAGTACTATTTCTTGCATTGTTGAACCGAAGTGGTTGGGAAAGAATTGGATTTGCTAATGGTCGTCCTTTCCTCCACTGAGACTTCTAAAGAATTCGTTGTACGCATTGTCAGCATCGAACAAAAGTTGTCGAGATTGCTCCTCCGTTATCTCTTCCGAGGCCTTCATCGCGTTCAGCGTGATGAGCCTAAACTTGTTACTTGAGAGTTGAAAGAAGGAATTAAATTCCACTTGCCATCCAACCATTCTGCTCCGCCCTTCCCAGTCTTTACTGCCTTTGAACCGCGCATAGCCAGTGACGAGGTCCTGTAATATAGGATGGAGTTGATCTTTCGCCCACATTCGCAGTTTAATAGCGTCCATGAACGTGATAAAGCCCTTTCGTGAACGTGTTAGGTCTGCTTTGGCCACAGTTTGAACAAACCTGGGTTGTTTGGGCTACCCATTTACTTGTTTCTGGGCCGGCCTCACTCGAATGCTCGACCGTGGCTGGGACACCGACTTTGATCCGATGTGTCGCAGCCGTATGGTCCATCTAGAAGCATTTCAGCGAGAGGCGAGGCCAAACAGGGGAAGCGGTGGACGCGATAACGACTCATGAACTGTTCGATGGAGGGAACATCATCTCCAACAAGCTTGAGCATTGTTTTGTATTGAGAGAGTAGCCGCGTGCATGCGGGCGAGTATCTTTTCTCCTTCAGCCTTGGGTTATCGGAGAGTGCGAACCCACTCGGTCGATGTTATTGAATCGCGAACATAAGCCCGTTCAAGGTAGTCTAGGGCAACCACAATGCCGAAAAGTGTCGCCAGGAGATTATACCGCTCGCGGTCGGCGTTGTTTGTGAAGAGGCGGACTTCTTCGTCAAGCGACATCGACATGGTCGTTGATCAAGTCATTGCGGTCACGCGACGTCATCCGACACCATCCAAATTTTAAACCACGATGAGGCTACATAATCTGCTCGACGTCAAGTACGGTACGTCAAGGTGGAAATGTGGAGAGAAATATAGTCCTCTCAGCCAAGCCATTCACGAGACCTAGAGATCATGGAGTCAAGTCGGGTCGTCATAGGTAACCGCAAAAGCTGTTCGAGTCTACAACGCAATCCACACCCGCCATGTTTCTCAAGATGACTGAGATTTCGCCTATAAACACCGTCTTCTACGACGGCAACACCGGACGTCCACTCTATAAAACTTCGACCCCAAAGCTTTTGGGCGGAACAACACACGTCAGTTGTGCGATCGAGAGTCCCCTCACTTCCCCGGAGCACGGCGGAGCGGAGACTACTCAGTTTGCCCATCTTGCGTCGATCGACTTCCACGAATATCATATCAAGAAGCCAAGCGTTATAACATTTCGAGGGAATGAGCGGGTGGTGAATGAGTGGCTAAAGAAAGAGGGTGCAGGCAGAGGGTGGTGGGGTCCGTGAGTGCTTGCGCTGTGTATTATCGTCTGGGGTGTACTAATCGCAAACAAGACATCGCCCGTTCACCGCAGAGGATGGGAAAGATTACAAGTGGCTGTTGAAGGCAAACCACGTCGAGGTGAGAACCGCGCGACCTTTGATATCTAAAAGTACTCAATCCAACCCGTTTTTAGCTCAGAACCAACGATGTTAGTGAGATACTCGTGGCATGTTTCCATCCCCGCAAAGACAGGCTATTTAAGAAAGGCAAAGAGCCAGCTGCCCTGGAAGTCAAAGAGGGCTACGAGGCAATTCTTGACGAAATTGTGGTGTGTGATATGTGTGTCTTCAAGCCTCAATGACCATTTGAAAGGTGACTTTTGTTTTCCTCGAGCAGCTGCGCGGAATCTACGATCGTGGGGAAGAAGTGATCTCGTAGTTTCGTCTGTTTCGTCTGAATTCGTTGCAACACAATTCCAATCAGTTCGTTTTCTCATTGTGTCTGGTGCTCCGTCTTTTGGACCACATACTACATGCGGCCCCCGAGTCTGACGTCGAGATGCTGCTCTCACAAGAGCTCTGTCCAACAGTCCATCATAGCAGAAGATGCAGGTTCGCCTCCGACTAACACGGCTGCGTCTCCCACAGTTCAGAGGCTGCTTAGTTCTCCCCTGGTCCGGCTCGAGCTCGTTGAATGATTTCCCAACTATTCTAGAGGCGCATGGACTTATACACACTCCTGTCGCTCATCACGGAGCCTTTGTGGGGAACGAGAGGACGGCGTTAAGTAAAGAGCCCAAACTGGATTCGATGGTCAAGCTTTGATTACAAGTGCAAGTTGCCTGACAGACTACACTATATGTGTTCTTCTAGCTAACAGTAGTTATGTTACTAGCACAATGCTTAGATGAAGCAATTATCTGTCGACGAAGGGTTGACTTGGTTGCAGCCAACTCTATGGCTCTATTCGACAACACATTGCACAGAGACAGAGGAGAAGAAGACATTCAAGCGACCATGGTCAGGTAGCCCAACTTCATCAGTTTTTTCAGGACTCCCAAGCAGACAAAGCCTCAATTAGATTGAACACCAAACCATGTCTACGAATGAGATATGTACAACGCGACCGGAGCGCTTCCGGATGCGTAGTGCGTCAGGAGACTGCTTGTAATTTGAGAAAAGAGGATATACTCCGTAAATTTACTCACCTGTTATTGAGCTCGACAAATGACCTCTCCCGCTAGTTTCATTTGGACGGCTTCCCTTGCTTCCAACCACTCGTGCTCCTTGCTCTCCGTTTTTATGACAATGATTTCTCCCAGCCCAAGCGGGGGAATATCCTGTGCCCTCCGCCCAGTACAGAGGCGGCGGATTTCGGTAAGGTCCATAAAGACGCGTTTCGAGGGTTTGCTGATAGCAGACATATGGTGGAGAACAGGCAGGTCATTGCGGTACTTCAGTACGGCCCAAATCCGCTTGTTGGCATCGTTTGCTTCGGCGTTGAAGAGACTTGGGTCCGCCGCAGTGATTGTACCGCGGGAAACGTTGGAGACGAAGCCTGAGCGGAGGAGGATGGAAAGAATGCCCAGATTCTGGGTGCTATGGTGGACCGCTATGTTTTGGTGTCTGCTTCTGAAAGCATTTTGGATCCTAGCACAGAGGTCGTGCGCTAGCATCGAAAAGTTCAAGGGAAAAGAAGTGATAGTGTGTCACGAGTTTCGCACGTGCTCTCACGAGTCGCCATGCGCTGCGATCCCGCTTCGAAGTTTACCCCCACTTCACAGAACCCGCCAGCAGCATCGTTGTCCTTTTCCCAGCCTTTATGAGCATTTGTTCTTTTGCTCAATAACGCAACAACCTGGTGTCTGGGACTTGGCTCTATTTTTGTATTGTGTGTCTCTCTGGAACTCACAGTCGCTTCCCGCCGGTGTCACAGATGGCCCCGAGGAGCTAGCGACTGAAAAGATCGTGCGAATGAACATACCAAATCAGCAGGCTTCTGTAAGCCTATTCCACGGCCCGTCTTTCGTTTAAATGGCGGAGATGATGCCCCATGTTCTTTCGCGGTTGCTTTCCTGCCCTCCTCTCCTGCGCCCACCACGACCATGTCTACAGACGGCAAAGCAGACATCGAGAAGACTAGCACTGGTCATGATTCAGCAGAGGAGATCGACCTGTATTCATTCCACGAGAAGAATGCTGGTAGATTGGTCATTGACCCTGCGTTAGTCTGTCTCCTGGTTTGCGAAGAGGTCTCAATGATCTTCAGGGAGGCAAAAGCCGAGTTTGGGGAGGCATTTGCGGCGCGATTGAAGCTTTCTCGGGATGGCACTAAAGTGCTCTGGCCGCAGGTGTGTTATTTATTTGGCACTCGTTTCCGTTATGTTCTTAGCGCCACACACTAGCCTACCGACTCTCCCGACGACCCACAAAACTGGAGCGATCGTCGAAAGACCCTGCTACTCACTATCATCACACTGGTGGGTACTAAGTTGTATTTGGAAATCCCGTTCATACGCGTTCAAGGCTGCTATTGTCCCCGATTTTGACTCTGGTATTGGTGCGTTTATGGCCAATGAGCACTGTCGTCGCGTTTCACATCGTCGGCCTCAGGCATTGCGTCTATATTTCAGCTTGCAGCCCAATATCACACGAACACTGGGAAAATCAATAACCTTACCTCGAAGTGAGTTGAACCACACTTGTGTTTTTCATACCAAACCCACGGTTATCAAGCTGGAGTATATTTTTACTCGGTAAGTACATCAATCTTCCAAGTGCAGTTACTCAATCGCACATAGGATGGGGCGGTCTCACTGCTGTGTACGACTCACATTCGGGTTTTACCTTTCTCTAACCTCCGGATCAAGCATGGTTATAAGACGGATCGGACGACTCCCAGTGCTATTCTGGTCGCAGGTCCGTTCCTGACCTTCGGTTTCTATCTTCTCATGCGAAGCCTAACGAGAGAGAATAGTTGCTCGCCCTCGGCTTCTTGATCGGTGCAACTTTCGCACCGAATCTGAATACCTTCACTGGTACGAAATTAACTACCCTTTAGCTGTGGGACTCATGAACAACTGTTTACAGCAATGCGTTGTTTGACGGCGTTTTTCGGGACAGCGCCACAAGTCACCGTAGGGTCGCCTAGCTGTTGCTTCTCACCATTGAACACATTCCTCAGGGTCTTTATGTCGTCACGGACCTCTACCCGTTCCACTTGCAAGCACGGATGGTAGCTAATTTCAGCCGCGAATAACACGAATTCCGAACAGATTTGCAGCTCAACTTCTGGACCATGGGTTTCATCATCTCGCCTTTCTTGTCCCCGTTTGCTTTCGGATTCCTCGTTGCCCGCACATCTTGGCGTTGGGCATATGGAATTGGGTCGATGTATGGAGCCCTTGTTGTGCTCCTTATCGTCTTCTTTATGGAGGAGACGTAAGTCGTTATCCTTACCATTCCTTTAACCACCTCTTATGGCCTGATTAGTATGTATGACCGCACTGTTCGTCCCATTCCCGAACGCCCATCGACCGGCCTCCGGTATCGAATCGAGACCCTCGTCGGATTGACGGGCCTCAAGATGCAGAAGTATCGCGTCTCTTGGACTTACGCCATCATTTCCCCATTCAACGGTGCGTAGATATTGTCATGGCTTCGCCGACCCACTGAACGCCGCTAGTTGTTTGGCGGCCGCATATCCTTGGACTTCTCGTCTTCGAGGCTTTGCTTTTTGGATTTGGTATCGGCATTAATGTGAGCTCAGTTTGTTGCTTTGATCCTAGTTTTCAACGCTGCATGCAGGTCACTAATGCTGTCTTCCTTGGAGAACCAGATCTAGGGTGAGTAATTGTGATCACGCGCCGCGATTATGTCATGCTCATTCATCTCAGTTTTAAGTGGTCTCCCTTCGCCATCGCTGGGGGTTATGGAACTCCCATCGTACGCGTATTATTTGCTGTATTCCCATTTTTGACATCTCATCTGATAGGTCTCTGTCATAATTGGAGAGTTGATTGGTCGCTTCTTGAACGACTGGATTATGAACAAAAGTATCAAACGCAACAATGGTGTCTTTGAGGCCGAAAGTCGTCTATGGTTAGTCCTCTCATTTTACCATACCCTGCTTACATCAGTACAGGGCTTGCTATGTCGCTGTCCCGCTCTATATCATCGGCTTTGTCACATTGGGAGCTGCTTTCCAGAAACATCTAAGCCCCGGTGCTATCGTCATGGGCTGGGGGATTGCAGAAACAAGTATCATGATCAACACTGTCGCCGTCTACGCATACTGTAACGACGCCTTCCCTAAACATCAAGGAGAAGTCAGCGCTCTCATCAATCTAGCCCGCACATTGGGCGGTTTTGCGGTGGCCTATTTCCAAGTTCCGTGGGCTTTGAAGCACGGAGCACTGCAAGTATTCGGATGCGAGGCGGCGTATGTTCAAGCGGTTCATTCGTCTTCTGTTGTCAACTAAGCTGCCTCAGGATTGTTACCGGACTTTTCTTCCTTATCGTACCTGCTGTGCAGTTACGCGGACGCTCGCTGCGGGTATGTCCTCGACATTTCATTCATTCTGCAGTCATTGAATCGCGTGTTCAGAAACGGTTCTCTTTACACTGATGCAAGCCACTACAAATTTATATGGTGCTGTAACGACCAAGTATGAATGAATTCTATCATTGTCAAGAGTCGCCTTTACCTGACGAATTTAACACGATCATGCTTATAAGTACGCTGAACTCGTTGAAGTACGTAGTACTTTTGGACAAGTTTTGGATTTAATCAAACAAGCCACCACCGAACTGATCAATATTGAGTCAGTCTTCAAATCGCAAGCAGATAAATTTCAAGACGCACCAAGTCGTCATCTGAGTCTTCACCAGCGTCGCTAGCAGGTTTCTCTTCCTCAACCTGCTTCGACTCCGTCTGGACAGGTGCACTGGCAGCTGCAACGGGGCCAGTACCAGATGCAGTGCCGACGGTGGAAAGGAGATCTTTGACATTCTTGCCCTCAAGCGCTTTGGCGAGAAGCGTAGCCCAAATGGGCTCGAGCTCGACATTCGCACCGGCAGTCAGTGTAAGAATGTTGTCGGTCTGTGGAACGGATCAGTCACGACGAAGACCAGCAAGGTTATAATAACCGTGATCTCGGTGTCAGCGTCAGCTAAGATGAGGGCAGCGTAGGTGGCAGCAAGTTCCGGAGACGCCTAAAGTGTGGAATTCGGTCAGTACAAATGGACTGTGGTTTTTTGTACCATTAGTTCACGAGGTTGTTGAATGAAGAGACAGTGCGATAACTCCCAGTATTTATGCGGATTGAATGTATTAACATGACTGGACGGGACCGAATTTTTGTTGCGCGGGAGGCCAAGTACGGGTCCGAGTTGTCCGACGAAAATCCTATCGCGGTTGACTCGGCGATCATGATCATCATGATTGATTCGGTGCCGAGACGCGCTCACGTGATCGTTCGCATCAGTGTACTTTCTTGACGGCGGAGCAGAATGCATCCCCGTTTTGGAAATAGATGCTTGCTCATATTGCACGGTTGCACCTGTTAAATCAACTCAGTATGGACGTCAGTCAAGTCCCACGTGATTTGTTGGTGTGTTGAAGTTGTACAAGTGACAAGGTTTGCGGTCGATAATGGTGCATTCCAACGCCATATACTGATAAGACGCACCCTCCCTAGGAGACAAGGGATTGCTTGTTAAGGAAGGCTGTTCCGGCGAACTCCACTGAACATTGATATGTTTGGCAATCTCAGCTCAGGTAGGCCGAGAGACCATTTTCTTGAACGCCGTTCGATGCCACCACTGCCTGCTAGCATTTACAAAGGGTTTTACTCGGTTTCCTTCCACGGCACAAGTATCAAGCTGTCGCAAGACTGATTGCTGTTGAGATCGACCCATTGGTAAAGTACTTATGAGGTGCGATTTTGACTAGATTTTGGGTTGGGAACATTGGCTGGTAGCTCTTCGAAGGAGAACTCATAGCAGGCCCTATTGTCTTCATTCGATTTGCGGCACCGAGTATACTGCCAGTGCATCCAAGGTTCGTTCCAAAATAATCGAGATAGAAGCACCACCAGCATGGATAAACCGCATGAGTCCCTTTCCAGGTATCCTTCTGCTCGGCATCAGAAGGATCCGGCCTTTCTGGTCATTGCTATCATACCATGACTGAAGAGGCTTTCTAGCAACTTTTTAGAAGAAAAAAACACTAAGTTCAAGCAGCCTTCAATAGTCTATGGCGTCTGTGTTTCGTAACTTTATGGAGTATATCTTCTTTGTGAACTTGAAGACGACTTGAGGAAGGCCAAACTAAATGAAGATTCCACGAAAACGAAATTCGTCACGGTGACCATTGATGCATTATTGATGGACACTTTGTCTTGTGCTCTCATGGTCCCAACTCGACCGCCCGTCAGCGCCAGATCTTACACTCTTCTGCACTCCCGTGGACGTCTGAGGGTGGCCACTCCGTAAAGCAGCAGCTTCGAACCAAACACCAAACATGCGCCTCTGCTTGAGTCTGCCGTAGAAACGATGGAGTATAGGAACCCTGCGTGGCAGTCTTTCTGCGAAGCCTAAAACAGGAAGATGAAAAGACAAGAGACCCACGCCGCCGAATTAGAAGGAGACTGGCCGCACTCCTCGCTCGCCGGGTCGCCGGCCCTCATAGAAACAACGAAAGAAGTGTTGGTGTAGTATATATAATGTGGCCGAGAGGTGTGGGCTAACATAGCGGTTACGGATGCTGTCTGTCGTGTTCCTCTTCGCGCTGTTTGCCCAAACGCTTGCCGCTCCGACAAACATTACCCTCAACCGACGTTTGACCACGATCAACAATGGAAATGCTTTCGTACAAGGGACTATTGGCTCAATGACCTGGCAAGCTTCCGGTTCGTTACACTTGGCCTCTCTATACCAACACTAACTATTGATTTAGGTGTTCTTGAGCAGGGTTGCACCCTCTCCACGATCTCCTCTTGTTACCATATGTACCTCACCTCCGACCCCACTTCGGAGTTGGACACCAACCATCTTCACTCTCCGCGTCAGCGTGATGAGTTCCATTTCCCTCAGACCTCTGCTGGCCAGTCGTTTTCATACACCTGGAAGCAATATTTCTATTCGTCTACGGGAACAGGCTCCACCTGGTTCCATCTCATGCAGGCTTTTGGCATTTCGGAGAATGCACCGCTGGTAACGCTTGACGCAGTCAGCAACTAACTACGGATCAAGGACTATGTGCGAGGGACTGGCGGCTCCAGCTGTGGAAGCGCCACATGCCCTGCTACCAGCTTGGACAATTACCATGGGCTGACGACGACTCATAAAATCTCGTCAGTGGTTTGATCAAATCCAGTTGTCCACAATCTCAACAAGACAAGAGGGCAGTTTGGTCCGACAGGAAGTTTGAACTACAAAATCACTAACAGCGACGGCGACACGATACTTGGGTACTCTGTCTCGGGGAATATGGGTGCTGGCGGTGGCTAGTATGTTTCGTCCCCTCGTCCGAACTTGTGTTGATGCCAGCTTTAGTATCAAGTTCGGTCTGTATCGACTCACTTGGGACGGAATGACCACTGCAAAGTAAGTGTTTGCTATCTGCTTACAAGTCGGCTCAATGTGAGGCAGTGCGGTTGTGGGTGATTGGTCCACTTCTTGAGCCTTACGTGCTTGAACCACAGATCGAGCTGGTCTCATATGAAACTTGAATGTACTAAATACACGCGATGAGTTTATGTTGAACGTTGAATTCCGACATGTAGCAAATCTAATCTGTTTACTCTTATCTTGCCCCAATATTTGCATGAATCCGGGCAAAAAAAATACTCCTTTTTGAAGAGTTTTGAAGTCAGTTATTTTTGCCTTCCCCTCTGACTCCATGTGTAGCTGCTCCTCCCCACTCAAGTGCCACTATACGAACGCTGATGGATCTCCATTCCCCACATTTCTTCCCAAGTATTCCTCCCGTGCCACACGTTTTCACTGCGTGGTTAACTTTCACCAAGCCACGATCACCGTATCAGGCCTCAGAACATCGATAGTGGACCGTTTTTACATGGATCAACCTATGACAGCATAGGTCTGGACTTATTTATACCCCAGCGCGGGCGTATACTTTTTTATCCCCACTCAACCTCACCTCACCTCGCAACCTCACACTACTATGTCTCTTTCACGCCACAGTTAGTCGTTCTCTTGGGATCAACATCATTTACACCCGCTCTTTTAGTCAACGCTGACGACGTCATTCAACGGGCCAAGGAGCATCCGCGCTTCAAGCACACTGGCCAGGAGGGTCGACAAACTCTGCATCAGTCGTGGTCCCGCGACGAGGATGCTGCCAGAGCGCCCAAATACACAATTCCCGAAGTCGGCATTCCCTCCAAAGCAGCATACCAACTCTTGCATGATCAAACTGCGCTGGATGGAAACCCATTGCTCAACCTAGCATCGTGTGTCGCCTTTAATCACTCTGTTTTTTCTTTATTTATCGGTAGATTCGTCCACACATGGATGCCTGAAGAAGCTAACCAACTTATAATGGAAAATCTCAACAAAAATCAGGTCGATCTGGACGAATACCCAGCCGCAACAATAATCCACAACCGCTGCATCTCGATGTGTGCGTTTCTCCATTCTTGAATGCCCATAGACCACGATAACACATCACAGTGGCCGACTTGTGGAGAGCGCCTAAGGACCTAAAAGCCATCGGAACTTCCACTGCTGGCTCGTCTGAGGCCATCATGCTCGGTGGTTTGGCCATGAAGAAACGCTGGCAGGAGGCGCGCAAGGCAGCGGGCAAGGATCATTATCACCCCAACATCGTCTTTGGCTCCAACTGTCAGTGTGCTCTGGAGAAATTCGCCAGGTCTCAAATTTCCATCGCAGTGTTGAGTCGTAACTAATTCGATTGCTAGGTATTGGGATGTTGAGGCTCGTCTTGTTCCCGTCAACAAGTCAACTAACTACGTCATGAACCCGCACGATGCTTTGCAGTTCATTGACGAAAATACCATTGGAGTGAGTATGTAGGTGTTATCATGGATATGACTGAACCAGTGCAGGTTATGGTCATCATGGGCTCAACCTATACTGGTCATTTCGAAGTACGTCCACCCAATCCATACCTGCGTTTGGGTACCAAGTCAACTCCAGAATGTACAACTCATGTCTGACCTCCGTACATCTCCTTATCCTTGGCCAAGCGACAATTTCTCATTCAATTGACTAGTTGATGAACTGCAAAAAAACACTGGTCTCGATGTCCCCATCCACGTCGACGCGGCGTCGGGTGGTTTCATTGCCCCCTTCGCGTACCCCGACCTCAAATGGGCATTCGATGTTCCCCGTGTCGTGTCTATCAACACTTCTGGCCATAAGTTTGGGCTGGTTTACGCTGGTCTGGGCTGGGTTTTGTGGCGCGACGAATCCTATTTGCACAAGGATCTTATTTTCGAGCTTCGTTAGTTTTTCTTTTCCGTAGAAGCAGACAGCTGAATGTCTCTAGACTATCTCGGAAGCGTCGAATACTCGTTTACCCTGTACGCCAACTCTTCTCATTAGATATGTTTCTAATTGACTGTAGCAACTTTTCAAAACCAGCAGCTCCCATCATTGCTCAGGCAAGTCAAGATCGTTCTACTGCTAACCTCCTTCATGTGGCTCCAGATGTACAACTTTTTAAACCTTGGTTTCGACGGATATCGCCGTATCGCCATCAAGGACCTCCGAAACGCTAGAATGCTTGCACGTGCCCTTGACGCCACGTATTTCACAGTACTCAGCAACGTACACAAACCAGTAAAGGACCTCGCTGGACTCGACGATACGGACGACCCGAATCTCTACGAGAAGGGCCTTCCTGTTGTGTCGTTTCGACTCTCAGACAAATTTGCGGCAGAGTACCCCCATGTTCAACAAGCGTGGGTTCAGTCGATGCTGCGCACCAAGGGCTGGATTGTGCCCAACTACAATGCCCCGGAAGGCGAGGCAGAAACCCAAATTCTGCGTGTTGTTGGTGAGCTCATCGTGCTGAAAACTGTAGACAGTGTTGTACTGATACCGCTGCTTCCAAGTCCGCGAAACTCTCAGTGAGGACCTCATCGAGCGACTGATCGTTGATATTCTCGAGATCACCGAAGGCCTCATGGGTACGTCTGCTCGTCCTCGCTCTCTCCATGTAGCAAGGCATGCAAGCGAGAAGCTTGTAGCTGGTCTACGGCCATCGAATGCATTTATGCCCGTTCCCTCTCACGGAGCTTTTTCTCGTGACTCAGCGCCGTCATTCATTTCCATTCCACTATTACCTTCCTCATCGCGTCTTCGAGTGCCGTCAATTGCCCCCTCCTTGTCGATTGGTGGCACCCCATTGTCCCCCGTAGCTACGCGTGGTGTTGCTGCTCTTGGGACTCACAGGCACCAAGACGGCGGTGGGACAGTTGCGGCACTTGCAAAGCTTGCTCACATTCTTCTCCTACCATTCACCTCCATTTTTTACCTCTTCATCATGCTTTTGTCTTTGTTCTCCTTCAACTCCAAACGCTCCACCTCCCGTAACCCACTCCCCTCGCTTTTTCCGCTGATTGACCATGAGACTGACACCCGACTTTTGCAGATGTTAATGCTGCCCACATGCTGCCCAAGGCGATCGCGGTTTCCAGCCAACCGGACAAAGAACACGGACGACCTGATGTGAAGAATTTCGGTGCAGGGGACAAGGAGGCCTCCCAGGGCCAGTCAGGTTTTGCGCGTCAGTGCTGATCACAAGTGGATGATGGATGGAAGGAATGGATTTCCGCGTAATATTAGCTGGGACAATCTGTGAACGAGTAGTTGCATGTATACTAGCAGACTGGGGAAGTAGCACTTATCAACGGCAGGACCGGATCAATTAGGATGCCATCATGATCAATTGCTGATTCAGACTGTCGACCTCTCTTGCTTGCTCTTGTTAGTCTTAGACTACTGAGTGTCGTCGAGGCGGACCAAATATCCGAATCCAAGAATGTCCATATTGACCAGCTTCGTGATACTCGGTCTTGCTCGGTGTTGCGAACACAGCGGCATTCGTTCATTGAACCTGGGCTAAAAATTCATCATGCTGTTGGCCGAGTTTTCTCCTCAGCAAACCGTCAAGGAAAGATGAGATTGTCCGGCTCTCTCTTTGTCGTCCGGCTCTAGAAGCTTGGCAAGTCTCCCCGCCGTCGCAGCCACCCGCCCAGGTTGGAAACAGATTCCTTCCTCGGGTTTTCTTGGCTACAGTTTTTTTCGTCTTCAACAGCGAGCGCGGCTGCTATAGGTTCTGCTGGACCAGTATAAAAGGAACCGTCTGGAAGTTCTCAGCAAGAACTCAGATATGTTCTCCTCCTCCATCCTCACTGTCTGCCTTTTGCTCTGCAACACCGTTGTTCAAGCGAGCATTCCCTCGCTATCTGGATATCACGTCGTGTGGTCCGATGATTTCAACGGCGCTCAAGGGACCGGTGTAGACACCTCCAAATGGAATCAAATCGCTAAACATCCCACCGCGAATGGCGAGCAGGAGACCTATACTTCTGGCACAGGCAACGTCCATCTTTCTGGCGACGGCCAGCTGTATATCATTCCCACCAAAGACTCGAGTGGAAATTGGCTTTCTGGGCGTATCGAGAGCAACGCTGCCTTTACAGCTCCAACGGGTGGCGCGATGGTCATTCAGGCGGAACTTTGGGTGAGCTCGTCACGTCTTCCTCCGCCTTGCGATCTAAACGTCTTTATTCGTGTGTAGGTTCCTGACTTTGCTGGAAACCCCGCCACTCGTGCTGGGCTTTGGCCCGCGTTCTGGACGTTGGGAAATCGTCTTCGCAGCAGCGGTTGTGCTTGGCCCAAATGCGGTGAATGGGACATCTTCGAGGTCACTCCCTGGCTTGAAAACCATAACGTTGCGTCGTTGCATTACCAATTGAACGATGGCACAAAGGTCACACTCAATGACGCGAATCATCATGCTGCCTACTCGGGTGGGCAGTATCATACCTGGGCCGTGAAGGTCGATCTACGCAATAGTGATTGGACACAGCAAACGTTGAGCTTCTGGCTTGATGGGACGCAATACTACAGTGTTAGTGGGTCGCAAATCGGGGACCAAGGACTTTGGTCGACGCTTGCATGGTGGGATTACTACGTCATCTTCAACGTCGCTGTTGGAGGCGGCTACCCTGGCAACCCTGGCTCACAGACCGTTGCGGGTTACGACTCTTCCATGAGAGTCAGATATGTCGCCGTCTATCAAACTAACTGAATATTTTGTGATGGGATCAATAATTAACCATTTTGACAAGCTTTATTGTGGATCATGTAAGAAATTCTCATCTCTGATCATGCCGAGAATGTTGTTGCGAGGGCAGAAAGCGACGGAGAAAAGAAATATTCCCCACCGCGAGACACAATGAAGTCCGTCATGATGGTGAACCTGCGACTGGGAAGGGTAGGGTCCAGTCCATTCACAACTCGCGGAGCACCCCGGTTAGCACCTAAGTCCATCAGCAAGCTTGAACCAACGCACGAGAGTACAGACCGATGATGGGGTCGAAACCTGTATCAGTTTTGGAGAAGCTATTTCGTAGTTGAGCTACAAGAAACTGTTCTGGCGTCAATAATGCTTACTTGACATTATTCGCCCATGTTTGTTGGAGAAACTAAAAAAAAGTGATGTCAATGGGTGCATACATGACTTCGGGGGACACTTGTCCTCGAACCTGGAAACCAGCAGCAATACTCGATTGATAGCAAACTGGAAAAGAGATAGGGGAACGTTGCTGTGTCAAGTGTTGAATTACGTACCGAATGCAAGTCCACGCTCAGTTTTAGTGGTGTTAGATCTGATTTCGTCCTCTGACTGTTCAGGGCCGTACGGAATACCTCCGCGAACGATATGGTGCTTGGGCTTTTCAGGTAATCCAAGGTCGGCTCTAGGCCGTGTCTTCCTGATGTGGGCTGAGAAAGGTGTACTTCAACGGGGTTAGTTAGGTTCAAGGCTTGGCCATCGAACATACTGCGACTGATCGGTAGGGTCGGACTGGTTTTGTCCTGGTGCTGCATATGTAAAATCATTGTTTCGCGACGTGTCATTGCCGAGGACTGGGTCGTCGACTAACGGGGACAGGAACGTAGGAGCGCCCTAATTTCAATTGATTTCAACGGCCAACTTAAATATGGAGTTCGAAAACTCACGCTTTTCCATCGTCCAACCATGCGCGCCCCAAGCAGATCAGAGCCCTGCTGTGTCGTCAGAGCAGGAGCACGTATCGGATTGTCGGCCAAAAATTTATTGAATTCGGGAACGAGTTGCTCAAGTTGGCGGAAGACGAGGAAGGAGCCGTCTTGTGCCCAAGGAGGCCGTGAACTATCTTCCACAAGAATTTCACCAGGCGAAACCACAGCTTGACCAGGAGACGGGTCTCGAAAGCCTTGAACGGCAGGGTTTGAGATGCCATCTAAAGTTACTTAGAGGTGAATCGTGTGTGTAAATACTGCAGACCCTATACACACCTAAGAAACCGAAATCTAAGGGCAAGTTAATAACCATTCAGTCAAAGTTGTTCAGGACGTACGCTCATGACCTTCTTCGGGGGGTGGTCGAGCCGCCCCTTGTAATGAGTAAATTTCCGTGATTGACTGGCCGAGACCCGACTTGAGGTCTATGAGCGTGTTGTTGATGTTGTCGATGGTGTCACTGGCGAGTAGGATAACACCGTGAATCTTGTTACCTGTGAACGGGGGGATCCAATTGACGGTGCCTGGATCCCCCAGTCCACTAGCCCCAACGAATTGACCATTAGCGAACGGCGCGTCACCCAGATTGTCTGTGATATTAAGAGCATCGAATCCGTTTTGAGAGAATGCAATGTTCAAAGCGGTAGTGGGTGAGGTTCCTCCGGGGAGCAGCGGCGGTATGGGCGTGACGAGTGGTAGGATATGTGCTTTGAGATTCGACTTGAACGCTAACGCGTCGACGATGCCGAAAAAGAAAAACAACTCCTTCTTCTTTTTCATTCCAATCCTGTGACAGTCAGTCGAGGGCAAACAGGCGAAAAGCACAACAAACAAGATGTCTCCTTGAATGTTGGTTAGGTTGAGCCCCACCGCATTTGCAGCTGATTCAGCTTCACTAATGGAGGGGAGGCTTGGCTGAGCAGCTACAGAGAAAACTGATTAAAGAATTATTGCGACTATTAGAACCCGCACGAGGATCTAGCGGTATAAGGTCAGTACTCGAAGACGATGGTTGAGATCATCATACTGATGAGAAGTTTTGAGTTGCCCCCCTTTGCGAGAGCAAGCGTGAAGGGCAACAATATAATCGAAGAGAGGAGGGTCAACTTCATTTTGTGTTGTTGTAGAGGCCGATACCGCTGCTCTTATAGCTTTGGTTAACGGGACCAAGAATAACGACTTGGTCCTGGCTTTCCGCGTTCCAGTTGTTGGTGTAACTCCCGCGCTTCAATATCCGTATCCCAAAATGGTCGCTGACTCAAAAAACCACGGATGGAATGACAAAATGGCCGGAAAAATTATATGGTTGTGATTGGCCTTCGTAAGAGAGCGGCAAGGGCAGGGCAGGCGATCCTGATTCTTTTTCGGTACCCTCTGTAAGCTGCTTCGGCGACGAGCTGACTTGAACTGCGTTCAAAGATGCCTGAGACGATATTTTTTACTGCCAAAGGACTTACTCATACTAAATTTTGGCACTGGGGCTTCAACAAACCGCGAGTTTTGAACAATAAAGATTGCAGGTGTTGAACATCTCCATCTCCCGCTGCTGAGTTTCGCGACTTGACAGCGGCCTGTCTTTGTGGTTCGAATCTTCGGTGAATCATTTCCGTCACCGCGATATATGTTCTGGTTTGGAATTGCTTGAATTCATAGTGGTTGTTAGATCAACCGTTATTGCCACGGGTGTGTCGCACTGGATGTCAATGCGTATATGACGGACGGCATCGTGAAGGCCCTTGTTTATTGACCAGAGATGGGCAGAGCACGGAGTGCCCGCTCTAATGGACACTCATCGTCGTGTGTGCAAGAACAGTTTGATTTCCTGATGCCATCAATTATCTGAATCATCTGCAAGGTACCGCGACTCGGAAGTGAGTTGAGTGGTTCAATCCTGTTCCTCATTAATCCCAGCCTTCGAACACTGATTGCTTCTCCATAAGCCTACTTCCAACCTTGTCCATGTCCACCCGCTACAACAGCTTCTCAGCATAAGCCAACTAACTCAACTGCCAGTGGACGGTTTTAAAAGGCTGCCATCTGCGCGACGTGGCGCATAGATACTAATGAACGCATTATCGACCCACCCCAAGAATGTCCACTCCGCATCTTACTGGGTCGTGAATTTATGCTTTACCTTGCCCCGCAAGGCGGAAGGTGGAAGCGGGGTGGGCTCAAGATAGACGGCTCAGACGCTGTTTCTATCACACTTGTCATACTAGCGCCAACCTGGTGCCGGTTTCCTATGATTGAAAACTGTATGTTGCCCTTAAATCTGAGCGTTGGCACCGGAACTCGCAAATGCCATACTTCAAGACAAACCAACGATGTTCAGTGTCGCCGGCTATCGTCATCGACCGAATGTGGACGACCGAGACCCGGAGCTTATTTGCAGAAATAATGAACTCTGCTCTTCCATACCCCTCAAGTCCGACCCTGGATGTACCAAAATGAGAATTCCCAGTACAAAGTCAGGTACGCGACCCTACGCCGGGTGGCCTATTTCCTGTCCCGACGTCCTCCCGTGCTCCAAACCCACCGGTGAAAGAGGGCTTTGGCAAGGTTCACTTGCTTCATCGATTGTGGGCAAGTATAAAAATGAAGAGGTGGAAACGAACAGGTCAACTCACAACTTACAACCTCTAAACCTCGTTCAAGACTGTCCTCAACAACCATGTCGAACTCTGATGGATCACGACTGTCGACTACCCACACGTCTACCGCACCTCTGAGGGGGAATAACTCGACACGACCACGTTACAGTACCTTGGCGCGTTATCGGTATGTTTTTTTGGCTAATTATAGCTTCCGTGAGAAGACTAACCCAGGACAACAGTGAATACCTACGCGAACCTTTTGCAGAATTTCTCGGTGTCGCGGTTTTAGTGCTCTTCGGTGCAGGCGTTAATTGTCAAGTGCTCTTATCCTCCTCGACCGGCGTTTCGTCGTCTCCTAAGGGTGTAAGTGTCCTTTTATGGATCATGATCATTACTAATATATTTGAAAGGACTACCTTGCTGTGAGCTTTGGTTGGGCTGTGAGTCAATGTGTAAGTCCAAGAATATCAGACTGATTTCAGCACATCAGGTCGGGCTTTCACTTGGTGTGTGGGTCTCGAGTGGCATCTCGCCGGCTCACATCAATCCTGCTGTAAGTTCTTTTTCTACTCTCTTACTGACGCTGATATGCAATGTAGGTGACTCTGGCAATGGCGACCTGGCGTAAATTTCCGTGGAAGAAAGTGCCCGTAAGTGACGTAGTCCAGACCTATCTGCTTGCTGATGGTTCAATCCTTAGGTCTTCATCTTTGCCCAAGTTTTTGGCGGATTTATCGGTGCTGCGCTCGTATACGCCAACTACTTCCATGCGATCGATGTCTTCGAAGGAGCGCCTGGCGTTCGGAGCATGAAAACTGCTGGCGTGTTTGGGGCTTATGCAATCGACTATCTTACGAATGTCTCTGCGTTCTTCTCTGAAGTGCTGGGGACCGCAATCTTGCTGCTCGTCATCGTTGCAACCACGGACTCTGGAAAGAGGAATGCGGCCCCGGCACCAGGATACTTCCCTATTGTCATTTTTCTGGTTATTCTTGGTATCTCTAGCTCACTGGGAATGCAAACTGGTGCGTCCATTATTTGTGGCCCTTGAACATCCACAAACATTATGGTTAGGTTTTGCACTCAACCCCGCTCGCGACTTTGGGCCGCGGTTGCTCTCTTCTGCGGTGGGCTACCCGGGCGCTGTCTGGAGTTTCCGACACCAGTACTGGCTCTGGACCGGTGTCATTGCACCAGTGATTGGCGCTCAACTAGCGGTTGGGCTCTATGATATGTTTGTGTATACGGGGGAAGACAGCTTGGTTGCTGGATGGTGGGGAGTTCCTGGAAAGCAAGTTGACGAGGAGGTCGTTTGATTCGAAATTCCTTGGGATATGAGACTATAATTAACTTGACGACTTGAACTTGGCAATATTTCAGTTGACAGGCCAACGACCTGAATCTTGCATACTTATATCCGCTGCATCCGTTGAGCTACGTGGACCTTTCTTCGGGGTTCCAATCTCCGGTTCGCACTTGCCGACAAAAGTCCCAATCACGCTAATTGAGTCGGGTAGGAACCAAGAAACACGTGATCGCGAAATTTCCTTTTGAAGCTTGTCATCAGCCTTTCACCCCGACTCTGGTTCACCAGATTCGTGCGGAGATTCCAGAGCGGACCAAATCTTGATATTTCAGAAGAGCCGACGACATTCGGATTCCAGAGGCAGATACCGACTCGCCATGTTGTCAAGTATATGAAGACCCCCTGCTATGTGACGGTAGCGATGTTGCTCTTCTCTTTTCTTCTTTGAGCAACATGGCCGGTCCAACCCTTCCTACTTCTTCTTCTTCGAGCGGGGTGGAATTTGTTTATGGCGTTTCTGTGGGCGATGGTGTTTCTGTGCGTCCTTTATATTTGTGTCGTCTGCACAAATGCTCATTTTGTCCCAGGCTATTACTGCTAGTGGATTTATATCCGTCTTTGCTATTTTATGCCTAGTACTTATGGTGAGTCGCATGTTAGCAAGTTGAACCCTACTCATTGGACCACTCCACACCAGTTTGTCACGACCCATCGCAGCCTCAAGTTTTCACGGACAGGAACCCACCTCCTCTTATATTTTGGCTGCCTGTTACTCTCAGATGCGCTCAGAGCTACTGGCGCGATCATGAACCTCCGTTGGATCACACTTGGGGGCGTGAGCAATGATACTTTCTGCACAGTCCAGGGTGCGTCCACCATTTCATGTCACCTCCTTACTAATAGGACAACGTAGGCGCTATAACGCAGGCAGGGAACGTCAGCGGCGCAATTTGGTCTTTCACGATCGCGTCGCACGTGTTCAACCTTCTGTTCCTACGATTCGAGTCGACAAGGTTGATGTCGTTTGCACTGGTCGGCTTTGGATGGTGCTTCACTGCTGTTGTAGTTCTCCTTGGGCCAGCGACGATAGAGACGAAAGAGAGAGGACCCTACTTCGCAACCTCGGGAGAGTGGTGTTGGATAACGCAAAACTATCGCCTGGAACAATTGCTGTTGCAGCATCTCTTCGAGGGCCTTTCCGTTCTCCTCAGTCTAATTTTTTACGCTCTCACTCTCATACGTGTCCGCGGCAACCTTATCAAGGTCAACAATCGGTGGACGCTCCGTTTCTTGTCCAAAGAAGACTCATGGAAACTTGACTTGAACCGCGACTACACTGACATCACCTCCATTGGACTAGTCAAGCACATGATCTGGTACCCTGTCGCCTACGCGATCCTCATCCTTCCCAGTGCGATTACTCGGATAAGCGCATTCAGCGGAACGCGCCCACCATTTGGGGTGACCGTCTTTGTGGAATTTGTGTTTGATTTGTCCGGACTTGTGGATGTTGTCCTATTCGTCACTCTCAACCAGATCTTTCCCGACGCAGGCTCCCAGCCAGCTTTTAATGCACGCAGAAAAACGATCGATCCCGGTGTGATGGAGAATGGTGTCTCTCCATTCACGCTCGACAAACCAGTCGACCCTGACTCAAGGAGCATTAGGACGATAAACTCTGTTACCCCATTGAATGTATCATGACCTTACTACTTGTTACACTTGGTTATCGTTTGTACTATCCTCTCACACGCACCACCTTCCGTTTTCCTTTCTGCATACCGCCAGCGCTGCCTTGTTGTTGACCTGGTAAACCTGGTTGGGCCCCAGACGCCGCTTCCTGGGCTTGCGCTGCCATGCCTGCCTTGACTGCATCGACAAGGATGCCACTGACCAGCGCAGGAGAATACACCGAGACTCGAGAAGAAAGCGGCGGGTGTGGTTCTGGTGGACTCGGCAAAGCGGATGTCCGAGGCTTGTTCTGCTTAGGTGTTGGTACCGGCTTCGTTGTCTTCCCTTTACCGGGTTTTGGAGCAGGTTGAGTTGACTCTGAGACGGGATTGCTTGTGGTGAAGATATATGGTGGGGCGGGTTTTAATTGTGGTTTCTCCAACTGTATCCGCTCTGAGATCATTTGGAGGAGGAGTTTTTCTACCGCTATTTCAGTTCATCGTCCATCAGGGAACAGGAAACGCAACTAGTCTTCAACATGGGGTTGACTAGCCTCCCGTCTTTCTTCCATTGAACCCTCACCCGCCCAGGATTCTCCCAATCACGCGGATGAGATTTCCCCACCTCGTGTAAAACAGGCAATCCGAGACTGGTCGCAGCGTCGGCAATGTCTTTACTCAACGGCCACCAGATCGCATTAGGCCGAGGCACCCGACGAAGACCAGTTCCATATGCGCGTTTGGCGTCCAGGTAAATAGGGTAAATACACGTCCAGCTAATCAGCCCGCTTTTCAGTTCCAAGATACTCAGGAAATCGACACAAACTTCTTATACGGCGTGATGTCCGTGACCGTGTTTCGCGGATTCACACCAGAAGGAGGGCGAAAATTTGGCTGAGCGTGTGGGGAGGCTGGCCCTGGGCGAGCGTAGTCGTCGTCGTCGTCTGATATGTGCAGTTCCTGTAACAATGGCCCCGATGAGCCGGTGTTTGGCAGAGGTCTCGAAGGGAGAGGAAGATCGGTGTCGTCGTCAAACTCTTCTACGACTGCTGCACGGCGAGACATTGCTTTCTTTGGAATTTGCGGTTAACGGTGTGGTGTCGGTGTCACAAACGTCACACTCATTCCGACCTCTCACGCTCATGGCGCTGCCCTGGGGCGCGCAAGCCGCCCACCACAAGGCTTCAATTACCGAGGGTCTGCGGATCGTTCGGAAAATTGTGTCTCAGGATGCAACAAAGGCAGCACTCACGACCAAAGACATTTTTAAACTGGCAACAAAAGAGAAGCCGTCAGAGGAGTTCGTACTGTCTGTTGGCTCGGGGAAGAATGCACCTTGGCTAGCAGGCAATCTTCCGCGCCCACCTGGGCGTAGTCTTCCTCCAGGTCCACCGCGTCCTCAGCATCCCATTCGGTCACTATCGTAATGTTTTTCAATGTTCTTCACATCTCTTCAGTTAATGCTCGCCTAGTTTTCTCAAACACCACATATTACCCATAATCCAGTCCGACAAAGCTATCCGCCACGTACGCGAAACTCGTGGCTCGTACCTCACGCAAGGCCGAACCACGAGTGCACTTACTGAGAAGAAATCCCAGTCGGCGGCTGAGCGCAAATTGATCTGGCTCTGGCGCGCTTCTCGACCACCGAAAGTCGTCTACCCGCGTCGTGAGCGTTCGGCTTACGTGTACGACTACTCGCACATGAAACCCGCGAAGCAAAGAGCGCATAGAGGGTATCACGCGTTTATTGCGAAACGGAATGCTCTTCGGGAACGGACAGCAGCGAGAGAAAAGGCAGAGAAATGGGAGAAAGAGGCACCGATGAGGGCCGAGATGAAAAAAGAGTCGCGGGCGAGACATCTGGCGGAAGTCGCGGCAGGAAAGGTAAAGAGGGCTGAAAGGAAAAGGAGGTGGGAAGCGCAGAATCCGGTGTTGGCCCAGGCGGTGGCTCGGAAGACCATGCTAGAAGAGAGGGCAAAAGCCAAAGGCAGGTCAACCCCGGAGAAAAACGCCAAGCCGTTACGAATAAAGCAAACTGTCTAATCATACAATGAGTTAGTAGCTCCCCCGGCCTTTCAACACACGCAAATCCGTCGATGCCAGCATGGGCAACCCTGAGTCGAGGAAGTACTTGTTGGTGTCGTACAGAGAACTTCGAGACAACCTCGCCGTCGTTCATTGTGTGGAGCCTCTGTGACATAGACAGAGATCCACGACTATGTGGCATTGCTGTAATTCGCAAATCGTACCGCCGACGAAATCTAGCTGACCAGAGTTCTCAAAAGTGCACTGTGATCAGCGGCGAACTTATTCCTTGTCCTGAGAACCAAAAAGATGGGCCAACAGCAGTTCACACAAATATCAAGTCATAATTCATAGTTGAGCTCCATTTGTCGGGGAAAATGGCCTCTTCCGCTGTTTCTGCATAAACACAACGGCTTGTTTACTTTTGTTTGCAACCGTTTTTACATAATCAATTTGTTGTTGCGCTCTTCGTTCATCTCCTTGTCCTTGTTGACCGTGACTTCGGGGTTGGTCCCCGATGTGCTAATGACGATAATCTGCAATCGCTCATCGCCTCCTTACCAACGCATCGGAAGCGCAGCAAATAGCAAGTAGCTCATTCGGGCAACTTGGTGAATTTCCATGCGGAATTCACGGTGTCGACGTCCTCCAACAAACCGTCAGTAACACGCTTATTCCGATCTACCCGCTGAGCCGCCGAGCGACTCGATTACAAGCCACTCGTCAACGAAAACTCAATTCACAACAAGCGGTTGCCATACTTTTTACCTCCACGTCTATTCAGTCATGACCTTGCAGACCCACCTCGCTCTATCTAGTGACCCGATGTCCGGAATCAGCTCCTTGATTGACTTGAACTTCTTGAAGGAATAGAGCCCTATGTATTGCCCCCTCCCAGTTATCTGTTTCGACCCGACAATGATTCCTGCCCTGTCGCTGCGCAGTTTCTCTCAGTCCGAGCTGGGTCGCCGTCTTTCTTTTATTCTCGGCAGCCTGCCAACCGACCAGCTTACACAGAGCTTCGCTTTTGGTCATCTCACTCTCTTTTAGGAAATATCTCCGGTCTCCGTCATCCTCATTATCCTGGCGGACTTGTCAGAACGCATAGAACCGCGCTTACGATTATCCCCCAGTCAGGAACTTGGATGAGTCGTTCAATTGGCTGGGGGTACGTTATGTACGTTGCGGCGGCTTTGGTTACACCGTTTTTTCCCGCCCTTCAATGAGATTTGGCAGTTTGTTTGGTCTCAAACGGATGATGCATATGGTTGCTTGTGGGAGCGCTACAGCTTCGCAAGCAGAACAAAATAATGAATATCTTCGCGGGCCCAGAAGACATATAAGAAGCGTCAAGAGCTAAGCAGTCTGGCATCCCCACTTTCCCTTCGCTTCCTCTTAGACATGAAGTTCTCTCTCCTTTCTCCCCTAATCTGTGTGGCTGTCGTGTCTGCGGCGACCACCTCTCTTCACCGTAGAAAATCATCCATACTAATCGGTATAGTCCCTTGAACCAGTGTCATTCCTGTGCTGACCAACATTACACAGACCCTGGTACCAACTAATAATATGTCTACGTGATTAAAGTTTGACCTCATTTCTTCTAGACGCACAGCCCAGTCTTCCCACCGTCAAGCAAGCCAAAGTGGCTGCCAGCGCAGTAGGGCTCAATCTGACTAATATCCAAGGCGACATCTTGTCCGTCACTTCAAGTTCTCGCGACGGAACCTAACCTGAGCCTCTAGGATCGGAATGAAAAAGAAGAAGGAGCTATTCTTTTTCTTTGGAATTGCCGACGCGACGGCGTTCAAATCGAACCTTAAGACCCACATTCTTCCCCTCGTTACAAATACGCCTGAATTGCTCTCCGTGTCCACCCAGCCAGTCACTGCACTCAACATCGCATTTTCGAAGAAGGGTCTGGACGCGTTGGGTGTCACAGATGGTTTGGGTGACACACCCTTCGCAAACGGGCAATTGGCTAGTGCTAGTGCTCTGGGTGACCCTGGAACCACGAATTGGGTACCTCAATTTACGAGTACTGGTATCCACGGCGTCATTCTGCTCGCGAGTGACACCCTCGACAACATCAATGACTCGCTCACGACCCTGAAATCGAACCTTGGCTCGTCCATTACCGAGATCTATTCGTTGCAAGGTGCGGCTAGGCCAGGTGCGGAGGAGGGTCATGAACATTTCGGTTATCTCGGTGAATATTATTCCTAAGACACGCCCAATGGCTGATATATCGCAATCTAGATGGCATCTCGAATCCTGCTGTTCAAGGTTTCCAATCGCCGCTTCCCGGTCAAGCTGTTGTTCAGCCTGGGGAGATTCTGGTTGGCGAGGCCGGTGATCCATCCCTGAAATCTCGTCCTTCGTGGGCACAGGATGGCTCCTTCCTCGTGTTCCGTCAACTCAAACAGCTCGTCCCTGAATTCAACAAGTACTTGCTTGATAACAGTATCCAAGCTCCTAGCTTGCAATTGACGGTCCAACAAGGTGCCGACTTATTGGGTGCGCGAATGGTTGGACGCTGGAAGAGCGTGAGTATTGCTGTTGTCTTGCCCCACAAAAAGAACTCATAAGCTACTCATCAGGGTGCCCCCACATATCTCGCTCCATTGGCGGATGATCCGCAGCTCGGCTCAGACCCTTCGCGGAATAATGATTTCACCTTTGCACCGACTGGACAGAATACTTCCAGCCTTACAGATCAGACTCTCTGTCCCTTCAGCTCGCACATTAGGAAGACCAGGCCGAGAGCCGATCTTGGTTTGCCTGAAAATAAGAGCAACACCCACCATGTCGTCCGAGGAGGCATTCCTTATGGGCCCGAACAATCCGACGACGAAATTTCCTCTGAAACCACTCAAACCGAACGTGGACTTGCTTTTGGTGCGTCTTTTTCCTCCTTAACATCCCTTAAAAATGTTCTCATGTCTTTGGTAGTCTGTTATCAGTCCAGTATCGCGGCCGGCTTCCAGGTTTGATGACCTTTGCAAATAAATCAATGGTCAAGCTAACGTTTGGATCTCCTACAGTTCCTCCAGAGAACCTGGGCAAATAATCCCAAGTAAGCCGGAAGTCTGCGCCTTCCCTGCATCCCACTAACCACCGACATAGCTTCGTCCATGGAAGCACCGGATTCGACCCCATCATTGGTTTGTCTATCATACAGCGTCTCTTGCCTCTCGTTAATCGTAAGCGTAGGTGCTTCCGCGGGTGCCTCTCGCGCAGTCAATGGACTGGACCCCACGTCTTCGGCCAGCAGTCTGACCATGACGACGGACTTCGTTGTGTCTCGCGGTGGCGAGTACTTCTTCTCTCCTTCGATTTCTGCGCTCGCTACAGTATTATCAACGTAATGGGATTTGGGGCTTTTATATAATACTTAGACGGACAGCGTATCTTTCTTCAAGGTTATAAATGTGCTCATTGAGTATAGTCATTTTGTTGGGGAATAAAATTTCACGTGACATCGGTATGTTCAAACCAAAAAAAAATTCCATGTTTATTTAACTTGAGAGATAATGGATAACTACACACACGAGCACAACTGGTCGTCCAGTTTCTCAGCCAAAGAAGCACCTAATATTTCATGCCACATTAGTCACACCTCTGAGAGAGTCGAACGAAGGACTTGCTTGAAAGCAGACATTTGATCGTTGAATCCAACGGTGCGGAGGTCAGATATCCCAGGGTCACGAATGGGTCCGACTTGGGCGCCAGTACAGTCGATGTTGCTATTGAATGTGAGTGTTAACTGCCTTCAGCGTTGTCGATAATGTAGCATACGCAAAGATGAAACAATCTTGGCCAGAATCAGGCCCGAAGGACGAAACCTTATCATTGAAGCTAGAAGGGACCCCAACGCACTGGCCGCTTGCCCCATGGCTATGGTTACATGCGCCAGAGAAGTTGGTGTCAACGCAAAAGAACCTGAAGTCGTCATGTTACAAGTGTTGCGACAAGTTATCTGCACTCACACATTCCCTTGCACTGCGGCGGTCGGCAACGTGGCCGCGTACACAATTGGGAAGAGAGAGCCTAGGATGACGAAGAACTTCATAGTGCTAGTGGAGCTTGAATTACTGGCGAAGGTTCAAGTTGGTATAACGAGTCTTCATTGACGGTTTTTATAGGTGTCGCTCAGTCAATAATTATTTTGGAGACTCAGGAACGGAAGCTCAAATAAGAACTGTATTTTCTGGAGTTGGATTCGTAAGCTTATTGCAACCAAGAACTGTCGCGGGGCTGATCGGCCTCGGCAAAGTGCGGCGGTTGGAAGCAACATGCTTGTGCTCCCAGGGAAAGTAAACGTGAGCCCGAGGAACGCCATGATGTTTGCCACGGCGTGAGTCGGGCAAATACTAGGAGAGCTGGTCTTTTCTGATTCAGACTCCAGAGCGGGTGGACGTTGCTCCAGGAAAGGCTCCCTTTCTGTGGTCACGGTCACGATAGCATGTGATCTTCATGCTTCTGAATGTCGACTACATTTCAGAATCGCAGAGCCAACTTCAAGGCGCCTTCTATCGAAGATACTCAGAACTACCGGCGTCAGAAAGTAAGTGGATCTTGCTCAAAACCATGTCTCTTTCAGCTCAAAAGCGCTCACAAAAGCTATTCGCATTAGGCTCTCGACGAGCAAAAACGCGTATGTTGGCATTGAATCGAACCTCTTTCATATTCCTCAAGCATGCGCATAGCGGCGGGCAAAACGCGTTGACTCCACGCGCCAACTGGATGTCTTTGCTGATCTTTCACTGGGACAATCCGACGATGAAGAACAAGAAGATGTAGCTATCGTTAGGACTGGCATCGCTTCATATGCGTCGTTACTGCCACCCACGACTTTGGAATCACAGCCGCCACAATCTCAGCCCCCACTCCAGGCGAACGACGGGTCCAAAAAGAAAAAGAAAAAATGGAGACCCAAGGCGAAACGGGAGACCGTGGCTACAACGAGCAAGTGGGCCGATCAGTGCATGTATGCTGAATTGCTGGAGATGAGCGAGGAAGACTCGTGGAATGAGGCAGAAGATGGACTGCCAGACGACTTGGACACTGGCTGGGTCGCGGGTGTGTATGCTGACCTTGGAGATCTCAATGACCGAATCCTTTTAGTTGCCCCGATTCCAGTTGGAAAACGATGTCTTGTTGTCACCGATCAATCGTTGGGAGTTCCCGGTGTTGGTCGGTGCACCACTCTCTCTATTCTGCCTGCAGTCTCACGAATGCGATAGTACCCAATACGTGTTTACGAAGCAGAAAACTCGGGAAACTCCTTCTACCACGATTCCCGTCTATCCTTCCGCCCCTTACAGTACTGTAACTTTTTTTTTCCGCCCTCTTCGTTGCCGATCCTCAGCTGATTCTGCTTGTAAAGTGACTGCATTCTGGACGTAAACTGGCGCGAAAATGGAGTTCTCCATATCCTCGACGTACATAGATGGAAAGGACAGGACATTGGCGATTGTGAGACACCTTTCCGGTTCGTTCTATCAGCGCTCCCCGACAGTGCTCATTTAAAAATCCTTAAATCGTAGATTCTGGTGGCGAGATACACGTATAGCGGAGTTGCCTTTGTCTCCGCCCCCTTCATCCAGCCCCAAATCTGCTCTGTCGAGCTCGGAAAACCCCACAAGCGCGCAACTTCAATACCGTTTTCCTTACCCAACACGTTTCCTGCCAATTCCCTACCACCCCGAAACAACCCTGCGGTCTCTTGCAGAGGTGATCATTCCCTTGGCAAGATCATCGAGAACCCTTGAAGTTCAAATTCCCAGAACAGAGCCGCAAGACATCAGTGATATGGCTGTAGACCAATCCGAGCTTGTCAATATCTCCACAGATGTTTTATCTGATGGGCTGCTATTATACGTTTCTGAAGCAAGCTATGAACCCGGAACAAGCCCGCTGAGCAGTTGGATACCACTTGTGGATTACAACGCTGGTGACAACCTGACGGCCTCAGCATCAACAAGTGAGGGTCCGTTGGATATTTTCTTGAGGCGAGTCTTAAGAGTTGGTGCATCTTTGGTAAGCTAATCCTGTAGTAGGTTGGTGCAAAGAAGGATGTCTCGCAGCTCCCACGGTGCGAGTGGGATGGATATCGAATAAGAGGATTCCGGACTGGCGCTGAGCTTGCGAGTGAACCAATCACAATTACTCTTTCTAAAAGCGAATTCCTGGAATTTACATCACTCAGTAACCGTAGAACCCCCTGTAAAAATGCTGGTTCCAATATGTGAAACTTGCGCGAAAAGAAAAGCAGTTTTGGCAGGAGTCGGGGTCCAAAGTACAACTCGATGAGATGTCATTGTTAAGCTTAGACCAGCTGGAACGGGAACACCTAGCGCCATAGACCTATGGGATAGCAGAGTTGCCATAGCCGATCCAGGTAATTATGACTGTGAACATGGAATTGAGACCTTTCCAGCATATGAACATTCCGTTCAAGTGCACGTGATTCGTCGCGTCTTCAATGCGGTTCACCAAGCCTGCTTGGGTTGCGCACCGCGACACAGCTGCAAAGAGCGACTCTTTAAAACGACTATCCATATTCTCCGTGCATGTCCACCCCGACGGCTCTCGAATCGCCACTGGCGGCCTCGACGCTAAAATACGAATATGGAGCACCAAACCGATCCTCAATACTGCTGCCGAATTATCCAATAAACCACCTAAGGCATTGTCCACATTGACAATGCATACCGGTCCTGTCCTGACCGTACGCTGGGCACACTCAGGGAGGTGGCTTGCCAGCGGTAGTGACGACGAGATTGTCATGATTTGGGATTTTGACCCGTGAGTACCGTGAGTAGGAGCCTCTCGCGGTAATTCAACTTATTTGGCACACACAAGGTCTGCGAAGGGAAAGGTGTGGGGCTCGGATGAAGTCAACGTGGAGGGTTGGAAGCCACTCAAACGGTTACCAGGACACGAGAGCGGTTCGTTCTTCTTGGTCACCTCTTGCGTTCCTGAAGCAACTCTTTTAGACGTAACAGACGTTGCGTGGTCTCCTGGAGATCACTACTTGGCCTCTGTTGGGCTCGATTCCAAAGTTATAATCTGGGACGGCTACACACACGGTATCGAATAGTCTTCTTGACATTTTTTTGTCTCAAGCATGGACAGAACGCATCCGCAAGTTAGATCAGCACCAGGGCTTCGTGAAAGGTGTTTGTTGGGACCCTGCAGGCGAATATCTTGCCACGCAATCTGACGACAGGTCAGTCAAAATTTGGCGGACATCAGACTGGTCAATCGAAGCGGAAGTGACCAAACCCTTTGAGGACTCTCCTGGAAGCACATTTTTCAGAAGGCTCAGGTAAGCAAACTCATTCCTATAGAATGGACATTCATCTCTATAGTTGGTCTCCTGATGGTGCTCACATTACTGCATCCAATGCCACCAACAACAAAGGTTTCGTGTTCATCGCGTCTGTGATTACACGCACTTCTTGGGCGTCGGACATCTCTCTTGTTGGCCACGAAAATACCGTCGAAGTTGCGGTATGCAGAGCTTGACTTGCTGTACCGCTTTGACTCATTGCATCCAGTCGTATAACCCACACATGTTCTTGCGAAATCCGCAGGCACCAGTGCAAACATCGAATATATGCTCCGTTGTTGCTCTCGGTGCTGACGATTGCTCCGTTTCAGTTTGGCAAACGAAATCGGCCCGACCATTAATCGTTGCGAAAGAAGTGTTTGAACGTCAGATCTTGGACTTGAGCTGGTGAGTGGTATTATCCGTCTGGTTATTTTTGGTGGCTCAAGCCATAGCTAGGTCCTGGGATGGACTCACTCTTTATGCCGTCTCTTCAGACGGAACATTAGCTGCTTTCAACTTCGATCCAGATGAGTTGGAGGGCATCTGCCCGCGCTCTCTCCAAACCGAGTACCTCAAGAAGTTTGGGAACCATCTCCCAAATATTCCATCCCATTATTCTCATACCGCCCAAACTGCTCGGTTAACGCCACCCCCATCTCCCAAATCACAGCCCCACCCTCTACCGATCCAAAATGGGTTTGGCAGCGCAACAGACGGCGGAGAACGCGTGAATGTTCTTGTGGCCAAACGGGGAGGCAAAAAGCGTGTTGGTTTGACAACCATACCTATCACCAAACCAGTTGCCCCGCAAATTCCATTGTCACAGCCAGCACCGCCACTCTCTCAATCGCTATCATCAATATCTCACTCGAATGGATATGCGGGGCCTTCTCTTTCTGGTGTATCTATTTCCAAACGGGCGCAACAAGTGCAACAGCAACAGCAAGACAGAGCGCCAAGTGTGTTCGATATTGATGCGGATACCTGGGCTTCGTCGGATGTACGCATAGACTCCCTAGAAGAGGGCGGAAGGAAACGGAGAGCCACGAATACCATTGAAAACGACGAATCCAAGCGCCCACGAACTCTAGGTGGAGACCGGAAGCGAGTTGTGGTCCAAGCGAAAGAGCTCTCGATAGGCGTCGGACCAAGTATGGCACAAACAGCCGGCTCATCTCTCAGCTTGCCGATACCTACTCCCATGACGAAAATCTCGACCACAGTTGAGGGAAGTGACGAATTATTTGAGGTTATCAATCCAGAATCTGAAGAAGGTGAACCGTTCTCATTAGAGTCTTTCACCGAATTGAAAGCCATAGACGCTCCCGAGGTTTCCTTGATGAGCGGCAAGCACACACAATGGTTGGACTATTTGCCATCGCCGGCCCTCGCAGTCTGCGCAGCATCACGATTTTGTGCGGTTGCGTTGATTGATGGTCAAGTCCTCGTCTACACGCTAAATGGTCGAAGGTACGGTTCTCGCTCGCATTTGGCGCATGAAATGCAGACTCGGATTGCAGGTTGATGCCCAGCATGGACCTTGGGTCCCCTTGCTCTTTTATTGATGGCCGCGGCAGTATATTGATGATCATAACATCCAATGGCCAGCTCTACTCATGGTTAGTGTTCTCCGCCCTTTCTGTCTCAGCTGGAGATAACCTTGGAATAGGGATGTCAAAAAACAATCGGCGCTCTTCCCTCCCCGTCTCCGTTTCTTCGATTCTCACTTCTCCAAATTACACCATTACCTCTGCAAAAGTTCAGCCAACTGGAGCTTCTATCCTCACCTGCTCCAGTGGCGTGATATATTCATACGATCTTTCTCTCTGTGCATTCGTCAAACTCACTGAGCGATGGTGGTCCGAGGGCTCAGATGTCTGGCAGGCTCGCAAGCGCTCCTTGACGAATCCGACGGCGAATCGTGGCGTGCTTAGCGTCGCCGAAGGAACCATAGCCGGAATGGCTGATGACGAGGATATAGAAGAGACGGCAGAGAAGATACGACCAAAGTATTGGACTGAAGCAATGACATTAGCGCATCTCGAGACCAGAATGCATTCTGCCCGGTTGTTGGACAGTGGAGCGGAGTTCAAGCAGGCGTTATCGCTCTATACAAGAAAACTGGCAGATGAGGGCTATAAGAGCAAGGCAGAGGAACTAATCCGCGAATTGTTGGGCCCCATTTATGCGTTTGTGATTCCATTTTCCCGGGGAACATCAGTACTGACTTGGTTTGCATAGTCGTGGAGATACATCATGGTCTTCTACTGTTGCAGGCTTGTCAAAACGGGAACTCTTGAAGGATGTGCTATCGACTTTCGGTGCGTTGTTTGGATCTGGCAATAAACTGAATTTTGACCCTCTCCAGTACGAAGCAAGACTCTGACGCAACTAGCTGTACACTGGCAGGACGTCCTCAGACGTGCCAATAACGAGGAATAGACGGGGTTTTATTTTCTGTTGTTTTGCCGCACTTTTACTTTTTAGTCTATGTACTTGTAATGGCATCTAATCGGATTTGTCCGTGTCAGAATCCCCCTCTTGCTTATTCGCTGCTGCTACTTTGGAAAGGCGTTTTGCTCGCGCAAAAATGCCGACCTCTTTGTCGCGAATGAAGTTGACGATAACCATGGGCCAGGATGGGTGTGATGGAAGGGTGTCGTAAACTTCAGGCACCATTGCGCGCAAAGTCGGCAGACGAGTCCATGGGATTGAGGGAAAGTCGTGATGTTCGTTGTGATATCCGACGTTATAGGCAAGGACGTTGAGCGGCCCGTAATAGCTGAAAGTCTCTTGCTCCAGACCGTCCCAAAGGTAATGCTCGGCAATGAAGTGGCCAGCACAGGGGTGTAAACTCCCAGCAAAGAAGCTGCTCATCACGAGGTATACGAGAGGGCGCCAACCGAATGTGCTGACCAATAGGTAGTTGAAAACAAGTTGGATGATGAAGTTGAGCAAATGCCAACGACCCAGCCGTTGTGAACGGACGAACCCAGGCCGGAGGGCGTAAAAGAGGATCTGGAAGGTCCTAGAACACGTCAAGTCGGTGAACACAGCGTTGGAAACAACGACTCACGCGAAGAAGACTTTCCCGAGTACATTGTTGAGCAACAGAAGTTCCAGGTTGGTAGGCAGGTCTGTGTCAATTGTGTCTTGACCCATGAATTTGTGGTGTTCGATGTGGTAGCCCTTGAACATGACAGAGTATGGAATGCCGATGGGGAGGTTGGCGAAGATCGCGAGCAATTTGTTGGGAACGATGCCCTTGAAGGCGAGGTTGTGGGTGATCTCATGAATTGCCAAGAAAAGGTTGTGGTTGGCGGTCCCACCAATAGCGTAGGCACAAAGTAGGAATATCGGGGAGGTCGGGTGGGTAAAGCGAAGTGCAATTGCGAGATAGACCTGGAGCGAAACAACGCCAAAGACGATATACTTGGTGAGCGGTTCGTGGCCCATGAGCTTCGTGACCTTCGCAAAAAGAATTGAGAGGAACGGCGTGGAAAGTAAATGGAGACATACCTCTGGATGGGACTTGAGAATTTCCATACGACGTGAGCGATGGGGTTCTTCTGTCATCAACCAAAGAAAGTCGGACGGATTCTGCGGAGGGCCGCCATAAGACACGCCGTCGTCTTGTTGGGTTGGGCTGTGGACTGTTGTCCTACGTGGTGAACGAGGAGACCGTTTTCCTTCACTCAAAGACTCTGCTCCGCCAAACAAACTGAAGTCTAGCCATAAAATTAGCCCGAGGATATTCAGTACTGTGGAATACTCGCCCACAGGCGAGGAGCTTGATGTTGTGGACATTTGGGGAGGGGGGAGAATGGACAGATGGAGGAATTGCTCATTGTAAACTGCGGCAGTGCAATTTGATAGCCGTTGAGCCAGTTATTGCTATTACAGAAAAATACAGCAAACGAGTAAACTAATCGCTACATCGGTGACAACTAAAAGAGGGCGTAAAGTACAGTGTCTCGTGAGAAAAGTCTAATTATCAAAAGTCACCAAAGCTGAAAGCGGGCGTTGGCTCTGGAGAGTTGGATACGAATGTGAGCACAGGTTTGTCAGCGGCGGCAGCTGCATTGTTGCCACTGGAGGGTGTGGGTGTGGGTGAAGAGGGCTCCGTGAGTTGGATGATAGTGCGGGAGCTGGATGATTGGGATGGAATAGATCCATTGCTGACGGTAGAAACACTGGCGCCAGCCTGGATAAGGCTCGAGAGAATGGAGGAAGCCTCCTGTGGGGAAACGATGGTGGTTTGGGCAGAAGGCAAGACCGTGGTTTGGGTAGAAGGCAAGACCGTAACTGTTACGGTCTTGGTCTTTTCAGCGACACCAGTACCATCGTCAGAGTCACCAGCCTCGCACGAGTCCCCGTCGTCCTCTCCGCTCGATTCAGAGTCATCGGGATCGTCAGAGTCGCAAGAGTCCTCGTCAGAGTTGTCGTTGTCATCATCATCTCCCTGAGAGGAATCCGTATTAGCCAGCGCGATCTCATTGGAGGCGCCAGTGGTCTTGATCGCAGACAACGCATTGCGTTCAGACGTGCATGTAACATTCTGGGGAACTTGAGCTTCCAATATGATGATGGTTGATTACTCACGACACCAACGACCGTTAGAGAAGGGACAGCAAAACACGCCAATGAGTCGGCGCAAATTGTCAATTCCCACTTGGAATCAACACATTTGGCGAGATTATTGTTGACGCATGCATTTTGGCCAGCTGATTGAATGCATTAGTTTGAAGAAAGAATGAAGGTTGAGGACTGACTGGTGCAGGCGTCTGACGCAGTGAGGTTCTTGAACTGGGCATTGAGATTCTGTGCCTCGCGTCCGTTCTTGAGGAGGGAGGCGGTGTCGAGCTTGTCAGCACGGGGAACGGGGACCGCAAGGGTAAGAGTTGAGAGGAGAGCGAGCGTAGAGAGTGTAAGAGTGAACATCGTAGGCCTCAAGTGGAAAGATCGTCAAGGACTTTAAGTATGGCGTGAAGGAGCTCCGGGCTCAGAGGGTTTGGGTCGTGTCGTGAGGGAGAGGTGATGAAGTCAAGCCCATGCTGCCGCCTTTTATGGGCGGCCACGATGAGTGGAGGACAAAGAGAACAAAGACGGACTTTGTTCCATTGTGTCCAGATTTAGCAGCTTATTGACTTACGTACGCATCACGAGACGCCATCAATCTGAAGCGTCACGTCTGGTCAGTCACACTCTACCTCTTCAAGACACCATGGTGCGTCGCTCGTATTCGTATTGCTCGTCGTACTCACTCATCTGTACTGCAGACCAAAAAAAGAAGAAATGGCGGACGCAACAAGAAGGGCCGTGGCCACGTCGTATTCCTGCGATGCACCAACTGCTCGCGGTGTGTCCCCAAGGACAAGGCTGTAAAACGCTTCACCGTTCGCAACATGATCGAAAGTGCTGCTGTCAGAGATATCAGCGAGGCCAGCGTATACCAAGGTGGGTGATGACTTTTTCTACCCATTTCTCCTTATCTCATTTGACCAAAGAATACGCGATCCCCAAGCTGTACAACAAAATTGTCTACTGTGTTGGGTGTGCTATCCATTTGCACGGTGCGCTATTATCTTGTCTGTCCTTTGACCCAACTAACCAACTTGCTAGTCGTACGTGTCCGTTCCCGGGAAGGTCGTCGCAACCGTGCACCACCCCCGCGTGTCCGATGGAAGGACGGAAAGAAAGTGAACCCAGCGGTGGCTGCAGCGGCAGAGGCCAAGGAGGCTGGCAAGGCTGCCTAGTCGAATGTAGTATTCCTCCCTTGCATCCAACATATAACAAAAAATTATATGCTTCATTCCTTTTCGTCTCTTTCCACCACCGGAATCAAGCAAAACAAATCCATTCTCGTACTACAGGTTTGTGGCTCACACTACTATCTAGAAATCCATCATCGACATGCAAGATGCCTAGCGAATGCTAGCGAAGGCGGAGCCCGTATCACTCTCCGACAGCGTATAAGGAAGCCCCACCTCTGCGCAGGTTGGCCGATGAGGTGGGGGGCAAACGGTCGTTGGACATAAGAAAAAAGTTGACGTGACCAAGGCTATATATATGTGGTGATGGCGGATCACGGGCCGTCCTTCGCTTGCTCCCAACCGACACTACCCTGAGGCATGCCCCAAGCTTCTGTGCTATCTACGCACTATGCTACCGCCATAAGTTTGGCCATCTGTCCAAGTGCTAGGCATGATTCAAGATGTATCCGAGACAAAGATAGTCTCCCGCTCGATGGCTTGATATACCAGTCCTTGCAGCGCGACGATCTGGTGGCTCTCCCCTCTCACACTTTCTAATACTTCGACGGTGCTAGACATCACCCTTTATTTTCCTCGAGCATGTCCTCCTGGTCGTTCCACGTACAGCCCCCCAGCCCTTTAATCGACTATCATGGGCCATGGCACTTAAAGCGGGATAACAAGTGCGCTTTAGCTTGTTTCGGTTCTCCTCTCAACCTCGTTCGAAGTACTGGCCAACCGAACAATGAATTCGTGTCCTCCTGTCATGGCGCAAATTGTACAGCAACACTCAACGTACAAAATCCCTACGAGGTTGTCTCAGCCGGTGTTTGTATAAGAAGACCCCCACCATTAGACATCCAGTACGCTTTCCACCAGATAAATTCCTGCTCTTCACTCGTTAATTTTTTGCTCCCTAGCTTCCATCCAGTATTTACTGAAAATGACACTATGCAGGACACCCGATGTGATCAAAAGGAGGGCGTCTTTTACAGTTGGAACTCCACTTCCAACTTTACCGTGTACACGGGTTCCTCTTCCTTGGTACTTCTACACGTAGGTCACATTATCCTTGATGGTTTTTTTTTTTGATTAGCTGTAGTTCAATCTTACGATGAGGGCCAAGTCCTCGCAGTCGGCCTGTATTCCAGTGAAGTCGGCATTTCACCACCCGTGAGTGGTATCAGTAACTTTTCTGACACTCAATAAATCCTTCTAGTTATCAGGATATACTCTATCGCAACGGTTCACAGCCATCGATATTGAACTTCACGGTTTGCCTGCGCTCAATTCCGTGAATTTCATCGCATACCATTCTAGGGCGACCGGATTGCGCTACTTGGGAATAGTAACCGTCAGCAAGATAACAGACCTATCAACTTCACCGTCGCGATCGATGGTCGGAGCAGCAATCTCAGTGCAGAGATGTCAGCGCACCTGAATGCATCTCATTCCGCCAACAGTCAAGTACTGTTCTTTGCCACGGGCCTCGCTGGAGATAACCACACCTTGAGATTCACTGTTCATAACGATTCAGACTTGAATCCGCTCGAGTATCTCATCGTTGATGGAAGCAACAAATCTCCGAGTCAAGATTCTGCCCTCTCAGTAATTACCAGCACGACTACTCGAGATAGCACCAGCATAACGACCACAACTCCGTGAGTGGCATTTTCTCTCTTCCACCACCACCAACAGCTAATAATTGAATAACAGCACATCCACATCAATCGCACCCATGTATGTTTCCAATCGAAAGAGAGGCCGAATAACCTCTTTTGACAGTGCCACCTCAAATGGCAAATCCGTGCCTGTAGCCGTCCTCATTGCTGTGCCCAGCGTCCTTGTTCTGATGTTACTAGTCGTATCTGGATACGTCCTTTACCTTCGCCGTCACACAAAACGGCGCCAGCAGCTGGACTCGGATCCGCCTCCGACTCAGCCTGATATGGATGACTGGCCAACCACGGGCCCAACTGCGCGGTCGGAAACCATTGACAACATGCCATCGGAGTTAACCACACGATCACGTTTCTACGAGCCGCTTCATTGGATGCAGTCGACGCCGATGCGCTCTTCGACAGTCCAATCGTTGACAAATACATACGGGTTTCCCAAGACAGAGACCGCGGAGTCGCGCTCACAGTATTCTGAGTCCAGTCTTCGGTGTGTTGTTCTTCTCTGGCGAAGTATTCCTGATTTACTCTGAACAGTACTAGTGCTGAAACAGTATATGCACTTTGAGAGGTGCGCTGGACGGAACGCAAGCGATAGGTTATGTTGCTAAGTGGATGCTACAGGAGCTGCTATAACGAGTGTGTTGATACAGTGTGAGATAGCAAATAGTTGTTATGTAAGGAGCGGGGTCGCTGAGAAACTCAAAGCAAAAAGCAAAGCAATTAACTGGGAGGTGGTTTAATATGACCGAGCAAGATAGTCGTGCCATAGAGCGTCGACAAACTTGGAGTCCGTCTAGTCAGACAGGTCAGTACGTTGAACAAAGCGGAAAATAATAAAGTCCATACATGAATCAGTGTCAAAACCTCCCTCACAAATTCATTTCGCTCCATCCGTGGGGGTAAACTCTGCGCCGGCGCAGACACAGACACAGTCGATATAATAGACGCTCGAGCAATGGCGGGGTCGATGGGGCGAACAGGAGAACTCGTCGGTGATGCTGTTGCGCTTTTGATTGGTGCTCCAGTGAACAACGACTGTACGGAGAGTCTTGAGTTCAAATTTGGCAGGAGAGGTGCTTGTGACGCTGTTGGGGTCTCCATTTCGACATGCGCGGCCATTGGGTCTGGGCTTGCCGACACCGATCTCGATGAAGGGCCGTCACCGAGCCTGTCTGGATCGATAATTTGAGCCAATCGTGCATTCTCAAGTGCTCGTTCCGCAGCGCGTTCCCTCTTTCCTTTCTTCCGGCCTTTTCCACGGCGGGTTCCAGTACCATTGGCAATCACGGGACCCGGTGAAACTCCATGCTCTCGCCGCGACCGTTGTTGAGCCTCTCTGAACGCAGCTGGATCACTTAGTGCGCTCGTATCAGCAAAATCCAGCTCTACTATCTCTCCATCCTCAATATCACTATCCAAACGATCATCGACTGGCGTCCAGGGTTCGGAAGACGGAGGAGCTGGCCGGATAGTTGAATGAGATCCTTCCCTGTTAGACATCGGCGGTGATACTGCAGTATGGCCATTCGCGAGCGGCCTAGGTAAAGGTGGTCGAGGAGTAACGTCGCCATGAACACGGCCGTTTGGTGCTGGTCCACTGGAAGTAGCGTGACGAGCTTCTGCACGTGTTGCTAAAGCACTGAGAAGAGGTCTTCCAGCGCTCGCGCCTGCTGCCTGCAGTTCTTCGTCAAACTCTGCTTCTGGGTCGAGAACAGTGCTTGACTCCGACGAGCTGAATCCATCGGAGCCCAGATTTCCATTGATTTCGTATTCATTGTCGCCTTCTCTCGAGCTACCATGAGAGACGGCGGACCCGACTCGGGATGGCGGTAAACCAAGAAGAGATGTTATCACGTCCTGATTGAGCACTTGGGGTGCGATTGAAGGAGTAGGAGAATGGACTTGTGGTTTGGTCACGGACGGAGACTTGAAAGGGGTTGCAGAGGCGAAGATAGAGTCGAGAAGGGCAATCCCAGTCGCTGGAGTGTGACTGGGACCGGGTACCCCATTGGTATGACCATTGACCGAAGGTACAATTGGCATGCTTTTGGTGCGTGGCTGGGCAGGCGACATGGCAACGGAAGTAGCATTCTTGGTGGAGGATTGTTGGGTAAGTTTTGAGAACAATTTGTCGATTTCAGATGGACTCCCGCTCAGTGGTGGCGCTGACTGCTGTTGGCCAGTTATGGAGTTGGATTCTGTGTGAACAACGTTATCAATGATGAGGATTCGCGGGCGTTCATGCACTCACCTTGTTGAGGTGGCGGAGACGGGGAAGACGTGCGAAGGTGGGGATTCGGTGGCGGAGGTCGACCGGGTCCATAGCGGTACTGTTCTGGGTAGGGCACATTCCTACTCACGTAGCTCTGTAGTCTGTGGATTAGGTCAGCACAAAACAAACACGAGAATTAAGAGGTACGGGCCGCTTCATAACATCAAGCATTGGCTCTCGTGCATCGGTGGGGAACATCCACAAACAAACCGTTTGTGAAGGACCCTTGTCTACAGCGTCGAGGTCGGGAGGGAAATAGATCGGCGAAAACTTGTCGGGGAGATTGTTTTGGTCGTATTGGCTGTTTATTTTGGCAATCCGACGCGCAGTGAATTCAGGGAATGTGCGTATCATGGCATATGCGCCAAGTGGGCTAGCTTTGTCTTCTGGGTGGAGACGCTGTACATAATCCTCTTTCCCCATCCGATTGAGAATGTAAAACCCGTAGGGCGGATAGGCGTCTCTGCAAAATACATCGAAAAACAACCCAGAGAATGGCGAGACCACATACCTTTCATAGAGAAACATGCTTCCTTCGTAGCCATTCTTCTCCCAGCCCTCTCCATTATGGTGGTAGACGCAGACGTGAGTGAACTGATCGAAGATAGAGATGATGGAGGGGTCCCTGCGACGGAGGACCTTGAGATTATGCTCATAACGGGCCTCAGGTGACATTCCGAGGTTGTCACGAGCGTTCTCGATGGAAGGTTGCGGACGATGTCTTTGCTGGCGGTGCAGCTGGGGGGAGGGGGAATGCATGTCGGGAGAGTGTTGTGGGGTCGCTTTTCGCCGTGGCATGTCAAGTTGAAGGTTCGGGGTCGAGAAGAAGAGGGTCACGTGCAACACAATGCTTCCTCTCTCCCGACATTCTTTTACTTTGGCTACACGTACCCCAGCCTGCCTTTTACGCGCGTATTCGCAACCGACTGGGTCAAAACCTCTTATAGGAAGATATGATCATGTCCCTGTTGAACTAGCTCGCGTTCAATCAGGCAAAAAAGTCACTCTTCGCGACTACGAAACCCAGCGCGCTCTCAAACGCTTCAGTTATGACCTCAAGATTCAAAACGGCTTCGTAGAGCCGGCCCCAGGACCCAATTTCATTGGTTTGCGACCTACAATCTCGTAGCATTGTTTCTGAAAACGATGCTCAGGACCCAACGGATGCTCCCTCAGAGAGCCTTTGTCTCCGACTTTCCAAGAAGTTGTACGAAACTTCCGCGGTCGCGATATCATGGTGTTTATTCTCAAACAAGGTATCTTTTGTGTGAATTACTGTCTTGCTTTTTACTAGTAGTAGGCCTCCCACTTCCACCAACTTTGACTATTCTACATGAGCATTCGGACCACTATTCTATGCAATGCACGCAGAAAATGACCTTGGACGGTCTGTGACTTTTTCAAATACTGTTTCGCCATCTAATCTAGCACAGACCTCAACGCGGAACTAACCGCTTTCATCTCGAAACATGGTCGTGTGCTTGACAAAGAGCAGTTTGACGGAGAATACCCTTTCTCATTATAATCACTATAGACCTTGAACTAATGCAATCTCCCCTCTGAGGTCTGATTGCCAATGTTTCGTCAGAATATCATGAGCAACAGTAAAAACGAAGCCATGGACCAGAAAGCATGTGGTCTATGAAGGATAGCTTCGTTCTTCCCGCTAGGCTGAGAACCAGGACGCGACCCGTTACTCTCCCCACCTGAAACATCCTGAACGACCCTGGTGAAAAATTGGAGCGCAGTTTTGGGAACAAAGGCTGGAAGATTATGCCCAGCACCAAAAACACGACTGCGGGAGTCAGCATGACGTTCAAATGCAAAAACCCCACCCACCTGAAGGTAAAATTGTCAACGCTTTTCACCTGAGCAACAACTGTCCCGTCGATGGTCCAGTTGGTCAGAGCAGTATTGTTGAGCGTCAAGTTGCCATACCAGCTCATTGACACCATTGCCCTATGAACCCCTACCCAATTGGCTCTGAAGGCATTCAGCGTCTCAGTTTATTCAAGGAAGCGGGTCAATCACTTGATATCTGCGTCGCCAACCTAGGAAGTGAAAGTGAATTCCAACGAATCTTTTTAGACAAACTGACCCAAATCAGAATCGGGAATTTTGCATTTGCAAGTGCAGCCAACGGCGGCAATGCAGTTCGGCCGAACTCTCCCGAAGCGTTGAACGCCGACTGAACAGAATTGCTGCATGCATCGAATTTCGAAGCAGCCCCAATTGCCTCTCGGGTTTCCAAAAGGCCGAGGAAATTCTTGTAGTATGTTGGTGGGAAGGGGCTCAATGTGTTGGAAGTTTGACGCAGGTCATCCGAGTCACGTCCACGAATTGCGGGATAAAACAAGCCGGTCATCTCAAGTACTCGTCAACTGGGGACAGCCACGAAGATGAGAGAGTAACGCACACAAGCTTGATTTGCAGCTGTGCAGATCTGGTCGTCTGTTCGTTCTTTCCCACCAGCATAGCAGCCTTGCAGTTGAGATAAACAGCCGGCTGTTCCTGACCAAGCAGCCGACATGCTGTTGATCGTGCTTGTGGTTTGTAATTGCCCATATCCGGGAGCATCCGCAACGAAGTCCAGGAGCGACTGGTATTGGATGATCGGATCGTGTTTTCCGCTGTTAGCCCGTCAATCTCAAAGCAACAACGAAGCCACTTCCTTACTCGTTAATCATCAAAGACTTGAAGATGACTTTGTGTCCAGCTAAACTCCCATTGTCGATCAAGGCGTTTTGTTCGTTGAAGTACGTGATGAAAACAGGACCGAAATGGGCACCATAACTTTCCGTTGCAAATATTAAACTAGCATCGTTGCTAGATGAGCACATCTAGACCCAAAAACGGTAGTCAACACACTCTCGAGATCGGAATGCTGCGAACTCGTCACTCTCGAAGAGGATCTGGAATGCCGTCCACATTGTCCGAGCTGCGGCATCAGTATCATCAACACCAGAGCCAGTGGAAAAGCCAGCGCCAAAAGGTTGGTCGATATAAATCACTTCAAACAGACGTTCAGAGGCGAGCAACATTGCGCGATGAGCCAGTACTGTTACTGCTGTTGTTCCAGCTATACGGGTTCAGTCTGGTCGTCTTGCCATCAGCATTCACGGTGCATGGCCCATGTTCTATCCCAGTTTTTTAAGAAGGAAAGCGTCAACGATAAAAGTTACCTTGGAAAAGGCCCAGTAATGCGGAACAACCTGTCTTGTCCAGTTTTTTTCAAGAATCCTCACGCGACTACGCACCAGGACCGCCATTCAACCTGTTTTTTTTTATGATCAGTGTGCCACAAGTACCCGAGAGTCAAAAAATAACCAGACCATAATGTCAATGGGGCAGAATCCGGTGATGATCGCGCTTCGAAGAACCAAAACCACTTGAAGGAAGAAATTGAACCAAGTCGATCAGACAACTAGCGAGCATAGCTCACCAACGACGCGTTCTTCGTGAGATTGATGTAACCCGAGACTTGCCCAACACCAGAAGTTGTCTCGCAGATCCCCGAATTCTTAACATAGGCCAAGCTGCCGTCAGCAACCGTTTGGGAGCGAAAGGTGTGCTTGGTGGAGGCGGCGGATGCGCTTATTGCGAAAGAGAGTGCGAATGAAAAGGACGCCAGAAGGCAGGGGAACATGAAAAGAAAGCATTTTGAGTTGATGGCGACGGTATATAAAGGCCTCCAGTGTGTGAAGTGGACCGGGTGATCGCGCAGTCTTTGACACTGCAATGCTATCACCGCTTCACTCGTTCGACTCCGATGAACTCAACAAGATCATCTAGAAGAAGAAGAAGAAGAATATATTCCCACATCTAGATCTACAGTTGTCCAAAATAAAGTGGACTAGGAAAACAACAATTAAATTACTTACACTACGGACATTAATGTATTTTCCGCCCCAGAAAATTCACAGAAAATTTGAAATTTTTCTGAAGATTTTCCGAGGATTTTTCTGTCACGGAAAATTTGGAATTTTCCATCAATCTTCTGAGAATCTTCTGGAAATTTTCCAGGTCAGAAGATTTCTAATCTTCTGTCACAGAAAATTTTCAGAAAATGTAGCCCTCGGATCTGTGATCCTGCTGATGTCATTTTTTCCGGCATACAAATTGGTTATCAAGGCAATCAGTCGGACCACAATGTTAATCCACTCCAATTTGTTGCAAATTGCAATTACACATAAGTACCATTATACACTATGTATACAAAAGGCTAAGGCTTTACACATGTATGATACTTATACTCATCCTCTGCGCCGCATAGTGATACACAGCCTTTGCCCCTCTTCTTGGCCACAAATCCCAGTTAGACATATGGGCTTTGGGAGTTCTGTGATGTTGTTGTGAGACCAGCAACAAAGACAAACTCGTGGCTCTGCGCCAGTGAGCGAACTGGGCTGGACCAGTTCAACTGGGTGGAACAAGGCGCTTGGGGTGTTGTGGTAGGCGGGGTAGCAAGCCCACCTCGAGTTAGGGGCCTGGAGAGCCTGAGACGCGCGCCTGCGTTGTGGATGTGGGCGGGCGGGCAAAGGGGCAAAAAACCAGTGTTGCAATATTAACCTTCGTACTGCGTGATTACTTTGACAGGTTAGGCCCACGCAATCCTGCAATTTGGGTGTCTCGGGGTTGTTTGGAGCTAAATTGAAGGTGGGTTTGTATCTCAACTCCGCTACATTCACGCACCTGATCTTAGTGCTTGTCTGCTTTCCTGCGAGACGACAGACGAGGATCGAGAGCCAATGGTGGCGGCAATGGAAAAGTCGAGTTGATAGTTCGTGTGCGGCACGGCACGACCATGCTGAACTTGAAGAAGTCAGAGTCGCTTGCATCTCCTCCATCAGCAGCATTCTTTTTGCTAAACAAGCTGGGTACAACCACTCAGACTTGCTAATCGTTGGTGCGGTCTCGCTGACACTGACACTCGTAGCCGCACTAACTTTGGAAGGCGCTTTCTTGCTCCTATCAGAAGTTTCGGTGAGCGAAAGAACGGCCTTCCAAGTCAAAATTAACTCTTCCTCCTTCAGTTGTGTCCCCGTCAGATGTAGTTAATGCTAGTGAGTCCACACAGCCTCCCGAACTTTGCGCTGGTCACGTCCCGGTCCGCGATCGACAACATCCTATTCAACGTGGAGCTACGCTGACAAGCCTCCCGCCGAAACCGAATGAAGCAGAAACAGAGCGACGGAATCACTGGAGTGGGAAAGAGAAAAATGGATCAGCAGTGCTGGTCAGTTCCTCCAGGTCAAACCACTCCCGACCCTGACTTCCTTCCGAGGCTTGCCGTCGCTAGCCGGGCGCAAGAGCGCTGCTGCCGGCGCATCTGCGAAAAGGTAAGTGCTGCCGTCTCTATCTCCTGTCTTCCTCACCACTGTTGACAACCCACAGCCCACACGGCCTCATTTAAATTTCTTGTCGGCCTATGCTGAAGAAAGGTTCGTTTTTGTTGTTGCCCAGTCCATTCCTTGCTTACTTTACTCCAATTCAGTTTGTCGTTGTGCTAGGTATCACAGGCGGGATGCTTGTTGCTGTTCTGAGATGAGTGTGGTCCAGTAGGCTACATTCCCAGACTCACATTGCATTAGTGCGCCTGTCTGGCAGACATGTCCAACATCCGCTAACGGTGCTGGTGAGTTGTTTGGTAATTCTCCTCCCAGGCCTTTGCAAGTGCTTACTCTGGTAATAGAAGTTCTGCGAAGTTTCCCCCGCTTGCCCACCCGCTTGATACCAAATTGTTGCGCACTGTCGTCAGCCTCGAAGGACAAGGTGAGTTTTACGCTGTGTGGCAGTGTGTGCATTTTTTGCTGGACTTACCACGTTCTAGAACCATGCATTAGTGCTGAATCCATCTCCATCGCGTAAGCTGTCTTCTTCAATGTGCTCGTTGACCGACTTCCTCCCCCAGGCCCAACCTTGTCACGATCTTCGATGCCGTCCTCGACTCATGTAAGAACCATCGGCCTTCGATTCTGGTGTCGTGGGGCTGTTTTTGCTGGTGTCCATAATGCTGCTAACAAACAGCATAGTTAGCATCATATTTAGAGCCTCCAGCCTCTGACGATCAGCTTACGCAATGAGAGCTGAACTCCGTGGATGGACTCCGAGTCATGGCCGTATTTTGCGCCACATTGCCAACTTTGACCGTGACAACGCTGACTTTGAGTCAATGTGCATTACAACATGGGAGTCAACTCACTCGATGTGGTTCTCAATAAAGCGAACTGGGAGCCAATGCTGCTCCCAAAATAGGTCCTCGCTGGCCTGTCCGAGTTTGACAAGACAGTCGAGACTGATGAGTTATGCTAGATGTGTTGTTTAGAAGGTTGGTTAGCGGCTTTCAGGGCCAATGACGACTTTGGAGGCGATTTGGGTCGATGTAGAATGAGCCTTTTGAGCACTGGAGATCGTAGCTAGTGTATCCACCAGCATGAGATGGATTTTGAGGCTTGTTGGGCGGCTGCGGCAGATTCACGTGGCGTTGGTGGCCGCGCAAATGGCCCAAGTCAGGCAAGAGAGTCATATGGGCAGGCAGGTTAGAGCGGGAAACGGTGGTGTGTCACGGGACACGTGTCTTCGGGTCGCAGTATCGGGGTTGCTCTTTCGAATTCCCTAGTGCGGCCATGCATTGGGTCTGTGGTCAGCCTCGAGCTCGGTGTCGAGGGCAGTTGTAGCTCTCCGGCGTGCGACAAAGTCATCATCCGTGAGTAGGCCATCACTGCCACTGGCGGAGGCCAAGTTCGCTCACGACAGAAACACGTATGTGACAGTGTTACACTGTTTTGAAACACTGATTATATAATCTGGCAAACGATGCTCTGTGGCCGCAAGCTTCTGCAAATCTGCGGAAAATTCTGTGTTGCATCCCAGTCGACGGTGCCGTTGAGCGCGAGATGCATGAGGGCTGGCAGTTTCACAAGCTTTGCTGCGTATTCCATTCAAGTTGCGACCTCCTTGTTCCACAGGTCATCAAGCAAGTCAAGAGCGTCGTCTGAAAGCACTGTAAATCAAGCTCCACCGACCCCGGAAAGAGGTGCAGCACGACCTGTTCCAGACGCATCCCCGCCAGCACCCGCACCAATGGTGGATTCACAATCACGCGGTACGCCCACACCTGCAACTCGGGTCACGCCCACGCATCGTCGAGCAGGGAGTCTCAGTCATAGGAAATGTGGATACCCTTGCTGGCCTGCTCAATGTCACTGCTTGACTCCGTGGTGAATGAGGAGGGCTGTCCAACCTACGGTAATCTTCTTTCTTCGACTGATCCTTGGACTGATCTGCTTTTTCTTATTATTATCATCTATAGACAAATCACATCAAGCACTGGACTCAGACCCCGGCTCATTCGCCGTCGCATGGACTCAACATCCAGTATGGTCTTGCAACTACTAGTACACTAGGAGAACAGCTCGAGCAGGTGTTTGACCGGTTCTATCCATACAACGGACTCGTGCGACTGCTCTATAAGCTTGAAGACTTTCTTCGGTGCACCATCGTCATTCGTGAACAGCGTTCTTGAGAAGCAGACCTGCTCGAGGTCTAGACACACACCATTCGCGTATCAGGCCGTAGCAACACCAGCTACAGCCATACAGTCACAATTCACTTGACTCGCTCGACTGACATCATCCCAACAAACCCTACACCATCATTTCCTCCTCGCATTCTACGCCGAAATCCTCACCGCCTGCGTTTGTTCTTCAAGACCACCCTGGATCTTGTTTGAATACTGAAAAACATCTCATTCTTCTTGCCTACCCGGGCCGGAGGTGTCGAGATGCACGTTGCATCTAGCTCATTCACCCATTATCACTCTATAAAATCATGAAGGTCTGCCAGTATGTATCGTGTTGAATCACCACAATTCTTTCGTTAACAACTCTTCCACAGGTTTGCTATTCCCTTCTTTAAAGTACACCCTTCATGGTCGGTGCCATCGGAACACATTCACCCATGCCTTAGACACTTTTCATATACTCCCCGCCATGTCTCTTTTCCTGATACAACCAACTCCATCCTCCTTTCCTACGTCCACGACCGTCACAGTCATGCTTGCTGTCAGCGAGGCGATTTTTGCGTATCCAAACCCTTGTTGCCCAGACCAACTCCGCTCGCGAGGCGGGTCATGCTGCGAGTGAAGCGTATGCGATTGCTGCCCGTGCTCGGGCCAGAGAAGAATGGCGGGTGGTGGCAAACACGCAGGAACGGGAACTGGAGAGCGCCAAATAGGAGGCGCGGTTGAGCGATCTGGTGGTGCGGGAGTATGCGGGCCTCGTCAGGACGCTTGAGGGCCGCAAAAGCACAGCATCGCTTGCAACAAACGCGGTCATCAAGACTTTTCAAGACAGCACTACCACCCTGGTTGAGCTCAAGGAGACCATCAAGTCGCAAAAGACCCAGTTAGCGGAGCTGAAGTCCGCTTTAACAATGCAAGCTGCTGAATATGTTGCTCATCGAAAAAGAACGGGACGAGACAAATGCCAGATTCGGCACCGCCAGTGCCCTCACAGTAGAACTCGGGGAAGAATTGACTAAGGCCAAATTCGAGGCAGAGCAAGCGAAAGTAGACGATAAAAGTGCAGCGGGCATGGTCGAGTGCGGGCATGGTTGAGTGCGGGCATGGTCGAGTGCTACATGTGCGTTTTCTTACTTTCTCTTTTCCCCAGTTTCGTAACTTGGATAAAT